AAACATGATAAACCAAATATAGCAATACAAAAATGTCCAAATTTAAAATTAATTCATGTTCCAATGTTTCCAAATACAACTAAAGTTACTTATAAATTTTATAGAGAATTTTCTTATCAAATTTTTATTTCTGAAATTAAAAATTTAATTATTTTTGAATTTTTTAATTTAATTTTAAAACATTTAAATTTGGAAATGGATAATTATTATAAATATTGGAATTTTATTATTGAAAAATCATCAATTGATGAAATTTATATTGATGTTACTAAATCTATTAATAATTTAATTAAATTTATTTCAAATATTAAAAAATTTAATTTTGAATTAATTAATAATATATTTAGTAATATAAATTATTTAAATAAAAATTTAGATACATGTTTAGATGTTAATGGTAATTTAATTAATTGGGAATTATTATTAAAAAATAGAAAATTAAATGATTACATGTGGAAATTATATTTTACAAATTATTTAACACTCTATATTAGGAATAGTATTAAAGATAAATTAAATTTTGAATTGTCTGCTGGAATTTCACATTGTAAATTTTTATCTAAAATTTTATCAAGTAAATTTAAACCATTTAAACAATCAATTTTTTTAGGAAGAAATTTAAATGAAATTTTTAAAACTTTGACTTTAAAAAAATGTCCAAAAATATCAAATTTATTAAAAGATTTTATAAATATATTAGAAAATGATTATAAAATTGAAAATGTATTGGATTTATTAACAAGAATTTCTAAAAATGATTTTAAAAATTTATTAAAAAATGAAAATTTATTTGAACAAGTTTATAAATTATTAAATGGAATTGATGAAGAAATTGTAAAAGAATCTTCACCTCCAAAAACAGTTTCAACTTCAATGTCTTTAACTCCCATTAATATTTCAAATTTACATACCTCAATTAGGAAAGTAATTTCATATATAGCAATGGAATTATTTGAAAGAATTCATGAAGATGGACTTTTATATGAAAAATTTGTAAATAATCAAAAATATTCAAGAATTCCATTAAATTTAATTTTTAAATTTAGATTTGATGATGAAAAGGAAGAACAATCAACTTTAACAATTTCACAACTTTGGAAAATATTTCAAACAAAAAAGGAAAAATATTTAAATGTTGAACAATTAATTGAAATTTCAATTAGAGTCTTGAGAATGAGTAAAAAACTAACATCCATTCTCAAATATTCATCAATTTATGATTCATATGAACAAGTAAATGATAAAAATTTATTAAAAGATTCAAAATTACAATTAAGATGGATTTCATTAAGTTATACTAATTTTATTTATCCATCTTTAAATATTTCAACAACACATTCATCCAATAGTAGTAGTGGTAGTAATAGTAATAATAGTAATAATAAGAATGGTAGTAGTAATAACAATAATACATTACTAGTATTTAATCAAACAAGCAAGGAAACCAGTTGTCATTCCGATAATGTAACATTATCATCTTCTGCTAATGATGACAATCAAAGATATTTATCTGAAAAGATTCCTAATATTTCCAAATTGACTAGTAATAATAATAATAGTAATATTACAACAAGTTTAATTTCCAATCAATCATCATCCAATAATAATATTACTATTAGTGCTAATAGTAATAGTACTATTCAAAATACTATTAGTAATAATAATCAATCATCATCTAATGATGACAATAGTATTACAAGTGGAAAAGTTAAATGTATAATATGTGGTAAGGAGTGTTTTCCAAGTTTAATAGATGTTCATGTTAATTCACATTTTGAAAATAAGAATAATTCATCACCTAATAAGAAAACAACACCCAAATCAAAATCTAGTAATTTGTTAGAATACTTTTCTCCTTCTAAAAAGAAGAAACAATAAATTATTCATTACTATTACATTGTGGACAATTAGAATCTTCTTCTTCATCACTACTACTATCACTTTCTGTATCACTTTCATCATACCTCTTCTTACGATGGAAAATACAACATTCTAATTGTTGTTTAATTAAATTAGTAAAAACAATCTAAACTTACTTTTAGATGTTCTCATTGGTTTAAATTCGTTATCTTCAACTGTATTATCAAAGGCTACTTTCTTTTTTGCTCTTTGTGATTTTAATTTTAATTTGACAAGGCTAACTTCACTTGGTTGAAATGAAGGTGGTTGTTCGAGGAGTGTTGTTGTCGTAGTTGAGGAGGAGGTTAAACTACCTATATTACCACTACTGCCAGTGGGTGATGTTGCTGTTGTATTGGATGAATGATGACTGCTACCCGATGATGAATGTAACAATGAAGATGTTGTAATAATAGGCATGATATTTAATTGTGATGATATTTTTTATTGCTATGACATATTTAATAATAACAAAAGTTTGTGGAGAAACAACTTCCGATAAGTAAATTCAAAGAATGGAAATCATCTATATAATTAATTGTTGATATTGTTATCTTTTTCATCCTTTAAATAATTATACAAAATATAACGTAATTGTTGTAGTTCCGATAAAGTTTCAATTTTAATATTTTCCTTCTTCAATTCATCATTACCCTGCTCTGTAGCAACCTGTTGTTGAACAGAACCAATAGAAGCAGTGGATACAGACTCCTCTCCATTTACATTCCTTTCCATTATTGGTGAGGGTGAACAAAGCCTTTCTTATTGTTTTTAAATTTCTATTAAAATTAAAAAAGTAAAAAACCAAGGGGTTCAAGGTAGTCAGCACCTCGAAAGTGGTAATTACGCTTTTAGTCGTAACAATTGGGGAAACCACTGCACATCTCTCAGAGAAGAATAGAGTAGCACCTCTGCATCATATTAAAAGAACCAATTTTAAGAGAGAGGAATTTCTCACATTTATTTATTGGGCTTAGACGCACCATTAATGTCCTAAAAAATTGTGGTACATTTTATATGAAAATAATATTGAATATTAATGTTGTTCAAATATTTTAAAGAACCTCAAATCCATCCAAATCATCCTCTTCATCTGTAGCAGTAGCCTTGGAAGGTGGGTGAGTCTTTTTCAATTGTTGATTCTCCTTTTCAAGTTGTTTAATCTTTTCAATAAGTGCTTCTTTACTCATTTCTGTCAATGCTTCTTCCTTCTTTTCTGTGGTAGTAATTGTGGAGGCTTGTTGCTCCTTTGTTGTTGACGATTTTTCATTAATATTTTCATCATCCTCTTCTTCTTCACTTGAATAATCAAAATCTTGCAATAATTTCAAAGTTTGTTCATGTAATTGTTTTAAACCAGTTAATTCTTCCAAATATTTAGAATCATTAAAACAACGTTCCAAGAAATTAAAATCATCCTTTGCATAATTTTGCAAAACAATTGGAGAACAACAAGTACATTGATTATAACTTGAACCATATAATAAATTGGTTTGATAATTTGAAATTGATCCACGAATTTGATGAGGAACAACTCCTAAATCTGACTCAACATGTCCATCATTATTTTGACTTGTTGGATTATATGCAGAAGCATATTTATATTCTGGATGATGTGTCAATGAAACAAGTAATTCAACTGCTAAGGATCCTGCAATGGCACTAACTCCTGGTCTTGTTACAGTACATTGTTGATCAAGTGTTCTATCCTTTGTACTCTATAAAATATTTCAATATATAGTTAGTTCAATATATAGTTCATTATCACACATGAAATTGTCATATTATTCTTACTTACATTAACAGGAGCAACAACATCATTACAGAAATAACAACCCAATCTCTTTGATGTCATTTCTTTAAATTCATCATTGTTTTCATTAGTACTATCATTATTGTTGTTATCATTGCTATTATCACCATAAACACCATATCTCATAACAAGATAAGATTCAAAACCTAAAGCAGCATTAATAATAATCTTTTTTTTTCTAATACCAATTAACGAAGGTAACCATCTTGATTCTCTTGTATCAGTTAATAAATAAATAACATCATGTTCTTCAATGAGGTCATGTAATTTCTTATAGGATTCTAAAGTTTTTTGACGATCTGTAATGAAATGACCTGGCATTGGAATATCTAAACTATGTGATTGAACATTAACATTTGGATAAATTCTACGTAAATGTTCAGCAGCACATGATGCTTTATCTTTACCACCATTTAAACAATCTTCATATTCATATAATGGTTGTCTAACTGGATTACTAAAACTAACACGTGTTCTATCAACAAATGTTATATTAAATATTCCCCACGCCATTAAATTTCTTGCAACATGACATCCAAGTGTTCCACTTCCAATTAATAAACATTTAGTTTTACCTAATTTATCTAAATTAAGTGTTGGAAACATTCTCCATTTCATTAATTGTAAATTTAATGTTACTGAACTTTCTGCTAATTTAATTGGATCCATTGTACTTCCCATATTTGTAAATCTAGGTCCTAATTTATTTTTAGTATTCTTTTCCCATCCAATAACTGAAATTTTATCTTTTAATTCTTGAATATTTTCAATATTTTCAATACTTGTTGTAATTTTAACATTTTTTAATAATAAACTTTGATCTTGTCTAAAAGCAATAACATTAAATAAATCTTTTTTAAATGTTAAATAACTTGCTAATAAATAATTTCTTAAAATCATTGATGGATATTCATTCAATGCAGATGGATCTGAAAATCCTAAATAATACTTTTCATTTCCATTTATAACATTTTCAAATTCAGAAAGTGATTTAATTTGATAAGAATTTTCATTTTCAATAATTAAATAAAATCCATGTTCTTCTTTAGAATGATTAGATTTAAATGTTAATAATTCATTTTGTAATTTTAATTGAATTTCTTCATTTAATAATTCTGATTTTTCATATTTAATTTCCATATCAGATAAAGATAAAGATGGAAATGCAAACCAATAATGGAAAGCATGTTGTTTTAAATCTGCAAATGTTAATAATAAAAAGTGAGTTAATTCATTTGGATTTTTTAACCATTCTTGATTAACAATTTTGTTATAAATTGTTTCTAATCCAACATTTCTTAAAATACTCTTTTTATCATAATTATTAAATTCTTCAATAGTATTAGCATTATATAATGTACCATTTGAATAATATAAATTATTATTATTGTTAATAGTAGTATTAATAGTATTAATAGTATTGGAAGTATTTAAATGATGATGATCAAAAGCATTTTCACCCAATCTCAACTTGGAACTAAGATTTACTTGATCATTAGTATGATGAGTAGCATTTAATACTTGAGAATTAAATAATTTACCAGTATTATAGGAGGCTTGAATTTGTTTAGGCTTGTTATCTAATTTGTATTCTAATAACTTTTTATTTTCCAGATCGTACCAAAATTCATGATCAACAAGTGATTGAACAAGTTCAAATTTTAATAATTGTTGTTGTTGTTGGTGATTATCGGTTGAAGACATTTTTTTTATTTGAAGAAGTTTTTTTTTAGCCTTTGTTAGAGATCTAATTAGCTTCTAATTTAACAATTACAAAAATCAAAAGATAATTATGAAGAAACTGATATATTTGTAATATTATACTTGTAATAGTTCGAATCTAGTTTAGAGGATAAGATCTCTGAGTAAGATCTATGCTACCTATTCGTTTTATGTAAATAAGTTAGTGAATACAGCTGATTGGAGAAGAATAGTAATTGAATATTTTATAATATTATTTAAATAATTTATTACTGTAAACAAATAAAATTACAATCTGAAAAATAAAAATCTTTGAATTTCAAATTTACTTTCCTTAAATAAACATTTTGATATAAAAGGAGAATAATTTATACTTGTCAATTTATGTAATGAATTTTCAATATAATCTTTTACAATTGTTTGTCTTAATAAAATTTCAATAAATTCTTGACATTCTTTAATATTTATTATATTTACAATATGATATTTAAATGTTATATTATTAAATGAATTTAAATGAATATTTTCAAATAAATTAATTAAATTATTAATTTCTAATTTAATATTATCTTTTAATTTTAATAATTCAGGTCTAATAGTTTCCATTTTAGGAATATTTAATCCTTCTATATTTGGTAATTTAAATTCAATATTATTTTCCATTTTATGTAAAAATATATCAGGTTTAGTAAATATTAAAATAATATCTTTAGTATTTCTTAATAAAGCTCTATTAATAATATCTCTATATATAGTTAAACTTTCATGTAATCTATTTATATTATCAGATTCAATTAAATTTTGATTAAATTCAGACATGCTGACAAAAAATAAAACAAAATCAGCATTAGTTTCATTTAAAAAGAATTCCCATTTCTTTTTTTCTGCTCCTCTTCCACCTAAATCTAAAATTGTAAATAAATTTTTAGAATCAAATTGAAATTTTGTTTCATTTTTACCAATTGTTAAAAATTTAATAAGTGGTGAATATTTATCATAATGACTAGTATTATTATTTTCATTATTATTTTCATTATTTAGAGATGTATTATTATTATTTTGTTGAGATGAATTAAAATTAGATTTAAATTTAGATGAAAATATTGAAATTTTTTTTGACTTTTTTTTTGAATTCATAATATTATTAATATGATTATCTAATTGATATAAATCTTCAGCATCTTGTTGTTGCTGTTCTTCTCCATCTTCTTCATCATCTTGATCATATAAATTATTTTCCAATTGATTACAATTTAAAGAATTACTTGTTACAATTTCAGTGGTAGAATTTAAACGTTGATTTAATCGTCGTTTAGTATTTTTTAAAAATTGATTTTTCTGATGATCTGATAATTGTGAAATAATAATATTCATTTCATTACACAACACATCAATATTATCAATTAAATGATGAGAATCCTTATATAGATAATATAATTCTTGTATTATTTTATATTTAGACCATATCATTCTAATATATTGTCCATATTGAATTGATTCTGATTTTGTAAATTCCCATTTTCTTGTAATATTTGTCAAGTTGAGTAAAAAATCATAAATTTGTGGATCTGATTTTTTAATTTTATGAATAAAATCATTTCTTTCTTGATCTGACATGACAATGAAAATTATATCTTGAATTGATGATAGACAAGTTTTAATGATGAGTGTAGCTCTGATTTTTTCATTCTTGTGAATTTTCATGTGAAATTTGGATTTTAATTGATTGTGAAATGAAGTTTTACCTCCATCACTACATCCAACACAATATATATTATTATTAATAGTATTATTATTAGAAACATTAGAATTATTAGAATTAGAATTAGTAGAATTAGAAGTGGTGGCTGAATTGTTTTTTGTTGAATATTGTTGGTGATTATAGATGGATCCATCATCACCAACAATATCATCTTCCGCAAAAAAAGAAGCAACATTACTTTCACTTTGTGAAATCGTTGAACCCATTTTTTTTGACAGCTGGCATTGTGATGAGAATGATTAATTAGGTAGGACCTAAACTCCTGTTGCTTACGGAGTGTGGAGATAATGAAAGCCTTATGAAAGGTTCATTTCTGCACAGCTTTGGATTGCAAAGACTTTGTCATTCAAACAACTTGTAATGGATTCATTGAACCACATCACGTTTGATCGAAACTGTAAACAAATGCAAATTGGTGAAAAAGAAATTGAAGAAACTTTGGCATAATTACTGTTTGATCCTAAACCTCAAGATTTGATGAGATACTCCAACTAGTCTTTGAAAATGAGTTATTTTGAAGATCCATCATGGTGGATGATGAAATTTACAACTGAACTTAAATTACTAAATTTAATTAAAATTGTTATAAAAGACCAAGTGAAACTCTCAAACTATCAAAATCATTTGGTCTCTTTACAAGTGCCTCCTCTAATAATTTTTTACACTTTTCCACAATATTTGGATAGTCCATATATCCAGCACATTCATCAATGAATATTTTGTGTAATAATCTACATAATAGAATGAATGCTTGTCCAAATAAATGTTCACAATCTTGTTCATAATTATTCTTCAATAAAAGACATAAAAATCTGAAAAGTGGAAATTTCTCTTCAATACTTTCAATAGTAGGTGATGTTGAAATATTATCCAAATCTAATAAAGTACATAAAGTAAAGAATAAATTAATTCCAGATACACACAATGGATAATCAGCATGATCACTTAATAATAATTTCATCGTTTCACTTTCATTTTGAGCAAAGAATAATAACATTCTCAATGACATGTAACCACCTCCTCTAAAATCTGTTGAAGGATTATCACCTTGAAATCCAATATTAATCCATTGTCTTGATTTTCTCTTTGTAAGTGGATCATCAGGTTTAAGTAATGAATAAAGTTCCATTAAATCTTGTTCATGAATTTGATTACTTTCATCATATTTTTCCTTTTTCAATCTTAAAACTGTACAAACAAGATAGTTAATAAATTTAGCTTTTGCTAATTTGTACTGATTAACTTGAGCACCAACAGAGTAAATTAATTCCTTTCTATCAAAAACATAAAATTGAAAAGATTCACCATTCAATAATTGAATATCAATCATTTCAAATCCATCTCCTCTATATGTTGAATTACATTCTCTAATAATTTGAATTGAATCTATATAAATTTGTTGTACAAATGTATGTTCTAATCTATCAGATGTATTTTCACTTAATAAATAAATATGAAGTGAACTTGATAATTTATCAACTGAAAGAATATGTGGTTTTCCTTTTAAATCTATAAAAAAATCATCACCTCCTAATCTTAATTCATTTAATTCTCTATTTAATTCTTCAAGTCTTTGAAATTTATATTCATACCATTCTTGTTCTCTTAATAAATATTGAGCATTATCACTTTCTTGTTCTTCATCATAATTTCTTTCAATTTCAATTAATCTTTTTAATCTTCTCTTTTCTTCTCTTGTTGTTTGATAAAATTGATTAATTTGTTTAAAAACTTCTCCATATGGATGATCAAATAAAAATGAAACAGGTGAATTATGAATATCTAAAAAATAATAAATCAAAAATTCAAAAGAAGAAATTTTCTTTCCTTCTTCAGTTTCATGTGAAGCCATTGAAATGACTGAACTCAAAAATTCATTAAATATCTTTTTTCTAAATTCTAATAAATTTGAATCGTTAAAACTTGTAATTGGACTCTTATTTGGAAATTTAATTAATCCAAATTTATCCTTATTTGTACATGTTTTCTTTAAAAGTGAATAAAACTTCTTAAATTCATTATATCTTCTTATAACAGACCATTGACATTTAGTATGATCATTATTAAATCCAATTGTAATATCAATAGAATATCCAACATATTTCTTTTCTTTCATAGGACTAGCATTTGAATCTAAATTCTTCTTATTAAAATCAAATTCAACAGTATTTGTAATTTTAGCAGTTAGTGATGAAATTAAACCATTTGATAAAGTTGGTATCCAAACAGATACTCTTCTTTTACGACTTGAATATGAAATTTTAGTTCCCGAAACTGAATTTGAGAAATTTTCAAAGGCTGTTAATTCTTCATCATTTGAGCCTTGATTAGATGAATTATTAACAGTAGAATTGGATGAGGTATTATTGGAAGATGAATAATGATTACGATGTTTGTTAAATAATCTACTCTCATCCATATAAACAATTAATTCACTATCTTCATCTTGTTGTTCATCATCACTAACATCGGATCCAAAGGCTACTACTTTTTTCTTTACTGGAGAAACAGGTGTAGTGGTTGTACTACTAACACCATTACCAGTACCACTACTACTACCGGTACGATGATGATGATCATAATGATGATGATGATTAGAGGATGGATAGGATTTTAGTGAGGATGCATCCTCTTCACTTTGCATCATTTTTTCAAAAAATGTTTTATGCGATTGTTTTAATTTGGAATATATCTTTGGAGACGGTAATTGCCTCTTTTAAATGTTTGGTAAAACCATTCAGTTTTTGTTCAGCCATAGATAAGGTTACCAAGATTATCAACTTGAATTCCAATCTTTCAAAGCTCTTTAACAAATAATTATTGAAAATCTTTACACCATTCTTCCAACTGAAGGTTCGATATAGATATTGAAAATCCTATCACAATAGTTCTTCCAATTTAGTACAAATGAATCACCAGGAAACGTTTATTATTCATTGTAATAAGACAATTTTTATTTGATTGGTTTTGTCGGGTGCTGCGTACATTTTCCTCATTCATTTAAATTCACAACACACAATTACCACCATCACAAGAACTCATTGAAAAAAAAACAACAAACAACTCACAACTCCCTCCTAACAATCTATATAAATTCCATCAAAATAACATGAGCATGATAAATTCAACACATTGTCGTTGTTGTCATCTTGTTGGTAGTTTACCATTAGAAAGTGAATCAGTAGCCTTAAAAACATGCATTGAAAAATTTGGAATTCTTCTCAAGACAATTCCTGATGGTGAAATTGGTGAGAAGAGTGAACGTTTCACTGGTGGTGATCGTCAGAGTTGGGTTCAAATTATTATAAAGAGAATTTTGGATCATTTTACAGATAAATGGTATTCTCTTCCAATGAAGGAAACTCCAGTTTTGAATGAAAAGGGTTTTCCTGTGGATTTTAAGTATTTACCTGAATTTAGACCTAAAAGTTGGTCAACTGGATTTATTCTAGATATGCCTCTAACTTATTTGGAATATTTTGAAAAGAGTTTTCCTACTTTTAAAAAGTTGGCAAGTGAAAATAATTTGAAATCAAATGTGAAATTTCAAGTTGGAATTCCGACTGGTCTTGCCATTTCTTTATCACTAACAAAGAGTTTATTTTGGTCTTGGTGGACTTACAAATCATTCAATGATAGGTAAGTTATTTTATGTAGATCTTCTGATTGCTTATTTAATATTGATAGAATTGCTTATGAAGTTAATGAAATGAAAAAGATTTCCATTAAAGAAAGTGGTACAGTTGACTTTGTAGTTCAAATTGAACTTCCTATTGAATTTACAATGTATTATCAATTTCCATTATTCAGAATGTGGGCTATGGAATCAATTTCACATTTAGTTTCTAAAATTGATAAGGATATTCCAATAGGTTTTCACATTTGTTTGGGAGATATTAATAATAAGGCTTCTATTAATCTTTCAAAGGATGAGAACGTTCAGTCAATTGTCAATTTCTCAAATAATTTAGTTTACATATTCCCATATGATAGAAGTATTGAATTTATTCATTTACCACTTGCTGAGGGTGATATTGAACCAAGTGTTGATAGAAAGTTTTATGAACCACTTGGAGATCTTAATAATCAAATTCAATATCATGCTGGATTTATTCATGAAAAATCCTCAAAGGAAAATCAAAGTCTCATTTTGAAACACATTTCTGATATTTGTAAGAGCTTCAAATATCCAATTGGTGTTGCGACTAGTTGTGGACTTGGAAGGAGAAGCGAAGAAGTTTGTTGCTCAATTTTGGAAGATATGAAAAGATTGTGTTTAGAATAAAAGAGTAAATTATTACATTGCAACATCTGTTTGACATTTTATTGGAATATTTGTCTTTCATTAGAAATGTGAGATTTGCTTTCACTTCTTCTCATCTAAATACCATTCAGTTAACTGGGAATGTCTTTGAATTATTCAATAATATTTACATAAGTGTTGATTCTTAATCTCTTTCAACATTAGTTTCAACAATTTGTTCAGGTAAAATCTTTCCAGTAATTTGTAAAGTTTCTTCACCATCTTCATTCAATTTTCCAGGAACGTAATCAACAAGTATTTCAGAATTTTCCTTAACTTGACCTTCCAATAATAAAGTTGCCAATTGATTTAACAAGTGAACTTGAATAGCTCTCTTTAAAGGTCTAGCACCAAAATAAATATCATAACCAACACGTGATAGGAATTCTCTTCCACTTGGTGTTACTTGAAGGAGCATTCTTCTTTCTCTCAATTGTTTTTCAATTACATCCAATTGTAAATCAATAATCTTTCTCATACTTTCTTTACCCAATCTATTAAAGTAAATAATATTATCAATACGATTTAAAAATTCAGGTCTAAAGTAGTGTCTGAGAACTTGTGAAACATCATCTTTGGCTTGATAAGATGGAACACCTTCAGGTAAATTTGTAAATATTTCAGATCCAACATTACTTGTCATGACAACAATAGTATTCTTAAAGTTAACATGATTACCATGTGAATCTGTAATGTGACCTTCATCAAGAATTTGAAGTAAAATATTCAAAACATCCTTGTGAGCCTTCTCGATTTCATCAAATAAAACAATCTGATATGGTTTTCTTCTAATTGATTCAGTTAATTGTGGTGCATCTTCATAACCAACATAACCAGGTGGTGATCCTACTAATTTAGAGACAGAATGTGGTTCCATTAATTCGGAACAATCAATTCTGACCATAGCATTTTCATCATTGAATAGGAATTTAGCTAATTGTTTTGTAATCCATGTTTTACCCACTCCTGAGCTACCTAAGAAGCAGAATGAACCAAGTGGTCTCTTTGGATCACTGAGACCAGCTCTAGAAACTCTGATGGTATTACAAATAGCTCTGATAGCTTCTGGTTGACCAATAACTTGTTGAGCTAAGTGTTCTTCCATGTGAAGCAATTTATCCTTTTCAGAAGTCATTAAGCTTTCAAGTGGAATACCAGTCTTTCTTGAAATAATTCTTGAAATATCTTCAACTTGTACACTATCACTCATCATTTTGAATCCAACTGAAGATTGTTCAATTTCCTTCTTTAAATCTGGAATTGTCTTGTATTTCAATGCAGAAGCTGTTTGGAAATCTGATTTTCTCAAAGCTTCTTCCAATTCCTTTCCCAAATTAACTAATTTTTGTTTCAACTCTTTAGCTTTCAATAATTTTTCTCTTTCTTGATACCAAATATTTGAGAGTCTATCACTTTCACGTTGTTCTTCTTCAATTTTCTTTTCAACTTTCTTTCTTCTTTCAATACTTGCTGGATCTTGTTCATTTCTCAAAGATTCCAATTCAATACGTGAAATGATAATTGAACGATCAATTTTTTCCAATGCTTCTGGTTTTGATTCTTGCTCTAATTTAATACAGGCACATGATTCATCAATTAAATCAATTGCCTTATCAGGTAAAAATCTATCAGTAATATAACGATCTGATAAAATAGCAGCTTGAACAATGGCAGAATCTGTAATTCTAACACCATGGTGAGCTTCCAGGTTAGCCTTTCTACCTCTCAACATTGCAATTGTATCAATAACAGTTGGTTCACTCAATGTGACTTGTTCAAATCTACGTGCAAGTGCCTTATCTTTTTCAATATATAATCTATATTCATCCAAAGTTGTAGCACCAATACAATGAAGTTCTCCTCTTGCTAAATATGGTTTTAACATATTTGCCATATCAAGAGAACCTTGAGCACTACCAGCACTTACAATCATGTGAATTTCATCAATGAATAGAATAATTTCTCCCTGATGTTCCTTAACATCTCTTAGAATTGCCTGTACACGTTCTTCAAATTCACCTCTAAATTTACTACCAGAAATGATGGATGCCAAATCCAATGCTATTAATCTCTTATTCTTAATTGAATCAGGCACTTCACCTTTTACAATTCTTTGAGCTAATCCTTCCAATACAGCTGTTTTACCACAACCTTGAACACCTGTTATGATTGGATTACTCTTTGTTTGTCTTGATAGAACTTGTAATATCTTACGAATTACATCATCTCTACCAATGATTGGATACAATTTACCCTTTCTAGCTTCTTCTGTTAAATCTGTACCAAACTTTTTCAAGGCTTCTCCCTTTTCATACTGTGTCTCTTGCCATGGCATCTTTCCTCCTCCCATTCCGAATCTATTAGATTGAGATGTATGATAGGATTTAATTTGTGACACAATTGATCCGAAATGATTATTACCAAAGCTTGACACATTGCTACCACTTCTATTAATACTACTACTATTAATACCACCAATAGAATTAAATGATAAGCCAATCAGTGGTGATGGATTAAATTTGCTCAATGAATGTCCGCATTGCTTTCCAATCAATTTGTGTGTTGATTGAGTATTATTAACAAGCCTTTTAATCATTTTTTTCAAATTGAAAAATAGAATTAAGTGGAATCTTGAGCTTTTAAATTTGAGATAAAAATAGGTTCGGAATTTGTTTTTTTGCTTCCGAGAAATTCAATTGATTTGTGAAAAAGGTAAAATGTATCAACTCTGAATGAATTACAAGGCACAATCTCTGAGAGGTACCAAGGAACTGTCTTAGAGTGGCTTCTTATGCCTATCCTTCGACGCTGAATGCTTCTCTACAACTGAAACAGACAGCAACATAAGAGAGGGTGATTGACATACCTTATTGGAGTAGGTTAACTCGCAAACAATTGCGCATCAAATATTTTTAAAAAAACTTGTGGTTCCCTCATTAATTTTTAATTCTTTTTTTTAAAATTTTAATCTTTATTTTGATTCTGCTTGGAATATGTAAATGAATAAGAATATTTATTTATTATTTCAAATTGTTTGAAAACTGAGTAAATAATTTATAATATTGTAAACTCTGACTCAGGGCAAAAAAACTAGGCTCATAATTGAACCTTAGGCTCATTTTAATGGACGTCTTTAAAAAAAAATGCAAAGAGTCTCCGCTTCCATTATCCACTCACTCATCAGAAAGAATAACCTCCCAACATCATCAATCATCATGAGACAATTTTCATCATCAACTACAAATAATAATAATGCTATTTATAATGAACATCTTAAACCAATTATTGAAAAACAATTAAATGATATTAAAGAAGCCGGAACATACAAGAAGGAACGTATTATTACTTCACCACAAGCCTCTAAAATTACAACATCTCAAACTGGTACCACTGAAGTTTTGAATTTCTGTGCTAACAATTATTTGGGATTGAGTGATCATCCAGATCTTATCAAAGCAGCTAAGAAGGCATTGGATACTCATGGTTGTGGATTGAGTTCTGTCAGATTTATTTGTGGTACTCAAGATATTCACAAGGAATTAGAACAAAAGATTTCTGAATTCCACGGAACTGAAGACACAATTTTATATCCAAGTTGTTTTGATGCCAATGGTGGTTTGTTTGAATGTTTACTCACTGAAGAAGATGCTGTTATCAGTGATGCTTTGAATCATGCTTCCATTATTGATGGTATTCGTTTGTGTAAGGCTCGTCGTTACAGATATAAGCATATGGATATGGCTGAATTGGAAAAGATTTTACAAGAAACTCAAGATGCTCGTACTAGATTGATCGCCACCGATGGTGTTTTCAGTATGGATGGTGATGTTGCTCCACTTCATGAAATTGTTGCTCTCGCTGAAAAGTACAAGGCAATTATTTTCATTGATGAATGTCACGCTACTGGATTGTAAGTATTTTTATTGAGATTGAAAATTTCACACACAATTTTGTTAAGCTTTGGTAAGACTGGTCGTGGTACTCCAGAACATTTTGGACTTGAAGGAAAGATTGATATTATTAACTCAACTTTGGGTAAAGCTTTGGGTGGTGCAACTGGTGGTTACACTACTGGTAAGAAGGAAGTTATTGATCTTTTGAGACAACGTGCTCGTCCATACCTCTTCTCTAACTCTTTGGCTCCAGCTGTTGTTGGTGCTTCATTGAAGGTCTTTGAAATGATTTCAAAGGATACTACTTTGAGAGATAGACTTATGGATAATACTAAGCTTTTCAGAGAAGGCATGAAGAAGGCTGGTTTTGAAATTCTTGGTGATGATTCTTGTCCAATCTGTCCTGTCATGTTGAGAGATGCTCGTTTGGCAAGTGAATTCGCTGATGAAATGCTCAAGAGAGGAATTTACGTTATTGGTTTCTCATTCCCAGTTGTTCCAAGAGATATGGCTCGTATCAGAGTTCAATTATCTGCTGGACATACCACAGAACAAGTTCAAAGAGCTATTGATGCTTTCATTGAAGTTGGTATTCAAAAGGGAGTCATTAAAAAGTCAAGTCTCTAAATGTTTTTTATTTAAATAATGTATTTCTTGTTATCGTCATGTTTACGATAAAGAATGATTGGAATATTCTCTGTAATTTGATATCCGTCAGCAAAAATTACAATAATGTTAATTTCGAATTGAATTCTGAAATTAGCACCAATTAAAGTAGGACATGTGAATAATCTTGGGAAAATCATGTAGATTGGAATCTTCAACCCTTTACAAACATTTCCTTCTCCCATTTGAATATTTTGAATTTCTGTTGCTTCCTTTATCATGTTTCCTCCTTCAACACTGCAACTTTCAACTCTGACTAATTGAACTTCGAGAGATTTAATTCTGGAAGATGATTTTACAATTTCAATTTCTCCATCCAATGGGTCAGTAATATCACAAATAGTATCAGAAACAAATCCTCTAATTTCATATTCTGGAATACCAGTTACATTTTGACGTATAACATTTTGTAATGTTTGAGGAGTGAGAAGAAATTGCTTAATTTGTTTAGGAATTACAATATTTGTTTCTTCTGGAAGAGCTTCAATTTGTTGTGAATCATTTGATGTTAATAATGATAAATTTCTAGCAATTGCAACACCTTGTCCTCTATTATAAACTGTAAAGTCAACAGATGTGTTTTGATCCTTACTGAAAAGACCCATCTTGACTTCACATGAAATCTTATAACGGCATGATAAATAGACACCAGCATAAGTTTCATAGAGTGGTATTTTCTTATTTAAAGGTTGTAAAACAAATTCAAAAGGAATATCAGTGTTTCCACTTGGGAATTTAGTACCTCCTTTATCCAATTGTATTTGTAAATCAATTAATTTAATTGGTTTAAATGAATTCATCACAACATCAAATATATTCACATTACTAGTTCCGCTATATTGAAATGATACTGTTCCTTCTACCTTTAAATTAATTGCCGATGATTTAAATCCACCTTGTTTGGCATTAATTTTTACAACTCCTCTAACTTTTTCACCTGAGAAATAGGTACGATCAGCCTTTTTTAATTGAATTTCCACGCTTTGCATAATGTCTTGTTGATGAAGAAGATTTACAAAGAGAGAAGAAGGCTTTTGAATATTTTTTTAAAGATTTTTCATCATCTCCGAAAAGTTAAATTATCATCCATCTCCTATTGCTTTATGTAATTACAAATATGAGTTATGCTGATGATCAAAAAGACAAATGAGTATAATTGTAAAATTGAATAATTTAATCTTCCTTTAATTTCTTGAGTGGAGGTTCTAAATTAGAAGAATTATTTTCATCAGCAACTCCCATCAAATCATACTTGATGTAATTCTGATTATCGGCCTTCTTTGTTGTAATCTTCTTATTTAAATCCTTTGCATAGTAACTCTGTATCAAACAATATTGATGAATATAATAGTAGAGTAAATTTTCCAAAGGTACATCACTTGGAGTGGATTGTTTTGTTTCTTCATCTCCATATTCATTTAAGGCTTGAAGATATTCTCTGTAAAAGTAAAAGATAGCTTCAATGGTCGACAGGAACTTTTGTCCTTCTCTTTGATATCTCCAAAAGAGTGTTTCCTTTTCTTCAATAATGACACATGGCAAACTCTTAACAAATTCATTACGATAGATTTGTTTCGCTTGTGGCCAAGTAGAATCAATGAATACAGCATATTTCAATGTTGAAACATTAATTGTTGGTGCTGTTTCCGATGAGGTTGATGATGAAGATGTTGTTGTTGTATTGTTATCATCGGTAGGCTTTTTAAATAATTGAGAAACCAATCTAGCAGTCTTTGAAGGATAGACAAGAACACAATTTTGTGGTGTAAGGAATGATGGAATATCTGGGAATTCATATAAATCAGCACTTGAATGAGCAACTACTTTAGCATGAATGGCTGTTGATTTACCCTTTCTTTCTTGTTTGTGTTGGATAATGACACAGTGGAGTGGTAATTTAGAGATGGTTGGTGGATTTTCAATCATTGGTGTACAACAATCATAACAAAAGTACTTTCTATTCTTTGTACAGTGTGGGCATGGTGTTTTAGGTTTGTCATCATACTTGGCAATGTGTGAGAGTGTTGGATTTGTAAATGGGCTAATTTTAAAGTGAGAATAAACCATTCCTAAGAGTGGTGAATTGTCAATATTCTCACGATTCACTTGAATATTTTCATCCGATGATGAAACAGTGTTGTTGGTATTTGATGAAGAATTTTCTTCTTGTTGGTTGTGGAGCATTTTTTTGTTGTGGTGCAATTTCAATAGTTCTGTTGATTGAGGAATGGTTGAAATTGCATTCAAAATGGATAATAAACATGATAAACAAAGTTTAATGGCTAACAAAGCACAAAGGAATCCTCACAAATGAGTTTTTTCCTCAAAATAAGCCTTGAGTTGACTTCAATTGAGTGGAGATGAATTGTCATGAATTGCGTTAGAGATGATCATCTCCTCAATAAATTGCGCCATAAACTCTTACACTTTTTCAAAAAAAAGCAAACTCCTTCATCAAACTTATTTCGGATTCTTTTTATTCCTTATCACTGGATATCATCTAATCACTGTAATTTATTATTATGATATTGAGAAACAAACTTATCAATGATTCACGCAAGTAATCCGGTGAGGAATAGATTTAATTCTCAGTCATCAAACGCCACCTCATTAAGATCATCAGCCTTGAAAGTGTCTTCAATTTCATCTCCAAGAAGTAATCAACCCCTTTCCCCAACTAATATCACCTCCCCTACAAGTATAAATTCAAAGTTTTCCCATAGATACAATTTTGCGAATCAATCCCAACAACAATTTTCAACAGCCACACCAACACAATCAACAACGATAAAATCTTCTCTTAATAAGACACATGAAACACCCTCTGCTTATTCAATCCTCTCTAATGGAGGAATTAAAAGAAGACCAACAAGCTCTCTTGTTTCAAAAAGAAATAATGATACCTTTGGAAATTACTACACCTTTACTGAAGATAAATCTCCCAAATATTCAACCATGAAACAAGATATGAATAGAAGTCTTGACATGAGTTTTGAATACAGTAAAGAGAGATCAAAATCCCAACCAAGATCGATCCGAAAAATTCTCCCTCCGTTAAATCAGCCTAAACAAGAGGAAAAACCAAAAATACCTGTTCTAAGGCCAACTTCGAAACTTGAAAAAGCATCCTCCATCAAGAATGTTGTTAGTAATTTTTTCAAATCCAAACAAAAAATCAATTCCTCGACATCAGATATAGAGTCACATTTAACTTATTTTGATACAGGAGGACTTAATTCTACGACACCAGAATCCCTTCTTTCCCTCTCAAAGAGTGATATTGAATACGATAGTGGATCAAGCGAAGAGGAAGAGAGACCAACAACAAGTTATTTACTTGGATACGGAAAAAATAGAGGACTGAAAAATATTGGAAACACTTGTTTCATGAACTCAACCTTACAATGTCTGTGCTCAATTCAGCCAATAAGAGATTATTTTTTATCTCAATTCAAAATTAATCCAAAGAAGGAAGGTAATTTGGCTACACAGTTTTCTGCCCTTCTTCGTTCTCTAACCTCAGTAGATGATCTTTACACCCCTGTCAATCCAATTGATTTCAAAAGAACTCTTAATCAATACACTTCCCTTTTCAGAGGAAATGATCAACAAGACTCTCAAGAGTTTTTAAGATATGTACTAGATGGATTGAGTGAAGATACAAACAGAATTGTTGAAAAACCAAAATATGAAGAGCTTGAAGATATAGCAAACGAGAACATTATTGACCAGTCTAACAGATGGTTTCGAAATTACATTGAGAGAAGCAGTAGTTTTGTTACTGATTTATTTCTTGGACAACTCAAATCTGAAATTAAGTGTTTGGTGTGTGGAAGGCAATCAGTAACGTTTGATCCATTCCTTGATATTTGCCTTCCCATCAATTTGAAAAGAGGGAGAAAGTCCTATATTTCATATGACAGAGATGTTTCATTGGAGGAGTGTTTGTTAAAGTTTACGGAAGAAGAGTGTTTGGGCGGAATTGAACAAGTTTACTGTAGTTCGTGTAAAAAACATCAGGACACTTCCAAAGTATTGTCTTTCTTTAGAGTTCCTGAAGTCTTAGTAATACAATTGAAACGATTTTCCAATGACCAAAAGTTGTTGGATCAAGTTAATCTTTGTGAATTATTAGAATTCAATAATTACGTAGCACCAGAAGCTGCCGATAAGATTTACAACAATCAACCAATAACATATCAACTAATGGGAGTGATTAAACATTTTGGAAGTTTACGAGGAGGGCACTACATTTGCCAAGTGAGGAATGCAGAAGGACAATGGATAGAATATAACGATAGTGCTGTAAAGAATGTACACTACTTTAACACAAATGATAGTTCAGCATATGTTCTGTTTTATGGAAGAATAAAAGTTTCGTAAAATATATTGCAATTGGTAGTACCATTGTAAGATAAAATACACCATACCTGTTATGTTGTGTTGAAGTTAAATGATAGTTGGAACATTGATAGTATGATTCTCTTTAAGAATATTCTTTCTCAACTCTCACATTTCATTTTGACCAATCAAATTAACGCTTGTGTAAAGTTTACAAAAACCGTTGTGCTTTAAAGCTTTACCGCCAAATTGAAATCGAGCCGTTTTGTTTAATAATCCACATAAATTCTATGATGGATCCACTCACATTTCAACTCAACAAAAAAAACTAGTAAAACAATGCCAGCTGCTAAGAAAGATACCAAGAAAACCGCTGCCAAGGGTGAAGTCAACGAAGACCACTGGACTAAGAGAAGAAGTACTGAAGTCGATAAGACAAAGAGATCAGCTGTTGAAGGATCCAAGATTGATGCTGCTAACATTATTGCTACTCCAAGAAAGAGAAAGAATATTGACTACAAGACCGTTGCTCAATCTGGTGATGTAAAGACTGTAAAGAGAGCCACAGCAAACACTTATGAAAAGAGAGCTGCTGCTAAGAAGATTGAAAAGCCAAAGAAGACTAAAAAGACCACCACCACAAAGAAGACTAAAAAGGACGAAAAGAAGGAAGAAAAGAAGGACGAAGAAAAGAAAGAAGAGGAAAAGAAAGAGTAAATTAGCAATCAACTCAAATAACTTCCAAACTAAACCGAAAGGCATACTAGTCATGGAGACTAGTGTTCTTCTCACCTAAATGTACAATTCCTAGGCACCAAAAATCACAATTAAATTATTTATTATTTAAATTTATCTCCTCTTATTGTCTTCTTCATCTTCTGCATTCTCATCCTCTTCAATTTCCTCTACCGACTCATTGTCTTCATATTTCGATGATTCATCTTCAAATTCAATATCATCTTCATCCTCTTCAGTGGCTCTAGCAACATAGGACCAATCACGTGTAGAGAATTTGACTCTGTCACCATTTGCAATAAATCCAGGCACTTTGATAGAAATACCATTATCCAAGAGTGCATTCTTTGTGACTGGAGAATGTCTATCATTTGGTACACCACTTATTGGATCTTCTGTTTCCTCAACAGTTGAAACAAGGGCTGTTGGGAACATGACCTTAACAGCAAGATTGGTTTCTTCATCAATTCCGATAACCATCTTTTTGAGAAAACCTCCTTGCATGATTTGTGTCATTTCAGGAGTAAGAAGTGTCTTTGAGGCAACATATTCAGTACCATCCTTCATATCTTCAAAAACAAATCCCTTATTATTTTCCGATGAATAAACTACATCCTTTGTTGTATATTCACATAAATCCACTGATTCACCTCCTCTATACTTTTTACTAATCTTTTTTCCATATAACATATCAACAGTTTCAACTGTAACAATAGCATTACAACGTCCTCTCTTTGAAAAAACATATCTTTCAATTTGAAGATATTTATTTGGTCCATCTTTAATAATGTCTCCTCTTGAAATTTTGTTGATATCAGTTTTAACATTTCTTTGATTCAAAATTAATCCACTTCCGAAAATGAATTGATTAGAGTGAGTTGAAGTTAACTTCTTGCCAAAACGTAACATCATATTGTTCATCATTTTTTTTCAAACTCAACAATTCAATTTGATTGAAATTAATTTTTAACTTATTTGATGAAATTAAAATAAGTATGGATGATGAATAATAATACAATCAGGCTATGTTTATTTTCTGTACTTGTCCAAACCAGAATAAGAGAACCATTCTGGAGCCATTTGACTCAACAAATCAACATATTGTTGCATAGCATCTTCCTTTGACAAACCCTTGACCTTGTTCCAGGCATCCCATTTGGCTCTAGCAACAAAGTTGATAGCGTATGGTTGAGATCCCTTAACATCACCTTCAGTAACTTGCTTGTAGAAAGCATAGAAGAGAAGACGATCATCATCAGTCAATTCCTTGTTAGAATCCTAGAAAATATTCAATTATTATTTTGATATTATTAATTGCAAATAGATATCGATGATGATCACTACTATTAATTCATTAAAAATCATAACATACCTTGTATTGATCCTTGGCCATTCCGTCTTGGACGTACTTGACGGCGAGTTCAAACTTGCTTGCGAGATCAGACATTTTTTAAAGATTTTTATTTATTAGAATTGAAAATTTGATTGTCAGAGAACAATTATGGAAAATGCATTTTCATATGGATAGCAAAGAGATAATTTATTATTCCTTTCTGTTTCGTTTAATTGAAAGAATCAGAAACTCTTTTAACAATATCATTGAAGAAAAGTTGATAATTGTTAATACCCCAAACGAGATCGATATGACCAAAATCACTAAAGAACATTACATTCTTGAGACGTTCTTTTGGAAGTTTGCTCAATAATTTCTTAACATCATTGTAATCTGCCAAAATATCCAAACCTCCATGATAAATTGCAATATCAACATGTAAATTTGACAATTCAATTTGTGGAGCAGATACTTGATGATAATGATCATAATTACCAAAATGATAATCAAACATTTGGAATTTCTTAGATCTAACTAATTGGGCCCAATGTCCAGCATTCATTGTTGAGGTTCCTGCAGGTAAACGATCCATATATAAAGGTAAACGAGAGGAGTTTGCCTTATTTTCCAAACCATCACAACCACTCATTATACAGTAAACGTTCATGCAGACAGCTTTTTGAAGAATTGAATTTGAACAAATTCCAGGAATCCACTTTTCTAATTGTTGAGTGGTTGGTAAAAAATCACCAACACCAAGGAATTCTAAAATTTCATCAACATGAAGTTTTGCAAGAGCTTCCATCATTGGACTATTAACATGTTCCAAATAAGTTACTGGAGCAATAGCAATAAAAATGGAAATTTTGTTTGTGAAATCCTTTGGACATGCTGGATATTTAGTATTTGAATCAGCATTACTAGAAAAACATTCAAATCCCATAGTTGTACCTTGAGAGTGACCAACATAGGCTAATTTTGGTTGGCCACTGACTTTAAGTGCATAATCAACCATTGCAGTAAGATCATAAATTGCCATTTCTTCATTTAGAATTGAAATTTCTTGTTACAATTTTTGTAATAAATATTCAAACTTACCATCCCATGAAAAATTCCAGAATTGTTTATCATGTTTAGAGTGGTAAATATTTCTATTGGAATATTCATTTCCTCTAGCATTACCCAACCAAACATCTATTGTCCACGGAATTTTTTGAAATTGTCCGAATATGGAAATTTAAGAGACAATAATTTAAAATTATTAACAAATTATTAGAAAAAAACAAATACAAACCAAATCCTGCATCAGCTAAAATATATCCCAATGATTGATATGGTAAATTATTAACCCAAGTAGCAGAACAATCCAAAAAACCATGTTGAAGGAAAACTACCTTCTTTTTATCTTTTGGAATTTGTCTACTTAAACTTGAACGTCCATATGGAATTCTCTGACTATCAATTGTTTATGAAATTATAAATAATTGTAAATGTTGGATAACGATCATGAACAAATTGGTCAGTATGAAAATTAATGATGATGACGATATGGATGATGAATAAATATTAAATGATGAAAAAAAATCCTGATTACCTACACGGAGAGAATAAAACCATCTGTTGTGGTTACATAATGTTGTTCAACTGGATAACCCCAATATTGAATCAATTGGGTAACATTTGATTTTGGATCTTGAGCATTTACGAATGAGGAAGATGAATTTAACATGATCATGCTAATGCCAACAATCAACAAGATGATTGTGGCGGAAGATATTGAACGGCTCATATTGAAACGTTTTTTTTGACTGTGATGTTCTGATTGATTCAGGGCTCAGAGACACATTTCAATAAAAGAACTACTCCTGCGGGAGGGGCTATTGCTCCATGAAAAGTTTCAATTATTAAATGCCCACTTACAAAAAAGGGATAGCAAAAATGCATATTAAATGAATTGGATAGTTTACAAAACGTTATTAAATACTAAGTAGTTTTTTCATTTAAAAAAAGTTTTTTTAATAATTTAAAAAAATGAAGGCTTTGAGTGATAAAAAATCTACAACAAGCCCAACTGTCGGAAATGCACCTGGAGGAGTTTTACTTGTTCAACCACCATCGTTTTCTTTGGATGATAATTTAATGGATGATGATTCTAATGATAATTTATCAAATAATAATTTAATTTCTTCTTTAAGATCTCAAAGATTGAGCGATACTTATTCACTTCGGACTCAATTAGTACAACAAACAAAACCAACCATTACAAGAGTATATCAAACAGTTATTTCAAATTTATTTATTGATCCATTGGTTGCTTTTTTATTTCCCAGATTAAGAGATAATCAATTACAAAATATTCCAATAATGAATTTCTTTTTCAGACCAACAACTCAAGTACAATTACTATGTTCTTGGGTTTGTGAAGATGGTCATATTTGTAAATTACCTCTTGGTCATCCTCATAAACATGAATGTATATTTGGACATGTTGAAGGTGAACCAATTTTGAAATGTGGACATTTGTGTGATTGTAGATTTTGTGAGGCACCGTGTGTATTAAAACCAGGTCACTCTGGTACACATGCTTGTCACTTTAATCATCCACTGCGAGATATTCCAACTAATAGAAGAGAACAAGAATCTTTTAGAGATGAAAAAGCTATTGGAGGCTATATGAGTGAATTGGCTTTCATTTCAAGTGAAGATATGAAATATTCACATATTCCAACAACTTTGAATGATGAAGATGAAAATTGGTGGATTACCAAATAATTTATTCCTCTATATTTAAATAATTAATACTACCATTCAAAGTAATGTAGAAAAGTTGATGATTAGAAATTGGAATAACTTTGAGAGCAAGTTCTTTTGTATCAAATGATTTTTCTTTGGAAAGTGAAATAGTATGTGTTGATGTATTGATGTTATTAATTCTCCAAATAATTAATTGGTGGCTTCTATCAATTGTTGCTAATCGTTTGGAGTTGATAAATCTGCATGTAGATGAATTCAATGCATCTAATCTCAAGCTAACATTACTCAAATAATAAAATTTACCCTCTTGAATAATGTAGAAAAGTAGTCCATCAAATCTATCTGTAATACATATCAAATTATCACAAATATCAATACTATTAACAAAATGTCTTACACTAGCTTGGTCAACTAATTTCATTTCTTTTTGATCAAAATAAAATAATCCAAGTCTTTCACCGTAACCAACAAGCAAATATTGACTGTTATACTGTTTGATAGAATAAACCATGTAAGGAAGTTCGCATGATCCAACATGTTCACATTTGTAGGAATCAGATACTTTTCCTAGTTTCAGTACGTGCAGTAATCCATGAGATAAACTAGTTGGGTCCTTATTCATGATAATATTATTGTGATGGCGAGTGTATTTTGTACCAACAATGACAAAATTACTATCATGTGAATCGTCATTCTTTACCTTAAATGAAGTAATTGAGTAGATTTTTTCTGAAGGAGGGAATGTGTAGAGTGTTAATGTCTCCTTGCTATCGTCAATATATCTCAAACTACTATAATTGTTGCATACATAAATTATGGAATTATCCTCTTCGTTTACATGAACTCTTTGACAATCTTCATTGGAATAAATTTCTTTAATCATTGGTTGGAAATTGGTAGTTTCAATACTGATCACCTTAATCTTACTATCACTAGAAAGACACAACAGGGAGTTTTCATAACCTGTAACATTAAAGTTTTGAACTGAAAGGATGTGATCGTTGACTAATAAATTAGAAATGTTGAGATTCATAGAAGAATCTACAGAAATATAATAGCAGTTGTTAGAAACAGCAATAATTATATCATCAAATGTTTCTCTAAGCTGTACAGGTACATCGCCCAATTTGAACTTTTTAATGAGTTGATCAATATCGTAAACCAATAAGTGACCATCTCGTAACCCCAGAAGTAAAAGTGAGCCAGTATAGAAAATGGATTCCACAATATTTGTTTCAATTTGCTGACTGTTAATATCAATAGTTTTAGAAATTGTATTTCCTGAAATGAAATAAATAATGCCAGAGTAGGTGCTGGCAATTAAATGATTACCATCAGTTGCTCTCATTGAAGATATGTCTCTATCTAAGGTAATGGAAAATGATTCAGTTATTTGTCCTTCTTGACTGACCTCAAATTTAGTAATCTTATTTTCATAGCTTACATAAATATTATTAGCCTTACTAGTAATAACTGTGCTATTAATTTTAATGGAAGAAAGCAATGTACTTAATTGTAAATCCATTAATCTCATTTCAGTGGCTGTTACTTGTAAAATAAACGAATTAAGAATTTGATTACAGTAAAATGTGGCCTGACTTGATTCGAATACATTGTTATTGCATTCATCAATGGAGTCTTCAGAAATTCTAAGTACCTTACTTTGATTTACAAAACTCAAAATGATAAAATCTGTTGTTGGAGTGAAAACATTATCTATTCCATCATAAGATTCGTCTGTTAGAGAAGTAACTCTACATGACATTCCTTTCTTAACACTACAGAGGCGTTTTGGAGTAGCAATAATAAAATCATCTCCCTTCTTATCAAAATCTATGACATATGAAATATTTGGCAGTAGGGATCGAGGTTGAAGATCAGTCATTGATTCTTCTAACGGTATGTAAATCAAATCACTAACAGAAGAATAACCAATAAGGAAATTAGCTTCTTGACTTGATTTGCAAATCTTGTCAACACCAAGTTTAGAATAGAGCATATTTGCTTGATTTCCATCAATCGAATAAATATCACCATGTTCAGTGCATAAATAACCTTTTTGCAAAAGATGATAGTCAGAAATATATTGATCAGTTTCAATCTTAAGTAATTGGTCTAATGTTTCAATATCAATAATCCTAGAATCAGCAGTAATTGCAATAATTTTAGATTCGCTTGTATGTAAAGATATAATATCAAATGGTGATTTAATTTTCTCAGATTCAATCAAACTATATTCCTCATTAAATTTCATTTTGTAAACTAGTGTACTATTGATACACAAATAAAAGTAACTACCAAGAACACAACTGTCAAAATGAACTCCATTATATTGATAAGTAAATATTTTGCCATTTGATAAATTGATAAATTGTATCTCATTCTCAATATAGCACACAACTATTGCATCATTATATCTCAACAATTTAACAGGAAAATTGGTAGTATTAGTATTTAATTGGTTCCATGACGAAAATGTGAAAATATTTGCATCTTGATGATATGATAGTGTTGTGAGTAAGAGTGATCCATCGGAACACAATACGTAAATATTATAGTTATCAAATATAAAATCAATAATTTGTAAATCACTTTTAATTGAGCAAGCCTTTGTCAAGTGATTATCCTCCTCATGTAATAAATAAATATCAATCCACCTTTCTCTTGCAACAATCAAATAATTATCACCATCCAATTCAAATAAATGTACTTTAACATTACTATTGGATTCCACTTGTGTTTGAAGAGTAAATTTTTCGGAACAAGTCGTTGCATCCTTCATTTCAACAGAGGCAAAGGATGTTGCATGGAGAAAAGACATTTTTTTGTAAGAGGAATTTGTATCAACTTGCATTTGGTTAAGCTGCTATTGTTCTTCAACATTTTCTGTTGAAACCAAAGAGACAAGTCATTATTCAATGTCAAGAATCAAACTTCATCACAATATTACAATCAATACATCCAGTTGCAAGATCGATCTTGTTATTTAAAATAGAAGAAAAAAATGGCTAGCTTGAAGGAACTTGGTAAGTGGTTGTTGCAAATTTTGTATTGGATCCGAACGGCTTGTTTTTAAATTATTTATAATTAATATTATTATTCATTATTGTGTATAGAGGATAAACTCTTTGGTGAAATTCCAAATATTACCGTATCATCAATTTTGGATACATTAAATGATGAAAAGAAGAAGAAAATTAACGATTTTAGAGAGAGAATTAATACCAAATGGAATGAAAATGAACTTTTGCACGATCACGATAAGAAGGAAAATACATTCGGTGCTGAATATTTCCTCTCTGACTTGACACTTTATAGATTCTTATCGGGATATAATTGGAATGTTGATGAAGCAGAACCTGTTTTAAAGGGAGCTTGTGAATGGAGAAAGAAGTATCAACCTTGGAATATTGATATTAGTGATGTGAAGCAATTTGCATCACAAGGAAGTCTTTTCCATAGTGGTTTTGATAAGGTTGGACACCCAGTTATCTATGTCAGACTCGGAAATGATAAGGTTAGTACATAATTGAAATTTAGTTTAATAATAATAATTTGAATAATTTAATAGATGGACAATGAAAAGGAAGAAAGCAAACAAATGAAATTCAGATTCTTTGTTTGGTTGTATGAACTTTGCAGTAGAAGAATGCCACAAAATGTTTATCAAACTACTTGGATTGTTGATCTTACTGATTCATCATTGAGTGCTAATATGATCAAATCAACCAAGGATATGTTTATTGAACTTGTAAGTATTTTTTAAATTATTGGAAAATACTCAAACACTCTTAAAAGGGTACTTATTATGTTGAAAGATTGGCTGCTATTGTTGTTATTAACACTCCATGGTCTCTCAAGTTTTTGTGGGGTATTGTTAAAATGTTCTTAACTCAACAAACAATTGACAAGTACAATATTCAAGGTACATTGAAAGAAAAGGATCTTAATGCTTTGTTAACTCCAAAGATTGATAATTCTGTTCTCATTTCTGACTATTCAGGAGCTTACAAATATACTTTTGATTTTGAAGCACTTTCTCAATATGATAAATTGAGATTAAACAAATAATTTACACAAAAAGCTAACAAGTGCACAATAACGAATGGATCTATAAGATCAAATAAATCATCAACGTCACCAATCAGTAAAAAAAAATGTCTAAATTATCTGATGATTGTTTAAAGTCATCACCAACACTAATTGCACTTCGTGATTGGATAAACGAAACAAACAAATCAGAAGAAGTGTCTATTAACTTGGAATCTCCTACTCCAATCTCTACATTTTTCTCTTCATTCAAAGATGGTGTTGCTCTTTGTAAATTAATCACAAAATTGAAAGGACGTTTCGTAATGTTCAACAAGAATCCGAGAGGAATGGAATTTATGGAACAAGAAAATTGTGAAACCTTCCTAAAGGAAATTGTAAGTTTTCAAGATAACAATTATGTTAGTTAATAATAATTAAAATACAAAAAGAAATTATTATTGACAAACAACAGTGAACTATCAACATTTAATTCAAAGGATTTCCACAAATTATGTGCTACCTTTGATGAAAAATCACCAATTATTGCTGGAATTTTGAGAGGTCTAGTTGACTTGTCTGATTATGCATCCCAAAAACAATACAAAGGTCCACTCTTGACTATTAATCCAGATTCAGTAACATTTGGGAAAACATTTAGTATCAGTTCTATTAAATCAAATGAAAAAGTTGAAACACCAGTTGCTTCATCATCAAAAGCTACCTCACCAGTTTCTTCTATTAACAAATCACCAGTTGAGGAAAAAACAGAACAAACTACCCCATCATCTAAAATGGAAATTGATAAGGAATTGAAACAATATAAACAAGAACAACTCGATTTAATTAAACAACAAGTTGAAAAGTTTAAATTAATAGAAGAGGATAAAATTAAAAGAGAACTCAAACAAATGAGACAACAAATGGTTTTAGATCTTCAAAAAGAACAACGTGAAATGGAGAGGGATATGAAAAAGTCAATGGAAAATCAAGTTAAACCACAACCTGTCTCTAAAACAGTTGTTACCAGAGAGAAACGTATTAGTATTGAGTTGTCAAAAGATGATGATTTTAAGAGTTCATTAAAATCAACAAGTCATTCACATGATTCTGCTGATCATGAAACTATTATCATGTTAAAGAAGAAGATTGATGATTTGAATGAAAAGTTAATTGGAACTGAAGTTAAATATGAAAAATTATTGGAAGATATGAGAGACCAATTGACAAGAAAAAAGAAAGAAGTTGAAAGATTGGAAGAAGAAAACATGTTACTTGCCAAACGTTTAAAGAAACTTAAATCTCAAAAACTCACTGATGGTTTGGAAGAATTGGATAAGGAAGATGTTTCATCAAAGAGTATTAAATCTCTTCACACTCTACTTGCTACGACAAATATTGAAGAGGACGATTGTGATGCTCCTCCAACTTTTAAATCCTCAACAAATTCTCAAACACAATCCAACACACAACAACAACAGCCTGCCATAAAGACAAGAGAGGCACTTCCATCTGTTAGATTCATCTCACCTCCACTCAAGATTAAATCACCAGAAAATGATGAATTAATCGATGATGAAGCCATTCAAGTGGATGATCCAAGTCTATTGGAAATGTCTGATGACGATGAGGAAGAAGATGACTTTAGTAATATCAAATTTGAAACTCCAGTTCTCAGAAAGACTGCTGTCCCAAATGCTGAACCAATTCATCGTTCCTTCGATGATGAAGAAGAACTCTTTGAAAGTTCGTATGCAGACTTGAAATCCTCCTCAAAGAAGAGTAACAACAAATCTAAGAAATCAGTTTTTAGTTCTGCAGTCGTAGAAGATTATTAAATTATTATTTCACTCTTAATATATTCTTGTTGTTGTTAGTGAAAAATAGAGTTTCAAGTCGATTCGAATGATATACTTCGCAGCAACCCTTTCAAATGCCTTTGAATGAGTTCATAGGGTACTTCATAAATAATTGGCGCCAATGTTGAATAGCATTTTGCTTCATAGGTTGACTACATTTTTGGCGCAAAATTAAGGCGCAAAATTGCCAAAGGACAAGAAGCAAAGCCAAAAAAAAGACTCGCTCTCTGTCTCACTCTTTTGCAATACTGGAGAGTTTCAATGCCAAAACAAAGAGAACTTAATCTTTCCAGTCCAAAACATTCCTTCTCTCCCTCCTCTAATGTTGCTGATACTATAAATTACGTTCCGATCAATCCTTTTCTTTCCGATAATCATGAAAATTTTCCTCCACTTGATGAAGAACTTTTATATGATGACGATTTTGAAGATGAACCAGAAGAAATATTTCATAATACATCCAATGTTAGTCTAAATTTGAGTATTGATACACTTGCAAAAATTAAACCAGTGGACATTTCAAATATTTCAGATTTTTTGAAAGAGAAGCAACAAGAAGAATTCTTTGAAGTATGTTTTGAAAGAATTTTTGTAATTTTAATCATTTATAATAAGGAATCCCAAAGAAGCACAATTGAAAGGGAGGATAGTGAATATTTTAAGCAAAGAAAGGAGGATTTGTCACCACAATCAAAAAAGGGAAAGGCTGTAGTATTATATAGTTCATTTATGGATGAAAATAATAAGCAATTACAGGAACAAAATGAAAATCTTTCATTTACTCCAAGGAAGAATAATAATTATATGGATGATGAGGAAGAATTTAGTTTTAGTTCTCCACCTCAATTTATGTCACCAATTATTGGGGAAAATAGACGTGAAGACTTTTTCTTCTCTCCAAGCAAGTCAAGCCCTAGGACTGGAGAAATTGATATATCATTCCTTTCCCCAATAAGAAGCACTGGAAATTCAAATGCACCATCGAGTCCACTTCTTACTCCTGAACATAAGATTTTGAAATCAATAAGGTAGGTTTTTTAATATAATTCAAGAAATAATAGCTCGCTCAAAATAGTACTGTGAAAACAAAGGATGGAGAATTTACTAAAAAGAGGATTTCAGTTGCTAAAAAATTGGACTTTCTTCAAAACGAATCTCCAACTATGGATGATGAAACCTTTGGAAATAGCTCGCTACCAATAACCAAGATTATTCCTGATCTTTCTAATCCAAATCAGCACTCAAGTATGATAATTAGTGGTACCAACAAATTTGAGATAAAAGAAAAAAACGAGAAGGAAATCATTAATACTCCAAAGAAAGTATCCTTCCATATTGTACAAACAACCCAAACAACCCCTGAAGATTTGGAAATTTCTTCATCAACAAACACATCACTTACATCAACACCAACACCAATCAGAGATTTTTCAATCCAATCTATTGAAACAAGATCTGTTGGTATTCAAACAATTGTGGACAATTCCAAATTTTCTCAAACATCACCTCTGCATTGTCCAAATTGCAATCACAAATTTACACTTGAGCACACGGATTCTACAATGCTTTTATTTCCTGAAAATGATTCTTCCTTAAGTAGTTCCACAAGTACAACTACAACACCTTACAGAAGTTCTAGAAATATAAATAACACATCTACTACCCTATATTCAACTCCTCAATCATCTAGATCTTACTCTCACCATACATCTCAATTCTCTTCATATAATACACCATCTAGGTATTCTTTCCCAACACTAGTTTCATCTAGAATTTACACGAGCTACCATCAAGAAACACATTTAATTTCCGAACATAGAAAACCACTCTCTCCCTTAAATTATGCACTAGTAAAACAGAGATATAAGACTCAGATGAGATATCTCGATAAGCATACAAGGAACTCGTTTCACTTGTCATAAGCTTCAATATCAATTAAAATTCTATTTACAAATTTTTCCAACAGGTCTACTGTTCTCTTGTCATGATAAAATCTAGGAATAATCTTAGTGTTATTTCTGTCCCTGTGAAACATTACAATAGTAGGAAAATTTAATACCCCTCTATTTAAAATACTTCGTGTAAATATAAAACTTTCTCGACCACTAACGTGATATTGTCCAAATCTTAGCTTTCCAGCCAATGTATTATTTGACTTTACATTCATGATTAGATCCTTCCAAACTGGAACTAAATGTTGGCAGTAAACACTATTAGATGTGTAAAATTGAATAATAATAGCAAGGTATTGTTTTGTTTCTAGGTCCTTTGTTATGTTTTGCCAATCATTTGGATTGATATTCATAGTCATGAATGTGGTTAGTGTGTTGTTATTGGTTTCGGAAGTGTTGATATTTGTGATTGTTGTATTTTCAATAGAAAATAATCTATAGTCTTCCTCTAAATCCATAACCCATCCTTCCTGTTTGTTATAATTATTTTCAATATATTGATTATGAATTAAATATGCAAGAGTAACCAGCAAGATGATCGAAAAATATTTCCAGGCTAAGTTAAATCCCATTTTTTACTTGTTCAGAATAATTGTTAAAATATTATTTTACAAAAAGTTTCTAAAAATTTATTTACATTCTCTCAGCAGTTGAAATACCCAACAATCCAAGACCATGTTTGAGAACCTTTGCGAAGCCAGCAACTAATCTCAATCTGGTTTGTTTGAGTTCTGGGGTAGCAGCATCTCTGATACTGACAGCTTCATACATCTTACTGTACTGCTTACAGAGATTGTAGAGGAAGATACAAAGCAATTGTGGCTTGTATTGTTCAGCAGCTCTTTCAACAACAATTGAATATTGGAGAATTGTTGACAAAAGCTTTCTTTCAGTTTCATCAGTTAATAATGAGTAGTCAATAGTGACACTGCTATCCAAACCAATCTTGTTAACAACGGAAACAGCTCTAGCATAAGCATACATCAGATATGGACCAGTGTTACCAGACTTTGAAGCCCATTCTTTGAGAACAAAGGTAATATCCTTATTGTTATCTTGGTTAAGCATACCATATTTGATGGCACTGATGGCAATCTTTCTGGTAGTTTCTTCAATTTCTTCCTTTGGCCATTCACCTTCATACTTGGACATAAAGTTGTCAGTAATATTTTGGGTGAGTGACTTTTGAAGAGTACTGAAATAGATAATGTTACCCTTTCTGCTACTCATTTTACCATCAGGTAAAACAACCATACCATAAGCTAAATGTTTACACTTCTTAGCTTGTTCAAAACCAAGGACTTCCAATGTCTTGAAGACTTGTTGGAAGTGCAAGCTTTGACTTACGTCGACAACATATACACTTCTGTCAACTTTGAATTCTTCGAATTTTCTCTTAGCAAGAGCCAAATCCTTAGTAGCGTACAAACCAGTACCAGCAGAAGTCAACAAAACACAGAAACCAAGCTTACCCAAATCAGCGCCAATAGCACCATCAGATTTGATAAGTTTACCTTCTTCGTAGGCCTTAAGAACAATTTCCTTACTTTCATCACCAACATCAGATTCATGGAAGAAGTGGTCGAATCTACAGTCACTCCACTTATAAATAGATTTAAAGTCTTCAATTGACCAAGTTCTAGTGATTTCCCACAACATGGAAATATTCTTCTTGTGATCTTCCATAGCTCTCAAGAGAGTCTTACATTGTGATTCTCTCTTCTTGAATTCTTGACCAATGTTAATAGAAGCATCAACATTACAGTCTGCCTTTCTTCCCAATTCGGTGAGTTCAATACCAACTGGTGAATCAGCAGGGAAAATGTGAATCTTTTCCTTATTTTCAGAGCTACCCAGTTCAGCTTGACTCAAAATGAAACCTTGTGAGATAACACCTTGCTTATCAACTTCAGTAACAAGTCTAGCACCCTTCTTACTACCAAGTGGAGCATAGGCAACAATGTCATTAACATTGTAATCCTTACCACCACAAACAACAGTAAAGTTTTCAGTTCCATTGGTGACAGTGAGAATCTTCCATTTGTCATTAGTTGGATGGTTTTGAATGTCCAAAATTTTAGCAGTAATGTATCCAATAAGTGGATATTTAGTCCAAGAATCAAAGTCTAATTGATAGAAACCTTCAGTATAAAGGTTACCCAACCATTCAACATGAGGAATATCCTTTGGTCTAGATTCTTCCAACATGTCAACAATTTGTTCACGAGTAAGGTCAAGAGCTTCGAATTCTTCCAAAGTTGTCTTTTTGATGTAGTAAAGATAGTACCATAAACATTTAGCAATGTGAGCACCAACATCACCAATATAATTGACAGCGTGTACATTGTAACCACACCATTCGTATAACAAAACAAGTGAATTACCAAGAGCTGCATTTCTCATGTGACCAACGTGGAAGGTCTTGTGAGTATTTGGTTGAGAATATTCGATCATGACATTTTCATTCTTTGATTCTCTAACGGAAAGGAAATTTCCATTGTGAACCTCTTCTATAGCTTTTCCTAAGTGAGCAGGTTGATAGAAGAAGTTGACATATGGACCTTCACCTACACAATTTTCAACAACAACATCAGTTTTTTCCTTGACAATTCTACTTATTTCCTTTGCCAAATCGGAAGCAATATTCATGATGAAATCATTAAATTTGACTTCTTTAGGCTTCTTTGGAGTCAAAGGCTTTCCCAAAGCGAAACATGGGAAAGCAATATTGTGAAGCATATCATATTCCTTTGGTAATTCCAATTTACTGGCAAACTCGTTTTGAAGGGAGCTAACATCCACATCATAGATATTTTTAACTGCTTCAACAACAAGCTTTGCGATATGTTCTCTGTTGGCTTTATCTTGAGACATTTTTTAAATTCAATTTTTTTAATTATTATTGTGTGATGGTGTTTCATGGTTTTTAAAGGTATTTGTGGATGATTCAATTTCAAAATCAGAGTTCAGCTGATTTATGAAACCAAACAATTCATCATTAAACAAAAAGCTACAGTGGCTTGTTATCAAGGATTTATGAACAACTCTGTTTTCGAAATTGAAAAAATGAGTCAACCCGAAACTTCATCTACCCCATCAATTAATCGGGTGAATACAATAAGACTGGTTGAACACCAGATTGAAAATTTAAAAGAATTAATTATTGATAAAATTAGGAAAATGTTTCAGAATTTTGATGAGGAAAAAAAGGAAAATTTAATTAAAAATTTACCTGTATGTGTTTGTGGGATGATTATTTATGCCTCTTTAGAATTTTCTAATATTAATAGTAAATAACGGAAAAACTCAATCTGAAATTGTTGATTTATTAGAACCAGTACTTGGAGAAGCTTCTGGAGAATTTGTTTTTTGGTTTTTTGAAAGCTTAATTTATTTACAACTTTTAAAGACAACTGAAAATGACAAGCCCAAACCAACAGAACAATCATCCTCAATATCAGTCGAGTCAACAACAAGCCCTGCTACAAGTCCCAGCGATACTCATGCCATCAATATGGCAAATCATTTGATTAACAAATTTACAGTCAGGCATACAGATTCAGGAAAAGTGGACTATGATCAAAATATCACTATTTCTGAATCACAATTGAAAAAGTTTAATAATTTTCATGAATTAGATTCTGTACTTTTTCCAAAGTATTTTACAACTTCTCAAATGAATTCAATCAAATTCTCGTCTGAGCCTTTTTCAGACCTAGGATCGTGTTGTTTTGTTGTTGATGATGGAATTGAACCATTAGATACTTCCGAGTTTATTGAGGTTTCATATAGTGATCCAGAATTAAAGAGAAGGCCCGACGAACATATTGACGAAAACTTGGCAAAGAAATCAAAACAATAGGTAACAAAAACTTGTCAAAGAACTGAAGATAAAGAACAAGAAGAAACTAACTGTTCACGAAAGATTACAAAAACTAGGCAATTTTATTAGAAAAAGTAGTTACTTGGATTAGATCCATAACTTGATCCAAACAACTTGCTATATAATGTTTCGTCCAAACTAAGAAGCAAATTGTTTCCATCTTGCTCTCTAGGTTGTGGAGCGGTTTGATTGGCATTTCTAGAAAGAATCAGTCTTCCAAGATCAATTGGTTCAGCAGTAGTGGTATTTTGAAGTGTCTGTTTCTGATAATCTCTTGACCAATTCATTTCATTAGAAGCACAACTAGTTTCTGGGGTACAAGTAGTGGGTGGAGGGGAAAGGAATGAAGGTAACTGTACATTTTGATTTGGTGCTCTATTATTAAATTGTTTGAGTAATTCTTGATAAAGTAACATTGTCAAATCTGCTGATGGTTGAGATTGTTGAGGAGTAGAACTAGTTCCAAATTGTTGGAATATTGCAGGTTGAGGTTGTGGTTGTTGTTGGCATGTAACAATTTCTTCTTCTAAGAATGGAGCAATATCAGGTGAAAGTGTTGTACTTCCAAACAATTGAGACCATTGATCGCCATCGAATATATTTCCAGAGCTTAACACTTCTTGATTATTGTCAACAATCTGGTCATAATTGGAGACAATCTTAGTTGTAATATCTTGATTATCGACTTGAATTGGAGTTTCCTTATTTACAGAATGGTTAAAAACTTCTGGTGGTGAAATAGACTTTTCAGGTTCTGGTTGCTTTTGTTCAGCAATTGATTTCTTCTTCTTTGGTTTACTTTCTTCTTCTTTTCTCTTTCTCTTTGTTGCCTTCTCCTTCTTTTTCTTCTTCTTTTTATCCTCTTCTTCATCTTCCTCTTCTTCCTCTGTTGAATTGTTAGAAGAATCACTGAATTGGTTTGGAAGACCCCAATCATCCTCAATAGATTGTCCCTTAGCACCAGTCTTTCTAGCAAATATTGAGAATGGATCACTGATTAAAATCAATTGATCTGATTCAATATCTCCACCAGTATTGTGATTATTTTGATTGAGCGACTTGGCTCTAATATGTACACTAATCAAAAATGGCTTTCTACTATTATGGAAACTACAGATTGAGAAATTGAGACGAAAAGTAGCATTAACAAATCCAGGTTTTAGGTAATTCTTTCGTTGCGTCTTTGTTCTCTCGATGCAATATGCTTCATCTCCCTTATTATTCTTTGTAATTTTTTCGCGACTTTCAGAATCAAGTAAATTGAAGATGAAATCATGTGTTTCATTCATAGTGACGGGTATTCTCAACATGAGATCATACTTGTATGGAGAACAGTATAACTTTGGTGGAATGTAAGTTAAAAAGTATTTGGCTGTTTTTCTTGCAGGTTTAATGTAGAGTGACACATCTTGTTGGCTGAACATGTTAGATGCTGATTGACTTTGTTTGTTGGTATTATTATTTACAGAAGAGTTGGATGATGACGGAGTGGAGTTTGCAATCTTTGAAGAATCGTCTGATTTCTTTAATTCTATAAGAGGATTGTGATGGTTAGAGCTTGAAGATGATGCATGAGAGGAAGTGGATTTATGATGTGAAGATTGTTGCTTGATTCTATCTTGTGTCTGTTGATATTTGACCATTTCTTGAATATTATTTAAAAGTGTCGGTGCATCAAGTGCACTTCTATTCTCGTTTAAATAATTTAAAATTGCATCGCCAATATTCTGTGATTGATTCACATAATTACTCAGGTAAAGTAGATTGGGCATTGGTTGATGATTAGGAGAGGTATTGTTGTTAGAGCTGTTGAACATTTTGAGCGCTGTTAATACTGTACACTGGACTTGAAGTTGTTTTTTTTTGCTGTACTTGAAGTGTTTATTTTTTAGTGTTTTATGGGGTTTGGAGATTGTGCCAGATTGTATCTCACGCAGTGAGATTGAAGTAGATGTATTGGAGTTGAACATGATTTTGTAATTAGATTGGTGGTGAATTGAAAATTTTTTGTATTTGTGGTTTCTTTTGAATAAATAGTAGGAGTGTTGAAATGTAAATAATTTATTTAAAACAACCATTATTGTTGATACACAAAATTGTCATTCAAAGTTTTGATGAAATATTTCTGAGTGGATTTGTGGTGAGGGCTCTTTTACACGAAATATGAATACAAAACAATAGAACTGTCGCCATGTTACAGAGCATCATGTTTGGATCACTTTGATGATTTTTTGTAAATTTAGAATAAACAATGATAGAATAGCATTGTTTTTCATGTAACTCAAAAGTTGTACAAATATAGTTATCACCTTCTTCATTTCAAGGTTAAAGAGTTAAAAAATGTTTTTATGTCGAACATATGAGTGCATTATAATTGTTACTATCTGAATTCAGATTTCTTTAATTAAATAGAATACTATTTTGGTGGCTCACCTAAAGATCAACCAAAATTTACATGTGCGTTTGAGGTTTTAAAAAGATAATCTATTGGTTTTACGAATTTAAAGAGTGACAATATGTTAAATAGTATGTTTAGAATCTAGTTGTTGTTAATTATTATCTCATTTGATAGCAAAGTCGTAGGACGGTTTGAGTTTTATTTAAGGTTTGAAATAAATCAAAAAATGGATTAATCATTGGAGGAAGAGGCATTCCACTTTCGTCAACAAAAGGCTACAGCGAGCGGGGCTTGAACCCGCGACCTTAAGCGTGTTAGGCTTACGATCTAACCAACTGATCTATCGCTGCTGACATTCTATTTAACACGTGTCTTAATATACATTTACCAAAACTAACACGGACTTTTGTACAATGTTTGGTGAGTTTGCCTTTTTTCAAGTTGGCATGTTAAGAATGTGTAGATTTCCCATTATTTTGGTAAGCTTATTTTAAAGCTAAAAAAGCTAAGAGTGGAAGCACAAAATTAATTGCAGCCCCAAAAGATTCAAGGTCACCCTTATGTCATTAAAATAGAAGATTTATTGTGAGGGACTAATACTTGTACATTACATAAGAATTTCAAAGTGTGATGTGAAGACAAATTTCATAGCTAATGTAAGCCGTCATAGCTCAGTTGGATAGAGCACAGGACTTCTAATCCTGGGGTCGTGGGTTCGAGCCCCATTGTCGGTAAATTGTTTTGTAGTTTCAAATTTAATTAAGTGGATGAATTTTATTGTTTTTTACTGTTGATCTTTAACACAAATCCAAAAACCCTTTCGTTCTCCTCAATAACGATAACTTTTTAGAAAGAACGTACCAAATAAACTACATATTTTTTAAAATTGATCTGGATGTTCAACTTATTGACTAGCACAAGCATTGTAAGGCATTGGAATAATCGAGTCCACACGACCAGTTTTCTTCTTAGAGATAAAATCAAAGGGCATCACCGTTACATATTTTGCGTCATGATGTGTTTCGCGCCTTTTCAAAATTTTGTAATTTTAAAAAAAATAGAAAACATGACAGAGACGCCTACCAATGATGCCTTGGATACCTCACTAGATGGTAGTAATTTGCAGGATGAAGAATTTGTTACTGAGGATATTGTGAATGAAGATATTACTGAAGTACAAAATCCATCCTCCCCTGTTATTCCATTGTTGGACCTCAATAACACTGATGTGTTTAGGAAAGACAAACTAAGAACTCCAAGCAAACGAGCCGTACCCTTCTCTGTACAATCACCATCACAAGAACTTTACGCAAAATATATTCGTTTGGAACAAGACTTTAAGGATCTTCAAAAAGCCTTTGATTTAGTTAGCAACGAAAAAACAGTGTTAGAGAAGGTAGTTAAACAAAAGGAGGTAACAATAGATAAATTACAACTTGATTTGGAAAATACTCAAGATATTTATGATAAGATCAAGGAAAAAAGCAGATTGCAAGAAATGGAAATTAAAACACTCCAAAATGAAAAGAAAGTACTTGAAGAACATAGCCCGATTGCCTCCCTTCAAAAACTTAGATCTTCCTCTGACCAAAAAAGCAGATCTGTCCTACAAGAAGATTCGTTGGATAGAATTATTGGTTTAGAAAATGAGATCAAGTTGAAGAATGTAAAAATCAGCACCCTGGAAACAGAAGTTCATACTCTCCAAGTCTCAATCGATAAGAAAGATAAGGCCATCGACAATTTAGAAAAGAAGATTTTCAATATCGAGTCCAAACACGATAAGGCATATCAAACTGAATGTAAGAACGCTGAGCTCTTGTTGAAGTTAGAAAAGGCACAAAAAGAAATCAAGACTATTCAAGAGATTACAAGAATGAAGACAAAGAGTTTAGAAGAATTGAATAATCAAATTGAGATATTGAAGAACACTGCAGAAGAGTATGAAGAATACAAGAAGAGAACTCAAACAGTTATGAAAGAAAATGAAAGATTAAAGCAAGAAATCAAGATGGCTGAAAGATCAACCCAAAAGAAGGATAAGGAAATTTCAAAACTTGTTATCGAAAAAGATATTGTGCCTGTTAAAGCTTTAGAAGGTGATAAGAGATTCCTTCACAATGAAATTAAGAAGCTGCAAGAACAAAAGTCAATCATGGAAAGAACTATTCAAATTCAAGATAAGAAATTAGAGGCTCAAAAGCAAAAGTTCGATAGTATTACCCAAGCACTGAAAGAAACAAAAGTTGACAAGTTGATGAAGGAAGCAAGGCGTAACCCAGAAGTAATTCAAGATAAATTGTCTCAAATTAACGAAAGTGGGGAAGAGGAAATGGTTCCATCAGCAATTGTTGATGTTTTATTGAAAGATATAGATGAATTAAGAAAGTTATCCAATGAAAGAGATAATATCCTAAGTGAAAAGGACACAGCAATCGAAAGCTTGGAAAGAAAGATTGATGTTTTGGAAAAGTCTAAAATTTCAGATCAAAAACTCCTTAAGAAGAAGATTGTTGCTCTCCAAGACCAAGTTGCATCTCTCCAAGATTCTATTACTACCACTGAACTTAACTTTAAGCAAAAAGAAAATAATTTGAAACGAGAAAAGTTTGCTTTGAAAAAAACACTTAATCAATCAATGACTCGTCCAAATACTGCCAGTGCTTTGCAATAAATAAAACAATTGCAAATGTATTGCAAAATGTATTGTATAAATATAATTATTTACTTTTCGAATAATGTGATAAAATGAAATTGGAAGAAAACTGATCGGTAAAGTCCTCAAATGAAATGTGTTCATTCTCATAATTCTCATCATTATTAGGAATATGAGTAGAAGACTTGTGCATGGCATCCCAAAATGTATCTTCATTTAAATATTCAATTAAATTAGCATGTGTTACATCTCTGCTCTTTTCTGTAAAACTCATTTTCTTAATTTCTAATTGAAGATAGAAGTACTCCTTAATTTTGTTACTGATATTCATATTACTCTTCTCCATAAATTGTAATATTTCTAAACTTTTTTTTGGGTTATGTAGGAAACATGCTATCAAATTCTCAAAGCACATAGACCTACTTTCCAATGTGGCATCTGTTTTTAGCCATGTAATATATTTTGTTCCGTGTTGTGTCCTTTTATCTAAATCAGAAATTTTGGATGATATTAATATTAATCGAGCTATTAAAACTCCAGAATCATCTCCCATTATCAAGTATTTGTATTTATCAGCAAGTAAAAACGCTTTTGAAATTTCAAATGATTGCCTATACATTTCCAACATTGTTATTATTGCTAAATTGGTAACACAACCAATCTTTTCCAAATAGGAAAAATACTCTTCTGCTTCAGATATCAAAAAATCTCCTGATTTTAACGACTTTTTCAATAATTGAATTATTATTTCATAAATTTGAGATTTAGAACCATCTTGAATATTGTCAAAATTTGTTAAATGGTTTTTCATTTCTTTAAATAATAATTTTGCATATGACAAATTGCCATTCTCCAAACAAGTACATATCAAAAAATTAAATAATTCAAAATCGGGATTTTTTGAAATAATATTCATTATTGGTGGAATAGCAATAGCTGAGTCAAATCTCAAAAGGAATTTTAATGTTGAACCATATTCTGAAATTAATCTATTTGTTTCTAATTTTTGTACTGTGATATTTACAATTCTCTCATTTGTACATGTTGAAAACGAACAGAATGACTTGTTGATATCAAATATCCTATTAATTAATATTCTATTTAATCCGAGTGTTCTAATCTGAAGATGATTGCGTAAAGAGTGTGAAAGCATTTTTTTGTACAAGAAAAAGAAGTATTGTATTTTACATTTCATTTGAAGAAGTTGTCGTAGACCAAATAAATTAAAGTTCTGCTTCATCCTGTAAGGCATCGAACAGAATACGAGCATCTGAAGTTCTACCTGAAACCAATGTAAAGTTTAGCACAAAGCCATCATTTTCCAATGCACTCATAGTCATATCCATTACAACTTGTTTTTCAGTAACAAAGCTGTCGCCACTGGTTTGATCTAATTTTGCAACAGGGAATATACAACTAAATCTAACTGTAGACTCTGATGCCTTCTCGAATTGAATTTGTAAAACTTTAAATACACGAATCACTTCTGATAAAATTTCACTTTGTGATTTTCTGCTGTGGAGACCATATTGAGAAGGTGTTTGCTTCTTCTTTGGATCATCCTTTTGATTAGTCTTCTTCTTTCTCCAAAAGGCAAACCATTTAATACCACTTTGTTCCTTTTCTGCTCCTTGTTCATTTACAGTTTCTTGCTCTACTTCTTCACCATTGGCTTCTTGCAATCTTCTCCTCAATTCACCAGCCTTATCAACAGGAACTGTCAATGGATTACAAGGACCAACACTATATTTTGAAGATCCAAAAGAAAAGTTTGTTTGAGACTTTTCAGGTTCACGCTTATATTGCAAGATAAGATTGTACAATACAGTTTCCAGATTTTTTCTAAACAATTAGAAATTAATTATTTGAAATGATTGTTTTAAAAATACTTACTCTGGTGACATGAGAGCTTCTTTCAATGCTTGCTCACTTAAACCAGTTTTTTCCAAAGTAGATTGGAATACTTCTGGATCAATGTTACTTTCGTCCCATTGAACAGTATTCTCTTCATCCTTCTTTGGTACTTCTTCTGATGGTGTTTGATTGATATTTTCTTGTTCTTGATTAATGTTAAGATTTACATCGACAGAGTTTGGATCATTAACCTCTGCAGGTTCAGTTGGTTGTTTGTGTTGTAAGATTTTTTCTTGAATTGCATCTTGTTGAGAAATTTCTTCACTGGAAGAAGTATGACGAATTTGATCTAATAACATCATCTTTTTTTCCATCTTTTTCCACCAAGGATGATTTTTGATATCTTTCAAAACAATTCTTGCTTTTGGATTTAATGTAAGCATTCTAGAAATAAGATCTCTAACTTCTTCATCCAAAAATTGTGGAATTTCATACTTTCCTTCCTTAACTTTGGCAAGTAATACATGCAAATTCTCATCATCAAATGGAAGTCTACCTGTTAACAAGGCATAAAGAATAACACCCATACTCCAAATATCAGCTTCCATACCATTATATTTCAATCCTCTTACAATTTCCGGAGAAGCACTACAATATTCAGTTATCCATTCGTTCCTAATTTAGAATACTTACTAATGCGGTGATCCACATGAAGTTTCCAAAAGTTTTCCTTCTTCCATAAGTGAAGCCATACCAACTACAATATACTATTTAGGCTTGAATTGAAGATGTCATTACTTACAATCAGCAATCTTGATATTCTTATAAGTATCTAACAATAAATTTTCTGGTTTTAAATCTCTGTGACATATTAATTGTTTATGGCAGTATTCAACTCCAAGAATAATTTGTTGGAAGAAATGGAAAGCTTCTTCAATAGTCAATCTTCCTCTCTCAACAATATAATCAAAAAGTTCTCCTCCTTCTACATATTCCATAATCAAGAATAAATACATTTTTGTTTGAAGTACATCGTACAATCTAATGATGTGTTTATGACGGATCATTTTCATAACAGCTATTTCTCTTTCAACCTTCTTCTTCAGATGAGGTTTGTGAGTAAGAATTTTCTTGTTGATGATTTTAATTGCAACTTTTTCGCCCGAATCTTTATGGATAGCAAGTTTAACTTTACCTGTTGATCCTTCTCCTAAAGTTTTCTTTAATATGAAAGGACCAATCTTTTCTTGGGCGGTAGAGTTCTCATCTTCCTCGATTGAACCAGCAAGAAAATCGTCATTATTGTTATAACTCATTTTTTAATATTTAAAGTATTTAATAATTTTAAAATTAGCTTTGATGAGTTGGTGGTTGAAGGGAGTTGGTGTAAAGAGAACCTCCAAGTCAAGTTGTCTCCAACTGAAAGAGTTTATTGTTGTTGTTTATAGTTATATGATCACAAGAATACAATAAATATGTTAGCTAGCAATAAGAAGAATTACTAGCCTTTACATCACTTTTGCTAAAACTTGTCCAAGCAAAATAGAAGTTTGTATGGTGTTCTGTTTGCCAAAAATATTTCATTGTAAAAAAGTCTCTTGGTCGTCAACCAAAATTTTTAAAAATTTGTTGAAAAAAAAGTCGAAAAAAGTAAGTTCTCTCACGCCTATCACAAGGTCGAACAACAACTTTAAAAATTTAAACAGAACAATGGTAATCAAGACTGAAATTTGTCTCTTCTCCGGTTACAAGATCTACCCAGGTCACGGTGTTAGATATGTTCCTTGCACTAACGTCCAATCCACTAGACCAGTCTTCACTTTCGTCTCCAGAAAGGCCATCAAGCTTTTCTTGGCTAGAAGAAATCCAAGAGTTGTCAGATGGACTCAACTTTACAGAAGACAACACAAGAAGGGTTCAGTTGAACAATTGAAGAAGAACAAGAAGAGAAGAACCGCCAGAGTTGAAAGAGGTATTGCTGGTGCTTCCCTTGAATTCATCAAGGCTCAAAAGAACCAAACTGCTCAACAAAGAGAAAAGATCAGAACCTCCACCAATGATGCTCAAAAGAATAAGAATATCAAGGAACAATCCGGTAGAAAGGAACAACAAAAGGCTCAAAAGCAAATGATGAAGTCGCAAATGAGAAACAAGAATGTTAAGGCTCCAACTGCTACCTCCAAGTAAATTAAATTCCATTTAAAAATATCAAATTTAAATTATTGAATTACTTTTTCTTTTATGAGAAAAATCTCTTCCAATAGATAAGAATCTTGAAAAAAAATGCAATCACCCAAATGTACATCATCAGCAAACTCAGAACCCTGTTGTGAGAGAAATGCATCAGAAGAAACAAGCAACAACTCATCAAAAAATCTCCGCAATAGTTCTAATTCAAGTGTTCATTGTTTAACAATTCAAACAAGTAACATTGCAATTCAAGATACCAATGGATCATCACCTACAACACCTCCTTCCCCTTTGTACAAAAAGAACCTTTCCGTAGATACAACTGTTACCTCGGCATCATCATCATCTAATGAAAATCCAACACCAAGCGTTGAAGAAACAACTCCATCGCCAACAACAGCCAATGTAAGACATAATGTTTTACAGAAAATTTCGAAATGGTCTGGTCTGGATAATTTTGGAACACCTCTCGAGCCAACCCACATTATTCCTTTAAAAACACCAATTAAAACTAAGTTTTTAGAATCAACTAAAAAGTGGAGACCTTTCACTACCGAGGATTTTCTTTTTGGAAATTTAAAAAGGTTAGTTTAATTATTATTGGTGATGAAATATTTAATTTTATAATTTTAGTGGATATTGCGTAGCTGGAATTGTAGATTTATCGAATCATGATTGCATTTATGATGTGGATTCCGTATGCTCACCCAAAAATCCTGAACAATTTTTGAAAGAGATTGGAAAATTGTATTTTAAAGATGAAGAGGAAAAGGATACATTATTGAAATATGTTATTACCTCTCCTATTTTGAGGAAATCATGCATTTATGATAATTTCACATCTGATGAGATTAGGAATGTTATAGACAATACAGAAACTATTCCACTAACCTATATTAAGGTTAGACTTGTAGCAAAAGAAATACCAGGAGAGGAGCAACAAGTGGATTTCAATCATGTCATAAATGATTTCTTTGAAAAGTTTCCTTCACACTACATTGGAGTTCACTGCTCGTATGGCTTTAATAGAACAGGATTTATTTGTTGTTCTTATTTAATAAGTGAACGAGCTATTCCAATTGATGAAGCTCTTAATATTTTTGCTAAGAGTAAACCTCCTGGTATAAAGCATCACTGGTTTCTTAAAGCTTTGAGAAAAAGATATGATCCTAACTACATAGAGTTAAATGATGATGAAAATGGTGTTTCGGAAGATTCTTCAATGTAAATAATAAATACCATTCTCAAGTATTTTAGATTAATTAATTGTTTTATCAAGTGTATGGATAATTATGTGACTGACTTAAAGGTGGTAAAATGAAATTAGAAGATGACGTCTCATCAACTGGAACTTGATTATTATACATAGGAGGATATGTTGAGGATGATGTTGTTTGGATGGAAGGGATTTGATCTACTTGTGGAGGTGGATTTGCAGTTTGTTCTTGAACTTGTTCAGAGGTACTAGAAACAACTAATGATGCTTGTTGAGTAGTAGTTGTAGTAGTAACATTTGTTGAGGCTTGTTGTTCCGTTATACTATTAGAATTTTCCACATTACCAGTTGATAATTTTTGACGATCCACTGTTGCTGCTGCTACTAGCAATGTAGAAAGTTGCATTTCATCCATTCTTTCCTTCTTTGATGATCCCATAAGGGGTGTTGTCTTTTGGAGACTTGCTTCTAACACTAGTGTTGCTTGGCGATGACCATTGGCCATTGTTGCTGCTAAATTGCTATTATATCGAAGGGATACAGAATTTACATTCCCTCTATTGCTTCTTTTTGTATACTTTTCCCATGCAACTGTTGCAGATGGATTCTTTTTCTTGGATAACGAAGGGCAAAAGCATCTTCTTGCTGATTGTACATTTGTATTTTCTGTTTGTTCATCGCTGCTATCATCTTCATCATCGTCATCATAATGCTTTCTTTTTCTTGATGTATTTGATGGTGTATTGGAGCCTTTTAGTTCTAATTCTTTATCAATTTTCTTGATTTGTTCTATTATTTTCTTTGTTCTTTTTGTTCCATTACCATATAATATTTGAAATTGTTTAGTTAGTTGATCCAATTCATCCATGGTCCAATCTGTATTAGTATCGCAACCTCTCAAAATAATTCCAGGAAGGCTTTCAACTTCAAATATTGTTGATACAATACTACCAACTACAAGACGTAAATAAAATTATTTAAATTTAAACTAACCTGACTCTGACAAGGTAACCTCCCTTCTACTGTTACGATCTGATGATTTTTGTACAACTTCATCACTGCTAGGTAATTCATCTTCAATGAGTGGGATTCTATCAGTGGCGTCTATTTTCATTTTTTTAATGTTGATTTTGAGAGAATTATGCTCCGACGCTGATGGTTTATTAATAAAAAATTCAATGCAAAATGGATTCAAAAAGAAATTGCGTATTTTACGCGTGGTAGAACAACGCGTGTTCTTATGCCAAGCTCTTGTTGAAATTATAAACTGATTGAATAAATAATATTTGTTATTAATTCATTTAAATTGTATAGGTAAGGATGATCTCGTTGAATGTTTTTACAAGCTTTTTCAAATCTTCTCTAGAGATATTGTTTTGATGAATTATTTCTCTCTCTGAATATTCTCCATTAAAATAGATATGAAGCTTTTTGAATAAATCCAAAGTATGAGAGTCGTCAGATAAACTTTTAACGTAATCCAAATCAAATGCTGATAGAGATTTAAAGGTTGGTTGACTATCGTCCTCTTCACATAACTCATTTCCAGCACTGAGAGGTATCTTGACATTGAAATACTTTTTAAATGGGGTAGACTGGGGACTACTGTCTGTACTGCTAACACTGGAAACATCGTCGTAATCATCACGAATAATGTTGGTTGCATTTTGATGATTGGATGGTGATAACCCAATATTGTGTGGTGGTGTCGATGGAGAGTTTGAAAGCATATCTCTTCCTCCACCTGGAATTCTCATGAATGCACCTTTTTGATGTTGTGGAATAATTAATTGATAATATGTGTTACAAACTCGAATATAGCCTTTTCTCAAAAGCCAAACAATGCTCATCATATATTGCTCAGAATTTGCAACCGCACTGCTCGATGATGAGGTTGGTGTCTTTTTCTTTGAAGTTTTGAGTTCTGAAGGAAAATATGTAGTTGGAGAATTTTCAAGATAGGGGCTTGGTTTTCCAGATAAATATGATTGAATTTTGGCAATATTTTCAATGTGAGATCTACATGTCTTTGTTGTTGAAAATATTTCCAAAACTTCAATTAGATTGGGAAAATGTGGAAATCTTTTTGAGAATTCATGAATAACGTGATCTGGTGGAGGAAACCAGTCGTGTTTTGAGCATTTTGAAAAGCCATCTTCTGAGTTATCTGGATGTTCATTCAATGTCAGTACAGTACTATAGCTAATTTTTGGTATAATCCTCACAAGACCCCAATCAACTAAGTGTTGAACTAATGCCAATACAAAACTCAAATTAAGGTTATTTTCTTTTGCAATTTCTCCAATTGTTTTAGTGGCAGTGTTGAAAAGACGAAGTATTGAGTCATTTCCTTGAAGCTCTTGCAGACCATCAAAAGGTACTTTGAGCTTAGGAAGATCGTTTACAAAGATACATGAATTATAAGCTCTTACTTTCTCTCTATTGCATTCATTGTGAACTGGTGACTTATTTTTCGATAAGTAATCATGTAAGTGAGCTAATTTTCTCTCATATGCATGATGAAGCCTTTTTGGTGTTTTAAATCCAAATTCTATCCAACTGTTAATTCTCAATTGTAAAGGATTTGCAGATCTAATAGAGTCTACTATAGTAATTAGTTCCTTTGCCAATAAACTAGAATCACAAGCTTTTAGAACTAAATCTCTCCAATTCTTAGCTTGGTCCTTCAATTTTCCTAATAGATTTAATTGATCCAAAACATATCCACATCTTTGTTGTTCTCTTACATATGATTTCATCAATAACATTAAGAGATGAGAAAAGAGTTTCTCGTTATATTCCTCAAGTACATGATTTGGAAAGACAAATGCTATTGTAAAGTGGGTATAATCTCCACCTGCAGATTCCATAACGGATGGAGAAGAAATATTGAAACTAGAAAGTTGAATTTTTCTAACCTGAATAGAAGAAGGTCTGGAAAGGAAAAGTAGTTTGTCAATGGTCATTGACATGGATTTGTTGATAATACTACTTTTTGGAGGACATAACAGATATGATAGAGCTGCACTATTTAATCCGAATGCATTTTCATATCTATCAATAACCTGTGGATGTGATACTAAATGTTGTTGGGAAGATTGGGTTGTAGTTATATTTGTCGGAATTGGTTGTGTTACATTATTTCCAATACTCGTACTTAAAGAAACTGTTGATGGAGTTGCTTGTGGATTAATTTGTTCCGATTGATTATTATTTGTGTTTACAGTGATGGTATTGCTTGGATTATTATTTACATTATTTGGTACTACAGGAATATTGGTAAAAACTTCATCGGATTGCTGTTGAAATATAGAATGTTCCTCTGTTGGATACATGAAACTAATTTGTTGTCCTCTAATTCCGTTGACCACTATCAATGCTGTTACAGGAAAACCCTGTAAAAATCTAAAACGTGGTACTTGTTTTCTATTTGAAGAGGAAATATGATGAAAAGTTGCTGTTGGAGTATTTGCTGTATTATCATTTGTTGGTGATGATGGTTTCATCATTGATGTTGTTTGAACAGAGCCAACAAGACTTTTCCGATCGATAGAATTGGCTCGTCCTCTTGGTCGATTTGTTTCAATGTGAAGTGAAAGCATTTTTAATTAGTTGTTTTTGTTAAAGAAATATCGATAAAGCTGTGAATTTTTAATTAGTTGTAGTTTCAGGATACAATCGTTTCATGTACTGTTCAAACATGTTATTACCCTCTATTATTCCTATATTACAAGCAATTTGATCTGCCTTCTTCTTATCGTATTGGATTGCAATATTTCTAGCTTTTTGTAACATTTTAACAGCTTCGTCTCCATCTCCTTTTTTTGAGGCCAAAATACCCAAATGTTGATAGGCTTCTCCTTCACTCACTGGATTATTGAGATTTTCTGAAAGCGTTAAATGTCTTTCCATACATGCTTGGGCAATTGATAAATCACCATTCTCTTTACCAAGTAAACCTAGATTAGCTAAAGCTATACTTTCTCCTTGTTTATCACCAATTTTCTGAGATTGTTGGTAAGCCATTTTAAAATTGTCAGAGGCGTTTTCAAAGTGTCCCAATTGTTGGAATATCAGTCCCATGTTAATGTTACTAACAATTTGGGACTGAGGATCCGAAATATCCCATTGCATCATATGATACTTGAGACCAATATTAAGATTTTCAGTTCCTCCCATCTTTTGGTATAACACACCAAGACAATTAAGTGCCAAACACTGACCCATTTCATCTTTGAGATTTTCACTAATTGCTAAAAATCTTTCATAATGTGGCACAGCAGACATGTCTTCTTGCAGTTCCTCGTATTTGTTTGCTATTTTGTAATGAATTAAACCTTCCATTTTCAGACGTCCAGCTCTGCTACACGCTTCGGCCATCATCTTGAGATCTTTGATCATATTTTTCTTTGAGTTACTTCCTCCATGAGTATTTACAATAGATACAGGTGTCATTCTAATCTGACTAGGGTCATACTGCAATCTAAGTGGTTCCAGAGTTGAGGTTTTTACAGTGTGATGTTGTAAATCAGGTGTTCCCCTTAAATTTTCATAATTTTCCCAAACAAAATCATTTTCTCCTGTTGCCATTTGAGAAGCACCATCTTTTGATTCCCTTGTTGATTGAATTGTGCTTTTATAGGATCTAGAGCTCAAAAAGCCAGAGTTTGATGTTCTACTTGTAGATAGATTTGATCTTTGTTGTCCAGCTGATTTTGCTCTCTTATTGAGTTTTTCAATATATTGAAAACCTCTTACAAAAGTATCTGTTTCTTCTCTCGAAGTTTTTCCTAATTGTAGAGGAGGCATTGCTATTGATTCTTTTGTACTCTTTAGTTTTTTGTCACCACTTTCACTCGATCTATACGTCTGTCTTGACGTTTCCATTGGATTGTATGATGATTCTGAAGATGGAAATTTTGATGTTGCAATTTGTGCATTGCAATTATTATAAGTTTTTGGTTTAAAAGTGGCACTCGGTGATTGATTACATTCTATAAGATTAAAACTTTGACGAAGAATTGATACTCCTGCTTCTTGTTCTTCCTTTTTCTTTTTTTCAGAACTAAATAAATTAAGGGAGAGCTTTTTCCTAAGAGAATCAACGGTAACAAATTCTCCTTCCTGAGGTTTTTGTTCATCACTATCAAAAATCGACTTTCTAAACATTGCTGACGATAATCTCGAGGCAGAGAGTTGATTTTTTGTTGTTGTATTGGATAATTTCTTTTTTTTATCTGGTGAGGGCCAAGTAGTACAACCGTTATTACTCTGCTCTGCTCTACTGCCTTCAGTAGAGGTTGGCATTGATGCCAATTGACGCATTTTTTAATTTAAATAAAACAACCGTTGTAGATGTTGGGCGAAATTCACCACATATTCTTTCGAGATAAATTTGGGCGGATTCGGTTGTTCTCGCTGCTTAATAGCTAACTGTGTTTCCTTAATACAAAATATGTGAGGGGTTCAAATCAATTCTAGGAATAATTTTAAACTTTTATGTTAGGATTTATTTATCATCTAGTTGAGTTTCAATACAAAATCAGCAGTGATTGGAATTTGAGGTTTTCTGATTGTCAAAACATTATTTTCAAAGGTAAATTCTGGTGACATCAACAAATCAACACCATCATGAGAGGCATATTGAAGACTGATACTACTTGGCTTGGAAGCTCCATAAATTACAATTCTTTCAATAATATTATCAACCTTTCTGTTTTGATTGGAATCAACAGTATTGGATCTGGTATTCAAAATGAGAGGTGAAATATCTCCCTTAACAGCCTTCAATTCATTATTTGAGAAACTGAATTGACGATAAACGTAATCACCATTTCTATAATTGAATGTACTACCATCATCCAAGTACAATGTTCCTAAAGCTTCTCCCTTTCTGTTAAGAGCAACAGTAAGTGTGAATGGATCCTTAACCATTTGTTGTGAGGATCTTCTCAATCTTTGTTGAGTAGGAAGAATACTACCACCACGTTGGAAAACTGGAATACTCAAATCCAATGATGTAGCAATTGAAACATTCTTTCCTCTACCAGCATCGAATTTTTGACCAGTTTCGTAATCGTACCAGACACCTCTTGGGAGATAGACGAGAATATCGCTAGCACCCTTTTGAACAACAGGCTTAACCAACAAATCAGTACCAACGAGGAAGGAATCATCAACATTAAAGGTAGTAGCATCATTTGGATATTCCATGAACAAAGGACGAACATAAGGTTCACCAGTAAGCATAGATTCGAAAGCAATAGTATAATACAGTGGTAAGAGAGTATATCTTCTTGCAATAGCCTTTCTGATCAATTGAGTATTATGATCACCGAACAACCATGGTTCTCTTCTCTTAGTTTCAATGTGGGCATGAGCTCTAAAGAAAGGATAGAAAGCACCAACTTGATACCAACGAACCAATAATTCTTCTTCTGGATTTCCAAAGAAACCACCAACATCAGCACCAACAAAAGGCATACCACTGATACTGAGTGCAAGAATCATTGGTTGAGCAATATCCAAATGGCTCCATTCAGCCATATTATCACCAGTCCACTTAGCAACATATCTTTGACTTCCAGCAAACAAGGATCTTGTCAAAATGAATGGACGATCTTCTCCATTTCTTCTCTTAATATGACCTAAATTAGTGGCAACTGATTGATAGAAACCATACATGTTGTGAACTTCACGATGTCTAAGATCTCCATGATGCAAGGCGTTCTTATCCATAGTAATTTCAGGTCCAGAGAATACGCTAGGTTCATTCCTATATTGAAAATAATTAGAATATAAGGCAAAATAAAATACTTACATATCGATCCATGTGTAAAGATTTTCAGTTGATCCTTCATACTTGGAGAAGCTGTAAAGATCAGCATAGTATTCTCTAACAACTGGGTTGATATAATCAAGCCATGAAGAGGATCCAGGCCAACAATGACCTTCATAATCGGCAGTGCCATCAGAATTCTTAACATAGTATCCATTTCTAGTTGCTTCATCGTGGACAAAGTATCCATTTTCACGCTTAATGTGAGGATCAGAAATGGTGACCATCTTTCTTCCCTTACTTGCCAAATCTTCTTGCATTCTCTTTGGAGTTGGGAAAGTATGGCTGTCCCATGTGAAATATTTCTTACCGTCAGTGTGTTCAATATCCAACCACAAAACATCATAAGGAATGTCATATTCATCGAATTTTTGGTTGACATTTCTTACATCTTCTTCATCCTTGTAATTCCATCTACATTGGTGGTGTCCAAGTGAAAATCTTTGAGGAAGTGGAGCAGTACCAGTCAAATAAGCCATTTGCTTAGCAATAGACTTTGGAGATGGTCCAGGAAGGAAGAATACATCCAAAACACCAGTTTCAGAAATCCAATGAGAAGAATATTGAGATCCGCCAATAATATCCACAAAGGTTTCTGATGGATTCAAAACGAAAACACCAGCAGCACTCTTTGAAGTAATACCATATAATAATGGAATAACACCATAGAGACCAATAGGATTATTCAATTCATATTCAAAAATATCCAAATTATACAATCTGTATGGTTCTGTAAGAATATTATTATCAGCATCCTTGGTTGGTGGGAGTGAGAGTCTCATAGCTCTTTCTGGTAAACCATACAAATTAGTTGAACCAACATAAGTAAAGTCCATTCCAAGAGCACTTTCACCATCTATTTCCATTTAATAATCCATGCAAGTATTGTTGATTACTTACCATAATTTTCATTCTTTTCTCTTAAAACATTTTCAACAACTAATAAATTCTTTTCATTGAAAACAATTACATCTTCTCCATTGACTTTGAAGGTAATCTTGAATCCATCATCTCTATTTTCGAGAACCAAGTCAGAATTTCCTAATTAAAATAATTAAATTAAACATAATCATCATTATCAAACCTACCATTTGTCAACACATTTTGCTTGCTTTCCGAGATTGGGACCTTTGCAACACTGTCAACAATTACATCTTTAACATTGTATCTATTCTTGAGAGTGACTCCGGCATCAACCTTTTCTTGAATTTTCATTCTAAAGATACCATTTTCGTATGATTCAATAACGAGTGTGAGTGGATCGAATGTTGAACCTTCTTCCTTATTTTCCAAAGTAGCAGTAAATACTCCATTTTCAACTTTTTGTGATGAAATAATGTAACTAGACTTCTTTGATCCTCTCAAACGTTTACAGAATCCTTTTTGATCACAATTTTCAAATTTAGATTTATCCATAGCAAATGTTGAATGGAAGAGTGTTGTCATCAACACCACAGCCAATACAACACCAACAACAACAAGCCTTAAGCCAGCTGTTTGCTTGTTTGTATTCATTTTTTCGGAATTGAATTTTTGCGTAATACAATCTCTCTGAGTTTTCTTATCATCAACTCAACACAACAACACCCAAACGATCCTCGTCAAGATAATTAACACGTGTTCCTTCTGGAAGTGAAAAGAAGTCATGAGTTAAAATTGTAAAATTTTAATTTATTTAAAACGGTAACAGTGAAAAATATTTAGTTTTCGAATGATGTGATTAAAAACTTGGATGTGATGGCAATAAATAGTGTATTGAAATTGCACCTTTTAAATTTTCTTTAATATGTTTTTTAAATAAATGTTAATTTAAAAAAAATGGGAAAAGAACAATTGAACAAGGAGCCACAGAATAGATATCATCCCTATTCAGACAATCGGAAATCAAAGAAGGATGATTTAGAGGAGGAGGATGATATTTATTTCTTTGAAACGTGGTACATTCCTAAACATATGATTACTAGTATTTTACAATTTTTGGATTTGAAAAGTCTAGTTGAAAAAGGATTATTAATTAATAAGAAATTTTATAGAGTGATATGTGATGATTGTGAAGGAGTTCTGTGGGAAACTTTTTGTGTCAAACAGGCTGCATGGCTAAAGCCACTTTTCAATGATCTTAAAAAATCATTACAAACGAGAAAACACAAATGGATGAGATTTATGTCAATATTTACAAATAATTATAATCAATGGGATAACACTCCAAACTATTCACCAACCATAGATGTAGATTTTAGATTATATAATAATAGTACTGATGCTCAGGAAACAAACTCACAACAGATCGAGGGGAGCAGCAATGCTTGCCAAACTGTTAAGTATTTGGGAATTACAAAAAATACAAGTTGCTCATCCACATATGAAATTAACTCTCAGACTGTAAAGTGCTTTCATATCAGATTGGATTGTAAACCTTCCAAAACTAATGTAGGACTAGGAATAGCCGAAAAAAGTTTCTTACTGTTGGAACGAAAGTTTGTTGGATTTAACCCTTACAATGCCGGATGTTCGAGCAATGGAAGGGCAAGACATTATTTCCCCAATGTTCAAGAAAGGTATTCAGAAGCTACATGCGGTTTTTTCTTTGAGGGGGATATAATTTCAATAGTTGTAGATATGTTAGGAAGGAGCGTTTCATTCTATATTAATGGAACATTCTCTCATGAGTTCAAAAATATACAATTTAGAGGGCTTATGGATACTTATAGAATTACAGCAACCATGTTTTCTTCTGGAGATCAGTTTAGTTTCGTACAGGAATCTAGGCTTGGTGTTCCTGAGCTACTTTTAATTTATGACCAGTGTGAAAAATCATACGAAACATATCACGTTCATCTTAAAAGTATTAAGGAAGAGTTTAGAGAGGTAGCAGAACAATTCATGCGCGACTGTGATGATCTTGACTTTATTTCAACATCAATGGCAACAATGAAGAGCTTTATTAACAAATTTAATAATGGTAGTAAAAATTAATCTTGATGTGGTCTTGATACATCGAAAGCTTGTGGATAAAAGTTGGTAACTACAAAATAGTTCATGTAAAATACCAATAGCTCTTCAATCATGGACAACACCCAAAAATTAACCCATGTTAAAATAGTATATTGTACAAAGAGGGAAATTACAGGAGCCATCAAGTAAAGAAGGAATGCCAATCTGAATGCTCTTTAACAATGTTAATTTTGTTGAAAGATACAAAATAACTTACTTGTACTTCTTCATCTTGATGAACACTTCACTTTGGTTATCGTTACTGAACTGTTGTTCTGCAGCTTGTATTCTAAGTCTATCTATTGTTTGATTCTGAAATGTTTTAGTAATTTTGGTTTCATTCAACTTACCATAGCTATGATAATTGCAAAAGTGATTACAAATTTAACCACTCTGAATACCAAAAGGAAAATAGAGCAAATAGAGGAGTCCTTACAAAATGCATACATAATTCTTGTACCTAAATAAACAACAAAGCAGGAAATGAACAAAAATTTTGCCTTTGGATTGAGGGAATCTTCCATAATAGAATATCCAATTGAAATAGCTAATAACATGAGTAAAAATCCTGTATCTCCAAACACACTTATTACAGATAATGTAATATCCAGAGCATCAGACATTTTTCCTTCAATATTAATATATTCGAAATAGGTAAATACAGAGGCATGACTGATAATTTGCAAAATGATTGCTACTCCAATTACAATTTGAAGACGGAAAATATGTCTTTTGTTTTTCAAGAAGAAGAATAATAAATAGGTCAACAATGCTCCATTAGCAATCATCAAAGTGAAATAGATCAAAATGTAAGGGTGCTTTTGAGTACTCAAATGTTGTCCATTAGGATTAATAAGTTCCATATCTACTCTTATAGATAATGCTGCACTTGGTGCAGAAGGTTCACATTTCAACAAGAGAAGAGAGTAGTGGGAAGATGTATCAATAGTAATGGATTTTGAAATTGAATAAGAGTAATCATCCAATGCAACCAATTCATTATCAGAATAAGAAACTACAGCATCAATACTTGAAGATGTGATTGGAATTCTCTACTCTGATTAGAATAATATTTCAGTCAACTGAAACTTACCAATTTAGAAGGAATATCACACATATATTGAGCATATGAAGGATCACTATCCCACTTTGCCGAGTGTAATACTGCCCAGAATTTATAGGGAAGCATTACAAAAACAAGATTTGCAGAATCGGCCGACTATTACAAATTAAAAATCGAAATCCTATCAAAACATACTTGTTTAGTTGTAAAATTAAACTTGGCCAATCCTCCTGTTGAAAATCCAAAACCTGATCCTTCTAAATCCACAACATTATATTCAGCACCTGGTTGTATCGTAAAAATCTTACTTGAATAAATTCCAAATACATTATCTACACTAAATAATAAAATAGCTATTAATAAAACACCTAGAACATTCACACCATGACGATGATGATTGTGTTTTGAAAATAATTTAATTAGAAGAGGAAATGATGATGGTTTCATGATGATGATCGGAAGAGAAAATATTTTTTCAAGTCTTTGAGAAAACTCTTCCAATCTATTTTTATCAATTTTTTTTGTATTGGAAAATTGTTAGAAGATTTGCAAGGCAAAATAACAAACTCCATCTCGCTTTTGGGTAGGATGGCTTGTTATTTCATTAGAAATGTTCAATTAGAATAGAATAATATGAGATAATATACAAATTATTGATTTACTTTTTTGATTTACCAATGGCTAGCTCATTGAGATTGAGTGGTATTCTTTTAGGCTCTTTCATGAGTTCTGAAATACCTTGTTCTGCCTCTCCTCTAATCATATTAACAAATATTGATTTTGATTGTGGAATGGCCTCTTCAAAAGTACTATAAACATCAATACATTCAAGAGGATTATTCATTAATTGAACAAAAACTGCGCATTCCCTTGATGGTTCCTTGCTCAATAAATTATCTTTAACTTGATCCGAGTCCTCTTTATGTTTAGATAAATTAATTAAATCCTTTATATTTGTATGTTCAATTGCTGATGTATCTGTTTTAATAATTAATAAACCGTCCAATTTTAAATCTTTAATTGTAATTTCCAAAGGCATTTCAACTGGATATTGTCCAACCATTTGATTACCAATTCCTAGACTGTATCCATAATAACTTTGATTATTCGGAACTAATTTGTTAATTTGTGCTCTGGTTTTTAATTTAATATAACCATCTCCTTGATAGAAAAATCGTAAATGTATTTCTTGTTGAGTGAGTGATAGTTTGGGTAACTTTTCTATGGAAAATTTTGGAGTTACACTTCCGAATGAAAAATCACTCACAGACAATGGTGCACATAACATTGGATTCGGAGGACCCATATTCAAAGCTTGACTAGCTGCTGTTTTGATCATTTCAACGGTTGCTGTTTGATCCCATTGCGACCAATCAAGAAAGTGAAAACTCATTTTTTTTAATTTGTAAAATTAATAAAATATATTAATTATTACATTAGTATTAAGTGTTATTGGTGTTTTTTATACTGACCAGATTACAACTGAAATAGATTATGAAAGTGAATGAACGCCTGTGAACATGCAGGTCAGGAAATAGATCTTTAAATTCAATGAATAGAGACATTCTTAAAATCAAGTCTATTAATTTGATTGGCAAGAATCATTTGCATGATAAATGTTGTAGAAACTTTCCTCTCATAATGATATGTTGCATAGGATTTCCAAATTTGGAACTAAGGAAGTCTTGAAAACACGTGTTTTTTACTCGCGTTTATGATCTGTTTCTTCTTCTTTCATTTTCAAAATGCAACAAATGAATATCAAAAAAATGTGGTCACAGGCATGGGGTTGGTTAAACGATCATTGTTGCATTACAATCGATAATCAAAGGAGCTTATTGTTACATTACTTGCAAAAACATAGAGATGCACCATTTTGTAAATGGTTCAAGGAACAGACAGAACAATTTGTTAATGCAAAGGAAGAACTGACTCAATGTTTGTATCACTTCTCACAGCAACTTTATAGACATGTGGTTACAGAGAAGAAGTGTCATACTTTATTTAAATTTGATGAAAGCGCTGTAAAACAAACCGAATTGATAAGAAGAGTGAAATCAACCAATTTAAAATCATTTGAATTTGCCGAGATTGATTATAACAAGGTATTTAGATATTATGGAATTGATAAATTCATCCGAGTTGACTTTGAAGATGAAAGAGATTCCACAGTAATGCAAACAACACTGAAAGGCTTTTGTTTATATGGACAAATGTTCAAGCCAATTGGTGCTTCTTCAAGTTTACTTTCAGAGAGGGGAGTTTACTTTACATGTGAAGAGGATCCAATGAAAATGATGGACATCTTTGGGATCTATGCCTCTGAAATTGAAACCAAAATTGCAAGACAGTGTCTTAATTTCACTTCCACCAAAGAAACAATTCGTGTTCACAAATATATAGTAATTGATGACATTAATTCAAGAGATGGAAAAGGAATTGTGTCAGATGGTATTGGTATGATTAGTTACTCATTTGCCAAGGCAGTTTGCTGTAGTTTGAGAGATCAAAGCATTGATGGAAAATATGTTCACATTCCTCGTGCTTTCCAGATTAGATTTCTTGGATTTAAGGGAATGTTGACAGTATGTCCAGACAAGATCATGAATGGCAATCAAATCATTCTGAGAGAGAGCATGAAGAAATTTGAGGGGAATCCTCTTTTCAACAAATTGGAAATTGTTGAAGGATTGAATGAATCAGACACGGCAAATATTAATAGACAAATAATTATTTTGTTAAGTTCATTGCAAGTTAAGGATGAAGTGTTTCTTAATGCACAAAAAAAAGCCCTTGCTAGAAATAAGTGTCGAAATGATGAAGAATTTAGGGCAAGAATCAAGAATGCTAAGGAAAAAACAAAGTTTTTTATGAAAGATTCAGTTATTGCTAAAGGAATTTTGGACGAAACTAAACAATTGAAAGATAACCAAGTTATTGTCATTACAAAGAATGGGCGTATGGTTCCAGGTGGGAAAAAAGTTATTGTTTTCAGAAATCCTGGACTTCATCCACGAGATGTAAGAATATTCGAAACCGTATCCATCCCAGATTACTATCAGAAATGGTTTGGACATGAAGTTGATTTAAAAGGAAGTGTTATTATTTTCGCTGCCGATTGTCAGCAACACAACATTCCAGGTGAGTTAGGTAACTTTCATTTATTTTCAATTTCTAACTTGCAATTCAAAGATGGTGATAGGTTTTTTACCTCTTGGAATACTGAAATTATTCCACAAGCACAATATATTCAAAGTTGGTGGAGTAAAGCTAATGAGTTTGGCCATACACTTAAACAATTTGATCTTAAGAAATGTGTCAACACTGCACTTTCCAACTTTTCCCATCATCTCTTGAAAAACTATTGGTGGACTAGTGCTAATGTTTTTGAGTTTAGAATGAGTAGTAATGTAAGTTGTGAATGTGTTTAGTATAATTCCTTAATATTTACACGGAAAGATTGGAATAATTTGCAATACATGGGTTGTTGTATGTGAACAGGAAGGTGCAGACAGTCCTCGAGCAAAAGAATTGGCTGCCTTGTCAGATGTTGTTATGGAATCAAGTAAGAATGGTCAACTAGTAGCGCTTCCAGATTGGATACATGAATATAATGAGAGACCTGACTATATGGGAGGTAAAATAAGATCAACTTCAATTATTGGAAAGTTATACCATCAAAGTATTGCTGTTGAAGAGGAGAATTATCCAAAAACTGAATCTAAACAATACTATTCTTTAATTGGACGTCTCTGGAGAATGAGTATCTTTTAAATTCTGATGTTTCTTTCAATCTTTCAAAAGTATCATTCAGATTGAACAAGAGCTCAGTTCTAACAAGATCATAAACCTTTGAGAATTTGATGGATTCTTTTGCTTCATAAAGAGATATTAGTTGTTTCTTAACTGGTGATGGAAGATTGACTTCATATTTTGAAAGTGATTGAAAATAGGTTTCGTATAAGCGTTTGTACGAATCGAATGGCATTAAATCATCTTGTTGATGCGCCTCTTTCAGGTTTTGTAATTCTTCATACAGTAAGGCATTCTCCAAGGAAAACTCTTTAGAACAATACATTTCGAATAGTTCCTTGAACAATTCATCTTTCATCAATGCCTCAAATCTAACACTTTCATTATTTTCATCCGAATCTATATTCCTCTTTTTAGAAATATATCTTTTCCACTCAATAATAATTGCTGTTCCTCCAGCCAACATGTACGTAAACACAAATGCCACTGCTTTCAATAGTCCAACCACTATATCCTGATATTCGAATGGAAATGGTGAAATTATTGTAATGGAAACAGTTGCAATAATAATCACCAAAAAATAGAGCAAATCCATTCTCAACCCAAATGGATCTTCAAAGGTTAAGAATGTATAAATACCCTTATCCTTAATTTTCTTCCAATTGAGTGCAGCATCCAATAGAATGATAATTGTTCCAATTAATGTGCCTGACAATACTACAACCACGTACATGATATTGAATACGTATTGAGTATCTGAGTAGTAAATTCTGCTATTAATGAACGGGACACAAACAATCATCCAAACAATGGCATAGGCCATTCCAAAGAGTAATGATCCGACAATGCCGAAAGTGGAAGAAACTAGAATTTTGTGAATTTTAATTGAGACTTCACCCTTAGCTTTGGAAAGGAACAGATATAAATATCTTAGATAGGTGAATCTCAATAAGGAAAATCCGTAAACTCCAATAATTGCTGCAATTAAGCAAACAATAAAAGCACTCTTAACTGATCTGCATGTATTAGAATATGAAGAAAAGGCAATATTACAAGCAATTGTCAATAATGGAAGAATATATGGAGCCGTCAATCTTCTTTTGATTGATTTAGTGTTACAAACACTTAATAGAGCAACATAGAATAGAATTCCAATGACAATGGTTACTAAATTAATGGTATCGTATACAATATTAGCTGTTCTATTGTTACTCGAGCAAACTGTGTATGCGTCATTATACTTTTCATAACAATACATTGAATTGATTGTCATTTTTGAAGTTGACTGATTGTAATATTGTTGAGATAGAGTTTCGTATTCTTGAGTGTACTTTCTGCTTGAGAAGGGATAAAATTGTAAAGTGGGCTTCTTTTTCTTCAATGGTACATCATTATATTGAGTAAGATAATATGTTATAAATTCTCTTTCATAATTCGAAACATTTCCATAACCAGTTTCATATAACATGTATCCTAAATTTCTGTACAATTCATAATTACTTGTTCTATTGAAATATAACTGATTTAGTCCCAAATAAACAGTATCTAATTGATTTTTCACACTAGTTTCATCCAATACAGTTTCATTATAATAAACCGAAACTGAAATAGGCACTTGAAACTCTTTGAGGAAGGAAAAATCATTCCATTCATATAGACCATTAGTTTCTATCATCTTTGGAACTCCTAACACAAAACTTCCAAGAAAATCTTCAGAACTCATTACAAAAACATCAAATAATTCGAGTGGATTCCCAAATACACAATCATAAAACACCAAATCATAAGATTTAATACTACGAGGTATAATTATCTGTGATTCATTTGTCAATTGTTTGTTAAACATTTCCAATTGACTTTTAAAAATTGTTTCAGTGAGCGACAATCCTCTCACTAACAAATCAGATTCCTCATCATAGATATCTGTTGTGGAAGAGATTGGATTAATGATAACTATTCGTTTGTCATGTAAATCCTTCGGAGATGAAAGTTTGAGCTTGGGTGAGAAGGAAACGACTGTTAAATGATTTAATGCTGAAATTATGGTGATACTTGAGAGTTGTTGAAGTTGCTGCTTGATGATTGACTGTTTAATGTTTATGAGAGTGTGTTGTTTTAATTGTTGTGGGGTTGATTGTGCAAGTATGAGACTTAATGAAAAGATGTTTATGCACGCAAAGATACTCAAAAGAAGAAAGATGATGTTTGGCATTCTTTTTGATGTTGGTATTTCAAAAATTATGCGCCTGAGACGTTCAAATGTGCATGTTCTATTTGAAATGCAAAGGAATAGTTAGACCAAGTAGAACCACACCAGTAGTAGTAGAACAGGGTCCAATTGACCAATCATTTCCAAGTGAACACAATTTTACAATCCAATTAAAGTACTTTAAATAGAAAGGAATTTAATGAATTGGAGGGAAATTGACAGTTGCCTTACATCCATTATGTTGATGAATATTATCAATAAGAGCTTGGTCACATTTCTTCAATTGCAAAGTATTCTTATCAACACAGAATCTAATTTCACCAATGTTGGTACGATCACGTAAACAAGCAACAACTCCTGGATAACCAGCAGCAGCCAAAGCACTTTCCATTCTTTCTCTTTGATAACCTCCATGAGATGGAACAATATTAGATCCCTTCAAGGCATCAAGAAGATGCATCTTATTGAAAATCTTGAGAGTATTGGAGAAGTAGATATATTCCAAATTATCCAAAGTAGAATTAGAACAAGTACCATGCTTGACAAATTCATGAGTCCAGAAATGTTCATTGGAGTGATAGAAAGATGGCCACAACTTGTTCATTTGGTCTCTAATTGGAGCAATGGCATTGGCATCAAAATCAATATTCCAACAACATTCTGGATAGGTAGATGGATTGTTGTATTGTGGCCAGAGTCCTATTAATAATAATAATAATAATATATTGTTATAATAATTGATGACGTGATGATTGAAAAATTCATAAATTTTCATCGCATGCATTAAATAATAGTTTAAATTTCTCTACTATTATCAAATAGAAAATACTTACCATGGAGAGTAAAATCATTGACAAAATCTGGGACAGTGCATTCACCTGGCTTCTTACCGACACAAGCAGTACCTGGCCATTGAATACTGTGTAAATGAATTAGTTCATCATGATGATTATTTTACCTACCTGAGGAGGAAGTAGTCGAATGGTTCATATCTATTGGCAAAGGACTTACAGACTTCTTCGTTATCCTTTGGAGCATTGAATTTAATTCCTCCAATAGTAAATGCTTGAGCACTAATAACGAGAGCCAAAATTGCAAAAGTTGCGATCAAGATTCTGTTCATTTTTTTTATTGAAGATTTTAATTGATTTCTAAATCTGTGTAGGATAATTATTTACTGTAAAGAAATTATAGATGTGTTTGCTACCTTTCTGTTAGTACTAGAAGTTGTACTTCTATTTGTCGAACTATTTACACTCCTTACAGAGCTCTTTACACTGGTTCTGGAAGAGAGAACAGATAATCCAGATGCAGGTCTACTGATAATTGGCATTGAGAGCCCTTCTTCTTTCAAGTACTTTTCCAATGTATTTCGCATCACTGGATTTCCTTCAGTTATTTGCCCTAAAGTTAATAAGCTATTTTTGATTTTAAGTTTGGCATCTGTACAATTAATATCTTGAGTAAAGACTTCCCCATCTGGCGTCTTCTTAATTTCCTTAAGTTGACTCTTAAATAACGTCTTTTGAGTTGCAAGGGAGGTCAACAATTTGTTGATATCCTTTTCTAACAATTGCTTTGAGTTCTTAAGAGCATCTAGTTTTATCTGAATTTCTTTTTGCTCGATCATAACAGCTTCAAATTCCTTTTGTTTTCTTGTTGCACTTTCCTCGTAATCGTGTTGCTCTTGAATTCTTCTACTGGTAAGTGTGTCCAAGTCCTTACACTTATTTTCAAGTTCAACTTTCTGTCTAATGTCTGGATCGTTCAAATCAACCTTCTTATAATGCTCGTTATGGCTAAATGAAATTAAGATAAAGAAATCATTCAAACTTACCTAATATTATGATTCTTGAATAAAGAGAGAGTATGTTCCAATCCTCTGTCATGACTCTCAAGTTTTTGAATTTCTTCATCCAACTTGTCACCAATTCTTTGAAGTTCTTCTCTTTCTTGAATTGCTCTAATCAAGAATTGTGCTTGAGAAACTTCTTCACCATCCTCGTCTGGTTTCATTCTCTGAATCATAATGTTATACTTATTCTTAAGCTTGTCGATATGGACTCTTCTATTACTCAATTCAAGAGAAAGCTTTCTTCTTTCATCTTCGTAAGCCTTTAATTCTGCTCCTAACATTTCCTTGTGAGCTTTAACCTTTTGTTCCTTTTCAACATAGAGCATTTCCAATTGATATTTTCTGTTTTCTAAACCAGATACTTCATCGCTTCTTGCTCTCAGCATGTCTCTCATTCTCTTAACTTGAAGTTTTTGAATATCGTGTTGAACAAGTAAGTCTTCCTTTTCTCTGGACAACAACTTCATTTCTTCTTCAAGTGAATTGTTTTCTAAAGTGAGATCATGAACCTTTTCTGTGAGTTTAGCTTTTTCATCTTCTTTGATGTCAACTTCCTTTTTAATCTTTCTAACTTCACCAATTACCTTAGTCCATTCACCCTTAATCATATCAAATTGGGCTTCATGTTCATCCAAAGTCTTTTGAAGTTCTTCAATTTGAAGATTAAGCTTGATTTTCTCTTCCTCAGTTCTTTCGCCTTGAGCTCTGTTAACTCTTCTTTCCATTTGTTGAACTTGGAATTCAATGTTATAGAGCAACTCTTGTTGTTTAAGAACCACACTTTCAAGTTGTGAAATTTTTGATACCATGTTCTTATTTTGAGAGTTTGTTCCTCCTATTTCTGCAATCATGTTTGCCTCCTTTTGTCGTTCCTTGAACAAAGCCTGGGATTGGTGATAAAGTTGAGTCTTTAGTTCTTCCAATCTTTTGTCCATGTTTTTAAGCTTGGTTTCCTCTGAAACTAGGACATCTGAAACGTATTTGGATCTAGACTCCAGATCTCCCATGTAAACTTTACTTTCTTCCAATCTTGTGGTTGTTTCCTTCAATTGTGTTGTCAAAGCTTCAAGTTTTTCTTCCTTCTTTTTAATTTGGTCTTGTAAATATTTCTTTTCAATTCTCTTGTTGTTCAAATCACTCGAGCTCTTAGCTAGAGTGTTTCTAATAACTTCAAGTTCATCTTCCAAATCTCTAAACGAACGTTAGAATGCATTTCTTAATATACTTACTTGATATGCTTTTTGAGCTTTTCATTTTGGTCACGTAGTCCTTCCAAAACTCTTCCAGATTTATCTATTTGTTGTTCCAATTTTTTGTTATCTTGGACTCTATCTTCAAATCTCTTTGTATGCTCATACAAGTCCTCTTGTCTTCTTTGAATATCGTCTTTACCATTTGTCAATGCTTCTCCAGCCTTTTGAATCATTTCATCCCTCTTATTCATAGCTTCAATTGTATCTTCCCATTGTTGGATGAGGTCTTGTCTTTCCTTATGGAGGGCCTTGTAATCTTCTGCAGTTTTTTCTAACTCAATTTGAACAGATTGTGTTTCAGTAATTTCCTTTTCATATTCTGTTTTTTTGAGTTCAGTAAGTTTAGTCCACTTCTCACTATCCAAATTAATATCCTTAATTTTCTTTTCATCTTGTTTGGAATATTGTTCGATAATTTCTTGATCTTCCTCTTTTTGTTTTTCGGCTAATGTCCATTGTTCCAATTCTTCTTGATCAAAACCCATATTTGTTTTAAGCTCATCAATTTTTTCATTAGTTCTGAAAATTTCATTTTGAACCAAGTTGGTCTTTTTAATTAATTAATTAATTTTGAAATTAAATTTCTTGAATACTTACCTGATCCTGAATATCATTTACTTGCTTATCAATTTTTTGTATTTCTATTTGGAGTCTTCCCAGTTCTCTTTCAGCAACTTGTTTAAGATGCAACTCTGTTTCCGTTTCGCTATTCTTAGCTTCTAACAATGCTTGAGTATTTTGTGCTTCAACAGTTGCATTCTTAAAGTGCTCCTTTAATGTTGAAGTTCTATCCTCCTCCGATTTAACCTTCTTTTGTTTTTCATTGAGTGATTGTTGCAATTCATGAACTTTTGCACTCAATTCCTTGTTGTAGTCATTGAGCAACTCTGGTGGAAAATGATCGAAAGGCAGAGAGTCCATCTTTTTTTTTAATTTTAGAGGTTAAATGCGTAAATTTTTGGCGGGTGTTTTTATGATTTCTTGTTCAATTATTTTATCTCAGAGGTAAAACAATGTTTTTGAACGTTATGCCTTATCGCTTTTATTTCAATGACCAAGGCCCTTTCAATCACCATCAACTTTGTGTTGTAAGTTTCTTTCATGAATTACGATGATGTTGGTTGATTCTAAGCTTTAGGTGACTGTTGTACAACAATCCCAGAATCTTATCTTTGCGCCAAACTTATATTTCCTAACGAAAAAATGTCGTCTGATTCGGTGCTGGTATGTATTAGAAGAAGTATGAACAATGATGGATAACAATATCATCTCCTAAGGTTGCTGTTCGTGTTCGTCCTTTCAATGAAAGAGAAAAACGTATTAAAGGAGGAACACAATGTATTATTAATATGGAGGGTCCTCAAACAATAATAAGAGACCCAGATACTCATGGACAAGATAGACCATTTAGCTTTGATTATTCATTTTGGAGTCATGATGAAAAGAGTGAGGGACACACCCCACAAGAAAAAGTGTTTGATGAGATTGGTGTGAGGATCATTGAAAATGCTTTCCAAGGATATAATACTTCACTTTTTGCTTATGGTCAAACAGGAAGGTAAGTTTTAGATTGACAATAGGAATTCAAACTGTTGATAGTGGTAAAACGGTATGTGTCTATTTGAGGATTGTTTGGATTTTAATAGTATTTGTATTTTTACTATATAGTATACAATGATGGGAGTTGGAGAAGGAGAACATATGGGGTTGATTCCTAGAATTTGTAAAGCGATCTTTCATAGAATTAGAGAAGATGGAAATAAGAATGATGGAATTACAAGAAATTATAGAGTTGAAACCTCAATGATTGAAATCTATAATGAACAAGTTAGAGACCTTTTCAACCCAACAAATCCTTTGAATAATAAGGCTGGTTTGAAGATTAGAGAAAATCCTCAAACAGGTCCTTATATTGAGGGAATGGAATCTTGTATTGTACATAATGAGGACGACATTTTGAGGTTAATGGATGAAGGTAATAGGTTAAGAACTATTGCCAAAACAAATATGAATGATACATCATCAAGAGCTCACACTATTTTCCAAATTATTCTCGCTTCTTCTACTGAATCTATTGTTGACAATGGAACTTCTGCCTTTTCTGAAAAAGTTTCAATCATTAACTTGATAGATTTAGCTGGTTCTGAAAGAGCAGATAAAACAGGAGCAACAGGCGAAAGACTAAAGGAAGGATCATCTATTAACGTTTCTCTCACAGCCCTAGGTAATGTAATCAACAAATTGTCAGAGAAAGCAGAAAATCCAAATAAGAAAGTTTTTGTTCCTTACAGAAACAGTGTTTTGTAAGTATGAAGGTTGAATTCTCTTTACTAATAGAGTTACAGAACTTGGTTACTTAAAGAAAGTTTGGGAGGAAATAGCAAAACGGTATGTAATTCAACAAAAGTTGACAAGCTAATTTCCAAAAGATAATGATTGCAACACTTTCACCTAGCGATTATAATTACCAAGAAACTCTTTCCACCCTCAGATATGCCAACAGAGCAAAAAGTATCAAAAATAAGGCAAAAATCAACGAAGATCCAAATGCAACAGTAATTCGAGAGCTGAGAGATGAAATTTCAAGACTTAAATGTCTTCTTACACCTTCAAATAAGGTTGTCGATGACGATGAAAAAATTAAACTGAAAGAACAGCTTGCCTCAAGTCAACAAATTATAGAACAGCTGCAAACAACTCAGAAAGAAAAGGAACGAAGAACACACGAAATTGAAAAGGCAAGAAGAAAAGTTCTTGAAGAAGCTGGTATTGTGTTCACAGATATTGGAGATATTGTTCAATCAACTGACGCCCCAAGTTTGGTCAACTTGAATGAAGATCCAATGATGAGTGGTATGCTTGTGTATTTCTTTAAAATTGGTGATACATTCTTAGGTCGTGATAAGTCTAATAATATTGTTCTGAATGGTCTTCAAATCAAACCACAACATTGTATAGTTTCCAGAACTCCCGAGAATATAATAATCATTCCAATCAATTCTGCTACTGTTTATGTAAACGGTAAATTGATAACCAAGGACACAGAACTGAAGTGTAATGACAGAATAATTTTAGGTAATAATCACGTTTTCAGATTTACAGAAACAAGCTCACAAGTGGATGAAAATATCGATTGGGCTTTTGCTCAAGAAGAGTTATCTCAAGAACAAAAGAGAGCTATTGAATATGCTGTAGAAGAAAAAGAAAAAGAAATTGAAGAAACAATGAAGGCAAAACTATTGGAGATAGAGAAAGAATATGAAAAAGAAAAGTACAAACAGCAAGAAATTATTGAAAGACAAGTCAAAGAGTTAGAGGAACATAAACAAAAGCTTGAGGAAATGGATGAAAAAAAGAAGAAGAAACGAAGAAGTTTTAGAGACACTGTTAGGGGTGTTCTTAAAGGTCTTCACAACAAGCTTGTCCACAAAGAAGAAAAGGTCGTAAAGCCTCCTCCTGGTAATATTTCGAGAAACAGAATCGATGAAAATTTGGTTAGGCTTTTGCCAATGATTAAGGAAGCAAATGATATTGTAAAGGATTTCAATAAGAATATAAGATATGACTTGAAAATTCTGGTTAAAAATTCTGAACCTCTTCTGGGTATACAAGCAGTTGATAAGGAAAGGAAGAAGACAACAATGTGGTCGGTTGAGGAGTTTGAAACTAGACTTGTAAAGATGAGAGAAAAAGTTCTCATCATTAGAGAACCAGTCCAAAATGATCTTAACACTTCTATGACTGAAGAAGTTCAAGATCCTTTCTATGGCAGTTCTGTCGAAGTAGTAGGAACAGCCAGAATGGAACTGAAGCATTTAGCCAGAAGAACAGCAAAAGAAGAGTTGCTTCCTCTTCTTGATGTTGATGGTGAGGTAAGGGGCCACTTGCTAGCAGCAATCGTTCCATTGGTTCCAGGTGATGAAACCATGAAACAAACACCATTACCTGTTGAAACTCCGGATGATTTGATGGGCCAATCTCTTCATTTCCTGCTCAAGATTAAAGCTGTTAAGGAATTGGACTCACAATCCAAGGACAATTATGTTCGTTTCAAGTTTTATACTGAGAAACCAATTCATACTTCCAAGCAAACAGGAACAAACCTTTTGTTCAATTTCCATAGAAGATACTGTGTAAGAACAGTTAACGAGGATTTAATTGAATACTTGGAAGATGGCTTTATTCAGTTTGATTTGGTAGGAGAAATAACGCAAGAAGAAGGAAAATGGAATTCTCTCAGAAGAAAGAGTCTTTCCAGTTATGGTGGCTTGATGCAAGAAGCTTTTGCTAATTCAACCATGAATAGTTCTCAAAATGGATCAGTTGGTGGGTCAACAACTCCAAAGAGAAAAGCCATACCAAACTTTACACCACCAACAAGTCCAATTTCTCCAGCAAATTCCGACTTGAATCATAGTTTAGACACATCTGATACGTATTCTAATGCTAGTGAGTTGATAAAAGAAAATGAAATTTTGAAAGCAAGAATAAGAAGGTTATCCATTGGTGGCTTACCATCACCATCTAAGAACAAAACCGTAATACCACCTCAAGCAACTTCAATATCTTCATATAGTATATTGATTGTTAACTTTATTTCATTAACCAATTGTCCGTATGGAGATGGTTGTGTAAATTTCAAAGTTTCTCTTTCACAGGGATCAGAAGAAAGAACTTATAATGAAAAAGCTAAATCTGGCTTAGTGCCTTGTACAGTTGGCCAATTTCCAATCAATGAAAAGTTATCTTTCAACATTTTAGAGACTATCCAACCAGACAATGTGTTAAAGATCAAACTTTGCCACAACAAACAAGAAGTGATGAAATTAAGTACAACTATCGAAAGAATTTTCGAATTATTTAGATCAGGAAATGAAGAAGAGATTGCTTTTAATGGATCAACAACAAAACTGCAGTGGTCTTTCAGTTTAGATGTTTAATGTGATCCATTTTCAAATGGTAAAATCATTATGTAAAAAATGCAAATAAATATCAGCAACAATATCCAATTTAGAAATGAATTTTCAAACCTGCTGATAAAACGTGATGAAACGGAGAAGAATAATACAATGTTTCAATATTTGGTACAAATTCAAGAGGAACGGAACAGATCACCAAGACCACCTGTATCTACTAATGAAAATTCCGATGTGAGAAATGACGTTTTGCAATCACAATTTTTAGAAGTAATGCGAGACAAGGGTTTGTTTTTAATTAGATTTAAATTTATTTATTATTATTATATTTAAATTATAATAATAACATGAAAATTATCATATTGATTATATAGCAAGATTAATGGATCAAATTACGGAATTAAATTCTGCTCTCCGATCAGCAGACAAGTAAGTAATGATCATGTTGATGATAATTTCTTACTATTGTTTTATAATAGAAAAATTGAAAGTCTAACAAAGGAGAATAAAGAATTAGAAGAGAAAAACAAACAATGTAAAGAACAAGTGGAAATACATAGAAGAGAAGCAGATTTGTTTTTAATTGAAATTGGAAGAAGAGATGATGAAATTAAAAACATGGATAATTATCAAAAAACATATTTAAAGGAAGTGGATTCTATTAAATCTAAGGATTATATTCTTAATGAACAAATCAAACAATTACAAGCATCACTCTATCACATGTCAAATTATATCCAAAAATTAAATAATGAATACAAGACACAAATGATGAATGTTTGTAATGAACTGGAACATGAACAACAAAGAAGTTATTCACTTGAACAACAGTTAAATCAATATGTAAATGGTAAATCGGAAATATCAAATGTAAATAGAGTCGAGGAAATTGTAAGAGAAAAATATGAATATCAATATGGATTTGTAAGTGAAATAATTTTCAATTTTATTTATTTGTATTACAGAAAGCCCATGATTGTTCTGTAAACTGTGTACAATTTGATACAAATTATAATTTATTATTATCAGGAGATGAGAAAAATACTGTACAATTATGGAAGTTTAATGAAGATTTGAGCTTCACAAATATTTATACTATGAAAGCTTCATTAGGGTCAATCACTTCAGTGTGCTTTTCAGATGATGGATCTAAAATAATGGCAACTTCTAAAGATGGAATTATTAGGATTTATGATTCCTCTAAAAACTTTCATTTTTCATCTCTGAAAGGTCATACTAGTCATGTAAATAGTAGTATATTTGTAGATAATAATATTGCCCTTAGCGGAAGTCATGATAAGACTATGAAATTTTGGGATTTGAATGAATTGAAATGTACTAAAACAGTTCTAACTGGAAGTTCATGTAATTCAATGGATAAGATTACAGATTCTGTAATTATATCAGCTCACTTTGATAAAAAGTTGAGATTTACAGATACAAGAATACAACAACATGTTGATGAAATAGAAACAACTCACTATGAATCTATAACTTCTGTGGATGTATCATTTGATAGAAATTATATTGTTACCAATTCTAGGGATAATACTTTGAAAGTATTTGATTGCAGAACTAATAAGGAATTAACTACGCTTTCTCACCCTAAACTTTGTTGCAGTTCTGATAATCTTACCAAGGCATATTTCAAACCATTCTCAAATAATAGTATTTGTGTTCCCTCTAATGTTAACTCATTTATTGAAAACAGTAGTAACGGACTTTTCATTTTCAATATTAATAACAATTCGAGTGAGCATTTAGATCATAAAAGTAGAGTGAACGATGTAGCACTTACCAGTTCATACATTGTTTCAGCAACTACAGAGGGTAATTTTGAGGTTTACAAACAAGTTCAATAATTTGTACAAAGATATAAATATTACAATTTTATTCTCCAGTATTCAAGTTGGAATGGCTATTATTATTGGTAGTGTTATTAGTGGCATCTTCTTTCCTAGGTTCTATTTCATGTATTTGAGCATGCCAGTAATGTACTTGGGTTTTCACTGTAGTATGCAATGACTGATTATGAGTACCGAAAGAAAAAACAGGAGGGAAAAAGCTGAATTCTTTCCTTACATAGGATCCAAGAATTTTCAACTTTCTTTCTTCCACTTTGTCTTCTTCATGAAGGTAGGGTATCGAGGCTATGTTGATATCTGCAATTAGGTCATCCTCAATGTCCAAAGATACAATGTATTCTTCTGTTTCCATTGTTTGAAGATCTGTAAACATAATCGTTGAGTGACAAATTCCATCCTTATTGGTTTTTCTAGACGTCACCTTGAATGGAAGGAAAGTTATGTCATAACCTTGGAAAAAAACAGAGTCAAAAACTGTACATTCTTGGTGGAACTCGTCTTTAAGTCCTGAAGACAATTTGGCAAATGTTTGTCTTAATAAATCCATTGATCTTTTTCTTCTTGCAGTTTGCCACAACATTAAAAAGTCGTTACACAATTTAACAATTGCACCGTCAAACTTCTCTTCCTCAGGAGTACGAAACAGTGTTTTGATTTCTTCATTGCTTCCATTATACTCTAATGAATTACAATAATTTAGGGTTGATGATCTAGATGTGAATGGTCTCATATCCATTGTTATATTATCAAAGAAATGTGAGGTCAGGAAGGGTATTGGTTCAGCATTCAAAATTCCCTTATCTTTGTCGGAAAGTTCAACTGGAATCCATCCCAAGTTATCAATCCATACTTCAGCTTTGGAATGGAATTCAGTATAAATTAAAGATGGAGAGGTGCCATTCTTCATTAACTTTTTATGATCCTTCTTCTTATCACCTGATGGGCAAAGATATCCAAAGTGAGCTCGGGATGGAATACCGTTTGCTCTACATACAGAAATGAATAAAACGACTAAACCAATACTTCCTTCTCCCTTACTTTCAACTACCTCAGAAGCAGATGATCTATGGAATACGTTTGGTTTATACTCAACTGTGGACCATATGGCATTCAATGATCTTTGAAGGAAATCAATTGCATCCTCATCTTCCTTAATCTCTAGTTCGTGTTTCTTTTGCCATTTAACGAAGCCAGGATCTTTATAGTTATAGTGGTGTGTCTCTGATGTATAGAATATACTTTCCTTTGGTTCAAGTCTTTTAACTGGTTCGAGATTGATTTCAGACTCACTATTAATTGGAATTAGCTCTCTCTTAGTATATTTCCATGAAAAGGTAAATTCATGAACAGAAAACTCGTCCTCTCCTTGTTTTTCATTATACTTTACGAGATTACACAAAAACAACGGAAGAGGTGATTCTATATACTCTTGCTTCTTTTCTGGATGATTTCTAAAATCTTCACCCATTGCTATATCAAAGCTATCACTCGAAGATACAATGTGCAAGAGATTGTTTTGTTTTTTCTTAGTAGGTCTTTCCTGAAAAACGGAAGTTATAAAAGATGTTATTGTTGGTGTAGTTTCTACCTTAATATCAGTTTGATAGAATGGTATCTCAGGCGGTATGGCTGTACATAGTAAATACTTTTGATTTTTGTACATTGAGGAATACATGCTTGCTGTTATTCGCAAAGGTTCATGATACTTAATAGCATATTTAGTAGTGATAGGACTATTAAACTTGTGAATCAATGATGAGACACTAGTTTGAGCTTTTAAGACAAGTTCTCCAGCACCTTGATTACCTCCATTTTCTGTATTCCCTGTTTGTTTATTTCCTGTTGCTTTTTTAGGGTGAAGAATTGCAGGTGTTGGAAGAGGCTGATGACTCCTGGAACCCACGTTTTTATCTGTAACACAAATAATACCCATCTAAAACAATTGTATTCTTTTCCAAATAATAATTAATGATGAGGAATATTGTTGCCTGATGAAGTTGATGATTATACAAGTTGTATGAGTTGATGATTTTTATTCGCCTATAATGCCGATGATGTCAAACAATGAGAGCACCGCGATAAAAATTCAAGTAAACTTTAACGAACAAATTAATCGTAGATTATTTGGTGGGAAACAGGTGAGTGTTTCAACCAGTGCGCGTGCGTTCTGATATTTTTTTGGATTTGGTTTCCAAACAAGCAGATTTGAAGTGAGAGCACCACAGCCAAAGCTTTCAAAATATAAGGAATTTCCTTCTTCAAAGCTTGTGCTGATACTAAGTCGAAAGACGTCATTCAATGTTTAAGCGCCTTCAGCTCTGCACACTATCAAAATGGTCAAACGATATGAAGCATGCTCTCGTTGCTACAAGTCATCATCATAAACTGAAAATGAAGAAAATTCTTATGCAATAGATAAAGTAGGAAATTCCTTATATTTTGAAAATGTTCATCCTCTTCTCTCTTAGGGGGTTTGAAAAATTGTATAAGATATCACTACCTTTCAATGTATTCTATCTCGACTCAACTGAACATGAGTAGTTGCTGCTCAACGTCTAACGGTAAGTTTTTGGCGCAAAAAGGTGTCCAATCATTACAGTAAAATAATGCACTAAAACTGTAGTGAATAAACTTCTAAATAATCTTATTTGGTGGTGGTTTGAATTGATAATTATTATTTTGATTTTGACTAAAGTTTGATGATATTAATAACGAAAGCCATCTTTCAAAAGATGGCAGGCTTTTACTCAAAGCATATTGGGAACCTGGTATTATTATTTAATAATGCTTGGTTTCTCCAAGGTAACCGTTACACAAACATGGCGCCAAAAAAAATGGTGAAAAAAAGAAAAGAAGAAAAATCACAAAAAACACTTGCTTCATATTTTGGCACAGCAAAAACTATCAACAATCCAGCATCGTCAAGCCGAGACTCTGTGAGCAACACAACCAATAACAACAATGCTAACAATAGGTCATCTTCATCCACATCATCAACTTCAACCATTAAACGAAAATCGCTAGATTCCTCTCTAACAAAATCTCCATCATCAGCCAAGAGGAAAATAATTGATGATCCAATAGAAGTTGATGATGAAGATGATGATATTTTAATGTTAGGAAACAATGATTATCACTTTAAACCACTCTCTAGTACTTTTAATGTGGTGAGAAAGATTTCAAGTGCTCCTAAAAGTACTCAAATTGCTTCACTTGCCTTTACACCTGTGGGTTGTACTTGTGTTTATCCGTACCATTCACATTATTCACATGATCAGATTTATCAACATGCTATTAGAAAAGCACAACCTCCAACAACATCACAACTCTTTTATCGTAAATTGACAGGTATTCCCTTGTCTAAACATGTGGGACAGGTTTACGAAAGACAGGAAACTCAAAATTGGTTCAAGAACAAACCATCAGAATTGGCTAGATTGGTAGATATGGCAGACACACAAGCTACAGAATATGTTACTTGTATGGATGTTTGTGGAAATTCAATGGTATATGGAACACATAAGGGAAATGTAACAATGTGTAGTTTTGTAGATAGAGAACGATATTTCAGGCATTCATTCTATGATGCAAGGATTTCAAATGTAAGAATTAACCCTTACTTTTCAGATGAGCTTTCAGTTTCAACACTTTCATCCTACACAGGAGCTCTTTGCTTATTTGACATGACAACAGGAAAAATCAAGAGTACTGTTCTAAATGATAGTGTACTAGATTTTGAAAATAGGGATATGAATACTTTGATATTATCAAAAAAGAGTGGTAAACTAGATATCATTGATGTAAGGACAAAAAATACTAAGAAAATTCCAGTTAATGTGCCAATGACCAGTTCAAGCAGTGCTGCCAGTACCACTACTGCTTCTAATACTGCAAACAGCTCAATTCCAAAAACTACAGCACAGGGAGTTAGTGTTTTGGTTCCTAAAAAGAGTGCAAAAAAGAAAACAACCATTCACAATACTTCTGCTCCCATGTTTTATTCTGATCCTTTTGATTGCATTTCTATTGATAAGAATGATTCAAATTACATTTATGCATCATCCTTTCATAGTATGGATCTCAAAATTTTTGATATCAGAAAGAGTATGAACGACTCAGTTAGGAGCATTAATGTTTCGTCTAGCGTTCAAGAGCTGAACAATAGACTTGAAAAATCAATTATCAATCTTGAACTACCTGTACATCCTTCTATTAATAATGAATTCCGAACTGAAACAGGTCTCCAAATAACTGAGGTAACTCAATTATTTAGAGGTCCTAAGCAAAAATTTGCTGCAAGTAGTAGTGCTCCTTCAAAGGGCATTAAGTCATTTGGTACAACAAAGAGTGGATATATTCACTTCTTGACTACGAGTGGTGGAGTTGGTTTATTGGATCCTTTAACTAGGAGAGTAAGCAAATTTTATGAAGACTCACGATCATTTAGCTTGGGTTCTTTCAATCAGAAAGGTGATGTGATAGAGAGTGATAATGGATTATTTGTGTTAGCTCCATACGGCACTTCTGTAGCTGTATTGGATTGGAGTAGACCAAATATTTGTGAATGGGAAACTGTTGATAATGTAAGCATTAGGAAGAACTCTGCCGATATTCATAGGTCGATGAAACTTTCTTGTAAAATGTTTACAGGTACATGTAAAAACAACATCTCACAAGTAAGGGTTATGCATCCTCATGCACCAAATCAAAAAATTATTTGTTCAGAATTTGATAATAGACTTGTGTATTTTGATTCAATAAATTAAAGTTTTTCCAACATGGAAGAAATGAAATTATCAGAGTTAATAATCTTGGTTGTCAGTACAATGAAACGATGATTGGTAATTGATCTGAGAGCACTGATTTCAGCAAGCGTACAACCACCCAAAAAGAATACTACAGTAACATCTTGACTAGAAATTTGCATACCTGGAGAAACACTTTCACCTATGAATTCTACATGTTCAGTTCCTTTGAATAATGATTTCAAAGATTCCCATTTAGAATTATTAAGTGATTCTTGAATAATTCTACAACTCATTGGAGCATAGCCCGAGTGCACATAAGCCATATTCTTTTGGTTTGTTTCATCTGTCATTTCTTGCACAACTAAATTCAATCCCTTCTTCATTGTGGCAAAAGGAGATGAGGACCAATTGATTTTAGATTGAGATTTTTTGAGCAGACCTGCTTCTTCCAAATTCTTTAAAGAAAGAACAGCAAAATGTCCATAACTGTGTACAATTTCTTGTCTCAAATGATCATACTCAGATTGACTCAACCCATTTCTCACAATGCTATACAAACAAATCAATCTTAAAACAGAGGTAATACTGTCTTGTCTGATGATACATGATTCTATATACTCAATACATGCCTTTGGATCTTCACCTGACAAAATATCTTGTTCTGTACGAATTCTTCTTCTAAATTCTTGCTTTAAGGTTTCCTTCTTAATTTCTGTAGCAATGGTAATATGTGCAGTCAAATCCTTGTGCTTTTGTTGAACTTCAGGCAATAGAGTAAAGTAGCTTTTGATTTCATCTACAGCATTGAGTGTTTTTCTCTTTTCATAGATCCTATCAATTTCTTCAGTGATTGAACCCAATTTAGCACCAACACCAAGGAAGTTCATGTGACGAACTTGTTTGAAAACTTCGTCATCATCATTGAGTGGCAATCTTGTTGGAACTCTTTTAACTGGTTGCTGCTGTTGTTGTGATTCTTCCTCACCTTCTTCTTTCTTTACTGGTTGAGCTAAGAAAGGAATAGTTGCCAAGTTATTTTGAATTCTATAAAACAGATCAAAAAGACCTTCATAGGTCAATGGTGTTACGAGAGGACTCACCAAATCAACTTTTCTATCAAAGAATATTAAATTTCCAATACTTGGATTGATTTGATTTAGATTAGTTTCAGATTTGTGAGTCATTTCTTGCAAAATTTCAAAGGCCATTTTAGCACTCTTTCCCACATATTTGATATTTGGAATTATGCCATACACAGATTGTAACTTCATTATAGATCTTGCAACACTGTAAAGAGCTGAATAATCACCATCAACTTCAAATTCACGGAATGCATATGGTAATTCCATAGAAAGAAGATCATTATCAAATGGAATAAAATCAAGAGAAAATTCTAATAAAGGTTTTTGAATGTGTTGTAAAATGTTCATCTTTTCCAATAAAACTTCACAAATCAAAGTTCTTCTTGGCACAAATACAATGTAAATATTTGGTGGTGATGGTTGTGAAACAATATGATTAATTTGTGATGCCATAATCTTGATTAAATCAATTCTAGGTCTTGTCACATAAAATACACTTCCAACATTAGTTTTAAAATTGATCTTGTCTTGTTTGATTAATCCAATCTCTGGTTCAGTAGCACCTGTTCCTTTAGCAATGAAAAAACTATACGGAACAATTAATGAAAGTGGTCCAATCAATTCCGGATCAAAAACAAAGGCCTTATGAGGATTTGCAGTTTGCTATTATTTACATTTGATTGTATCATGATTATATAGTGTAAAATTAAATTAATAATTGATGATGATCAAAGTCTTGATGAAATAAGAAGACTTACCACCGAATCTATCATTTCTCTCAATTCATCGGCAGCTACTTTTCTAAATAATGATAAATTAACTGTACAATTTTGAAGTTTTGGAATGACTGATTTTACAGGTTTCTTTAATTTTCCTTGTTGATTTGCTTCATCACCCGATGATGATGGGTTGCCATTTGACGTGGATGGAAGCATTTTTATTTAAATGAATTTTAAAACAAATTATCCATCATACCATAGGTGAGGAGATTGACATGAAATTAATAATTTAAATCATGAAAATATTATTATTTAAATATTCATTTAAATATTATTTAAAATTTGTTTTCTAATGATACAACTTTGGAACTTTCATCTGACAAGCCAAGCTTGGGAATGATAAACATTTATACAATTTGAAAGAGTGCAAAGAATAATTGCTTCCGGTTGGCGTTCTAGAGAGGATGAGTATTCTTTCTAGCAAATAGAAGCTTTGTGCATTGTTCATGATAGCCAGTATTAAGAAGTTTGAACTTTACATGTTTGGGTAAAGTTTCACCAAACATGCCCTTCTACCGTTGCTGCAAACTTACTCTTTATGTGCCCAAATGAAGCTGTATTATGAACGTTGTGTTCGACAGCTTCTAAGCTTGTGTGCGTCAATAATAGTGTAGTAAGGTAGAAGCACTGGGGAAAAATGAAATAATATTTTAATCACAAAGAAAATACAAAAGAACAACAACGTTTGTGAGGGTAGTATTGGAGAAGTTTAAGTGTAAGGCTTGGAAAAATATGATGCATAGTGTTGTTGTTGTTAATGATGGTGTTGCACCATTCTATAAGAGGAGATGGTGTTTAAGAACATCATTGATTGGTTTATGTTTGATGGCAATTATTCTTTTCAACATTGGAGTATATTGCAAAGAGTATGTAGAATATGAGCGTATTGATTTTTAATCTCTTTATTCCGATTTTATTAAAATCATCACATTCTTAGTATTTCCAGTAAGCTTGAATCAGTAAGCAAACAAGATTGGGAAAAACTTTACTCAAAAGATACTATTCCATCAGTAGCCTTTCTAGCTTTGAAAAATCAAAATAATCTTAGAAGTATTTCTATTGATAAGAATGGATATGAACTAACCAATGATAGAAATCTGTTAAATAACCCTTCACGTTTAAGACATCTTTCTAGAAAAGTGAAGAGAAGAATTGATGGAAGGGATGTTTTGGAGGAACCAAATTATCAATTTATTGTAAAAATCAAAGATGGATCATCTATTGAAAATACGTTCATAAGAGAAAATAACGTCTTGTCTGCTAACATTTACTCTGTTGTTACTACAGCAAGTCATGTTACAGAAATTGTCAATAATAATGAAATTGAGTGGATTGGAGAGTATGAATCTAGATTTAAATCAACTTTTGATTTCCAAAAATTGCAGTCTTTGGCTTTTGAAAGAAAAAGAACCCCTCCAAAAAGATCGTTGAGAAATGTCAGTAATTCGACAAGAATTTCTCAAACATTCGAGCAATCAAACCTGATTAGATTTGTTATTTCAGTCATTCCATCTGTTCAATCTATCACATTGGGAACTCAACAACAAGAAACTGAGAAATTGGTGAATGAAATCAATACAATACTTTCTAAAAAGTATGTGAAAGATGTTGATTTTGCGCCAATGATCCTTGTTTCTGAAAATGTGTGTGAAATTGCATTTTCACCATTCATTGCTTCCTATGTTGGATATATTCTCACTTCTCATCCTAATATTCACTTTGTTCAAAGAAAGTTGTCCCTTAGTATTTCTAACAAACATTCCCTCGAGATTGTTCAATCTGCTCATCCATCTCTTCCTCACGAAACTCCATTTTACAATATGGGTATTTATGGAGCTGATCAGATTGTAGCCGTTGCTGACACTGGGCTTGACTATGATCATTGTTTTTTTACTGATAACAATCATTCAGGGGCTCCAACCTCCCTTAATTTGAATAGAAGAAAGGTAGTTAGGATTAGAACCGCTTATTCTGGTGATGCTACTGATGTTACTGCTGGACACGGAACTCATGTTGGTAAGTTTTATTTGTATTATTAACATTCTTACTTGTTTTCAATGCAGCTGGTAGTGTTGTCGGCTCTATGGAAGCCACAAACCTTGGAACTGGCGTAAATGCCTTTCATGGTGTTGCACCAAGTGCCAAATTATATTTTACGGACTTGGCACCAGCAGATGGAAGTGGATTATATTTCCCTAATGATATTACTGACCTATTAAGCACTCCATACACAAGCAGCGCAACACCAAAAGTATTTTCGAACAGTTGGGGATGTTCTATTGGTGGATATGTGGATTGCTCTTATGACTGTACTGGATGCACACTAACTGCAGATAAAGCTCCTTTTAGTGCTGGTGATTCTGTTACAAACGATGATTGTAAAACCCTGTTTGGAGTTGACACTTGTTGTGATGTTTGTAATACCTATGATGATTATGCCCAAAAGTTTGATCAATTTATTTGGAGCCATCAAGATGCAACAGTTTTGATTGCCCAAGGAAATGATGGGCAATTATCCAGATTTGGAAACCTTGGTAGTAAGTATTCAACTGAACTAGTAGTTTAATGTTTACATTTAACAGCCCCTTCCACTTGTAAAAATGGTATTTCTGTTGGAGCTCATGGAAATTCAAACGCTGGTTTTGTGGACAGTGCCACCTACGAACCATCAGCAAATAGTTATGTTAGCTCTTATTTGCAATATACAAATATTTATAATGAAAATAACCTTGCTGCATTTTCTTCCAGAGGTCCAGCTATTGGAGGAAGAATTAAACCAGATTGTAAGTTTTTTTTGGGTTTGATTTTGGATAAATATTACTGGTCCCATAGTTGTTGCACCTGGATTCAAGATTGTTTCAGCTCGCTCAGACGGTTCTATTTCAACATCTCAATGTGGTGCTGGTTCCCCATCCATTTCAAACAATGCTGCCCTTATAACAAAAAGTGGCACATCAATGGCAACACCGATATCCGTACGTTATTATCATTATTATCTATTATTATTATTATTAATTACATTGTTAATTACAATATTGTTTGCTGTTGAAATGATATTGAATTAATGCAAATTTGATAAATATGATACTCTTTGTGTGGAAAAGGCTGGAGGTGCTCTATTATTGAGAGAATATTTTATCAAGAAGCTTGGAATTTCAGCTCCAAGTGGACATTTAATTAAGGCTGCAATGATTCATAGCTCAGTTCCTCTGAATGGTAGTGTTGCTTATTCAGACGATGAATTCCAAAGATTCAGTATTAGTGAAGCCTTTGGAACACCAAACTTTTATGAAGGATTTGGAAAAATTCAACTCGGAAGTCTTTTTAGTGATGAAAAAGGAAGAAATGTAACACTATCTATTTCTCAAGAATCATTTACCAAGTCAAACCAAACATTAAGATCGTGCTATAGATTGAAGAAGAACGTAACTGAATCATCAACATTCAGATCAACCCTTACTTGGTATGACTATTCTTCAAGTACTTCAGTATTGCCAAACATTATCAATAACTTGGATTTGATTGTAAATGTATACAATTTGAATAGTGAAACCTCAGAATACTCATCTTCACGTGTATTATACGGAAATGGTGGCTCCTCTATTGATACAAAGAATAATGTAGAGAGAGTAACAGTGCAATCAATTCAAAATGTTCAAGATCCTGAAAGCAATATCATGCTGAGTGTTCAAGTGTTGAATAGTGGTATCACAGGTTCTTCTCAACCATTTACCTTACTTTCTTCCTTTGTGGCTGAATATTGGGAAACTCTTCCAACAGAAGATTGCCTTTTTGAAGTTGTTCCACAAGAATCTTCAAACACGTCAACAACCAATTCAACTCTCTCAAATTCTACAGTTACTGATAATACTACTCAAATCTTCCAAAATTCTACAGACACTTTAAACAGTACAGAAAATTTGAATAGTACAGACACTTTGAATAATACAAACACTGATAACAGTACACTTACAAACACTACAACAACAGATAATGCTACCAGTGTTGTGAACTCTACAGATTTGAAAAATTCCACAAGTTTCAATGAGACAGAAATAGATAATGTCAATGCTACTCACTGTTATGGTTATGCTGACACAAGTCGTCATGTTTGTTCATCTAATGGGTTGTGTATTGCAGAGAATAATTGTTCTTGTTTCGATGGATATTATGGAGATAATTGCGACTTCCCCATTTGCTTTGGAAGTTATAATCAAACTGAGTCATGCTCTGGACAGGGAGTTTGTATAGCTGCTAATTCTTGTAGATGTAATAGTGGTTTCAAAGGAGAGGATTGTTCTGTTATTACTTGTAATGGTAAATCTGAAGAGGAGGGAGGTTGCACCCATCATGGATCTTGTGTTGGTCATGTTTGTGTTTGTGATGGTAACTTTGAAGGAGTTTCATGCTCGAGATGTAAAGCAGGTTTCAATGGCTCAAATTGTGATATTCCTATTTGTAATGGGTTATTGTCCACTAATAAGGCTGTTTGTTCTTCTCGTGGTACTTGTGATGTTGGTTTGAGCTTAATGCCAGAATGTAATTGTACTAATGGTTATTCTGGTTTGAATTGCGAGTTTACTTCTTGCAATAATGTTAATTCTTCAAGACCAAGTGTTTGTGGTGGAAGAGGAAAATGTGTTAATTTTGAAGAATGTACATGTAAAGGAAATTATGATCCTCAACAATATTGTGAAAGGTGTCTTCCAGAATTCGCTGGTACCCATTGTAATCACAGTGTTTGTTATGATAACGTAACATGTAACTCACACGGTGCTTGTAATATTGAGGCTGAGTGTGAATGTTTCGGTAACTGGACAGGATCCAATTGTGACCGTTGTAAGGAAGGATTTGTTGGTGCTGACTGTAATATAGAATGTCTTGCAAGCAAAACATGTAGTAATAGGGGTACTTGTAATGATGAGGGAACTTGCTCTTGTAATCCTCACACAATCGGTGACAGCTGTAACTCTTGTGAGGAGGGATGGTATGGAAATGATTGCAATTATGGTATTGACTCCAATTCCTTTGGATTTAATTCTAAGGGACATATTATTTATGGTACAATTTTCTCAACTTTCAATCAACAAGTTGCTTGTGGTAATGTGATTATTGATATTTCTATGCTTGGAAGCAACCCAACTTGTATTTTGAATGGCACAAAGAGTACTCTTCAAATTAACTTGGGATCTTCTCCAACAATAGTAATTGGAGACACAATCTTGCTTCGCACATATCCAGGATCAGCAAGCATTGTTAGTGTCAATGTTACCCAAAAAGATTATATAATTGTTCCACCTGTTGCTAGTGTAAAATCTGATAAGAGCTCTATTGGAATAGGATGTGGAACTGTAACATTTAATGCATCTGCATCTACTTCATCAGATGGTAGAAAGTTAACTTATTCTTGGTATGCAATTTCTGCCCCAAGCGAAAGTTCACGCTCAACTTTAAATAATCTCATCAACAAATCAATAACATCTAGTGTTACATTCTCACCTGATACATTAATTGTGGGTACTTACAAAGCACAAGTGAAGGTAACAAGCTCATTCTCTGGAAACTATTCAACAGCTATTGTTTCCTTAACTGTAACGGAAAGGGCTTTACCTCAACTTACAATTAAAGAAGGTGTTGAAACTAGTTTCATGATTGGAAGTACAGCTATTATCACACCAGATATTACATTCCCTGTTTGCTACGATGCATCCCAAACTGTGACCTATGTCTATAAGTTGAATACTACAACTTCAGCTGATAACGTTGTAATTAAGCAAGATGGACAATTTTTGGTATTCAGTGATAGTTTCACTAAACTTACAAAAGAAGGAGACTATTATTTTACTCTTTATGCTGCTGGTGTATCTATTTCATTCAAAGTGACTGCTAAGGCAACACCTCTTAAGGTCTCTTTCAATATTGGGGATATGTCTCAATCATATGAAGATGATGTTAACTTTATTGTTTATTTACAAGATCCAAGTGATTCAACTGGAACTACAGGTTCTTTGGCTCTCACTTGTTATGAAGTGGACACCTCTGGATCGTGTGATGGTTTCAGTTCTGCAAGTTACAAATTTGCTTCCAGTATTACATTTAATCGTGCTATGCAACCTGGTAATTATTACTTTACTGCTAAATTCAGCAAGGGAACAAGAACTATGGCTGCTTCACTAAAAGTTAAGGTACTTAATGTGGCCAAATCAACTGTTTTACGTGTTGTCATTGTAACTCCAAGTGATGTCTCTACTTCTGTCATTGATCCAACTAGTGATCTCACCTTAGAAGCCTCTTCAAAGGATACCCTTTCATCTTCCAGAACTTATCAATGGTCAAGTTCAAATCTTGTGTTACCATCCACCTCCAACAAGTACCTTGTCATTTCCAAATCATTACTTTCTGCAGGAAAAACTTACACTGTCAATTTGAAGATAACAGATGGCTCCAAGTCTGGATCAACTTCTCTTACATTTACAACAAATTCTCCTCCAACTGCTGGAACCTTTGCAATCCTTCCTTCAACAGGTGTAACATTGGTAGATCTTTTTGAACTTAATTGTGCAAGTGGATGGACTGATGTACACTTACCTCTAGGCTATAAGTTTATGTATAGGAAGAAGGGTAGCAGTGATGACTGGATGGTTTTATCTGCTCTTTCAGAAAAGAATAGCATTTCCACCTACATGCCTGTTGGCATTTGGCAAGTAAAGGCATTAGTTTCTGATTACTATGGTGCAACATCAGAATCCATTTCAGAGGTAACTGTTACAAAACCTCAAGATGTGGCTTCCACTATTGAGTCTCTCAAAATAATTCAACAAGGAACAGTTTCAGTTTCAACTGTTTCATCAGTGTTATCTTTGATTCAAACTACCACAACTCAAACAGAATCACAAAAGCAAGCTTTGACACAATCTGGTACCACCTTTATTCAAAAATTCTTTACTCAAATTGAATCAGAGGAAACATTTACATCAGTCACTCCAGCCTCTATTTCTTCAACAATATCTGTTGTATCTTCAATTAGTAACTCACTAAGCTACTTGGAAGATACTGCTGTTTCGTATGGTATTAATAAGTTCTCAGAATCAATGGCAAAAGTTAATGAAAAGGACAGTATTATCATGAAGTCCAGTGATATTGATTCAAGTATTAAATCTGTAGATACTTTCAAGACATATATTTCTGCCAAGGTCTCTACAAGATCTTTAAATTCTTTCTCTTCCTCTGACTTGAAGACTATTCAAACAATTTACAACAATCTTGTAGACATTAAACTAAAGACATTGGTTGCTGATATGCCTGCTGTTAGAGTTACAGGTGTTAATTCATACAGATATGCCAGACTGGTCAGTACAATTACACTTAATGGATTATCAGAAAATGTTACACAATCAAGTGCTCAACCATTTACTCTCAGTTCAACATTCAGCTCACTTAGTGAATTACAAGGAGTTGAAAGTGTTACATTGTCAATGAATTCATACAAGATGTCTAATACCTCACTCTTACTTGCTACTAAGGCATTAGATTTCAAGATTCTAGTTGATAGTACATCAAAAAACATTATTTCAAGTTCTAATATTGCTCAATTATCTTTGGAGAGAGTATCCGGAGCTAGATCAGCTAAGACAGGAACAGTTCTTGAATGTAGAGTAGAGACATCTTCAGGTATATTCTCAAAGGCGTCAAATTGCACAATTAATTCATCAAACTCAAATACCATAGTAATTTCTGTTAAAAGTACTGGTATTTATTTGGTGGTTAGTAGTCAAGATACAACACCAACACCTGCAACAAGTGTTAACCCAACAACAAGCGTACCAATGGCATCTAATATTGATTATAGTATTACCTATATCATTATTGCAGGTTCAATTATTGGAGCAGTCATTTTAATTTCAATCATCTCTATAACTTTACTGTTCTGTATTCTATCAAGATTGCTTAGTAGAAAGAAGAGAAGAAAGGATGCCAAGAAACAAATGGAATTGCAAACTATTGAAGTTACAAAATTCCAAAACATTCTTCGCCCTCCATCCAATTATTCTCTTTCTTACAGTAATAACAACTCACCAAGACCAGCTAATTTTACCTCTCCTAGATATTAATTGTGAAAATAAATAATTTTAATTTAATTTAAAAAAAATGACCGATTTTGTTAATAATGCATACGGAAACAGATGCGCAGACATCTATAGAGATTTGAGAAGAGAAATTCATAAACAACATAGGAAGGATCAAGAATTACCACTCAATCATCCACTTTATCTTAAATTCCATACTTGTTTATATCGTCCTTTTTTAAACAAGGATATGCATGCGGAAGTTAGAAATAATTTAAATAATTGTTTAATTAATAATGATGAAGATTATTCAAAATGTGAAACGGAAATTAATCAAGTTAAACAAATCGGAAATGAGGAATTACAAGAAAATATTTTCTTTGACTATCATAACACTGTTAAAGTACAAAATTCTATCAATCAATGCAAAGATAACTTTGCAAAAGCTAAAGAATTATTATGTGATGCATTCCCTGAAAGAAATGAATGTGTTCAAATCAAGGAAAAGACATTTGCCTGTATTTCAAAAGTTGCTTGTTCCGAATTACACAAACTTTCTAGTGAATGTTTCAATGAAAACGAAAGAATGGAAAATGACTCTCTTTGGAAGTATATCTTCAAAGGACAAGATGTTCAAACTAAACAATCCTTTGAAAAACATTGTACCAATATTCAATCAGATTTAATTAGATGTTTTGATAAGTACTACTTGTTAGGACAAGTCATTAAACAACACCCAGAACAAGGTCAATCTATTGATGAAGGAAACTTCAATTTCTATGGTCCAATTACACCAGACCAACTTAGGAGAAGACAAAAGGCTTTGGAAAAGAAGATTCAACAAGAAAAGGAACAAGAAAGAAGATACAGAGAACAACAATAATCATCTTCTTTTCCGATCACAAATTATTGATTTTAGAAAATATCATTAATAATTTGATTATTATTTATTATTATTGGATATTGGAATTTATGACGAAAAGAGGTGAAATGAATTTATTCCATAATTATTAGGTTCATAATTATTAGGCTATTATTTTAGTGGACATTCTTAGAGATTTGAAAATTTTGTTTAAAAAGAATTTAATAAACTTTTGATATCATGTTTATTATCTGTTATGGTGATGAAAATCTTGCATAATGTGTACACGTTCACTTGACCCTTTAGTATTATTATCATGAAAAATTGGCAAGTCCCCTGTTTGAGAAGGTGTGATTGTCATTTTCTATCAATTTTGAAGTAATATTTACTCAACAGCTAGATGTAAGGGAAATTGAGTTTTGCATGTTGTTATTAACAACGAACTAGCAGATGTTCATAAATCCAACTCACCAGATATGTTGCTACATAAGACTCTAACCCTAAATTTGAGATTTTTGCTATTGCCTTTTCAGTTGCCTCTGTTTCATCTCCGTTTTGGAGAAAATAAAAATTTATATTATCTATTAAAGTTCCCTTAATTAGAAGGTGATTAGGAAGATCATTAATTTCAGGTCCTTCTTGATGAATGGTCAATAATTCTCTCGTGGCGACCACTTACCTGGGCATTGTTTTTTCAAACTTACACCACTATTAGTACAGTTTCAGATGAGGTTTACTTGTTTTGTTTTCTATTGCTTGCATTAGAAACAACAGAGGAAGGTTTCTTCTTGATGGCCTTTGGTTTAAATTTATCATTAGCTTGCTTCCATAGATTTTCAAATTCATCCTCCTTTTCAATCTCAAGTGAATGAGACATCAGGGAAGGTCCCATGGGCAAGTTTTGATTTCTAGCTTCCAATGTCAAGCACTAAACTTCTTCCACAAAAGTGAGCTGAAGAATTTGTCGAATGGTTTCTTTAGCCTTCTCATCTGGATATTCTTTTGATTTTCCAGAGACGTTTTCAACCTCAACAAAAACCACATCTCTGTATTCCGTACAGTGGATGACAGAATAAACACCATTGTCTTCGCATATCATATTAATCATAGTTTTCTTATGAGTCCTTGGCTCACCAACATTGAATTTGATACAAAATCTCAATTCACAGCTCAACATGCAAATATTTTTTGTTATGAATTGCTTCTGGTATTCCTAATGTTTGCTTTTCTGAATCGTATGTTAGCTTGGCTATTAATACAAACTAAAGACAAAAAAAATGCCTCCAACAGCTTTCCATGAATCGCAAAGAACCTACGAACAAATAGAAAGAGCTGCAAAGGATACATTGGATAAAATTTGCGAGTTTGACATTAAATTATGTTCTTGGGAAACATTACTGAACAAGTATTGTGTTTTAAATAAGAATTTGGAGACTATACAGTCATTGATCAAGAAGGATGATTCAAATTTTAGGATGGCTTTATTATATCCGAAGGATGAAAATGTAGATAATCTTGTTAGAATAACAAATATTTTGAGTGTGTATACAAATGATCTTCAAAAAACAAAGGAGACAAAAGAACTCCCTCAAATAACTAGTAATAATCAACTTGCATATTCATTATTAAATCCTTCCGAACAAATAGAAAAACGATCTAATCATGATGATATCATTTCATCATGTTCTGCATTTATTAAAGAGAATTGGAAATTTACACAAAGTAATACTCCATTGCCGAATGGTAGCGCTGGTAATAAGAAGGCAAATACTCAACAACGTCCTTATTCAAAACTTGGAGAATGTAAGGAGTTATTGACTGCTGACCAACAAAGATTTGATGTATCTATAAGAAAGCAAGCAAAAATGAGGAATAATACTCTGTTATTTTCAATGCAAAGGGGAACTAGACTTCAAAATGATGACAAAACAGATATTGCTCATCTCAAAGACGCTGAAAAGAAGAGTTTTGCCATTATGCACGTTTCAAAGAAACCTGAACGAAAGGAAGAACCATTCAAAGTTAATTTACCTGTTCTTACTGCCAATAACAATAATCCACCAACACAAATGCCTCAACCTCCTCCATCAGGAAAGATCAAAATCTCAACAGTTCATAATCCATCTATTCCAGTTAAAAAAGAAGTTGAAACACCTGGTCAAGAATCCAAAAGAGCTACCCAAAAGAAGACCACGCCAGTCACAAGTAGACAACCTGTCAAAAAATCACCAAGTGTTACAGCTCCATCTCCAACAGTTAAAACACCATCACCTTCGACAACAGCCAATCCCTCATTCATTCCTCCTCAAGGTATTACACCTCCAATAACACCTCAAACTCCAACAGCAGCTGCTGCTCGTGCTAGGCAAACACCTCAATCTGCAACCACTACACCAAAGAATATTCAATCTCGTCCTCCAGCCATGTCTGTAAACAATATGGGAACAACTGCAAGTCCTACTCCTGGAAGTAATGGTAGACCACAAGCATCACCTAATGCTAATTTACAAAATCAATTATTTAACATGCAACAACAAATGTTAAGAGCTGGAGCAACTCCTGGCTCCTTCCCAATTTCTCCAATGGTTTTCAGACCTCAAATGAATGTTGCCAACATGACAAGAGGTAATCCAACACCATCAGGTTATCCAAATGTAAGATTTACAGGTAATCCAACCCAATTTGCTGGTCCTCCTTATTTCCAACTCCTCCAACCAGGTCAACAACAACCTCAACAACAACAACAACCTCCTCAACAACAACAACAGAAGAAATAAATCAATTGTACATTCATTTGACATTCGTTTCCTAATTTCAACTATTAATGAAAAAATGATTGAAGAATTGACCATAGAGGAAGAGGAAAATTCGCAGCAACAATCATCTGCATTGTCACAACAGGAGGAAACAATTCAATTGGAAGAAATTGGAATTGCTATAACAACCCTACCTCCATCATCACTTGCGGAAGAAGAAGAATCAATTCACTATCATCACAATATAAATAATAATATTAATAATAATACAACGACAACAACGACAATAATAGAGGATGAGGATGAAGAGGATGGAACTGCTGTTGTTACATACTCATCCAACATGAGAGTACAACAAGAGCATTACCAGCAACAGTATCAACAACACTACACTGATGCTGATCATCACTCAGTTGTTATTCCGATCCCTAGCAATAATATCAACCACTTTTCGCCCATCTCTATCATTAATTGGATTCAACAGAAATTGAATTTAAATTCCAACACACCAGCCAAGTCCTATCTACCACCTGAAGTATGCTCAAACATTTTCTTATATGTTGATTATGAGACATTGTTCTTCTCTGTTCGATTGGTTTGTAGGAGGTGGAAGGAAATCATTGAGGAAGAGCTCATGTTTGGACCTATTTCAATACTTTATGAAATTTTGGAGGAAAGTGAAGAATTGGAAGTTTTAAAAGCAAAAGAAAATGAAAAGAATCAATCGACCACTACTACTACGAGTGCTGCCACTGTTGCTGGTACTACTACTACTGTTGCCACCACTGGAGCACCTAGTGTTGGCTCGAGTTCTACCATGGTTAACATTGATGCAACAAATGAATCAGAAAATAATTCAACTGATGCTACTACTACTGCTGCTAATGGAAATAGTGCTGAACAGATGGCAGATTATTTACTCCTCACTGATGAACAGAAGGAGTTGAGAGTGAAAAAGAATTTACTCTCATTTGTTTTGAATGGAATTTTACTGAAAAAGTATAAATCATACGTGTTGGGATTTAAGGATTTTGTAAATCAGACATTTTTGAATTTTAGAGCTGCTGAGGAAAGTTATATATCCAAGTTGCCTTACCCTATTAAACCTCCATCTCAGGTTTGGGATAAATTGGGAGTGAGGAAGGATAGTGTGGATTTCCTATTTTTGAGAGCTATAGCATACGAGTTTATTAGTGATGAGGAACAGTTGGAATTTGATGAATTTTCAAAAGAGAAGGAAATGAACAGTACTGCTGCATCCTCATCGGTTAATATTGTGGAATCTGAGAATATGAACAAGAGTTTGATCAGCAGAGTTCCATCAACTATTTCAATTGTATCACAAAAAAAGAAGAAGGGGTTCAACTGGTTCAATATTTATACAAAAGTGAGGAATCAATATTTATCATTTAATGAGTTTCTGGAAGATCGAAGAGTGTCAATGGATAGAATGTATCAATTGACTAGATCACTATATTTTCCATTATCCTACCTATTAATACTAATATCTACTCTACTAATTTTCTTAAAATTTGCATTCATTGATAATAATCTACATGCATTAGGTTATGAATCATTGGAGCTACCTGAATATGATTATTTTTGGTTAATTTGCTTTGCACCTCTTTTGATTGCTTGTGCACTACTCACTAACATACCACTGAGTGTAATTTTTCAACTTTTTAAGGATTTGAAAACAGTACGAGAGGAATTTGGAATTAGAGACAAGTACTTTAAACATTCGAGGAATTTGGAATTTTTCTTGAGAATTAAAAAGCATACCTATATTGGAGAAATATTGAGAAGGATACTGATACATGGCGGTGTTCTGTTTACAATAATTGGCACCTCACTAACACTGATTTTATATTGCTTTCGAATGGTTTTACCACTCGCAAGAAATTACTATGCTTTTGGAAAGTATGAATTTGCAAGCGTTTATGAGGCAAGAGTTCTCCTTTCTAATGGATTCTTTATCTTTTCACCCTTACTTATCTTTTCACCATTTGCTTCGCTGACATACTTTTTACTTTCCAATAGAGTAATGATTCATTATATTTTCGTTTCACACAGAAAGCACATTTACTCAATGGCCTTTGTCTACTTCTTACATACATCTGTTTTTTCCATCTCTATTAGTATAGTTGCAATGGATTTGCTATTCAGATTTATGAGTGTTGGTTTTTTATTGTTATTAATGATTTGCACAATCAACATTTTTGGATTGAGTTTTGAATTGAAGAATCACATTCAGAAATCGAATCAGAAAGACAAGTGGGTAGTGATAGATGGCGTATTTACATTGTTTTTCCTATTCAGTGTCATTGTATTCCTTGTCAATATGGCCATCATCACCTACGCAGAGATGACCATTGTAACAGCAGGTTTAATGACAAGTATTCCACTTGCCTTAGGTGTCACCCTATTAAGTGTCTCAATTGTTTTTGCCTTGATCAATGGAAGAAAGAGTTTACTGGGTAGATTGATTAGAACTTCCTTTTTCTATACAGCAACATCACTCAGTTTATCAAGTGATAAAACTCAAACTAAAACAGCCTCACTTGGCAGAACTGGGAATTAACAATAATTGGAAAGTGACCTTCCATGAATATATCAGGACAATAGTGTGGAAAATTAAAATTCAGAACAACCTCATATTTTTACCCTTTTATTTAGAGCTTAATACCAGAGTGAATAGCAACAACACCAAATGTCAAGTTGGTATATCTGGCATTCTTAAAGCCAGCTTCTTCAATCATTCCCTTAAATTTAGTTTGATTAGGGAATTTTCTAATACTTTCAACAAGATATTGGTATGAATCAGCATCATTTGCAACCAATTCACCCATCTTTGGAATGACATTAAAACTGTACCAATCATAAATTTGTTTAACAATGACATCATTAACTTCACTAAATTCCAAACAACAGAAACAGCCACCTGGCTTCAATACACGATAAGCTTCCTTCAAAACTCTATCAATATGAGTACAATTTCTAATACCAAAACAAATGGTATATCCGTCCACAGAATTACTTTCAATCTTTGAAGTAAAATCTTCAGCATTAGCTTCCAACCAATCAATCTCAACATTAGGAGAAGATTCAGACAATTTCAATCTAGCAGCATTATCCTTTCCGACTTGCAACATTGATGGATTGATATCACTAATGATAACTTTACTCTTAACTCCAGGAGGAGAATTTCTTCTCAAAGCTTCTACAATTCTAAAACCAACATCACCTGTACCACCAGCAACATCTAAATAAGTTCCACCAGCTTGTGGTTTATAATGATATTCAATAAGTTGATCCTTCCAAACACGATGCAATGATCCGCTCATTAAATCATTCATAATATCATAACGACTAGCAACATTGTGGAAAACACCTCCAACTAATTTTTCCTTTTCCGATTCAAGCACAGTTTTAAATCCAAAATGTGTTGTTGAATTTTGTTCAGCAGCGCTGCTGTTATTTAAAACTTGTTTACTTTCATGATATAAACAGGCTGATGATGATGATGAATTATTTCTCAACAATTTGCTGCCCGATTTGATTGTTTGTGCGTTCAAGAGTTTTCTCATTTTTTTAGCGCTTTTTTTTAACTTGAATTTTCAAGTTTATTGACCAAGATTTTGATCTGAATTTAAAAGATTAAACATTTTGTAAAGAAGCAGGGGAAAGAAATAATAGCAATAAGTTTTCTGGTGGCAAAGATCTTAAGTTCATGATGGAACTCTTTCAATTTATTGAGCCAATTTGACAACATTAGAGAGATATCATTCTTTGATATCGTGTGCGCTCTAAGCTCAGATGAAAGAGAGATATTGGCAGTGATGATAAATCTTCAGATGTTGTTAAACAGCTGTTTTCGTTTCTTGTAATTACCAGGTTCTTCACGTCAAGTAAAAATACTAAACTTGACACTATGTGAAAGATGCAGTTTCTTAGAAGTGGTTTGATTATTAACCCAAGTAAGAAATTTGCTAGAACATTTTTAAATTATTATTGAATCATTTAGTTGGCTGCTATTTGAAAGGCTATGTAATTTCTAGGGAATCCCTCCCCCAAATTCTGTATTGGAATGGAATATTTCAAAATCTCTTCATGACACTTGCTGATGTTAACTTTGTTTTTAAGCCATTTCTGGAAACACAACTTTCTTAAAGTTTATTTATGCTCAAATCTCCTATCAGCCATTGTCCCAAAAACAGTTTTTAATTATATTACTCGAATTTCAATTCATGCAATAGAACTCAACCAAGAATCCATTCCAATTACATTCAACTTTTCCACACCCCAAAACCTCAAAGTATCCATAGTCCATAAATCAAGTTCCACATCCAATAACATATCATTGAATCCTCACTGTTCAATAGCTCCATTTTTGTTCGATCTTCAAAACATGCTTCAATCTCAACTATTGAACTAATTTTTATGCCAAGAGATATTGACTTTCATGAATAGTTTTTTACACAATAGGTCATTCTCCATTCCTCTACGAGAATATATTCAATCATCTCCTCTCTAATCAACTTATTCAATGCGCATCTTTTTAAAAATTCCAAATAAGGTGGACAACAAAAAAGCAAGAGACCAATTCTGCAATTCATTTAAATACTTTAGGAACTCGAGATACAATTCAATATATAAAACAAAACAAATGAGTTTAATAGAGTGTGTTTCTCAGTCCCTCTCAACAGCAATCACCGCTAAAGAAGATAAGGATTCTGATTGTGATTGTTGCATTCTTAATGAAGTGAATGTTGAATCCGATGTTAACAAGAAAAAGGAACGTGATGGTTATGATGAAGATAATTTGAACTGTGTAAATATTGAGAGTGTTGATGCTACTACTGCTGCTGCCAGTGCTATTACTGAACAGCAGATGAATAACAAGAGAATGAATGTGTTGTGTTTGGGGGGTTCAGATAGTGGAAAGAGTACGTTTGTAAATACATTGACAGAGCAATATCAGAGCAATTCAAAGGCTGTGTCGACTTCTGAACACTTTGAGTGTTTGTGTAGACATATGAGTCAGATAGCAAAGAGTTACAGACAAGATGGACATGAGAGATGGCCAGAATGTTCAGAGATGACAAATAAGATTCTCTTTGGTGGGGAGGAATCAACAGAAGATGTTAGCTCCCCGAAAGATGATGAAATTCAAATAATTATCACAGATTTTGAAAGAATTTGGTCAACTTGCCTGAAATCTTACTATGAAAAGAATAAGGATGCAAAGCATTTCACAGAAAATATGAATCAAGTATTCAAGAATGGTAAACTCTGCCTTCAAAAATGTAAATATCAATTATATAATAGCACGAATTCGACACAAAGAGAAACCATTAGAAGATTTTCCACTAGTCATGAATTGAATTTGGTTACAGCTGGAGGAAAGAAGATGGAAAGAAGAAGATGGAATTCACTCGATTTGGAAGGAACCAATGTCTTGTTACTCTTTGTTTCCCTCTCTGAATTCAATCAGCAATCCATAGAAGATTCCAAAACCAATAGAATGGACGAAAGCTTAAAGACCTTTAAAGAATTATTGACCAAGAAACAATTGAAGAATAGCAGAAAGGTTGTAATCTTTTCAAAACCAGATATTCTCCAAGAAAAACTCTCAGTAGAAGCTCGTTATCAAAGACAAGTTTGTGATTCTATGAAAGAAGAATTGAAATCCATGTCCAATCTTAATTTGGAAAGAAGTGTACTCAATTCAACCATTAACGAGTATGAAAACCTATTCCAACAATATTGTAAAGACTCCAAGTTTGATTATCACGTGTGTAATACGACCAATGAAGAAGAAGTACAATCGTGCATGCAAAGAATTGTTTCCAATAACTCCCAACCTTTCATTTCTAATAATTTGAAGAGAAAAGATGAAAAATTCATCAACAAGTTGTATTCCAGCTTGAACAACAAGTTTTCTGATATTTCATTTGTGTAAATAAACAACTTGATAAAGAAAATCCAAATAATGACAAATGAATGAAAGCAAAAGAACTTTGATTAACTCCTTTTGAACGTTTCATGTTGATCTATTGTTTCTTGACCAGGGGGTTGATACAGATCTAATAGATTTATTAATGTATGACTCAGTTCCTAACTGTTCCTTGAATTTCTTAATTATCTTGATGGATGACATTAAGATCAAACATTTTAAAAAGAGAAAATGGTCAAACTATGATAATCAAAACACTAAAAAACAAAATGTCTTCAATTCTAAACAATGTTGAGAATATTCTTCGTTCTGCAAGCCGTATCAAGAATTTGCTTCCAAATGTCAGAAGTAACAATCGTGGAAGAGATGAAAAACCATCTTATAAAGATGACTACGAGACCAGTCAATCAAGCACTTCAACCTCAAGTAGCTCTTCAACCATGACCAAGAGAAAGTTTGTTAAAACTACTGAACATCTCTCAAAAGACCCAATTGACTTCTCTGGAGATTTTGATTTTGTTGAATGTTTGGGTGATCGTGAAGATTTCAATCTTACCATGCAACAACCACAGAAAATTGCCTACGACAGACAAAATAACCTCATCTTTGTAGCTGAGAATAGACACATTATTAGAATTTTTGTGTTCAATGCCACAACCTTGGATTTCCTTTACAATTTCGAATTGAAAGAATTGGACTTTGCAATCGATGCTTTGGAAGTCGATCCAAAAGGTGATGGTATTATTGTTCTTCAGAAAACCAAGCTTCACAAGATATCCATCGATGGAAGACAAAGAAAATGGGCAGTAACATTGGATTCAGATATGAAAGATTGCACCATTGATGAGAATGGTAAAATTTACTGTGCAAGAGATTCTCTCTATTCTGGAATTCAACAACCTTCTGTATGTGTAGTTGATAGTTCAAATGGTAAAGTTCTTGCCAATGTTGGTCAAGATATGAGTGGCTATTGTGTAGCTCAGAAAGTTAGTTGCATCTGTTTGAATAAGGATGGTAATATTTGCCTTTCCAATTCATACACAAGTGAGTTGACCATCTTGAAGCCAAATGGAAAAGTTGTTGGTACTCAACAATTGCCAAAGCTTGGTGCTATTGAATCATTGAAGTTTGACAAGAATAGTAATTGTATCTATGCAGGTTATAGAAATATGAACACTTGTGAAAGTAATGCAATTGTTATTGTACATCCAGATGGATCAGAAACAATGTTTAATGGTAACACTATTCCAAATCTTGGAAAGGCCAAAAATCAACACAAATTCCAAGGAACATACATGGACCTCACAATCAACTCAACTACTGGACAATTACTTCTTACCAATAGAATTCCAGATATTTCCTATGAAACTGTTCTTGTTTTTAAATAAATTTCCAAACAATTTCCCAATCAAACTGTTTCAATTCCAATAACAATCGATTCGCCTCAATTCTCTCAGATTTTGAATAAGCCGAATGCATTTAAAAAAATAAAACTTCAAGTTTAAAAAAAATGCCAATCCGCCCTTCTGCCTCTCTCGGTCCTTTTACTGCCAATCAAATCCTTGCCAAGGTAAACAAGTTAGTGTTGATTTTCGTTCCAGTTTTTGGTATTGCTTACTTGGTACGTATATTGGATAAGTAGTAAAATATTTAAATATTTGGAAATTGTGTGATGATTAAAATTTTTTGATGATGGATTTATGATGGTGTGATGATAATTAAAACTTGTTTGCGGAACTTTGTGATAATATGATATTGATATAATTTATTCTTGTTTATTTATTATGGATGAATTGGAACATTGTTGAATTTATTGTTGTTATTATTATTGTTTGGATTTTTATAGTTCAATCACGCTAAAGATACATCTGCTTCACCATTGTTGGCTGATACTAGTGCTACTCCAGTTGATATGAAGGCAGTTTTCTCTCAATGGAATTCTGTTAGAGAAACCTTGTCGCCATTCTGGTTGGATACTCCTCTTAGAAAGAAGTTGAGTTTCGATCAAGTTACTGAAGTAGACTATTTGAAGGAAATGGAATGGAAGATTGTCGATGGAAAGGTTGTTTTCAAAAAGTAAATAGAATTGCCCTTTGAATAATATTATTTAGGGTTGTAACATTTGTAATATTGGAAGAGAATAAAAACTTTATTTAACTTAACGTTCAATTTTTGTACAAGATACCGCGGATTGTTCATGTGAGCAAACTGTACAAACCCACACATAATTGAAAATTTACAAGATACAGACACAATGTGTCAAAAGTTAGAAATTATTGATTTTCTTCACCTGAAGGTTCACTTGTAGTTTGTCTATTCAATGAAACTTTAGATGGAGAGCTTGACTTGAGGGAGGATGATTTTGATTGAGTTGATTTCTTTGGAGACACTTCTTTACGTGGTATTATGTATTCCATCTTGATGAGTTGTTTGTTTTTTGTTACTGGGTTAACATTGGAGTCTGCTTGATGATACAAGGCGTCAAGTGGGTCCTTAGATTCATCTTTGAATGATCTTTGAGAAAGGATATTAACAACACGTTTGTGATGTTCTTTTGGATACATGAGGTGAACCTTTTCTGAAAATCCACCACTAGTGGTATGAGGATGTCTGAAAAGATCATGATCCAGCAATGACTCTTGGATATCAGACATGAGCAAATTCATTGAAATTGTATTTCCGTTACTGCAAGTAGGAATGAAAAATACTCTTTCTTGGTTCGGATGTTCAATGATGAGAAGTTTTTGTCTATTTCGTACTTGGTTAATGGACTGGTCCAAAATACTGGCATTTCTATTGTGTTTTACTAAAGAGAAAATTCATGATTAAATTTTAGAGTGGAGAGAAAATTATACAAAACAAAACAATATACAAGGATTAAAATCCGCTCCATAAAACTTTAAACTTACTGGATGATGAGAGGGTGGAGGAGCTTCTGCTTCTCGAGAGGGACTTAAAGGCACGGAGAGATGATTGCATTTTTTTGACTGTTATAAATTTAGAATTTTGTTTCTACAAAGCAAATTGATAGAAAGAAGAGGACGTATGCAAAATTTATTCCAAGCTAATAGAACGTTGGAGGGATCCTTGTCATTTACAATTATAGTGATTGGGTTTTAAAAAGTAGCGATTTGTTTATTGGATAGTTATCCACTATTCTCTTTACAGTTTTTGTGTATTAAGATTTCATCATATTAATGGAACGAAATGGCACGAAATGACATAGAACTCATCCGAAGCGGATTGGATTTTCGCCATTTCAAAAATAATACTACTTCTTAAATAAAACTTCATTCTATTCGTTAAGTTTGAATAATATCTTTGCTTATTGTCATCATTCAATCTTTGCTGAGTTTTCAATATTTATCGAAAGCAAGCTTTGGCCAAGAAAACCATCATTTTAAATTTTTTAAAAATATTAAAAAACAAAAAAATGTTTTCTCTTCAAAGAACCTCCCGTATTGTATCTTCCATCGTCAAAAACAACAATAACTTATTTCCTTCTGTACCATTGATTCGCTCATTTTCTTCATCTTCCGTGAGCAGAAGTGGTGGTCATGGTAACTCTGCATATATTCACAATACTGCTGAAGAAGAATCTTATAAATTAGATGCTGCTTCTGAACAACATTGGAAAATGATTGATGAACACTTTGCTGAATCTATTGAAGGTTTGGATTTGGACTCTCTTCCACCAATCGAAATTGATGGTGAAACAGCTGTTTGTAATGGATTCCACTCAAACGGAATGGGTCACCCAACAGAATACATTAGAATTAACCACACTACCCCTGAACGTTGCAAATATTGCGGAGTTAGATATATTAGAAAACATTAATTTCTTTAATTGATTTAGTAATATTTATCAACACAACTTTGCGAATTTTATCACATCACATTTTCTCTCACCACATTATTTGGTCTTTGTCAATAAAAAGTATTAAATTGGTATTATTTTAATATAAATTTACAATTTTAAGGATTTATTGAAATAGTCAAGTGAAGGATTGTCTGTGTGTATTTCAAAATCGACAAGAGAATCAAAGGTTGACTTTTCTAAGTGATCAGCAAGTGTTTGGAAATCTGATTCTTGTAAACCCTTAATATCACAATCACATGGTACTAATTTGCTTGATTTTAATTGATAAGTCTTGAATACCATAGATTTAGAAAGTTGATTGAGTTTCTTATCTTCAAGCTATTTGTCATCATTATAATGTCATTGATGTAAATTGTCAAATCCAAAAGACATAATAATATTAAATCCAATAATTTGAATTTTGAAAATTATAAAACACACATACCATCCAAAGTAAAGCTCCAGGGAAATTTTCAGAAATTTTAGTAAAGATTGAAGTATGAATTGATGGTACGGTAAAATCTGATGACAATTCAGCATAATCAGTACCAAAATAATATCCAACAATTGTTAAATCATCTCCAATAATTCTATCAATTTGAATAAGAGCCATTTCCACCAAAGGAGTGGTACATATTGATGAAGTAGAGTGACAGAGAGGAACACAATCGGTAATTTCCACAGTTTTATCATCCTTTCTCTTTCCGATAAAAACACCATTAATTGGTGCAAATGGGAATTTAAATGAATGGAAGAGTGATTTAAAATATGGTGATGATTCGGAGAAGATGGTGCTGCTCATATTTTTTGTTGTAATTTAAAGACTTTTTTAAAGAGAAGATACTTTCATTGCATAGACGAAGGTGAATACTATGTCAATCCAGTAGTACAATATTGATGCATGTGATCTGTTGATAGTTTGCTCAAAGACATGCACTGATGGTGTTGGGAAGTGTTTTGTTGAAGCAGACTTGTCTTTTTTCGAACAGCTGAGAAATTTTTATTGAAGGTTTTGGTTGTAAAAAACTTCTTTGCTAGTTAACCAAAAATTTGTTGAAAAAAAATACATCAAAGTCAAAATGGGTACGTAGATGAGGTTCGCTACTAATATTAATAACAACTGTTGCTGGCAACAACATATAAACAATTTTAACATCGCATTACTATTTATCAATAACCAGGTATTACCAAGAGCGATCTCCATAAGAAGCGTGTTACCGGTGGTAAGAGAAAGATCCACAGAAAGAAGAGAAAGTTCGAATTGGGTAGAGCTGCTGCTAACACCAAGATGGGTAAGACTAAGATCTCCATGGTCAGAGTTAGAGGTGGTAACTACAAGGTTAGAGCCCTCAGATTGAACAGCGGTAACTTCGCTTGGGGTTCTGAAGCTATGTCTACTCCAACCAGAATCATGGACGTTGTTTACAACGCCACTAACAACGAATTGGTCAGAACTAAGGCTATCGTCAAGGGTGCTGTTGTTTTGGTTGATGCTTCTCCATTCAAGCAATTCTACGAAAAGACCTACGGTATCTCCTTGGGTAAGAAGAAGGAAGACCTCTTGGAAAAGATGGACGAAAAGACCAAGGCTAAGGTTTTGGAAAATAGAAAGAAGGCTCCAGAAGTTGATCCTCTCCTCAAGGAACAATTGTCCACTGGTAGATTGTTGGCTAGAATTAGATCTAGACCAGGTCAAGTTGGTCGTGCTGACGGTATTGTCTTGGAAGGTGCTGAATTGGCTTTCTACTTGAAGAGAATCCAACAAAAGAAGTCCAAGAAATAAGCTATTCTCCTTTTTAAAATATAAAAAAAAATTAATTCATAAATTATTGTCATCTTTTTTAACCTAAAGATTTCACCATCGTTTGAAGAAGGACATGTTTATTGGATCTGCAAGAATTGGTCACTCAAAGACTTTCTTCCATCTATTTCCATGGATAATCTCGATTTGGAAGCAGTAACAGAAATGTTTATGAAAACAAATTAATATTTATTATCTAATAATTTTTACAAATGATTAAAATATTAAAAAAATGAGTACAACAACGCCAACACCTACAACAACAGCAACACCCGCATCGCCTTCCTCATCATCACAGCATGAAAAGGAAGCTATCGAACAACAACCACCAACCACTTTAAAAGAAATCAAAGCAAAACTCAAGTTAGAGGAAAAGGAAAAAAAGAAAACATTGGAAGTAATTGAAAATTCAAGACTATTCCGAAGTAGAAGAACTATTAATATTATCAAGAGTATTCCACAAAGTAATAAGGAAAGAACATGGAAACAAAAATTATATTTATTATTGGAACATCCTAGATCATCATATGTAGCCATGATCATTACAGTGATAACGTCACTCATGACTGTTATTCAAACCCTATGTTTAATTTTGAGATCTTTTCCATTCTTTTTCCCATTCGAAATCATGTGGCTGCTTATTACTGGATTTTTATCAGTTTGTTTCATGCTTGAATATTTTGCAAGAATGGCTGCTTATGTAAATACTTGGGGTGATTTTAGACATTTTGTTAAAGCTCCTGCCAATTTAATTGATATTGCTAGTTTCGTTCCATTTTACTTTGATTTAATAATTTATATGGCAGATGCCAGTACTTGGTTAAATGTCAATCTTCAAGTTTTGACAATTTTCAGAGTTTTAAAACTTTTAAAACTTATCAAATTGACAAGATATTCTGCTAAATTTCAATTGCTTATTGTTTCATTGAGAAGATCTATGGATATGCTCTTATCAATCTCTGTTTTAATATTTATGGGTGCTCTTATTTGTAGTACTCTTGTTTATTATGCTGAACGTGGAAAATATGATCTCAAATCTGGACAATGGTTAAGACCAGATGGTACACCTTCACCATTTTCAAATATTTTAATTTGTATGTGGTACAGCGTTGTTACCATTGCTACAGTTGGTTATGGTGACATGGCTCCAGTTACAGGTATGTTAATTCATTAATTTAACATTTATTAAGAACCAAACTCTTAGTTTTGGGAAGAATTATTGCTATCATGACCATCTTGTCTGGTATTGTGATTGTTGCTTTGCCTTCCATGGTTATTGGTGGAATTTACAGTAAACTTTTGGGTGAATATGAATTAATGTTGAGTAAGAGAAAATTGGAAGGTGATGTAAATTTTGAAGATGAAGAATTTGATGTCATTGATAATGATGATGCCATTTCACAAGCTCCAAGTGAAGCCCAATCAAATGTTGATTTAATTTCATTTGAGTCACAATCAATTCCACAATCAAATGATATTGAATTGGATGATAAACCAACCATCACCACTGAACCATCCTACTTTTCTCAACATTTCAATACATTTGAGCCTCAACCAACAATTGTTACCGAATATTCACAACCATTGCCACCAGCTCGTGATATGACTTTGAGAGGAATTTTTGATAGACAGAATAGTATTATCAAATCATGTTCTAATCAATTAAGTGAGATGAAAAGATTAGCTCAAACTGTAAGAGCTGTAAAACAATCTCAATAATTATTTATTTTAATTATTAAATTAAATGTGAATGGTATTGATTCTAATTTAATGAAGTGTTGTACTGCAACGTGTACTAGATTCAAATTGTAATAAGGCTGAAATTATCATTCTTTTCTTATATGGAAATATCGCGACAACAATTTAAAAAAGCGCAAAGTTAGAGGAGTGCCGAGATCCCTACATTAAGAGAAATGTGAAATTTCACAAGTTGGTAAATTTCCTAGTGCTGATGGCAACCTTGATTTAACCATCATTGATATTTCTTCCTCTCTTCATTCATGATTGAATTTAGATATATCAAATGCATACAGAGTCTCAACTGGTGAGGGATAAAGGAAGTGCAAAGTTGGACAATGCGTTATTCCTTAGATCATTAAGACCAATCAAGGATTTTCTGTTCCACTCAGCAATTTGACCGGTATTCGTAAAGTTAAGAATAAAATTCACAAGTATTCCAGTGAAATATGGACCTACCATTACGGAAATGTAACTAGTCACGATTTTTGCTTATCAGAAAGTGAAGAACTAGCTCTTGACTGTTTTTTTATCTAAAACGTGATTATTCATATTTCAAATATTTGAATGTCAATTAAAATCCACTTATTTCAATAATTATTCATAAACATTAACCTTCATTTTCGAACTTTCATAATGGCACACATATAGCAATCCACTTTTATCGTCCACCATAACACCAAAATGCAAGGAAGGAATTGGAAATGATTTCACCAATGTCAAATCATTCTGTCTTACCACATGAATATTCAATCCATGTAATTGAGAATCCTCACAAACATAGATTAATCCGGATGATTCTTCACAGAAAATTGCATAGGCAGCTTCCATTGGAAATTGAGTTTGTTTGATGGAATTCCAATTACCAAATTTGTCCCTTTCGAATATTTCCACTTTCTTTGAGTTGCTTATAACTGCTTGTTTCTCTGACAAGAAATGAATACCGTATCCTTCTGCTACGTTTGGAGCATTTTCTGAAATAGTTGCACCACTTTTGCAATCCAAAATTTTAACTGATGTCATATTGTCAACTGCATAAACTTTTCCATTCAAAACATCCAATCCCCACAAATTAGAAAATGGTTCAGATTGCCAAATAATTGAAAAAACTTTTCGTATCATAATATCCGAAACACTAAATTTAACAACAGCGTTTGAGTAATCTGTTGCATAGATAAATTCCTCTCCTTGCTCATCAACCAATTTCATACAACGAAGCTCAGTATTGGGTTTCTCTACTTTGAATAATTGCTCGAGATGGAAAGTTTCCCTACTACTTGGTCTATTATAAATTGATATACCAACCTTCTGTGGAATGAGTATAGTGTCATACTTTTTGGAAATGGCAATATCAAAGACAGGATCTTGTGGAGAAAGTTGATCAAATTGACCAATCATGTTAAAATTCAACGAAAATTGATGTTGTTTTTTTGTAAATGATCTCTTCAATAAATTAATTAAATAAATAATATGATCTGATGATGAATTTTCAACGACATTTAAATCAACAAGTTCCACAACAACTCGAGACATTTTTTTTTGTTTACTAAAAACTAAAATTATTTAATTTGAGAAAAGTTTCTAAAAGTTTATTTACAATATTGAAAATCAGTAGTTGGGAGGCAAAGGATGTGTTGATTTGAAATTTGTTTCACCTGCTATAGTTCTATAATTCCATCTTGTTATCAATTCTAATAATCTATAATTATTGGAAAGTAAATTATTCATTTGGAGGAGTTACTGTAATTTGAGAGTTTGCAATAGTATCCAATAAAAGTGGAGAAAATTTTCCACATTCTCAAAGTCTATCGTTTCTCTCAGAAAAAGTTTACAAAAAAAATGCTCAAAGTTTATGGTGAAATCTTTCACACCAAATTTAAGAATTTAGGTTTGGATTTTCCTGCTCGTTGGCACAAGATGGAAATTAAACCTTCAAATTTTCCTAAAGCTGAAGAAAATAATTTTTCACCCTCCGAGATTCAAGAAAATGCAACAATACATGTTTCGTATATTTGTTGTGGTGGGAATAGTGATGGTTCCTATTCAATGTTTCTGTTCGAAGGGAGTGAGAGTGAATATTTCGTATTTCAAGGAGAGAAAAAAAAGTTTAGTTCATTGCTGTCTGAGTTGAGCAATTCAAAAAGAGGGCAATCTATGAAGAGAGTTGTTTCGAATAATTCAAGATTTATTTTATTCGAAATGATGGATGGATCTTTGTTTGAATTTGATACTCAAACATTGAAAATGCACAAATTCTTCATCTCACACACTTCATTACTTAATTGTGTTGGAAGTGGAATCATGTCAACTTGTTGGTTAGTTCAGACAATTGATGGAACTATTTATGAAAAAGAGGAAATGGTTGAAAATATTCATTTTCCATTTCCGGAATATAGAGTGAAACAATTTGCATGTTGTTCCACCAATAATGCACAATTCATCTTATTGGAAAACAATCGTCTATTTATTAGAAAGAATGGAATTGGATTTGGCAATGTTAGTGGAGAGTTGAATGAATTGAAATTATCAATCAATTGTGGAATTAAAAAGATGGTTGGTGGATTTTCTCATCTAGCTTTACTATTAGAGGATGGTAAAATTTATTGTGCAGGACTAAACAATTCAAAGCAATGTACTGGATTAGTTTCGCCAAGAATAGTCAAAGAATTTCAACCTATTAAAATTGAGGGATCATTCAGTGATGTCTGCTGCTCCAGTATGTCAACTGCCGTAAGATCTGCCACACATTTTCATCTGCTTAAAGAGGAACCCCTTCAAATAGCAATTGAGAATGAAAAGGAAACAATTGTTTTTGGACGTTTTCATGGATTTATTTATCAAAGAACATTTTTTGAAACTAAATCTTCAGAAGAAATAATATTCTTTACACATCTGAAAGGTCAATTGAATAATTTAACATTTTCTGATATTTCCATTTTTTATTGAGATTGCCTTAAGAGTTACAGAATTGAGTGTTGATTGTCAAACAAAAATCAAAACTTGAGAATATTTTCCACATTGAGAATATCTTGAACTTGTTGTGAGAATGAATTTGGATCAAGCATTCGTTCTTGCTGTTCTGCAATATCTTTCTTATTTGATCTGACACTTGAGTTTTGTTTGAAAATCAACGCCAAGGTAATTAATAGAAGAATAGCTAAGCAAGCTCCACAAACTCCCAAATGTATAATATACATTAGACTAGTAAAAAACAAGTAAGAAAATCCTAAAATTACAATCATTCCAACAATGCTCAATGTTGTAAGAACAAGAACGATCAATAGCTTGGATAATCTCAAACTACTGGTAAAATCGAGTTTGTCATCCTTCTCATTGATATTGGAGTGATGAGTGAATTCCTCTTCAATAACACATCTATCAAACCAGTGCTTGATAAAGATGCAAAGGAATGCCAATGGCATTACAAGTGGACAACAGAATGAATAGACCATCGACATACATAATATACCCAACATGTTTGAAACATTCTCTTCCATATCGAATTCCTTAGTTTCCTTAATTAGTTTTAAAATTTGAGTGGGAGTTCTTGCTTTTCTGTAACAATTAAATGTTGTCTTCCAAATATAATAAAGTGTTTTGCCAAATCTGACCAATTCGTAAACATTCTCCATAACCATGAATTGTAGCAATGTAGAAATCATTGTTTCAATTGTTTTTGGCAAGAACATGATATCCAAATGTTTGCCATCATTTGCGAAAACTAAAAAGAGGAAAGCTGAGATAATCCACAATCCTGGTAAAATGAGAATATTCAAAATGGAAAATGTAAACAATCTCACTAATAATATCCTACTGTAAAATGATTTGGAAAGGTGCTTCTCTGTTTGAGTAATCTTTTTGAAAAATATTGGAAACAATTTGCTGAAAATGAAAATCAACAGAGAAGGACAGTAGTGAAATAGTAAATCAGACAAGTCACCAAGTTTGACAGCTTTAAGAATAGGAGATCCCAATGCTTGAAGTGATTGTAAAATGGATGGTGGTCCAGAAAATACCAACAATACAAAGAATATTAAACTAATCATGCAAAAGTTTCTCAAGGAAAAGTATTTGGAGGTACCGCCAATAAAGTGCCAATTGATATCTTGCGGTTCAATTAATAGTTTCATCAAGGAAACTGAAGAATCATTGAACATTATTCGATTCTTTTCAATTGCTTCATCAACATGTTCAACCTTTTTAAAAACTATAAAGCACTTTCCAGATGATTTCACTTGTTTGATTTGAGATAAATATTCCTCATCTTGTGATTGTCTTTCATCTGTAAGAAACATTGAAGTATATTCTCCATCCCATTGTTCCACCATTCTTTTACAATCTGAATATTCCAATCTTAAATATTCTACTGCCTCATCAGTAGTCATAGTTTTCAAATTGGTACTATATGTAGTACATCCACACAATTTGAATCTCAAATCATCCGAGTACAATGGTCTCATTTCATGAACTATGTGACGTTTGGCAACATCATAATTTGATTTTCCTTTTAAATGCATGAAATGTTCCAATTCTCTTTCCAAATGTTCTTCCAATTCTTTGAGATTTAACCGATCCACAAGATTTGGCACATGAAATATCTTTACAATCTTACTATTTTCATCATTCGCACTCAATCCACCATTAAAATTTTCTTCAATGAATTGTTCGACACTTTTCTGAGATGATTCTTTTGGAATTCCATCTAAAACTATTGTAAATGGAGAAATGATAACAGTTTCGTCATTGGAAAGGGTAGAATCCTGTTCTGTGCTATTAGAATCTTCACCTACCAAAAGAAGTGAAGAACTAAACCTATTTCTATTGAAAGAAACCATGAAAACTAATGTAATAATTATAAACACAATTAGAATGGCTACGTGAGCAAACATCTTGACTGGTGAAGTTGCTGCTCTGAGAGCAGAGGTAAGAGCAACGATATTATATGCATATTCCGAGTTGTCAATTTCTCTACCTGTCAAATGTAAAGGTAACAAGACAGCACAGACAATAATTGAGCATAATAGACTAATCCACAATAAATGAAGCTGGAAACTCAAGTAAATAGCCTTTTCTCTTCCGAACTTTCTATAAATTTTGTATAAATTCCTTCTTCTATATCCATACGAAACTAAACTAATTATTGAAACATATAAATTTCTAATTAATTCCATGAAAAACACAAATGATGACGCAACACCCTCTCTCATTGATTTCTCCCAATAAGACATGGTAGAAACAATTTGTGGATCCACAAGCAATTCGTCCCGACTTCTTCTTGATTTGTCTGAGTTTCGTCTGTATTCGAATTACGTTCCTCCTGACCATTTCCCTCTTCTGTATCTGCCATAATTTTCTTCCGATTGTATTCTCTTGAAGTTTTAACCTTCTCTCTCAATATTCTTTGTTTGTAATTATTAAAGAGTGTCAATTGTCTAGAAACGACAATAAAGAAAAGAATGAGCACGATTGAAAGGATGACATCTGGCAGAAGCACTGATAGTAAGTAGGACATTTTTTTTTCGACTTTGTAAAACTATGAGAATTACCAAATTAGAATTAGTTTTGATTCGAACAGAAATTTATTTAATTTGAAAGTTGATCTTCCACTTCTGTTGCTTCATACAATCCATCATCATCATCATCTTTTGGGGTTTCCAAACCATTTTCTGTTAAATAGAGATGAGAAAGTTTCGGTAAATTAGTTTCCTGTTCGAAATCAGCCAAAATAAAAGAACCAAATAAATATTCGAGATTTGGAATGTTGGTACTGTGAGCAATACGCTTACTCGATTCACGTGATATTTCAGTTCCAATCAAATCCAAATAATTAAGCTCATGAAAGTGTGGACTATTAACAAAATGTTCAATTGACTCATCTGAAAGCTCTCCTTCCATAAGAGCAAGCATTTTCAATTTGGAACTATTTGGATGACTTGTTAGAACTCTGAATGCATCGTCATTAATTTCTGAAATTGATAAAGTTGAAAGTTTGCTCAATAACTTATCGTCGTCCATATTATCCAATAACATTCTCAAAGGTTCATCAGCAAGTCCATCCAAAGTTAGGGTTTCCAACTTGGAGAAGTGCTTATTGGAGAGTAGTGATGAGATGGCCTTCATTTGCTCGTCAATATTTGTAAATTTTACCCTACCAAATTCTAATGTTTCCAAATTTTCACAAGTGCAATTTTCTAAAAAGTAAATCAATCCTGAAAAGGTGCCTCCTGTGCCAGTGCATTTCAATTTCTTGAGTTTGAGTAATTTTAACATGGCCAAATATTTCATACTGTCATCTTCCATTTCAGAATAGCCAGTAAATACCAAATCAGTTATTCCTGTAATATTTTCTTGGTGTTCTGCAATGTATTTTGCCTCAACCTCATCAACATTATCACAATAAAGTTTCTCCAATTTTGTTAAAGAGGGTTCTCTTAATAAATATTCATAAGATTTCACGCTAAAGTCATTTGAAATTAAATCTAGAGTAATTAGATTCTTCAAAGTAAACGAATCTGTTCCAAAGTGTACAAAACCTTCAAAATCAATGTCATTACTTTCAGCAACCAGATTTTTCAAATTTGATAAATATCTGCTTCTAGTCAAGATTGCAAATCCAGTTCCAGTAAGTGAGCAACCGATTAATTCTAAATTTTCCAACTTGGAAAGGCATCTACTATCTGCAATAAGGGATAGTATGGATTCTTGTGTTAATTCTACATAATTTAAATTCAAATATGTGATTGTTGGTATGGAATCAAACTTTTTCATAGCAGAGAATCTTTTTTCCTCCTCAATTGAGTCAGAAGCATCTAGATATGTGAGCTTGCTAAATAAATATGTTTCAGATTGATTATTGAAAACGAACTCAAATGGATTTTCAATTGATATCTTTTCCAAGTTTTTGAATTTGAATTTTTCTTTCCATAATATTGTTGTAATATAATTACCACTCAAATTGAGATTTGTTAACTTTTCTAAATATGGACTCGTTAGTAATTCTATACAGTCACCTTCCATAACATTAGTGCTCAAATCTAGTGATGTCAAATTAGTTAAGTTTTCACACTTGGCTATGCTCCTTGCTGTTTTGATATCCAAATTATTATTTGCCAACTTCAATATTGTTAACTTTCTTAAATGTTTGGAATTATCAGGATTAAACAATTCAGAAATATGTTCACTGCACAAATTCTTTGATCCAAATTTTAAACATTCCAAATTTGAAAAGTATTTTACAAAGAAATCATTCTTGTCAAGCAAAGTTTCCAACAATTCAGTTCTTCTAGCAGTAATACTGAATTTAGTTACTGATTCTTCAAAATAACCCTTTCTAATACACTCCCACAGTGATTTTAATCTGATTGGATTATTATTTAAACACAAAATTTTCAACTTTTGATTTCTTATCAAGCAATTCTTGTTTTCCTTTTGTTGAAATGGTGAAGCGATACCCACAATAATTTCATGAAAATTTCTACAGGTAGATCTGGCTCGGAAGAATAGTTCTTGTATGGAGAGGTTGGAAAAAACCAGTGATAGACATTCGTCGGGTAGAGACAATAAAAGGCAGCTTGAAGGTTGTTGAGACATTTTTTTAAAATTGTAAAGTGATGAGATTTTTTCAAGTGAAATATCAACGTTTTTGATCTGAGGCTATTCTTCGAACTAAAATAGTAAATAAAAAATAGATTCTTTCAGATATGATGGTAGACATCAAATACAACATGCAGATATAAAAAAAGTTTATACATCTTATAAGTTGATTTTGTAAAAAAGCTGCAGAAGGTGGGATTTGAACCCACGAAGCTTGCGCAGTAGAACTTGAGTCTACCCCCTTTGACCACTCGGGAACCCCTGCTTCACATCCATTTCAAAAAAATCAAACGTAACAACTCTTCTAAAACTTACCTTTGGTCAGGGAGTGTTCAGGAAATTGCATGATCAAATTCCATCTAAAAGGAAAACACAACCATTCAACGACATGGTGTACACCCGAAGTTCGTTCTATCTTCCAATTGCCCAAACACCAACAGCAATAAACGAACAAACGGCGACAAGCAGCAACTCCTCTTCTTCTTGAAGGATAATGAGAAAGATTCGATTCTCAAAAATATTTCAATTCGCTCATCGAATCTTATTCAAGTATTACTCAAAAAAAAGGTCAACACACTCACCGTGCATTTCCTCATAGCCACACACAAAACAGCCACAAAAACAACCACTCAAAATATTCTTCAACAGTTTTTAACAATAATAACAAATATATATTACTAACAGTACAGTTTTTCAATGACGCATTGTGATCCTTCCCCGTTGACTTTATTTCTAACCCATACAAATCTACTAATTGTATTTATATTGGGAAAGATCAGCGATTTGTTTCATATTCTCTTCATTGGTCCGATCGATAAAACAAATTATGAAAGGTTTCCTGATGAAGCTAGTAAGAAACCCCTCGTAGATGATGATTTCTTTGTGAGAAGAATCTATGGGAAATGTTCTGATTGTTTCCACAGACCGATTGCAAGCAGACCATCTTCACATATTCAAGTCATGATGAGAAATCCAAACACTGAAAGAGTTGCAAATATTGACACGAATGGTAAATTGAAAAGTTGTTTAAATATGGCTAGTTATAATTATCTAGGATTTTCTGAAAGTCCTTCACATGTAGTTGATCAGGTTTTGGAGAGTTTTGATAAATATGGTGTTGCTTCTGGTTCTGCATATTCTGAATATGGTTATACTCCAATTCATAGAGAATTGGAAAAGAGAGTTGCTAGATTTATTGGAAAGGAAAGTGCAATGGTTGTGTCCATGGGATTTGCAACCAATTCTACAGTTATTCCATTATTGGCTCCAACTAGAGATTGTCTCATCTTGTCCGATTCTTTGAACCATTCAAGTATTGTGAATGGAACTAGAGCTTCAGAAGGTACTCCAACAGTTCTTCGTTTCAGACACAATGATATGGATCATTTGGAGAAATTATTGAGAAAGAACATTATTGATGGTCAACCAGGACCAGGAAATAGAAAACCATGGAAGAAGATTATTGTCATTGTTGAGGGAATTTACAGTATGGAAGGTGAAATTGTCAATTTGAAAAGAGTAGTTGAATTGAAGAAGCAATACAAGTTCCATCTCTATGTGGATGAGGCTCATTCGTGTGGAGCTTTGGGTAAAACTGGAAGAGGTGTTTGTGAACAGCAAAATGTTGACCCAAAGGATATTGACATCTTGATGGGAACCTTTACAAAGAGTTTTAATTCTGTGGGAGGATACATTTCTGGAGATGCTGAGGTCATTGATTATTTGAAAAAATCTTGCTTTGGATTGATTTATGGTACTTCAATATCAATTCCTTGTGCCCAACAGGCATTGTCAGCTCTCACTTGCATTATGGGTGAAGATAACACAAGTATTGGAAAGGAAAAATTAGACCAATTGAGTTTCAATACCAATTACTTTGGGGATTCTTTGAAAAAACTTGGATTTGAAATTATTTCAGATAGAGATTCACCTGTTATCGTCATGATGATTTATCACTTGACAAAATTGATTGCATTTTCTAGAATTTGCCTCGAGAGAGGAATTGCCATTGTTATTGTTGGTGCTCCTGCTTGTCCAACTGCTTTGGCCAGAGTAAGATTCTGCATTTCTAGTGCTCACACAAAGAAGGATTTAGATGATTGCTTAGTTGAATTGGAAAGAATTGGAAATGATACCATGACAAGATACAAAATGCATGACAGTCACTTGATCAATGAATTTGTACAAATTGTATTATAAACGAGTTAACTTGGATATGAAATTTTAAAATTATTATTTTGGAATAATTCCATTTTGGATTTTGATCTGGTCTTTTCCTTGTAAACAACCATCATGCAAAACTTACACACTAAACAAAAATCATCATGTCTATTACTGAAAAATGGAAAAAAGACAAAGTCAACTATCAATTACTGCACACTAGTCGTCGTTCCCCTATTCTAATCCACGTCATTCGTGAAATATCCACAAATAAGGTTTATAGAATTGAGAGGGAAGAAAATAATATGAAATGTGAGAAACTTGATGAACATTTACAAAAACAAAAGGAAATTGCAGAAATGATAGAAAAGGTGGACCATCCAAACATTGTGAAAATTTACCGATCTTACTTTGAAAACAATGCACTGGTAATTGAAATGCCATTCTATAAGTGTGATCTGTATTCAATGTTGTTTGATGAGACAACTAAACAAATGAGATTACTTCCATTTCCAATCATATATCAAATAGGTTATCAACTAGCGAGTGCTCTTGTCGAATTGAGGAATCATAACAACATTGTGCACAGAGATATAACATTGAAGAATATTCTTGTTGAAAGCTATGAAAACGATGTGATTAGAATAGTCCTTGCAGATTTTGAAAAGATGCAACATGTTGGAGATGTTCTTGATGATGATGATGAGTTTTCAAACAGTTGTGGAAACAACTATCCAAGTGAAGGAAGTAGTGAAACCTATGATGTCTTTGCCTTGGGGTCAATTTTATTTCAATTAATTACAGGAAATCTAAATCAAACATTTTCAACCTTGGAGAATGATGAAATTGCGGCAATTCTATACGAAAATGATTCTGAAGAAGCTAGACACAGATTGGAGGAGAGTAATCTTGTACCATTGTTATGGAGTTGTTTTCAAAGTCAAGAAACTAGAATTCCTCAATACGAAACTATGGAAGAAATTATTATTCGGCTCTACATGTTCCAAGATCGAGCTGAAACAAACCCCACCAACAATCCGAATCCAGACCTTGTTGACTTTGTTGGACAATTAGCAAAGAGTGAAAACAAATTTTCTCAAGTTACAAAGGTTGGTCAAATTCGATATAACCAAGTTGAATTCTCCTTGGTTCGTATGTGTCAATCAATCGTCAAAGGAATTTGGGATGATGTTCGCAGCTTTTCATACAAATTTCATGGCTATTATTTACTGTTTTCAGAAAACTTTCATGAGGCTGCTTCTAAATTTCAGTATGTATTAGATAGTTTAAATCCCAATGATACACGAGCTCTCAATAATAAGGCACTTGTACAGTTGGCTCTTTCTCGTCAACTTGAGGCAAGGTCTAATTTGGAGCAAGCAACTGAAATTCTAAATCTGAGGAAACAGTCTAAGGATAATTCTCTAAATGCCATTCGAATAGATTCTAGGTACATTAGTGCAATGGTCAATGTTGCTTTTGTTATGGAACTGAATGGAAATTATGTAAGGGCTAGACAATATTTTGATATGGCATGTACAAATGCAACTCATGCTAGAGATAGATTCAATGCCTATCTAAACAGATCAATCTTTCTAGCCCAACAAGCAGAATTTCATTTGGCTCGAAATGATTTGAATTTCTTAATGCTCAATTTTGGGAATTCTCCAATTCTGTTTGCCACTAAGTTGTTAATTGGATGGATGAATGTACTGAAAGACAATACATTAGATTATCACCAAGTTACAAAACAAGCAATTCAAGATCTGACATCCAAATCTAGATTGTTAAAGGAGAGTATACACTTTCAGTTATATTGGGCCATGTTCTTATTTCCAACATCAATGGATTGTAAGAGAGTGTTAAAAGAGCTAAACAAACTCATCAAGTCAACCACAATTCCTATTACTATAATATGTCGTTCTACACTCGTTTCCAGATTCTCCTTACATGCAACAACAAAGAAGGATACTGTTGTGAGTATACCAATGTTTAGAGAACAGATTTTGGAACTCATTAGCATGATGGAATATTGTCTCGATAATAATTCAAGTTATTCATTTGGTTTGGATGATTTGGTCTCTCTATCAAGAGCAAATTACAAACGTATTGTAAATAACATGATACAGAGTAGAGAGTAAATAATTTTTACATATTTTTCTGTTTCATTGTTAAGACAACATTCCAAACTCAACTTGGAAAATGGGAACATTGTTAGTAAACTCATTACCAGCTGGTATCACGTGATAGTTTGTGTTAAATTTCAGCTCTATCAATAATATTCAAATCTTTAAGTTTTGGATTGTATCCTAATAGTCCTTCAATATCTATTTTGTTGTGTAAATCAGTGTCTTCTCTGATCATATCTGTCTTGTTCAATCGTTTCAGAAAATCTACATTGTATCTTAATTGGTAGTGAGCATAAATTAGAGAATTAATATTAATTTCCACGCATTTCGTCATGAATTCTTCGTCGCTTAATAATTCAATGACAACATATTCAAGGGAGTGATAATCATGGCGAACGGCTTCTAGAACTAGCTCACGGTCACTTCGTATTTCAAAGGAGCCATAAATTAATGGATTGCACGGAAGAATTTTGGCTCCCAAGTTTTGAACTGCATTCCACATGATTTCTCTATCATTCATGAAATGTCTGGCTCCGTAACGAATTGAATTTCCATGATTTTTAACTGCCTTTAAAACTACTTCCCTATCTTCTTTGTAATGGGATGCAACATATCTCAATACCAAGCCATTTGTTGAAACAGATTCCAAAATAAAATCACGATCGTTTTGTAAATCATCGCTCGCATAAAGGAATGGAATGCTATCTGTTTTCATTGCTTTCAATAGGATTTCCTTGTTGTGCTTAAATTCATTTTTCAACTCATCAGAAATATATATTATTGATTTTCCATTCATTTCCAAAGCCTTTAAAGCAATATCTTTGTCACTTCTCCATTTGATTGGAAGTAGTAATATATCAAAATTTTTTGGTGAAATTTCCATAATCAGTTCCTTGTTAATTAGATCCTTGGATGCATATCTAAGATTCTCCATATTAATATTTACAGCCTTAATAACTAAGTTTCTATTACTGGTTAAAGACTTAGGAAAACTACGAAGTGAAACTCCATTTTCAATACATTTTTGTATAGTTGACTCATCAGCATCCTCCAAAAATTGTTCAGAAACTAAAGAGTTGGCAATCCCTGTTGCAATTGCCTTATATAACAACTCTGGATCCTGCTTCAAATCTTCTGATGCGTATTTAAGTGAATGTGGGTTTGAGTTAGCAGCTATTTCCACATATTCTCTACAACTCTTGAATTCCTCTGGTAGATGAGCAAGTACATTTCCATCATGCGAAAGTGCATTTATGATTATTTCTCTATCTTGGAGAAGCTCAGTCGAAATATGAGCAATAATACTAGGTTGAAGTTTGGAAGCTTTCAATATAAAATCTCTGTCATTCTTCAACCGCTCACCGACATATTTGGTATATAAACCCCCATTTTCATTGCTTAATGCAGAAAGAACAATTAGTTCATCCTCTCTATACTCAGAGGCAAATTTTAAATTAAAGGCCGAACGTTTACAAGCTTCATAGGCAAGTTTTCTATCTAATATTTCCTTGGGAATATGCTCTAAAGTGCACAAGTTTCTAATGGCAATTAATGCCAATTCTCTATCGCTACGTAAAAACTTGGAAGCATATCGAAATTCTGGTCCAAATTGTTGAATTCCCATCATTACAATTTCTCTATCATCTCTAAACTCGTGTAGAAGATTTTCTATAATGCCAGATCTTTTCACAGATTCCAAAATAATATCTCTATCTTCCTTCAACTGATATCCTAAGTATGGAGAAATATCTGAGAATGCATTTCTGATTGAAGTAATGATTAGTTCTCTATTGTTTCTAAATAATTCTGGTACAAATTGAACATTGAAACCATCAATTTTTACAATATTTTCCACTAACTCTCTATCACTTCTCAACTCCTCTGATAAATACTCAAAATTACCAAAATCACAAAGCAATGCCTCATTTACAAACTCTCTATCAGCACAAAGCTCTTCAGAGGCAAATTTTAGAGCATTGTCATGAATTTTCGATGCCCACATCATGAGTTCTCTATCATTACAAAGCTCATTTGGAATTTGAAGAAGAATTTTTTCACTGTGTGGCAATAAATCCATTAAGAGTTGTTTGTCATTTAGAATATCTTCACATTTAACATCTTCCAAACAATCTGGATGTATTTGTATGAATTTCAGACATAGTTCCTTATCCAATTTCACAAAATCTCGAGCATTTCTAAAACAATCATATCCACAACTCTTTTCTATGAGCCGTAAACAGAAATCTCGATTAGTTACTAATAGAGATTCATGATTATTCAGAAAATAAATAATTTGACTTGCAGTTGAAGCACAGTTATAGATAAAGTCTGTATCATCTTTGAATCTCTGTGAGGAAAACACAAGAGCTGATAAATTTTTCGTAACCGCAATGGAAACAATTTCAAAATCATCTTTGATGTGATTAGGTGCCATTCTTAGACAAGTTGGCATTGACTTCATAGCTGCCAATGCAATTTCCCTAATTTTCCGTTCATTACTGTTGCAACAGTTTCACAAACAACTTACCGATCTCCTCTTAGATCTTCCGAAAGATAATTATAACCAAGTGCTCTCAACTTTACCATCTCTAAAGCAAACTCTCTGTCGTTTTTAAGTTCTGTGTGGGCATATTTAATAGCAAGTCCTGATAATTTAGCAGCTCTTGAAATAATTTCTTTATCTTTCAAAAACTCTATTGGTGCAAATAGAAGTGCCTGGGAATCAGTTTTCACAGCAAGCATAACCAATTCTCTATCTTTCAAATGTTCTGGAACGAATTGAAGAGATGATCCATTTCTTTTAACAGCATTCCAAACAATCTCTCTGTGTATGAATTTGCTTTTGGTAATGATATTTAAACAACCTACCTATCATTTCTCAATCTTGGTGATACAAACTCGAGAGAATTTACATGTTTCTCCACCACCTTTCTAACAATCAACTCATCATCATGAAACTTGTCAAGAAATTTGAAAAAACTTTTTGTGGACAAACTCGTTCTATCTTTAGCAATCATAACAACCTTCTCCACAAATTCCCTATCACTTCTCAATTCCTCACTCACCACCTCGATAGAACCTGCATTTTCTTTAACAGCTCTCAAAACAACATCACGATCATTTCTCAATTCATTCGATGCAAACTGCAACAACAAGCCATCATACTTTAAAACCTTGAAAAAAGCTAATTTACAATCATTGTCCGGAAATGGATTTTTAGTAATTTTTTCATAATTATTTGAGTGATTTCTTGATTTTAGATGGGAAACATGAGAATAAATTTGTTCATTTCTTTCGATACGTTCTGCTGCAACTTTTTGAAAATGTTTTAATGCCAATAAATCACAATCGTGCTCTGGTATGGTGATATCTTCGAAATGATCATCGGAAGTCAAGGTAACAATTAGCAAATCAGTGAACGATCGTTTCGCCATTTTTTAGAGTTTCAATATCAATATTAATGTCTCTTACAAAAATCAAACAACCATTTAGTTTAGGTTCAGCGTTTGAGCAACTAAATTTCAATTTAGAAATAAAGCACCTCCATAGACCTGTTGAGTATTTTAGTAAATCGATATTAAGAAACATTTCATAATGAATGTAAGCAGCGATAGATCAGTTGGTTAGATCGTAAGCCTAACACGCTTAAGGTCGCGGGTTCAAGCCCCGCTCGCTGTAACCTTTTAACCTTTGCAAAAAAAAATTCAAATATTCCTCATTGTTTTTGCTACATAATTCTCTGATTTAGTTTAGAAATGAGTTAAAGAGCAAAAGAATAAACTTGGTGATTTTTAATTTTTTTTAATGTTTTATTTTTATATTTTACAGAAATAGAGAAATAGGCGCAATTTAAAGTCCCTTTTGCATCATTTCCATATCAGCAACAGGATCCTTAGCATTGATTGGATGTAACTTGAAGGTTTCAACGAGGAATTGGAGAGTGGATGGAGGAATAAAGGCAGGCAAGTTTGGACCAATTCTGACATTCTTCAAACCAAGGTGGAGCATTGTCAAGAAAATAACAACAGCCTTTTGTTCGAACCAAGAAATAACAAAGTTGAGTGGCAATTGGTTGAGATCCTTAGTACCGAAAGCTTCAGCCAAAGCACTAGCAATAACTACAGCTCCATAAGCATCGTTACATTGACCAACATCCAACAATCTTGGCAAGGCAACATCAGAATTAGTCTTTGGATCTTGAGTAGTAATAGTACCAAAGTCAATCTTGTTGAATCTGTACTTGGCACAACCTAAAGTGAGGATAACGTTATCCTTTGGAAGGGATGTAGCAATATTCTTATAGTATGATCTTTCACCTTCAGTACCATCACAACCACCAATAAGATGGAATCTCTTAATATCACCTCTCTTAACAGCATTAACAATAACATCAGCAAGACTCAAAACTGTACGATGACCGAAACCAGTTGTGACATGTTCAACCTTTTCATTGGCAAATGATTCTGGGAAACCTTCTGTAGCCAAAGCCTTTTCAATAACAGCAGAGAAATCTCTATTCTTAATGTGAGTGACACCTGGCCAACCAACAACTGAGGTAGTGAAGATTCTATCCTTATATTGCTTTCTTGGTTCAATGATACAGTTAGTAGTCATGACAATAGCACCCTTAAAGTTGGAGAATTCAATCTTTTGTTGTTGCCAAGCACCACCATAGTTACCAACTAAGTGTTTGAACTTTCTGAGCTCAGGATAACCATGAGCTGGCAACAATTCACCGTGAGTGTAAACATTGATACCCTTTCCTTCAGTTTGCTTCAAAATGGCCAACAAATCACCCATATCGTGACCAGAAACCAAGATTGATTTACCTGGGAGTGGAGTAGTTCTAACATTGTTTGGAGCCATTTGACCAAAACGTTCAAAAGCACCTTCGTCCATCAATTGCATAGTTCTAACGTTGACTTCACCACACTTCAATGCCATACCAATGATATCATTAGCATTGTATGGGTCAACCTTACCATCAGGTGAAACACCAGCCAAAGTACACATGGCAGTTCTAATGAATTCATTGACAACAGCAGCATCATTCTTACCCAAGAGAGAAGCTTCCTTAGTATAAGCACACAAACCCTTGAGACCATATTGGAGCAATTCACGGAGAGCATTAGTATCAGCTCCATAATGTTTGTGATGTGGTTGAACACCAACAGATTTACCCATATCAATCAATTTTCCAGTAGCTTCATCTGTGGCAGAAGTAGCTTGACTCAAGATGGCATCGAATTGAGCATCAGTTTCAGTGACAGTGAGCAATTCAGAGAATTCTTGTGGAATCTTTCCACCTAACATTTCCTTCTTGACTTGTTGAGTCAATTCAGAACCTTCCTTCAAAAATTCGACAAATCTGAGTTCATCAAAATTGACATTAGTCAAAGTACTATACATGGCTCTCAAAACAAAGTCATCAACCTTTTCCATCAATGAAGGAACAACAGATCCTTGTCTCTTGGCCAAAGTAGCCAAAGCACACAATTGACGAGTTTGATAAATGGTTAAATCTTGCAATGCAGCAACTGATGGTGTCTTACCGCAAACACCAACAGTTGTGCAACCAGTACCATTTTGTGTTTGTTCACATTGGAAACAGAACATCTTATCAGATCTATTCATATTGTATTGTTGTGAGAAATTCATTCTAGCTTGAGTGGTTGTTTGATGATTCATCTTGATCATGGAACAGGCAGCCAAATTCTTTCCAGCATTAACTTGCATGGATTTGGAAGCAACTCTAGAGAAAAGCTTAGAAGCAGATTGTCTGATCATCTTGTTGTTGTGTGTTGTTGTTTTTTTGTTATTAGTTGATCAAAGTGACAAGAAGAAATGTGAATATTTAAAGCCAACAAAAGATTCTCTTACGACACATCCAGCTAACGACAGCTACTTTATTGTCTAATTGAAATAGATTCACCATTTGTGAGTTTTATTATTTTTCAATGTTTTTTTGTTCAGAATTGGTGGTAAACCCATTTGTGCGTACCAATAGAGCTTTCATACACCTCCCGCCAAAAATTACTAGTTTCCTTTAATGGTCTTCATTTTTGCTTGTTTCTACAACATTGTTCATTAGAATTGCTTGAACGGATGACAGCCTATGACTCACACAAGAGATGGTAATAAATTGAAGATGAGGGGTAACGGGACTTGTTTTTTCTTCATCTCCCTCTACAGATTTAAAGATTTTACGAGTGCCAATTAAAGAAATTAATAGAGTTCAGAATCCATTAGTGCGTTCAGATAAAACACATACATGCATTTGAATATTCTCATAATTGCTCAAAAGGAATGAATCATCATCCCGATGATAATATTATATGAAAAGAATCAATAATTGATGAAGGAACAATTAAAGATTCAAAAAAAATACATCCACACACACATCTGTTACTACATCCACTAAGTGAAGATGATGATGAATAAACTGAAAATGAATGCTTGCAGTGTATTACTTCGCAATGCATGCTCTGGTCAACATAGAATGAATACCAATACAAGTGTTTTTAAAGCAGCATGTATGAGACAGTTCCATGCAAGTCTTGTCGACATGTCCAAGACAAACTTGTTAATTTGTTATGGGTCACAAACGGGAACTGCACAAATGTTTGCTGAAGGTTTGAAGAGCGAATTGATGGAGAAAAATCCATCATTCTTGTCAAGTGTTAAAGTTGTTGATTTGAGTGATATTGAACCAGAAAGGGCCTTGTCATTTGGCTTACAAAAAAATGATTTGTATAATATTGTATTATTTATCATGTCAAACTACGGTGAAGGTCAACCAACTGACAATGCTAAACCATTTTATGAATTTTTTATGAGTGACAATACTAAGAGTTTGGATTTCAAAAACAATGCACCAAATTATGCAATTTTTGGTTTGGGAAATTCTGCCAACTTCCCTGAAAGATATCAAGCTGTTGGTAAAAGAATGGAACAACGTTTAAAGGATTTGGGAAGTGATTTACAATTCAAGAGAGGTGAAGGAGACGATGGTGGTGAAGAAGGTATTGAAACTGATTTTGAAAATTGGAAGAATGAATTTATTGAATTCTTGAAACAAAAGGAAAATGAAACATCCAATTCATCTACTGCATCTTCATGCCAAGTACCATCTCAAAGTGAAACAAGTCAAATGGGAGAAGGTGTGACAACAAATGGCAAGCATTTTTTTCGTCTTCTAGATAAAGCCAAATATAGAGACAAGTTAAGACAATTTGTTCGTTCCTATGATGCCAGCTCACCAGTTTCACCAAAGAACCCATTCCCATTGAAGATTCAATCCGTAAAGAATTTATGTCCAGAATCCAATAGATTACGTCTTGAGATTGAGTTTGATATTGAAGGAACTCCAATAGATTATGAGACTGGTGACCATATTTGCATTTTCCCAACCAATCCATCATCTCTTGTTAAAAGATTGGAAAGTTTCTTGAAATTGGATTTGCCTATGGAGGAAATTATCTTTACTCTTGAAACACCAACATGTAGTATTGAATTGCCACCATTTATTGCCACTAGAGATAGCCCAATTACTTTATATCAGGCCATGTCTCAATTCTTTGATTTGAATGGTGTCGTTTCTCCTTCTTTATTAGGTTTCTTGGCAGACAAGGCAACCAATGCCGAAGAAAAAGCTACATTGGAATCTTGGAAGAGTGAAAAATACTTGACTGAAGTCAAGAACAAAATGTTAAATATTGTAGATATGTTAGAGAAATTCCCATCCATTAAGGTGACATGGCAAGATCTCATTGGTATCTTACCAAAGAATCAACCAAGATACTATTCAATTTCTTCATCTAGATTAGAAAATGAAGAAAGAAAGAAGAGAGGAGAAGGAAAAATTTTGAGAATTACCTACGGTCCACTTGTACAGCCAATTGATAATACCAAGACATTCTTTGGATTGTGTTCCAACTACTTGTCAGAGTGCAAACCATCTATTGCATGTCCTGTTGTTATCAGAACTTCTTCATTCAGACTTCCAGAAAATCCTGAAACACCAATCGTTTGTATTGCTGGTGGTACAGGTATTGCTCCATTCAGAGGATTTATTGATGAAAGAAGAGTTCAACAAATGAGAAATCCAAACATCAAATTCGGTCCTTCAATTTTGTTCTATGGTGTTAGAGGACCTGAAGAAGTTATTTACAAGAAGGAAATTGAACAAGCTGTTAAGGATGGTCTCATTTCTGAATCTCATTTTGCTTACTCTGGAACTGACAGAAAGATGATTGCTGATGCCATTTATGAAAACAAGGAAAAGGTTTATCAAATGCTCAGTAGATCAAAAGGAAATTTATATTTGTGTGGAGGTGTTTCAGGTTTTGGAACAAGAGCTTACAATGTCATCAAGGATATCATTAAGAATATTGAGGGTGTTGATGACAGAGTTGCTGATTCACACATTGATTTGATGAGAAAGGAAGGCAGATGCTTTGAAGATTTATCTGATTAAATAACTTTTTTAGAATTTATTTATTGAATTTTCTTGTTTTTAATATTCTGTCAAATTTAGGTTAAATATTCCAAATGTCAAACGAACCACATCCGCTAGCTTAATGATTCTTGAATTTTTACAGAAGATAACTGCCCTCTTTTAGAATTTTTGAGATGGGAAGAAAACACAACTGTCAACAGAAAGACTAAATAGACCAATTTTTATTAGGAACTTTCTACTAGAGATATTACTCCAGTGAAAGGGCCAGCACAACATACAAGTCCTGACTCTATTTCCAACGAAACTCTTCCATTATCTTACAAATCATGTGAGAAATAAGTTTCGAATTGAGATAATATGTTCACAATCTCTATAAATGAAGGTCTCTGTTCGGGTCTTTCATCCCAACAACGCTTAATCAAATCAGTTAATTGTAAAATAATGAGATAATGTTCTTTTTCAGAGGTTGCGAATAAGCTACACCAATCTTTACAACTTTCGGACGAATCGAATGGAATTGGTGGTCTCAGGCCTTGAGAAACAAGAGTTGGAACATTAAATGGACTGAGTTTTTCATATCGAAGCTGTTTTTCCTCATTCATTGTATAAAATACTTTTGTTCTGTTGGAATAATCGTATGGATTTCCCTCTTCAAAAAGTAATTCCCAAGCAATGATTGAAAAACTGAACACATCCAAAGCAGTTGCATATTTCTTTTGATTGCTTCCATTTAACATTTCTTTCAGATTTAGATCAAATTATTATAAACTACCCAAAAACAACTTACCTGGAGACAAATAATAGAAACTTCCAATATTGGATGTCATGGCTGACTTGGTTTCGTAATTCAAACTTCTACTCAATCCAAAATCACATATCTTGAGAATTCCATTCTCTGACATTAAAACATTGGCTGGTTTCAAATCTCTGTGAACAATAGGATTAGGTTTGTACGAGTGAAGATAGGCCATTCCATTAGCAATATGCAACAAGTAATTGATCTTTTTCTCTAGAGAGCAATTAATCTTCCTTGTAGTGAGTGCTTCAATGTACTTATCTAAACTTCCCTTTTCAAAATATTCCACAATCAGCAATTTTCTGCTCTCTGAAAATGAAATTCCATAAAAAGTGATAATATTTGGATGTTTGAGGGCACACAAAGTTTGTGCTTCTTTTTCAAATACATCATCAGCTCTATCGTCTTGATTTTCAACAGATTTGACAGCCACAAACGACTGGTTCCACTTTCCCAAATAAACATTTGAAAATCCTCCAATTCCAATCTTTTTAACAAATGTAATATCTTCTATTGGTATCAAGTATGGTTTCTGGTGTTGTGAAAAGAGGTAGACTGATTCCCTGACTGAAGATTGTGAATCATTGAACTCAAATTCAAGAAGTTTCTTTTCCATATCTAGCTCTGCATTGTGTCGTTGGTTGAGCTTTCTATTGGTGAATATGAATACCGATATTGTCCAAATAATACAGCAGAATAATAAGAATAAGGAGCCTGAAACTGAGCTAATTATTATGATTATTCTCTCTCGATTCTGTTTGTCAATTTCTTCTCTCGATACTTCACAAATAGTACCAGAAGATCCAGATTGACAATTACAAGAATCTGGTCCTGTACATACTCCTCTTCCACTGCAAACAGTAGGGCTGGTTGAAGCAATGCCGAAACAAATAGGATATTGACACGAACTGCCTGAATACTTATCCAAACATTCGCACGTATTCCAATTAGAACATTTTCCATGAGCGCCACAAACTTCACTCTCGTTTGAAGCTTTTCCATAGCAAATGGGAATTTCACAATTAGTTCCAATGAATTTACCTCCACAATCACAAATTCCATCCAAACATTTTCCTCTTCCACTGCATGTCTTTGAGTCAGTTGCCAATACTCCAAAACATTTAGAAATATTACACTGTTCTCCTCCATAGGATGCTGCACAATTACATCTGTTGAATGAAGAACATTCTCCCTTTCCAGAGCAAGTATTTGTATCATTTGCAAGAATTCCAAAACAGAAAGGAATGCAGAATGCTCCATAAACATCTAATACATATCCCTCTTCACAATAAGGAGTTAAGATTCTCACTCTATTGGTCTTATCAACTAGTACAACTCGTTTCATTGAAAATGAATGAATGATTGACTTGGGACTTGTTAAAGCTGATTGAAGAGCCAGAACTGAATCAGGTCCCTCTCCAGATAGTCCAGTACCTGCAATAGTGTAAATAAATCCTTTTGAAACTCTTCTCACCAAATGAGAGTTTGTTTCTGTTATGAGAAAATCACCATTCGGATAGACATAAACGAAAGTTGGATTTCTCAACACCGTTTCAGTGGCCATTTTTGATCCTTCCTTAGCATTACAAACATTTGCCCCAGCAACTGTGTTAATGGTACCGTTCACAATCTTTCGAATACGATTATTACCTGAATCAGCGAAATAAATCTCTCCATTTTGTGTAAACTGAATTCCACTTGGATTATTCACTAGTGCCTTAATGGACTCCCCTTTATCTCCAGAATCTCCTGCTTGACCATTTCCACAAACTGTTGTTAAAATTCCTTGAGAAATCTTTCGTATTCTATTTCCTGATTGTTCAGTGAAATAAATGTCTCCATTGCTTTGATCTATTGAAATTCCATACGGAGAGGAAAGTAATGCTTTTGATGCTGGAATGTTGTCTGCATTTTGTCCATTCGATGCTCCTGCTACGTGTATCGTTTCTCCATCTTTGAGCTTTTTAATTTTTGAGTTCGAATCCACATAATAGAGCTCATCCTCTTTCTCATAGAAAGCAATTCCTAATATTGGGCTAGAAGATTCGACTATGTTTGTTATCAATCCATTGGAATATTTGGCAATTCCACCTGAATGCGAAAAGGCTAAATCACCATTAATCAGCTCAGCAAGTCCAATTGGATCATTAGAAATAAAATAAGGAGCCGATAAATCCACATTTGCTTTCAAAGATTTAACACCAGCCAACAGATTAATAAAACGAGTCTCATTAATAACCCTAATATCATTATTTGAAGAATCATAAACATAAATAACATCCCCTAACTCAGACGAAAGTACCCCAATTGAACTTATTTGTTTGAATAAGGCATCAATTGCTGGAATATTATTTACAGAAGGACCCGATACAGATGCTGATCCGGAAATGATAGAAATCTTCTGATTGGATTGAATTTTACCAATTGCAGTAGCAGAGTGAACAAAAATTGTTCCATTGGCTTGGAAAATTCCAGTAAATTTGAATGGACTTTCAACTGAGAAACTGTAAATCTTACTTGTGATTAAATCAATTCTCCTTATTGCTGTATCACATAAAATGTATAAGTTGTGGTCAATTAGTGCCAGATTGGAAGGATTTTTCAAGTTGGCCTTTAGAGCTGATCCTCCATCTCCATTATTTTCATTCTTTCCATCACCAGCTATTGTTGAAATCATATTACCTGATAATTTCCTCAATCTATAATTATAGTAATCGATGAAATAAATATTTCCATTACCATCCTCAATTAATCCCTTTGGAGAGTTTAGTTTCGTTTCGTTTGCAATTCCATCCCCTTTTAATATCAAATATTAGTTTAAAATAAAATCATCCCAAGATCAACAAACCTGAATATCCTGTTGTTAATGTTCCTGCCACAATAGAAATTGAATCATTGGCCAACATTTTAATATTCCTTCCTTGAGCATCTGTAAATAAAATTCCATTTCTAGTTTCTAATATTGAGAGCGCTCTATATTCTAAATCAATTAATTTCGAAATCAGATTTGTTTTCAGATCAAGTTTCATGATGGCATTCCTAACACCATCATACATGAACATTATCTTTGTATTCGTGCCAAATGTCAAATTATTGGGATTCAAATTGGCATATATTGAAGGAAGATTATTTCCATTATTCGGATCATAGCCAACCAGTGTATCAATACCAAATGATAGACTAGTATTGTATTCCATTGTTGATGCTGTGCATTGAACAACAATCAAAAATAAAAACAGGGAAATGAGTAGTTGTAGTGTTGTTTGATGTTGTGACATTTTGTAGGATTGATTATTTTAGCAACCATACAACCACAACCAATACAACATCCATTCTAAAATTATAGCTCAATATTTCCGAATTGAGTTCAATTAATTGCTTGCTCCCTTTCCAATACAAAAAAAGAAAATTGTGCTTTCTAATTGTTTGTTGTGAAATGATTAAATTCCTTAATGGTCAAAAATCGAGATTTTATTTACATTATATTACACTACTCTCGGTTGTTATTGGATTGTAAGCATCAAGATTACATAAATAGTTGATCATTCTGTGATCTTCCTTGTAGCTGTCACTCAAAATTATGGAAGTAATGTCTTCCTTATTGGCCTTTTTTATGTACACAGTGTCATCAATATTTCTAATTTGATAGACACAACCAGCTGGGAAGAGAGTCACAACAAGATTTTCATAATCATTAATAATCAGTGGAGAATCTGGGTTCCTCTTTGGTTTTTTGGAAACTTTTCTTTTAACAGTTGAGCCTGAAGAAGGGAAAACATCATCATTAGTGCTTTGTGAGATTGAGGAAAGAGGCTCATCTGTACTCTGCACATCATCAGCATTACTTGAACTGGAAATATCTTGATCCTCCATCGATGAATTAGATTGATCGTACTCAATTCTTTTGGCATCTTCTCCTGTACTTATTGTTGTAATGTTTGTGGTGATAGGTTCTGTCTTGATTACATCCTTTTTAACTTCTATGATTGGCTCTACTACATCTGCCTTCTTACTACCTCCAAATAATCCACTAAATAAACCAGATGCATAATTTTTAACTCCAGCTGCAAACTTTCCAAGTGTTGAGTTTTGAATATCTTTCATCATTTCCTCCTTCCAAGGATAGTTCTGTACTTCCTTTCTCAATTCGTGAACAGCTGTCATTGATAATCTTGTTACAAAATCATCACCATTTACAAAACTTGTAACATAGTCAGCACATTCGTCAGCTAAAATTTGTGATAAAACTGGTGGACATGCAAATGCATAACAGTGAATATCAGGAAAGTCTTTCTTCCACATAGTGGACAATATAGCTGCAGTACCACCACCCAAGCTATGACCCAGCAACCTTAATTTGTATCCTGGATGATGCTCAAGAGTTCTTTTAACCACTTCCTTGATGAATTTGTTCGAATCAAAATATTGAGCAGCTGTCAAAATTCCTTTGTGACAATATCCATGTTTGTAACGAATAGAGGAGCAGTGCAAATCAGTCAGAATATCACTAAATGATTTTGTTCCTCTAAAAATAACCAGAACCGATTTTGTATAGTCGTCCACACACAGAAAATATCCAGGTCTCATGGCTTGTTGAGTTCTATCGTAGGCAATAATTTTGTGAAGTTCCAAACGGGTGTTCCTTGGTATGTCCTCTATCGAGTCTCTAAAAACTTGATAGGTTAAACGTGCATAATGTCTCCAAACCTCAACGTTTGAAGCTGGCAGTCTCTCTAAATCTGACTCTAATTTGAATTGAGTAAAATCACGTTTCATCTTGCCCTTACTTCTTGCAAAATATTCGAGTCCCAAGGTCATTTCTCCCCATGACCATTGAGATGCCATAGCTCTGATTAAACTAAATGCATTCTTGTTATGGGCAAAAAAGTCACTCCATGAGTATTTTGGTTGAGAAGTTAAAAATTCTGAAAAACTGAACTCTTGTTGTAAAGTTCGGTTGACGAGAGCCAACTCTTCTAATTCCATTTGCTTCATTTTTTGTTCTTGTTCAGAATGCATTCTACGAATCTGTTCCTCTTGAAGTTCATCCTGTTTCAGTTGTTTGATTTGTTGCTGTTCAATAGAATTATTACTAAATCCGCATTTCTCCAAAAATTCAGTATTATAAAATATTTTCTTATGTCTCTTATTATTATTATTTCCGTTATTATTGCCAGCAGCAGTCGATCCTTGTTTCTTTAATTCGTCCAATTTAAATTTGTCATAACTTTGAGTACGAATCATAGCTTCCTCCTGTATAGAGTTTAAACCAACATTCGAAGGAATTGAACGTCTGTTGACCAAAGTACCCGCAAAGGAGGAACTACGGTGCATACTACCATCTACATTTGTAAATATATGTGATATTGGTTCAGGGTTTATATTTGCAAACTCGTAATTATATGTATTAATACTGGAAGCTGGCTCTAAATTATTCTCAGTATAATCTCGGAACAAAACTTTTGGAGGTGTGGATGGATAGGATGGATTGTTGGTGGTAAAATTATCGGAAGAATAAGTTGTATTCATAGCAGAGGGATGAGAAAATACTAAATTATTAATTTCCGTAGAGGTTTGTGTTGGTCTTGGTGGGAGTGGTTTTGAAGTCTTTCTTGGTGGAGAAAGAGTGTTAATGGATGGAAGAGGTTTTTTCTTGGGAGAGTCTAATGATGGTAATGGTGGAAGAGAGGTAACTCTATTGATACTATCACCATCATTCCTCTCTTCGGATATTGTACTTGAATCAAAATTAGCTTGTTGTTGAGAATAGGTATTTGGAATAATGGTTGAAAAAGGTGTAATTGGTGATATTAGAGCTTCGTTAGATGGTTCAGTTTCTCCTCCCATGATGGTTAATCTTCTTGTATTATAATTAAACTACCAAAATACAATACTAGTACAAAATCACTTCTTGTTGATGATGATAAGAGAGTTTTTAAAAAAGTCGGATGATGATGAAGTTTGTTACGAAGATTAAAATCTTCCCACAACAACAATACTTGTTAAGAGTCAAGTTGTACAAGTGTTGATGATCGGTTACGAGGTTTGTTTGTTATGTAACGTCTTTTTTGATATTTTTTCAAATCCTGATCGTAATTTCACCGCGTTTCATTCTTGCTTGTTTTTCAATTTGTAAACTCACGTAAAAAAAAATACAATAACATCAACAACACCACATATCAACAACAACATGAGCAACAACAAAATCAAAACAAAACAAACAAGTATTTTCTATGGTCACCAACAAAACAGAAGTAACGTTTGAAGTATACAGGTTGAGCAAAAGTAAGAGGGTAGCTATGAATAAATCGTTGGAGAAGAATAACAATACAAACAAAATACGTTTTGTTGTAGAGAAGGTTGATGATTTGAAAACAGCTAAACGCCAAGTAACAAACATTCTTGAAGGCAGTGAAGAGAGTAAGAAAGTGAACATACCATTAGAGAAAAGACAACAACTTGAATACTTTTTTGATACTTCCCTACCAACAATAACACTGCGTGAGATAATGGATGAAAAATATTCTGATGAATATTATGCAACAAGATACCTAAAGGTACTTCCGAGAACTATTGAGGAGGTAGTTATTAGAAATGCTCAGCCAGATACAACCCATAATGTCAAGTGGCATCATCAACATTATGTTTCTGTAACAGATGATCACGAAGCAAAGCTATTCTTTGATTATCAAATACAAAAGGCAAAACCATATAGCATTTTAAAAGAAGAGATGTTGATTGAGGGTGGCATTGCAAGGGAAGGAAGAATAGTTCCAAAGATAACATATCATTGGTTGTTTGCTGGAAATTATAGCCTTCCTCCTTTGTTTAGTGATAAGTGGTATGCATTTAAATGGGAGCATGATGGTATTTTATGGAAATTTGGAATTAATCAATTTAAATTAATTTACAAACCTGAAGAGAAGATGATTAGAATTGAATTTGATTATTTCTGCTCTATGCTTGATGAATCTGTTAAATGGAATAAATATTAAACAATTATTATAATTTAAATTATTCCTTTTATTTTATAAAAAGGAGTTTGGTGATGGATTGGAGGATGAAAAGAATGAAAATGGAGATGATGGTTGGTAAGGAGATGTTGGTTGGTTATTGGAATTTTGAGAAGGATTGAATTGAGAAAATGTTAAATTGTTAGTTAGTGGAGGTTGGAGTTGAAGAGGATGAATATATATAGGAGGTGAGAAGGAGTGTTGATTGTGTAATGTAATTGAATTAAAATTATCTGGAAGTAGAGGTTGTAATAGGGAAGGATTGATATAATTAATTGAGGAATTGGTTGAGCTTATTGGATTGGGTTGTGTAGTAGTTTCAGATTTTCTTTTCTTTTTTGGTTGTGTGAGTTTTTCTTTTTCGGAAACTTGTTTTCTTTTGATCTCATCTTGTCTTGCAATAATATTAGGAGTCTCAGCAAGGATCTTCAATTCATTAAGAATTCTTTTGCTGTCATAATATAAAGAATCATCACAAGGATGTCTTAAACCACCATTAACTCCAAATGAAACATGACGCTTCCTTCTTAAAGAATTTTTAGATTCAGATCCAATGTTTGATGTTGTTACGAATGATTCTTCTACTTCATCGAACACAATATCTGCATGTTGATGAATGTGTAAATATTCTGATATTCTTCCTAAAATATCTTTTATCCAAACCTTATTTAAATTCTTAAATATTAGCAATGGCTCTTGATATCCAGTTTTCTTCCATTCTAACCATTTAGATTTTGGTTGGCGAAGAGTAATGTATGTTTTTTGAAGAGCTTTCCATATATGTTCATAGTTTTTTGGTTTGTATGTTCCTCGCTTGGAGTGTTCTTCATTTGTACAATCTTCAAATGATTGATTATTGTTAAGGGATTGACAAACCTGTAATTGTTTGTTTTCTCGATATGTGAGCCAATGAGGATACCAAACATCTATTGTCATTATAATTTTGTCTATTTGTTTAAACAAAATCTGATCATAGATTAGTTTAACTGAACTAGTTCGTAGCTCTGTTCCTGTTTTGTTTTTCTTTTTTTCTTCTTTCACCTTTAATTCAAATACACTCCATTGACAAAACTCAAATTCAGAAACAAGGTTGGCATCTAGTTGTTCATTAATTAGCTTTTTAGAACCACATTTCAAAGAGGCAATTGGAGATTCAGAACTGAATAATTTGGCAAAATATTGTCTATCTTCTTCAATTTGTCCCACCTCTTCTTCAATAAGATTCTGACCACAGGCTCTTATATCATGCGAAAGACACCATGAAAAACTTTTAAAAGGCCAGCCTAAAGCATTACTTGAGCTTTCGTTTGATCTGTACCATTTCCATGTACACAAATCAGGATACTTCAATGCTATTCTTTTTGTTTGTTTAGTTAAATAACAAAACATACAACATAAATAATCTGTTTGAGGTTTCTTAATGATAAATTTTTCAATTAAAAAAATAGAATCTTCATCTAATTGAAAATCAGTAAATATTTGGGATTTTGTTGGAATGTTGTGGTAATAAGGTAACGTTTCAGGCATAATCTTTTTAATTTCCATAACCTTTGCTAGATTTGCTTGTCCTTTTGCTTTGTTGCTATCATTATTACAATCTCCTCTTATTGTTGGAATTAGAGGTAGTATTAAGGAATTATCTGTATTGAAAATCATTGATAATAGGCAATAAAGATTTACCAAATTAAAAATAGGATCACAAATTGGCGTTACCTTTTCCACATCTATAATTTTGTTAAAGGCGCCCTTATCAGGGTTGGTAATAAATTTTACAGGAATAATTCTTGTTTCTTCATTAGGTACAGAGTATTTCAACTGTGTGATACGCATTAACTGGCGAGAGAAATCCCAGATGTTTAATTTGAACGCTATTTCCTCTTTAGGCTCGGCAATAATAACAGAAATATAATTACGAGCACAAAATGGATCTATCTTGGGATGAATTAATACAATATCATACGCAGTACAGGCTCCCTCTAAAGGTGAACCATCAACAGTACATCTTATCTTTACAAAGAAGATATATTCTCCTATGATCATTTCATGGTAGCGAATAAATGAGAATAAAAACAATTCTGCATTTTGAAGCGTTGCATATCTGAATGTCCTGTCATTAAGTTCTATGGATGAACAAAATATTCTCCAATAAAGTCCTTCGCTATCTGCAGCATGATTGATATCTAATACTTGATGTAAACTACTTGAATATTTTGTTATTGTAGAGAGTGATGGTAAAAAATGTCTTGCCTTTTTCTTATTTCTGGATGTGTCTGATTTACTAGATTCTTCTAAACAACCAATAAATCTACCATAACTCCCTATACTTATATCTGCATTACAAATTGCTTTAAATACTATTGCTTCACACCAAGAAACACCCTCAGTACTATATAGATTGGCTTGTGCTAATAAATCTTTGCCTTTTTTTGTGGAGACTAGAAAGTATAATAATATTGATTCAAAATCTAATAATCCTGAGGTTATTTTAAAAACAAAATAGGGCAATAGAACTAGCATTATCTGATAAATTATTGAACTAAAATTCTGTTCATTAGTGAAATCTGTTTCTTTGTATGTCTTGTAATACTCAAAGTCGTTGGATGCTTGTTGTTTTGTTTTTTTAATTGCCGCCACAATCGATCTATCATTATCACCTTCAAAGGCAGGACGTTTGGTTTCTTTTTGCTTTTTGATGTTGTGGGAATTTAAAACGTCAGCTTTGGTAAAAAGTGTCGCTACTCCCATTTTTTTTAATGATTAATAATAATAACCAGCTAGCATACAAAATGTAAACAATACAGTATTGGTGTAAATGATGAATAAATGATGGATAAAGAGTGAATAGATTGCAGCCAAAGTGTTTGTTAAGTCAAACAACATGAATGTGAAGCTACTGAAAACCAGTTGCCAAAATGCCCATCCATTGTTGTTTAACCACTATTCAAGCACTAAATCTCTGCCCCAAACGCAAGACATATGCCTCTGCGTTGAAATGGAAAGCATAGTTGTTTAGCACCTTGTTAGTGATGTTGTTTTAGTACAACTTGGAATAATTAAGCACTGACATAGTGAATGTTGATTGAAATTGTCTTTGTTTGAGTAATTGGAGAATAAGTATTAATAGATGATGAAGTAGTATACACTACAACACCTAAGGTAATGCTACTATTACCACCACAGCAGCAATAAGTGTCCTCCTTGCATCATATTTACGTGAATACTGAAACATAACATCTTAAACCAAATAAACCCATGATTCTTGAAACGTAAACCTAGAAGTTGAATAATAGGGTGGTAGTGACAACAAACAAAAAGGATATCTGAAATATCAATAGCCAGCTCAGCACTAGTGAACTTGGCATCCAACATTGGATCGAACAAGTAGATTTCACTATTAGTAGCCAACTTTAAATAGTAATAATACCCAGTGTCCTCTTTGGAGATATGATCCAATCATGGTTGGAATGAAAACACTGGTGTTGAATTGCACTCGAAACATTACAGCCTGAACAAAAGCATACCATATATTATTATTAAAAGTGGACGAAAGACAACAGCTCTATGACTCATACTAGTTGTATAGAAGAATTCTTTTTGATAGGGTTTTGGTTGGGAGTGGAATCACCAGCATAGTTTGGTTATTGGAAACATTAAAAGAGCCTCCATATGTGCAATTACTGGAGCAACCAATACAAGTAGCCAGAAAAAGATCCATCACATTCAGGGTGAACATCACTGATTTCTAAATGTACATTCCTTCAACATAGATGGCAAGTTAGATTAAAAGATGGCTCCTCTTCTGATTGTTGCTGAGCAGGGTTTGATTGTGGAGAAAGAATTTAATGTTGAGAAATGTTTTGAACGCAACAATTACAATGCATGCTACTTCTGAATAATTTCCTAATGATTTTTCAATATTGATATAAGTTGATTGCTGTCATGGTATCCTCTTTTTTTGCAAGATGGATAAGAATTATGTTAGTTGTTGAAAACCATTTGAATCATCAAAGTAAAACAATTATTTTACAATAGCTCCGAATACCTGTATGTTGTTGAAAATCAACAGCCTGATCATTAGATATATTTTAGAATTCTTCTTTGGTGAGAGTTGATTATATGAACATTGCCATCAATTACCAAACATTCAAGATAATTAAAAGAATTGTCAATGCATAGTTTGTATCCAACAACGATGCTCGCAGTTAAATGATCTTTCCTGTTGATAATATGATTTACGGAAGCAACAAAGTTTGAACAGGAAACTTTGGAAGAAGGGAAAAGGAATTAAAATAACGTCCTCAACTCACAACAACAACACTAATTATACTCCTACAAGAGGATGTATAAGTGTGTTATTATCAAATCAAGCCCACCGAGAGTGCTTTCATCTATTACTGTTGTGCTTCTCGAATAAAATTCGAGGTTAAAGTGTGGAGACATTTTTTTAATACAATTAAATTATTTATAAAAATTATTTAAATAATTATTTAAAATTTAATTATTGATTTTATTCTTAATACCTTTCATAACTTCTCCTCTATTCATGGGATAACTAGTTTTACCCAAGTCTGCTTTATGAGCAAAGAATACAACGGAATATCTAACATCATCTTTACCATGAAGTGATTCAACAGCATGTAAATTATTCTTACCATCAAACAATAAAACATCTGCTGATTGAACCATAAGCTTAAAATTTAATTCAGGAAATGAGATTGCTCCACCTTTAAACTTTCCAAAGTAAAAAATTAGACTAGTTCCAGTGTCTTCCTTATCCGGATGAATATGTAGAATTCTATTTTCATCTACAGATTTATCCAAAAAATTAAAACACACTGTCGGATAAATTGATAAAAAATCACTACTATTGTATTTTTCTAAGAATTTCCTCATCTTGTTATTTCCAAATTTCAATATTTCCAAAACATAATTTTTTAATAAATTAATAATTTTAATAAATTGAGAAGATAATTCATTAAAAATAGTGTCATTAGTTTTAAATAGAAAAGAAGAACTCTTTCCCCAACTTCCTATATAATAATTTTCCTTTGATCTTCTTTGGTTAATTTTATCCAATATATTGGTTACCTCAGTAGTGGTATTTTCGGGAAGTATATTTCTTAAAAACATTAGTTGAATAGTATTAGCCAAATTACTACATAATATCAAATTAACATTGATTTTGAATAAATTTTTAGATTGTAATAAATTATTAATTTTTTTTTCAAAATCTTTTTTGGATTCTTTTTTTGTAGATTTGTTCCTTTCCTCTTTTAATTGTTGAATTATTGTATCAATTGTAGATGTTGATAAATTATTTTTTATGTTTTTTCTTTGTTTTAATAAATATTGGATTGAATTGTTTGTTCCGATAATAGCATCTCGCCATTTACTCCAAGAATATTTAAATAAATTTGAATTAAAGAATTTCTTACGAAGATTATCTAATCTCCTTTTTCTTGTAGACTTGGATAATTCTATGAATTGTTTTAATGTTAATGATTTCCGCAATTTGTTCTCCATAACAATTTGTGCTGGTGCTTTTGCCATTTTTTTAGTAAATGTCACAACAAGATACAACAAGGTGCTTTAGAAAGCTATTTTTAAACCAAATTACAATAAACCACTGTTTTATGTCAATTTACAAATTCAATTCATATTCAATGAAATTATAAGATAATTATCTTTAAGTTGTAATGGTATTATTAGACATCACATTGAGGATTATACTAGCCTTTGGAGTCTTTAATATATGAATTCATCATGTTTATAAGCAAAGTTGCACATGTGTAAAAAGGAACTATTATTTATTGAGAGTAGAATGGATATGTGGCACTCTCTGTGACATTTCTGATTATCATGAGAAATGCAATAAAAACAGGATGATCTTGATGATCGTTACGATCATTTAACATAAAACATGTAAACAATAGTATTGGTAATTGTTTTATTGTTAATATTTTGTTGTTGGGCCCGAATCAACACTGGTGGAATGAAATTCCGTAATCGACAAGATGACGAATATTTGATGATGAATATGGTGTTTATTCGTGATTTAAATAGTACTAGTAGTTCTATAAGATTGTATTCAAGTTGGTTGAAGTACACATGGAGTAATGTTCATGTTAGTTTTCAAAATTCACATGTACCTATCTCTATCAATACTTGATGAAAAGTGATCAAACAAAGTTTTATATCATACTATTGTCCATTTCCAACAATGCCACATTAATAGTTTTCCAACTTTTCCATTAAATCCAACGGTGATGAAGATTTTAGTGTAATTTCATTACTATATATTAATTTCCACAAATAAAATTATTATATTGATGGAAAACAACAATAATGTTCTGATGATTCATCAACTTGTGATTTTTCATCATGAAGATAAATTCCAAAATAATGAAGAAAATACTCCAATAAAAATTACTATATTACTACTAAATTGATGTTTAGATGATGATGTGAAAGTTTGGTGCTGAGAAACCACTTCGAAAATCAGCAAGGTGGCAAAGAGTCATTTTCTCAATTTTTTTACGAATATTAACATAACTTGAATGACTACAATTCCTTGGCAAACTTGTGAAACATCAATAGTAAAGAAGGCAAAATCATATGCAATCTTTTTGATATCTCTACTCATTTCCTTACCATCAACAAGAGCCCAAACGATCACTGAAGCACTATTCACAATTCTCAAAAACACTTCTTTGACTAGAGACATTTCATTCCATACAATACGCAAAATGAAAGGTTAGGTCAATTACTTTCAAACATCTCTCTTAGTCATAGGCATTAGCCACTGGTAGTAATGACTCCCTCTCCACAAATCTTTCTAATTCTATTGTTCATACAATCAGCAAGAATAATCTCCTCAGAGGAAACAGTAATAAATGAAGAACTAATAGCCAAGCCATCATCCTCAATAGGACCGATATTATCCAGTATTAGCCACGACAAAAATTGTTCAGGTTGGAGCAGGTGTTAACATTTTGAGGGTGTGTTACTTTTCCATCCTCACCAACTGCAATACTTGTTGGGGCAATAGTTGTATTGAGAGTAGGAACAGGAGCTGCTAACTCAGACCTGGAGTTGGTGGAGCACTAGATCTTGCAATTATTGTAAGATCATTGACAATCTTGATGTAAAACTTGTAGGCAATGTATATGGAATGGTGTTAATTGAAGCATGTTCAGAATTCTGAAAAAAGCAAGTCCTGTTGGTTGAGCAAGAGTATCAGTAATATTCATTTCCAAAGTTTTCCTTCTTCTTGTCCACCGATAAGTAATAAATATGATAGTCTTATTGGTAATTGATAGCTTTCTAATTCTAAAGTTATAAGTGTCTACTATATAGATAACTCATCCATACCTTCCACTGAATAGACAATTTGACTTGAGTCAAAACTGAAGAGTTGAAAGAACATCATCAGTGCATCTCTTTCACCTCTGTATGTGTAAGAGAATCATCTATTGTAAATGTCTACACTCAAATCAAACGGTAAAATCAGCTTTTAATCAGTGAGAATGAACATAGTTTCCCTTGGAGGATCATATTTCAAAATGAATTCACCTTCAGAGTTGTAAGGATTTAGATGGCAACAGTTGCTGTTGTGTAGACAACATTAATACTTGCTAAATCTTCTAAAACAGTTCCATCAACAACAGTTACTATTTCTTGCATCACAGTTTCTAATTAATGGCAGGACCTTAAGTCTTGATGATGGAATGTATAGCACCAACCAAATTGAAATGTGAAAAGATTACACTCATAAATATCAAATTCTCTGACATCATTTTCCAAAACTGACTATTTCAAATTATTATTTTGGTGAAGATTTCACCTTAAATGTTCCATGGTGTCAATTATGAAATGGAATTAAGGTAAAATTTCAAATAAATCGTAGGTACTTACATTTATTACCCTGTTGCTGCTCCCACTCCAACTTATTAATTAAACACATCACAATCATATATAAGATAGCAACGCATTCAGGAGTAAATAACAAAAAGCAACAGCAAGTGATGAGGTAGGAGCCAAACAAGCAGCATACTTTTTCTCCTTTTCAGTACCAGTTGATCTAAACTAATACTTCATTCAAATGTGCGGAATCATCGTAAAAGCCTGCTGTTGGTTGTTGTTTCACAATCCTCGGATATAGTCATGATGCTTCATCAATAGAATTTAGTGATGAAAAAAAGGAGACCCTCTTTGATGAAGTTTTCCATAGACGATTACTTGCTGTTGGTGCTGAAGTGGTGTGTTTGTATGTTGCAATATTAAATCATTTTTTGTTTGGTCTCTCTAAATTATTGCTGAAAATCATCAGCCCACAGTGATGGTTTTATATCTTCTAAATATTGTTGTTGTTCTTCTTCTAAATAAATCATTCCTTACTAGATGTTTTCTGACATAATAAGAAACATTACATCCCAAAACACAACATCATCTCCTTGAGAATTTGTTGTGAGTTTACCTCGTAGTAAAACAATTACTTCAATTTTGGAATAATTATAAAACACCTCTACATGAAAAGAACTTTCTTATAAAAGAACTCAACCTAAGAGACGAGGTAGGATGTGATGTTACTAATTATTGTTGGGAGGTAATAATTTTTGGTTTGTCAGTTGGTGATGGTATTTTTTTCTATAAAGCTATCCAACGTCATAACTTTACAACTTTTATTACAAAAAGCAAAATGAAACGCGGTGATTAATATCTTGTAGTGATGGAAAATTGAGTTGGGCACGACAAATTTTGCTCCAATATCATTCAAAATCCGCTCACAAAGTCCTTATTATTGCTTTAGGTGAGGAGCTTTAGGGAATATTGAAAAAAATCAGTACAGCAGTTTTTTGAAAAAACTTTTAATTGAAAACAGAACTCACTTCATCAGCATCAGCTGGCTTTCTCAATTCTAAGTACTTTCTGTGTTTTTCAGTCTTTTTTTGCTTGTCGAGGTCAAGTTTAATGCTTTCCAATCTTTGAACTTCAGCCTTTGAAACAAAGTGTGAATCACTATTGAAAATAACTCTACCATCGAAAGAACCATTGAGAATCTTAGTCAACTTGAGAACAAATCTAGGTCCAATTTCAACAAGAGAATATTCATGTTTTTGGGAACCAGTCAATGCAACTCCTTGGCTTGATTGTTTTGTAACAATTTGATAATTTCTGAACCAAACTCTTCCATCCAAATAATAGAAAGCAAACATGTGATCAAAGAATGGTTTTGATTTTGGATGATTAAGTGGTGTAGAGAAAGTTTGTGTTAATAATTCCTTAATCAATGGGAGATGAGTAAGCTTATCTTCGCCTTCAATATTGTCAAATGTTTTGTCGAAATGTAATAATGGTCTTGAATATTTCAAACAATTTCCGATAAGATTCAATTCATTCATAGTACTGATATTTTCAACTTTAAATCTCATAGAAGGTCCAGTTGAAGTCTTTGACATCCATAAAAACAATTCTGTATCTGCTGATTCCTTATCAACTTCAAAGTACAAAATATTTGGACATTTCAAAGCAGCAGCAATGTGGTCAATCTTTTGAAGTCTGTGAAGTTTTTTAACCAAATCTCCTTCATCTATTCCTTCTTTAGAGAATTTACTTTCGGTTTTAGTGTGAGGTAACAAGGTACGAAGATCCTTCAATAAATGTCTATGTTTAGCATGAATACCTCGTGAAGATAAAATCAAAGTTCTTTGTTTGTTGTGGAATTTAGAATTGGTACTATCACTATTTGTAACCGTTGATTTTGTTTGTTTGTTCATTTGCTTTAACTTTTGTCTAATCTTGTTGGTAGTCACAGCAACTGGCTTCTTCTCTGTTGAAGCGACCGATGTTTCCTTGTTGTTATTGGTAGTCACCATTTTTTGAATTTAAAGTGTTTTCAATTTTTTTAAATTTTTATTCTTGTTCAACATTTTACTTCACTTTTCCAACAAGCCTTGTTGATGAAAGTTTGAAAAAAATTGTTGAAGTCAACAAGACAATAAAAAATGCCAGGCGCAAAGAAGAGAAGTAAAGTAGCCACTTTTTCTGGAAGTAAGAATGAATCGAGAGTGGTCAGACATCTTGACTCATCTGATGAAGAATCAGACCATGAAGATAGAGCCGAATATGCAGCGTAGGTTTTTTTAGTTTCATAGATGATGATGATTAAATTTTGTGTAGAGGCGATCCATATGAAGATGAATACGATGAAAATTCGGAAGACTACGTTGATGAAGATGAAGGTGAATATGAATTTGAAGGAGATGAAACCGAACTTCGTCAAAAGATGGATGAATTAAATTTGAAAGTACAAAACAGTGAAAAACAATATATTGAAGAGGAGGAAGAAGCCGAAAAGTATAGAGAAGGTATAAATTCCAAAGCCGATATTTATCGTCCTGGAGAGAATTACAATGATGGAGAATTCGAATTAACTTTTCAAAATAAGGCCTACGAAATTAATTACAAAATCAGAAATGAATGGCCTGCTTTGAGTTTTGATATTGTTTCACAACCACTCGATACTATGAATTATCCATTGTCATGTTATTTTGTTGTGGGTGTGCAAACTGATGAAACTGTTCCTCAAAAGAATTGTTACATGATTAAAGCTTACGATATGTACAAAACACGTTACGATTCAGATGAAAGTGACGTTGAAGATGAAGATGATGATAATGAAAATTTGGATGATGAACCATCACTTGAATACCAAACTATTCCAATCACTGGTAATGTTAATAGAGTAAGAGCAATGCCACAAAATAGAAATATTGTTGGTTTTTGGTGTGAGGACTCTAAGGTTCACATTTATGACTTGACACAAATGTCACAAGTTTTAAGACAAGAAAATATGGCCAGTTCCTTAAAATCTATTACAAAGAGTAAGAAGGCAATTCAAACTTTCGATTTCCATACTACTGAAGGTTTTGCTATGGACTGGTCGAAGTGTGTGGAAGGTAGACTTGCTACTGGTGATTGTAATGGTGAAATTAACGTTATGGATATGCAAACAAATAGTGGAGTTCATACTTGGAAGAGAATTTATGATAAACCATTTGTTGGACATACAGGAAGTGTTGAGGATCTTCAATTCTCACCAAGTGAAGACAGTGTGTTTGCATCATGTTCATGCGATAGAACTATTAAATTCTGGGATACAAGAAAAAAGAATAGAAAGCATGCTCTCAGTTTTGAAGCTAGTGAAAAGGCAGATGTTAACGTTATTTCTTGGAATCCTCTCACAAGTTACTTTATTGCAAGTGGTGACGATGATGGTGTTATTCGTATTTGGGACGTCAGACAATGTTCTGATAGCAGTCCTATGAAACCAGTTGGCCAATTTATTTATCACAAGAATTCTATTACATCAATAGAATGGAATCCAATTGAATCAACGTTATTGGCTGCTTCTGATTCTGATAAGGTGACAATTTGGGATCTCTCACTCGAAAGAGATGCCGAACAAGAAGAAATTGAAAAAGAAATCGGAAATGAAATCCCACCACAATTGTTATTCGAACACATGGGTCAAGTTGACATTAAGGAAGTGCACTGGCATCCAAAATTCCAAAATGTGCTTATTACAACAAGTCTTGACGGCTATTCAATCTTTAAACCATCTAATCTTTCAGAAGATCCTGAGGATGAAGAAATGGAACAATAAATTATTTAATAAGGCAATTTTATTGATTTCATCCACCTATTCTAATGTTCTCGTTATAATCTATTCTTATAATAAACTTTGATAAGATTGGCTCCAGCTGTCAATACTTGTAAAAGCCAGTGGATGCATTCAAACAATTTCTCCCGCCAAATATTTTTCGTAGTTAAGTTTGTCGTTTTTTAACCAACAAAAAAAATGGTACGTTGCCTTACCCTCAAAGTATTCTAACCTGATATTTGATTTTAATTGATATTATTATATTAGCCATCATCTAATGCTTCGATATCTAGTGCAGGATCTCACGCAAGATCAACCTATAGAAAAGTTGCTGATACGGCTACTGTGGATGAAAACTTGTTTGGTACGAACAAGTCATCAGCAAGGGGCCAACCACAACAAAAACAACAACAAAATAACTCAATGAAAATGGATAAAAGGACATTACAAACTGTCAAAAAGCAGCCAGATGCTGTCGTTATTTCAGCTTCCGAATTTATGACCCTGAAAGAAAAAGCAACTCCTCTTGAAAAACAAAGGGAAGCTGAAAGAAAAAAAAGGGAAGAAACATTGGAAGCTATGGAAAGAAAGGAACGTATAAGACAGCTTGATAGAGAAAAGAAATCTAAGGGAGACATGAAAAAATCTGATCTTGACGTAGAAAATGAAGAAAAACAATTACAACTCCTTGAAAAAGCTATCACTCAAATGGATGAAAATATTGATGAAGTCAAGAGGATGAATAGTATGGCCTTGTATTCTCAATGTGTCACAATTAGAGACAAGCAATTGGAGGAAAAACAAAGAATTATCTATGAGAAACAAGAGGAAGATAGACGACTTGATGAATTGATGGAACTTGAAAGGTTAAAGGCCATTAAAATGTATGAACAAAGAGAAAAAAAGAGACAAGAAGACAGAAGAAATGGATCACTTGTAATTAAAGAACAAATGAAGGAAAGAGAAAAGGAAAGACTGAGAGAACTCGAGTTAAAGAGACAAGAACAAGATGCAATGTTGTATCACATGCAAAAGATGAAATCCGAAGATATTAAGGAGGCAGAGGAAAAGAAGAAGCAAGAAAAGTTACTTATGGAAGAAATTGCTCTTGCGAATGCAGAACAAATATCTCTGAAGAGAAGATTAAAACTTGCTGAGCTTGAAGAAGATAGACAAATTGCTGACTACCTTGCAGAAAAGGAAAGAAGAGAACAAGAAATAACGGATCAACAAGAACGATTAAGAGCAGAAAAGGAAAGAGAAGTTGCTCGTCTAAGAGCTCTCCAAGAAAAGGCACAAGACAAGCTTTCTGAAATGGATACTCTGAGAGCTAAACGAGCACAAGAAGCTCTGGAAAGAGAATTCAGAAAAAAGAAAATGCAAGAAGAGGAAAAGAGAGTTAAAATGAATCAAGAACTTCATGGCACAAGACAAAAGCAAAAGATGGAAAAGGAAAATAAGATTGCTGAACTTGCAAGAGAGGACAGAGAAGATTTTTCGAGGATTGTGGATCACCAAAAGAAGCTCGAAGAATTGGAAAAGCTTAAGGCTGAAGAGGAGAAAAAGAGACGAGTTCAGACTCAACAACAGCTGATGCAACAAATGGATAACACTAAAGAAGAAAAAGACAAACAAAGAAGAGAATATCTTGAGGAAGGCGAATTACTCAAGAGAAAGATGGAACTCGAGAGAAAGAAAGTCGAATTAATAAGAAAAAAGAAATTGCATGAGTTGTTAGAGAGTGGTATTCAAGATAAGTACACAGGGAAGTTAATGACAACTGATTTTACTGTAGAAAAATTGAGATCTGCAGCTCAAGATATTCCTCTTTCAAAAGCTGCTGGTGCTCCTGCTAAGAAATAAACTTAAATTGTAAATTTGTAATAACGTGTATTAATTGGATTAAAAAAATGATTAAACTCAAATGCCTAATACCTATTAATAGGTTAATCTCAAAGAAAAATCCAGCACTAACTATCTGGACGATTCCGAAAGAAAGAAAATTCTCAGTTTCCAATATTAATTTTACAAATGATCAACAAAATAATAAGAAGCAACCTCTTCATCGAATGAAAGAATCAATGTATGAAATTATTGGATTGAGAATATTGTGGAGAATGGGTATGATAATTCCAAGTAGATTTGCTCGAGGAATTATTCTATCAGTGCCTTTGATTGGCGGTATTTTAGCATTACAAGGTTGTCTTGCTGATTATCAAAGATCCAAATCAGAAAAATCCAAAAAAGCAAGTAAGCTTTTTTTCATTGCAAGTGTTTTAAATGGTTTGGATGTTGTGGTTAATATTGCAATCGCTGGTGTATTACTCTTTGATGAGACTAAAATCCAAATTCATCATTCCAGAAGCTTACTGGAATTTGTTCAAACACTTCCTCATACTTTGATGACTGAGCAATTGCCTAATGAAGTTTTGTTGGCAATGTTAGAAATTGGATCAATTTCAACAGCTATTCTTGCAACTTGTTTTGCAGTATGTGGAGAAATTAAGTCAGAAAATCACTATTTAAAAGAGCGTAATAGAATTGATATGAAATGATTAATGTTTTACATGACTATGCAAGATTTCTTGGATTTGTCTTTTTCACCTGATTGATTTGGATTTAGGAATTTACAATCAGCAATAACAGTCTTGGCATTACCGTGTAACATTAATTGTTCAATCAGTGAGTTGATCAGTAGCTTGTCTTTTTCACCGAAGCCTTTCAATTTGAGTTCAATTTTATCCAATTGACCAATTCTAATTTTTGAGGCATGAACAAAGGAAGAAACTATTGTTGTTTGATTAATTGAATCAACAATTCTTATTGAGCTAAGAGTAGGAGAAGTTGTCAAGACATCATCAAAGAGTTGTATCCAAGCATTATTTTCCATAATCACTCTTTCTAAAGACAGGCTTTCTAGTTTGTCTAATTTCTTGATTGCATTAATTAAATTCAGAGCTGTATTCTTATTATTTCCCAATACACAATCTGAAATGTGTAAATATCTGAGATTTGAGCAAAGGCAAATAGCATCAAAATTAATAGGAGAAGAAAGTGAAAAATTAAAATGTAGTGAAGTCATTTCTGGACTTCCATTCAACCATCTTTCATGGAATATCAAGTTTTCATTGATATCTGTCAAATACACACGCTTTAAATGTTTTGGCCATCTTACAATACCTTCATCAAAATCATTTGAAATTTGTGAGTCTCCAGATGAGGAAACAACAAAGGAAGGTTGTATGCTGTCTGTTTGAATTCTAGGAGATGTGACACTTTCATGAATTTCTGCAATATTAATTTCGCTGACAAGACTCTCACTGGTTGGTGGAGGAAGGAAGATGGATGGTCTCAGTTTTGGCTTGGTGCATCTTTCACTAATTTCCAGCAAACATGGAAGAATCAAATCTATTTTGTAGTTATCTCGTTTAATTTCATCACCGGCCCTACTAAGGGAATTGAAGAGAATGTTGACATCCTCTTGATTCCATTCCTTTCCACCCATAACTAAGCATGTTAGTGCCTCTGAGGTTGCAATAGCATTGCAAACACTTTTGAATTTTTTAGAATTTTTCTTAAATTCATCCTCTTCATTAGTCATAAATGCTGAGAAGGTCTCACAATTAGGTGATAGAGACATTGTAGAGAAATAGTCCATTCTAAATCTTTCAGATGCATGAGGTTTGCGGCTGAATGTTAATCTCCTAATATACTTTGAAAGAATCTTGAAGAATTCTAGAAGGAATAAATAGCCCAACTCTGAACTATCTTTCGGAATAATTTCAATGAAATTAAAATTAATATTAGGAGTAGAGATTGAGGAGGAGACCGATCCAGTCTCACTAGCCAAACTTTCTCTTCTCTTTTTGGTTGTACCTGAACCTTTGGCAATTAAGAACTCTCCCTTGTCCATTATGAAGCTATTGTTTTTGGATGATGGTGTAGCAGGAGTACGGGGACTTCTGAACATTTCAATAGTGTCTTCAAAATTACTTTCAAGTTTGAGATTTTTGAGTGAGGAAAACGATCCTGCTTTCGAATTTGGAGTTGGTGTGTTACCAGAAATAGTTACTCTTCTTGCCTCTGGAGTGCCTGCTTCAGTATATTCAGTAAGCTCAAAAGGTTCTGTGGCAGGAGTATAGTTTTCTATTTTAAGATAGTAAACAGAAAAATAGGCCATTGAGGTGGCAATTAACTGAGTAGCGAATGATCCTGAATAGTTTTGTACATATCTTTCAATATCGTACGTATCTAGAGTATTTACAACTGTTTCGTCTCTTAAAAATATTTCTACAGTTAAGGAATATTGAATTTCGTTAAAATTAATGACCTTCCTTTCATTCTTTCTAGCTGTATAGTATGCAACTCTTGGAATAATATTGAATAGATTATTCAGGTATGTGTTCAAAAATAAATCTCCCAGTCCAAGTTCTCGTGATGTTGTAATACTAATTCTATTCTTTGAAGTATTAGTCAAAGATTGCTCCAAAAGATGTTTGTGACTTAATAGAACGCTATACACTGATTTCAAATGTCTGTCCTCAGCAGAAACCTCTGCTCTCAAATTTGAGAAGATACCTTGCAACTTAAAGTAGAGTAGCAACATGCAAGTTCTCAAATTTTCTGGATCGCAATGGTTACTAAAATAGCCCTTCACAAAAGAAAGCCATTCTTGATTCAACCTAGAAAGGGAGCTCACCTCAAACAAGGAGCAGTAATCCATCAATCTAAATGCAATAGTACTGTCAACCTTAGTCCACAAAGACATGGCCACATTTTGAATTGGTCCAGTTCTTGTTACATCACTGGACTGAATCCTAGGAGAGGCATCCAAAACCATAAAACTTCCAGAATTCACAGGAGTTTCCAATTGTTTCGAACTACCTCTTCTAACACCATTTCGAATAATGTTATAGAAGGATTTGGTTTCTTCGTCAACTTCCTCGTCTGAAGTAGTACCAAGAGTTCTCCTTCTCTCATGATCATTAATTTCCTGTTGAATTTTAGTTAAATCATCATCCATTTCCTTTCCCGATACACTTGCTCTGAATCTTTTAGTAATTGAATTTCTTGGATTATTGAAAAACATGAATAATCCTCCTTTAGGATGATTTGATGATGGTTGTTTTGAACTTGGTGAATTTTTCTTCTTCTTCTTATGAAGACTAATTGGATTTACCTGTTGAATATCCAAACTACTAACAATCGAAATACTCTTTCTCTTATCAGCCTTATCCATCAAATCCTTCTTATTAAATCCTTCCGAACAATCATCATCATCACGTCCCAACTCAAAGGCTATTCCTCTCCTATTCGTCGTCTGTTGAATACTTATCGAGTGCCTCACATTATTTCCCACCTGCTGTTGTTGCTGCTGTTGATGATAACCAAAATTCGAGCCTGCAATACCAAGTGCCAATTCACTGTAGATTTCTTGTGGTGTTTTTTCCTTTGAATTGAATTTCGGTTTGGCGGGAGAATTACTTGGTGATGAAGAAGATTTTGTTGCGTCTGTCGTGCTTGGAGAGGAGGAAGGAGAAGAATTTTCGAGAGGAGTTGATGAATTGATAGGAGTGTTATAGTTGGTAGCAACAAGTGATTGTTCTTCTTTCTTGTTGTTTTGATGATTATGATTGGAGAGTAATAGTGGAGGGGTTGTGCTTGTTGTTGACGATGATGAAGAGGGAATTAATTCTTCTTCGAGTTGTTGTTGTTGATGGTGAGGAGAAGAATCCAGAAGTGCTGGTTCTCCTACTGTTGTTGTGGATGTATTGTTGGTTTTGTCTTGACTCATTGAAGAGATCTGGTTATTGGAAAGTTGCCGATTCATGTATTTTCTTTGTGATGAATAAATATTGACGTTTTGCATTTGGCTGGGAATGAGTGGATGTTGCTTGTTTTGGCTATTGCAAACGATTTGCCAATGTTGTACACTACACGACCATTTTCTGTTTCAGTATGTTTCTTATTCGAAAGAAGACTTTTCTTCATAAACGTTCATATTTATTTGAAAAACTATTAATTAAACAAGTTAATTGAGGAAAGCCATACAAAAACAGTTCTATTCATTCGGTTACTCAATTCATTTTGGCTGAATTATCAAATCCATCTTGAACTTCATTTCATCACAAAACTCAATCCTATTTTACATGATTGTACAAATATTTACATAAACTCGTATTCCAGTAAGAAAATCATAATGCCACACCAAATCAAAATATTCATTCGAAACCATTCCAACAACACACCCATTTTCCTCTTTCCATGCTTTCGATTGTGTTGGTGATAAAATCAAATCAATCTTACAATTAGCACAACATACAGCACTATCATCATTAGGATCTGAGATAGTATGTTTGATAGTAATTAAATTTCTATTGTTTGGTGGTAGGAAAGACTCAGTTCTAAAAGAGGCATTATTTGTTCTAGCATATTCCAAATCAGAAAATTTAAATAATCTTCCATAATCCTTCCTGTTGAATTCATCAATCACGTGTTGAGATTTGATTTCCTGTTTACGTAAAATTTCAGTAAAGGGAAGTAATACATCACCTCTAATTCTAAAACTGCCTTTCAAAATGATCAGTTGTGTTCCCTTCTTGATGATTTGATTATTTTCTTCTAAATTTGAGGTAATTAAGCGACAGAGATGAGAATTAACAGCTCGGAGCTGAATAAAGTGACAGAATTCTAGGAGTGGCTTAAAAATGTTGATAATAATATCATCAGAGAGGAACATTTTTTTTAATTTTGTTTTCTTGTTGATTTTACAATAATTTTCTTATTTTGGTAGAGGTCATGAACTTGAAGTTTTTCAATATGAGAATCTTTAAAGATCTCGATTGAATTGAATTTCATTATCACAAACAGATCCTTAAATTTTTATTACATGTATGATGAAGCAAATTATAATTTAAAACCAATCATGAACAGTTGGTAATTTTGCAAAAAGTTTGGTTCCATCTCCAAAGATATTCTCTTCAATGGTCGAGGTTGAGATGGAGTGTCTTGTTGGATTGTCCACACTGCTCCGTTTGATTTCCTTTGCTTTATGAGCAAGTAAATAGTATTTCTCTCTCTGGATCATTTCACTCCAAAACATTCTTTCAAAATTGTGGAATAATTTCCATTCGTTTGGAAATGATTCTTTGGAAAATTTACGTTGAGCCAATTTGGAAGTAAAAGTCAAAAGCTCATTTCTATCTGTGAATGTTTTTTCAGTTTTCTTAACTTTGAACTGTTCCCTAAATGCTTCAGAGAAAGGTATTGTGCAATCACCAATTCCGTTCGATCTCACAGATTTTAAATATTCAGCAAGTGTTGGATTATCAACCAATGAAATTTTGAATAGAGTAGCCAGTGAATCAACAAAATGTTGTGAATTATTGGTTTGTACAGAGTATCTCGCAGTGATATTCCAATCAAAAACTATGGTTGACAACCGATGGAGAGTTTCATCATTTAAATATATACAAGCAAATGGATCAATTTCTGAAAGAATAAATGATGCTTCGCCAACAACTCTTTTAGGAATTACAAGACCTATTAATAACAAACTATTAGTTTGAATTCAACTGAAACTTACCTAATGAATTATAATATAACAAAAATGGTCCAATAGCAATTGCAGGTGTTAATTGAACATCTGTAATTGGTTGATTTTCAAAATTTTCCTCATTATTGGCTAAATTAAAAGCTTGGGATGGAGAGAGCCCTGAAAAATTATCCAAAACTGGTGAAAGTAAATCAAATAAATTCAAAGTAGAATAGTCTTTGGGTGTCTGAATCAAAACTAATCTCACTTTTAAAATTTTATCGTGTGGAATCTTTTGCCTTTCATTCATTTCCGTCACATATTGATTCAATTTTACATTACGATAGAAATTGTGTTGATTTTTATCGTTGGTTTCGTAAATTGTCAACAAACTTCCCAACTATTTGATTATTTCACGTAGTTTAGAATAATAGCCAAATAGTTTGATTCCAAATAGCCGCATTAAAAATTTCCACATCAAATCATGATCCAAAATAGCGTGTCGTACGTCATTTTTGAAGAACATCATTGTACGCCAGTCAAGTTCCATTTAATCATCGTAATGAGCATCATCATAATCAGTCGGAATAAAACACACAATTATTATCATCATTTTGTTATTTTCATGTAATATACATTAATAAATATTTGGAAATGATGACAATAAAACCTACATATTCAATGGTACCTTCAGGTGTAGATGAGAGGTAATACTTTTTTATAGAGTCTTTCAGGAATAGATTCGAAAGCAAATCATTCAAAACAAGTGGTGGAATGCTACCGAAACAAGTTAATTCCGACAATTTTGACTTGATCACTTTTTGCTATATCGTAATATAAATTATAATTAGAGAGATATAGAACATAACACATTGTACGTACATATTTTGCCATCTCTTGTGCAGAGATTACTTTCTGATATTGTTGTTCTTGTGATTCAGATTCTTCGAATAGAACATCAGAATCAGAGGCGGATAGACCTTGTCCTTGACCCATTTTTTTGTAGTATGCTGCAGAACGTTGGAGTTTCAATTTGGAAGATGACAATAAACGGAATGGAAATTGTAATCAAGACTTCAAATGTCGCTGGAACATTATGGAAATTCGTTGATTGAATTTGTGAGATTTTGGTCGATGTAACCTCATTATATTTGAATTAAAAAAGAATAAGATGTAATAATAATTATAATTTACATGTACCTCCCAGTATCCATTAATAATCTTAATTAAATATATCGAATTAATATTAATATATTATTATTATTAAAAAAAAATGACAGAAAATGCAAATGATGGTGAACCGTTAGTCTGCCCTCCTCCTTCTCTTCCGAATGTGAAGGCAAATTGGCAATTTTCTTCCGAGCCTACAGAATTATTTGGAAAATTAATTCATACCGATGATATTGAAGATTATGAAAAAAATCAAGAAAAGAGAGGCTTTGTTGTTTTTGAAAAAGTTGATGATGAAAAGTATTTTGAATTGACGATAGAATTTGATTATATGATTGAATGGACGAGTATTGATATTTTTAGTACTGCTAGGACTGTGGAATTGTATACTTCTAAGGAAAAGGAATATGGACAAACTTGTAGATTTACTGAAAAGATTGGAGAGGATAATGCCTATCAGTATAATTGTGTATGTTTGGATAGTAATCAGAGTGAGAGGAAGATTCAGAGACATTCAAATTTTACTTTGAAATTCTTATCATTGGATTATCCTGATAGAATTGCTAAACAGACAAAAATTTGTGTCTCTGCTATAATTTTTCATGGTAAAAGAAGGGGAGAAAAATTATTGAATCAAAATCAGTCGATAGCAATGGGAGGAGAAACTGAATCGAAACAATTTTCTGGAGCTATGAGTGCACTAATGAGCGATCCTAGAATGTTAATGAATTTAATGAATGGAATGAATAATCCAACAGCTAAGCAAATGAGTATGATAGTAGGTCAAATAATGCCAATCACAAAAACCATTGATAATGTGGCTTCCGAGAGGAAGGTTGAACAAGAAATGCCTAAACCAACTTTACCTCCTAAAATGGAAACATTGAACGATATTCCAGAAAATCCAATACTCTTGAATGAATTTAAATCCAAGGAAGATTTGAAGAATTATATTAATGAATGTGTTGATGAAAGAATGAAACATTGGGAAGAAAGAATGATGAATAGAATGATGGGAGAAGTTGGAAGATTTGCTTCACCATTCTTACAAGGAATGCAAGGAAATCCATTTGCAATGTTCAGACAACCAACGATACCTAGTGGTACACCTCCACCACAAATGAACATCCCACCTCAAACAGCTATGCAAATGCCTATGATGAGTGATATTAGTAAGCTTATGGCTGGTATCCAAATCAGTAAGCATGAAACGCCAGAAAGTAAAAAGGAAGAAACCAACAAGGATGAAAATAACGAAGAGCAATATGAAGATACTGAATCAGACACACAGAAACAAGAAGAAAAAGAGGAAGTACCAGAAGTGGACTAGTTCATTCAATAAACACATTGGTTTTTCATTGTAAACTGTTGAAACGAAGTTGGTACGAACAAGAAAAAATCATCAAAAAAAGTGCAGCATAATGAGAATTATTCGCAATCCAGTACAAAACACTCGAGCAAGTGTTGCAGATGTTGTTAGCACCAAGTTGAACAGGATTTCTGACGATTTTTCTTTAACCCCAAAGTTTGTTTCGGATAAAAGTCTTGTTGATCAATTGATCAATGATCAATATGTAGCATGCTGTTCTACTGTAAAAGAGTGGATTCGTACTGATCAGGAGAAAGCCATAGAAAATCCACAAATCGATCATAATGAAGAAATTGATGTAAAATTATTACAACTATTAGATATGAATATTTGTTATGAAATTATTGAATTCATTCCAACTTTTTCCAAATATAAATCGATCAGAAAAGATGAGGATCGTTTAGCATCCATTAAATTTCCACATCCTATCGAAAGAACAAATTCATTTAGAATAGATTCAAGTTTTGTTACTTTCCACAAGATGAGAATTATCTCAAAGCATTTCAACGGTAGAATGATGAAGAAACTTTTGACTATCGAAAGTCTATTGATTTCAGATACAACAGATCTCAAATATATCTACACCTTACTAAGAGAGCAAACCAAATATTCCTTATCTGGCAAAAGTTCTGATTCATTATATTTATATCAAGATGTGAAATATGTTGCAAGTGAATCTTCAAACACAGATGAATTTACATTTGAAAATAACTTTTCAAAGATAGATACCTCGAATGTGAAACCTTCACTTAATGAAACTAGTGGAGCAACCTCGCCACAGGCTAGACCAGTTAGAGTTAGAAGGAGTAGTATTGGTAGAGACGATACCTCCTCAGGTGGTTTTAGTTTTGGTGGGAGTAGTATTACCTCTTCAGGTGGTTTTAGTTTTGGTACAAGTTCAGGTAGTGGAGCTCAAACATCATCAACAGAAGAGCAAGATTTTTCCATTGAGAATGCCACCTTTTCTGGTAGCAATTCTAGCACACCTTATTCCACAAATAATATTTGGTTGGCTGCTTGTAAGTCCAAAACAATGAGACGTTTTAGTATGGAACGTACAACATTTAGTAATGAATTTTTGTCAGCCTTTGTGGGAGAAAATTCAACTATCAAGAAGATTGTGTTTTGCCCTGAAATTATATACCAAATAGTCAAAGTTTGTAAGCAATTGAAAACAGTGATTTTATGCCATGGTGAACAGCAGAACATCTATCCCTCATCTACAAATGCAAAGAATAGAGCCAAATTGAGCATAGAACACTTGATTGTTTTTGGTGATAGTAGCATTAACAGAATCTTAGAATCTTTTAGTGTAAATAAGTTTGATATTTATAATGCACCAAATAGAAAACCAGTTATTGATTCAAGTTATGAGCTCAATATTTACACTGATTTCTCACAAGCTCGCAAAATGATTGATGAGCATTTAACATGTTTTGGAATGTTGTTATGGGAAACTGCAAATGTTGCTTCTTTACCAAATTTTGAAAAGAGTTGGAGAAAAGATTTCTTTGATTATCTCTTCGTCAAATGTAATTTTCCTATTGAGATATTAGAATATCCAAATTTTGATTCAACAAGCTTTCAATATTTAGTTTACCTTTCAAACAAGTATCAAAAAGGAAGATTATTCAGAATATCCGTTCCATGCAAATTTCTTGTAGATGATGCAATTTCATATGGCTGGGATTTTACTAATCAATTGAAAGAAATTCCATTCTTTTCCAATGTTTCAGTAGAAGTATTCACAAGAATTTCTCATTCTCTATCAAATGATGACTTTTATTCATTCTTACTCAATGAATCGTTAAACAACACTTCTCATGAATTGATGACGAGCAAGGTTATTGAAATGCTTGTGGAAAATCCTAAACAACTTTATCAAATACTTTCTCAGCAATATCCCTTTACAATACAAAGATCAAACAGCACTTTTGAAACATCCCTACCACTGTTTATACAAGTATTGAAAGTGGTACCCTCTCTATTGAATGTATTTTTATTGCAAATGGAAATGGAAGATTATTCATTATTTGAAACTCAACACTTTGAAGGAAACACAATTTTCCACATTATTGCCATGTTTTGTAGCAATTCAGAATCAGTACCATTATTTCTCTCTGTTCTTTCTAGAATTCCTGAAGTGATCAACAAGAAGAATGATAATGGAGATTCTCCATTCGAAATTTTACTTTCAGTTTTGCAATCCAACAATATTCCAACAATTTTATTATTTATCAAGAAGTTTAAATTGACAGTAAGAGAGGAATTAACATCCAAAAAACCAGTACCTGAATCCCGCTGGAAAAGAAAATAAGATCCAAGGAAGTTTTGAACTATTTCAGAAATGGTGGTTCATTGTATCAAATAAAACACAATTTTCAAACAATAAACCATTTTTTAAAGATCTACTCAATTTTCTAATAGTAAACCAGTTGACCACTTGACTTCCTTTTTAATAACACCATCAATCTTCTCAGTCAACCGAATTGAAATTCCAACAAGACATGATTAATATCAACCACAAACAGATTGCTCTGTTCATCCTTCAATCCATTTCAGAAACTCTTAATACTTTACAAAATTCTGACAAACTCTGAACCTCTCCTAGAAAGCCGTTCCAAATGTCCGCTACCAACGGAAAACACCTCTCATGGCCAATGAACACAAAAAATTTCTAAAAAAAAAAATTGCTCAAGCTGTAATCGCACGAAGCGAGTAAATTCCTCATCATCAAGTTTTTATTACCAAAACCATCACCGTGCTGTACCCGAGCGAGCGATCATCATTTTTGAGAATCATTATTGTAGTAATTGTTGTATAGGAAGATTTTTATATTGCTATATTATTAGTATTATTGGATATTATAGTTGTAGTAGTATCATTTCATTGACTTGTAGAGAAGAAATTGTATTTTGAATATATATTTATTTGTATAGAGAGAAAATATGAATCCATCAACTTCGTATCCGACACAACCAAAGTTGTCTCAATTAACCCAAGATACTGTTGCTGTTGCCAAGTCACTTCTTGAGGATAAGTATAAAGGACAAAAATTGATCACCAATAGAAAGAAAATAACTTGGTCCGAGAAGGCAAAACCAAAATCTGTAAAGGATTTTGATAAAATTGCTGTTATCGGAAGAGGTGCTTTTGGTGAAGTTCGTCTTGTTAAAGATAAACAAACAGGAAAAATTTCAGCTATGAAAATGTTGAAAAAGACTGAAATGATGAGAAAGAATCAGGTCCAACACGTAAGAACTGAAAGAAATTTGATGGCCGATTCTGGCGAGAACAGTCAATTCAACGAGTGGATTGTAGGATTGCATTGCTCTTTCCAAGATGATGAATACTTGTATTTAGTTATGGAATTTTTGCCAGGTGGTGATATGATGACTTGGTTAATTCACAAGGAATATTTTACTGAGGAAGAAACAAGGTTTTATATTGCGGAATTAGTGATGGCAGTTGGATCAATTCATGCTTTAGGATATGTACATAGAGACTTGAAGGTAGGTTGTTGAATTATTTTGGAATGATTCTCATTCAAAAATTAGCCGGACAATATTTTACTTGATGGAATGGGTCACATTAAATTGAGTGATTTTGGCCTGTCCAAACCATATAAAGAGGAATCTGGATCTGAAGATGCAAGAAAATCAATAGAAGAAGCTGCCAGTGAATTAAATTCTACTATTGTGGAAACTGGTAAACAAAGAGATGAATGGAGAAAGAAAGGTCGTGTCAAGTTATATTCTACTGTTGGTAGTACTGGTTATATTGCACCAGAAGTTTTGTTAAAGAAGGGATATGGTTTGGAATGTGATTGGTGGTCTGTTGGTATTATCATGTTTGAAATGTTGTGTGGTTATCCACCATTTTCTTATGATGAACCTCCAGCTCAAACATGTCACAGAATTATTAGGTGGAAGGAAAACCTTCAATTCCCAAGCGACGTGGTCTTGTCAGATGAAGCAAAAGATCTCATTCTCAAACTTCTCTGTGATCCAGAAGATAGAATTGGTACTAATGGTGTAGAAGATATTAAGAACCATCCATTCTTTTCTGGTATTAATTGGGAAAATATCAGACATATTCAACCTCCATTTGTTCCAGAATTAGAGAGTGAAATTGACCATAGATACTTTGATTGCTTTGAAGAAAATGAAATGTATCAAACAATCAAGGGTGATTCTAGAAATATTTTGAGAGGTGGTCAACATGCCTTATTTGCTGACTTTACTTGGAATATGAAAGAAAAAGCCCAACGTACCAAACTTTCTGATACTTTCTTTGGAGAACCAACCCAATAATTGTAAATAAATACCTTGCTGATTTATTGTTTCGAAATGGAAAACTCTGTTACTAATCCAAAATGATCACTTGCAAAGATATTATCCTCAAACGCTTTGTTTTCCACAACTTGGCATGTGGTTGGCTCAAGAATTAGATTTGAGTTGGCAATATTATGGCTGTGAACAATCATTCTGTCATATCTGCATCTTCCTCGAGAGTCTTCTGAAAACAAGTTCACAATTGGATTGTTTTGATGGTCGAAAGTAAGAGATTCGACTGATCCAATCTTTTCTGGATATAGTTTGGCATATACATCCTCTAGATCATAATCAGAAATCATGTGTTCCTCAAAATCATGATTAAGATTGTAATCTCCACACATCAATACATATTTTACATTTTCATAAATTTCTGAAAATTCCTTCTTCTCAGTAAAGAGCAAAGATTTTGGATTTAACTCCTCAATACCAAAATGATAGGTAAATCTGCTTTCGTCCTCCAAAATTGTTGAGCTTTGAGAACTTTCCTTATTTTCTTCATGCATTTTGAAATCAACTCTTGGAATTCTAAATAGTGAATAGATACATTTCAATTGCTTCTTTCTGATAGGATGGCATTCTTTGTAAGCTTTCAAGTGCAAATTGACCATTACCATTTGATTGGCGAGAGTAATAACATTAGCAGGTCTCCTAGAGTAAACTAAATCATTCTGATAGTAATAATTATGAGATTGAGTGAATGGAATTCTTGAAATAACCAAATTAACAAATGAAGCCTTCTCCACTGTCATTTGAGTAGCATCATCAACAGCTTTCTTTGCATTCTTTTTTGATACCTTTTGTTGCTCTTCAGGAATGACCTTATTAGATGGAATATCAAAGAATCTTTCTTGATCCAAATGAGAAATATAGAAATACTTTCCATCTTTCATCCAACCATCAGAACATTCATCCAATAATTTCTTCAAAAATCCATTTCCCACCTCATTCAAACAAATCACATCTGCATTTGAATTTGGCAACAATTTATGAGCAATATAATCAAATCTCTTATGGGTAGCAATTTTTTCAGTAAGAGTTTCATTCACCAAATCATCATTCAAAATATTAAATTGTAATACTTTTAATTGATCGGAAGAGGAACAATAATTTGCCAAATGCTCGATATTCTCTTCCTTATTTTCCCACCATTTACATTCCTTCCATTCTACACCACTCGCTATCTTCCCCAAATCTTCTTCCGATGATGATGAACAAATCGTGTTGGTTCCATTCTGGAGATGCATCTTGAAAAAGACGACTTTTCTCAAGCCATTTCGTTTTCCCATTTTTTTTGTGTTCGTTTTTGAAATTGTAAAGTTATGAAAAGAGTTTTATTCAAAGTGCATATATATTAAAGCTTGTGTTTGAGAATGATATCTGAAAGGTCGCCTTCTCTTGCTCGTTTCTTTAAATTATTGCTCATATAGGAATTAATTGGTTGTCTATCAGCTAAGATTGTGATGTTAGCACTTGGATTGGCAAATACTTGAACATCGATCAAGTGGCTCGAGAGAACGACTTGAGTTGCAGAGTATGTTGCAGCATAATCATCTCCGTCTGTTGGAAGACTCAATTGACCAAACTTTAATGTGAAAATTAGTCATTTACAATTCCTCATATGCAATACTTACCTTGTTGAATCCACATGTGTAGACATTTCCAATATTTGATACAAAAATTGTGTGTGAGGAGCCTGCATGGATGCTCTTAATAATTTCATTTCCATCAATGTAATAGACATTATTTCCAATTTCTGAATTGAGTGAGGCCTTATAGCAAGTATATTCTGATTCCTTCCTCTTTTCAAATTTGGATAAAACACTTTGAGATTGACTCTTAATTTTGTAAAAATTTTTCACTCTTACAAAATCCTCTGGATCAGTCCTGGTACCTGTACCCAATTGACCATATCCATTGTAACCACAAGCGTAAACACCACCTCCCTTTGTTAAAAAGATGGTAAACAATAATCCAGTAGCGAAACTCTTGAATTCATCTCTTGGAAATGGTAAATTCTTTGTAATTTCAGTAAATTTATCCATATCCTTGACATTTTTTCCCATTTGTGTAAAACCATTGGATCCAAATGCAAAAATTCTGTTGAAACTTGAAGAAACGATGATGTGTTGAGATCCACATTGTATATCAGTAATAACTTCCTCATCTGATAAGAGCTCTGAAAAATCTTGAAGAAGAGTAAAATCTTCATAGGTAATTGTTGCAGCAACTCGTCCACTTCCATAAATTTCCATTTCCTTTGTAAGCACAATGGTCATATTATTAGCACATCTTACCATAATTACTGGCTTTCCAATATCCAAATACCCAAACTTGGATACTTGAACACCATGACGTTTCTGACCCTGTTGGAAGAACTCATTCCAACCACAACCAAGACAATTCGAAAAATTGGTCAAAATAACTGTGTGATTGGATCCACATTGAACATCAACAACAGATTCTCCTTCATTGGCATATTTTGGAAAAACTGGTAGAATATCCTTTCTAAAAGTTGATTCAATTGATCCATTTCCTGAATTTTCAATTATAATAATCATCATAATTAAATATAATCAAATAATGAATAATAATTATTAATAAATTAACATGTGATAATGATCAGAACAGAAAATTTGAATACTGATCATCAATTATAGTACTAACCTAACTGACCATCACCATTTCTAATTTGATCATCATAGTCAACATAAATTACAAAAATTACATATATCATCTATCTATTTAACAATAAAACCTACCTTCCGAAACTCAATACATTTCCATAATTTGTCAATAGAAACGTGTGATGAGCACCACTAGATACCTTTAGAAAATACTCTCCCACCTGCAAATGTTTACAATTATTAATATTTCCCTGTACATCATATTGATGTTCTCCGAAGGCTTGAAAAACTGTTTTTCCCTTCAAAAATTCCGGATTTCTATCAACGAGCAGAGAGGTTGTCTTTTTGTGGGAAATTCTCGGTTCTGAAAAGACAGCAGGTTGATCCTGTTGGAACGCAGTTATTCTGGACATTTTTTTTTTGATTTCGTATTGAGTTCTTGTTAAATATCTTAACTTTATGTTGTAATGGGTTCATTGTTGTATGTGAATATTGAATTTAAATTGTACAGTTTACAAAAGTAATTAGGAAGAAAGAGAATTGGAAATTAAATGAATTTGGATATTTCCTAATCTTAATTCAACACCATCTCTAGTAATATCATCTCTTTCCCATTTGTTCAAAATTATTTCAGAAATTTACTGGTCAACCAGTCAACCAGTCCATCGAACAATAATACAACAAGCAAAATCAAACCACCTTACAAAAATTCACATTCCCACCCAGTATCTCAGAACAACAGCACCCAAAAACATTGCAATGCAACTTTCACCAAGTCATGTCTGCTGATGCTTGACTGATACGCTATTTCAACCGTCACGCCTAAAATCCATCTTAAAAAAATTCAAAAAACACCCACGCACTTCCCAACGTTGTTTTTTTTCATTCATCATATTTGAGAGAGTTTTGAACGTAGAGTTGAGCGCCAAAGTTTGAACAACAACAACAACAATAGACTTTCGAAAAAAGCGCCAACGTTTTGAACCTTTAATAACGATCGTTGCGTTTGTAACTGAACTGAAAATATTACTTTTGAGAAGGGTTAATTTATTTTCTATATATATATTTATTGGGTGTGCGATTGAGTAATAATATGAGAAAGCAACAACCAATTTTGATATCAGCTTTATTGCTGGTTGTCTTGTTGATTGTGTCCTTTATGACACATTCATCTCTCCAACAATCAACTGGTTCTGAAAATCCAATGTATTTTGATGGTGCCATTACTAATGATGGAGAACCAGGATTTGAAGAATGTCCAGGAGTGGTTTGTCTTTGTGGAAAAGTTCAAGTCGTTAACGGAAAATGTGTTTGTCCAGATTGTCCAAATAATTGTCCAACAGGATCAAAGGATTGTACTGCAGAATGTGCCAACAAAGGGCTTTTATTAGAATCTATTTCAAAGGACTCTGTTGGATGTGATCAATGTATCTGTAAATGTAAAACTGAAACTGAAGCTTGTCCATTGATTGGTACCTGTGATAGCAGACAATACGATATTACTTATGGAACTGTTGGAGGAATTTCTGGTTGCATTACTAATTGTACATGTAAACCACCAATTGTTATTCCACCACCTTGTGTTAATGCCACAAGTTGTGATCAATGTAACTCAGTTTTGGGATATGATATTGTTTTGAATCAAACAACTGGATGTAATCAATGTTCTTGTAAGACTTGTCCAACCCTTAATTGTGCTGCTTCCTGTTTGTATGGATTCACTCTTTCTGATTCAGGACGTGGTGACGGTTGTCAAGTTTGTAATTGTTCTTGTCCACCAACTCCAAAATGTGAATCTGTCTGCCCATATGGTTATATTATTGGTAAGGATGCCAATGGTTGTGATGCTTGTTCATGTAATCCTCCACCAGCTTGTACACCTGATGATGCTTCCAAATGTAATACTGTCACTTGTCCATACGGTGGTTCTTTGAAGAATGATCAATATGGTTGTCCAAAGTGTGTCTGTTATACTTGTCCTGAAGCTCCAATTTCTTACTGTCAAGCTAACTGTCCATACGGTTATGTCAATACTACACAAACATCAAGTGATGGTGCTCGTTGTCCAACCTGTGAATGTTTGAGATGTCCAGTTGTTAATATTGAAAAGTGTAATAGCAGCTGTGTTTATGGTGGTTCTTATGCTTTCGATCCTAGCTCTGAATGTAACTTGTGCAAGTGTAACAAGTGCCCACCAAGTCCTCCAGATTGTCAACAAGTTTGTGGTAATAAGCTTAGTCACACCTATGATTCTGACTCCAATGGATGCCCAGTTTGTAAGTGTACTCAATGCCCTGCTGTTGATTGTGATGCTGTTCAATGTCCATATGGATATCAATACAAGTACAATACTGATACTGGTTGCCGTCAATGTGTCTGTAATCAACCACCAGTTTGTCCAACTACCCCACCAGATTGTACCTCTCTTAATTGTCCAAATGGTTACTATTACACTACTGACTCTAAGGGATGTCAATCATGTAAATGTAATGACACTGCTTGCCCACAACCAGAACCAGACTGTATTGCTCAATGTACTTTTGGTGTTGCTGAAGTTTCCTATGACAGCAACAAGTGTAAACAATGCAAATGTCTTGAATTCAAATGTCCACCAACTAGCTGTGCTGATGTTTGTGGTTCTATTGGTATTAAGGAAACTACTGTTGATGAAAAGGGCTGTACCAAGTGTACCTGTAATACTCCTCCAGTTTGTACTGAAGATGTCAATTGTAGAGATACCTGTGGTACTTTGAAGTATGCTACTTATCGTGACAATTACAATTGTACTAGATGCAAATGTTATAAGCCAACTTGTCCAGATACTCTCCCAATTTGTGAAGCTCAATGTGGAACTCTTCCTTATGAAATGATTACCGATGATTCTGGATGTGATATGTGCAGATGTATTGCTCCACCAACTTGCCCACAACCAGAACCAGATTGTATTGCTCAATGTACTTTCGGTGTTGCTGAAGTGTCTTACAATGCTAATGGTTGTAAACAATGCAAATGTCTTGAATTCAAGTGTCCACCAACCAATTGTGGAGATGTTTGTGGAAGTGCTGGTATTAAGGAAACAACTGTTGATGAAAGAGGATGTACCAAGTGTACCTGTAATACTCCTCCAGTTTGTGCTGATGATGTCAATTGTAGAGATACCTGTGGTACTTTGAAGTATGTCACTTATCGTGATAACTACAACTGTACTAGATGTAGATGTATCAAACCAACTTGTCCAGATCTTTTACCAAACTGTTCTGCTATCTGCGGTTCTGACATGTTTGAAATGGTTAAGGATGCTAATGGTTGTGATCAATGTAAATGCAAGGGAGAACCAATTATTGTCTGTCCACCAATTCCAGATTGTAATGACAGATGTGGAGGTTCTCAATACTTTGAAAAGGTTGCTGTTGATAATTATGGTTGTAAATACTGCCAATGTAAGAATTGTGTCCAATGCAAGTGTTGTAAATCAAAGAAGATTACCATTCCAATTGTTAAACATGTTCCAAAGAGAGTTTACATTCCTTACACTGTTTGGTATGATCCAGCATTCTTCGATAAGGTCAAGAATAACTTCCAAACTAAGGAAGAAGTCAAGATTGCCATTGAAAAGAGATACAATTATATTGTTGTTTTGAGAAAGAAGATCACCATTTACAGAAGAGCTTTGGTCAATCTCAGAATTATCTTGAAGCAATTGGTTATCAAGAAGAAGATTTCTGCTTCCATGTTTAAGAAGGCTGACGAAATGGCTAGAAAGAGAAAGAAACTCCTCGAAGAACAAGTTAAGGAACAAACCATCTGTCTCACTTCTCTCGATAATCACATCAAGGCCATTGTCAAGCTCATCAAACAACTTGGTTACAATACTCATGCTCCAGCTGTATGTGCCTATGTTGCTGGTACTAAGAGATGTGGTTTGAGACCATCATTTATCAATGAATTGGTCTCCTCTTATTTGAAGGACAATGTCTTCACCAAGATTATCTATACCAAGATCCCAACCTCTGTTTCTGATATTGATAAGGATCTTGCTGGCCAAACCATTCGTTACACTAGAACTTCTGCCACATGGAAGGTTCAAGTTATCAAACTCAATAAGAGAGTTAAGAATGCTGTTTGGAAGATTGTTCTCAAACAAGTTTTGAAGAATGGCAAGAAGGTCAAGAGAACCATCAAGAAGATCTTGAAGATTGCCAAGAAGAATAAGGAAACTGCCATCAGGGGTAAGAAGGCCAAGAAGATCTTCATCAGAAAGGTTCTCATGCGTAGATTTAGATCTAGAGTTGTTAGAGCTGCCCGTAAGGCACTTGCTACATCTGAGATTAAACAATTGAACGAGCAATTCAAACCAACCTCAACTGAACGTGTCATTGCCACTAGAGTGACACAAGAAATCATGTACTTACCAAAGGACATTTTGAGTCAATCTGATGAAATTCTTAAAGCTTTGCTCAGCCAAAAATATGCCTACACTCCGTTAGAAGATAAGAAGCAATACGAGTAAAGCAATCAACACTAATTTTCAAAATAAATCAAAATATATCAATTAAAATTATTAAAAAAATCCTTTATTTTCTTTATTTGGTTGATTGGTTATTTATGGATTTGTAACATATTTAAATATTTAAAAATCTTGCAGAAAATCTTCTTAAAAAAATATTCAAGTTCTCCGATTAGTGGATGAAGGTGGAATACCACAAAACACAACAATCCAAAACCCACCCTCCGAGAGGAATTTTCTGTAGAATTTGAATTCGGAACAGATGAAGAAGATTAATTATTTGATTATTCTTGTTGGATTCTTGTTGATTTTGGAATTAGTAGCCTTTTCTTCGGAAAGTAGAAATGTTCTCAATTTTAATCAAATGACAGAACCATCAGTGAAGTATTCAGGACAATCAACCAAGACTATTGTAAATAAGGATTTAAATTCCCTATTGTCTTCCAACGATGATGATGATGGAAAAAGTATTTACGTGAAGAATTTATATCCATTCTTTTATAATAATACAATACCAAACTTTCACACTGTCACGGCCAATATGAGTAGTTCAATCTCGGAGGAGATATTTACAGTTACTGATTTTTATTCTTCTGATGTGAATAGAGTATTTGTGTTTGTGAAACTTTCATTGGTGTTTGGAGAAGAGGAGGGAGCTGTTGGACAGAATTTGTATTTATTGAGGATATTTGATCAAAAGATTAATGGAAATAGTTCTGAACAGTATGAATTTTCTCTCTCAGATCAGAAAGTGTTTACATTCCCTTCGAATTTGAAATGTACATCCATGAATGTTGATTCGTATACTTCTACATTGATATTGTCATTTGTTGATTTAACCTATATGGCTACTCAAAATAAGATTGGACTCTTTTGTCAAAAGGTATTCCTAATTCAAACAAATTATGGAAATATATCAATTATTGATAGTAATGGATTTTTATTGGAAGACTCGTGTGTAAAAATTGAGAAAATAGATCCAACAATTGGAGAAAAGATTGTAAATAGTATTGAAGTAGATTATGAATCTAGATTAGTGTACATATTAACGAGTGCCAATGATTTTAAAATGCCCCAAAGCAAGATTATTAAGTTATCATTGATAGATCCAACAATTAACAACCAACCTATTGATATTCGTTATGATGGCTTTTTGGATTTAATATCAATTTCAAATATGTATATTGTAAATATTTATACCGAGCTTGCTAACATTAGGACAGCCAAGATTAGGTTCCTCTATGTTGGTGTGCACTACTTGAGAGGGAATGAAGAATTTATCGTTTCAGAAGTGAAACAAATAGATTTGCTAGAATTTAACGAGACGAAATCTATTAACTTTTTACCACATGAACAATCAGAGCATTCCAATATTAAGGTCTCTAAAAGTGATGCAACTGAATTGTTTGTAATTGTTAAATATTATAGAAAGGAGTTTTGCATCTTACAAAAAATAGACATGTTGGAGGAGAAGGTTTATTATCAAGAAAGTGGTATGAGATGTAGAGACTTTGGAGCTGGTGATATTCTGTTGGATACGTCACCATTCGATTTGTTTCTTATTGCCACAACCCATCCTCATAATTACATGTCATCATTCTCAATATTTGGAGGACCTTTTTCAGAGGAGAAACCACCAACATATGAAGACTTTTCACCAAATGATCCTAGACTCAATTTCCCATACAGAGATCAGTTAGATTTGGATTCAACTGTTAATTTTCGTTGGCGATTTATCTCACTCGGAAGTTATACAACCTATACACACAAGGACAAATATGGATTTGATAGAGATTACTATCCTTTAATTGCTGTTGTAACTGTTAATAGTGAAGTTCCACTACAACAGTATGTTTTCCTCACAAGTTCAATAGAAATAGATGTTTCCCGGCCGTATTCATCATCAGAGGGATTTTACATATTTGTTTATGAGAATTGGTTTACCACAGGTCTTGTATCATTCCTTTTATTCAGTCTTGTTGGATTAATTGTTGGTATTGTGAGTGATAGATTGGTAAGATGTTATAGAAAATGGAAAAAGGGTAAATTTGAACCTTTATATTAAGGATTGACATTTCAACATTGTGAGATTATCTTCTAAGCTGTGTGGTGAGAAAATACCAGTTTTATAATTTAGATTCTTTGGGTAGGTTGTGGTTGTACATTGAAATCTTTTTCTTCCTTTTTTTCCTCTGCCTTCTTCTTTATTCTTACCTTAAAGTAAGAAAGATTTTGTTGTTGTTATTCTAAAGTTTGACTTCCAATCTTGATACCTTTGGAATTGAATTGTTGTGTGGACAATCAAGTAGATATGGTCAGTTAAATATCTTCATAGCATAGCAAGTCCACTTCTTCAATTTCTTGTTTGATATCAGCTTGCGCAGATAAAAATGGTAGGATTGGAATTTTGGAACAAAGAAAAATGTACTTTTTCTTGAAAGAATTCCTTTTGCAAAATCTCTAAATGCTGTGTTTTTAAAAAAGAGACCTTCTGATTCTGAGATCAGCGGGCTTCACTTCTTCCACAGGTTGATCCTCAAGAAATTTCTTCAAAGCAGCACCTTTCAATTAAATAAAAGGCAATAAAAATTGCAGCATCTCTATTGATAACGCCAAATTCCCTTCCATTAAGTGATTAAGCATCTTTTAAACGGTAACTATTTACAGCGTTGCCAAGGTATGCTTCCTTTTTGATGCATTTTAAAATTTACAATAATATTAAATAATGATCGAACGAGAGGTTGGTAAATTTTACAATATTGGATAAGCGTTTATAATTTGGAAGTTCTATGAGGTTGTGACTGTACGTCAAGATCCTTTTCTTCCTTCTTTTCTTGTGCCTTCTTCTTTATTCTTACCTTAAAGTAAGAAAGAATTTGATTCTTTGTCAATGTAGACTGTGGACCAAAGTATTGAACAGCTTCTTCCCATGTTGGCATATGTTCATTAGCTTTATAGAATAAGGCTGTACCAGTATTGTGAACTACTGATGGATCTGATAGGTCATATAATTTTCCCTTCATAAAGACCTTCTTTCCTTCCACTTTTTCAGTTTCAATTTCCAAACCAACAATGGCCTTCTTGAGTGGAATAAATTTGAAATAATTTACACTGAGATTTAAAGTGACACCACTGAAACCAATATTTCTGATGCAACACCAACCAAAAGCTTCATCCAAAGCAGTGGCAATACAACCACCATGAACACAAGCTGGTGGACCTTCACAATCATTGGCAAAAGCAACAACTCCAACAATCTTTTTCTCCTTCTTATCCCAAAACATTAATTTCTCAATTGAGTAAACTGCAAAAGCACTTCCTTTTCTTCCTAAACTTCTTTGAATAGTTGTATCAATTAATTTTGGAAAATTATAATCCCAACTCAATCTTTCATATCTTTCTGGCTCATCTCTCATTTGTTTTACAATTGTAATATCCTTAACAGTTGATGATTCTGGATCTAAACTATTAACCATTGCCATTGTGTCTCTTTGATCTTCAGATTTTGTATCAATTTTAAAACTGAACATTCTCTGGGCTTCTTGAAGCCTTGGATTTTTGACTCCGAACATTTTCCGATAATTTCTTCAATTTTATTTCTTCAATACAAATCAATCTTTGGTGAATAGAGAAAAATCCTCTCTCTAATAAGTGTTTTCCTATTTTTTTTGATTATTTTTAATTTTTATGTGCGAATTTGTTCGTTGAGCACAAAAACCACAGGAGAATAAATGAGAAGAATCTTCAAGATAATTGACAGGAAGTTTACAATAGAATTTTAATAGTAATGGAGATATTTATTTGTAGTATTTTTCCTCAGCAGCTGGAATGATAGAAACTGTAATTTCTGATTTACCAGTCTTGTCAATTGGACCATTTTTTGGAATGGCGCTAACTTCAATGAATTTGAGAGTTCTAGTTTCTTTGAGAGTTGGTTTGTAATCGAATTGTTGAGCTACTTCAACTGGGATCTTTTTCTGTTTTTGTTTGAAAATTCTAATGAGAATTGAAACAATTTCAGAAGTATCATCAGAATTAAAGAAATAACAATATCTTGTACCAAAGAATAGAACAAAGTAACCATCAGTGAATGGAGAAACTTTGAGACTGATGAGATCTGAGAGTGGCAATATTCTCTTGAGTTTCATCTTATTCTTCTTATCATTCCAATCGATATTGTAAATGTTACTTTCAGTAATGACCAAGGTTCTGTCTTGAATCTTGTTTCTATTGTTAATCTTTTGAATTCTTCCAGAGTAGTGAATCATAGAGTCATTGTGTTTGGCTAAGAGTTTGGCCATTTCAGAATTGAATGCAAAGTTCAAATAATCACCTTGATAAATTCTATTGTAACTGATACGACGTCTCTTCTTTTGATTGTTAAAGATGTTATTGATTTCACGTTTGTTTTCTTCAGCTCTCTTCTTGGCAATGAATTTTCTGAATTTTCTTTGAATTTGAATGGCACAATCAATGGAGCATCGATCTCTCAATTCTTCCAATGCGAATACAGTCTCCGGATTCTTGATAAAGATCTTGGTTTTACCAATTTGGAACATTTTAGAGTGATCAGCTCCAGATTTCAATACATTTTGGGCAATATGTTTACAGGCCTCAATTTCATTACCTCTGAAACTGTCGGCAAGGAATGGATAAGTTTCCTTTGTAGTGACCTTGTAGTGATGAAGGAAGAAGTCAAACTTGTGTCTATAGACGAAACCAGCTCTCTTGACCAATACGTTTTCCAAGAGACCCAAACATCTGATTTGGTGAGTAACCATTTCATCTTCGAACAAGTTACCAATCTTTCTATCGTTTGGCTTGATACATCTAATGTAATGTGGTTTACAATTGTAGAGCTTGGTCATCAAGTGGTCAACTTGCTTCTTGAATTGAGTACAAATCATTGGAGGTTTAGCAGCAACATTATTACCACCAGTTGCAATCTTATCAGATGAAAACAATTGAACCATCAAATCAGATCTTGAAGACAAGGCAAGAGCGACCAAATTTTGATACAAGGTATCCAAATTCTTTTCAACAAATGTTGGAGAGTGATACTCTACAATACCAGCATAATGTTTAACCTTAAAGTTCTTTTCTTGTTCCTTTGAAATGACCTTATCGAATGGAACCATGAATGGATGTTTTCCATTGTTTTCCTTGAGTTTTCTCAAGAAATCATCATCACCCTTACTCAATAAACTTGTCTCGTTCAATAAATTGAAAATACCAAGTTTGGAATCAAAGAGTTCAACACAAGGTTTGTTATCACTGTATGGGATCTTTTCCCATTTGATACCTTCTCTAATGTACTCTTCTTGTTCTTCTTTCAAAGTTAGTTCAATAAACATTTGCTGTAATCTTTCGTTAATGTAGTTAATTGTTAATTGTTCGAGTGAGTTGGTTTCAAAAATTTCAAAACCATAAATATCTAGAATACCAATAGTTACAAATTCATTTGGTTTGGTATTAAGCTTTTCTCCCTTCTTTCCTGGTTTGCCATTCATAGTTGACAATCTTCTATTAATCAATGACGGTAAGGTAATTGATTCGTTAACTGATTTTACAATCCAATCAAACAATCTTCTATAGAGACCCTTTGCCAATGCATCTCTTGCATTGATAGCTCCATCAACACTCAATGGTGAAGCATAGACAGAATTTCTACCACCAGCTTCGACAGTTTTAGTGGTGAGTGAAGTTTCCAACATTTGTTCATCAACATGGAGGCATTTAGCACACAATCTCAATGGATTCTTATCAATAATTTCAGATCCATCCTTTCTTCCACCCTTTGCATTCTTTTCAACACCTTGGAATTCAATATTTCCCAAATGTAAAATACCAGCAACCATTTCCCAAATTTGGAATTGAGTTTCTTCTTTAACTCCAATGAAATCGAGAGCTTCTTTTGTCTCACGGAAACCTTGTTTATCATCAACTGTATCAACAGTATAAGTATTGTTCAAATATTTGTAATCTTGAGGTTTTGTCAAGTTTAACTTTTTAGCCAAAGCATCATCTGTGAAAATTTGATAGAAAATGTGAAAATTACGTTCACCTTGTGATTGAGAAACAATTCTAGACTTTTCCAATAAGAATTGCATAATTTGACCTCCCATAATTTGATTCAAATCTGAAAAGAAAATTTCCATATATTTACCAAATCTAGAACTATTGTTATTTCTATATATATACAGTAATAAAATCAATTCAAACCATCAGTACACACAACAAATTACATATAAACCATTAGAATTTACAGTAAAATCCTTAAAAACTTACCTAACTGTCTTGGCATTACCAAAAGCTTCTAACAATGGATTACTTTTCAAGATTTGTGCCTTGACCCTATTTTCTCCTTCTTTTTCTCCACCACTCACGGCAGCAATATAATTCATGATTTGTTTTGCAGCTTCAGTTTTACCTATGAATTTATTTTTCCCAAGTTATGAAAATTTCAAAGTTATGAAAAGAAAAGATTTTTTTGCTTACCTGCACCTGATTCTCCTGAAATGATAATGGATTGAGAAACTCTTTCCGAAATCAAATTTCTGTAAGCACTTTCTGCAATAGAATAAACGTGAGGAGGTAATTCGAAAGGATCTATTTAGTGTGATGATGATTAGAATACTACTATTCGAAATGAAGAATAAACATACAGTGTGATCTATATTGACGAAGTTTTTGTTCGTTATAAATGTTCAAATGTTTGAACGGATTGACAGATATTAAAACTTCTCCAATAAATGTCTTTTATGTTTGTATTCGAAAGTAAACTAAAGAAACCTACATAAATATTATCCTTCTTATACATATTCTTCAAGTTGGTGAGAATGCCTCGTTCAGAGACATCCTCCAACATGATCATATTGTCTACAGTTCTGGCCATTTTTTTTGATGAGTTTGTTGCTTGATGACAGGTGGTTTCTGTAATGACAAGTGAAATGTGAAGAATTTAACAACAATTTTGGAAGGTACAGATCCTCTTCTTTCTTGTATGATCTATTTTATTGATACAAGAATTTCGTTGGTAAAGATAATATTCTTTAATTTTCTTCTATTCGAAATGTTTAGAATACAAGATGATCAACATGCAAAATAACAACTGATGATGAAGGACTTTGATTACAATTGTCTCTTTAAAGAAATTATCAAAAGAAGACAAGAATCAAATTGATGTGTTACTTTTTAATTTTTGATCGTCTTTCTCCTTAGCTTTCGAATAAGAAAATTTCTCTGTAAATTGCCTCAAGAAAGAATTACCTTCATGCTCTTAGTAATAGATTGTCGACAAATTGGACATTCTCTTAACTGATCAGCACATGAACTGCATGTTATAAAATGTTTACATTGTAAAAAAACAATTTCTCTCTGATTTTCCATACAAACGATACAGTTTCGTTCTCTATCCTCTCTATCCGAAAGTTCATTCTCTATCAATTTCAATGCTTCAGAAATATCCTGTTTTAACAGTTTCAAATAAGGTGTTGTCAATTTGTTGCATTCTTTAACACTTAATTTAAATCTTTCATTTTCGAAACGTTCATCCTTCTCTGCCAACTGTCTTTTCAAATCTTTTATTTTAGATGAATACTTGTTCTTTTGTTTGATTTTCTTTTTAGAAATCCAATCCTTGTGTTGTGATTCTTGTTTTCCAGTGGTTTGATTAAAATTTTCATCATCATGCTCCTGCTGTTGTGGTTGTTGTTGTTGATTGAAATATCGATGACGTTGTTGAGAATGTCGAGATGTTGATTGGTATGGCATTTGTTTTGTGTGTGTTTTTGATTGTGTGATCATTAATGAATGCATTATTAATAATGTTCGCTCAGAGGCCCAAAAGTCTATTAAATCCAAAGGGAAATCACAGTCCTTTCCAAAAAAGTATAATTTGCAAAAATGGGTTTTTGTAATGATGGTGTGGAAAATTGTTGTGAAGATACGTGTGCAAATGAAAATTTTATAAATTAATGATAATATTGATCGAATACTCGTTGAATTTCAGAGTTGACAGCATTTCTTACTGGAGCCATCTTGTTGTTATCCTTATCTGGATAAACTCTGTTGGTTAAAAAGACGGTGAATAAATTTCTATCTGGATCACCACAAACTTGGGTACCAGTGAATCCTAAATGCAAGAATGTCTTCTTTGATAAACTACCACATGTTCCATTTCCTTGAGAATTAGTATCCCATCCCAAAGCTCTTGAACTTTGAGTGGTATTCTTAACTGTTGTAAACATGTCGAAAGTGGTTTCATTGATAAAGTTTCCTCTAGCTCTGAACATGAGTTCATTCATCAAACGATAGACGTCAACAACTGGAGTGAATAACCCAGCATGACCAGCAATACCACCCAAAGCATAACCATTTTCGTCAGAGACATAACCTTGAATGAGTTCGTGTCTATAGGTAGTATCCAACCAGGTTGGTGGAATGTTGGATTTTTCTTCTGGTTTTGGAATGAATCCACTCTTTGTCATTTGGAGATTTTGTAAAACATGCTTATTAACAAAAGCTTCATAATAGCAAGTTTCATGACCTGGAGCATCTATTCCACCAACTTGTTGAACACATTCAACTCTCAAATCTCCTTCATGCATTTCCAACATGGCCATATTCTTCTTGACAACATTACCAATAATGTACATCATTGAAATCATTGATAAATCACTGTAGACATAAACTTGACCTGGCTTATTTTCCAAAACTTGATTCAACCAAGAATTGAAAATCTTTGATGCACAAGTGAAAACTTGAGGAGGATGATAGTCAGAAGTAGCAGGACAACCAAATTGAGTTGCAGAATAACCAGGATTTGGATCTGGTGGCAAACCAGCATTGTGCAATAAGAGATTTTCAATCATAATTTCACTCTTCCCATTAACAGCAAATGCAGGATAATATTTAATAACTCTATCCTTCAATCCAATCAATCCTTTTTGATAAAGCAATGCAGTAGCAGATGTTGTTGCCAAAACCTTTGTACAGGATGCCATATCAAATTTACTTCCGATGGTCATTGGTGATGATTGTTGATTGTAGGTAAAATGTCCAAAACTATTAGAATAAATTATTCCTGAATTTTTAGAAGCAACCAAAAGGACAGCTCCTGGGAAGGCTTGAGAAGCAATGGACTTGGTAATTATATTTTCCAAATTATCCCAAACAGATTTTGGTGGGGCAGATACAGGCTTATCGGATGATTTTGGATTTTCTTCATGATGATGGTGATGATGGTGATGATATCCATTATGATGTTGTTGACGATGATGACCACAAGCATCAACATGAACACTCAAGAAGGCGATGATGGATAAAACCAAAACTGCACCCAACGCAGATGTTAGCCCTTTGATTTTGTGCATTTTTTTGATGAGTGGAAAATAATTGGTGCAGATGCGACATTGTAAAGTGAATGTCTGATTGGATTCAGAGCGTAAACCAGAGAGTAAAATATCTTTTGGGTATTACTAGTTGAATAGGTCTTGGTTCATTTGAAATTTCAAATTGTTTGGTTATTATTGATAAATTATTTTCTCAAAATTATTGAGATAGTCATCAGTGTTGTAATCTGAAATGTTGATGAATCGGCTCAGGACTGTGTTTTCATCCTCGATTGTTATGCCAATGAGATTGAGGGCATTGACAAGCATTTTAGATTTGATGGTGAAATCCTTGTTTAATACCAAGTGGCTAGTATTACTGACAGCAGAAAGGTCAGGCATTGAGTTAACTTCCAATAAATAAGGTTGCAAATTCTTGTCTATCATTACATCAAATCCATAAATTTCAAAACATTTCGATGAGCAGGCTTTGAATGTATCATCTTGTTTTTCAGTGTTAAATATTGTCATTTTCAATGATTCTGAAACTAGATTTTTGAGTCTATCCCAGAAGAGTTGGTAATCCAAAGAGTTCTTTTGGAAGTATTCTTCCAATTCATTCAAATTCATATTACAAAAGAATCCATATTGGGACTTGGCTGTTTCATGTTGAGGACGATTCTTCTTATCATTTACAGTATTGTTAGTAATGTGTATGAATGCATTAGTGAGAGTTTCCTCTGATTCCGTATAGTCCTCGCTGGCCAATCTTACAATACCATCCTTATAGAGATAGGCTCTATGTGGAGTTGTTGAAAGGTCCTTCGAAGGATCCCACAGCCAAAACATACAATCTCATATCGAATTTTTTACCATTAATTAACAATGGATTTCTTACATATTTACAAACAACAATCTTGTGTTTTCTAATCTCCTTCCTTTTCAAAGTTTCCTCAGAGACAAACCCAGACTCTATTTCTGAGGTTGGTATTGTTGGAAATTCCTCCTGTAAAATTTGTTTAGAATTGGAAAATAATCTGATTCCTCTTCCTTCGCCTGAACCTTGTGGTTTAATAATCCAAATATCATCCTTTTCAGTCTTTAAATAATTGAAGAATAAATTAATTTGTGAGGGAAAGTAAAATGTATGAGGAATAAACTCTGATTTGAATTTGATTGAGGAATTATCCTTAGATATTTCCTGAAAATTCATTGCCATCAAACTCTTATTAGATAAGTGGTGTGAATTAGGGAAGTGATTAATGTAAGTGTAGGATGGCAACTTTTTCCAAAGGTCTGAAGTATGAGGGAAGGTATGTCCCCAGAAAACTGCTGTATAATTCTCTGTTTCGGTATTATCAGTGGAGAGTATTAAATTAAATCCATTCTCTTCGTAAGTTCTTCGTAAAGCTGAGGTTGCTGATTTTGTTTCTTTAGCCTTTGAAATCCAATAGCAAAGTTTTCTCCTTGGTTGTTCAACATTTAATGATGTACTATTAGAGAGTGATGATGGTTCTATTGTTAATGATAATGTAGGTTCCTCTAAATTATTTCCTAATGTTGTATTTGAATTATTATCCAAAGATGATGAATTATTAGAAGATGACAAATCATTTTCAATAATTAATCCATAATCATCCACTTTAATATGTCGGAATTTACATTCAGAGCCCAATTTGCAAAATCCCTTCTTTCTAAAGTGCCAACAAACACCCTGTTTACTCTCAATTTCATCAAATAATTTAATTCTCTTCTTATTGCTGACTAGTGGTTTTTCCTCTATTGATGAAGATGATTCTACCTGATCCAAAACTCTTTTCAATTTATTCTTCTCCTCCAATTCTACTACTATTGTTGCTTGTTGGTCTTCCTGTGTTTTGGGCAATAGGGAGGACATTGTGTGCTTTTTCAAAGTTTACTAGTTGAATTTTTTTGTTCTTGCTCTTTGGAAATTAACGCAAACTTCTTCATCATTGTTTTTTAAATTCTTCATCAAAATAATATACTGTGCTTTTTGGTTATCTTATTATCATTACCATCAAGAGAATCATCTTATCACAATCCATTTCCCTTCCATTATGACGTCATATTTTATTATTATTCATAAACTCCAAGTCATCATCATCTGTTCATGACTCATCAATTCCTTTCAATATAAAAAAATTGGCTTTAAAACACACCTTGCCACTTGTTATAACAGCTTAATCTTTCGGATACAATAGTAGACAGCAGCTGTACTTGTAAATTTTAATAATAACGGAAGTTGTGTACATTAGAGTAATTTAAAAAAAGGAGAAGGTTGATTTTTAAAGTAATTGGACTGAATAATATATAACAAACTATTGCTTCATCATCATCAGGACTATACATATCACTAGGAATATATTGTAACTTAAAAAAACAAAAACATGGGAAATTTAATTGCTTCAATATTTGGAGGACTCTTTAATAGCGAACAAGAAGTGCGTATTTTAATATTGGGATTAGACAATGCTGGTAAGACAACAATTCTCTACCGATTACAAGTAGGAGAAGCTGTTACAACAATACCTACAATCGGATTCAATGTAGAAACAATAACATACAAGAATATAAAATTCCAAGTGTGGGACTTGGGAGGTCAAACATCGATTAGACCATATTGGAGATGTTACTATGCAAACACAGATGCTATTATTTATGTTGTTGATTCAAGTGATAGAGAAAGAATGGGTATTGCTAAAGAAGAACTTTTTGCAATGCTCGATGAAAAGGAGTTGAAAGACTCTATACTTTTAATTATGGCTAACAAACAAGATGCCAAGAATGCTATGAGTGTTGAAGAAGTTTCTGAACAATTGAATTTAACAAAGATAAAGAATAGAACATGGACAATATTTAAAACATCTGCACTGAATGGAATTGGTATAAATGAAGGTTTGGAATGGTTGAGTGAAAATATCAAAAATAAGAAATAATTGTAAAAATAATTGGAATTAAAACATTGAAAAACTTTAATTTTACAATATTTATTTATTATCTGTTCGTACAAAGAGTTTTCTTTGACGGCCGCCTCGTGAATTTGGAACAAAACCTCCTCTTCCTCTACCTCTGGAATTGTTTGTAAACTTTTTCTTCGTCAGATTTTCACCATTTTCAGATTGTTGTTCTAATGAAGGAGATGGAGCTGAAGGAACTGAATTTTCATCTTCTGTGGTAGAGACAACATTTGGATTGGCAGGTGAGGTGTTAATTATGTCACTTTCTATTGGAGCACTTGGTGTTGTGGATTCAACATTTGTATTGTTGTTTGTAACTTCCAATTTCCATGATGTTTGTTCAGATGGAACCTCGTATGTGACATTAATATTGGATGATGGAGTTTCTTCAAATGTCTTATTCTCAATTATGGTGGATTTTTTAGTTTCAGAAGTTGTGGAAGAAATGTCAGTATTAATAAAATTACTCTTAAGTTTTGGAGATGAGCTTGATTGATTTGCATCATCCATTCTAATATTATAACCATTAGTATTGAAAATAGAATTACTAGTCAAGGAATGTTCATCTTGACCCAAGTATGGATACAAAGTCTTGCCATATTGGTAGATACTCGAAGAGGCAAGTTCTCTTATTTGTTCTGCTAAAATCTTGTATGAAACTCCAATAATTGAATCATCTTCAGATCTTGCAATAATTTTTTCTAATTTTCTTACTCCATCATTAATACAATTTTCCACTTGATCAATATTTTGTTGTTGACCAAAGAGGGAACGTGAAAGAGCATCTACAGCTGCAAAATCGTTGTGAGTCAAAATTGATACTTGTTTTCCAGTTTGGCTAATACAAAGTTGGTCTGAAAGGAACATGGATCTTCTTTCGAATGAGTCTGGATTAGAAATATTGAAAAAACTCAAAACTTGAATAAGTTGAACAATATCCTTGGTTCTCTTCTTGTCCAAAGCTTCATTAATTATATCCTCTTCAAACTTTACAGGGAACGTCACAATTGGTCTGTGCTTTAATTGTTCTTCGAGTTGTTGTATAGAATGTTTGTGGTCATTTTCATCTCTTTGCATTTTATCTAATAATTGCTTGTTAGAGTTTTCCAAATTAGCAATCTTTTCTTCCAATTGTTTGATATTGTCCAACAAGTCTTGATTCTTTTTCACAACTGAAGAGTTTTCCTCTTTCAATGAATTAACCTCCTTTGTGATAGAGTTATTTTCCTCAGATTTGAGAGAAATTTGATGTTGTTGGAATTTGATGAATTTGTCTTGGTCGGTAAATTGTTGTTTGATCATCATTAATTCTGTATTCACTTGGTTAAATCTGGAAAAGTTGAACATTAATGTTTCTTCCTTTTGTTGGAGAAGCTTTTTTTGTTCCTCTATCACATTGTGTTGAACCATTAATTGTTGGGAAGATTGTTGTCTTTGATCCTCAAGTGTTTTGGATAAATTTGAATTCAAAGATTGAAGACGAGTAATTTCAGTTTTGAGTGATTCCACATCCTGGTTTTGTTTCAAGAGTTTTGTGTTTTGTTCAGTAAGTTCATTGATTTGTTGTTCAAAGCTAGTGATTTTTGAAACATTTTCCTTCTTGTTGTTAACTTGCAGAGAAAGTTGGAATTTGGTATGATTAAGAGTTTGATTCAATTCCTCCAATTGTTGATCCTTTTGTTTAACATCCTTTTGCAATTGTTTCAAGTCCTTTTCAAGTTTTGTTTGACGTGAATCATGCTATTAGAAAAATTGTTAGACTATTACTTCCGAATCAAAAGTCTACTACATACCTCATTGAAAATCTTACTCATACTACTTTGAATAGTTTCGAGAACCTCCAATGATTTGTTTTCATTATCTAAAATTTCAATCATATCCTTCAATTGTTTTTCCTTCTTCTTTGATTCTTCGATTTGAGCATCGAAATTCTTTCTTTGTAAAATCTCTTCGAATGAAAGATCCTTCTTGTTGAGGTGGGAAGGGATTGTCGGAATAGCAATATTAAAATCCAATTGATTGGTAATCTATTACATTTTAGAAAAGGCTTTGCTATGTAAATGACTTACATCTTCATGAAGCTTTTTGTGCTTTACAACTTGTTTTCTATATTGTCTAATTTCCTTGTTGATTTTGTTGATTAATTCATTGTTAGAATCTTCAACTTCGGTAACTACAGGTTGTTGAGTAGTAACAACTTGTTCAGCAGCTACTTCCTCAGCAACAGGTTGTTTAGTTTGCCCAACTTGTTGTTGTTTTGGCTGAGGCTTTTTTGTGTTAGCCTTCTTAGGGTTTGTAAAAGTTAACTTTTCCTTCACCATCTTTGATCTTCGGAATTTGTAGTATATTTTCTCTTTCTTTGCTCTTAAAAGAAAAATATTTTCCTATTGATGATACAAAGTATGTTCCCACAATTAATGACTATGAAGCAATGACGCTACTAATAACAATGTGTCTTCCTTCTTGGATGCGATCGAGAGAGAGAAGAAAAAAAAACGTGAAGAGAGAAATTAGCAAGAATACACCCTTGTAAATTTTTTCTGTTTTGTTTTTTTTGGAAGTTGGTGAAATTTTTGGCTACAAGATTTCAAAGAGCTGTAAAATCAAGCCTATGATAGTTGAGGAGGTTTTTTGTTGTTTTTAATTCGGTTGGGGTTTAATGGTTGTATGATAAAAAGTTGTTGTTTCGGGTTGAGTAATGTTTGTATTTCGAGTTTGTGTTGATCACCAAGTAATACTACTTGTTCGAATATGAAATTGAACATTCCAAGGTTCAATCTCGACCAGTATCTTGAATGCCGACTACTTTATCTTTGAGAATTCCCAACACTTACAAGAAAATTTGTTCTAATTCTCATAATTTTGATCAAAACATTGAAAACACAAACCAGTTTCTTAACAATTATATTTGGAAAGCCAGTTCAATTGCTAAAATAACAAATTCTAAAAAAATGGAACAACACAATGAGGCCCCAATGTATCGGCCTCCAATTTCCCCATCAGAATTTGATGTATCGGAAGAAGCCAGCTATGATGTAGGTGATATAATAGATATGAATGATGAAGAGGATGAGTCTTCTATTGACTTGAATGATTTTGATTCGGAAGTTGATTCGGAAGACTCTGATGATGGCCCAGAATTACTTTTTGAAGACAAGGCTATTGAATATTCTGTAGAAGAATTGAATGATGATGATGAGGTAGTGGATGAGTGTCAGATGTATATTGAAAACTATGTAAAAAGATTTCAATGTACTGATGAGGAAATTCGTGAGTTTTGTCAAGACAAAACCAAGGAAGATATTCATGATAATTGGCAAAGGTTGGAGGAGAGATTACTAAAACTGAAAGATACATTGAATGGGAATTTCAAAGGATTAGACACCACTCTTAGAGATAGTATTATTCATCAATTGGCTTTACAGGAATTTGACAAGCAAGTGGTTAAAAAGAAGAAAAGAGTGGACGCTACTTTGAACAAGAATACGAGACCAAACAGAAAGAGAAAATCAGCACCAACAGTCGATGAAGAGAATGATATGAATGATTTCATTGATGATGAGGGTGTTGAGGAAGTTATAACGAGTGACGAAGAGCCAACTGAAAGAATAATCAAAACAGTAATCCTCAATGAAAAGCAACAAGCATTGGCTGATGAAATTGAAAAATGCATTATGGAAAAAAATAATAATAAGTTCAGAGAATATTTGAGAATGTATGCAAGAAGGGAGATTCCAGTTGTTGTAGCGTTCAAAACAAAACTTGCCTATCACTTCAGACGCCAACAATACGAACAAGGTTTCAAAAAGATGCAACAGGAGGCACAAAAATTAAAACTTAAGGAACAATTGGCAGAGGAGGCACTTCAAAATCAACATATTGTCGAGGAGGTTAAGGAATCAGTCACCTTTATCAAGAAGCAACATGGAGAGTATGAATTAGAGTATCAGGACTACGTCATGGATCACCAAATTGATTGTTTAAGAACGGCCATTAATAGAATGATGCAAGGAAAATCCTTATTGATTGGTAAGTGTGAAATTAACACAATATTCTAACGTGTTACAGCTCATTCTATGGGTTTAGGTAAAACACTTACGGTCCTATTGATATTGAAGAATTACAACAGAATATATTCTCAGAACAAAATTGGTAAATCACTCAAATATCTAGTTCTTGTTCCAAAATCAAATATTGATCACTTTTCAAAACAGTACATGTACCATTTTCCTTCTGGAGGATTTTTATCTGAAATTATAGTATTGAATGACAATGAAAATATGTACGACAAAATGTTGGAATTCGATAAGGGAGGAAGAATGATGGTAATGACCTATGACAGGTGTATGAATATTTTGAAAAATAGTCCTGAGGAGGCATTGTATCTAAAGAAAGCTGATATTTTAGTAATTGATGAAGCTCATGTTATCAAAAATCCAGAATCTGAAAGATTCAAGCATTTCTCATCCTTTTCCAAATCTATCAAATTACTAGTTACTGGTACGCCATTACAGAATAGTATAGCTGAAATATTCACGTTGATAAGATTTTTAGAACCTCAGAACCCATATGTGAGGAAGTTGATGCGTTGTTTTAATTCCACATTTACAGAATTCTTCTCTAAAAATAGAAAAAACATTGAAAACAGAGAGGTTCTTGCTAGAACTGAAGTCTTTTACAATTACTTTAAGGAATTGATTCATAGAAAAGTTAATATCAAGGAAATGGAAGAGATTGCAAAAAAGAAAGAGGATATTATCATAGAATTTAAAATGAGCAAAGAGGAGAAGGATATTTACGAGTTCATTTCTCAAAAATACAGAACTAAGTGTTACTTTGCCAGATACTTTTATCAGAGATTATGCCTCGACTGTGTCGATTATTTGAAAGAATCAGATGAGAAAGATTTGGAAGAATTTTCACAAGAATATAACGATGAAGATGTAACACCTGAGAGTTTTCAAACAACCCTCAAGAAATATATTCAAGAAAGCCATCCCAAATTAACCGGCTCTACAAGAGTGAAAATTTTGAAAAACTTAGTTTCTAGGATAGTTGGAGGTAAAAAGGAAAAGGTTGTCGTATTTTCTGGGTTAGTTTGCTACAACTCTGTCATTGTTAAGGAGTTGAGCAAAGACAATACAATCAAGATTGGTGTATTTACAGGAGATACATCATCTCCCAAGAGAGCAGAGATTATCAATCAATTCAATAGGGGAATTATCAACACTTTGCTTATTAGTAAGAATGCGGGAGGTGTTGGTATTGACCTTACAACGGCCACCAATGTTGTATTATTCAATTTGGACTTTAACTTTGCCAAAGATGACCAAGCAATTTGCAGATTAGTCAGAAAAAATCAAAAGGAACAAGTCAAAATTTTCAGATTGGTTTGCCGAGAATCGGTGGATGTAGCTGTTAAGGAACTTCAAGCTCACAAGACTGTTATATTTGACAAGTTGCTTGATGATATTCCATCCATAATTAAACCACGAGAAAGAAATGAAATCCCAGAGGATTTATGTATCAAAGCTTTTGGAAACAAATTTGTTCCTGCAAGCATCAAAAAGCTCATTGTAAATATTGAGAAATTCCAATTAACTGAAGGTTCAATAGATTTAACTGAAGACGAAGTTGAAACGGCACAAAACAATATTGAAAGTGATATGCTCTAACAAATTACTTATTTATTTGTGTTGTGGCATCAAATGGAATGAAGGATGAAGCTTTCTGTTGATGATTTTTCTTTTGAAAATTCTTTACAAAATTGTAAAAATCCAAACTAAACACAGAAACTCTCCATGCATGCTTCTTCTTTTCAACAGTGTCAGGGTTTTCATTAGAAAGTTGTTTGTAATCTTCATTACTCAACACAATCTTGCAAACCTTATCTGGATTCTGACTCTGATAGAGAGGAACGTAATAATTGAGAATTTGGGTTCTATTCTTGAAAATGCTGACTAGAACATAGGTTTCGCCCTTCCATTTAACAATATACTTGTGCATGTTTGCAGTATTTAACTTGTCCACTGATTCATCAACAATAGAAATTTCCTTATTATTATTCGAATCTAAGATATTTGATGCAGATGACGCACTTGGTGATGATGCGCTTGTCTTTCTCTTCTTTGAATCATTTACACTCGATGTAAGATAGGTCGTTACTGCAGATCCTCCTACAGTAGTAGGTTGAACATCTGCAAAATTTCTCTTCTTGTTGGCAGTTTCGAATGGATCATTCTTTGTTCGAATAGGCATCATTCGAGCAGTACCAGCTGGTACTATAGATGATCCATTAGAACTTGTCTGTGAAGGTACATGTTGTTGCTGTTGTTGTTGTCTCACATGCATCAACTCCCTTCTCAATTCACTATTCTGCCTCTCCAACTCTACAATAAACCTCGACTGATAATCGAGTTCTCTCTCCAAATCTTGAATTGTTCTATTCGCAATCACTTGTGGATTTATATGTTGTTGTTGTGTCATTGGTTGTTGTTGTGGTGGAGGAGACGATTGATTTAAATGTTGTTGATGAGTTATTGGTTGGAGGGGATGTGGATCATGAGGAGGTGATAATCTTGAAACATGTTGTTGTTGAAGAGGTGATGGTTGTATGGTATGTGGTGGTTGAGTAGAGTATACATGTTGTTGTGGATGTGGTGGTGAATACCTTGCATGTGATGTTTCGAATAATGGATTTTGTTGGGAAGAGTTGGATTGAATGTGAGCTGGGATTTTATCAAAACCCAAATTTGGATATTGTTGTTGATGCATGGGATTGGAAGACATGTTGTTGTTTGTATTCGAATAGTATGAATGCAAGTTTCTGGAGTTAAAGTTGCCACCATTCTGTGGCTGTGATTGTTGGTACTGGACACGTGGATACAAGGTTTCTGCAACATGTGCTGAAGGCGGTGCTGATTCATTCAGTAAATCTCTCAAGTTTGGTAACATCATGGGTGGTTGTTGTGATTTTTCTTTAGAAATGTTATTCGAAACAAATGGTCCAGTTGACCCAGACATGTCGCTGATATCTTTCTGTACTGGACTGTTGTCGCGATTAGTTCTGTGGGTCTCATTGTTTAATAGTACAGCAGTGGAAGGGGGAACTTTCGAATAGGAAGCTTGTTGAAATTGTGCATTATTCTTTGAATGCATGTTGGTTGTTTCGAATAACATTTGGCTGGCAGATTGTTGTATCATCTCTTTTTTTTAAAGTTTGATTTCTAATAACTTGAATGCAGAGGAGGAAGAAACGTCTTTGTTTGGATCTTACAAGTTTAGGTTGCGAGATTAGAAACAATGTCAGAATATGTCAAAGACTTTGATGTTATTTCAATTCGGCTGATATTATCACAAACTAGTCGACAATAAACTTTTGGTAATCCAATGAAATGTTGTGATGGTTCACTGTTGATGTGTTGGCAGCTGACAGGTTCTTTAGGTTTATGTTCTTTTTATTTAAATCTTGTTTAGTGATGATTGTTCTGCTTGTGTTACCAATTTGCATTTTCTCATTCTTCGTGAGAAAAGATGTTTGACGTTTGGCAGCACATTTTCCTGTTATCTTTTATTTCCAACAAGGCGTTCATGTTATTTTAGATAAATGCCCCATAATTAACCTTTGTGTGGGCACCTGTTTCATTCATGAACCTTGTTTTTTATCACTGTTTCGTTTACTTTCTAATAAGCAAGTCGAAGGGTTTCACGCAAACAATGAGATACACATTCTATATATTGTCTGGACATCATAGGGTTCGTTTCTTATCAAAACAAGAAGATAACCGTAATCGATACACACCTTACCGAATAGGATATTTAGTTAATTTGTACCTTTCCTCATCTCATAATACAACACACATGTAATATAAATGTCAATAGGATAATATGCAAGAGATCTTGAATGTTGGACTATCTATGATATCATCGTAGTAAGAGGAAATCCTCAGATTAAATATCTATCGTTTCTTTTGACTTTCGTTTATCTATTCGACAAGGAGAATTTACAAAAATTCTAAAAATGAAGAAAGCACCAACTAAGAGCGGATGGTTTTCAAAGATATCACACAACAGTGTTTCAGATCTTTGCCACAAGTATCCAATTTAAATCTTCCACTACAAGTAAATAAACGAAAGCTGCCTAAATGGGAATGTTGAAGGCGTGAAGAATGACGACATGAAGTCTCTATTGTGAATTCAATTAGTTTGTTGCTAAATGTTACAAAAATGGAACTGAAAAAATGTCCTCCATATATTTGTGAGATATAAGAGTTGACAACATGCACTCCATTGTAGTGTATACAATGATTCTTGAAGTTTTTTTGAAAGAACTACAATGTTTTGAATCTTGTTCAATGTATTAGAGATAATGTCTTGTGATATTGAGTTTGATGTTAGTTGATGTCAAATGTTGTAGATCTAATTTATGAAGAGATTGACTGAATTGAGCAATTGAGAAAATGAAACAATTCAGGGTTGTGCGTTAATTGCCATTAATCAAATCATGTTCTTGCTCATGTTTATTAAGAATTTTAGACAAGATTGATTTTTGCCTCATGCTACTGTAAATCATGTATTTTTGCCTCATGCTTTCGGATTTAAAGGAAAATTCAAGTCTTCCTTAACCGTGTTAGTAAGAAGCAAAAACAAGGGCTAAACAAGACCATAACTTCAAACTGATGAACTTGTGGAAAAGAACTTTGCTGAACTGTTTGCTGTTAAAAAACCAAGAATGCTTATTTGACAAAGAACCGATCTAATAAATAGTCCTATATTCACTCCAAATTCTGATTCGATTCTTGTTCTGATATTGTGTCATCCCCTAACTCGGCTGCTCGCGACAAATACTTTTTAGCCAATTCGTTATTTGGTTGATCAATACCTTCCCCTAGTTTATACATTATACCCAAATGATAATTTGCCCATTCGTTATCTTCTTCAAGTTTCAAACATTCATGATAATATTCCATTGCTTTTTGATAATCTTGTCCAATAATTACTTTACCAAATTTGTCACATCTTCCCTCATGAAACAAACTTCCAAGAAGATAATAGTTTTGAGAAGAGGTTTCAATTTTCAATGCCTTTTCGTACATTTCCAATGCTAGTACGTGGTCTACCTTAATAAATTCGTTTCCCTTATCGTACATATATCCTAATCTTATCATAGATGATGAATCGCCAAGTTCAGAAGCTTTCTTACACCATTCAAACGACTTTTCCAAATTTCCAATTTCTTCATAAAGAACAGACAGCAAAGCAGTCGCTTCAGGATGTTTCTTTTCAGCTGCTTTCCTTAAAAAGTCAATGGCTAGATCAATGTTTTGAGAAAATCCATAATCTGGTTCACATTTTACGAAATATATTCCTCCCATTCTGTACTGAGCTTGTGTTGAACCTTGCTTGGCACTCTCCAAAAGCATTTCTAACGAAACTCTTGTAGTAACTTGTAAAATCTGTGGTTGTTGCAACATTAGTGCAACATCATGCAGAGATTGAGCTTGGGGAGTGTTTACATTTGTTGGCACCCTTCCAGTTTGATAAAATATTTCCATATGCATATCATGAACTGTTTCCACTGTGTAATATTCTTCCAATTGGAGAATTTTCAAACTTTCCATTGGCCTTTCATTAATACTTGTATATTTAATCTTATTGGTTGTCAAGTAGAATTCTTCCAAATTAAAATCTGAATTTAAGATCATTTTCAAACCATTGTCAGTAATTACATTACATGAAAGGTCCAAATATTTCAATGATTTCAAATTCTTACTTGAATTAACAAGAGACTGCACACCAGCATCTCCAATCCCACATGCCAACATGACCAATTTTTCCAATTGACCCAAATATTTACAATTTGAAATCATCTTTAAAGGTTTGTTTCCTATTGGAACTCCAATCAATTCGAATCTCGTTAAAAAACTCAAAATATCATTTTTAAAAAACACATCCAAACAAGCAGATTTAAATTGTGATTTGATGATCAATAGGTGATGAATCGGAAGGGAAATATTAAATTGATCTTCGGACCACTGATTTTCCATTTGTTTGTACTTTAAAATGGTCAATCCGTGTTGTGTTAATTTTTCAATAATTAAATGTCTCCACAGTTTGCATATAGAACAAACTTTGAAAAGAAATAATTCTGGAAGAAAAATAAAGATTTCATTGGCAAGGATTTCATGGGGTAGGGAAGTGATCATTTTTCTTTTTGAAATAGCTCTTGTATCTGTTACATTTCCGAAGTTATTCTTTTAAATTAAAAGGAAAAAGTACTTTAAAAAACTTGACTATTGCAATAGTTGGAACAAACCTGGCTTATGATGAATTTTTAAAATACGTATTTTAATTCATATCAATTTTATATTGTTGATTGTTGGAAATATTTTTTTTAAATTTAATCTATTAAATACCATCAACTGAATGGAAGCACTGGTGGCGGGAGAGTAATAAGCATGGTTTACAACACGTAACACTGATCATAAAGCCTCTTCAATCTATGCATAAGATCACCCTCCTTGATGATATTAGGTACTTGAGGCACGAGGTCGTTACACCAACCTTTCAAATGGAATGCTTATTAAATAATATACTTAATTCGAAAATGAATAAAGTTCCATCAAACATACTTTTTCTTATTATCTTGTCCTTTCCTCATTAGGTTCTAAAGTAACTTGTATTGAAATGCCTTAATATTGATGGTTATGGTTTAGGCCCAAACTATTTCAGTAATGATATTGTAATTGCACTAAAGGATAGACTGTATAATTTATTGAATATACAAAATGAAGAAAATCAATAAAACTATTAAATAAATATTTTGTGAAATTGGTCGAGCTGAAGAGACACTCCTTGTACTAGTTGATGTGCTAATGGGAGGGTACAAGAAACGATTTTCATCAAAATTGTTGCCTCCCAATGTAGTACATGTACAGTATTGTTTGGAACAAGAAGGTGTGTTAGCAGTGCAGTAGGAGTATTGCTCATTTTTGTAATTCTTGAAACTTGGTGTGATACTAATGGTCAAGGGATAATATTCATCTGGTATTGTTGAATTATCGATGAATCCTAATCCTGTATGGAAAACTGTGAATATCATTGAACAATTGCAAACACTTTCAGCACCATCTGCATAGGGATACAAACTCCAGTCAGAACCAACACCGATACATCTATTGTCCAATGTTCTGTATCTAGCACGATATCCAAAGTAAATGTTTTGAATATCTGTTCTAGCAGGAGTATTTCCTCTGTAGTAAGGTTTGTCCAATGAAACCTTCAACGAATAAATTTTACATCCTAAAGCTATGATTCACAAATTTTTTAGCTCCATCAATTTTTAAACCAACAGGTGCTGTGTAATTTCTACTTGGAATAATTACGGTAATTGGGTTCTCACCAGATATCTCTATTACAGAATCTGTTGGAAGATCTTTAACATTGATCAACACATTCACACAACTAACACATACAATCAATACAGATAAAAGCAGAAATGTGTTAAGAGGACTTCTAGGCATTTTTTTCTTGTTTGTTGACTTCTCAATTCGTAATATAAATCCCAAAGCGATTATTATAACATATACGGTGGTTAAATCCAAAGTGAAAGGAACGTTCCATACAGTCAAATCCACAGAATTTGAGTAACTCTTTTTGAGTTTAGTTGTCCATTATTGTATTGTTGCCATTCTTTGTAAATTCTCTTAAATGACTCCATGATAGTAGATATTACTGAACTATATTAAATGTTTAGCTTAATTTAATAGATTCTCGTTCCTTGCATTTCATCAAAAATATTTCACAACCACGAATCTCAAGGTGTGTCAATTTTTCTATACCACTGATCTGTTCAGCCCCGTTATCTCCTATATCATTAAATGAAATATTGAGATTGACTAATTTAACCAACGTTTTCATCATCAATTCCATTAATTGAGATATGTCAATTGCTTCAACTCCTCAATCGATTCACAACTCTCAATCCCGTTTTCTGAAAGGTCAAGGTTTGTTAGTTTGTTAAATATACTAATAAATTTGTTCTTCTCTCTTTGACAACTTTTTTAATGAGAAAGGTTGGTATTGATAGTATTTTCTTTAAAAAACTGGAATTTTGTCTGTAGTAACAGCTTAACAATGACAAAAAGGCGCGAAAACTGAAACCGCCAAAACTTAACACTTTGAAAAAAATGTCAACAAACAATGATCCAACCATCTCCCTTGGAAGAGGAAAGGGAGGAAAAGGACTTGGCCTAGGAGAACCAATTCCCAATAGAGCAGTCAAGAGATTATACGAACCACCAGAAAATCCGATACAAATCTATCGAACTCTTGATGATGGTTATTATTTGGAGAGCGCCAAGAAGAAGAAGAAGGTAAATGTTGGTAATGATGCTGCTGATCATCGGAAGAGAAATGATCATGAGTGGTTGAATACGATCGTGTTGAGAAATGTATATGAATATTTGGAGTTTGAGGATCAGTTGAGATTTAGATTGGTAAATTGTGGAATGAATGAAGAATTGGCCTTGTGGAGTGATGATGAATTGGGAGAAAGAGCATGTCCTTGGTATGCTTTTCAAGTAATGTTGAATTTTGAAAGATTTTGTAGAGAAATGAAGAAGGAGGAGGCCAGTTCAATGAGAAGTAGGAAAATACTTTACAATTTGAGTGGATGTTTGACAAGACTTCAAGGAGAGATTAGAAATGCTCAGGTGTGTTCAAAGCATCTGTTGGAGGATAGAGTAAATCCTTTCAAGAACTATTTCATTGATGGAGAAGATTTGAATTTTGAGGAACTTGTGAAGAATGATGAATATGTCAATCTATTCAAAAGTGGAGCTGTAAAATACACAGAATGGGTGGCTGGTACATTGGAATATAGTGAAGGTTCTGCCTGTGAAATCCGAATCAAGAAGAAATCTAACAGTTCAAAATCTAAACCATCCTATGTGTACTTGTATCAAGCTAACTGTGTTGGAATGAACGGTAGAGAAGGGACTATGGATGAGAGTTACTACATGCTCATGAGAGAAGAAGGTTCAAACAAAACTATACCTCTAATGGAATATATGTTTTACAGAGATCCAAGTGGTGAAGGGTACACAAAGAAGAGTAAGATTACAAAATTGATCAAGACTTGTGAACTTCCTAGTAACTGGAATTATGAACAATTTATTTCATTCATGATGTTGTGTTCCAACTCGTTTTTAAAAAGAACTAATTATGAAAATGCTTCTTTGTGGGAAAGAATCAAGACCTGTGCTGTCTTTTCTGGTAATTTATTGGAAGATGATGAAATTGAGGATGATGAAGAAGGTGAAAGAGATGAGGATGATGAAGAAGATGAAGAAGATGAAGAGGACGAACCAATGAGACTATTTAATTATGAAGGAGACGAAATTAATTTAGAGCAGGAAAAATCAGGGAAAATCTTTATGGATGGTTTACTTTCCAAATGTTGTCATCAAAACAAGAGCATTTCACAAATCTATATGGACCTAGTTTCTTTGAGAAGGATTGTTTTAGATGTTTGCTCGAAATCCAATTTTGGTACTGACGTATCTGAGGATTTTTTAGGTTATGTAGAAATTATCAAATCCACTATACTCAAAACTGAAAATTCCACTGGATTCTTTGTTACTATTGGAGAGTATGTTACTCAATCGAGAAGTTTTACGGAGGCAACTCTACAATGTGAAAATTCCAAATTAATAGTGGAGGCAAATCTGTCAGATGTTCAAGGTTATCATTCCAGATCAATAACTTTCAAATTAATTAATCAAAAGGACAAGTCAATTCTGATTGATTTCTCGCAGAATGATTTCGAGAGGATAGCTACTGTCGATCCACAATTCAAGAACCAAATTTTGGGAAAGGATGCTTCTTCGGCAATAGATGACTATACTTTTGTTGGATTGTTTGGCTTTTTATGTATGAGAGTTCATACCTTTTTGTTAACTGACGAGAGACTTGTTAGATGTATTGATAATGATATGTGTTTTACCAATCCACTTTTGGAACTCTTGAATGAGAATTTGTAAAATATTTTCGAATATAATTTATTAACAAATATTGTTAAATCCTAAATTACCACCCTTAGTTAAAGTGGTAACTAATGATGTAATTCCCATAGCTCCAGTCAGTACAGAGGAGATGGCAATAAATAAAGCAATAATGAATACAATAATACTTGGTCTACCAAATTTCTTCATAATAAGAGCAACAACAATTTGACCAGCAGTACCACTCTATTTGTACAAAAGAAAACTTAGTTAGCAAATGAAAATAGAAAACATACCAAAATACCTGCAACAAAATACCAAATGAAATAGTCCCAAGAAACCACTCCCATAATTAAGAATTGAATGGCAGTTGAGGACCCAGTCAGTAAGACTGTAAAGCTTGATGTAGCAACGCTGACAAGTGGATTGACTCCCATTTCAAGAAGCAATGGACCAACGACAAGACCTCCACCAATACCTAATAAACCGGCAACTAGACCAGCTGTGAAAAAGATGAGAGGAATGAGAGTGACATATTTTGTGGTCCACTTGATATCTCCCTCTAAGAATTCATAATTTGATTGAACCTTCTTGTGGTGCAAATATCTCAAGAAAATGGCTGCAATTCCTGACATGATTAATAAAAGTGGAAATGAAGATCCAACAATTCCCCAATCTTTAAAATGTTATAATGGTTTTGTTACAATATACTTACATTCAGGAGAACATCTCTGGACTCCAACTACGGATGGGAAAGATTTACCACCCTTCAAGAATGATGACACAAACACAATAGCCCAACTGATCAACAGCAAGATCCATGAAATTGATGGGAAGGCAACTAATTCCAATTTCTTAATCCTTTCTAATAATTTGTTATTTTCTTCAGATTTCACAACTAATGACTCACCCAAATTTTCTTTTGGAGTTTCATTTGGGTCAACTTCTTGTTGAGAGTTATCAACAACTGCTTCTTCTTCTTCTTTCACTTCTTCATTCAATTCCACTTCCTTATTCTCTACAATTTGGGCTGTATCTTCCTCAGCAGCAGCACTTGCCTTAGTCGTGGCTTCTTCTTTCTTTCTTCTTTCTTCATTTTCTTTCTTCCATTGTTGTCTTCCCTTAACTATCGATCTCCATGCAACAAATAACAGAATGGCCAATAGGAGAATTGTCAAAAACCAATTAGGAAACCAAACATTGAGAAAGACACCAACAATCGATCCAGCCAAAATAATAGGTTCAGTAATTAAGGCAGCATGATAATCAATGAGTGGTCTACTACTTGAAAATGGATGTCTTTTAGGAATAAGCATCAAGTAAACACTTGTTGAAGCTCCGAAAATCATAACAGTTGACAAGGCAACTGAAACTTGAGCTGGATATCTACCAATGAGAAACATAACTGGAACGTACACTCCACCACCACCTACACCAGATGCTGCAGCAGCAATACCTCCAAATGATGAAAAAAATGTTGCCAAAATATCCCAAACACTAATAGGAAACAATGATTTTGTGTCACACAATCCAATAACACGATTCTCAAACATGGATGAATTTCTAATTGGCACAGAAACATTAGAATATTGACAAATAACATATGGATGATCATTACATTCATCATCACCATCCACCTGGCAAGCATTACAACTTCCATTCACACAAACCAATTGACTTCCGCATTGTGCTGTAACATTACATTCCCTATTAAAATATGAATCAACATATTGCCAGTCAAGTTGATTATTATCACTTAAAGTTTCATTATCCAAAGATTCCGATGATGATGATAACAACGCTGATGCTTCTGAACAATTTACAAACAAGCCTATCGAAACAATCAAGCCAATAATAACAATTAGTAATAATTGTATTACACATATCCTTCTATTCACCACCATCATGTATCTAATAATTTATATTCTCTCTTAATTGTTGTTATTTCTTATTTACAAAAAGAATCAATGCTCGGAACAGAGAATGATAACCACTTGAATTCGTTCTTTCAAAAAAAAGGCTTTGAAAAAGGTTTGTTGTTGTTTTGATTTTTTTTTCAATTTTTTCCAAACTTTCTATTCTTGTTGGCGGACGCAAATGGATCGGAAGAATTAACTATTTTGAGGATGAACTACAGGTCAAAAATTGTTGGCGCTGTTTTGGATTTGGTATTGCGTGGTTATAGAAATAGAGTTTTTGCTTGTGTGAATCTGTGGAGAAAGGTTGGTTTGGTTGAAAATGGAGAAGGATGGCAAGAGAACGAAAGAAATTTTTTGTAATCTTTCAAATTGAGATTAGGTAATTTGTTAATTTAAAGAAAATTTTCAATTTTTATTATTCTAATTTGCTGTTGACACAAGCAGTTTTCAAATTCCCATATTGATTGTGTTGGGACAAGCCCATTACAGATTCGAATAAACTCTTTACAATTGATTCAAATGATGATTATTAGAATCAGTTGGACGATACACTTTTCCTGGCATGTTGAAATCTTGCTCCATAATCTCTGGCTTGTATGGATTTCTCTTAATCTTCTTTTGAAGCATGTAAATACCATAAATCAAAGCTTCCTAAAGTTCCATAAATTCATTGTAAACATTTCATCAAATTTTCAATAAAAAATACTCACACAAGCTATCAACCATCGAAATTCACATTGTGCAAATTCACCATTCTCAATCCAACAAACAATTCTAAATGAAATTAAACTTACTTGGAGGACAACCAGGTACATAAACATCCACAGGAACAATTTGATCAGCACCTCTGACAACATGATATGAGAAGTGATAATAACCACCTCCATTTGCACAACTTCCCATTGAAATTGAGTAACGTGGCTCAGCCATCTGATCCCAAACTTTACGAAGAGCTGGTGCCATCTTATTTGTCAAAGTTCCAGCAATGATCATGGCATCAGCTTGACGAGGAGTAGGTCTAAAGAAGATACCCTTTCTTTCCAAGTCATATCTCTATATATTAGAGAGAAATCAACCTTGGTTTCGAATGTGAAATTAGTTAAACTTACAGAAGCAGAAGCATGCATCATTTCCACTGCACAACATGCCAAACCAAAGGTTACTGGCCACATGGAACCAACACGTGCCCAAGCAAACAAATCATGAAGAGGTGCTTTGAGAAATTCAACTGAAGACATTTTTTTAATGTGTAGGAAATGTAGGATTTATAATTGGGGTGATTGTAAAGATTTCCTCTCCATATTTGTGTCGATATCCTCGTACTTCCTAGGTGTCCTATTGCGATGATTCATTGGTTTTATTATACGATGTTATAATATTGAGATTGATTTTGTAGAGAATGATTTGAAAATGATTAGTTAGATTTAAATAGAACAGAAAATGTTGTAAAGCATTAGTAGTTTAGTTTAATGATTGTTTGCAGGCCTGTATGCAATCTTTCCTCGCATTAGTGGACGTTTCTCCTCAACCAAATATTTGGAGAATGAAACACAATGACCTTGTTTTACATGATGTTCAAAATCATTGTCACTAATTACTTCATAAACATTTTCTTTACAAACAGCACAAAACGAAACTCCTTTCGAAACATGTCTAAAAGCAGTAGACTTCTTCAATGGACATTCATATTCCCAATCACAATTCTCAATAAATTGTCTGTCCTTATTCTTTCTAAATGTTGATCCTAAAGGTCCAGATTCTTCTTTAATTATTTTCGAAAGTGGTAATTCTTGTGGAAATTTGTTTTGTAAATGGATGACTCTCCTTCTCATGACATGCATCCAATTCTTGACATTCAAACTTGCTGAATAATTTGGAAAGTAATAAAGTACAAGTGGTTTCCACAAAAGTGTCTGAGCAAGTGCAGTTTCGTTTTCTTTATACTGATCTTTGACCGATACAATCCTACTTTCAAGGTCAAGTTGCAACAATTCTTGTTTTCTCTTTGCAATGGCCTCCACTTTTTCAACAGTCAAATCAAAAATCATTTCCAATAAATATTCATCACTTCTCGCAAAAGAATTCAAATCTCCAATTGGTAAATATTGTGCAATTATTAAAATTAATTCCGTGCTGAGAGTTTCTTTAAAGATGTTGTGTTTTGTGGAGGGAAGAGAGGACAAGTCATCATCGGCTTCATTATTCGAAACTCGAGAGAAGATCTTTTTGAACATTTTTTTTAGTTGGAGATGTTTGTGATGACCTGTGTTTGTCTTCAGCCATTTCATTGTTCTCAACAAGTTCGTGAAAGAAAAAGGAAGAAGTTCATGAGCTCGATACAGTCATTGAAGGAAAGAATATAATTAAGGGCAATGAAAGAGAGCACTACCTTGGCCAACATCTATTGAAAAGACTCCTCTTACCTAACAGTTTTTTATCAGCACACAAGTATCATTCCTCTTATTAGCTTATTTCAAATAATTAAATTTTCAAAAAAAATTAAGTCCACACCCAACATACTCAAAATGTATTTGTGTGATCGTTCGCCAGTTATTAGTGATTTCTTTGAGGCGTGTTTTGCTGAAGGAACAAAAACATCTTCCCAAGATAGTGGTCCCAATTTTTGCAACACATGAAGAAGGTGTATAGTGATGGATTTATTCATGGAAGCAACAATTTCAGGCAAGCACCCGAATCATCAGAGGACGACAACTTATTCCACAGTCACATGAACCATGTTTTGAATCAATCTCTTTCTTTGGTTATCAAATTCCAGAGGATACCACAAGACGGTAGTATCATCTCCAAGATGGTTTCTCAAGAGCTTACATCACTGTTCCCAATACTAATGAGTCTTTCCAAATTGATTGAATCAAACTCTTCACTTGAAGAGCAGGGAACTCTGTGTAAACTTGCTGAATGCCTCCTCTCAATTGAAATATCAAAACGGGATGGAACAACCGTAAAACCAACAACAAATCTATTAGAAAGAATGGATGCCGTAAAAGTTTCTTTTGAGAATTTTGAGAGAACATCTGCTCTCATGGTTTTACTTGCATTTAACTATATTGATAAACCATCCCTTGATCAGGTTGAACAATGCATTGAACATTGTGACTTGATGCTCTATAACTCAGATAAGCTAGAACCTAGTGATCTTACTTGCATGGCCATGATTCTCTTTAATATCTATAAGAAACAACCTTGTTTAGAATTGCTTGGAGATGCTTTTATACTTTCCAGTTTTGCAAGTGTAGTTGATCCTCTGGGAGCTGAAACTCTCATGTTGCAGATAGGAAATTCATTCATTGTAAAATTCAAACAGACATTTTCTCCACTGTTATCCCAACTTGTAGAGTTTCTTTCTAGAAGGATATCAACTTCAAATTTGGGGTCATTGTTGTTCTCTTCTGACACTTTTTGTGAAATACTGTATAGTAATATTACAAGAAACCTAAGACCAGATATTATTCCTTCATCTTCTTTCAAGTTTGGTGAAGATTTAAAATGTGTATCACGAAAAGAGTTCAAATCACAAAATTTCCTTGAGGATTTATTACGAATTGGAAACTCTAACGACTCAAACCAGCAGATGTTAAGTTTGTACAAAACCATCAACAGTACATTCCTTTCAATTGATTCTTTCCAAACCAAAGCTCACAAACTGGCATTAGTTTGTCAACTTGTTGTCAAGAATAAGTTAGAAATGGATAGAAATGAGTTGTTGAATGCTTTGTTAGTCTGTATTCATAATTTCCATCTTGTTTTTGAAACACAGTCCTTTTCACACATTTCCCACTCTTCAGAATCGATGCCTGTTAGTGGAAGCAATACTCTCTGCTTCGATTTGTATTACTTTTCTGTTTTTCAATTTTACAACTTGTTGACAGACCTCACTACTCTCAAATATCCTGCAGCTGAGAATTGTTTCTATTTCAAAAATATCAACAATAGATTCTTACAGTTTTTATGGAAGAAAGTTATTGAGAACTTACAACTTCTTCAAAACAAGATTAGTGCAAGGCAGCAACCCAAAGATTTTAAAGATCACTATTTAACATCTATTCTGTCATCATCTTTTGAGGACACACATAAACACCAGTTGGAGGAGATTAAATCAAATATTGAACAGATTACGATCCTAGCAGAAGACAATCAAAGGACAATTGATCTTCAAATAGAGAAGGCCAAGGACAGATTAAACCATTTGAATCAATCGAATCTTACTTCTCAAGAGATTCGAATCATTAAAAGCTTTGGTACAGAAATGCAATCTTTAACTGGGATTGAATATGAGTAACTGGATTTCTTGAAATAGTTCTATTAACAGTTTTTTCCCTGATACAAAACAAGAAATTAATACAATCGTGAACTATTTCATTGTGAATCCCCTAGGTTTATTTTATATTCTTCATCAAAGCAATTTTTCAACATTCACTTTACTGTTGTTCCTGTAAGGAATTAAGGAAAAAATGCCCCCACGCATCAAGGAATCAATCTTCACGCCAAAATATTTCACAAGTTAGGAATGATTATTACACATAAATGGGTGTTCATTCAATTCAAGGGATTTCAATAGATGTATGGAATCAGTCAGGTCTAACTTTCTAATTTGATTCTTTACATTTGGGGAAAAGAAACGTAACGCTGTACAAATTCCAAAATTTCCATCCATTGAATTGTCAGGAATTTCACACTCGGTCCGATTAGTGTTTTTTAATTGATCAGTCTCATGGATTTGATTCAGATTTTTGTAATTTTATTTGTAGATTGGAGCACAGACATTGCAAATCACTGGAAATTGAAATATTCTTCATGACATTCTTCAGAGAGGGAAGAGAAGGTATCTTTGTTTTGGAATGAATCCTTTTAAACTTTAAATAAATACACTATTCCTTGAAAACTCCCATTAGACGCAACTTGTCTTTCAATCTTTCAATTCCTTCATCACTTGAAATTCTTGCTTGTCTTACACTTTCTGTGTATGCTCTTGTACCATAAGGATCACTATTTCGTGCTCTAACGTAGCTCAAATAATCATCCCAATTAAACATAGGACCATCTGTTCTTATCTGAGAAAGATTGATTGATCCAGACATGAGTGGACTATTTTCATCTTCAGAATCTATTAATGAATAAACTTCAATTTCTTCCACATAAAAACTTCTTCTATTATCAAGAGATTCACTAAAACTGAATCCATTTCCCTTAGACCATTTTGGAAGTTGATAATTCATTCCGAAATTAGTATGTCCTGGAATTATATCACAATTATTTGGTATGGTAAAATCAAGAAAGTCAATTAATCTTGCGTGAGTACAATCAATACTTGGTTGATTTGTGATTGGAAGTTTAAAATATTTGCGACTCTTGGAACGAATGAATAAGAATGCATTTTCATCGTTTCGTTGTGTGTGTCCAAAGATATTTGCTTGGGGAATTTTCCAAGTTTGGGTTGTATATCCTCCAAATATTTCGTCCTCTTTAGTCTTGACTATGATGAAAGTGGAACCTTTATCATCACACTTTCTATGGAAATCATTAGATTCGTATCCATCCTTACTTCCTCTATAAATCAGTTTCCATTTTGTGTGTGGAATAATAGATTCTTTTGTATCTTCTTGTTCAGTTGATATTTGTTCAGTAGATATTTCTTCTACTTCTTCTTTACTCTCATTTTCAAGAGGAGATTCTTTCGAATCTGAACTCTTTCCCTTGTTTAAAATTCTATCTATATGAGCAATAGTTTGGTTAGCCAATTTCAGCATTTTTTCTGCTTTTTCCATAGTTCTCTTTGCTGAGTCATGGATGCTTTCATATTTCCTTTCATATTTCTTTTGTAATATATTAGAACTTGGGAGAATCTTGGTAAATTCTTCAATTTCGTTTGGTGGAATAATTGTTCCATCATTACAAAAAGTTTGGAAAACTGGATTTGAACTCTGCACAAATAGCATATTTTTCTTCAAGAGAGGACTTTCTATTGAAATATCAAGTTGAATTTCAACTTGTAGATCATTTTGCAATGGAAGAGGTGGCAATCTATTCATTGAATCAATTCCATATTCATCAATTTCCAAGCTGAATCGACAAGAGTTTTTCATTCCATAACCTTGCAAATAATTTTCTAATATTCCCTCATAGGCTGCTCTCTCATACCAAAAACAAGCAAATGAATACTGTTTGGTCAACTCCATCCTTCTTCCAATCTTGTACATTGCATCAATAGATCCTAATTTAGCAGATTCTTCCAATAATTGAAGATATCTATCATTATTCCACTCAACAATAGTACCATCCCTGTAGAGATTTGATAAAAAGTAAAGAGTGTTCTTCTTATCCAATCCTCTGTTTTCAATATTAAGAACACATTGAAAAGCAGCTTTTTTCAACCATTCCAAAGCAGACCATTGATCGCCATCAAAATAGCTTAATCTTCCCAAGTTGTATTGTGCTTCAGCATATCCTGCCTTTGCCAGAATCTTCAATTCTTTCATTACAGGTCGTTTTTCACTATTATACAAATATGGTATAAATCCAATTCGGATATTGTTCTCTTTTGAAAGTGCCAGTTTAAAGCATTTGATAGCCAAATCATAGTTTCTAGGTAAAATTATACCATTCTTGAATAAAAGTCCAACAATGTACAATGCATGCTTCTTTCTATCTGAGTCTTTGCCATTGCAAGCTTTGTAAATTATTTCAAAGATAGTTTTTGGTTTTTTAAAGAGAACTGGATTCAAAGTCGATGGTTCTACAATATTTTCAAATAGGGTTTGAGATAGGGTATAATTGGTAAGCAAATTGTACCCTAGATCAATTTGGATTCTTGAAGCTGCATCAAAGAATATTTCATAAAAAAGGAAATGAATAAATTCAACATTCGAGTTGGAAAATTTGAATAAAGAACATGCAGAGGAGTCATGTATCTTGTCATTTTGCAAATCTTCTTTGAATTTGAGTTTAGTTTCGGATATTCCTTGAACCATTAGTACTAAATTATCGCTCTTTGTCATTTCGCTAATAATTGCATTCATAGAACTGTTATTAACCTTATCAACAGTTGTGTTAAGACAACACAATATAATAGTTTTCTCTTTTCGTATTGTCAACATACATAAGAATCTCCAAAACGAATCTAAAAACTCAGAAGCAAATTGAATTGTAGTGCTTCTCAATAAAATGTTTGAAAAATGTTTCCAAATAAAGTTCAAAAACTGATTGACTGAAATATCCTTATTCCTTCGCAATACTTGGTATAAATTATCCAAGAATAAATATTCCTTGTCGTCAGTTGATGTTTGACGCTTGTCAGTAACTGGCTGAAATTTAAAACGCTCAGTAACTCTATCAATTGCAAAATCATACATTTTCCCAACAACTGAAGTACTCACTCTAACAGCTTCCTTTGTCTTTGAATTATGGAAATGAGGATATTTCGGAAAGTTTCTAACAATATCCTTCTCCATTGCACCTGCCTTGAATGTTTTCCCCTTTTTAGGTGCATCGACAGCCATATTTACAATATCTGAAAGTCTTTGCATGGTTTTCCAATTCTCACCTTTACTCCATTCATATCCATACGAATCTACATAGGAATGTCTCAATCCTATCCAGTCCTTAAAAACATCTGGTTCGAAATTACGTTTTTCTCCTTCAATTTCTTCATCAAAGTTTCCAGGTTCGAATTGTTGGACGAAAGATGAAACAAGAGGTTCATCCCAAATGACAAGATATTTGTCACCATCCAAATCACTTCCTGTAATCATGTTAGGAATAGGTCTTTTTTCTCCCTTAATAGGAAAAACAATTACTTCTGAAAGATATTCTAAACTCTCTATTTTCTTAGCTTTCAGCAAACGTAAATCACCTCTATGAAGACATGGCTCTTTAGTGATGGCAATAGTTCCTTCCAAGGTTTTCAAAGTGCCATCTTCCATTCTAATTCTAACAAAAACTTCATCTGGTTCTAACACTTCGAGTGGATCACAAACTCCGTAAACTCTCCGAGCATTTTGAATAGGGAGTTTAAGATTCAACAATTGAGTTCTGAATGGTCCTGCAAGGAAAGCGAGTGCAACATCTTTGGTCAATCCGAAAATGTTTAAGGCATGAAAATCGCCTTCTTTGAAATATTTCTTCATCAATTGGGAAGTATCTTCATTAGAATAGGTTTTTAAAATGTCATTAACATAATCCTTCCACATATTCATAATTATTCCCTCAAATTTCTCACCTCCATCAACACATCCACTCATCATGTACAAAATTGTTGAGTTGGCGAATGCAAAATTAGATGGTTCTGAATAACCGACTACATGGATATTCGAAAGACTTTCGTCTTCCTCATCGAGATCTTCATCTAAATCTACGTTGAATTTAACCATAGATTCTCTTAATACAATTCCTTTCACATTTGGATTTTGTAGGAGCATGCCTTTTGCTCCTCTAAAACGAATCTGAAATGCTGAAGGAACATTATCATCCATATCATCCTCAACTGGATCAGAATCTTGATAAATCATCTGTACATCAACCATGTATTGTGCATTCTCAAATACGTGAACTTTCTCTCTAGATTCTGCCTGTTTAATTTTTCTATAAATTTCTCTTGCTAAATCAGGAGAAATGAAACCACAACCATCTGTGAAAAGACCAACATCTTCAATAACTTGATATTCTGAAATATTAATCGTAGGAGATATTGGAGTATTTAAGAGCGATAAACGAACTGTTAATTTCAATTGATTTTCTGGTTTGTACAAATCTGGATTGAGATGACTAGGAATAAAAAACTCCTTCACATCTTCCACTCCCAATGGCAATTCATCAGCCAAATCTCCACAATAATAAGTATACTTATACGAATGCATTCCACTGGTATTTTGACATAATTGATGAAATGAATAACCGGCAATTGTAATTGGAGAATCTTGATAACTTTTCAAAACTCGAGCAGCTCTAAATTCTTGTGAAATTCTTTCCAAATGTTTGCATTTTGAAAAATCTTGCTTTGAAACTGTTGGCTTTTTACCATTATTGATGCTATTACAAAAATCTTGCTTAATCTTGAGAACTGTTTCTTCTCCCCAATAATTTCCTGCAACAGTTTTCAAATCCTTTAAACTTTCCAAATCTGAATTTTCTGAAAGAAATAATTGAGATGTCAATCCCATTCTTGGAAAGGAAAATAATACAGTCAAGGTTGTGTTAACACCAAAATATAATCTATAACGACTCTTTGAGTATTTTCCTTTCGGTGAACTTCTGAGTTTGACAATTGCTCTTGGATCACTATTGTCTGAGTATAAGTCTCCTGCAAGTCCTTGTAAGCTTGTTGAATTTCTAATGCAAATTTCAACTATTCTTATACGAAAGTGATCTCTATCATTCTCTAGTTGATTCACAGATAAATCCTGATTACCATCCAAAAACCATTTGTGGACTTGCTCTAAACCATTCATTGTAACAAGAAATGTTCTTGTCACAACCTTGAGCATTTCAAATTTTTCATCAAAATTCATTTCTGCATACGGTTGACCTTGTAAAGTTGTAAATTTCTTCATTAATTGGAGAAACTTCTTAGCACTTGCCATATTATGAATTACTGGGTGATGTGTTTTTAAAGACACTGCACGAACCAACCAATCAGCACCTCCATCCTCCTTTATCTGCCTCTGCAATTCTGGTCTCATCTTTAACACTCTTTGGAGTAATAAAATCCAATTGACCATATGTCCATCAAGAACATGTTGAATTTCATCATCACCAATAGAAGTTGTTCTTTCCGAATACGATGAATCAAACTGTTCTCTTGCACGTTCCAAATCTCTAACATAATTGAAAGCATTAACACATTCACCATCATTAATCTTGCCCATGAAATTGCTATTGTGTTGTTGTTTCTTGAAAAAGGATTCATTCAGCAACCACTTATAAGAAGATAACAAGAAAACCAAACAAGTATCCAAATGGAAATGACCAATAAAATTACACACTTCCAGACCTTAACTAATCACATGATTCGGAAATCCCATTCTCTCCAGAATTAATCCAAGAGCAGTGCTATCCTTCTCCTCCTCCGTATCTAGCCAGTACCACTCTAGAATTTCCTTGATGATGGCACTCACTTCTTTAGTGGTTGCATATTTACCATATCGTCTTGAAGGAATTTGGTTCTTTGAAGAATTGTATTCGCGTAGAAAATTTGATAGGAATTTTTGAAATTCTGAATGTCTTGCAATAGTCGAATGCTTTAGCTTGGGTAGAAAATCAAATTTTGTGATTACTTCTCGATGAAAAATCGCAGGAATTTTTTCCTCCATTTTTTTCGAATTTACAATTCCGTGTTTCTGTTGTGAATTCCAAACGATATTTCTTTTAAAAAACAGCAGATTAGGGCAAATAAAACTACAAAAGTTTACAACCATTTTTAAGAACAACAATTTGCAGGAATTGAGAAAAGGATTGGAACATGTTGGTTTATTTATTAATGATAAGAAAATTCGTTTATCAATTGATGAGTACAAAAACCATAAATTTATCAAACTAATTAGGTAAGATTCGTCTGTTTCGTACAGCCGTCACTCTTTGCACAAAGATTTCATCCCTTTAATTACTGGACCTGCAATTGACTTTGGCGTTTACTGCAAGAAAATTGATAAAGAGCCCACTTGAGGAATGGCACAAAGAATTACAAATATTAGGCGTGACTGGAAAACCAACAAAGTGCAATTTGTATGTCCTGTTGATGAAAACATTAAGCTGGCTTATACCTTGTCATATTTTGGTTCATATAGTCACTTTAACCTAAAGAAAAGAATAGATCTTGTTTCTATACTAATTTCAAATTTATGGTATCCACAAGTTGATCAAGTTGAGAAATATCTCACTACCGAACAAACCCAAGAAATGAATACTAGCTCTCCAAATAAGAAAACTCACAACTAGTTTCCCAACAAGCGTATCAATCAATCGTGTTTCCTTTTCAATAGATTATGAAATAGCAACGGACTTTGAAAAGAGACCAAAAGCATATGATTGATTAGAGGATAAAACCAAAATATTTATTGATAAGGAAGTTGATGATTATTTTCGTAATACAAAAGATTTTTTCCAAATATAAAAAGCATTTAACTCCAATTTCTGAAGAAGATTGTAAATTAGTTCAAGCCAGTATTGGAAATCTCAGAAATGTAAAGCTTCAATAACTATTGGAAACATTAATTACGGAACTAACAATTATTACAATTTAAAGAACTCTTTGGTTTCCTTGCTAGATGGGAAAAAATCTTTATTGAATACATTCCCTATTCTCTATATTTGAAATATCACATTGTATACAAACAGCTAAATTGGACTCTACTTTACAACAAACCATTTTGTAAAACAACTTCCTTCAAGAATCCAAATCAATTCTAATTTTAAAAAAAATCTTAAAAACTCCAAAGCAAAAAACAACAACATCACTTTTTTAATACAATATAAGAGAGAGATGATGTTGCGGGGGAAGAATTTTATTATTTATAATTGGATAAATATTGTACTATTGATTCTATCAATTGTAATTGTAAATGCAAAATTAACCATTCCGATGTTTGATCATCATCATGAAGAGGCTTCACTCACCTATGTAACTTCTAACAAGGAAACTTTTAATAAGTTTACCCAACAATTATTGAATAGTAACAATAATATTCATCATCATAAAGAACATCACGAGAGAGGAAATATTTATGCATCACCAAGTAATGGATATTATACTGAGAGTGAATCACTCTATCACAAGACGGAGACCATGCTTGTGGAAAGGAAGGGTGATTTTGTGAGAACGAGATCAATTGCTAGAACTATGAAGAGAATGAGTTGGAAGGCATTGTGGCAATTGTCAAAAGAAAATAACAAGTCAATCAAGACACAATTTGGAAAAAGTAGCTCAGATCCAATGCCTCCAGATCATAGAAGAAATTGGGTTCCATCATTTATTGGAAATGCTAAAATTGATGGCAAGCCAATTAGTTGGTCCTATGCTCCTTGTTTCCAAAACACATCTGCCAGAATTACCAAAATTGATTCTGCAAAGAAATCCGTCACTTTGGAATTTGAGACAAGTGGACCAGTATCTTACCTCTGTTATGATTGGTATTTTATTACAACAAGAGAAAATTACTTTGTCAAGGTTCTATTCACACACGGAAAACATGAACTGATTTTGGAACACTTGAAAGATGACGGAGAATGGGAAGACGTTTTACAAAATGGGTTGAGAATGTTTTATTTCAAAGATGCCATTTTCCAAACCATTATTGATGCTTTCAATGCTGGAAAATTACTTGCTGGCATGTATTTTGAGAAGGATAAGATGAGTTTCTTGAAAGAAGATATGGGTTTTGAATTCAATGAAAGACCTATCAAACAAATTTACTTGGAAGATTATGAGCTAGAAAGTGGTGATGTTGTCATGCAACTTCAATTGAGTGGATTGGATTGTTTATTAATGTACGGAACTGGAGCCAGAACTGGACATATTGCGTCTATTTTAAAGATTGATGGTGTTAAATACGTTGTCGAGTCGACTGAGGAAGGAGTCAGAAGAACTCCATGGCCAGCATGGTACACTGCTTCTCAAGTTGATTCTACCATTATTATTGCAAGATTAGCTCCAGAATATAGAAAACTCTATAATGAATCTGCAGCTGTAGAGTTGTTTAAAACTTTGGAAGGAAATGAATATGGTTTTGTAAATATTGCCTATGCATGGATAGATACTGAAGAAGATAATTATCCACACCCACTCTCTGGAGATATGATTGGTGCCACTTTTGTTCTATTTAACAATTGGTATGCTGGTTCTGCAATTAATTTGCTCTTCCTTAAAGGAATGAATCAAAGACTCAAACATTATTATGGAATTAATGCTAATTGTACGGAAGTTATGTGTGTATTCGATTATTTGAACAAATTGAACATTACAATCAATTATGCTCTTACATTACCTGAAAAAGATGGATGGCTTTATGACGGCAAGCCAATGATGGTATGTTCAGTAATGTATATGAATTTGTTAAAGGCTGCTGGAATATTTGGAAATTTGACTAACCAATTAGAAAGTGGTGAGTTTACCCCAAAGGATATATACCAATTGGGAATATGGGATTTGAATTGGAGACCTGAAAAGTGTAATGTCAACAATGATAATCTACCTTACTGTCAAGTAGCTGGACCTTGGTATTGGAAATTGGACAACTTTTCCACAATTAAACCTTATGCCAAAATGAATGAACGTTGTGGAGCCGAACCAATGGACTATGTCAGACATCCAGAATTCTGTTGACCAATTATCCTCCTAATAAATTCCTAACAAAATCCTAATTTGTGAATATTTCCTCGAGTAATTCCACAACAAACTTTCCGAACAATTCAAGTTGCTATCTTGCCAACTTCCAAATATTCCACATTATTGCCTATTCAAACATTGGACATATTTCCCAACTATTCACACCACATTCATCCAACTCGTTGAAACATAACATTGGTCTGTTTGCTTGTTGTCAGCCATGATATCTGACTTGCGATTTTGTGCTAGATTGATATTTGAATCAATTCATAGCTTCCCTCATACATACGAACTGTGTGTGGCTTTTTAAAATAATGAACAAACTTGATAATATTATAATAAATGAATATTTAGCATGGGTCAAGCAAACAAGTAAGACCAATCAGACCTAGTTATTAAATAGACCTGTTTCAATTTAGCTGAGACAGGCTCATCTCAGACTTTCAAGTTTGTTGAGGGAATTTGAGTTGGACCTAAAGTGTATAAACAAGTGTTGAGAGAAAATGTCACCAAAAATCTTGGTAACAATAGAGAAAAGAACCATTGCAGCAGTATTAATTCACTCCACAAAGATAACAGGAATGATAGCACTACAACTATAGGTTCTTTTGAAATGGTTCTAGGGTGAATAAAGAAATTAATCTCTGTTGAAACCACCTCTACCACCACGACCACCTCTACCTCCTCTGAATCCTCCACGACCACCACCACGGCCACCTCTATCACCACCAAAACCACCTCTGCCACCACCACGGCCACCACCTCTACCTCCTCTGAAACCACCTCTTCCTCCATCTCTATCACCACCAAAACTACCACCACGACCTCCTCTGAAGCCACCACGACCACCACGGCCACCTCTATCGCCACCAAAACCACCACGGCCACCTCTGAAACCACCTCCCATCTTATCTTGCTTTTCAATACCACGTGGACCATCTCTGTTGAATCCTCCACGACCACCACGGCCACCTCTTCCACCTCTGAAGCCACCACGGCCACCTTCTCTATCACCACCAAAACCTCCACGGTTACCACCATTGAAACCGTGCTTCTTCAATGGCTTATTCTTTGGCATATCATCATCAGAATCAGCATTTTCATCTTCAGAAGCATCGTTAACGTCTTGAATTTCTTCTTCAGCTTCTTCAATGACTTCTTGTTCTTCTTGTTGTTCTTCAGAGTCGTCGGAATCGTATTGTTGTGCTTTCTTGTAGGCTGGCATCTTTGATATTTTTTTTTTGAGCTTATTCGTGAAGTGTTTTGAATATTCTTTTTAAAAACGCTCAAAAAGGCTTCAACGTTCATGTTGTAGTAATTTATTGAAGCGATTTCTTGAGATTTGATAATTTGGATAACGTGCATTTGCAAGATGAAGCTGACAGGAGGAGAATAAGAAGGAGTTTTAACAAGGATGATGGTTAAGCAATACTTAAAGTTGAGGAAGGAATAAAAGAGTGATTTTAATGAAGTAGACGGCTACGGCCATATCACGATGAATGCACCTCATCCCGTCCGATTTGAGAAGTTAAGCATCGTCGAGCCACATCAGTACTGAGGTTGGAGACAACTTGGGAACCTGTGGTGCTGTAGTCTTTTAATTTTTACCAGCAACAAGTTTCAAAGATATTAAACACCAAAGTGCAATCTTTTGGGAGGATTTACGCAACATTAAAAAATGTGTATTTATTATGTAACTAGCTTACCCACGGAAATACTATCTTTAATATTGAAATTCTTGCCTTTTTCCGAACTGTATACACTTTTGAAGAATGAACCTCAATTTTGTCAATTAATCACTACCAATGATTTACTGAATGCCTTCACATCAATGATCTCCGAATCAAATAATCCTAAATTTGTTTTATTGTCAAGAGTGAGAAGGAACAAAATACCACTTCCAAAAGAAAATTGCCAACAATTGATTATTCTATCTCAGACTATCCCAAAAAATCAAAATGAAAAAGAAGTACTAATGAAAAAGTTTCACTATCACAGAATCAAAATATTGATGAGTGCATGGTGGTTTGAATTGAATACAGAACTTGCATGTCGGGAGAAGGAACTGTCAATTTATATGACCTACTTTGAAAATCATTTAAAATGGATTGGTGCTTACAAAATTCAAACAAACCACAGAACTATAGTGTGTTTATTGATTGCTGTCCCAAGATATTTTGACCAATTATTGCTTTCCAACAATTTTACAATCCCACTATTGGAAAGATTGTGTAAAGTCTTACCAGATTATTTCCAATTGTTCAAAAAAACACAACTTGTATACACATTGAACAGATCCTATCCAATTATGGACTCTTTCATCAAATTATATTCAGATAAGTTACTATCAATAGAAAATGGAATTTATTTGTTGTATTTTATATCCTTATTTGAAAGGGTAGATCCACTCCAAGTTCTCATCAAAAATGATTCAATTGACAAGTCAATCATCCATTCACTTATAGAAAAATCGAAAGAATTTAATTTTCCATTGAAAAATCTGTGGAAATAAATAGAACTTGAAAAGCAAATTAATATTTTAAACTTTTCATTTCCAAAATGTTCTCCATGTTGTCATTCACAAAAACCTTATTCCGCTGTAACAATATGGATCTGTAGCTCCTAGAAGGCATTTCATTCAGAGAATAACTATGAGCGGCTGTTTCTCAATCTTTGGTTTGTTTGAAATTTTTAAAGGTATTTTTACTGGAATATTTGAGGTCAGTGTTATCTTTATTGATTATCTTCATAGAGCCTTGACGGAATTGAATCAAACTTTTACCATAGAAACTAGACGTCATACGCACAATAAAAATAGGAAACTGGTGGTATTACCAAAAATATTGAGGGAGAAAGAAGCAAAAGCTGCAGAAGGTGGGATTTGAACCCACGAAGCTTGCGCAGTAGAACTTGAGTCTACCCCCTTTGACCACTCGGGAACCCCTGCTTCATGTTTGGGAAACAAACTTGATTTTCATATGGGAATAGATCAATAATCACACAAGGTCGTTTTTAGTTATTTATCATTTTCTTCCAACAGAGTAATTCTCCAATTTACAAATTAAACAACCAAAATTTGTAAATTCTCAACTAAAAAACGACCTTGTGTTTCTCCAACTCATTCAAATATTTTCTTGAATATGTCTTCTAATTTTTCTCAATTTTTTAACCATAACTTTTCCTCACAACATTTCTCACTTTCACAACCGATATAACATCATTGAGGATGCAAGATTGATAAAACCATTGACTGTACTTCTACAGGATCTTTTCTGTAGGAATACATAAACTCGACTTTTTTGAGTCAATCTGACCTTTGAGGTTAACCAAGATGAAGACTCTGTAGTCACATATCTTGAGCATGATATCGAACTGGAAACATGCTTCGCTGTAGGTTTCCTCGTTCATAGATGATTGCTGCATTCCTTTCCAGCCATGGTTTGTGAATGGGGGATTTGTGAACATGCAGATTGGTACCTTAAATTTCAATTTTTATTAATTAATAGAACAACAATACCACCTAAACACATTTTTCATCTTCTATGAATGAAGAATTCAAACATTTCCATTGGATTTAATCATGATATAACATTTCATGATCCTCTGGAGCAACTCTTAATTCATAATTAAATACGATTAGTATTTATTGACCACAAAGGCTGGAACATAAATTTTCATTTAAAATTTCCAAAACCTAAAACTACATAAAATTGAACCCGGGTCGCCAGAGTGACAGTCTGGAATGCTACCACTATACCACGCCCGATTACACCAAATGAATTTATCATTCCTTACTTCGCCTTAATAAACATATTTTAGCTATTTATTGTTTGGTTGTTTGTAAATATTTAACCAATCTCGAAACTGTTGCTGCTGGTCTATCACCTGCACTATTATTAAACAAAGAAGCAGTTACCCAACCTCCAGGTTCTGAATGTGTCATTATAGAAATGTTAAAACATGATTTTCCTTCAATAGTGGATGGTAACTTTTCAAATCTCCATGAAGTCAGCATGACCTTTCCTCTTACACATGATGAATTCTTTGGTGCATTCTTGTGTTCATAATCTGGAAAGTCCATTGGTGTATGAGTACACAACCACATCACATTTTCCAATTTGGGATCTTGATAAATATTTCTAGAAACTACAAATTCACGATTCGAAATGGCCTTACTTCCAGAACTAAACTCTCTATAAAAAACTTTCAAATCATCATGCTTACAACTTTCTTTACAATTTTTTGCAATTGTTTCGTGAATAGTTTGACTCTTGACCAATTCTTCATCCCACAATAATCTCACCTCCTCATGATCCAAATACTTGATGAAATCTCTCAAATCCTTCACAACAGATTCTCCCAAATGAACATTCTTCATCTCACCCATCCAAATATGATAAGTATGCTTCTTCTTATTGATGTAGTATCGAGCTTGTTCTGGTGTGACTTTGTAATTCTCCCAACCTCCTTGTTGATCGACAACTTCTTGATAATATTCGAGGGATTGCAGATGAATCTGATCAAGAGCTTCAGTGTAGGTGTTGCATTGGTGGTGTTGAGACATTTTTAAAAAGAGCTTGGATTCTTCTTGTGATAGGTCATTTAAATCTTCCCAAAATGGTTTTTCGAAGGGAAATCCGATAATATTACTTTACAATACATTATTTAGAGGAGTTGCGATGAAGGAACATAATCAAAATTCTCATTCTAATGTTGAATATAATAGTAATGCTTGTTTTCTATTAAGATTGTCCACTCGAGAAAGTGGCAGAAAAATTCGTGAAGCCCATGATTACACACTCACACGGATGTCTTTAGTAAAAGGCGAAAGACATTGTTTGCTTATGAGAATGCTAAGGCATCACTGATTTATTCTGGAAGGGATACTTGCTTGTCAATATCAAGCTCGCAATGTTCTAGAATTGCAGATTATTAATTATGGTTTGAGGTGGAAATTAAAAATTTATTTTGTGTTGAACAATTTCACATCTTTCATTGAACGTGTTGCATGTGAAATTTACATGAATGTGTAATGATAGGTAAAGGCAAGACTGATTGCATACAAAATAAAGAGAATGGATAGGACATGATTTGCAAGCCAAAAACCAATATTCAATTTTGGAGCAACTTTGAGAATAATTGAATGAACGACTCTTAAAATTGTAAAGATGCAAATGAAAAGACATCCAAAAATGCTATTGGCAATGCATGTATAACTCCAATAAACTTGCTTATCAATAGATGAGTAGGTGTAATTAAAGTAACTGGATTGAGAGTAGATCAAGTATGGAATCAAAACAATAAGAAAGGTGAAAATGGAATTCTTGTCATCTTGTTGCATTTTCTGAACGAGTGCGAATGTACTCATTGGTAATGCTGCATCGTTTGATGATCCTTCCCCTTCCTCAACCTCTAAATATTTGCTTCTTCTCTTCATTACAAATAGAATAATGTCCTGAATGATCAATTTCAATACTAGGAATGCTCCACAGAATAAGGCAGTGAAAAGAACTGGAGTGATACGCATTCCTGGTGGAGGAATCAACATTTCCTCAACTGCATCAATACTTAATTTCAAACCCATTTTCTTAATATTCTACTGGAAAGTCCTTCAAGTAATATTGTTGAAGTGAATTTTTCTTAAATGAATTTGCAGCGCTCAATATCTTTGGTGTTTTTAAATGAATATCAGTGAAACGTTGAGATTACAGGAAACTACTGTACCAAACTACAAGGACAAGTATCTTACAACAGCTATCCTACACTCCGTTGGCTCATCCAATGGATATCTATTACATACCAATCGTGATGTCTCTCTCTAACGGCTCATATAAAGCATAGCTATACCCTAGAAATTGGTGCTATTTGTTGTTCTGATTCAATTAAGTTCACAACCAGAGGTTGAAGATTGTGTTGGATCATTTTTGATACAATCAAGAAAGAATTCCAATAACTGATACATTCCAAAACCAGTCTCTGTTGAAATCTTCTCAAATGCTCCAATTGAAGTAATTTGTTTGAATATTAAAGTCAAATCCTTACTAGTTGCGAATGGTAGCACATGTTGAAAGTATTGACTATTGTAACTCTTTTTAAATATTGAAAACTTGTAAAGCTCTTCTTCGAGACCTAGAACTATAGTAGGACAGGTAACATCATGAGAATTTGCGATAGATTGATTAGCTCTTCCTAATCGAATGCAAACTAATTTGAGGCTGAACGATTGCTGTTGATCTTCTGGAATGTCATTAGTTCTAGTATCCATCAAGAAGTGATAGATATTGTGATGGAAATAAAATTGCACCATGTGAATTGGTTCCTCCTCAGTTATCTTGTTCACATCTTTACCTGTAATTTTGGAAATAAATGCTTTCACCATAAATGGTTCTCCTACAACTGAAATTTTGAAAGTCCTTATTGGGCATGTGATATTTGGTGGAGTAAAGTTGATTTCCCTCTCGTAATATGATCTCCTTTTGAAAGGCCACACCTTATTGGACAACTTGTTATTATCATTAATTGAAGAAATTTTGTCTTGAATGAGTTTCTGAAATTGTTTCTTATAATCACATATTATACGGGTATTATCAATTTTTCTGCAAAGAATTTAAACAGAATTGGCTTCCAAATCACATCTGCAGTAAATATTGTGTAGAATCGTTTGGAAACTAGACATAATTTCTTCAAGTCATCGTAATTCAAAAAGCTGACAATCTTTACCCACGTATCACTGATAACGTTTTCTGAAACATCTATTGATGGTGTAGTTCTATAAGTAGCTATCGAATTTCCCCCAACAACATAGCAATTCAAAGTGCTGTCATAAAGTAATGAAGCAAAATAGAATCCATCATTCTGATTGACATCAAGATCTTGCGAAATGTTCAGGAACGACAAACTGCAATGTGTAGATGGCTGTAGAAAGTATGAGAATGAGGAGAAGGTTTCACTCTCAATACTAAATTCCAAGCTATTACAATCTAGAGAGTGATCTTGATTCTGACCTCCTACCAATAGCAAGGTTTGATTTTTGAATACAGAGCAATGTCCGTACTTATCCCAAGTCAGTTCTTGATTTTCTATTGGATTAACTGAGCAGTGTATAGATCTTTCATTCCCAACAGTGATGGTAAGTCTTTGTAGTGGTTTTTCGTTGAGATCTTTTCTAATTCCTCCAGCAATGATCATCTCAATTTTATCATCTCTTCTCTCAATCACGTCCATAGTAAAGAAACTTCTTCCACTCAATGATTCCACTTGAATATTCATCCATAAACAACGATCCAAATCCATAGCTTGAATTCCTCCTAAAATATTTCCTGAGCTATCCCTTCCTCCACAAACAAACATCCAATTTTTGTAAATGGCACAATTATGTCCATATCTTTCTTGTGGAAGAATCAAGCATCCAACATTTGCAAAATTAACAATTGTCCACAAACTTGTCACTACATCAAAAATTGCCAAATCATTATGACACTTCCCTCCAGCCATCCCACCAAAGACATACATTAACTTTCTATCTTTATCAAAGACACTAGAATGGCCGTATCGTGCCTGTGGAATTTGTTTTTCATTCAACACATTTTCATCATAGACATAGCTCAAACATGTGGAAAATTCATTATCAACCATCTCTATCAAATACAATTGTTTTTCATCATTTACCATGCAAGTACCTTCCCTGATTTCGGAAGATCTTCCTCCGAATATTAAAAAGAGAGAACAACATGAAGTATCCTCAAAATCCAGCACTGAAATTAATTCGGTGCACGTTGATCCACAGAGTGTTGATTTAATTTGTAATTGATGAAAACTTGAGGCCTGATGCCAAATATTGGTCTTGCTAATTAACGGTTTAGAAAGATTCATCCAATCGGGTGATTTTCTTTGGTTGAAGTCCTGAATATGTTGTTTATCCATTGGAAAGTTGCCCTCCAAAATGCAATACATCGAGTAGAGAAGTTGTGATGACATTTTTTTGCTTTATTGTTCAGAAAATTGTAAAGTTTATTTCAAACAGATAGAGTATTATAAGCAAATTGAAACAAATACCATTAGAATGACCAAAAAATAGTTGAGAGTTACATTATTGAGAATTATTTGGGCATCGGACATTGTGGTATTGGTGGACTGACTTGCAAGAGGCGAAAGATCAGTAAATGGTTTGAATTCATCCTTTGGAATCCAACCTGGGTTGTTATCTTTTCCTTCAATATATTGAAGGGCACCAACATCCATTCTTTGTGAAGATCTAACAAGACCATTGAAATCTTTTGAAACTAGATCGTAAATTGTGAGATTTGATGAGCCATATAATTTCCCTCCCTTTCTTGGATACAAATTGTAAGGAATTGAAGAAACATCCAAAAAGTCTGACACCAAGTCGCCAATTAAGGTACCTGACATTGTACTGGTTCCGCTAACAACATTAATACCATACTTAGTGTTTGGATGAACATTAACTTCACGTGTTGCCTTGGCATCTGAACAGTAAAAGGCATTTCCAGCAATTACAATGTTTCCTTTTCCAGAATTTGTTCCACTAGTGGCAAAACAAGCTCCACTGGTTTTAGAGCTTACCCCAACAACTGTATTGTGGAGAATTGCAACATTTTCAATGTTACCAAGTCCGTTCACCCTCTGTTGATTTTCTTGAATTGAAATTCCATAATATTTGGCATTCATTACAATATTATTCATGAGAATTGTATTTCCTGTTACTTGTATTCCATTATCTTGAGTATTCCACACAATATTACCATAGACAACATTTGGTGGCTTGCCCTCCATTGGAGTGTACAATGTGATTCCAGGATAGATAGTATCATGAATTACATTGTGGCGAATAATATTTCCATACGAACCAGCCTTTAATTCTATACCATCACCTTGTTCACAACAAGTGTGTCTAAATGATTTTTTCTTAGTATCTCAAAAAAACAATGAAACTTACGAACAATGGTTGTACTCAATGATGGAATTTCTCCAAATGCACTCACCAAAATTACAACCCAAATAGAAACATTCCCCTGTACCATGCGTGTGGTGAACTTTAACTCTTCTGATAGTTACATTGTTGTAATCTCCTCTTAGATCGTTTCCTGCGAAAGCAACATCTGCTGTTTCAGAAATTTCCAATCCTTCAAATGTTGTGTTTTGGGCTTCATAGACTCTAAGACCTGTCAAAAGTTAATATTTCTCAAAAATGATACTGACCTCTGGATCCATATTTCATATTGAATCCTTTAAAAAGGACATTGTAAAAAGCAACATCCATGATATTTTGTGACTGACCGATGTCGCCTTGAATTGTTACACTTTCTCCATCCGCAACCTTAATTACCACTGGACGATTTGGGCTACCAATAACCGTTAATCTTCTGTAGAAAGAACCATGCCCACAGACTTGGGTTAGTAATGTTCCTGAATGGAAAATCATAGTATCTCCAGGTTTCAACAATGCCATGGTTTTCCATATATTTTCATACTTGCAGTTTGAAGATGAATAATTGGCTTCTGTGATGTGATAAACCATTCCAATATAAGAATCGTCGTCTTGAGGAATAAGGACATTCTTTGGATATTCCCAATTTCCTGACACGGATACTGAGTTATATCCATTCTTGAACCATCCTTTAGCAACCCAACCTGGATTTGAAGGGGTTGAATATTGATAAGCGCCAACATCTGGAGTTGATGATCTGGAATTTCCATTAAAATCCAAAGGTGTTGAATACTTTAGGCTACCCGCTCCAATAAGGTTACTGATCGATGTTGGATAGGCATTCAGTAAATCAATACCCAACAGTATGTCATGAGAACTGTTATTGACCTTTACCAAATCAATGCCAACACCATTTGTTTTTCCTGAATAATAGTTTCTTGCCGAATAAAAAGTGCTAGTCTTCTTATCAGATAAATATCTCTCATAATATCCGTATTGAGAGTTGTCACCTATAATGATTAGTTAATCATTTAAAGTATGAAACTTACAAAACAAAGCATTGTTTGCAATAATTACGTTTGAAGCTGTTTGTAAACCACCAGCAGAAAAACAAGCAATTTTGGCGTTAATTACAGTGTTATGAGTGATGGTAAGATCAGAAACAGCTCCATCATCGTGAATATCAATACCATTGATGCTTGCATTGACAATGATATTGTTTCGAATAATTTGACCTGATGTACATTGAATACCATTATCACCAGTATTAAAAATGAAATTTCCCTCAATAATATTTGGAGCATTGCCCCCAGTAGTATAAGTGGTAATACCTGGATATGGTGTGTCGTGAACAACGTTATTTCTAACTATGTTATTGTAAGAACCATGCTTTAGTTCAATACCATCACCTTGTTCACAACACGTGTATTCACATAGATTTCCTTCAATGAGAGAATCTGAAAAGATACAAGCAGCATCTTGGCAACCCAAATAAAAACATTCTCCAGTACCATGAGTATGAGCAACCCGATTATTTCTGAATGTAATATTTTGATAATGAACACCCTTATCATTTGCAGAGATTGCATTTGCCCAAGTGTGGTGCACGTTCAAGTCTTCAAAGATTGAATGAGAGGATTCATGAAGTCTAATTCCTCTGGAACCATAAACCATTTCAAAACCTCTGAAGACAAAGTACATAACTTCCAAGTTGATTATGTTTTGAGATCCGTATGGATCACCATACAAAACAACTCTTTCACCAGGCCATGCAGAAACAGTAATTGGATTTGATGGAGATCCAGAGAGGACAATCTTGGTAAACCAAGCATTGGCAAATTTAACAGGATAAGTGCCTGCTCGTACCAATAAGGTGTCTCCAGGTTGTAAAGTGCTCATCAAGTCAAATAATGAAGAACCATTTTGTGGAGTGATGATAAAAGTTGTTCTATTGTAATGTGCATTATCTGAAGGAACAGGCTTTACACGCTTTGGAGAAGTTGATTGAGCAGGACTGCTCCAACCATCTTTGAAACCAGCTACTGGAATCCATGTTGGTGAGTTTTGAGCAACCCGTTGATAAGCACCTGCATCAATACGTGAGGCTGCACTTCTGTCACGACCATCAAAATCCAAAGGAGTTGATGTATTAGCCATGTAGGTTGAAACTCCAAGTAAGGACGAACCAAGGGAAGGATAAGTGTTGAAAGGAAGAGAAGCAGTACTGGTAAAATCCCTCAACCCAGTTCCATAAATAATATTGCTGGCATATTGGCTTGTAACTTTTCCTTTCACAACATTAGAAAGATAGACAGTTTTGGAGTTTGCATTGGTTTCAGAAATTGCACTAGCATTCTCACAATAGAATGCATTGTTTGCAATCACAAACTCTGAACCAATGTATGTACTATAAGTAGAGAGACACGACCCACTGAGAGCTCCAATGACAGTGTTATGTTCCAAAATAACAGCTGTTGGATTGCCTTGATTAGGTTGAATACTAATACCATTCATCTTTGAGTTGAGTACAATATTGTTACGAGCAATGGTATTAGCAGCAATTTGAATACCATTATCACCAGCGTTCCAAATAATGTTGGAATCAATAATATTTGGAATACCATTGTTGGCACCGTACACAATAATTCCAGGATAGTGAGTATCGTGAATGACATTGTGGCGAATAACATTATTGTAGGAACCTCTCTTCACTTCGATACCATCACCTTGAACGCAACATGTATGATGGCAATAATTATATTCAATAAGTGAATTAATCAAACGACAAGCATCATCATTACAGCCCAAGTAGAAGCACTCTCCAGTACCATGAGTGTGGTGGATTTGAACGTGTCTGTTTTCATCCAGTTTCTAATAAAGTAAAAACACAAAAGCTTCCCTAATTGTAACATTAGAATAGGTAACATCACGATCGTTCATTGCCATACCAACATCACTGGTATCATGAATGTGTAAATCTTCCAATAGAACATTGCTAGCACCAAAAAATCTCAGTCCTCTATCACCATATCTAAATTCAATACCTTTCAGAATAAAGTTTTCTACATTAAAATTCAACAAATTTTGACTAGCATTCAAATCTCCTTCGACCAAAACCTTCTCTCCACTGGCAGCTCTAATAGTAATAGGAGCATTAGTAAGACCTTTCAATACAATATTTCTATACCAAGTACTTTGATAATAGCATGTATAATTGCCCTCTCTCAATACCACTAATCACCATATCATCCAAATTGAATGATGAATAAATCATGATACTTACCTTCATCACCAGGTACCAACTTATTTCCATGAACAATGTCCCACAAGGAAGTCGAATTTCTCACTTCATACACCGTACACGATCCCTCCTGAACACCAAATCCCAAAACTATCATCATCATCAACATCATCAATAAGCCACCAACATACAACATCGCCACCCCTCGAACATTGTGTCGATTTGAGAAAGAAATCGGGCGCGACATTTTTTTTAAGGAGTCTTTAATATGCCAGTGCTTGTTTGGTTTTGATGAATTAGTAAGAAGCTTGCATTGTTGAAAAAGTAAAAGTGGAAAAAGTGCGCTTTACAGTAAGGTCGCACTGATATTGCTTGATTTCTAAGGTTTCGTTTACAAAAGATGATGCTTGTCATCATTTACGAAAGGTTAAACTAAAAGCCCTTCCAGTTCAACAAGATTCGTCTCGTTTTCTTTTCGAAAAAAAAAATGCATTTCACTTCAACTGTTACTTTTTGCTGTTTATTACTGCTCTGTGCTATTCTTTCTTCTTCCGTTAGTTTAGTTTACTCTCAAGATTGTTCTATTGAAAAGGATGGAATGATTGTTGACTTGTCCCAATCCGATAACGGTCAATCGGGATGGCAAGTACCAGACTACATTCCAGGATCATATTATATGGTAAATCTATGCAAACCAGTCATTCCAACCAATGCTACATGTGCCACCAATCATGGATCCTATCAAATTGTTTACATTGATAATTATTTTCACAGATGTTTAAATATTGGTAAACCAGGACCTAAAATTTCACTTTTTGATCCATCAAATATTGCCCATGGAATTGTTGTGGAATTTGACATGATTCTCAGTTCAAATAATGAATTATCAGGAGCTAAATTTGAACTAGTTTGTGATGAGAAGGTTGACTTTAATGGACATTACATTGGAAAGAGTAAAAAACTCTTGAAAAAGGAGTACACCTATGAATTCAAGATTATTACCAAGTATGCCTGTCCAAGAAGAAAACAAGCATCCAAAAATCCAATTCTCATCAGAGGTGCTTTTAATTAGTTCATCAATATTCACTGTATTTCAATGAAAAATCTTTTTACAATCTTCTTTATTTGGAAAAATTAACTCCTCACCATGAAACACCTCTTATAATCTATTTTAAAAAATCATTACAAAAAAATGTCTCAACAAGTTGATAGATTTTTTCTCTTGGTTGTTCTGCTTGTTGTTGTCGTGTTGAACTTTATCCGTTCGGGTGTTGAAGGCTTTCATTTGAAGGTTGGAGTTGGAAATAAGAAAGTATTATCAGCATCCGATGATGGAAATGTAGCCTATTTTACAGTGATTGGAGATTATGGAAGAAATGGAGGTGATAATCAGGTAAATTTATATAAATTAAATAATTTGGATAATAATTCCAATTTGGAAATAGCTTGAGGTTGCCCAACAAATGGCTAAATGGTGTACAAGTGTGGCTCCAAGTTGTGATTTCTCTCTTGGAGTGGGTGATAATTTCTATCCGAATGGAGTTTCTGGAATTCATGATTCACAATTTCAATCAAGTTTTGAAGATGTTTATAGACCTCGTCATGCTTTTGGTAACCAATTTTATAATGCATTAGGAAATCATGAATATTATGGGTATGCTCATGCTGAAGTGGAGTACAGTTTGAGGTATAATAATGGAGAGAAACATTCGAGCAAGTTTTATTTGCCTAATGAATATTATGCTAGAGTGATTTCGGTTGGTAATTTGAATATTCTACTTGCTGTTTTTGATACAAGTCCAATGATTGAATCATATTATGCCAGTTCCAAGGTCAATATGACTGCACTTGTTCTTCAAAAGGACATCAATAGACAACTTGCATTCATGCAACAAACTATTGATAGTATTTCTAGAGAAAACCAAATTAGTTTCAAGATTGCTGTTGGTCACCATCCAATCAAGTCTGCTGGTAAACATGGAGACAATATTGATATTACCAAAAAGTTGGAACCATTCCTTCAAAAGAATGGATTTTATGTTTACTTATCTGGACACGATCACAATTTACAATATTTGAATGGATTTGATTGTAATGGAAATAATTGTATGCATCAAATTGTCAGTGGAGGTGGAAGTAAGGTCCATAAGGGTGAAATTGATCCAACTCATCCTGGATTGAAATATTATTTGGAAGAATCTGCATTCACAGCTGTTCAATTGACCAAATCATCCATGAGCGTTTCATTTATTAATCACAAGGGACACGTCAAGGCTCAATTTGATATCAAGAATCCACAACAATAAAGTTAATTCTTGACCAAATACTTTATGAACAAATATGATCAGAATAGAGATTGAAGGAATTTATTCAATAACTTCTTTGGATTCTTTAGGACTAACCTCCATCATTTCTGTACCTTCCTCTTGAGGAACGATAGGACAATCTATCGAAGCATTTGACAAATCTGATTGACTAGAACTTGGAGAACCAAAGTGTGGCATGGGTTCATTCTTCTTCACATGTTCAACATTCTTATTCCTCAAATGTCCACTTCTTGATGATGAACTCTTTGCATTCTCAATATTTCCATCCTCATCCTCACTTCTCATTAGAAAACGGCACTCACAATTGAGAATTCTATGAACTGTATCACTACATGTCTCTCCATAAACAGTTTTACCTTCTAATGGAGTGTACAAAATGTAAGTGACACAGTTAGAGGCCAATAGCAAAAAGATGTCAAAGACAGTTCCTCTTAATAACCCCAATTCCACACTGAAAATGTCCCATCCAATGAAAAATGTTGGCATTGAAATACCTGTTGACAAGACTAGTAAGAAATTAATAGCATTCATTACCATGGTAGATTTAGTCAACTTGACACCAATCACATTTGTCTTTCCTTTTCTCAATCTAATAAGAATAGTCACGCCAACCAGTGTGAAAACAACACAAAATATTAATGACAAGGTAGTATACAATATAGAAAGGAAAAAGAAAAACATGGACAATACATTCGTGACCACAGCCACAATCAATCCAACCACCAAGAATGCAATCATGAACAAGTAAAATGATAAAGTAATTGAGCTATTCAAAATGGAAAGAGCTCCCTTAGACTTGGCTTTCTTAATTAAATCCAAAGTATGACTCCAATGGACAATCATTGAACTGAAACACAATGCCAATGACACGAATGCAATTGCTCTAATCGTTCCACCTGTGTCATCAATTGTGAAATTCAAAATTGGTTCAGTGAATGCTCTTGCAAAGTAGGTAATTTCTACCAAGTACATTAAAATCAAGAGGAGTGAATTCCAAAATATCGAATGGAATTTGATATCACCAAATGTAATCAACCAAATAGCTCTCAAATATCTGAGAATGATATGAGTTGCTTCAGAAGTTCCAAAATAGAAATTTTCATCCTTTTTGAAATCTGGTTTTTGAGTTAATATTGAGAATGTTACCTTGCATCTTGGAATGACAACTCCCAAAACAAAGAAAATACTTGACACGATGGAAAAGAATAGGAAAATGATTGGTGACGTTTGGTATCTGTACGGAGTTAGAAACATGTGATTAACGTCATAACATCTAAATGAAAAATCATTGGTTTTACCACAATGGCAGAACATTGGCATTTCACTTGATGTAAATTGTGATCCTGTTGACTCTATTGGAAACATTGACTTGAAAAAATAAGCCAAATTGTCTGTTGACCAATCTTTAGGTATAATCTTGGCAAGAGTTTGAGAATAAACACTAGTTGCCTCAAAAAATCGAGCATCCATTATACCAAAATGTATTCCCTTTCCACTATTTGAATAATCCATATTTGGTTGAGTTAAATTATTTTCATTCTGTAAGCCAGAAGCAGAAATGCAATGTTCATTCATGAGTGAAACCATTTGATGATGTGTGGAGGGAAACTCTCTACACGTAGGCCTTTCTGTAGTGGAAATGGCCTCTCTGAAGGTTCTTGCCTCTGAACTATTGCATAAGAAACAATAATTAAAAAGGAAAGCAAACTAAACTGTGTGAGAAATGAGACTATTTCTTAAAAAACATACTTCACTTCTATATAATTCATTCTTTGACATTCTCTGAGTTGCATTATAATGCTCATATGATGTTTCGTTAGATAGAGTGCAAAAATATCTGAAACAGTTTCGTTCAATCATGTTTTGTGTTGGAAACTTGGATCGAGAAACTTTGCTTACAAGTAATTTTACTGAGGAATTTTGTTTCTCATCGAATGGTGCACAGAAATCCAAGCTTGGAGAATCGTAAGGTGGAATGAAAACGAAATTCTTAACTTGAACTGGTTTGAAAATGTTTGCATTGAGAACTGGAAACGAAACTGACTGAAAGGAGGCAATTTCTGATGACAATACGAAACAATGAGAAAGAAGGATGAGGAATAGTGTTAGAGAACATAATGGTGCAGTTATTGTTTGACCCATTTTTTTAATAATTGTTTATTATCGAAACCTGTTTGGCCGCGAAAAAACTTGACTCTTGGCACCTAATTAATTGCCAAGATGGAAAGTGAGAAATAGATGTGGGGAATCGATTTGACATGTCTTTACAATTGTGATATTAATGGTGAAATTTGGTAGCAGGCCCGAACTCTTTAATTTTTATTGGAAAGTGAATCGTAAAAATGGAAGCAAGAACGAAAGCGAATCCTGAAGAAGGAATAATCCTAGTTCCAAAAATTGTAATGTCTCCATTGTAATTTAATACAATAGTGTTAAGAGAGTAGTACAATATTCGCCGATTGTTGGTTTTGGAATCTTTGTTTCTATTTGCATCTGAGTTTAGGATAAATTTCAAGAGAGATTATTGGAAAGTGGTGACAATTCCATCAAACCATGAAGCTAGTTCTTCTTATTTAATTCATATTTAGCGATTTCAGTCATTTATTCCATTACATCACATTAGGATACATAATTTCACAAAGTGTATTCAATTTCTAATATCATTTTGCAAATTCTTCACTGTAGTCCAAACACTAGCCAAACTCTCCAAACAAAATATATAATAAATAATTAAAATTAATTGATTATAAATTAAAGTAATAACAAGTAAGAAAAGAACCAATTCCATTCTTCTCCTTCCGCTTGAGCCCATTATCCCAAATTAATTGCATAAAATATTAATTATCCAATCAAATTACATTATTTCCTTAATATTTTCCTTCTCACAATTTCTTTCCCAATTCTTCATCATTAAATCATCATTATGAGGTAATGATCGCATTCAATTCTATTTGTCCTCAATAAACGGACTGAAGTTGTGTTTTTTGTTTTTTTTTTAAAATTGAAAAATTTACTGGTGTGCTTGGCGGGAAACAATTCAATCAAAAAAAACAATGTCTTCAACGAACGTTGCAACCGTTTCTTCATCATCATCGAGTGCTTCTTCGCAGAAAAAGAATGATTTGGCTCAATTAGTGGCAAATAATTCAAAGGATGAAACAAAATTACAAAAATTACATAAAGCAGCAGGAGCTTCCGATGTGAGCAAGTGTCCTTATCATAAAACTATGAATTTTGGTAGGTTTTGATCATGATGAAGTTAATATATTAATATTTAAATATTATTTATTACAATATTTTAAATATTAATTAATATGAAAATAATTAAATAGTGAAAGGAACATTTGGAATTAAAACAGCTGAAAAGAAGGCTGAAAAGAAGGAGGAAAAGGAAGAAGAAAAGGAAAGTGGATGGTGTATTGTAATGTAAATAGTAATATGAGAATAAATTAATTTATTGAATGTAGAAACAATTGTGGAATTATAATTACAACCAAAGTGGAAAATATTTGAATTATTGTTCACAAGCTTGGATGAGCTGTTTAGCACTTTCCTTCAATTCATTTTCTGAACTTGTTGACTCAATTACTGATTGGAAATCCTTAATAGCATTAGAAAATTCCTTATTTTCCATGTAGCATTGTCCTCTTCTCAAAAGGATTTCCATAATTCGTGGATTTTGAGGCTCATTATCCATGATTGCAGTCCAATGTTTGATAGCAAGAGGATAATTCTTCATTTCCTCCAAGCATTCAGCTCTCTCATAAACATTCTCAAAGCTCAATCCCTCAATCTCTCCAATATGAAGCAAAAACTCATAGGCCGTATCAAATTGCTTCATAATCTTGTAGAGCTTGACCAAATAACTTAAAGCATCAGAATTATTCTGCTCAGTTTTCAAATAATCCATCAAATCAGCAAAGGCAGCAATTAAATTTCCACTCTTGAAATACGACTTTCCCCTCACCAACAAATTACAATTATCACTTGGATCCAAAGCAATACTCCTCTCACAATCAGCAATGGCCTTCTCAAACTCTTCAATTTCAAAGTAAGTGGCACCTCTCATTGTTAGTACTTGTGAAAAATTGGCATTCAATTCCAATGCTCGATCATAATCCTTAAGTGCCTCTGAATAATTGCCTCTCCTTCTTGAAATATTCCCCCTATTGTAATAGTGAATAGGATCATTTGGATTGAGTTGAATAGCTCGTGTGAAATCATCAAATGCCCCATTGAATTCTTTCATTCGATAATAGAGCATTCCTCTATTGCCGAAACCTTCTGCATAGTCTGGTTTGATTTTTAAACTGTGATTGTAATCTTGGAGAGCATTTTGAACATCTCCTAATCGGAGGAAACAATTAGCTCTATTGCAATATAATTCTGGTTCTTGTGGATGCAATGAAATACCTTCGGAGAAGATGGATACGGCCTCATCAAGTTTACCAATATTGAAGAGATTAATTTGTGATACGATTCAGCAGAAGGAAGATTTTGTGAGATTTGCATTTTTTTCTTTGATTTAAACTAATGTTTTGTTGCAATAAATTGGAAATTGTAATCTATGACAATGGTTTATTTAAAATAATTTCCATCCACTTATTAGAGAAACAATCCATGCAATGCAAACATAAAATAGCCAAAATAATCCTAGAATTATTTTAACAATTGGGGAGAATCTTAAATTTTCATTGGCTTGATCATTCTCTTCTTCTGATAGCTGTTCAATACTTTTTAAAATGAAAAATCGATCATTGACAGCTGTAGCTTTGAGTGAAACTATCTGACCAGGTGTTGGAAGAGTTTCACTACTACCTCCACAATGAACAATATGCAACAGAGAGTCATTTCTATCAAATGATCTCACCAACATGTATTTGTGAGAATTGAAAACGACCTTCCATAATATTTGACTATTCCACTTGATAACATTTCCTAGATAGTGTTTCGATGATAGTTTGTACTTTGAAATTGACAGATTTCTATTCTCAATTCTGTTGGATAAAACCTTTCTTATGAGAGTTCCACTTCCTTGAATTGTGAGCAGTGTATAAAGTTTGTTTTTGAATGATTGATCCACTGTAGAATAGGCTGGCACATAGTAAGAAACTAACCCACTGAATTGATCTACCAGTGAGTGAACTCCCTGAATATATCCAATGACCTTATTATTGGTTCTATTCGTGTAGGGAATTGAATCAATTCTGCCAATAAACTCTATGGTTTCCAAATAATTAAAATTCTGAATATTCCTAACATTGGTCAATGTTACAATTGGTAAACATGAAAATTCCACATTGAACAAATCATCATCAATCAAATAACAAGTGAGAAGATTTTGACTATTCTGTATGACCACTCCTTTCCAATGAACACACAAATCCCCACTCTTAATTCTCTCATAATTATTCACAAGAGCTCTATTATAGGTATCATCATTACTTGTTGATGGAATTGTTTGTTTCCACGAAATGAAAGGATTAATATTATACAAATGACATGCAATATACAAATCCCTCACCGATTGAAACTTGAATTCATCAACCACCAAATAATTAATCAACTCTTCCCTCCTCTTCTCCGAAACATTTTCCTTCATAATTCTATCGAAAATATATTCCTTCAATATTTGTTTGGATCGTGTCGAGTGTCCTGCCATAATTTCATGAATAATCCTTTCGGAGGCTTCTTTAAATTGATTTTGCATCCTTTCCTTATTAAAATTATTATTAAAATTGTATGATGATGGTGAAGAAAGTGGTGAATCAATATCATCCAAAATTGAAGAGGTTTTTCGTTTAGACTTTGTATCATCCTCTTGTTCATCATTTAAAATTAAATTATTGACAATGAGACGAATGTAGCCTTCATTGGATAACAATTCATTCCGAAAATATTTACAAGTCTTCTCCAAATTACATAATTCATCATGATCCGAATATGAAATGATCCAATACCAAATTTCACTGGGAATTTCACGATATTGAATGAGACAATAACGTGATGAAGGCGGTTTGGACATTTTTATATTAATTATTTAATTTTAAAAAATTAAATATTGCAATTTTCAATGTAATGTGAAACGTGAGTTGTAAGAGAGGTTTCTAATAAGTGAAATTAGAAATGAATATTAAGATTTTGAATATTTTCATTGCAGTATACGTTGTATCAAAATTTATACAATGAATCACTAAGAATCCGTACTGGATAACAGTTTATTTAGGATTCTTATTCCAGTTAGCCTTAAGCACGATTCTTTTGTTTCTTATTTTTCATTACAAAAGGAAAAGGATATAATTGGATACTCGTCCATTAAGAGTCGGGGTGGTGTTATGGACCTGAACCTGTACTCAAGTATCCACCATGAAATATTGAACCTTACAGGACACAATCTGCGACAGCTTCTCAAAATTGATAGAGGATTCTTCAACCTCAATAAGTTGATGAACCTGTAACATGCACAAATATTTAGAGTTCGTGTAAAACTCCTTTGTGCTCCCTCATCTTTGATTTGAACAATTGATTTCTATATTTTGATAAGAGGACTTTATTTCTTACTTTATCTATTGGTTTTCTTTGGTCATGCGAATATTGCTGATTTTCAATCTCAAGAGTGAGAACTCAACATGATCCATCCACCGTATTTTAACACCAAATTACAGTTCAACAATCTAGTTGAAACAGACTGTGTTGAGGGTTACCTTTGATATCCATTGTTATTGGCGAGTCTTTCCTTGAGAACAGCATCTTCCAAGCACAAACAGAAGATTGGAACAACAATCTTTCTCTTCAAAGGTCTCACACTAGGACGAGAAGACTTGTTCAATTCCTTTCTTAACATTGATTGAGGTTGGAAGCTGTGTGAAATTGGTTGATTGACTGTCATGTTCATAAAGCACATATTGTCATCATTATTCTTTTGATTATTCTCAACTACTTCAATGACACAATCGTCTTCTCTAATCTCAGAAATGATACCAATCTTTCCGTGGAAGAGTGGATCAATCATATTAAGAATTGACAACTCTTCATCAATATTGATAAAGACGAGATCATTCCTTTGGATCAAGTTGTGAGTTTGAGAGTGAGCAATGAAACGCTTGACAGATTTGGAATCACTCTTGGTGTTTGGTGTTGGAGATGAGTCAAGCATTGAGGAAGGACTACATGGTGATTGAGCAAGTACATTGAGAGAGGAGCTTGAGTAGTTGGTTTGGAGGGTTGTTGTTGGAGTTTGAATAGTAAGCTTTTGGAATGCATTGACTCTTTCAGATTCCTTCTCGTGTTGAACAATTTGGCTGTTCTTGGCCATTGCCAACAAGTATGGAGGAATGTTTGGATGGTCCATTAATTGCACATTGGATGTCTTGTTTGATGTTGTTTTGTGAGGCATATAGTGTCCGTAGTGATAGTTATTAGTAGTATTGTTGTAGGTGCGTGTTAAAAGCATATTTGAGAGAGAGCTTGTAGGCTTATTACTAGACTGTTTAGAGGTATTGTTGTTACTAGTACTTGTTATAGTAGTATTGGTTGGTTGTATAGCAGATAGGCTTGTATTGCTAGAGGATTGAGTTTGTAATTGATTTACTACTCGTATCTTTTCGATGTAGGATAGATTGGGAACTTTCTTCACAAACATAAAACCAGATTCAGTGTTGGGTGTCTATTGCACTTTTTTTCACTTGTGAAATCGAGTAGTGGAGGTGCAATAATGATATCAAACTGATTGGCTAATAATAGTTTGAGTGAATATTGAAGTGTTAACTTGGTATATAATTAACACGAACGGATGTATTCAGAGTAGGGTGAAGTGCTTCAAACACTTGTTGTTGATGTGATTAAGGTGTTAGTGATTATGTCTATTCAGATAATGCCCTCTTGCTTGTTCAGTGATGGAACTCTTGCTAAGGAGGTACAATGTTTGAGAGGGTTGTGTGTTGTTTGTTGTCTTTTTTTTCGAGTTGTATTCAAAATTGCCGCCTTAATTCTGCACTTGAGGTTGAGAGTATGAAGGTACAAGTGCGTGAGAGGCAGAGATGCACCTCTTCACTTCCTTCTTGTGTGTGCGTCTTTTTGAGTCGCAAAGATTACCAGCGTTTGTTGAGGTTGAGAAACAAATTTGCTGGGTAAGCCAAGTTTGGCGTGCTTTCTCGATTTTGGACTGGAGCCATGATGCCGAACTTATTTAGAATTACAGTATTCAAAATTCATATAAGGAGTAAAACAAAAGTTCCTATTGATTGTACGCTCATCCTTGTTAGGATATTTACTGAATAATATTCATTTCCATTCAGTGATTTTATTGAACGATTCAATATTCAAGTGATCAAGATAAAATTTCACTGATTCAATCTATTATTCAATAATATTAATTAGAGCCTATATTCTTGAAAATAAATGTGGTATTGAGAGTCTGGTAATACAAAATTTCAAAAATGGTTTAATATTTTTTGACCAAAGTAAACGAATCAATCACCTGTTGTTCAGTGGCTGTGTGAAATTTCCACTCTGCTGTGACTTGCCTGGTTTGTCTATTTCTCTGGACTTTTAAGATTGCATATCCTTCATCACCATTAAACATTTTGTAATTCCAAGGAATATTCTTATTGTACCATCTAGACAATGTAGTCGCATTAATCCATTAAATTGGTTTCAAAAAAGATTAAATTAGTCAAGATTCATGAGTTGAATCATGGAACAGGTCGATGGAACACAAAGATTACAAAGAGTGTGAAAATTTAAACTTACTGAGTCTCTTCCAAACCTTCCAAGCATCCACCACTTCCATTAATAATGTGAATGGTAACATTAGGTGAGACTAAATGTTGAGGATCAGGCATGGGATATATTGTCTGATTAAAGACTGGATATTGTCTCTCTTTGGAAATCCAATAATACGAATAAGGAAGTGAGTGTAATCCAATTTAAAAAATTATTAAGGTCGTGCTAAGTCATGTCTGCACCTCTCAACTGCTTCTACTTACCGTAAGCATGTACGTGACCAGCCATAAACAAGTCGGTTGTCTCACGGAACAATTCTTCCCACAACTTTTGATAAACCTTTGATTGACCAATAACATTTCCACTTGCATCACTAAAGTCGTGAACAGCAGAATAAATAGGTCTATGACCAATTACCATTACAAAAGGTGTCTGGTCCTTATTAGTAGATTTTAAGGAATTGGTTATATAAGAGACGTGATCTCCATTGAAAACTGGAGGAAATGGCGCATGTTTAAAATTGGTTTCTGTATCGAGAGAGACAAATCTTACTGGACCAAAATCAAAATGATACCACATATTGTGTCCATAACTAGAATCATTACGCAAAGGCATCCAAAACTTGTGATTAAATGCGGCAAAATTAAACTATTAACATGATTGATAAATTACAGATAAATTCGTTGAGAGATTATACTCACCTCGTACTCTTGACCTACATCAGGATGACGTGGTTGATATTCATGATTACCTGTATTCATTTGAATGTAATGTTACAACAATGTTGCATATTTGAATGTAATGCATAAATTATCAGTTATTATTCTAAAATGAAAACCTACCAACTGAAACCATGTAAGGAACATAAGGCATGATTTCTTCCATGTACTCAAACCATAAATTCCAAATAAATTGGTACATGAACCCAAAGTAAAAATCAGCATAAGAAATATCACCTGCATGCCAAATGAAAAAGTTTCCATTACCAGCATGTTCTCTAACTCTTTGCTGAATTCTCTTAACATTGAGCGGTGAAAAAACAACACCCATATCAGCAAAGGAGAGAAGAGTAATTTCATCTGGATCTTCACTTCTTGTAGTAAAATTATAGACTGGTGATTGGACAGTAAAGAGTGGAACACCATTTGGTGACACAACTCCCAACCCAACTTGATAATGATAGGTAGTATCAAATTCCAAATTATTCATCAAAATTGCATGATCAAATCCTGTATGATTGGTATCTCCGTATCCAGTTGTGACAGCACCAACATGATAGACAGCATTTAATTGATTGACTGACTTTCCAATCCTCACCAGTGGTTTTCCCAATTTATCATGATAGGAAAATGTATGAAATTGAACTACTAATTCATTTGGTTGTTGAGTATATGCCAAATGAACATGTCTAATTTGAAAATCATCTGATGAATAAAATCCTCTCTTTGAATTTCTCAATTTTCTCTTTTGATTCCAAATCTTGAGTAATTTATAATTTTCCTCTCTGAAGGCTTTTAATTCCTCCATAGAATTACTATTCGGAAGAGGAGCAAGTTTAATTCCACTTCTTGCCTCCCTAATTTCCTGAACGTTAACTCTATTGGCATTGATCATCTCGGAATTTATGAATAATCCAATTATAATGATCATCATTATCAGTTTTTGCAAAATCATGTTTGAAGATATTATTCCTCGCTTGATAGTCATTGTGGTATTTTTTAAAAGATGATATCAAATCCAACCACCCCACACATGTGCACCAACACGAATCATTCACCCTTTTATAATCCCAGACCTCTTATTATGATAATTTTGAGAATTATTTAGTTTTCTGATATTTTACAAAAGAAATTGAACTATTGTTTTTTAGAAATTTTTTTATCACTATTTGGATTTTATTAGTAAGCCGTTCAAAAAATTTACTTCTTGGAAGGTTCCTTCTTTTCAACAGACTTAATAACACCGACAGCGACAGTTTGCTTCATGTCTCTGACAGCGAATCTACCCAAAGGTGGATATTCAACGAAACCTTCAACACACATTGGCTTGGTTGGAACAATCTTGACGATAGCAGAGTCACCCTTCTTGATCTTTTCTGGGTTAGCTTCTTGAGTCTTACCAGATCTTCTATCAATCTTTTCAATGATAGTTTCGAACTTGCAAGCAATGTGGGAGGTGTGACAATCCAAAACTGGAGTGTAACCGTTTCTGATTTCACCAGGGTGATTCATGATAATAACTTGAGCATTGAAAGAAACAGCTTCTCTGGATGGATCATTCTTAGCATCAGAAGCAACATAACCTCTCTTAATATCAGTGGTGGACAAACCCTTAACGTTGAAACCAACATTGTCACCTGGACCAGCTTCTGGGACAGAAGTGTGATGCATTTCGACAGACTTAACTTCAGTATCAGCAGCTTGACCTGGAGCAAAGTGAACAACCATACCTGGCTTCAATTTACCAGTTTCAACTCTACCGACTGGGACAGTACCAATACCACCAATCTTGTAAACATCTTGGAGTGGCAATCTCAATGGCTTATCAGTTGGTCTAACAGGTTCAACCAAGTTATCCAAAGCATCCAAAAGACATGGTCCCTTGTACCATGGCATCTTGTCAGACTTTTCAATCATGTTGTCACCAGTCCAACCAGAAATTGGGACGAATTGGACACAGTTTGGCTTACCTTCTTCAGTTTGGAAACCCAAAGACTTCAAGTATCTACCAACTTCAGACTTGATTTCTTCATATCTCTTATCAGAGTATTTGACAGATTCATCATCGAACTTGTTCATACAGACAATCATTTGCTTAATACCCAAAGTGTAGGCGAGCAAAGCGTGTTCTCTAGTTTGACCATCCTTGGAGAAACCAGCTTCGAAACCACCGTTAGTTGAGTCAACAACCAAGATAGCAACGTCAGCTTGGGAGGTACCAGTAATCATGTTCTTAATGAAATCTCTGTGACCTGGAGCATCAATGATGGTGAAGACGTACTTCTTAGATTCGAACTTCCAGAGAGCAATATCAATAGTGATACCTCTTTCTCTTTCAGCCTTCAACTTGTCCAAAACCCAAGCATACTTGAATGAGGATTTACCCATTTCAGCAGCTTCCTTTTCGAACTTTTCAATGACTCTCTTATCAATACCACCACACTTGTAGATCAAGTGACCAGTAGTAGTTGACTTACCAGCGTCGACGTGACCAATGACGACAACGTTAATGTGTGACTTTTCCTTACCCATTTTGATTGTTAGTTGGTATGATGCTTGTTTTTTTCGAAACGAAAATTATTAAAGAACGCTGACGAAAGCATTTTTAAAGCAAGCGATGAAAATTACAACGGCAAAATCGTGCTTTGCGGTTGGCTTGAAATATGGTTGACTTGTTCGGAATGTATTTACAATAACAAGTCATAAGCAGGCTTGCAACACGTCCAGAGAGTGAGAAGGCTTATGAAGTATGCAAAGACCATATGAGGATTCTTGCATTGTAGACTTGATGTTTCAACTAACTATCATCACAACACACAAAATTTAAAGAGTTTCATGTCGCCGTCTATGATGATACAACTACTTCAAAATGTTGAATATTATGTAATATTTGATGGAAAAGAAAGCACATCATTGAATGATAGTGGCATTGTGGAGGTGCATGCAATGTTGGGATATTTGGAATGTGCATTGGCAATTTCAAAAAACTGTTCAATCTGTTGGTGGAGTTAGGCTTGTTTCGTATATTAAAGAGAACAAATGTTTTGGCTTGCTTTCTAATCATCATGAAATTCCACACAACTTTTTCACAACAAACGAAACTCCTGCAAGAATAAAAAATTTCAAGATGAATGATGAACTAAACTCTTCATCCTGACAAACAAATTGACCAACAACCTTCTTCTTTCTAACACTAGTACTTTATCATCACCAATACAATTATTAATCATCACCAATATTAATTTATTTGATGGACAAATTTATTTTCGGAAGATAAGAGAGAAAAAACTTTCCGAGAGATAAGAACCTTCTTCAATGAAGTGTCTATTGTAATGTATGCAATGCAAATAGTACCATCATCACATTACTGTAGTAACTATAATTTTATTGTAAGTGAAATGAACCTCTCTATTGTTGTGGCCAGTCAAAATGTTGTTTGTTGGTCATAATTGGGAAGCCATTACGATCCATTCACAAAAGTAAATGCCTCACCAAAAACTGTGAAAATAGGAGAATAATAAGAGGAGTGCATTAATTCAACGAAAAAACCAATGTTGCTATGGCTTAATGGGTAAATATGATAATTGGAATGTTTACTGTTGATTATTGAGGGAAAGTATGACTAAAAATCAGTTATATTGGCTAAACACTTCGATATTTGTAAAATGGGCAATGAGTTTGGATTTGTAAGATACTTGTTTTGGAGAAGTATTAAAATGATTAGTCTCCAGATTTGGTCTTTGGATGAATTTTAGCGAATTTTCATAATCATCAAATAGTGGATTTGGAAGAATTTAAAACATTTATGGATTAAGCATTGAATTGGGAAATATGCTCGATTCAAATATTTTGTAAACTTTCTAATTTCAAAGTTTTCAAATCGATTCCAAAAGTATTTCTTTGTTGGGAATTTATCTGATTATATGAACATTTCTAAAATGTTCTAAATGACTAACTTTGAATTGATTCTAATGAGCACATGTTCTTAAATTTATACATGGAAAGAAATTAATATTGGAGGGGAGTTTCACATAGTTTCCAATTAGTATCATCATTTTAAGAACAATGTGCATACTATTTATTAGTTATTTATTCTAAATGATTAGTTTAAACCTGAAATAATGTACTGGAAATTTTCCAACTGTCTCTGATATTCCATTTTCAGTTTGTTTTCCTCTTCAACAAATAGTTGTTGTTCATTTTCATTCAAATTTTCCCAACAGTTGACAATTATCCTTGCTAGCTCTATTATTTTCAATGTTGGATTTTTTAGTTTTATCTCATTCACTTTTTGTTGAGAAAATAGCATGTATGTATTGAGAGGTCTTCTGATATTGGATTTCCGTTCCTTAATAATATTCAATATTGGAGATAATAGTCCACAGAGAACATCTCTAAATGTTGTCTCCTCCTCTGCACTGCATGGGGGAAGGAAAATAGACAGTTGACTTTTAAATTGCCTTTCGACATTTAACACAACAATACTGCCAAGACAAACATTTGCGTAAAAAGATGATAGAATATAGGGCAAACCCGAGTCATGGAATATTACAACTTTTCCTGATCTTGTTTTGATAGAGTTGGTCAACAATTTGGAAAATTGCAATTTCTTCAAAATAATATTCAATTTGTCGATTTGATTTTGATTTAAAGGTTTCAATAATTTTCCAATCTGTTCGTGGAGGGGAGTTGTATCTGAGACTGAATCTGAATTACAGAGTGGAGGATAATCACCTCTTTCCATTATTGAAACAAGTGTCAGAAACTTTCTATAAAAATTGTTTTTCCACATTAATTTAGTTTTGGTTCCAAGCTCATTTTCAAACAATTTCACACAATCCAATGCATCAACTGTTTGTTCATCATCATTGACTTCTTCCTCATATTCATCATCAATTTTGTGTTCCAAGCCAAGAATGTACCTCTCAATTGCTTCCTCTAAATTATGCTCAATTGGGGAGTCAAGATTATCAAATTCTTGACAATTTTCATCATTGAAAAAAGGAGTCGAAACACAAAAAGAAGTTTCAAAGTAATATTTTGCAAATTCTGCACTGCAAATAATCTGATTCCAATCCTTACAAACCATCAAACAACCACTGTGTGGATGAAAAACTTCCATTGGATTTAAATTCAGAAAAACATTGGCCACTATTAAATCTTGATCGAACCAATTGGCCATTGGTAATCTCTTGTCATCTCGATCATTGCCACTGTTGTAATTTCGTATACTTTCCTTGATAATTTGACGTTCCTTGCTAATGGAATTTTGATGGGCTGCAATTTCCTTCTCGCCAACTTGATGAGGTGGTTGATTGGCTAGTTGCTTGAGAGAATGTGGGTGTGTCTTTGTGATGAATGGATGACATTTTTTGCTACTGGACTATTTTCTTGTTTCAATTGTCATGTCCATCAGTTTTTTGAACAATTCAACAAATTAAATTAACTCTTTACTGTAGATCAAAATGGTGCAAATGATTTTTAATGATTTCATTGTAAAACTACAGTTTCCAATGTTACGACGTTCTTCGAATCTTACTTCGGTTTACTCAACAATTTTAGATAACACGCAATCGTGCACGTTTTCATATATGGGAAGATCTAGTCTTTGTGGATTTTCTATCAATAGAAGTCAATTCAGGTCTTCTATTGTCGATTACTTTCCAATTCTAAAGAGTTTTTTATCAAAATCAAAAGCCAATTCAAAATTGGACATTTGTGGCCATTTTCAATTCCACACTAATCAACACGTTTCAATACTTCATTGATTGTAATGAAACAAGTTGAATATCCAGCAGTAGACACGTGGACAAACCTTTCACAGAGTACGAGGAAGAGTAGAATCATTGCCTCATAGACAGTGTAAATTCAACAAGTTTAATTCGATACATACTGAATAATAAGGTTTCTGAATGTTTATAAGGTTTTTATCTAGAACTCTGAATAGAAAGAATTAGGAAACTCTTCACCCAATCAGAATCTTGACTTCCTAATAAAAACCATGAACTGTCCACTGTAAATTATGTAGATCGCAAAATTGGCGCATTTTCAGAGAGATTTTCAGTAAACTCGAACTATTTAAATTTATTAATATGGGAATGGGTAGAAATAATGAAATGGGATGAATCAGAGGAATGGTAGAATTACAGGTTGAGCAAATTAGAGAGGGAAATTCTTTGGGTTTTTCTAGCAATTTCCTTAATATGTTCATTGCTATGTTTTACAATAATATTTGGGATGTGATGAATGAGTTCGATAGAACCCTTCAATATCGATTCTTCTAATTGTAAGGAAAGTTGCTGATGTTGGTGTTGGTGTTGGTGTTGCTGAGATGATGAAATTGGGGAGGAGGAAAATTGAGTAGATGTCGAATAAGTTGGTTTGATGGATTGAATGTTGACATTTTTGATTCTTTCTTCAATGTCGTGGAGTTCTTGTTTGAGAGCTTCAAGTCTTCTGTATGGCCATCGTGAAATACCCATCTCTGCAGAATGATAATAGTTACTTTCTATATTTGTAAAAATTAAATCAACTTACCTTTTTTAATTCTTTTGAGTTTTGACTTGGAAACGTTCAATAATTGTGCTGCTTCTTCTTCTTTCACTGAAAAGTATTTGATTATTTCTTCTTTATCTAAAGTTCTGCAACATCTAGTCTTTCTCTTCTTTGAAATTCCTTTCGAATTGGAGCTATTCGAATTACTTGAAGATGAATCAAGAGAAAGTTCTTCACTTTTCTTCAAAGATCCATTCGGTAATCTTCTTTCACTTGTCCTCTTTGGAGAAGCTACACTCGAACTAATAGTCATTAACATGCCACTTGTCATTTTGTTATTTTTTTTTTGAAAGTGAAAACAACAATCTGATATCCGATTAAATACTTCTTGCTAGCAACAAACGTTTTGCATATTTTCATTTAGAAACCTCTGATTGTTTTTGTATTCTTTAATTTAAATTGACAATCAAATCCCAAGAACCGTTCATATTACCAATTCGCTCGGTGACTCGGTTTGGAAAGATGAATCTGGATTAGGAAGTTGGAAAGTGTTGAATTTTAAGGAATGAATGGTTACATGTTACTTGAAATTGGAAGATTAGAATAAATAAAGTGGATTCTTGACTAATTTGAATGGAAAGTGTTGGAATGATGGAAGGTGTTGAGTTTTTTAATCCATTAAAGTATGCTAAACCCATGTTTTGAACAGAATCCTTATATTGTTGTAATCCATGTTTCGTCTACTGTGTTTTTAAAAGTGAACAAGATGGTAGACGAAAGGTTTGATACTATTCGAAAGGTGTACAATTCAACAATAATTCAACATTAGAGTGCTTTCATTATGTTTTGTATTTCATGGATCATCTCTTTTTATGGTGTTCTGTTAACACATGAATATTTTTCAGATACTATTTTGTAACGAGTTATTAAAGAGCCTTTCGAATAGAAATCTGGGATGAATATCATTGATATTCCGGAAGAGACTCGTTTTATTCCTGAAGTGTTAATTTTGGATCCTTGTTTGATGACAAATTATTGAACTTGATACGACATTTTGGAATTTCGAATAGTTTCCAAAAGACTTTTCAGAGCAATTAATTAAAAAAAGTGAATCTTCTAAATGCTAATTTGAATTTTCTTTCTCATTTTGTGAATGGGCTTGGAATTGGATAATTCACTAATGTTGTATACATTCATGTGTTGTGAGATTCCGATAGAAAGTTGTCGATTGTATAAAGTATTGGAAATACAATGAACTCAAACAGTTTGTCGAATTCCAAAAGGGTGAAATAATTATTGAACGAACAGTTGAATTAGTTTTGGATTTTATCATTCCTAATTGTGAATGTTTTACAATCGTTGTAAAGTTTCATTTGCATTAATTGAACGGATTTTGAGGTGCTTGTAATCATTGTTGAATTTCTTGGTGACTACTTTATATCATTAGACAATATTTTCAGAGTAGATACTATACATGATATTGAAGATAGTGATATATTAAAAGGAGATGAGGGCAAAAAGTTGAAGGAGAAAAATACAAAATTTGCAGAAGGTGGGATTTGAACCCACGAAGCTTGCGCAGTAGAACTTGAGTCTACCCCCTTTGACCACTCGGGAACCCCTGCTTCACATATAAGTAAAATTTTGCTGTATAACAGCCTCATTATCATCAGCTTTTCAAACAGGCCGAGAATAAGAATTTAGTTCTCTCTTTTGGTAGATAAATTGAGTTTTTATTTAAAGAACTCTATAAATCTTGGTATATCTGAAATTGGCAAAAGTTCTGATTTTAACACCATTCTTTTCATTTTCAGCATTAACCACTTGTCCATTGCCAAGATACATGCCAACATGTCCCTAATTAATCAAAAATTTCAATTTTCATTCAATATAAATATATAAATATTAATATTAATAATAATTGAGCTAGAGTTCAGAACAATTGTTTTCACTCTTACTACTTACTTCTCTCCACAAAATATCACCAGCAGCAATTTCATTCTTACTAATTTCCTTAACAGCACTATTAGGATACAATCTGGTAGTGAGTGGAACATTAGGCTTACCAGATTGTTTATAAGCAAGATGAACCTAATATAGGCGCAAGAAACATTCAAATATATCAATCAATCAATAAAAAAATTAGATTATTCCACCAATCACCATTCAACCTCCACAACAACCTACCAAACTAGAACAATCATAACATGGATTTCCATATCTATTGGCTTGTGAATAACAACTTCCAGCCTTTGAAGCAGCCCATTGAGCAGCAGAATTTCTAAAAGCAGATCCAGCTCCAGGATTAACAACTTGTCTCAAATAGGTTGATGAGGCATAACCTTGTCCAAAAGTTCCAGAAACTGAGAACCAAGTATGACCACAGGCAGTGATGGATTTACCAGTATAGGTAACAACAACATCAGATCCGAGTGTGGTAACAATTTTCTTATCAGTGCAAGGACCTTCACGAACATTTAAAGTTGTGAGGGATGCGAATTTGGTGCCAGAAGAAAATTCAGAGTCTGACATTTCGATAATTTGATCAATTTCTGCATCGGTTGGGTTGAAAATAGAACCAGAAGCGTTAATGACACCGATGAAACACAAGAGTAAAATCAAGAAGATGACTTTTGACATTTTTTTTGGATGAATTTTAGTTATCATAATCATTGAGAGAGACATTCGAAAGATAATATTCAACTGACCTCATAGGTCTTTGTAAAAAGATATTGAAATATATTCAATACATTGATTCCAATATTGGAATAAGTATTGCAAATTGTTTCATTAATTTTGATATAATTAATTATTAGTTACTAAAAATTTGATACCACCAATGGGTCTCGAACCCACGATCCTTCATCGTTTGAATTCTCTTGGCGGGAATTTCTAATCTTTCCATTAAAATTCCATTTTCTTCAAAAACTCTTTGATCTCAAAACAAAATAAAATGGAACAACAAGAAGAAGAAGAATCAAACATTCTTGCCACAGTGGCAATCAATCTTCCGAAAGAGATTTGGCTCTATCAAATCTGCGAATATTTTGATGTTCTTGATATGATTTTTTCAGTGGGAAGAGTTTGTAAGGTTTTTCGATATGAATTGGCGAATGAATATTTGAAAAGAAGATTCGGAGAGGTGAAGAAAATGGATGATGATCAAGGGGAGGAAATTAAACAAGTCCATTTGATTGATAATTTTTCAATTAGACAAGTTCGATATATTATTAGAGATGAATTATTGAAATTTATTGTAAAGTATGAAAATTCATTGACAAGAGAGGGAATTTTAAAGAAGAATCAAGTATCAAGAAATTCCAATAATCAGGAAAATATAGTTGTTGATGATACTAAATCAATGAATGAGGGTTCCACAATTGAGAATCAACGTTTAATGGAATTATTTCAATCGAGATTGGAACTGTTCAACTTTTACTTTTCACATTTCTATAGGAAATTACCAAGTGTGAATGCAAGTGAATCAACTAACAAGCAAATTTCCATAGTTTCTTCCTTATTTCAACATAAGGATCAATTGGTTGACTCTTCATCAACTTTAAACAACAATACTGAAACGAAAAAGATTTTGATTATTGGAGATGGTGGAGGTAAGTTGTAATTTGTGAAATATTTCACAATCTAATAATTTCTAGTTGGAAAAACTACATTTTGCAGATCAATGAATGATGATTTTCAGTTTGATAAACGATATCTAGTAACTATGGGATGTGAAGTCAATTCGTACCAATTGAAAATTGGCAATTTGGAAACAAATCTCAATTTATGGGATACAGGTAAGTTTTCATTCGATTTGAAATGAGAAGATTTAACTCCAAACAGCTGGTCCTGAAAAATTTGGTGCACTCAGAGATGCCTATTATGTAAATGCTTCAGCGTGTATCATTAGCTTTGATCTTACGAGTAGAATCACTTATAAAAATACGCCAAATTGGTTCAGAGCTATCAAACGAGTGGAACCTGAATGTGAAGTGATTATTGTTGGAATGAAACTAGATCAAACCGACAATATAAAGGTACAACCCAAGCATATTATCTTTCCACGTAAAAAGTATTGTCCTTATATTGCATTGAGTTGTCTTCAACAGGTTAATAATCGTGCAGTAATGTGGTATGCAGCTTTGATTAGTCATTTTGTTTCGAATTTGAAAGGTGTTCCTGAAACTCCAACTTGCAATGAATGCAATAAGGAACAATTCGATTTTAACCTTTAGCCCAGATTCCAATAATTCCATTTCTTCGAAATAAAAAGAAATATTATACTAATCTATTAATCAGTGTGTTGTTTATTATTGCAAGTTGTTATGAATTAGAGTTGTGTTTTTGTCCATATTTTCTGCTTGTATATAATCCAACTAGAAACATGATCATGAAAACATCAAAACTTGTGGTGGAATCAATTACCATCTTTTCATTCTCCTTGTTAACTGAATTGAGATTAGTTTGTTCTGGTTGAGGAGTATCCTCTTGATTCAATGTTTCGTTTTCTTTCTCTTCTTTTTCCACAACAGGACTCAAAGCTATCGTAGTGATTTTGCTTGTGCGCATTCTATGTTTCTCCTTCTTGATTTTGCCAGTTGTTTGCTTTGGTGACATTCTTTTTAATGATTTCTGATATTTCGAATCATTGTGTGTACTAAAAAAAGGTTCAACCTCGTACTTTCGCAACTTCGGCTCAACATTCTTCCCACACTGAAAGTCATGTTTTCTTCCAAACATATCACATTGCTTATATTGGTGCTTGGTATTCGAGTAATCCAATTCTCTTTTACTGTTATCTTCGTGGATATTTGGCATAATGACTGAAATCACTGAAATTGTCTCACTTTCTTCATGGTCATGCTCAACATCAGTTGAAGCTGTCGTTGCAGTATGTTGATTGTTCACGTTCATGATTGAGTTGAAGGTTTTTTTTCTATTCAAAATCATGAATGATTCAAGAATCACTGGCTGTTGCATCTTTATTTTACTGTTTTATTCTTTTAAATGATGATGAATTGAGTTGAGATATTAAAAAGGTGCAGTGCAAAGGTATAATCTCTTTCTTTCAGTGGAAAAATTCAAAAGCCTCAATCAAGAATAGTTCTAAAGCACATTGGAAAGAGACAAATCTCTTATGAGTATTAGGAAAAAGTTATCAAACATCACCACATGAGTATGGAAGAGATTATCAGAAAGGTTTTAAGAATCTTAGTTCAACAACTCTTTTATTGTCAAGACACTTGTTCGGTGTGGCTTTTTGCTTCTGTTCTGTTCTTGTAAAGATGATAAAGATGATGACTGATGAGATACAGCATCATTGTTACTAGCATGATTTGAATACTCATCATTGGCAATAGGTATTGGAGAGGATTTAACTGATCGTGTTGTTTGTGGACTTGAGCAATGACTATTATTACTGCTTACACTACACGATATCAGATCCGAGGACAAATTGAAATTGGGTGAATGTACAGGTTCCTTCTTTTCAACGACTTTACATACAAGATCCATCAAAAAGAGAAGAGTAGAATCTTCCAAAGGTTGATATCCTGTTGGTTCAGATTTAAGTGTCGAGGAGGAATTATCAATCTTTCTCTTTTGAGTATTGGTCATTGGCACAATATCTGATTGGTATTGTCGGTTATCATCTGTGCTATTGGCATCATCTTGATTATCATCCCTTGTTCGTTTGTTATTTGGGTTGTGGTGGTGAAATCCCTTTTCTACAATATGGTGAACCATATTACCAAAAGAGGGGATTTGCTGGGCAGCATAACAATTGGTTATTGAGTGGTGATGATTATTTGTAGTGGTTGGTATCGATGAGTTTCTATTAGGGTTGTTATTATAATATGTATTCTTAGGAGGAGGTATAATAGCTGGTGGTGAAGGACAATTACAAGAATTGTTTTCTATTGTAGGCCAAGTTGAATTTTGATCTAATTGTTGAAAAACAGGCAGTGATGAAGGCATTCTCTCATAACATAAAAACACTTGTTGTTGTGGTGGTAGGTAATGATGTTTCTTATCAAGAAGGGATTGTTTGAAGGCATTATTTGTTTGGTGATCAGTGTTTTGGTGCACAGAGTTGGAGGAGAGGAGGGATTCTCCTCTTTTACCAAGAATCAATGATGGTTGCGAACGAGGTGAGGTTGGCACAATCATAAAGAGAATGTTATGTTGTTTTTTTGTTGTGATGTAAATGGAAAAGCAATTAGCTAGAAAAAAGTAGCTTGGTACTTCAAGTGCAATAACAAAGACTTTTTTGGAAGGAGACAGAAATCTGAAAAAAGGAGATGATATTGTATCGTGTCTTGGAATGGTCACGGCACCCACAAAATATTTATTCTCTCTTGCTAGTAATTATGTATTACGATATTAAAATATTGAGCTAATTGAGACTACACTGGTGCGGTTTAATGGGTTTAATTGATATTAATATGGTACGAGCTTATTTATCTTCTGTATTGGGGTTGATTAGGATTCTGATACGAAGGTTGTTGTTGTTGTTGGTATTGAGCGTTTGGATTGTAGTAAGGTTGTTGTTGTTGTTGTTGTTGTACGTATTGGAATTGAGGTTGAGTAAAGCTACCACTTCCTTGCATATATGGTTGTGCTTGTTGGTATTGAGGTTGTTGTTGGTAGGCAACTTGTGGTTGATATTGTTGTGGTGGTTGTTGATAAGCGTTTGGTTGGTATTGATATTGAGGTTGGTATTGCGATGAGCTGGTTGTATTGGTGGTTGTTGGTTGAGAAGTTATAGTGGATGATGAATATACAGGAGTGTTTGAACCATGGACTGGTTTTGGTTGTTGTGAAGAGGAATAATTATATTGTGGATCAATTGTAACACCACTAATTTGTTGTTGAATATTGACCATAATATCTTGTTTTTCTGTTCTTCTGGCAAAAACAAAGTCATCAATACGATTAGCAAGTTTCTTGGTAATTTCTTGCATTGTTGTATAAAAATTGATACCTTCTTGCAAATTGGCACTAATTTCATTATACTTGTTGATAGCATTGTAAATGAATTGTAAAATTTGTTCTCTTTGACTTTGAATAGAATTTTGAGACTTGTGTTGTTCAAAAGTTCTGTTTGCTTCTTGAATGGATTGGAGATAGGTATTTTCTTTTTGTGGGAAATCAACCAAAAGTTCCTTAAACTTGGCTTCTTGTTCTTGTAATAATTGTTGTACAGAAGATTCCAAATTACTTTGAGAAGCTAAAAGTTTGAGTTCAATCTCCTTATCTTGTAATTTGAATGAATTGGAAATGTTGGACTCAATGGCAAGTTCTTGTTCAAGAATATCGTCAAGTTGTGCCAAATATAACTTGAGGTCAGAATATGACTTGCCAAATTGTGAGCTTGGTTCCATGATTTGAGAGAGACTTTGTGGCATCTTGTCATTCAAAGTCTTACTATCGAGAGAGAACCATTTGAATCCTTCAGAGTTTTCAGAAATCTTCTTATCAATCAAACTATCAGAGTTGATGGCAATCTTCAGCTTTTGTTGATAGTCAGTTATTTGCTTTCTCAAATTGCTAGTAAGCTTGGCGCTTTCCAATCTTGGCCATCTGTTAGCTCCGTATTGCATACGACATTCATCATCTTCCTTTTGTTCTTCATCGAGCTTTTTAGTGATGGAATCGAGTTGATTCTTGGTTTCACCAGACATTTCATCCAATGTTTGCTTCAATTCAAATAATCTATTGATACCTCCTTCCAAGTTGATCTTGGAGATCTTGTGGTGAACCTCATCTGGGAATCCTGACTTTTGGTCAACCATCAAAATTGATCCAGGGAGTCCCATCTTTGAAAGTTCATTTCTAATATATTCACGATGTTGACGAGCTTGAACAAAAACTTCATTCATTCTCTTCTTGATATTTTCTTCATACTTTTGCTTGGCTTCCATAACTGGAATAGGGAAGAGGTTAAAGAATGGATCAGCAATCTTTTCCTTCAATAAATCGGAAATTTCATTAACTTCTTGAATCTTTGACATTGTCTTGGCTTCAACAAGTTCCAAATCCTTCAATTCAGGAACACGATCGTGATAAATCTTTGAATTTTCATGTTGAGCAGTCTTTAACAAATTGTTGAGTACTTGATCCAATTCATCCATAACAAGCTTTAAATTACCAGTCACTCTTTGCTCGGAACAATCAACAAGACAATTTTGAGCATGGATAATTCTTGTAATTTCCTTGCCAATGCACATTTCCTCATGAAGATCTAAAGCAATAAGATAGGATGCCAAAGCTTCAAAGTAGTGTTGACAAAATCTGAGATAGGACTTCCATGTCTTGTCAAAGAGATTCTTTGTAGTGTTGGAGGCATCAATAACTTCAGCAGCAAGCTTGTAACTATGACTAGCACCCATATATAACTTTGATAAAATTGCTCCTTTCATATTCTTCTTGTGAGCTTTTTCGCAAATACATTGTTGAGCATTGGCTAAGCAAATTAAAACTAATGCTTCCAAAGCTTCGTTTGTTAAATCTTGATTAAGTTTTTCTACAATATTTGGACACACCTTCTTTTGAATATAGGTAAACATTCCGGCAGCACTTTGGAAGTGTTTGGCTGCTTCCAAACAACCCTCTTCGGAATTTCTATTTTGTGATGTACCAAGTTGATGAGATAAAACAGCACTATTAAATAAAACGTTTGCAATTTCAAAATTTGAATTTCCTTGTGTTGTTCTAGCACGACTAAGACTGTCATACCAAGAGAATTGTACTTGTATACGTTGAACACCTGTATCAATTGGGAAATGGCTAGCAACTTGCATCATATCAACAGCATATCTAATCACGAAATAATAATAATATTAATAAATATTGTCATCGGAACAATAACCTTACCTAATACATAAATCCCTTGATCCTTCACTCTTCTCTTGTAAATTTCTCATTTCATTTCTACGTTGTTGAAGGGCAGAGATTGGAGTTTCATAATCTTTCAAAATATGTTCTCCATATTGTATCGAAATAAATTTTGTTAATGGTCTGACAAGATCCAATTGGTCAGTCTTTTTAGTCAAAATACTCTTAATTTCCAAAGGCTTGAAGTAAGACATTTTATGTACAGTTTGTTTCAGAGAGTAAAGAACACGTGTTGTTGTTTTTTGATGATGTATTTGCTATCACGGAGAAGATTTACTCTAGGAATTTTTTTAATAATATTGTTGATCAGGTTCTAATTCAAGTTCTAATTATACGTTATGTGTCAAGAGTAGACAATCTAATTGTTCATCTTTGAATTCCTTATTTACGGACAGAACCAAGGAGTTGAATTAGAAGCCATGAGTACCTATTTCACACAAATACTGTTCAAGTTGATTTTGTGTTATCATTTGAAAAGTCAACTAAGGGCCGTTACTGAGTAAGATATGTTTCATTCGATGTAGAAATGTTCTTGGAAAAAGTACTATCAATGGCTTGCAAATGTCCATTACGGGAAACATTCGTATAGTGTTGAAGAAAAATATTGTGACTTGATAATTGAGCACTTTCAAATTCTCGGCTTGTTTTTCAACTTCTGCATAATATTTAGTTGTGCTTATTTACTAAGATAAAGAATCCTTTATATAAAACACACAGGAAGGAGAACATCATAGTAAAGCATGAATTGAAGAAAGCAAGTGATATCTCTTCAGATGAAAGTACTATTCCCAAACTTACCAATGAGCAAATAACGATTATATTACATATTATAAACAATACTCAAAATATTCTTTATCCCAGTATTAATGTTCAAAGTTGAACCAGTTATTGATATAGTCTGTATTATCATTTAAGTCAACCAAGGACGGTTGTACTACTGTAGAGGAAGATGTCGACGTTGTTGGTTGGGGAGGTAGTTGGAGTGTTGTTGTGTTATTGTTGATTGGTGAAGAGGTGGTTTGAACTCGGGTCATTGTTGAAGATTGAGCAGTTTGATTATTGGCTTGTGAAATTATTGACCTATAGTATTCAATGCCTACACGGCCGTGCTGTTGGTGTTGTGTTTGAAGTGCAGTATTTGGATTGTTAGGTATCATTGATAGATTATGGAGGGGTGTATTTTGGAAGGTTGTAGTAGTGGTAGAGGTCATTGTTCTTGTGCCGTCCCTTTGCGTACTTTGTGTGTAATATGCTTGATAGGTAGAAGTATTTGTAGTTGTTGGAATATTGTTGACATTTTGAGGAGGAAATGGATTTGTATGGAAAGGATTATTGTATGGATTGTTTTGTTGTTGCTGTTGCTGCTGCTGTTGTGAAACAATCTTGTTGCATTGCGTCTTGATGATGGTCAACAGATTGATACAATTCGAAACCAGTTGTTGCTTGTCATTACCCCAATAGTTACTTTTTAAGGCTGAAAGGTATCTTAAATATTGTACACCTAATGCCTTAATAGTGTTCAAATTCATTGTTTGTACCATTTGTTGGAATGAAGCAGGATTCTGTCTAACGTCACGGAACAAATTTGTAGATTGTTCTGTTGTTGGATAACTAGCATTCTGATTCATTGGTGGTTGATAATTGAATGGTACTGGACGACCATGTGTTGGCTGATTTGTTCTACGATCACCCAAATCGAAATCGGTCGAAAATGGTTGTGGTGTTGGATTATGTATTTGATTTTGTGATTGGGTGGTACTATGGTGATTAAATGAGGATGACACACTTGATAGACGTGCTGTTTGGGCTGGTTGTTGATTATTAGCTCTGATTGTAGAGGAGCTTGCCACTGGTTGGGGAGGTTTTTGAGTTGGAGGCATTTGAGTATGTGCTAAATGATCCATTAATTTTGTTGTTGTTGGTTGTGGTATGCCCATTTGTTGCTGACCAAGTGTTGGAACATTTTTTGGAGGATTTGGTGTTGTGGATTTTAGGTAAGTTGGCTGTTGTTGTTGAGCTACAAGTTTTTGGTAACTATTGGTTGATTGTGGTTGTAGAATAGGCTTCGGAACAGTTTGTAGTGCTTGAGATAGACGACTAAGTATTTCAGGTGAAAGAGTTGTTAGTGAGACCAATGGTTGACTTGGTGGTTGTTCCCTATAATTTGGATGACCAAACATTATTGAAGGTTGATTACTTGTTGGTGGCAGTAAGGGGTAACCATGTGTTTGGTTTGTTGGTGTGTTCGAAGAGCTTGCTTGTTGTGGAACTGGTTGAGTTTGTGTTGGTTTCTTGTTTGTTCTCCTTTGTCTATTTGTTTGGTTCGTGGCTGGGCTTTGAGCATTTACTATTTGAGCTGGTTGTTGATTATTAGCACTTAGTGCTGAACAAGGATTTGTAGAGGAGCTTCCACTGGATGAAACAATTGAAGAGGAGTGTTCTGCATATGGCTGGGCCAAAAACCTGTTGTTGGTTGCTGTTTCATTGTGTCCTGTCTTGTTGTTGGTGGAGGTAAATGATTTGAAACTTGACTTTTTTCAAACTTGAGTTCTTTCTTATGAGTTGTTGGTTTTTTGTGTGGTCTTTCTGATTCATTTTCAGAAGACTTCTCTCGAATACCTCTATTACTACGGGTTGTTTTCTGTTTCTTTTTGGGAGGTGCAGTCTTGATATTAATGTTATGTAAACTTTCAGATTCTCTCACCAATTCATTCTGGTCACACTCAAATTCGTCATCAGTATTATCTCCATCATCACTATCTGATCCATCAAACTCAGCATCAGAATCTAAATGATCATTAACATTGGATGAAGATCTTTTTTCCTGCTTCTTAATGTTATCTGAACTAGAAGCCCACACTTTCTTATTTCTAAGAGTTTTTGTTTCTAGTTGATCTATCCATTTCTGAACTTGGTCTAGGTGATCTTTTTGTAGACTGTGATAGTGGTGATTGTATCTTTGAGAGTTAAGTTTGAGTAAAAAAGTATGTAATTGATTTTTTGTTGGCAAGCCTCTTTTGTCTTCTTCAACAACTCGAGAGAGCTTCTCTGTCTCTTCAGAAACCTTTTGTCTTCTATTGATAGATTCGGTCGCAACATGGACCAATTTTTTGAAATAGCTCTCAAATTCATGAGCTTCAAATGGTTTAACATTTTCTAATCTGGATTCCAGTGTATAAATGTCACAGTAATCAGGAAATGTCTTATCCCAAAAGTTTGGATCATCTAATGCAACATCACTAACCTCCTCTACGGGAACAAAGTATACACTCTTAATAACCTCGTTCGATGTTTGTTTTTCTATTGATTTATCATTACCAGTAACTCGATTAATAACATCTACTAAGGAACCATCCTCTTCTCCTTCAACTCCAATTTTACTGGATCTTTCCAGAATCTTATCAATATCTGTGTTCATCAATTCATTGTCCTTATTGATATTTTGTTCCTTATTCAAAAACAGTGAGTAGACTCCATATTTTATCATTCTCTGCATTTCTTCTGCAGTAATATCTTCATCTGATTTATCTGATTCTGCCAAAACTAATTTTTCTCTTCCTAACTTTTTACTAGCCCTAGAAATAATATATTTTTCATAGGAATCCTTTGTTACCAATCTGTAAACAAATACTTTCTTTGTTTGACCTATTCTATGAGCTCTTGCTGCTGCTTGTGAATCGTTGAAAGGATTAAAATCAGAGTCATAAATAATCACATGATTTGCAGCTGTTAAATTAATACCTTGACTTATTTTGGTAGAGAGTAGAAAAACTCTACATTCAGAATCTGTTTGAAATTTGTCAATGTAACGTTGTCGTTCCTCTGAAGGGCAAGATCCATCTATTCTAACATATGATATTTGTTCTGATTGTAAATAACTTTCCAAAACATCCAACATTTCCAAAAATTGAGAGAGTATCAATGTCTTTTCATTGGCATCCCTAAATTTCTTAAGAAGTTTGTGAACCACAACCATTTTAGAAGAGCTATAAATGAGAATACCCTTATCATCACGTTTTTGTTCATCTCTCAGATATTCTTCCATTCCAGATATGAGACAAGGGTGATTGCAACAATATCTCAGACTATTTACAATGTATGTTAAATCTTGTTTAGAGGCAAACTGTTTTCTAAAAAAGTTCACTTTTCTCTCAACAATAGCTCTATATACAGACTTTTGAATTGAACTCAATTCAATTTCAATAAGGATTTCTTCTTTTGGTGGCATTTCTGCATGCAAAACTTGTGCTTTCGTCTTTCTTATCAAGTAAGGTGCAATTGCTGTTTTAAGGTTTGTAATAGCAGTTTCGGTCTCCAACTCTCCATATTTTTCCTCAAATAACTTATAGCTAGGAAACGCTCGGGGATCCAGTAAATTCAACAAGCTCCATAGCTCTTCTGGAGAATTCTGCATTGGAGTACCAGTTAAAAGAAAAAAATATTCCTTCTTCAATTTCTCAGCGTTTTTTCTTGCTTGAGTTTTTTGAGATTTGAGTTTGTGAGCTTCATCGAAAATAACACAAGCCCATTTTTTTCTGGTCACAGTAGTTTCTTTCAAAAATTCGTATGTCGTCAATACAAGTAAAGGGGTCTGTTCAGATACTGATTCAGAATATAATTTAGATGTGTCTTCAAGAGCTTTAGCTTTGGTGCCATTTACAGCAGTTCCCCAAGCTGTATGACATTTAAATTGAGGCAACCATTTCTTTGCCTCTCTTTCCCAGTTAGGCAAAGTAATTAAAGGTACAACTATCAAAAATGGTCCAAATACTCCTAATTTCTTGTACATTATGTTTAGTGTTGAAAGTGATATAATTGTTTTTCCTAAACCCATTTCATGGGCAAGACAGGATGGCCTATTTTCACAGTAATTATTGAATAAAAAGTTGATGGCTTCCAATTGGTAATCCTTTAAGGTAAGTTCCTGATACAATTCCTCACTAGTCTGAATAGGAGTGAATTTGAATGAGTCTCTATCATAGGTTGGATAGGTTACTCTTTCATCAAGAGTGCGTTTCCTACTAGTCCTAGATATTGTTTCTTCATCACTTTCACTTGTTCCTTCTTCTTCGCTTTCCTCTTCATCTGATCCACTAGTACTGCTATAATCCATTGCTTCCATAATTGGTCGACCATCAACTTCTGTTTCATTAAATGCAAATTCCTCTTCTTCGTCACTACTACTGCCTACTTCAATAATTATCTTTGTACCTTCCTCAGATGATTCATCTGATGATTCATCCTCAGTCATTCTTTTTCCTAAAAATGTTGGTGTAAAAAGAGTGTCCTCTCCTGAAAACCGTAAAATATCATTTCTCAAAGATATACTAAACGATGTACTGAAAACCTTCTTTGGTTTGTTCGAAAAATACTTGAATTCATAAGTATTAATTTCTTCCTGTTGAAGTTTCATTAGACTGGACCTGATCAAACTTTGTCCTTGGTCGTAAAACGGATTTCTTTGTTCAATTTCTTTTGGTTTATCATTCCGATTCTTGTTTCTTTCTCTAACCTCTTGAGTATTCAATGTTACTATGTGGGAGCTCATCTCGAAATAATTATCCACTAATTATTTAAGTGTGAGTTCTTCAAAGAGTGTTGACTTGTTCGGAATAAAAATGTTTATCAAAGTAAAACTCTGAAAGTGTGATGATGGTTTTTAGTGGAAGTTGTGTTGAGTATTTTTTTAAATTCTTGTGTTAGCAAGAAATGCTTTGGCGCCAAATTTAAAAGCAAAATTTTATGTTTTAAATGAAACAGATTCACAACTCATGAAAAATAATATTTACAAATATGTTTATAATAATTTAGTGAGTATGTCCTTGATCTGTTTGTAAATTATTCCTAGATAAATTATAGGGAAATCCAAATTCAAAAGAGGGAAAAGATTCGAGTGTGGGAGTTTCGTCAGGATGAGCATTTCTCATATTTCTTACTCTCTTTCCAAATAGTGGACGATTGAGAGGTTTTGTTTTAGGAGGAGCCATACTCAGGAATGGATTCTCTTCTGATTCTGGTTTTTCATTCTCAAATGAGTTGTAAAGTGAAAGATAGTAGTGATAGTAGTAATATTGGTAGTAGGGGTGCATTAATTTCATCTTATTTTCCACAGGATCGTGCAGAATTAAATCAGAAACGTCAGCAATGTGTCTTGTATTCTTAGAAGTTTCATTGTCTGTTATTGTATTAGATAGAGAATCAATTTCATCAAAATAATTCAATAGTTTTTGTAAATGTACAGGGAGAGGTTTTCCAGTTACTTTTGGAGAAAGTTGTTCACATGTAAATCTCACACAAAATTCCATGCCCTTCTCTATTGAAGGTACTCCAAAAGAGGAGATTTTTCCACTCAGATCTTGTTGCATATGTAATTTAGTTTCTTGAGACCATTCAAATAGTGTTGGATACTGATATTTATCCAATTCCAATACATCCCCTCTGAATGGAAATAAAAACTTGTCACACTCTTCCGTGGAATGGGTATGAAATTGAACAGTAGGTGAAGGAGCAACATCCAGTAAATGTGATGCATAATCGGTAATTTCAGTCTTGGACTTTTTCATATACTTTTCAGCCCTCGTCAGGGATTCATTCATCCTCGTTATACATTCTGTTTTTTCATCCGACACTACATCTATTTTCCTCTTTTTCTTAGATCTTGCATGCAGCTCAGTATATTTTGGTAATTCGTCCGCAAATTTCTTTACACAACCAATTAAATCCGATATTGACATGTCGTGGTTTTTAGCAACTGTTTGTGTGAATAAATGCAGATAATTTGCAGATTGTTTCTCCTCGGTAGCTTTTTGAATTTTGAAACATTGTAAATGAAGTGACTTGAAATCATCCAAAAACTCTTCTATATCGTTATTGTTTTTTGCATGTCCATCCATCGATAAGAACTTGATAAGTGCCTTATCAAGGTTATCTTTGATATTAGAAATGTATTCATTATGTATGGAATATGTCAATAAAATTGTTATTTCCTTTGCATAGTCTTTGATTAAATTAGAGTTGAAATAAAGACTTCCGAAATCATCATAATAAGAAAGCATATTCTTCAACTCACTCAAAGGTTTCATTGGTATTTCCTTGAATTTTGCATTTTGTGGTTTAAATGTTGTTGTTGTCGTCGAAGTAAAACTAGTTTTCTGTGGTGGCAATGAAATTGTTTTTTCTTTCACTGATAATAACACCTGTGATGAAGTGGATGGTGTTGATTTTGAATAATTCTTCTTATTGATGGGGATGTTGGTTGAAGGAGGTGGAGTAGGTGAAGATGAACCAATACCCATGATTGTTATTTCAGGTTTCCGGCTATTAAAATTATTATGAGTACTAATACAAATAGGTAAGGTATTTCTAATTAATGATGTTGATGTTGATGATTCACGATGTGGTGGTGGCGGCATTGAATGACTTGCACAAACAACTTATATTCCGTAAAGTACAAAATATTTGGTAGAGAGACTCGACTCGGCTGTGTTTTTAAAGTTTTAAATATGAAAATTGTTCTCTTCTCTACAACCCGTGGTGCATTACCATTTTTTTTATTTCAACTTTTTTCTGGTTTTAACGGCTCATTTTTTAGCGCTGTAGATGTTCATCATCACAGAAAATTGAATATTCGTGATGATGATTTTAAATTTATTTGATGAGCTGTGATGATGATTTTAGTTGGTAGTATTGAAGGGTATAATATTTGTAGAATACTGAAAAAAAAATGGGAAATGCAAAAGGCAAAATTAATGATAGAAATGTTGTTTCCGAAAAAAAGAAAGTAGACGAAATTTCTAACTTACATGAAACTAAAGAAGATGCAGAAGAGAATGCAATAAATGTCAGCGAATCGCCATCATCACCAACATCACCACGTACAGATTATCAATTATATGAACATCAAGTTTTTGCTGATGATATCCTTTTAGAGATTTTTAGTTATATCATCACGGACGAAAGTTTCATTGAATTATTCAAAAGTTTCGTACTGGTGGGTCGTCAGTGGTTGAGAATAGGTAGTTCCCTACCAATCAAATTATCTGGCAGTAAGAATATTGAAAATATATTGAAATGCAAATATTTGAATGGAGTTTATCATTTGGAAATTTGGGATCGAAATGAAAATTTACCTTCCATTCTAGGATCTTGTAAAACTTTGAGAAATTTGAGGATTTTGGATATTCCTTTCAATATATTGGATTCAGTGAATATTATTCCATTTACTAGAAATAAGAATTTCCCAAAATTGGAATTTTTGAAATTGAATGAGAATAATTTGGGAGATAAGGGTGTTATTTCACTTGTAAATAGTGCAGTAATTTGTAAAAATTTATCAGAGTTGAATTTAACAGCTACTAAATTTCAATTATTGGGAATTCAAGCATTGGCAAAAAGTCCTCATTTGAAAAAGTTAAAGAAATTGACAATTTCATTGAATAGGTTAACAAATGAAATGGTTTCTTTCTTTGCAAATTCGCAAACTTTGACCAATTTAACATATTTGGATTTTACAAGTGTAATGCAAAATTACAATGAAGGAAATTGTGTAAAGAATTCGTTGGAAATTCTTTGTAAAAATCCAACCTTTTCAAATTTAATGGTTCTTAAGTTGAGGGATAATTATATCAGTTGCTCTGATGTTGGAGATATGTTCAGTGGTTGTAAAAAGCTTACAGAGCTAGATCTTTCAAAAAATCCTATCAAATCTCAAACAATCATGAAATTATGCGAAAGTGAACTATTCAAGAATACCCTCAAAATTTTGAATCTTTCAGAAATTTATTTCGATTCACAAATGGCAAAAACATTGGGAGGAGCAAATTCATTTTCACTTTCATATTTGAAACTTACGTTTTGTAAACTTGATTGTGAAGTATTTTCAAATTTAGCAAAAGGTAGTATTCTTTCTAATCTGGAGAGATTGGACCTATCTAACAATCCTCTCGGAAGCCAGTCCATCAGTCTCTTATCCAAAGCCAATGCTCCCTTATTACAGAGTTTATCTTTCAACTCATGCAATGCACTTGAACAAACAGATATTGAAACTCTTTTTGAAAGCAGAACACTCACAAAACTGAACAAAATTTCACTCAGTAACGACAATGTAAATTTCAAAAGAACCCAATTTCTCAACATGTTAACACATCATCCACCTTGGAGATTTACTGCCCACGCATCTTGTGTATTCATCAAATAAGAATTTTCAAGTATATTTATTCACATTGTGAAAAGAGTTGGAGTATTGTTGTCGAATATTTCAAGAGTTACCATAAGGCATCAGTTTCTGGAGCAGTTTCATCAACTCTCTTTGTTCCTTCCAATTTGATAAATCTGAAAGTGAGTGAAATTCTTCTGTAACCCTCCTCACGAATGTACAATTTACTTCCATCATTATCCTCATCATCCTCATCTCGTGGAACTGTAAAATCCTTTTCATTTTCATTCAATTCAGGAACGATATATTGTGAAGGAACATGAATTTGTTTCATATGTGTAATTCCATGTCTCCACTCAAATCTCGACTCTCCTGTCAAAACATAACAACTATTAGGTGGTAAAAGAATTCTAGTTTCCAATTTATCCTTTCTAAATGTCATATAAACAGGTTTTAACAGTGAAATTCCAACAATGACATCTCCAAAAGCATTCACATTATCCACATGAGAAGCAATTCCCTGACTTGACATGTATTCATTCACTAAACATTGAGGTTCACTCTTATTTTCCTTATTCACCCACCACTTGTGTGCAACATCAATATTAAACAATCCATCTCTCTTGACCATCTTTTCCCAAAATAATTCTGTCCAAAACTTGTCAAATTCCAAACTTTTCAGAGGTGAAACCTCTTGTTCTGTTGGTTGTAAATTGGGAATATTTTGTCTTGTATGATAGTACAAGTAGCCATAATGTTGTTGACGACGACAAATTTCATGACACCACTCCTGTGAATCGAGAGTATTGATAATTTGACGTGCCTCTTCATTGGTAATGTAATTGGCAAATACATATAAACCCGGAATGGTTTTAATGTGAGGATTTGTTGAGAAGTAACTATTTGTCAGGTGTGCAGGAAGTTGGAATGTCTCGTCGGATGATGATGACGAAGATGCTTGTTGCGACATTTTTTTTTAACTTGTTATTGAGAATCTTTTCGGGTGATATTTGAAATTGCACCAAATCATCTAAGATAGTATTGAAATAAACATGTTAGAAACAGTTTGTTATTGAAATGGGGTTGTTTTGAAGTAATATTATGGAGATATTAATTGTATAATCTTATGGAATAGGTTGTGAGAGGATTGGAGAAGGGACAAAGATCAACTTCTACCAATTCCTTTCGTTCATCCAATTGTTTACCCATAAATGGTTTGACTGGTTTACCTTCTTTTTCAATTCGTTCAACTTCTTTTTGAACTTCTGAAGCTCTTTCGAAAAGCTTATTCTCTTTGGACTTGTCTTCTTCTGTCAATTTGTTAGCCCTTCTTAATTGACTAATTTTGAACAGATTTCTTTCAATAGAGACAAGTTCTCTTCGTTTTCTTTCTTTCATTTCTTCCCAGGCCAAATGTCTCAGCCAGAAAGCTCTATCAAAACCTTTGAGTATTCCCCACACTTCAGGATAGTTTGTTTTCATCATTGGATCTATCCTCAGACATCTCAATACAAATTGATCCAATTGTTCATGAGTTGCAAATTTGATAGAATAGGTTCCCTGTCCTGCTGTTGACCCAGATTGGCTGAGAAGTTTAAACTTTTGTACGAAGGAATTTTCTTGGTCAGCGTCTTCCTTTTTAAAGAAGAGTTTTAGATCTGTAGATCCTTTCTTTTTCAATTGTTCAAAGAAGTATCTAATGTACGGATTTTCAATCTGCCATTTGATACCTAACCGAGAAAGGACAGCCTCTACAAAATCTTGGCAATTACCATAGACACATCTGTTTCCTCCCATTGGTTTGTACTTTTTGGTAGTGTTCCACTCAACAATTACATCAGCAATTTTGTCAACAACTTGGTTCAAATCTTCCAATGTTGTGATTGGTTCCAAATCTGCACAAAATAGGGCAGCTTTAGATAAAGTTCTTCTTGGTACACACAGAGCACTATCATTCCATTCCAAAATCCAATTACCTATCAGTAGAGAACTATGAAACATTCCAAAACTTGAGAGATTTTTGGTTGAACCAAACTTGGAAAGAATGGGTGAGAGTAATTTTCTGGCAGAACTTTTGAATTTCTGGTCTCTCTCCTGATCTACAATGATCAATTTAATGTCAACCTTTCCTTTGAGAAGTTGTTTTTCTTGCTCTTGAATGAACTCTTTCATTTCCTTGCTGTCCATTTCTGCTTCCTCTTCTTCATCATCCTCTTCTTCGTCTGAGACTGTTTCTTCAGTAACTGCCTCGTCTTCGTCCTCTTCTTCTTCGTGGTCTGAAGAATTACTTGAATTGTTTGTGTTGGTATCTTCAATTTGATTGTTAGTATTTTGATTATTGAGAGAATCCTCTGACTGACTTTCTTTCATATTTGGAGATTCAGCGGCTGTACTCAATTGATTTTCATGTTGTTGAGGAGGTGTTGGATTGACATTGAAAAGTCTTGGTGAATCTACAGCAACTACACTCGAATGAGTTGGAGAAGGAGATGTTGTTACTGAATTTGAAGGAATCATTTCATTAGAAGGTGAGAAGGAGGTTGGTGTCTTTTTATCCTTGTCTGATAAATCCCGTTGTTTTGGAATAGATCTCTTTTGTGTTGGGACCACTTCTACCCAATCCTTATTAAGATAGGTTTCCAATATGTGTTTCTTATTTGCAAGCATGGTGGCAAATCTCACTTCATCCTTTGGATTTGGAAATTGCCCTGCATAGCGAGAACCTGAAATTTTGTCCAAAACTGCTTTCACAGGCTATTTTCACATAATGTGTTAACACAAATCAAGTTAACAACTTACATCAGCACAAACAGGTTTAAATGTCAAAAAGTCATTGTCAGCAGAATCCATTTCTTCAAACTCTTCCCAAGATAATCCAAAATTGTGCGCAATAAATCTCAGGCTACAAGTTGCTCCAGAGCCAGACTCGTGAAGTGGCACTGTCTTGCTCAACATGACACCATAAGGTAACTTTGAGAGAGGACCAATTCTTGCAGATCCAATAAAACTGTCCTTCTTTAAACGATCATAACTGTACACTTGAATCAATAAATATTGATTTTTAAAACCAATATTATCTGAGCTCTTTGAAGGAGATATATTATCATTGGATTTGCTCTTTTTGTCCTTAAATGAAATTCCAGTCTTTTTAGATCCAATAGTAAACGATTGACTTGAAGAGGTTTGAATGGATGCTCCTGACATGGTCATTGCCCCTAAACTTGAAGAAGTTGTGGAAAATACTTGAGGAGGAACAGCCATTAGAAATCTTTCTTTACCGTTCCATGTTGGATTATTGTTTTTTTTGATTTTGGAAGATTTGCAAAACTCTTCATTCGTTGGAAGTTGAGAAAAGTCTCTCAACTCGGAATCTCCCAATTGAATCACTGAGAGTACAATGTACGGACTGTAATATATTCATAATTATGATTATAATTAATTTGAAAATATTATTCGAAACCAGACGAATGTGAAAAATCATCATGATCAATAAACAACCGATCACTCTATTAACTACTTACTCACATAATCCACTACTGTTCAATTTTGTTGGTAAATCTTGACACTTATCAATAAAAACCTCCATATACGGAATTGAGAATGGAACACTTATCAAACAATTCGTATCTTCAACTCCAGCCTCTGCCAACTCCTTTCCCTGCAACACATAGGGTGCCATCGTCTTTGTAGGAATTGTCTTTTCCACATTCGAATCCAGATCAAAATATGAGGTCGTACTCGAAATCATTCCAAGTGATGCATTGCTACTTCTATTATTCATCGATGATGTATTATTATTGTTATTGTTGTTACCTCCCTCTTGCTGCTGCTGAGAAGAATAACCACTAGTACCTCCTCCTCCATGAACAGCAACATTAGAAGCAGTACTACCACCTCCACCACCAACAGAAGAGTTTGTTGTTATTGCTGATGTTGTGGTGGTGGTTGTAGTGGAATTGTTGGCAAACATTTTTTTTTGGTGGGAAAATGTGTGTTTTGGTGATGGGTGAGTGCTTAGCAAGGTGGAAATGATGATCATTGTAATGTGTTTGTTTTGGGTTTAATGGATGAAAAAGGATGTATTGAATGGATTTGTGGAATAGTGAAAAGGGTCTTTAAAAAAGTTGTATTATTGTAACAATGGTGTTTACAATGTTGGAATATAATTGTAAAGTATATTGAAAATGGTGTGGCCAACAATCAACTTTCCTTAACAAGTAGTTGACATGTATGTTACTCAGCAGCTGATTTCAGTATTATTATTGCCACCTTTCTTTTATAGAAATGCACAATAAATATAACAAATTAAAGACCTATCTTTGAAGATTCGAAATAAAACAACAGTAAAAAAATGGGCAATACTAATCATCCCGCTAACTGTCATGTTCTCCACGAACAAGAATTTCTATCGAATCAATGCCTTCATTTTGATCGGGATTTGTACATTCATCAAATATTCGTCCATTTATCGTTTCAAGAATTGTTCAAATGTAGACAAGTTTCTAGATGTTGGAATTATATGGTTTTGCAAGTGAGGAATGTTCATGTTATTATCAGTGATACGAAACAGATTGATTCCTTTGAAAAGGTCATGAAGAAGGGAATTTTTCATAATGTTGCACATCTTTCCACTCCGAAATTGTGTATCAAATATTTGGGAAAATACATGAGGAATTTGGAGAGTATTCATGTTGTAAAGAGATTGGAACCAAATGCTACTATTCTACAATGTCAATGTTTGGAAGGATTGGATAATTTGAAGGAAATTGTGTTTAAGGGAAGTCAAGTGGTGAATGCAAAATTGATGAGAAATTGCAAGAGTTTGAAACGAATAGAAATTAGATACTTGAAGAATAATGAGTTTTGGGAGAATATTGTTTCTCCATTGGAAGAATTTGTAATATTTAATGTGAAAATGGGATTTAATTCATGGAAAGTATTGGTGTGTAATATCAAAAAGAGTTTAAAAGTTTTGAAAATTGGAAAATGTACATTTACAAAATTAGAATATGATGAAATGTCAGAGTTTCAGAATTTGGAATCGTTGACTTTGACTCAAATGAGTGAAGTGACTGATGAATGTTTCAAATTTTTTTCCAATTTGAAATATTTGAAAAGTTTGAAAATTCAGTCGTGCAATTTGAGTAGTGAAGCATGCTATCATTTAAATAGCTTGAAAAAACTCACTAAGCTTGATATGAGCGATAATATTATTGATCAGTTATCATTTATTAATGGAATGAAAGAGATTCGATCTTTAAAATTGATGGATAATAGATTGGGGAATGAAGGATGTCTATTCGTATCAGCATTACCCTCAATAACAAAACTTTTCTTGACAGGGAATGAAATTTCTAACGAAGGGTTGTTGCACATCTCCCAAATGACAAATTTAACAGACCTAGATTTGGGAAATAATAAGATAACTTCCATCGAATTAATAACAGAGAATTTGACTAAACTTCAAAAATTAGGTATCTATGTCAATAGAATATCATCAGCCGATGTTTCCAAATTGGTGGATTTAAGGGAATTGAACTTTTCTCACAACAAATTGACTAGTTTAAAAGGTCTCAACAATCTAAAACATTTACAAAATCTATTTCTTTATGGAAATAAGTTAGCCACAAAATTGTTCACCTCTGAGAGTCACTTCCCAAAACTTGAATACCTCGAAGTTCAATCCATGGACAATATCAACCTTAAAATATTAACTAAGGAACGATTTCCAAAACTCATCCGAATAACTGAAGACAAGTATGATTTGAGAAATGAACAACTTGATCAAAATTAAATCCCTGAATCAGAAAATCTACTTTAAAATACTAACCACCAATCATTATCCAAAAAATCCCTCCACAATGCACAATACATTACCTAACAATTTACTTTCCAATGAACATCTTAATAGCTGCTGAAAATCACTTTACCTGTCTACGTCAGCAAACCCCTTCACCTCATTCAGAAAAAATTCTAAAAAAAATCCAAAAGAAAAAAAACTCTCAAACTTCATCACCGCAACAATAACAATTTTAAATTTGATTTTTTATATTTAAAATAACAATTTTGGAATGTCTGAAGAGAATCAACGTATTTTGAAGAAGCTCCGTGAAAAGCCAGAGAACAAAGTTTGTATTGATTGTACAACCAAAAATCCTGATTGGTGTTCAATTACATTTGGTGTTTTCTTCTGTTTGTCATGTTCGGGAGTGCACAGAAGTTTGGGAGTTGATGTTAGTTTTGTCAAATCAGCCACATTGGACAAGTGGTCTGATGAACATACACAAGCAATGGTAAACGGAGGAAATAAGAAGGCAAGAGAATATTTTACCAGCAAGGGAATTGATAGGATGCCTATTGCTCAAAAGTATAATTCAAAGGCTGCAAAGGAATATGCTGCTCTCTTAAAACAACAAGTACAACAAAAGAGGTTTGTAGTAGTATTAATTTTCATCAAATTTAATGTTATCTATCCATAATAATTATTTAATATAATGTTATCGTGTCATCATCATCTATCAATATTGTATGGATTGATTCTATCAAATAATTATACAATTATTATTATCATTGAATTAATACAACATTACAACAGTGGAACTTCAGATAAAAAGCCAACACTCACAGTTAACACTGATATAATAACTGATAGCGAGGAAAAAGTCAAATCAGCACCACCTTCCAATACTTCTAACAATCATGATTGGAGTTTTGAGGATGAAATGTTGAAGGAGACATCTACTCCATCTCCAACTGCCTCTGAACCAAAGTATAAAGTGCTGACAAGCAGTTCATCGAATAATAATTTCAAAATCAAACCAGGAAGAACAATATCCAATTCATCAAGCAGCAAGGATATCTTCTCTCAAGATTCATTCGGCAAGGCAAAGAATTCATCCAAAAAGAATAGTAGTTCAAACTTGGATGATGATATTTTCGGAACAAAGGAAGTGGTTGTGGAAAAACAAGAAAATATTAATGATGATGACTTTTTCAACAATGATTGGGATAAGGATGATGACCATAGGGTTACTACACCAACTATGAAGAAATCCGCATCAACAACATCAAATTCATCTCACAATAATAATAGCGACAGATATAGTGGAATTGGCAGTGGATATTCAAATAATAATAATAACAATGGCAGCAGTAGTTATGGTAACAATTCCCCATACGGAGAATCATACACATCATCATCCAATAACAATGCTGACAGATATAGAGGTATTGGTTCAGCTGCCAGTAGTAATTCAAGAAAGAATCCATTTACATCTGGAGACATTACAAACATGTCAGGTTCAGACATTGCTTGGTATCTTGGAGAACAAGCCAAAGATGTTGCTTCCAAGACCAAGGAAGTTTCCAACTATCTTGGAGATCAATTCACAGTCGTTTCTCACAATGTTTCAACTTGGTTTAACTCAATGATGCAACAAAATGAACACAAATGAGTTTATGTATTTTTAGAGAGTTTGTAACAAAGTAATAATAATATACTACTAATTTTGTAAAATCTTGTGTTGCTCTCTGTTTCAAGAAGAAATTGCAACCATTTACAATTTTAAAAAACACACAAATAAAAAAATGTTTTCATTCATCAAGCAGAAGAAAATGTTGGATGATTTGTCCAATATCAAGAAGAAGCAACTCGTCAAACAATCACAAACAATTATTGAAAATAAGAACAAGATTCAACAAATTCATCAACTTGATTTGACGGAGGCTCCGAAAGGTTCCAAGGCAGCAACCAAGAAGAAAAATTCAAAGCCTTCATCTTCTTCATCTTCTTCATCGGCAGCAGCAACAACATCATCATTGAATTCTGCTACAACAATAGAAAAATCAAACTCTTCATCATTAGATAATAACCTTATTGCTACGGAAAATGATTTAAATATTAATTTGCAAAATCAATTAATTAAATTAGCTGAAGCTATGCAAGAAAAGGATTCCGAGTTGGCTGAATTTTATATGAGGAGGTTTCATTTGGAAAGTGCTTGTTCGGATAGTGTTAGTAGACATTCTAGTAATTATGTAAAATCTTGTCAATTTTGTGGACATTCATTTCTGGATAGAAATACTGGATATCAGTTGGCAAAACAAAATTCAACAAAGATTGTTATTAAGGATGTTACAAAGGGAGACAAGTTGTGTTCACTCAATTTGAAACAATTTTTCACTACAAAGAATGAAAAGATGAAATGGTCTCATATTGTCTATTGTCTTTGTTCTCAAAAGGATGCCAATAATAATGTACTCACTTTCAAATGTAAACAATGCCAGAAATATTTAATAATTCCATTTGATAAGACCATTGCAAGTCAAATTGTTCCAACAACACAAAAAACAGAACAAAAGAGTGAAACCCAAAATCAAAGGGAAGAATCCAAACATCCAAAACAACAACCCCATTCAAAACAAGAGGAAAAATCGACTATTCCATCCAATAATCCACACGAGAAGAAAAATAAGAAACAAAACAATTCAGGAAGTGAATTGAATCAATCAACTGATTCACAAAAGAAGGAAAAACCACAAGCAGCTCCAAAAGAAGATGACAAGAAGAGAAAGAGAGATGACTCAAACTCATCGAATAATGCCAGTAAGAATAATTCTTCAAAAAAGAAAAAGAATAAGAAGGAAACCACTTCAGCAAGTGACTTTTTGAAATTGCTCTAAATTACACACGTCTTTATTGGTATTCAAAACTTAATTTGATGGTACAATCGGTTGAGTATAACTTGCCTTGACACACGGCGTTCCATTTACAGTGTCAATACGATAACTAAATACTTGAGGTTTTACAAAACTCTTATCAACTTGGTAATGTTCAGGATCTTTGGCAGCATATTGAGATTTTTGCTCAGAAATATAGTGCTCATTAATTGGCTGATTTTGCTTTTCCAAAGTTGATTTCATCATACGATTTTTAAGTGTGGCTTGTTGCTCAAATTTTTCATCCATATGATTGTACTCTTCCTTAGTTGTTGGTATCATTCCAAGGTTAGTTGTTGCAGCAAATGATTGAGGATAAGCCTTTGCTTGAATATCCAAATTTTCCACAAGGAATTTCGAACTAGGTGCACTCATATCATCAGTATGAGTAAACGATTTAAATCCTGTCTTGACTTTTCCTCTCTGTTGTTGATCTCTATAAATAATGGTTTGTGGTTGGGTTGTATCGAACACTTTGGTCTTGTCGTAGTGAGCATGAGTTGTTGATTTGTAAATACCCAACATTTCTACAGATTCTGGATCATCCTTTGGCATGGCCATTGTGACTTTCATGTCTTGTTCCAGATTTTTGATGTGTTCCTTATTTTCTTGATGTACTTGGTCATTATTTGGAGCAAGAGGTCTGTTGGAGAATGATGATTTGGCTTCGGAGTGATATTTTGAGGGTGGATGAATGAGGGTGTAGGTTCCAGTATCTTCATTCATTTCAATTGCATAATCGGCAACAGTACTTGCCAAGTGGTGTTCTTTGTGGTCAGCTGTGTAGGTCATCTTGTCGGAAAGTGGTGCCTTCTTGTGGATTGGATTTTTAAGGTTATCATTTAGTTGAGCTCCATGATGACTCGAGTTGTACGATGTTTCATAGATACTAAACTTTTGAGGCATTCTGCTGCTTTTACTAGTACTCAAGAAGAGAAGAATAGCTGATGAAGAAGAGAGCGGTAACTCTTTTTTTAAATTGTTTTTTTCAAAAATAAAAACTGTAGTTTTGAGCGGGAATATCCAGTACAATGTAACTGAAAGTTTTATTCGTTAGATCTTTCCGAGCATTTATGAGAATATGACTCAAAGGAAATTTACATGTGGAAATGTTTGGAAATAGAGTCAAGGGAAACAAATCTTTGAGGTTGAGTCATTCTCATTTCTGCATATTTTCCTAATGCTTGTTGAGCATCTTTTACCAAGGTTGAGAATCTCTTCTCAACAAGGGGGAATTTAGCAGTGAGCATTTGGAGAGCATCACAATCATTTTGTAAATAGTTTCTCAATTGTTCTGAGTATTCGTGAATGATGAGGGTGGATGATCGAAGGATATTTCTCATAGAGCTCATGTGAATTTTACAGGCAATTGAGAGAGGAATGGAGGCAGGGAATGAAGAAAGTGAAAAATCATCGTACTCTGTTGATTTGGTAATCATGTCAGCACATTTGACAGCATCCACTGAAATTTCATCAGTGTTGAATGATTTGTGCTTGTGTAAAATTACAATGCTGTATAGCATGGATATGAAAGTGTTTCCAAGAAAATCCCAGCTTCCGTATTGTTTTCTTATATTCTCGATGGCCATATTAATTTGTTCAATTTTCTGTTCTAAAGGTTCAGAGCTCTCAGGTTTGAAATTAATACACAAATTGTTAATATCATCATTAGAATTAAGTAGTGAGTCCAATAAATGTTGATAACCAATTGGATATTCCTGATTACTCTTATCAATAATTTCTCTCAAATGAATCAGTTGCCTTTTCAATTCTCCATTAGAATCAGCATCTCCAATTCTACATCTTCCAGGTTTGAACATTTTCTCATTTGAATTTACAATATAACTGGAAATACTATTGATGGCAGATTGAGGTAAATTTTCAGGATCGTGTTGTTGAGGTGTAAAGAAGAGGAGAATATTTTCGTAGTGTTTGAGAAGTTGGTCGTAGTTATCTTGCAAAATTGATTCTGATAAAAGTACAGTTCTGAGTAGAAATTGTGCTTCGTGCATTGTTGGTTGAAATTCTTTAACATAGAATTTAACATGATTGAGAAAGTATTCAGCTCTTGGTCTGTCACCATCTCCCAACAAGTAGATTGCCACAAATACATAAACAGCAATGAGTTTAAAATCCGATACATGATCAAATATGACAGACATCTTTGATCTTGCCTTCTCATAGAGTCTAGCTGCCAGTTGTTTGTAATTTAATCTTTGAAGGGCTATGGCTTGCAAAATAGAAACGAGAGCAATTTCCTTTTCTCCAATCTTGTAAAAATACTTGTAGAAATGATCCATATCACCAGAAAAAACCTCATTCGTTGGATGTAAGGCTACCCTCATTAATTCATAGATATCTTCTTTTGCCGAACGTGGAAGAAGCTTGTCAACAATTTTACTGAATAATTGGAATGACAACTTTGATACCACTTCATTATCAGCTTTGATATTAGAAATATTTTGATATATAGTCTTGTAAATAGTGTCGATATTATCTTTGGTGATTGTATCCAGGTCCATACTATCCACATCATCCTTTTGCTTTTTTGGTCCTCTCTTTACATTACTAATGTAGAGACAAAACTGTCTATTTTCTTTCATACAATGTGTGCAGGAAGGATGACTATAGTCACACTTTCTATGTCTTAATTTACACAATAAACAGGATGTATTGGCTTTCGGAAGAGCTTTCTCAACAGTTGAAGTGTGCATTGATAAGTTATCCTCTGGTGTGACACTAGAAGGAGGTGAAGTCGATCCAGAGTTGGGTGATGGAGTAGTATTCGGAACGTTGGCAAATTTGGTAATGAATTGTTGGAACTCACAATCAGAGGCTCCAGGTTGATATGAGTTTTTACAAGCACAATAGTGCATTCCTTGAGGTGGATTATTGGGAGAAACGTTATTATTACTGGTGGTGTTTGCTTGTTGATTATTCTTATTCGATCCACCACAACATCCTGTTTTGTTAGTATTATTATTATTATTATTATTACTATTATTATTATTGATTGAATTAATTGTTGTTGTAGATGAGGGTGAAGGAGCAATTACTTGATTATTCTGATTTCTTCTCAAATTAAGAGGAAACGAAGGATACGGATTATTCTCCGTTCCTCCAAGCCTTTCATAACTAACACCACTCATAGTATCCAAATTATTATTATTATTGGTTCCCAATGATGTACTATTATTATTACTATAATTATTCATCATATTGATTTGTTGTTGATATCCCCCACCTTGAGAATGATACTGTTGCTGCTGCTGCTGATGATGATTCAAAGATGCCGAAGATGAAGTAGTATTTAGCAAAATGCTGGGCGTCGATGAGGATGACGTTTGGTAGCTACTTGCTATTCCAACTTGCTGATGCATTTTTTTTAGAGTTCTAAAGAGGAAAATAACGCTTTACACAATGGACCTTTGTTATTTATGATGCAAAGCTCAATTTACAGGATTCTCTTCCAAGAAGAAGGTTTGAATTTTCAAAAAACATTAAGAGATGATATTATTGGATTAAATTGGTAATGAGCTATTGCTAGATAAACCAGTTAATTGAATGAAAAAAATATTCAATTATTAACAAATTAAATTCACAAGATTATTCAACAATTTCCATCTCTTTTTTCATAAATGTTCCTTCTCTCTGGATGGGGTCACTTCAATGAATTTACAAATGGAGTCCATAGAGATGTAAATCATCTTTTGGAATAGCTTTCAATAGAGATTCAGAAAGGAGGGAGAGCATTTGAGCTGGCATTTGATCGTTTTGAAAACCAATGGCCACATTGACCTTACCATAATCTGGATCATAGATGAAACAAACTTTGCCATCAGTTTCATTTACAATAAAGTGTCCTCGTACGTATTTGATAAATTGTTGATTGAAAATTGCTTCATAGGTTGTTAAGGCATCATGTGGACAAGTTCCCTTGATTGTCTTACTAAAAACAACGCTTCGATGTTTGAGCCACACATCCAATAATGTACCAAGAATATGAGCCATTTTAGGATATTGTGGATCATAAGATTCTATAATATTATCATTTTCGTATGGATTTTGTCCTTTGTGAAATGAGAGTGTTCTCAAAAAGTCAACTGTTTTTCCTTCAAACCAAACTGAATGAGTAACAGTATGTCCAACACAATAAACGTCAAATCCAGCTGAAAAAACTACATTGGCAGCAAATTGATCTTGTCTAATATTGTGATTTGAGTGGCAATGATATTCGACGCCTCTTTCAAAATTATCTGGAATGGTACCTCCAACTGGAACTACTCCACCTCCCATAAAAACAACTCGTTTCACTAATTTTGTCAAATTGTTATCCATTTGATAGGCCATTGCAACATTGGTCAATCCACCCAATGATACAATCACCAAATTTCCATTCAATTCCTTAGCTTTTTGTACAATAAATTCAGCTGCCTTCTTTGAGTGTTGTTTCATTAATTCATTTCTATCCAAATAACAATTTTGATATTGTTTCATCTTTTCAATTTCCTCATCTTTGAATAAACCAATTCCTTCCGTATTTGCATGCCAACATGGATCCAAAACAATTGGATCATCAATTGAATAGTGAGATCCAGTCAATACAGGAATATCCACCACTCTTCCACTCGATGCAAATTCATCCTCTGCATATGCTTGAACAATCCTCGAAGCTACCTGACTTCTCACTTCAACATAACCATAGACAGTTGTCACACCCAACACATTCACGGCTTCTCTCGGTAAATTCAACACTGAAACCAAAGCCAACGCATCATCAATATCACTTCCAATATCCGTATCGAAAATTAAATTGACAACCGACGACGATGATGAAGAGTTTGATCCGATCATGGACTCGGCCAATTTCTGTTTAATTGTCATATCGAATTTTAATTTGAGCAAATCGTTCTTGGGGATTTGTTTCAAATCTTCTTTTGTGTGTGGTGGAAGTGAGTATTGATTGCCCATTTTTTTTTTAAGATTGTTCTTTTTAATTTCTTTGAACACTGAACTTCCATTGTAAGTAAATTGAAAATTTCAACTATTTCTTCTTTTTTATTAGTTCTATCTTTTCTAGATTCAAGCTCTGGGTGGAGAATGACTGAAAGTGTCCTGTTTAGGTATAATTTCAGAAAATCAGCTCTTTACTTTCCCCACCAATGCAAAGTATCCAACAATTTTTGGAAATTATCAATTTTCTTCATATGGTTCTCATCAACATATTCATCTGCTTTTCTTCTCCGGTTAAACATTTCAAACAAAACCTAATAAAAACAATTTCACCATCTTTGTCAGTCAATGCAAGTATCATGTGCAGTACTAGCAGATGGAAAATTGTTGATATGCTCATAATTGTGAATATCATATTCGAAATAAAACTCCTCTCCAGTTTTGACTTCAGAAGCTGTAATCCACTGTTTTCTCAAACAATAGTCCAAGTAAATGTAAAACATAGCATTGAACATATTAAGGAAATTACTAGATAAACCCAAAGAATTTCCCTCTCTAATTTAGTCAACCACTAATTCTACCATTCCTGATTCATCCCATTTCATTATTTCCACCTGTTCCCATTAATGCCGCGTTTTGAGATAAAAATTTTAAGCAAAAAGGAAATTGAAGTGTACTCCCATAGCTTAAAACACATCGAAGAGGGCAAACAAGAAGGCACACCATTTTCGTTAAATTCTAAGCCCACCATTATCTCAAAACCTGGCATAAATTTAAATAGTTTACTGAAATCTCTCTGTTTGAAAATGCGCCATTTTATGAATATAAGTTACAGTGGACAGTTCATGGTGTTTATTAGGAATTCATTACAATCAATGAAGCATTGAAATATGTTGATTAGTGTGAATTTGAAAATGGCCACAAATGTCCAATTTTAAATTGCCTTTGATTTTGATCCAGAATATGCACCTCATGGGACGATGAAAGTTTTAATCAATAGAGATCGATGTGGAGGATTTTGCCATATTCAATCAGCTATTAGAGAATGTGATGTGAAGAATATCTTAGAAGTGCACATCCAATAATACTCACTAATTGCTGTTTATATATATACATAATTAATTTTGAAGAGTGTGTGCACCACAAACCATTGTTAAGATTTCCTTCTCTGGTCTTACTTGTCTTACTTGTTCAGCTACCATATCCCTCTTTTTTGCAGCATAGCGTAATTGATTAACAGGTTTACTGACCTCACGACGCTCAAACTCAGTTTCAAAGTAAGTTTTCCACTTTAACTTTTGCAAATAAGCTACTTTTGCAGGTGCATTCTGACTATGGAGGTCAATAATCTCATACAATCGATTGGCAATATCAACAAAATCTGGTGATTTTCCTCCAACAGTTACAATGGCATGCAGTAGGAGGTTACGAGCATATTCACTCACTGCCTGCAACAAAGTGACTGAATTATATTCAGTGAATTCTTGAGTAGCTGCCTTAAAAGCACTTGCAAGGGCATCATAATAAGCGCCAGTAAACACCTCTGATACGAAGTGGACCTCTTCCTCACCCTGAGAAAGTTTGTAATCATCATCAGCACTACGGAGATAACCAGGCATTCCCAATGAAATACCAAATTCCTCAGCCAAGTTAGCAGCGAAGTTGTTTGCTGAAGCATGAAGGTTACCAAATGTTAAATTAATTAATGCTCTAGCCATGGCATCATCAGCAAATACGAAACTTAAGGCAGAAATATCACCAAATGCTTCGTGAAGGCCACCAGTTTGCACATTTCTAGAATCATTGAATTCTGGACGCAAATGATCCAGTACATAATGTCCAGTTTCATGAGCAACAATGTCAGATGATTGACATGTGTAAATTGTATCTCCTTTGTCATCAGTGAAATAACCAAACTTTAGTTCAATACTACCATTACCACGTGAATAGTAGGCATTCTTTTCGTCTTCCAAACCATATGGACTAATTTGGAGAGTTCCACTTGGCATCTTATCCCAGTATTCAGCTGCCTTACTCAACTTTTTATCGTCAGGGAATGTTTTTCTCAACACCTTAACAGTGTCTCGCCACATATTTGCAGTCAACTTGGCAGCTGTGAAGGTATGTAACTTATCAAATCCTGGAGTACGTGGAATCAACTTGTCAATCTGAGACATTTTAATCTTTCCACCAACAATACTCATCTCAGCATCTTGAGGACCATCTTTAAAGACTTGGGGGACGTAACATTTCTCTATCATTTCGAGGAGAGGTTGGTTTCGAGTAACGGTAATATCCTGAGGATAAAATCTCAAAACTGTGCCCTCCTCCTCAGAGGTAGCAGTAGCAGCATTGATTGGTTTGTTTGGACATTCTTCTTGTAGGTTTTTTTGGATTTGAGATGACATTTTCAACTTTTTTTATATGAAAAACTTTGAATGTTTGGAGTGCTGAGTATTTATTGAGTTGTTGAATTATATGAAATATTGGACGAATTTGAAATGATTCCATTTTAGTAATACCAAGTTTGGTTAGTGCCGAATATTTACTTTTTCCTTTGCAGAATTTTAAATTGGAAAATAGTAGCAGATATTTCGAAATACAAATTATCCATAGCTCTTATTAGATGGATAATTATTGTTACAAATTGACCATAGCTCTCTTTTCAAAAATTTTGATTGGAATATTGCAGGTTGTTTGCAAACAACTCAAAGCTCACATGAAATCGAACAGTCTATATCAGCACTCCATCAGAGATTTCTAATGTTAGCAGTAATTGAACTGTTGGTAGGTGTAATCTTGAAATATTTGCACAATCATCTGATGAATGGGGAGTCTACTTTCTTGGTAGTGAGAAATAATTATGAGGAAATTACTACAATGGTCAACATGTGGAATTACTACAAACCATTCCTATCAACCTTAGAGAGTTTAGCTTCAACCCACTCCAAATCTTTTTCTCTTGGCACATATCATCTTATCAATAACCAAATAATTTCCTCTACAGCCTTCCTATTATTGTTACAGCAAGGAAGAATTTCATCCAGTGCTTCTTTCCACCATCCTTCCTCGTGGTCTCTTTTGCTGATTTCTTTAAGGATTGATACGGTGAAACATCTAGCACCTGTGAATTTGGTCCAAACCTTTAATAGTATTCTCATCAAGACCAACATTTCTCATCATTTCAACAACTTCTGTATGATTAATGAAATACTCTCTATATAAAAATTAATTAGATAAATGAACAATTTGTGTCAAGTTAACGTACATTTACGTTTCTTATAATCTTGTTCGGAAGAACGTTGTCGACTTGCATGGTGGGATTGAGATTTTTTTCCTTAGTTTTTAAAATAAACGAAACAACAATAAAGGATTGAAATGAAAACTTGCCTCAGGTTCCTAATATCATCAAGGAGATTGAAGAGGCGTATTGATGGTGTTATGTGTTGGAAACTATGCTTATTATTCTCCGCCATCCAGTACTTCCAATACCTTGAAGAAAATTTTCATTGTGCTAAATGCTTTCTCTTGATAATTATCTACCCTATCTTTCGTTTACTTTCCAAAATTCATTATTAATTGCAACAGCATCCGAATGGGGAGCTGCATCTGCTAATTCACATGTCAAATTGGTTCTGAAGAAAAGGAAATCAAAAGGTCAAGAAATTGAGGAGTTCATTACAAAATTGATTGTTAAATGGGCTTTTAGAAGTGCCTAATATATTTATGTAAAGGTGTCAATATCATCTCTTTCAGGTGACTGACATCTTTTGTCAATATCGAATTTACAAAATATTCAACATTAAAAAAACCTCCTATGCAATTGCCTGTTCTTCTTCAAGTTACAGTGTTGGTGTTTTTGTGTGTCCATCAACACATGTGGTTACATGTTAACTCCCAAATTCCAATCAAATTCAAAGCAGACAAGTTTGTTGATAACATCAAAGCACAAGCATTCACATTCAAATCCAAGGCTGAGTTTTTCTATTTCAATGGAGCCACTATTAATAAGTATTCTAATGGTCAATTGAATGTTGTAGCTGGTCAGACAGGTCAACCACCACAAAATTACTTTCCGTCATCATCTTATGAACAAGCCAATGCTGCATACTTGCCATCTGTGAAAGAAATGGTTTACCACGGTGATACCATTCATTTTACAGACGAAAAGTATAATTTAGTTAGATCTTTATATCTCAATTCAAATCGAATAGTAATTACTGCAGGAAAGGCAGCAACAACTTCCGATCCAAACTTGGGTGAGGGAGGGTTTGCAACAGATGTTTACATTAACACCCCATCTGGATTGATTATTGATCCCACAGGAACGTATCTGTACGTTGCTCAGTCATTTGATTATGTTATCAGAAGGGTGACGATTCATACAACTATTTCAACAATTGCAGGCGTGATACCAAGAACAGATAATTTCATTGGTACTGATGGTCCTCCTCGGTCAATTCCATTGTACTACCCTACTGGTATTGCAATGGATGAGGAGGGTAACATTTTCATTTCAGATACGAGAAATAATCTTATCCGAAAGGTGGACATGAAAAACAACATTCTCTCAACTCCAGTCGGTGTACAATATAGAAGACCATTTCCTGATCTTGATCCATGTTCTGATTGTTTTACCGGTGATAAGGGTTCAGCTAAATTAGCAAGAATTCATAATCCATCTCAAATATGTGCTTCACAAGGTTCAATTATTTTCAACGATTCTCTCAATAAGAGAATTAGAAAGGTAACTAATGGTATCATTGACACCATTTACACCTATGAAAATGAAGCATACTTGAAGTGTTATCTTGGAGTAATATATGTTTCGAATAAGAACTCTGTTATTAATGTACTCTCTCCATATTGCGATGATAACTATATAATTAATGGAGCATCTTGTCAACCATGTCCTCAAGGTCAAACAAATAACAAATATTTCACAGAATGTGTGAATGTTGGACCTACTCCTCAAAAATCATATATCATGAACAGCAATACTAACGGAAATCAAAACAATTCTTCACCAATGTCAACCACAACATTGATTATCATCATTTCATCAATTCTTGCTATCGTTGGTTGTGTGGCATTGTTAATTGGAATTGTAGTGTTGGCAGTCTTAATCAAAAGAAAAAGATCAAACACAAAATACTCAAATTTGAAGAATGAGGAATTAAAGGACAGATTGAGTCAATTACCTTTTGAACCTCAACCAACTGGTAATTAGATCTATATAAGTAATAATCAATTTAGTAACGTAATCATGTTAAATTTCAGATGTTCTTCAGGCATTTGTGAGGAGTTTAGAATAAATTAATTCTGTGTAGATTTTACTTTGATGTGAATAGACTGTTTCGTTTTTCAGGTTTGAATATTGAAAGATATTCAAATCTATAGGAAAGCAATTGGTCTTCAATGTCTTGAGTGGAGAAAGATTGAGATTTGGAGAATAATTCATGAGATTTGATGAGCTTTTTAGCAATTTCAATTTGTACCTGATCGAATACAGTGGACAACAGGTCTTGATTACTCTGATGATTAATTTCCTCCAAAATCTTTTCATGATTCTTATATTTGATGTGTTTCTGATTTTCTTTAGGATTGAGAAAACGATTGTAAATGTCAATTGCCTTAATTTGATCATCTTCTGACTTGATTTGTAAGAATAAATCAGGAGAAAGGGTTAGTGGGCTAATTCCATTCAATGAACTAGCATCATCCTCTTCATCATTAGGTATCATTTCTTTTTTCATTTCGTCTAGAATCGACTGAATAGTCGAATGAATAGATCTCTTCTTCTCCTTAAACAATTGAACATTCTCCAAGAATTCAAAACACACCAACTCATCATTCTCAACACATTTTCTAAACTTGGGTCTCAGAAACGGATCAGAAATCGAATGAATAACCGAAACTGCCCTTGCCTTCTCCAATCTCTTCTTTGAATCTCGATCCAATTTAATAACTCCAATGAAAATTAATAAAACAATTGGAATGGCAATTCCTAAACAGAGAATCACCACAACCAGATCAATAGTTGTGTATTTCATATATTCTGCTTCTTTTGTTTCACTGATTTGGAATAATTGAGCGAGAACTGAATCTAAAAATTGGATAAATCGAAGATCTGCTAGTTTGTGTTCTGGAGAAGTTGAAACTGAGTAAGCTTGAGAATAGTTTCCACTCTTGACTAGTTCCATTACGTGATTTTCAATTTGGAACCATTCGTGAGTTGGAATCCAAGAAGAATTTTCATTCGAAATTATTTGAAAAGCATACGAAAGTGAACTATTCAATTCATTCTTTGAATGATAATATCTTTGAATGAATTTCTCCTTTCTTGTCAGTAATACTAAAAATTCTGCCAATTCCATTTCATCATAACCCAAATATGCATTTCCATATTTGTATATGGCAGTTGATAATGAAAAATTAGAACTTTGAAAAGATAATATTGAAATAATAGCAATTGAAATGAAAGATAAAAAGTTGATAATGAATCCTATCAACAAGATTAGTCTCAAATACTTTACAATCTTTCGCCTAGTTGGCATATTCGAATCAAGAGATGAAGACTTGGTTGTGAAAGTAGTCTCTTGATTGGCCTTGACGTTTTTACGTATTTCATTGATTGGCATTTTCTTGTTTCAAGTTACTACTCGTAAGTACTCTGAAATGCCTTTTTTTTATGTTGTTTTTATCTCTATTTCTACTTCTTTCCTTTCGAATAACTTATTTACGAATCATAAAAATGCTTTTAAATGATCCACCATCATATAGCAAGCCGTCTACTTTTGAATTGAAGAGGGCAATAAGTTATTCTTCAATTCAATCACCAAATAATTATGAAAATGATGAAGGAAGTGTTTTTGTGGAGAATGAAAATGTATTCGAAAGTCAACCGAGGATACTATTTGAGGATGAAAGGATAGAAGATCAATTACCAGCAGGTATAGAGGAAATTCGGGACGAAACCAATCATGTTGATGATTTGGCTCGTTCACTATCAAAAAAACAAATCAATTGTTGTTCGAAACGTTTCGGATTAATTCCATTACTTGCCACCATGGCCATGTTCATCAATATTTTGTTTCTACTCATCATTGCCCTCGCCATCATTGTCCCATCACGAATAGCCGAATTTGTTCCCATTAAGGAACTACTCATTAGTCGATATTCAGTTAAATCTTCTTTCGTCTATTTACGAGACATGTTAGAATTGAGTGCTCTTAATAATAGTTTGGAAACGATTAATTATTCAGATTTTTGTGATATGCTTAATTATACACTGCTTGATTATAATCAATCGGTTTTTAAAATGATTTCCTTAATACCTGACAGTTATGAACATTCGTTTATGGGAAATTCGAATGGTGAGGAAGTGTTTCTGCCACTTTATCAGAATTGGACAGAAATGATTGGGTTGTTTTGTAAGCTGAGTAATTATACTTCAAATTATACGAAATTGGATGAATTTTATCAACAATTTAATGTTTACAATGTCAAATATTATAATGGAACATTTAAATATGAAATGGAACTATTCGAAACAAAGTTTTTTGAGATATTGGAGGATATTTACTTGTTGTGCAATAGAATTGATGAGTTTACCATAGCGAGTGGAATTTCAGTGTTGGTCTTGTCGTGTCTGGCTTGTGTGATTGTTATTCCTGTTGGAATATTAGTTTATTTAATGTTGGGACGAAAGTTGATACGAAATGAGAAGAAAGTTAGGATTGAGAGTACTAATATATTGAAGGATACGATGGCTGATATTGGAATGCGAGATGAATTTAAAACATTTTGTAAAAAGGCAAAGGTTGGAATTCCATTTTCAATTTTGGAAAGAATTCAATATTTTAAAGAATTTTGTAAAGATTCAATAGATTGTCAGCTCAAATTATATGAAATTACAAAGGAGTTTGTAGCGGAAAAGTCTTTGGCTAAAGGAGCAGACATTTATATTCAGCAAGTTTCGAATGAACTTGAAAAGAAACTTTCCCATCTAGAACGAATCAAATACGAAATCATTTTTGAAATTCATGATTCCATTCAATCAGAATCTGTTTATCTTGGTAGTATGGAATGGATTATCCACCAAATCGATCTCTATAACAATAGACAAGGCTCATACGAAACTGTGGACATTCTCCATTCAAAAATTTTGGATAATCTCGAAAAGGAAATATCGGATATTCTTTCTCTAACTCATTTTCAATTCAAATCAACACTTGCTTTGAATATGAACACTACTTCTCCAAATTCTCCTCAATCTCCAACAAGTGATCTTCCTTTCATTTAATTAAAATTACAAATATTTTAAAATTTTCAATAAAGAAGATGAATTTTTGCAACTATTTCTTTAAAATATTCTCAAAAATTCTATGAATTCTTTAACATTTTTCACTCAACCATCCAAATAAAGCAATTTTTAAATCTTCCATATTTAGATAAAAAATTAAAAAACAAATTAAAAAAAAATGAGCGCAAACGACACACTGAAAACCCTGCTCCACGAACAATTAGACCTCCTCTCGGAACAAACCAAGGAAACCTACGGAGAGGAAGGACAAGTTGATGAACTTTACGGATTTCCAGTTTATGAAGATGAGGATGATGTTTTAAATTTTGTTCATCATTATATTAGTGCTAATAAACCAGTGATATTTAGGAATGCTTTGGAAGGATGGCCAGCCTCTGAAAAGTGGAATGTTGAATATTTGAAACAAGTTCTTTCCGATAAGGAAATTTCTGTGGCTTGTACACCAAATGGAAAGGCTGATGCTGTGCATGAAGGAAAATTTATTAAACCTATGGAAGTGAAAATGAAATTTAATCAATTTATGCAATTTATGACTAATAAGAGGAGATTTAATAATTTACCAGATAAGGAGGAAGAGGAATTTAATGGAATGAATTCATGGAATACTATCTTCTATGCTCAACATCAAAATTCAAGTTTAACAAAGGAATTTCAAGAACTCATGCAAGATGTTCCAGAACAATTGGGATTTGCTGTGAGAGCTTTTAATAATTTACCAGATGCTGTTAATTTGTGGATTGGAGATGGTCAATCTACTTCTAGTTTACATAAGGATCCATATGAGAATATTTATTGTGTATTGGCTGGAAAGAAAATCTTTACACTTTATCCTCCAACAGATGTTGTAAATGTGCCTTATAAGAATTATAATGAAGCTCACTATCATTTTGAAGATAATGAATGGAAGATTGTAGATGAAGATACGCAAGTCCCTTGGATTGATGTTGATCCAGATAAACAAACTAGAGAGGAAATCATTCAAGTTTACCCAAGATATAAGCATGCCACTCCATTCAAAGTGGAGATTGGACCTGGAGATGCTTTATATCTTCCATCTTTATGGCTTCATCAAGTGGCTCAGGACCACAATGAGGAAGGTGTTGTGGTTGCAGTCAATTATTGGCATGATATGCAATATGGACCTCTTTTCAACTATAATCAATTGTTGTGTAATTTACACAGAGCTAACATTTTGTAAAATACTAAAGAAAATGATTAAACAGTGACCCTTTCTTTATTGTCGAAACTCACTGAGGTTTTTTCATTCGCTTCGTTACTATTTATATATAAATTATTCTTGTTGTTTCAAAAGTTTCAAATTATCAGAAACGCTCAATTCCTTTTCAGCTCTATATAATTTACCAGGTTGGTTAAAATCTTGTTCCATAATTTCCTTTCTGTATGGATTTCTCTTAATCTTCTTTTGAAGCATATAAACACCATATAATAAAGCTTCCTATATATTTCCATTATATTTAACATATCCAAATTATCCAAAAAACAATATTAATATTTTGCTAATAATAAAACAATAATACATACAGCGGTTGGAGGGCTGTGAAAACAAGTTAATAACAACAACAAAAACTACTTACCATCCAGGAACGTAAACGTCCACAGGTATAATTTGATCGGCACCTCTAACAACGTGATAAGAAAAGTGATAATAACCACCACCATTGGCACAAGAACCCATAGAAACAGAGTAACGTGGTTCAGCCATTTGATCCCAAACTTTACGAAGAGCAGGAGCCATTTTGTTTGTCAAGGTACCAGCAATAATCATGGCATCGGATTGACGAGGTGTTGGTCTAAAGAAGATACCGTAACGTTCCAAGTCATATCTAGCAGCGGCGACGTGCATCATTTCAACAGCACAACAAGCCAAACCAAAAGTAACAGGCCACATAGAACTAATACGAGCCCAGGCAAAGAGGTCGTGCACTGGGGCTTTAAGATATTCGACAACAGCGCTCATTTTTTGTTGTATTTTTTTTAAAAATTTATTTTTGAAATTATTTTTTTTAATGTTTTACTTGATGTTGTTGGCGGAATCAAGTGTTGGCTTGAAGAAATTCAAGAGATATGATTTTAAACTGATTCAATTTAATTGGTAAAATGCTTAATTGAGTTCGTGTTATCTTTTCAAGAATCCTTAATCAAAATGAAAACATTAAATGAAACTCTTTAGATTTATTGAAATGAGAAGAAAAGGGAAAGAAAAATTTGGGGAGTGTGTGATTGTTTAGGAGGGAAGGAAGTTAATAATTTAGAGGGAAATGTAATAGTGTTTGCCTTGACTATTGTGGAGCTTTGAACATGTGCCATTTGTTGTGACACACCATTCATACCAGACTTTTCTGCCAATGTCCATATCACAATTTCTCCAGATTTGAACACCAATTTCTTCACCCTTCTTGACAGCAACTGGGTTTTCAATTGGGAAGAATATTGGGAACCAACTGAACATACCAGTTGAGAAAGTATCTGGCAGAATACTCATCCAAACATCCTTATATAATTGGCAATCAAAGTAACCAATCAAACCATGGACAACAGCATTTTGTTGTGATTTGAATTTAAGGGAGACGTATCTGTCATTATTAATGAGTGGAACATGAAGAGTCGAGCTATCATCTTCATGGTCACGAAGTATTTCCTTTTCCTTAAGATCTTCTGTGACTTGAGGATTTGGGTGGACAAAAGTGAAACATCTTTGTGGCTTATCTAGTGGAACACCACGATGGACTAAACATACATAACCAGTTTCAAAAGCAGCATGTTCAAAGGTTGTAGATTTACAAAGGTTCTTAACCTCAGTCCAGACCTTATAACTACACAATGGGCTTGCATAGGAGGTGTATTTGGCTGGAATTGAAATACCTTCTCCATTGTCCTTTAAGAGACGTTGAGCACCATCTAAACATTCTGGACTCAGTTCATTATCACCAAAAGATCCCAACAATTCAGAAACTAATAAATCTGCTTTTTCAGGTGGATTCCACACACGCATATCTTTTTGAATGACTTCCACTATTGGAACATCCAAGTTATCACGACCATTGACATGAGTAAATGTACTCCAAATAGTCTTTCTATAGTAGAGTAAATGACTGAGAGCATTTGGATTCTTCTCTACAGCATAAACCAGCACTGGAACATTCACTGTTCTGGCAGCTCTTAAAACTGCCTTAACAATTGGACCTCTACCAGCACCCAAAACCATGGAAATGACACGCATATTCTTGAGGGCTTCTGGGTCGTTGGCAAGTTTGGCCTTCTTAGCTTCATACAAATCAACAAGAGCCTTTTCAGCAGCTTGTTCATAGAGAAGATATTTGATTGGATCACGTTCGAAAACTTCATAAGTTTGACTTTCCAAGTTATCAATGAGTGGTTGTAATGGTCTTTGTAAAAAGTCACGGAAAGACTTGCTGAATGCTTCAACCTTAGACAAGATTGGGCAATTTTCAAATAATGACATGATTGATCTCTTGTAAATCTTCATATTTGGAGAGGCATCTGCTCCAGCACTGAAAATAAATTGAATATCATATTTGAATGATTTTCTGATAAATTGTTCCAATCCCTCATTCAAAAAGTGTGATTGATTGTTTTGTGGAGCAGCAAAATTGTCCAAGTTCAAAATTATTGTTCTCACATTTTCTGCAATCCATACAGATAAGGCAGTGACAAGTGGATTTTCGCATCCGAATGTTTGCTTTTCGAAAGGATTCCAAAAGGCTTCATGTGGATAATGTTGGGCAGTTTCAGGTGTATTTGCTGTCTTTTTCTTCTTCTTGTCACCTTCTACTTGGGTTGGCTTACATGATTGAGCCAATTCTTCAATATCTCTATTTTTCACATCCAAAACTGGAACAAGTAAGCTATGGCTTTGGCACATGGTTCTCATCAAATTCCACAAATGATAATTTTGAGCACTGAAACGAACCCAAATAGCAGTACTTCCCATACTTGGAAGAATCTTGTTAATGAATTGAGCAAGAGCAATGGTCATTTCTCTTCCTTGAGGTTCTGGGAAAAGAACAGCAGGAATACACAAGTGAGAAGCCCATTGAATTTCTTGTTGAATGATTAACTTGGCAGCTTGAGCTTGTAAATGAACTTGTGAAAGAGTACCAGCAGTTGATGGAATGGCATGAGTATTATTCTGTTTTGTCTTTTTAACAGGGGATGGCTGTCCGCAAAGATATTCATCAATTGCAGGAACTTCGTATGGCTTTTCACAAGATAATAATTTCTTATTGTTATTGTTGTAAATTCCAAAAGCAGCTTGGAAAGCAGATTCATCTACCTTTCCGACCATACAGTGAGACCAATCTGTTGTTCTAAACAAATAACGTCTAGAAGAAACTGTGTGCTTGTGGCAAATTTGTCTTAAATCCAAAAGTGTAGGTTGACTTGGCGTATTCTTCTTTTGTTGTTGATGAGTTTGTTTATGAATAGAAATATCCATAACTAAAAAGTCCAATTCATATGCATTAACTTCGGAAATGGCATCTTCAACACTTTCTACATGAATGTTGATTCCTTTCTTACTCTTATCTTGCAAAGATCCCATAGTAGGCATACTTTGAAATTCCATACCAAGAAATGGTGTAGTAATAAAGCCAGTTTCATCAGTAGCAGGTTCATTAGTAATTGTATCGACAATAGGATCGGCAAGAGGATCCACTTGCTGTTGTTGTTGTTCGGAATTTTTGCTCATTTCCTATTATCCAAATATTCCAAGTTGTTTTTAAATTGGTGTCCAAAGAAGAAGATTCTATAGCGTATCAGAGAAAAATAGCAACACGACGAGTCGAGAAGAGGTGGTACTAACACAACAAGAGAGAAAAAAGGCTTCCGCAAACTTGGTGATGATATTTTTTTCTAAAGCTTCACCTTTTTCCGAGACTTCGAAAGAATTGGCAAAAGATTGAAGAGAAAATAAATGAAAAATATTAAACATGGAAAGTTTCAGGCTATTTCATTAATGTTCTTTTGTGTTTTTGGAATTGTATGGAAGGAGCTTAAAGGTTGTTTATTATTGATAATCTGATAATTTGAAGGAGCCTGTGTGAGAATAATTGACAGAACCAATCATGTTGACTTGAATATGATCGAGTGAAGTTGGATTTGATTTGTGATATCTGAACCATAAATCACCTCCATTGAGGGATATTCTGACTGTGGCAGTATTTGGAATATTGCCAATTGAATTGGTGATGGCATTTCTCAAGTAGAGAACTTGAGATACAGCAAAAGCTCCAGTCCCACATGCATTGGTTTCTCCACTACCTCTCTCCCAAGTACGTTGACGGGCAGAGAGAATGCAATTGGATTTTAATGATTTGATGAGAGGTGAATCATTTGTTTCAATATGCTGAGCTGAAATGGTTTCAATGAATTCTACATTGGTCCTATTTGGAAATAATTGTTTCAAATTTTCAATGATTGGACCAATTGTATGAAGTGGGAATGAATCGACTGCTTTCATTGTGTTATCAATCTCATTCTGTGAAGAAATTTCATTAACCCAACAAATGGCATGTGGATTAGGTACCAAAAGACAATACAGAGGAATTTCACAATCCAAATATTGTTTGAAAATGATTTTCCTAATTGAATTCTCCTCCTGTTCCACATATTCAATAGAATTTGAATTATTTTCAAATGAGAAATTAACACTTTTTGTTTGTAAATTTCCCATCTCAATCTCAACCATCAGAGGTGAAGATTTGGAAAATGTAGACCTATCCTCATAACAAATACATTGATACAATCTCTTTCCTCTATTACTTTGTACATTGATTCTATATCCAAGTTGTCCTCCCTCAAGTGTTTGTTTTTTAATTTTACCACTCTCCACCAAACGATCACAGGCAAACTGAGCAACACATCTCAATCCATTTCCACACATTTCTCCACTCGATCCATCGGAATTGTACATTTCCATTTGACAATGAATTATTTGATGATGATTTGTTTCATTCTCCAATAATTCTGGTGTTGGATTCGTGATGAAAATTACACCATCAGCTCCAATACCAAATGTTCGATGACACAACTTTTGAATACAATATTCAATTAGATTATGTTGATGATTTAGATAGATTCGGAAATCATTAGCTTCTGATGAATGTAATAAATTACAACAATTAATGTAAATATAATCATTTCCCAATCCGTGCATTTTGCAAAATGTTATCGAAGGAATGGATTTGATAAAGCCAATCTCCTCAGGAGAAGGAACGAACTGTAAATGTTGCATTTTTCTTCTTAAAAACTTTAATATTTAATTTATAATATTTTGTTGATTTCTAAAAAAGAGTATTTCACCAAATCAGAATGTAGTTCAAGCTTTGAATTTATTCGATTCTTATACTATAGTAATTAAATAAATTTGATTTCATCCAATTAAATAAATAATAATTTACAATGTTTTAATAAATAATTTAGTTCTTTTTCTTGGTATTTTCATAGACAAAATCGAGGACACCCTTTGTTGTCATTGAACCTTCGTGTGTGATTGGTTTCTTAACATTTCCATCCTTAAATAAATAAAGAGTTGGGAAACCTTCCAAGTTGACCTTGTTAGCCAATGATTCATACTTGTCACCATCCACTTTAGCAATCTTAATATCAACTCTCTTTGATCCAGAAATTAACTTTCCAAGTCTTCCTAAACTTTTAGCAAATTGTTGACAATGTCCACACCACTATAATTCCAACACAATTATCCAATCAATAATATTATTATCATATGGAATATTCATCATCACCATATCATTAATCATCATTATAATCATCACGATCGACATTTAAAATCAAAAAGTACATTAAACAACACCTACCGGAGCATAAAATTCTACAACAACATATTTGTTCGATTTGATAAAGCTTTCAAAGGTAGCATCGGTCAATTCTGTTACTCCTTCCATCTGATCTTCTGGTTTAGCCCAAGCAAAACTCAAAGCCAATACGAAAGCCACCATCAGGGCAATAAAAACTCGTTTGTTGATGAACATTTTTTTTTCTAATATTAAAAATTGATTAAGTGATCAACAACACATCATCACACAGGTATTTAAATTATCAAGCTAAGATCGTATGATGACTTGAGTCATTCAGTGCTTTGAAAACACAGAAAAGGTTTATGGTGGAGCGAAGAACCAAAAGATGATTGTGTTCTTGCTATCAAACATCATGCCCATTAGAGAAGAAGAACATAAAAAGAGCTTTGGATTTCTCTCTGACAAGCCATTAATAGAAGATGATGATTATTTTCATTTAGAATCCTCTGATTGTAATTAATAAGGAATCATGTAATGATTAACCCCAAGTTAAACCACTTCCTCAATAACATAATTGATTAGAAAATTAAAGCAAATATCGGAGTTAAACAATTAAACAATTCAAAAAAATGTTTAGAAGAATACTATCAAATCCTAGCTTAAAGTTTATAGTAAATAGTGTTGGTGGAGATACCAGAAAATTGTCCTCTTTCAAGAGGGTTGGAATATCATCATTAGTAACAACACTCGGAAAGATAAATATTGTTCATAATTTTCATCATCAAATTAAACAAAATCAACAAGATGAAACACCACTCATTATTCAAGTGGATAAGAGTGAGGAAAAGTTTGCCGAGTTGAATCAATTAATTAGAGAAAATCCAACACCTCAGAATGAATTGTACTTTCAGAGAGGATTGATTTTCATGAATTATTTCAAGGATTATTCAAAGGCAATGGATGATTTCAATAGGGTCATTGAGAATGAACCAAATCTTGGAGATGCCTATTCACAGAGAGGATTAATTTATCAAATTACCAGACAGGGTGATCTTGCTATTGAGGATTTTACAAAGGCAATTTCACTCCTTTCTGCACCTAATGTATTGAGTAAACTTCATTACAATAGAGGTGTTACCTATTCGGAGATGTCTGATAATTCAAAGGCAATGGATGATTTTTCCAGAGCTATTGAGCTGGATCCATCATTCCATGCAGCATACAATAATAGAGGACTTTTATATACTAGAATGGAAGAAGAAGAGTTGGCAATCAAGGATTTCTCAAAGGCAATTGATTTGGATCCAAATTTTTCAGATTTTTATTATAATAGAGGAAATTCGTACTGTGCCATTGGTGAGTATGAGAATGCCATGAGCGACTATACCAAGTGTATTGAATTGGAGCCATCATTCGACTGTTATTACAATAGAGGAAACTTGCATTTTGGATATCAATCAATTGATAAGGCAATTGATGATTTTACCAAGTCTATTGAACTCAAATCTGATTTTTCAATGAGTTGGATGCATAGAGGAAATGCCTATTGTAAGATTAGTAACTATGATTTGGCAATAGTTGATTTGACAAGAGCAATAGAATTGAATCCAAATTTCCCAGGTGGTTACTTTAATAGAGGAATTGCATTCACGCTCACAAAGGACTATAGTAAGGCACTCGATGATTTCACTCGAGTTATTGAAATTGTACCAACACTTGGTCCTCATATGGAAATGCTTCTTCCTCTCCATGCAAGTGCCTATCATTTGAGAGGTAATGTCTATCAAAACATGCAGGAAACAGAGAAGGCACAACTCGATTTTAAGAAAGCCATCGAGTTGAATCCAGCTCTTGAATCTGTTATAAATTATAAGGAATAAAAGTTGTTTTATGGACATGTTATGGAGAAGATGCAACAAAAAGGTAAGAAGAACCTCTGGTGGTGTGCATGCATGTAATATTTACAATAAGAATGAAGATTGGAATTTGGTAAAATCAAGCTTTTCTCCACAAATCTTCTCATATAAATCTTCAACATCCTCTACACATGATTCCAAGTGCATTGAGGCATCGTATGACTTGGTAATGAATACTCCATCATTCAAATTCTCAGTTGGCTCATTAACCATACGAATGGAGATGAACTTTTCCTCAATTGGTTCCAATAAAGCAAGAACATCCTTAATTTCTGATTCTGGATCTTGTGTTTCAGCAATGGTAGAGATGGAGACTAGGAATTTTCCATTTGGAGCAATTTCCTGATTGTGTTTCAATACACGACAGTAAATGTCATGTTTGTGATTTTGAGGTTTTGGGAAGATGATTTGACAGGAATTTGATACTTGGGGAATTGGATGATGAGAAAGAATGCAAACTGCATGGATTACCTTTCCAACACATTGAACTCTCTCAGTAAAGTAACTCGAATCACCAATTATCATTTGACATCTGGCAATTATCCCATCGGATTCAACACCACAAACATGTCCATTCTCATCATAATGAATCTTCTCAACTGGTGCATCCAACATGCAAGTAGCTTCATTCAATACACTAAAACGATTCAACACTTGAGTCAACTCTCCCAATCCATATTTAGGATAAAGAAATGGTGATTTCCCATTTTCATTAAGAGATTCCTCATAAAGTGAAACTTTTTCAATAAATTCACAAGCAGTCTCATTGACAAATGAATCATCTGAATACATTCCAACGACATGTCCCAAATAATTAATGGTTTCCTCATCAACATTGAAATGTTCAAAAACATTTCCAATACAAAGTTTGGAGCAATCAAGTCCTTGATGAGTGGTTGGATCATTTTGATTGTAATTAGACAAGAAGTTCAATAGGTTTTTGGCTTGAATAGGGTTTGAACCAGTTACAAGAGGAGAGTGGATAATTTCATAATGTTGAATTGGAATCTTGACGAATGAGTTTTCATGATAAACGAAAGCGGAATCAATAGGTGAAAGTTCAATACCCATACGAATAACACCGAGGGATCTGAGAATTTTAACAAGTTTTCCACTTGAAAGGGCAAGTTTTGGAATCAAATCAATGTTATAGTCCTTACTAGATCCAAGCTCAATAGGTGGAACTGAACTGTCACCCTTCAACATTTCAAACATTTGATTCAAGTTCAATGAAGCAATCTCTCCACCATAATACTTATTTCTATCACGAATTAAAACTTTGTAACCTTTCAATGTCATCAAAGCAGCAAGAATTGACTCAGTCAATCCAGTACCAAGCACTACAATATCATATTCGCTTTCCATTTTTTTTTGTTTGTTGTAAAATTATCTCCATTTCTAGGGCCAGTTTTAAGTATTTTTGAAGTTGAAAGAAACGGTGAAGATTTCAATTCAAACAGAAATTCCAAGAAAATTGTAACACTCAAAAATTATTTTAAGAATTTTTATTAATCAAGTAGAAACTTAACGAACACTTAAAAAAAGATTTTTCAAGATTTGCAATAATGTGAAATTTGTCATAATTGATGACTCTGAAGTTTCAGCTCCCAAACTTTTTCAATTGATTAATTTATTAAGATTGAATCGACATAACTTTCACTTTTGATAGAAAATCTTAAATTCATAAAATGTTTCGAATTCTTGTAAAATCTCCAAAAGATGATCCATTCTTTCTTTAAATTCGTTATATTCCTATAGCTCAGTTCCACAAATTCCATGATTTCTAATCGAATAGATTGTTTGGAAATATAGTTTATCCAAGATCAAATAATCTTCATTCCAACCCTAAATCAACTATAGCCACTCCATAATCATTGTGCAACCATTTAAGAAGGCGAATATTTTCCATAACTGGCATTTGACCATCATAATATCCTCCTATCACTGTTTCTGTACTGCATGACATCCAATAATCGCCATCAGGTGACCATTTCCATTCTCCATCCATTTGTTTGTAAAATATAGGAGTGACAGTAGTGAATTGGGGCTCGAAAGGTTTGTGCACATAGGTGCCTCCAAATTTGGGATTTTTAATCAAAACATCTAAAATGAACCAGAATTGGGTAAAACTCAATCCCTTTTCGAACGCTTCACTTTCTTTAAAACTTAAAACCTTTCTCAAGTTTAAGAGTAATTCTTCGTTAGATTTGGATGAGATAGTTTTGAGTTTATGGAATACATAATCAATCACTAACCCCTTTCCCACAAAAAATTCATTGAATAATTGTTTCACATTTGGTCGTTCATGTTCTCTCAATAGCATTCTAAGAAGAACATTCTTAACATCTTTCCATAATGGTGAGTCTTTTAAGCAATGGGTGCTTTGCTCAAATAGTTTTTCAACTCTATGGACTGTAGTTATGAACTTTTTTTCTGAATTGTTATTATTAAATTCCAACAAATGATAATGTTTTGTAAAATCACACTGCTCATCCCCAAACATAAACTTCAATATTGTGATTGCAAGACTCCACACATCCCATTTAAAACTTGCATGATTTTCTACCTCTAGCTCAGGAGGCAAATACCCCACAGAGCCTACACTAGAATAAAGTTCAAAGTCTTGAATATGATTAATTTTTGTTGCAACTCCATAGTCGCCCAAAACAACCAAATCTGAATTACTATTATTATCCATGAAAATATTCCCCAATTTTACATCTCTGTGTATCAAATCATTTTCATGAAGCCTTTTTAAGGCTGCCGTAACCTGCAATAAAATCTTTAGAACTAACGAGACAGCTATCTTTTCCCCTTTCCCTATTTTTTCTGCTCTCAGCCTACCCAAATCCAATCCACGATAGGTAGTAATTGCAACAACCTCGTTTTCTAATTGATGAATTCCTGCTGTAAGAATATTGAAAAAATCTAATCCATTAATAATATCCATTAGTTCAGTTTTGGTTTCACCATCTACTTTCTCTTGCTCATCCGCAAACTTGATGACCTTGAAAACAAATAAATTCAACATTCTATCTTGACAAGCCACCACTATTCTGTTATTTGTCATCATCAGCCACTCAACTGGCCGATACATGAATTCATCAAACTCGAAAATTGTATTAGACTGGTAACAACCCAATAATGTCTTGAAAAGGCTTGTTTTCATGTTAATTAATTTTTTAGTTGTGATGATTGAAAATCGAGAATACGGAGATTACCCAGAACCCAGAAACGTGATTTTGTTTTGCGCCATTTTTTTACGATTTTTTTTAAAATTTTTTTTAAATATTTTTTCTTGGTTCAAATTGATGGCCAGTGTTTGCTTCTTTGCAACAATTTTAAAACCTTATTCCTTACAATTGTGGAACAAATTGGATTAAAAAAGAACAACTGGTGGGGCTGGCCCATAACGCAGCAATCGAACCATCCAAACCATATGTTGCTCCTTCGCGGTAACCTTTTTGTCGCAGTATGATTGCTGAAAGTGAGATATTGCGTTCAATTTTGAAAGTGCAATAAATTAGTTTTATTAATGGATATTTTGGTTGTGATTAATTTGTTTATTTTCAAACTGATTTCAATTCATAATTTGATAATTAATAAGTCTTAATAATTTTTATTGACAGTTTTTGTGGGGATGTGTAGCCCGTCTAGCTCAGTCGGTAGAGCGCAAGGCTCTTAACCTTGTGGTCGTGGGTTCGACCCCCACGGTGGGCGATTCATATTTTACTTTCTTCTTTTTTTTGCAATACAATTGTCTTTTTTAGTTGTTTAATTTGATACAATACTTTTGTTTGGCTTGTTGTAGGAGTTTTGATGCTTCTGAGAATGGAAGTATAGATGCAAAAGAGTTACTTCTGATATCCAAGGTGTGTAATTGAGTGATTAATTTGCTCTCAAGAATATACTTGAGCCCTTCCACATTAATCGAGTTATTCTGAATACTCAACTCTCTCAAATTTGAAAATACAGAACTTTGGGCAATAAATTTAGGTCCCTCATTCTTGATTGCATTACCATCCATTTCTAAATGTGTTAAATTTGATAGATGAGCACTTTGAGATAAATATTTAACACCTTCTGGTCCAATTTTGTTATCAAATAACAAGAGTGTTGTCAAGTGAGACATAAATGGACTCTCTGCCACTAATTTAGCTCCTTCAGCACCAATATTATTACTTTCCAAACTAAGGGAGGTCAAATTTGAGAAATTTTGAGAGGAAACAATCAATCGAACTCCCTCTACTCCCAGTTGATTTTCATACAGAACTAGTGTTGTGACTTTTGAAAGATAAGGGCTCGTAGAAAGATATCCAGCTCCCTCTACACCAATATTATTCTCTCTTAATCCAAGAGTTGTGCAATTAGAGAGTAATGGACTTTCTGATAAATATTTCATACCCTCTGGACGAATCTTATTTTTAAACAGCTGAATAGTTGTCAGATTGGTAATACACAAACTATTTGATAAATAAGAGCATCCATCACTTCCAATTCCATTCATTTCCAATCCTATCATTGTCAAATTAGCCATATATGGACTCTGAGATAGATATTTCACACCCTCAGCTCCAATTCTATTTTCTAGCAAGAGAATTCTTCTCAAGTTTGCCATGTATTGACTATTGGCAATGTATTTAATTCCATCTGAGTCTATAAGATTCTGAGATAGATACAGAGAAGTCAATTTGGACATGTACATGCTTTCTGCTAAGTGTTTACAGCAAATAGATCCGAGAGAATTGTTTCTGACATCGAGAGTTGTAAGGTTTGTCATGTTTGGTGACTCTACTATCGTTTTGAATGCCTTTTCACTGAGTCCTGTGTTTTTCAAGTTGAGTTCCATCATATTATAGAAGAAAATACTCATAGAAATGTGTTTGGCTGCAGTTTCGCCAACAATATTTCGTTCGAGATCTAACTTGGTCAAATTCTGCATTTTTTGACTATTACAAAGATATTCAATATCTCTATCAATATTATTGTTAGAAATATCCAAGCTAGTCAACTGACGCATGTTATTAGATTCTGAAATATATCTGCAACCAGATGACAGTATATGAACATTATCTCCCAAATCCAAAACCTTTAAATTGCAAAGATATGGGTTTTCAGAGAGAACTCTGGCATGCTTACTCTCCAATCCACATTTTCTCAATCTCAAACTTGTCAAATTGGAAACGTGTTTGCTTTTCGAAAGGAAAATGGAAACATCTACTCCAATGCCTGTATTACATACTTCCAAACTGGTAATATTCATCATGAATGGACTCATGATAATGTATTTGTTTTCCAGCTCACTCATTTGAGATCCAATCAATAGCTTGGTACTCAGTGCTTGTTTCAATAATTCTTCATTTCTTTCTTTAGTTTTGTATTTACTGAAACCTGAAAGAAACTCTTCAACACTTGAATTTTCTGGACAATACACAAGCTCTGCAGAACTTGTCAACAACATTTCATTATTGTTCATTCCAATTACTTCTTCATTAAATTCCATCATTGGAGCAGAACACTCCACATCATTCAATACCTGATTATTAACATCCTGAAAGCAAGGTTGCAAATCAAGAGCCACATCCACTCTCTGCATTAAATCATGAAAAACATCTTCCAATCCAGGAATCACCACCTTTGAAGCCATTTCTCTCTCATACTCCTCATGATCGAATGGTTTATAATGTGAATCGTGCATGGATTGTTTCTGAATTTTCATTTGCCCTTCAACACGTTGCAACAACTCATCTCTCCACTCTTCCACTCGTGTGATGAGTTGATGAGAGAGTTGAATGATTTTTCCGTAGCAGGCTGTCGTGGTGTTCTCTGCTTGATTATTGCTGTCTGATGACGATGAGGGAAGTAGAACCATTTTTTTTTGTGGAAGAATTGAAGAAAGTGATTGGAAGGTTGTTGGAAGGGTATGAGATTTTTTACATTTGTTTGAGAAAGTTGTTACTTTTACAAATCTTAGATTGTTTTTTGAATCACATGATTAGGTTCATTGCATTCACTTCTTAGTACTTAATACCTTAGAAAATACTCTGTGAAAAGAAACTTCGAATTCAACATCAATCAAACCAAACTCCTTTCCATTTTAAAATTTTTCCAATTAGAACTCTTTTTGAAGCTAATTTTACTTTTCTCATCAATTTCCCTATCAAAAAAAAAAGCACAAACAAAACATTTCCCGCAAAGGATTTCAAAACTCTTCCATACAATAATAAAAATGAGCGGTTATCAAAATCTTCAAGATGAAGCTGATGAATACGTTCCAACCAGTGAACAAATTCAACAAGAAGAAGCACAACAACAACAACCAACTTTTACTCAAAAGCAAGAACCAATTGTTCACCAACAACAACAACCAAATGTTGCTACTACTGGTCAACAACAACAACAAGCCTTCTATGCTGTTCCGGTTATGGGACAAGATGGACAACAACAAATTGCCTACATTCCACAAAGTCAATATGCCCAGTTTCTTCAACAACAACAAATGTATCAACAATATTTACAACAACAACAGTTATTGCAACAACAACAACAACAATCTGGACAACCACAAATTCAATTGCCTCCTCTCCCAAATGTAAATCATATTCCACAACAACAACCTACCTATGTTCCATCTACTCTTCCACCTACCATTCAACCAACTACTACTCCTATTGTAACCAATACTACTGTTCAAGTTACTGATGAATCCTATGTCAAGGTTCAAGGAGTTGAACCAGCACTTGTTTTGCTCTGTAATTTGGTCTTCCCTGGTTTGGGACATTTTGTCATTGGACAACAATCAAAGGGTGCTATCTATCTCGTTGTTTCAGTTGTTTTGACTACCATTCTTGCCGTATTGTGTGCCTTCTTTATTGGTATTCCATTAATTCCTCTCGTTCTCATTTACAATATTCTCGTTATGATTGATGGTTATGTTATTGCTGATCGTATTCGTAAGGGTTATCCAGTTTTGAAGGGTGAATGTTATTGCAGAATTACTAGTTGGGGTGTTTCTTTGGTTGAAACTAAGAGCCCTGTATTCGTTCATGGTAGTGCTGCTGAACCAGCTGTTTGGCAATTACAATGCAGACAAGTTGATAGACAAAGAAATCTTTAATTCTCTCTTTGGATTTCTCTATTGTAAATAAACCACAAAACTAACTCTGACAACTTAATAGTTTATTACACTTGAATGGAAAGATCTTCTGTAGTAGAGATTACTGATTGATCCAATAGTGGCTTCGTTTTCTCAACAATAATTGGAGATGATGGTGAATTGCATGACATTGCTTTGCTAGCATTTAGTCCACTCGTTGATTTGAATTGCAAATGAGTTCTAGCAAGAGCTGTACTCAATTCCTTTTCTAAATTATCGAATAGTTTCGAAGGCAGTAGATCTGTATCCTCAAAGATATCATTCTTGTTATTGTACAAATCCAACACTGTTCTCACTTCTTGAAAGAGTGCTGAAAAGTGCGAACATTGATTCACCTCATGAAAATTTTCAACAATCTCAAATATAGTTTCGTATTTCATCCTTTCAAAATAAACTAATTTCTTCTCGGCCTCTTTAGCCACCTTATAAACCAACCTCGAATTCTTTTCCTTCATGTTAATATTCTGTTTCCTCACATACTCTCCAGTCAATTCAAATAAATTCATTTGTGCATCATACGATTCCAATGAAAATTCCTTATAAAATTGAATCTTTTCCAAAATCAAATATTGACCTTCCATTTTACAATCTTTACAAAACTTTCTAAAATCTCTTCTCATGGACGGATTGGACATGGTTTCTTTCAACATATTTCGATTGGCTGAGTGAAGATTCTTTGCATTCGATCGATCTTTCCTCAATGCAAATATGAAAATTATTAGAATGGTTGGAAGAATCACTGCCAATGAGAAACAGACCAAAAATAAAGTGGCAATTCCACTATTCTTGACCAGCATATCAGCATGATGGCACATTTCGAATAGCTTGTCCTGTAAATCATAGAAAGAGGTTTGAAAATCATTGAAAGTCGTGGCATAGTCAACTGAGTAAAGTTGACTTCTTGCCTCTGCTTGAATGGTCTTATTGAGAGAGTAATAGGTCGTTCCATTTATCACCCTAAACGAAACCACCTTCTTTACCATCTTATCCCAATAGTTCACAAAAATAGGATAAGTTGCCAAAGGTTTCGTCAAAAATTCATGACTAAACTTTGTTGGAATAATATGCGTAAAATTTGTATAACTATTATTAAAATTATTCTTATAGTAATAATAGTAATAATAGGTCGAATACGAATCATAATTACCCTTATTCTCAACTCCCAACCTTAACATATCCCTCATGGCAATATATGAGGCAAATAATTTTGCACGACTTGTCATTAAATCTAGAATTGGTATTTTTTTAATTTCATAGAATGGAAGGGCAACGAGGAGGGCAATGGAAATGAGCGCTAAAATACTGAGGAGAATTGCCATTACGGATAAACATGGGACAATTCCAATTTTTCCTCCGCAACAAAGGGAAACCTTCTTTTTGTTCCATTGAGAGATTAGGGAGTATCTTTTACGAATGTTTGGTTGGGATTCATTGTGGTTTTCAAGTGGTTCTTCGTTGATGTCATCTTCTTGTTGAACTTTTGTAAACATGGGACTGGCATTTGACATGTCGCCGAGTTCAGGAATTTCTAGACTTTCCAGATCGTCTGCCATGTTACTAATATTATCAAGTTGAGTATTTGAGAGAATGTCGTTTGTATCACCAAGTTGAAAGTTTGGTGCAATTGAAAGGTCTTGCTCCTGCCAAGATTCATTATTCGAAACTAGATTATTAGATGATGTGTTTTGAAAAACCTCTTCCTTAATGCTGGTTTCCAATATTTCATGTTGATTTAAATTCATTTTTTTTGAATTATTGAAAATTAATTGATGTTGACGTTTCGGTAGGTTTAGTTCAAGATTGTTAGAGATTGTTTTTATTGCGCTTATCTCCAATAGTAATGAAAAAGGAAACCTCAGATAGTGTTCAATGACAACTCTTGTTTTTTAATATTCGAGAGAGATAGCTAATATCCCTATTACGTTTCGTCTATCTCTACCGAAATATACGAAAGGCAAGTAATGATTCATATCATGCACTTGGGGGAATGTACAAAGAGAATTGATGTACTTCCAAGAGATTTTATCTTTCGTCTACTTTCCAATAAAAACTCAACATCTGTCCCCTTCCTTAATTAATAATCTCTTAAAAAAATGCCAGTTCTCCCCAACGAAACTCCTCGCGAAAGACTCAACTCTCCAACCTCAACCAGTGTAACCATTACTTCACCCATTCCATTATCCGAAACTAATCAAGGTGATGAACCTATTCGAAAGAAAAGTGTCCTAATTGATGATGGCACCATTACCGTTATCAACGCTCAAGAATCCAGAATTCAAACCCTAAAACGAAAATATTCCATAACTTCTGCAAAAACCAAGACTACCTCCAACACGTCAAAATCTCAATCCATTGTAAATGTCAAATCATGTTGTGGAACTTTTGCTTTCAATTGCATGAGAATTGTCTCTATATTGGGAATGTTCTTGATTATTGCTTCATTTCTTGCCATTTTCATAACAACAATTTATAACTATGATATTGTAAAGTGGCCACTTGTCGAAATTTTACAACATTACGGGAATTCCTACAAGTATTACAATACAATGATCATGACAGAGTATATAGCAGTGTATGGAAGGAATGAAAGTTATGCATTGGAATATTATGCTGCTAAGAAATCATTAATTTCGACCATGAATCGATTATTTTCATTGGTGCCAAGTGCTAGTTTGGGAAATTTGACACGTGACGCGAATGAAATACCTCTTTTTAAATTACAGGAACAGGTTGTGGAATATGTAGTGGCGAAGAATTATTCAGCTGCATTGACTGCCTTTTATAATCCAACTCATTACAATGGAATGTACACTTTTCTAAATACATATGTGAATTTTGTGGGTGATATCAAGAATTTGAGTGTAATTCAGCTAAATGCGATGGAAACTGCCACGACAACTGACTTGACAGTTATTGCAGTTTGTTTATCAGTGGCAATTCCATTGGTTGTCTTGATTTTTATTCATGCTATTAAGGTTGAACATGATTCGGCTAAGAAATTGGAACATGCCAAGGCAATTATGGTCATTCAGACAATTGCAGATCCATTTATGAGACCCTTATTTGGTGAATATTGTAAGGGAGATTCACTTTCGAATAGATTTCACTTTCTTGAACAAGTTCAGATATTTAAGGAACATAAGAAATCATTACATTCGACTATCAAGTCAATTCTGGAAGATATGAAAAACTTTTCCAATGAGAGAAATAACAACAGCAGTTTACTCAATTGCTCCACTGCTAATTCACCTTCTCAGGAAGATGATGAACAGAGTGAGATTTTGACATTTTCCAGTGATTTATTGTCACTGAATTCGTTCAAGTTGAATGATAGTGAAGATAGACAAGCAATGGAAATATATAATCAATTCTTGGATACTGAACTTGCCAGAAATCATGTCAAGTATTCGAAACATGAAGAAATTAAGAAGGAAATTGAAAGATATCAAGTTAAGATATCGATTGGTGACTCTGAAGGTGATTTGACAAATATTTTCGATGAAGCTCAAATTCAAATTGGAAAGAAATTGATCAACTGCCATGAAACGTTCAAGAATTCATTGAATTTCCCAAACCAATCCAAATCTGACATGTTGGATTCTTTCAGAGTTGAATATTTAAAGTTGATGAAAAAGGTGGAAAATCCTCAAAAGAATAGCTTTAGAAATATCGATCAATTTAAATAAAGCATAAAATTAAGTGTAGAGGAAAGCAAAAATCAAATTATGAAAAGATGAGAAAGAACGTTTAATATTTGTCAAATTAGTGCCTGCGGTTAAAAAAGTAAGCTGGAGATGCGGGGTATCGATCCCCGTACCTCTTCCATGCTAAAGAAGCGCTCTACCATGTGAGCTACATCCCCTTCCCTTCACAATGAAATTGTTCTATTTACCAACAAAATTTCTAAAATTCTGTCTTTAAAAGTTTATTTACAATAATTTATTAAGGTTTAACCCTTTTTAAAGCTCATTTGTCAAGTCAGGATAAAACGACTTGTCCATAAATTTGGTTTGATGGGGAGCATTCTGATCATTGGCAGTTCCCATTGTAGCTCCACTCACATTCTCAATATTTTCAATTGTTTTAGGTTGTTGACTTGTTCTCCATGGTGTTTGTTCAGGAATTGACTGTTGTGTGCTCACATCAACATTAGCAACTCGAGTACTAGCCAAACTGTCATCAATAATCCCTTTCATTTGATTGATATTTTGCTGCAAATTGAGAAAATCTGCATTCATTCGATTACTTTCGTCAATCTTATCAAAGATCGATGCCACCTTTTTCGATTGTTCATGTGAAAGATCAGCAAGTTTTTTCAATAATTCATAATCATGTTTTGCTGCATATTGCTCCTCGAAAGATAACTCACGAGAGGTATTGCTTGTATGGCCTTGTGTGCTGTGTGTGAATCCTTCGCCTCCCTTATCGGTGGCACTCACAAGGAGTACACTCTTGAGATGAGTGGAAAAGGAACGAGATGGTGAGTGATGTTTGAGTTTTAGAAGGGATTTGATCATCTTTTTATTGGTTTTGTATGGGGAGAGTGTTGGATCTCTTGATGGACTATTTGCAATCCAATTGATATGGAAATATTCTAAAGATGGAAGTTTCCACATTGGAATATTTCATATTGTACTTTAACTCACATTCTTCCTTAATAAATTTGAATTGACACACTGAAGTCTTTTTTGATGTTTACTCTTACAATGATGGTTATGAGAAGAAAGAATCTAAATAATGGAAATGAATTGTGTCAATATTGGAAACAATTACAAGGATATAATTCCACTTTGTTCTTGATTGATCCAATCATTTAATAAAACAACTTCCAAAATTATTAACACACCTATTTTTTATCTCCAACACGTCCATACTTGTTACCAGAATGCAAAGATCTTGGAGGAGGTGCTCCTTGTGATTTTCCTTCTGGCTGTTTGTCATTTTCTCCACTTTTCTTGCCTCTATATTCATCAAAATCTCTTTTTCTTCCATAATAGCTATCTCCTCTATCACTTCTGTCATAAGATGATGGTGATCTTCTTGAATCACTTCTTGGTTCATAAGATGGTGATCTTCTAGAATCGTTCAATCTTCTATCATCCCTTCTGTCACCTCTATCATACTTATCAGTTCTATTATCCCTTCTGTCACCTCTATCAAAATCTCTTCTCCTACTATTATCAAAAGCTCCACCTCTTCTATCATTATTGGAATTATTTCTCTTGGCTTCTGAAAACTTTTCAGCTGCCATTAATACTCCTCCCTTTGGTGCATTTTCCAATTTACTCTTATTTGTAGATGAGCTACTCTCTTGTCGATTTACACTTGATGATGACGATGATGATGGCTTAGCAGATTCTTCCTTTTTTTGTATTGTTTCTAATGATTTTCCTTCATGTTTTTCAATTTCTTCCTTTAATCTTCTTTTATATTCATCCAATACAGTATTCTCTACCTTGGTTTCCTTCACTAGTTCTTGTTCCGAATCTGATGATGATGCTGAATCCGATGATGATGAAGAATTTGTCGTCTTTCTCTTCTTCTTTAACTTTTTCAAACGTTTGCTCATTGAAGCACCACCACCATCACTCGATGATGAGGAATAACTCGAATCTCCACTACTACTCGAATAATCAGGATTTAAATAACTATCACTATCACTACAAGTCCAAATGGCATCTTCATCATTAATTTCTGCTGGTTTTTTACTCTCTGGAGGTAAATCAAATTGTTCATTAATTGGTATTCCCTTCCTCATCATTTCCAACTTTTCAGTGTGGGACAATCGTTTGGTGTAGGTTGTTGATGGAGCTTTCTCTCCTTTACATTGATATGTCCAGTGGCCTTCCGTGAAACATTTCTGACAAAATCCTCCTCCTCCTTCTGTCTTTTGATCTCTTTCTCTTGTCCTGCTATTATTGTTGTTGTTCATTTGTTGTTTTAGATGTAATATTATTTTTTTATTATTATTTATAAAATTATATAATTCATCATCAATACTATCACATCATTATTCATCATCAATTTGTTTACCTGTTCAAATTGTCTAAATATAAGCAAGGATTTGATGGAATTAATTTCTTTGGCTTTCTTGAATTAAACGTTCCATTGGTTGATGGATATTTAATACTCTTGATTTCAAAGCCTAAAAAAAATGCCTCCAAAGAAAAAGCAATCTACAAAGAAGAGAAAGAAAGATGATACTGATTCCGATGATGACTACTCGGAAGATGTTATTGGTGAAGAAGAATTGGTAGAAACTAAATCAAGTTCCAAGAAGAAGAAGAAGAAAACAAATTCAATCCGAAGAATATGATTGGTCAACAATTAATATTGATGCTACCGTCAAGAGATTCCACGAATTGGATCAACAGATTTTAAAATTGGAGGAGGAAAGACAACAAGCTCTCAAGATTTTAAAATCTCATCCACAAACACTGGTACAATATTCTACTGTCAATAGATATGAAAAGACAAAGGAGGGTTTTCAATCATCTGGCTTTTATGACTTGGGATCTGATTGTTTGACTTTAATTTTCGATTTTTGTTTTGCAAGACAAGTTGTGGAGGCTCCATTTGTTATCAAATTATTTGGAATGACAACAAAAATTAGACAAGCTCTTTTGAATTCAAATTTCATTCTAGGTATTGCACAACCAAATTACAAATTCAATGTCAAAGCAATGCCTATATTTACTCGATTATATGGTTTAGAAATAGTACTTGATAGTGATAGAATTACTATTGCTGATCATTTATTGAAAAAAGGAAGCAAACTATCACATCTGGTTGTGAGGGATGACATTTCTTTGGAAAAAAATTCATTAACAGAGGAATTGAAAGACAAGATCAAATCAATTCAACACTTTTCTTCCAGAAATGCGCGTTCAAGAAATACCTTTGGCTCATTCAACTCTCTTGAACATTTCAGCACATTATCTTTTTGTAGAGTATCAAAAATACCAAATGCCAAGAGTGCCATTATTACTGCACCAACAGTCGAGTTTGGCTATATTCCTCAACTTTTTGAAAAGATAACAGATCTTTTAGTTGTTATTTGCCCATCCTGTAAAACATCAAAGGCTAACTTTAGTGAAGATAGGCTCTTTGGAACCATTAAGGCAAAGTATTTCGTTTCAGTTAGATTTCAATCCAAGTCTAAAAAACCAGATTTGATGGCTAGTTCTTCATTCTCTGTTAAGATATTTGAACAGGTAGAGGGTTTGGATGATGATGCTCCATCGTCAAGCAAGTATTTAGCGATGCCTAATCAAATACACTTTACAAGCAACTACCGTGATGCATTTGAAAAAATAGAAGGAATTCAATATCACACAAATGACATTCCTGGATTCTTTAAAACACAATTTTAATAGAAGAAAGGAATAAAGGAATAAAGAAGTAATTTAATAACATTATTCATTTAATAATTTCTTCCTCTTCTTCCTCTATTGTTGTCTGTTGATGGTGTTTTGGTTTCATTGGCTCAGAGTTTGCCAGTGGTTCGTACCACTTGGCAGTGAAACCAGCCTTATGACGAGCCTCAACATTGAATGGTGGTCTCAAAACGCCAGAACTGGTATTTTGCTTAACCATCTTGTGGAAATACTCAATAATTAGATCTTCATCAATATCTGTCAAGCATTCCAATCCTTTTTGCTTTCTTTCCTCATTCACTAAATGAGTACAACAGAATTTGAACCATTTTACACCCTTTTCAACATGACTAATCTCCTCTTCCAATATTATGGTTAGTACATCAGCAGATACATTGTCTTTGGCATCTTTCAAACGTTTAATATTTGTTGGAGTTCTATCCAATCCTCTGGCTTCATGAACCATATGCAGAATGCACAATCTCAACATGACATCATGTTCAGTTTGAATTGAGGATTCCCACAAACCTCCATGAGTTGGAAAAGCTCCATAGTAATATTTGCTATCCAACTCTGCCAATCTCTTATTCAACATTCTGAAATGTCTACATTCATCAATTGCTACTTCAAACCAATCCACTAGAAATTCATCAGGTAAATACTCCAAAATGGCAAATCTCACCAAAATATCCCAGGATAAATCAATTGCATAACTTTCCATATGACAAATTGAGCTAATTCAATATATTCAATTTCCAGCAATTATTTCAATATTTTCGCAATTATTCCAATCAATTCCAATTTTTTAAAATAATTTCCACCAATATTCCAATTATAATTTCCTTTTAAAAACCTACTGAACCAAAGCTGCTCTATTTTCCACAGTTCCACCACCTCTCTTATGAAGTTGTTTCCTATCCAAAACAATTGTAACATTATCTGGTCGTTGCGGTGTTTGTGGTGGTCTATTTTCCATCATGAATTGAAGCGACGATGAAAAATCATTGAAGCCTCGTGCTGTGATTTTCCCTTCACGAAATAATTTTTCAGCCATAAATGAAATATCAACCTTATCCTCTGTATCTTTGGTATTTAAAACGACCAATCCGAAGGCATAGAGTGAGTGGCATTCTTGTGCGATTTTTTGCAAATCGATGGTGGATTCTCTCTCTGATGATGACATTTTTTTTTTAAATAATTTACAACAATATTTAATGTGTTATTTAATATTAAAGTTATAATTATTTAAAAGTCTTTAATAGTATGTAAAAATATTCCCATTTTGAATCGTCAACATATTGAAAAAATGAAACGAAAATATGAAGAAGAATTTCCCGAGATTATTGACTCTCCCAACTCTATTACTAAGGCACTAAAGTTTGAGCAGACACTTGTGGAGGCGCCACAACAAGCTGCACAAGAATATTACATTAATCAATCTGAATATCATGATTCTCAGATCCACTCTCAAACACCACCCATAGCAGCTTCCTCTTCATTCTCTCAATTCACCACAATTGAACAACACCGTACCCACTCCTCCGAGCAATATCTTGCCTTTCAAACAGAGGAGCAGCCACAAGTTCAAACACCAAAGGCAAATACTTGGTTTCCTGTTCATGTTCCAGATAGACCCCAATCTCAACAAAATCATAAAGATGCTGATGAGGAGAGGAAATTAACACATGAAGAATTGGAAGAATTATTCGCCAATTGCACTGATCAATGTGATTCAGAGGTTCAAAATTGCATTAGATAATTACATTGTACTGGTGAGAATGGATTTGAGAAGGATTACTCCAAGGCGGTGGAATGGTTACTAAAATCAGTCGATCAGAATAATAATACGAATGCCTTATTCAATATTGGATACATGTTTGAAACTGGATTGGGGAGAGAACAGAATTATTCGGAAGCTTTGGAATGGTATGAGATGGCAGCTGAACAGGGAGATCCAGAAGCTCAATTTACAGTTGGTTTGTTTTATGAGTTTGGAAAGGGAGTGGAGAAGGATGAAGAACAAGCCAGAGAATGGTATTGGAAAGCAGCTAGATGTGGTCATGCAGATGCTCAGAAGAAAATTGAATTGCTCAATAAATCAACTCAACAATATTATCAGTACAATACTTTTAACAACAGAATAATTTATTCTTCATCAGTAATATCGAATAATGATAGCTGCCATCGTTCAGTTTCACCACTTTTTATGGAAATAACTCTCATAGCAAGTGTAATGAATGACATGGTGAGAATCACTAACAAGAGCACTGCACTAGTATTTCTCGCCTTACTCTTTCTCTTATAATTTCCGCCGATTATACTTGTAGCTAATGCAGAAATGGAAATGCAAGCAAAGATCACAAGAACAAAGATGAGCATTCTACGATCGAGGGAATCAACGCCACCAGAGCCTCCAGAGGTTCCAGTTACTATGGCAATTGCAATAAAGATGAGTATCCAAACGAATGTTTTGAATCCCCCAATCATTATAACCAGAATCATCAAGTTGGATAAAATCAAATTCGTTACAACTGATCTATTTCTGAAAATTTCAAATAATGGGGAAAGGTAGTGTTGAGCGGGTGTATTAGAGGATTCAAATAATCCCTCAATACTTTCAGTATTCTTAATCATGTGCTTTAAAGAAATGGCCAATCCGAGAGCCGTTGACATGTTGAAAGAAATAAGGCAGCAAATAATGAAATCATCCACATATCTCATTAATATGAGTGTAAGTATTGTTTGTAAAATAATCACTAAAGAAACACTATTAGCCTCTTTGTAAAATTCAATATTCCTATCCATTCGATTATAGAAATGAGCTGCAATGCACAGAATGGTGAATACCATTTTGAAAAATACATGCAAAGTAGCGTAGAAAGGAGTGGCAGGTAATTCGCCAATCATCCAAGTGCAGAACAACATTGGAGCAAATATAATTAAGAGAAGAAGGGATCCTCCAGCTCTCAATGATTTCTCTTGAATGTATTCAATTTCATGAGCTAGACCAAAATCAGGTTGCTCATCCTGAGAAATAAATAAAAAGATCAATAATCTATAAAACAGTATAGGAAAGGACAGGAAATATTTAAGATAACCAACAAACTTTCCACTTGTCTGAGTTTCCACATTATTAATATATTGATTTCTCTCCTCGGAATATATAAAAGCAATACTATCTCTCCACTTTTTGTATCTCAAATATCGTTCCTTGTATTTTTCATAGAGATCACCCGAATTATTTTGATCCAACAATTCATAAGAATTTGGTGATGATGAAGAAGAGGCAGCCTCATCCCGACTAGAATTTGTATTGTTCGCCACTGGAGATGACAGAAGGCTACCACCATTTTGATTTGTATTCTGATGATTATTCAATGCTGCTGCTGCGTCATCCTTCAATAACTTCCAATCAGCACTCAATAATTTTCTCCACAATTCATCATCGTGAGAAACTTCATAAAAGCCCCTACACGTTGCCGAAGTCATGACAATTGCATCAAAATCCATAAACTGCAATATTTCGAGTAGAATTTCAGGTGGTAGATAAACCTTATCAACATTTTCCCATTCAAGTTGTTGTTGATTTGATGAGAAACCATTCCGAACATCAACAGAATTGAAATTTTCTTCATGTCTTGAAGATTTTATGATTGAAAATTCAGCCATTTTTTTTTTCTCTAAATTTTAAAGATTTCAATTTCAAAGGGTATTTGATATTTTACAATAATAAGGTATAAAATAGTTTACAACAAATATTGCAAATTAACAATATTAAGCAAGTCAGTACCCACACAAAGTACTGACCTCACAAAATATCTTCCCACCTATTGTGAACTATAGTCCTTCTCACACGATCTAGCTTAGGTTCTTGGTTACTCTTTGATTGATAACTAAACTGATGAAAGATCAAATCACCAAATAAAGCCATCAAGTGCACTATTTTCATTACCGTAAAAAAATGATGATGAAACTCTACGCTGTACCACCATCAACAACAAGGAAGAGGAATTTGGCCGTTTTTTCCTTGATGATTGTGATGATGATTGGCATCTTGTTGGTTCAGGATTTTTCAATGGCTGTTCCGATCAGAGGATTGAATATTCAAAATACTTATAAAACTAGTCAAACAAAGAGTAATAATAATAATATATATACTAGGAAAATGGCTAGCCATTATGATTTATTTAGAGAATTCAAGACTGTTAGAGGATCTTCTTCGGATTATGGTGTCAAGTTTGTGCACTTGTCTTATACGATGAATGCTAATGAAATGGTTGTGCAATGGCATACTTATGGATATGATGAAAAGATTGGGAAGCCTATGGTGTTAATTGGAAGATCTGCACAAGAATTGAATTCTGCTCCACAATGGTTTGGAGTTGGTGCTCAAACATCAACCTATGGAGATTCTAGTGTTACTGGATTTGATCATGCTGTCTTGTTGACTAATTTAACATTTGATACTACTTTTTATTATAAGGCAGGTTTTGGAAGTGTTGTAAATGGAGCTCCACAACTTTCAGTTTCCTCTGAGGTTCATTCATTTACAACAAGAAGTGCTGATCCAGATGAAGTCACTGTTGTCATGTTTGGAGATATGGGAGTATTCTTTTGTTATGAAAATATTGACAGAATTACAGAGCTCTCAAAGAAACATGCCAATGATGGCAACTTTTTCATTTATCATGTTGGAGACATTTCTTATGCTGATAGTTATCCTGGCATTATGTATCAATATGTTTGGAACAAATTCTTTGAACATTGGGAAGGAGTTCATCCAAGTGTACCATACATGGTAACTGTTGGTAATCATGAACATGCTCCAAGAATGGGTCCAGAAAGGTAAGCTTTTTTATTGAGGTAATATTTATTCGAATAATTTTATAATTCTTATAGACACGAATATGAATTCAATTTTACTGCCTACAATCACAAATTCTACATGCCATTGAGAAATAATACTGACTATGGTCATAATATGTGGTAAGTATTCATAGACAGAGTCAATACGAATAATGTCATTATTCTCAATTTAATAATAATAGGTATCACTTTGACTTTGGTCCAATTCGTTGGGTAGCATTCGATTCTGAAACCAACTATCCAAATTGCCCATATGATCCAGTTTTCAAGGGTGATCACGTTGGCTATGTGAGAAATGCCTTACAAACTGTCAATAGAGATGAAACTCCACTCATGCTCACTGTTGGACATAGACCATTGTATTGTACAGAAAAGGAATTCTCTGATGCCAATGGTAATGTGGTTGGTAGTGCCAAGCATTTGAAGGATGTATTTGAGCAAGATTGGAAAGCCAATAAGGTAGACATGATGGTATGTGGTCATGCTCATGTCTATGAAAGACAATATCCAATTTATAATGGAACAATTGAAACTAAGAATCCAACCAATTATACTGACCTATCTGATCCATTGTATCTTATTTCAGGAGCTGGTGGCTGTTTAGGTGGATTGGACAAAGATCATGATTTCAATCGTGGTATTCCATGGAGTTTCATGTCCTACAATAAGGAAGAAGGTTTTGGAGTTTTGAAAGTGAAAAGAGACAAGATTAATAGAAGACAAGTTACTGTAAATTGGCAATTTTTCAATGACAAGGGTGACCTCGTCGATCAATTTACATTAACCAAGACTAAATAGATGGAAACAATATTAATATATTTTAAAATTTAAACATTTTACAATTTTCTATTAATTTAAAATTAAAAAAAATGCCATCACATACTTGTCGGTCATCACAAGTTTTGGACAAAATGAAGAAAAATCGATCATCAATTCTCTCCGTTATCATTTTGATTATTTTCATCATTTTACAATTTAATAGTCAAATAATATTTGGACAATATATTCCAGCCTCCGATAATCAAACTATTGTTTGTCCGTTTGTACCTAATAGTCAACCAGTGCAGGTAAGAATAGAAATTTATCATTAATTGATATTTATGAAATTGTTCAATAACAATTGGATTAAAAATTGGGATATTATAATTAATTGGAATAATGTTAAACAATATAGTGTCAGGATTGTTATTGTCATGATGGATTGAGTTGTTGTACGAATCAAATTGATTTGGGATTGAAAAATTATTTATCGGAAAGATTAAATCAAAATAATTATCCTAATTGTTTTGCACAAATGAGGAGAATCAAGTGCTCCATTTGTTCACCATCTTCATATTTATTTAATGCTGAAAAGGGACGTGTCATGTTATGTGACAATTTTTGTTTTGAGGTTGTTAAAGCTTGTCAAAGTGAAAAGGCCTTATTCAATGATGGAACACCAGTTTTTCCAGAAGATGAAGCACCAGAGTATTTGTGTGGATCACAAACGGAATATTCAATTGGAGATTATGTCAAGAGCTCAATTTCTGTACTGAGCAGTGTATTAAATAGAGGAAGCAGTGAATCGGCAGCAAATAATGGAAATGTGACCATACCTACTATCAAAATTGATGGTTCCATCTATTCATTAACAACTAATTGTGAGAATGATTTATACAAATTGCAACATTGTTTTCCAGGTACAAGTAGCTCTGTAGATGCTGCATTCATCACTTCTATTTTGGTTTATGTTTGGGTCATTGGCGTTTTAGTGAGCTCTATTATTTCATGCTGTGTTTTCTTTTCCAAGTGGAAAAGGAGAAGCTATCAACAAATTATGTAATTCATTTTGTAAATATAGAGGATCTTTCTCAATTATGTAATAATAATTTAATGAAATTATTTTTGTTGTTTCTTCTTTTTCAACATTTCCAAAACCTTAGATTTCTTAGCTTTAGTGGCTTCAGTTTCTTCACTGGTGAGTTTAACCTTCTTTTGTTCACTGGCATCTTCTGATTCTTCTTCTTCATCTTCCTTTTGTCTCTTGGTACCTTGTTTCTTGGCAGAATCCTTAGCATTTTCGAGAGTGTGAATTTCACATGAAAGAGCAAGTTTACCATCAACAATATCTTGCTTGACCTTTGAAATAGTTTCAGCAGAGTCGAATTCAACCCAAGCCAAACCAGAGCTTCTTCCCAAAGTCCAAACAGATGTTTCGGCAACATTGTATTCCTTCAACATTTCAGCAACTTCCTTATCAGTAGCCTTTTCAGCCAATCCAGATACCAAAAGTGACAAGGAGGTATTGATCTTCTTTGGAGTTTCAACCTTTTCAGTCTTTTGAGTTGATGATGATGGCAAAGCTCCTCCCACTGACTTTCTAGTGGCCTTCAATCCTTCAGCCAAAATTGAGTTATCAGATACCTTTTCTTCTTCCTTCAATTGTCCACAATCAGCAATAACAACTCTAGCTTTTGGTCTACCTTCAGATGTTCCATACTTTTCAACAGCTCTGACAACTGTCATTCCTTCAACAACTTGTCCAAAAACAACATGTTTACCATCTATTATATTCCACAATTATCATCATTAAATTTTCAACAAATAATCACAATAATAAATTATTCATCAATAATATTGAAGTTCAATTAAATTTTCACACATCATCAATATAGTAAAATTTTGTTAGCCTCCTCCCACACAAAAACAAACTTACCCAACCATGGAGTCTTGACAGTTGTAATAAAGAATTGAGAACCGTTAGTATTCTTACCAGAGTTGGCCATTGAAAGCAAACCAGTCTATTTACATTGTCACAAAATTTCCATTCCAATCATCATGATAACATACCTTATTGTGTTTTAATTTAAAGTTTTCATCAGCAAACTTTCTTCCGTATAAAGAATCACTACCAGTACCATCTCCATTAATTATATCACCTCCTTGAAGCATAAAGTTTGGAATAATTCTATGGAAAATAGATCCTTTAAAGTGGAACTTCTTATTTGGATAATTTTTAGACATTCCTTGTTCACCAGTGCAGAGACATCTAAAATTTTCAGCAGTTTTTGGTACAATATCATCGAAAAGTTCCATAACAATACGTCCGGCATCCTTTCCTGCGATAGTAACATCAAAGAAAACTTTGGTTCTCTTTGTTGGTGCTTGGGTGTTGATGAGTTTAGAATTGTTGAGTGAGGAGAGCGATTTGCGTGATGACATTTTTTTTGAACAAGACAAAAATATTTTAATAATTTTGTGCAACTGAAAAAAGGCGGGAAATCATATTGATAATATGAGTTTAACATGAAAAAGTTGCTTTTCGTTTCATAACTTGATACTTCCTTAATGTTTGGTGTTAAAAAAGATTAAAATGTGATGTCTGGCAGCCAAGTCACTAATAATTCCGAGCCAATGGGAAAGATAAGTGTGTATAGCTAGCACATTTGTTTCATCACGGTAGATAACCCTGCCTATACTATTGAGACCTAGTAATCGCATGAGTAGCAGTGATTTTTTTTGGAGTACTCATCAATAAACACATCCTCTCTTCCGAACACCTTAACGCTCATCCAACATTGTGGATGTGGTTTTGAATATTTTTTTAATATTTTTTACCATATTTTGTTCTTGGCATGAATGCTATCCGGCCGAGTTTTGGCTGGGAATACATCTTTTCAAACAATTCAGATAAATAGTAAACTTTGGAAAGAATAAATTGTGATTTTTTACTGAAAGTTTGGATTAATTGATATGAGTGATCCCCATAATGAGAAGATGTTGAAAAAGTTGGTTATTTTTTGATCTTAACGATGTTTAAGGACGTAAGGTTGGCTGTTCGATTTAAGCTGAAAGAAATCACACAAAATAATGATTAGTTGTTACTAAGGTTGGATGGAGGTATTAAGCATCTTAAATTTGTAGCTAAGATCCCTTGATAATATAGGTACTTGAGGCAGGAGGTCCTTTCAATCCTTATTGTTTACGAGTTTATTTTTAAAACTAAGGAAAAAAATGAAGCGTGGTCACCATGAAGTTGACAACATTCTTCCCGAGATGGAACAAGATAATAAGAAAAGTAAATGTATGTTAGATAGAACATAACGAAAATTTATTAATTTATCTAATTAAGTATTTAGTGACTATTCCAGTTAGTACCGTGCGCAAGATGAACCATACAGAGGTGGTTGAAATGATGAGAAATGTTGGTCTTGATGAGAATACTATTAAATGTTTGGACCAAACATTCACAGGTGCTCTAGTTTTTTTAACCGTATTATTCCTTAAAGATATCATGAAAAGAGAAGAAGAACATGGATGGTGGAAAGAAGCACTTGATGAAATTCTTCCTAGCTGTAACAATAATATGAAGGCTGCAGAGGAAATAATTTGTTTGTTAGTCGGACTATATGTGCCAAGAGAACAAGATTTGGGGTGGGTTGAAGCTAAACTCTCTAAGGTTGATAGGAATGGAACAAATTGGGTTAATGAATTGTACGATGAGGCATTCGAATATGTTAAATCATTTGATTCGCAAAGACCATTAGAACCAATAGAAGAATTCATTGAGAAGAACTTCAAATCTGATAATGTGAAATACTGCTCTCTCAATTTGGTTTCACATGAGACATTTGCAAGACCACTTCCAATCAAATTTGGAACTCTTGCAAAACATTATTTACCTTTTATTCCATCTCTTCAAATTGAATCCAACAATGATAAGATATTGGAACGAACAAGTTGTAAAACAGTAACAACCATTATTGCACCTTCTGGAACAGGGAAAACATCTTTAATGATTAGAAGACTTTGTAAAACAGCAGGGCTTCTATTGACAGGTACAGCTACATATGAACATGACAGCCACGAAACAACTGATTCAACAATAAGAACCTTGATTAGTTGTTTGAACTCAAGAGTTAATGCTTTCGGTTACATTCGACATGCTGTTCAAATATTATTGATTTCCAAGTTGACCTATCTTCTTCTATTGATTGAAAAAAGTCAAAAAGAGCCATCAATCTTGGATCCATTTGAGGGTTCTTTGCTTTCCTTCCTTGCATTCAACCAATTTAATGGATCAAATGATTATTCTTGTTCAATATTCGTCTACCTTTTCCCCCAGTACAAACATGAATTCTTTCCACGTTTACAGCTCCTTACAAAAAATCTCATTTCAAAAGTGAAAGAGAAAACTAATTCTTCTGATTTTGTCATTTGTGTAGATGAAGCCAACGTTCTTGAAGAGTAAGTAGTGTCCATTCCATATTGTTTCTAATTGAATAACAAACAGACATAGTAATTATAAGTATATTTCATCGAATGGAAATGAGAAAGGGGCCCTTTGTAAATTCATTGATGAAATAATGAGTGTGAACTCACTTGGTTCAAATATAATTGCTGGTACTAGTTTTTCAATTAAAATGAATGATGTGACTCAATCTCATCTCCAGAAAACAGAATATCAACAAGATACAATCACTCTTTCAGATTTTGAATATTTAGACTATGAATCATTTAACAAATTCCTTTCCATGCATATTAAGGTAAAAGAAAACTTCAAACAAGAGGAAAATTTTCCAATCAGAATCAGACAAGCTGCCCAGTGTATGGAATATTTCATTGGTGATGTCATGAAAGAACAGTGTGTCAAGAGAGATTTACAACAATGTTTTGACGCTAGTACTGACTCAATAATTCAAGCATTGAAAAAAAAAGCAGTAACGTTTTTGAAAGAGTTCAGGGATAAGGAACACTTTGAAAATTATACGAAACCTATTTATTGGAATACATGATTAGTCACCAATATTCGGAAAGATATGGTACCTCCTTCTATGTCCCTAACAAAGAAATTGCAGCACATTTTCTAATGTCAGGAATTGCAGGTCCAGTGGGTTCAACTTTACAAAATGGCTCAGTTGAGTTTAAGACGGTGGATGTAATAGGTTTCAAATTGGCCAAGGAAATTCTAAGAATGAAGTCCCTGCCAAGCATTGAAGAGATGGACTTGGCAATTTATGTTGGACAACAAATAGTGGATAGAACAACCTTTGAAATAGCCTATTTAATTGCACTTTCTGCAGTTAAAGGGAAATTTACAACGTTGTTTAATTTCAACTCAACAATCAATGAGTCTTTGCAACAAAAATTGAAGACAATCGACTTTGCATGCAACAAGGTTTTTACTTGTAATGGATTTAAGGATTATTGCTTGAAACAACAGTGGATTACAGCTTCTGAAGACAAAACTGGAGAGGAGTTATATTTAGAATATGCTGTTCACAATTGTGAACGTATCAACAAAATTCTGTTTAGACCACCTGCAAGTACTGCACATGATGATGGAATACTTGCATTGACTGACAAAGATGGAGAACTTGTTTTTATTAGATTTAGTTTGAAATGTTTAACTGGTAAAGATTACGGATACAAATCAACTCTTCCTGAATTAATGTTCAAAGATAATTATCAAAAAATCTCATTACCAGAACTTAATGAATATGTTGATGAGAACCATATGAAGAAAATTGATAATTTCCAAAAATTGTTGGATCCTTTGCATTGGTGGGGTAAATATAGAGCTGATTTTCTGAAATTATCCCTAAACAGGACACTTTCAGTCATTCTCCACCCAGATTTGAATCTATAAAAGATAGAGCTAACTCCTTGTACCACAATGCAATATTCATCACATCAATTGCAGATATTGAAAAATTGTTTGGAAAGAAATTTGCTGGTTGTGTTGAGCAATTTTTGAAACTATAAATGGAAATTGTCTACAACGAAAAACAGCCAGTTTCATTCAAAACATTCATGGTTGTCCAATTTACAAAACACAATAAACGGCAAACAACATTAGAGACACTACAGGGTCTAGATGGCTATCCTTAATTTTTTTTTCCTTTGAAGATGAATGACATTCTTAGACTGATTAGGGAGGTGGTTCACTAAAACAGAGGACGGTTATGAGAAGGAAATGTGAAAGTCTGCCACCTCGTGCCAATGCTAGATCAGAACGAGAAGTTAGTAACTTTCAGGTTCCATTTTATTAGAAGCTGGTACCTCTCATTCAGATTTGAATATTTGACTTCAAACCATTAAAAAAATTCCTTAGAGGGAAAAAAGAAAATTGTCGCTCTTTTCGTTTAAAAAATCTAAAATGGATTAATTGATTGAATTGGGGAAAAACAAAACGGTTGTATGATGTATTTACCGTATACAATGTTGTAATAGATGTAGGAAAATGTATGAATTCCTCTCATTGGACATTAACTTTTGACAGATTCACATCTCCCTCTCAACATCTTTCCTCTACACCAACATAATCTTCATATTAGCTTCAATCATATATGCTCTATCATAGAGAGATGATTCCCAATCCATCTCCAACACATAACATTTCAATAAATATCATCTAAATACACATAATATCAAAGAACAAAACATCTCACTCTCTTTAAATCAAGGTTCATCTCCACTTGCATCCTCCTCTTCAGCTAAATAGAAGCATCTTCTCCAGCAAGAAGTGTTGCCTCTTTTTGAGCTCAACCGTCAACATCCATCCAAATATTGGGAAATTGAATCCCGTTTAATCAACTGTATCGCAAAATTAAAAATAAAAAAAATGAGTGGAAGAAAGTCGTATCCTTCCTCTTCTGCTGGAAATACAAGTAGTAGCAGCATTGGTGGTGGTTGCAGTCATTCAACGACCATGTCGTCGACGGAAGCAAAGAAAGCGACTAGATTTGTAGATAGTGATTTAAGAGAGGGTGATTTAATTTTTGTCAAGTTGGGTAGGTTAATTTGATATATTGGTAATGAGTTGATCATACAACAACAAATAACAAAAATTTATTATTATTATTTATATTGGTGGATGATAATTATTATAATTGGACAATGATCATAATAATACAATATTTGATCTAATCATCAACAATTTATTATTTAATTATGAATAATTATACAACAAGATGGTTGCCCATATTGGCCTGCAAAGGTTATTTCTCCACACTCAACCAAAATTCCAAAAAGTATGAGAGAAGAAATTCTTGAAGGCATGGAAGATGAAGATGGAACAAGTTCTCTTATAGAATTTTTTGGAGATGACAAATCCAAATAGTAAGTTTATCAGAGATGTCACATCATTGAGAAATTTTGAATTACTAGTTATTGGATGGATAGAGTTGTAGAAATTTATACAAGAAATCCAGCAGTGATAACAAATGAAATGACGAGAAAAAACAAAAAATTGGCAGAGGCTATGCGTCAAGCAAATTCTTATTCGGAAAAAAGCTCTACAGATGATAAGCAAACAATACAACAAAGAAGGAGTAGTTTCTCTGATAAGAATTTAACCATTTCTACACCACCATCGAAAAAAAGAAAGGCTGTAGAGATTGACTCGAAGAAAAAATCCAAAGTTGTAATTGATTCAGATTCTGAAGATGACAATGAGGAAGAAGAATTATCTGACGAAGATGATAATGTCTCTGATTATAGCTCTGATGGAGAAAAGAGAAATAATGACAACTTGGAGGAAGAAGAATATTCATTTTCTGAAGAGGAAGAAGAGGAAAAACCTAAACCTGTAAAGAGAAAAATCAAAAGGACAAAAGTAGAAGAAGTTGACAAAAATACTTGTCACAAATGTGGAAAGTATTACAAAGTTACTGTTCAATGTACAAATGATGAATGTGGAAAAGTATTATGTAAAAAGTGTTGTGGCAATCCTAGACTGGATAAGAAATATTTTGAGGACTGGTTGTGTTCTGATTGTAAAGTTTGTACCATGTGCGAGAAGAAGACTTGTCCCATAACTCAGGGAAATGAAACAAGTAGAGGTCTATATACGTGTACGAAATGTGATATCTCATATCATGTAAATTGCCTAGCTGGGGAAGGTACCTATGTGTTATACAATGGATCTCTGATATGTCCAGAATGTACAGAAAAGAAATTAGAATGGCTGGAAAGAAGAGGAGAAAAAGATCCTGAAGTATACGATTTCTTATTTGAAACAGAAAAGAAAGACTATTCAATGAAAAATGTAAAGGTTTCAGATATGGAAGATGATGAAGAGGAAGAACAGGAAGAGGAGGATGAAGAGGAAGAAGATAAGAAAGCAACTAATGAAAATTCTGAAAAATCTGAAAAGGTTGTTGCAGTCTATTCTACTGCTCCAGAGCTAGTGAAAAAGGTTGAAGATGAAGAAGAACCACTTTCCTTAAATGTTTCGAATGAAATGGAAAAGGCACTTCAATGCTTTGAAAAGAAAGAAGAGGATTCTCCAAAGAAGAAATCACCAAAATGTGGAAAAGCAAGCAAACACAAGTCTTCTCCACTTGGTCAATTCACCGAGAATATTGAAAATCCACCATTAACACCACCTCCACAACAACAACAACAACCTGTCTGTGTCAAGAAAGAATGTCATACATGTTCATCAACTGAAAAGAAATTTTCCAGTCCTTCTTCTGAATCCCCTGTTGATAGCAAAAGACTTCCAACCTCAGGAAAGAGTAGAAAGGCTACTAAGGTACGCCATAGAGTTTCTGAATCTTCAGAAAGTAGTGGAAATCTTGGTATTGCATCCTCACCAAAGGAAGCTGATTCTTTCAATACCAGTCCAACAGCAAGTCCTCCTACTACTCCACTTTCTGGTCAACTTTCTGAAAATGAGATTACCCTTTTTATCAAATGTGCACTGGATGGTTCAACAGATTATACAAAACGAGTGCGGGTTTCAAATCAAATAGATGTTTCACAACTCAAAAACATTACAAAGAGCATTGTTTTAAAGATGAAAAAGTCAACCATGTTGGATGCACACAAGTTATTTTTGAAGAATGTTGACAGATTTGGTCATGAAGTGTTACTAAATCTTGATGACGATTTCTTCCAAAATGACAAGCTACAGAATAATGATGTTCTGGTAATGCAATTTTAATACATTTTTGATTTCTCAAATTTTCTTTATTTATTTTGCTTTCTAATTTGATTTAAACTCAGCACAATTTCAAAGGACAGCTGGAACGTCATCAAAGTTGATTACAAAAAAAAATGCTTCAACAAGAACCAACTCCATCCTCAGCTATCTTTGAAGTTTTGCCAAACGAATTGATCGGAGAGATTCTCTCTCACATTAGTCATGTCGAATTAATTTTCAACACGAGCCACGTTTGTAAATGTTGGAGAAATTTATGTGGTGAATATATTTTGCAAGGCTATGAAAAGACGTTTAATTCACTATCTGAGAATTCTACTAGACAAGTTGATTTGAATGGATTTTTAGAATCAGTAAATGGAAGAAAATTCAAAAAGTACTTGTTACGAAAGGAGGCTTTTGAGTTTGCTAGTAAATTAGCAAGGAATTCCACCAAGTCTGTTGATATTAAATCATGTTTTGCTATGGAGAGATGGGTTGATGCAGAATTGAGTATTTTGAAGGGATACTTTAACATATTTACAGATATGGAAGAATTACCAATGTTTCCAATAAGAAAACCTACAGTTATTGAATCAAATCAAGCACCTCCATCTAGCTTTTTTGGAAATACTTTATCATTTCTTGGATCATTATTTTCAAAGAGTAATAATACCACAAATGTGAACCAGACAGTTACTTCTGAACAACCACCCAAATCCGAGTTTGACTATCTCACTAAAGTTCTTCTAGACGGTGACTATGCAAGTGGAAAGACTTCATTACTTAATTGTGCAATGAATGATACACCAGTTAATGCAAGTATGAACAGCCATATGACAACTATTGGAATTGATTTTGCAATTAAGAGTTTCCATATCGGAGAGACCACCAAAATCAAACTTCAATTATGGGATCAGTGTGGTCCAGAAAGATTCAGGTCAATTACATCAGCCTATTATAAAAATTCCTCAGTCATCCTACTGCTAGTAGATCCCAGTTCTGAGTATTCAACATTAGAATCAATGAATCAAAAATTGACAGCCATCAAGGAAAATGCACCAAAAGCAGAAGTGATCTTAATTACAACAAAGAAGGATCAGAATAATGAGAGATTAATTTCAAACGAAATAGCTGACAAGTATGCTTTTGAGAATTTTGGAGGGCTTCATTTGGATATCACCAATACTAACATAGAAGAACCATCAGCAATTATTTGGTATTGTGCTATTCTCAAGTATTTACTTGCTCCTGGTGTTGGAAATAAATTGATATAAAGTCTTTTTTTATCATTAAACTTTAAGATTAACCTTATTATTTGAAAATACACAGTAAGGCTGCACTATTGTCACACAAGTAACAATAGCCAGTTGATGAATCAATGTGTATACCATAGGCTCCACTATTCTTACTTTCATAAGTTTGTTGCAGAGTAAGATCTCTATCAAATATCAAAACCTTTCTATTGGAATCAGTTAGGAATACTCTCTGACTTCCTTCCTCATAAAATAATGAATAAAATCCCTGGCTACCTCTACCTGTTAATTGGTCGTACCTTTTTTTAATGATCCAATTGTTGTTATCATTCAATGTGTACACTTCTAAAAATCCCAAACCACATATATACATTTCATTCAAGGAAGAGAAGGTAATATTAGCAGCTTTATCTGTCTTTGGCAAGTTGCCACGTTCAACATTGGCTCCAGTGTTGTAATCAAGAATAAAAATGTCTTGTTCATCAAAATCACACACATGAATCAAATTTTTCCAAATTGAAAATCCCCAAATATATTTAAATGGGTGACTTTGCCAAATTTTGCATTCAGACAAGGGTTTTCTATTGTATATCTTTTGAAAATTAAATCTCACCAAATGATTCGATGAAAATGTAATAAACAAATCATCACCATGAATTTCAAAATAATAAACTGAATGATCAAAGGTGTACTTGAATAATTCCTTTCTTGATTCCAAATCCAAGAACACTAGGCTTTCACCTTGTCCTACTATTAAAACTTTGTATTGATGATTAACTTGGGAATAGAAGGTATTTCCATTTAATTTCAAGGTGTCCACATTTTCAAACTTGAGCGAAAATATTTTCTTGGATGGTTCTCGGAGTTTCTTAATCAAAAATTTACCAAGATCTGGATGGTGTGGTTTAAAATCGATGAGTGAAAGGGTGGTTTTTTCATCCATTTTTTTTTGTTAATGTTGTGATTGTGAACTATTATTAACTCGTGTGTTGTAAACATATAATTAATGGTTGATGCAAGTATGAGGTGAAATTTTGAGAACTTTCAAGTCAAATCAAAACCCATATTCCTGGCAACATCTAACAAACTAACCTTCTTATTGGGTACTTTCGAATTGCTTTCATACTTTCTCTTTTTAGATTCGGTTGTCTCTGAACGTGAAGTATGTGAATTTGATTCTAATGTATCAATACAACATCCAACCAAAGTAAACGGATGAGAGGAATGCTTACTTGTTTTGGGTAATTGTTCAAAACAATTCTGACACAGAGAATAATAGTCACAATATTGGCATGAAAATATGGCGTTCTTAATTGGCTCTTTACAAGTACTACAAGTAATCAGTGAGGGCTTTCTCTTCTCAATACTGGTTAAACTTGTGGCTCTTTCGTTGGAATAGCAATTCATACATAAATCAACTCTATTCGAATCACTATCCAATCCAGAATAATACCTCGAGCTCTGAAACTTTAAACATGAATCACAAACAATTCCAAATAATTTCTGTCTTCTCACTTCTCTCGATTCATCCACTTTCTTATAGAAATTTTCCACCTGTTTCCTCAAAAAGTAATTATTCGAATCAGTATACTCAATTTCACATCTCTTCATCTTTATCCTATTCATCTCATCCATATCCAAACAATTCCAATGAAAATACTCATAAAAACATGCAACCTTTCCCTCCTTCACATGCAATACAATTAATTCCCCCATCTCAATCAACTCCCCACAAACTTGACACAATTGTTTACCATCATTCTCATCCAACTTTTTCAATTTATACTTTTTCAATTTGCCAAGAACATGTTCCGATAATATTTCCCTACATTTCAAACTAAAATCCATTCTCTCCCTCTCATTCATAGCCTCAACATCTTCCAAGCCACTCAATGATGGAAATTTGGAAATTAATTCACCCACACAATCATATCTAATAACTAAATTAACCCATAAATTGGGATTTAATGTGAGGAGTGATGATGAAGGTGTGTTGCATGATGATTCGGAAGTTGTAATTGATGAAAAAGTGTTAATTCCAAAGTGGGATTTATTACTCATGGAAAGACAAATAATAGATGGATAATCTAAATAGTCGATTATTTGGTCCAACAATTCATTGATAGATAGGAGTGGCTTTAAAAAGTGTTGTCCACTTAGCAGTAAACGCATTTTTTTACAATAATTGTCATTAATATTGAATATTATATGTAATGTTGTTTACAATATTCAATCAAAAGAATGTTGAAATTCAATCATTATTTGAAGATCAAATTCAACTTCAAATTCTTCATATTGATTTAAAAATATGAAAAACAAAAATTCACCAATAATAAAAATATCAAAAAAAAGGCGCCAAAATAGAGTTTCGAATGATCCATTCATCGGGTTATGATAGTAATAATATTGGTTGGAGTGGAGTTAATGACGATGATGAATTTGAAAGTTTTCTGTATCCAGAACAATTCCAACAACCACCAATGAATGAGCAAATTAATTCTTCGGAGATGAATATGAATTAATAATAATAATAATTTAAATATGAATAATTTAAATGGAGGAGGATATTATTCGAGTATGATGATCATGCCAAATAATGATCAATGCACTAGTAATTATAGTATGGTTAATTGTGAGAATAGTTTGGGACAATCAATTAATTCTTCATCGTCGACTTCGGCTACTCCTCAGATTGTGGTTTTGATGGTTGAAAAGAGTGAATACTCATGTTTGTCCTGTCGTCAATTACACAGAAAGTGTGATAAATTACTGCCATCCTGTTCCTATTGTTTGAAGAGAGGATACAATTGTACGTATGAAAAACCAAAGAGAGCTGCAAAACCAAATCAACCAAAGTTTGTGTTTGTCGATGAAGGAAGAAAGCAAAGACAGTTATCACACCAAATGAATCAGCCAACAATGGATCAATGTTCTGAAATATCATCATACAGAGGAACTACCAATGTGAGAAGTAGCGTGAATGGTGCTGATTTTGTTTCAGTGAATGAATCAGTTGTCTCTTCGAGTGGAAATTCAAAGGCTATTGTCAGGAGAGGAGAACCTTATGTAAATATTGTAAATAATAGTTTGAATAGGATTGGAAATAATACAACTAGTAATAATCCAATGCAAAACGAATTGAATTATCGGTTCGTTAGTACTCAAACTCTGGATGTATATTTTGGTGTAATTGCTTGTGGAATGCCACTTGTTGAAAGAAAGAAATTGGAACAAGTTTTGGAATATCAATCTAATTTGTATCATCCTTCATTCTCAACCTCTGGGTGTGATTTTTACACTAATCAGTTTGAATTTGAGAAGGATCAATCACTCTTATTCACACTACAAGCATTGTGTTTACAACAGATGGGTCATCGAGACGTTTCTACTCAACTCTATCACCAAGGAAAACAATTATTAGGAAAATATTTTGATGATACTGATTCGATGAATGTCCTACTCGCTATGAAATTTACATCACTCTACTTGCTGGGAGAAGGTGAAAGAAGAAAAGCTAGAGTCATGATGTCAACTGTAAAGGCAGGTATAGAGCCATACCTGTTGAAAAACGAGAAGCTCAAAGAACATACTGATCTAGACCTGATATTGAAGAATACCAAGTCTTTTACGTCATTAATGATTGAATCCATGTTGAAACTGGTTGATCTTTACCTATATGAAGAAACCTACCCGGATACATATCTTTTCGAGGCTATTGAAGAAATTTCTAGCCGAAAAATGAAATTCACTGAAGAAGAACGATCCAGAGGTTGTAAAAAACTGGGCAAAGAAATGTATCACAAGCTGAGGTCTATCATGAAAGCGTTCATGAGTCTCACAACGATATATGTTGAGAGTGAAAGAACACAAAATATAGATAATTTGCTTATGCTTGGTTTGCTGCTCACAACAAAGCAGATTTGGTTGGAAATTCTAATTAATGCAGATGAAAGTATCAGAGATTTGGATGAAATTTTACAAGTTTCGAGTGAAATTATTGGATTAACGAGGACTAGATTCTTTCCCTATCTACAAATCAATGCCACTAAGGGTATCATTTTAGCAACCACGCTGAGGGCAAATTACTATTACAAACTAGGACCTAATGAAAATGTGAATGATGATCTAAGAGCTCTCAGATCACTCTCAAATAAGTACAAATACATCCAAACAGAATGTGTTGATTTGATAAAGGCACTTGAAACACTGACATACATGTCATCAAATAATGGAAGCATGAATCCATTTTCTGTGGATGAAATTTGTAACTTTACCTCCAAAATTGAACCAACATTGAAACCACATATTGAAGGAGGTATTTATGTTTATTATAATGACTATATAGAACACCACAGACCTATTCTGAATGAAGTGATGAAGGATGATGCTGATCTTATAGATGAGCTAGTCAATTGTCTATTGGACCAAGACAAGATTAAGAAAGAAGTTACTGATCCTGTTCAAAAAATAGAGAGCTTGCATCAAAGAAAATTACAACTAGTTCAAGTCTACCGAAATAAGGCAATCAATAGGAAGGATGTTTATCATGTGATTGAAACAGAGCTCATGCAAAAGCAACTCAGTTATGAAATGGAGTTGGAAAAGGCAAAATTGCAACAACAGAAATAAATCATGTATATGTATGAGTAATATTGTATTTCAACTTCAATCAGTTTAAGAACTCTAAAAATCTACAATGTTGTATAATGACAATAGTACTTGGAACCACCTACAAAATTTCCCTCCAAAAATTACAACTTTTGTGTTTACGGTTAGTTGCCGCCAAAACTTGCTTTAAAACTAAACTGGGTAACAGCCAATCTACAAAACACAACAAAAAAAAATCGCTCGTCCTCCATTATAGAGAAACTTGCAAAACACTCGTAAATAATAATAATACAAAATGAGAGAAGTTATTTCAATTCACATTGGTCAAGCTGGTGTTCAAGTCGGTAACGCCTGTTGGGAACTCTACTGTTTGGAACATGGTATTCAACCTGATGGTTTGATGCCATCCGATAAGACTATTGGTGTCGAAGATGATGCTTTCAATACCTTCTTCTCTGAAACTGGTGCTGGTAAGCACGTTCCAAGAGCTGTCTTCCTCGATTTGGAACCAACTGTTGTTGATGAAGTTCGTACCGGTACTTATAGACAACTCTTCCACCCTGAACAATTGATCACTGGTAAGGAAGATGCTGCTAACAACTATGCTAGAGGTCACTACACTATTGGTAAGGAAATTGTCGATTTGTGTTTGGACAGAATTAGAAAGTTGGCTGACAATTGTACTGGTTTGCAAGGTTTCCTTGTCTTCTCATCTGTTGGTGGTGGTACTGGTTCTGGTTTGGGTGCCTTGTTGTTGGAAAGATTGTCTGTTGACTATGGTAAGAAGTCCAAGTTGGGTTTCACTGTTTATCCATCTCCTCAAGTTGCTACTGCTGTTGTTGAACCATACAACTCTGTCTTGTCCACTCACGCCTTGTTGGAACACACTGATGTTGCTGTCATGTTGGACAATGAAGCTATCTATGATATCTGTAGAAGATCATTGGATATCCAAAGACCAACCTACACTAACTTGAACAGATTGATTGCTCAAGTCATCTCCTCATTGACTGCTTCTTTGAGATTCGATGGTGCTTTGAACGTCGACGTTACTGAATTCCAAACTAACTTGGTCCCATATCCAAGAATTCACTTTATGTTGTGTTCTTATGCTCCAGTTATTTCTGCTGAAAAGGCTTATCACGAACAATTGTCTGTTGCTGAAATTACCAACTCTGCTTTCGAACCAGCCTCAATGATGGCTAAGTGTGATCCAAGACACGGTAAATACATGGCTTGTTGTTTGATGTACAGAGGTGATGTCGTTCCAAAGGACGTCAATGCTGCTGTTGCCACTATTAAGACTAAGAGAACTATCCAATTCGTTGACTGGTCACCAACTGGTTTCAAGTGTGGTATCAATTACCAACCACCAACTGTCGTTCCAGGTGGTGATTTGGCTAAGGTTCAAAGAGCTGTCTGTATGATTTCCAACTCTACTGCCATTGCTGAAGTCTTCTCCAGAATTGACCACAAGTTCGACTTGATGTATGCCAAGAGAGCTTTCGTCCATTGGTATGTCGGTGAAGGTATGGAAGAAGGTGAATTCTCTGAAGCCAGAGAAGATTTGGCTGCCCTTGAAAAGGACTACGAAGAAGTTGGTACTGAATCCCAAGAAGGTGATGGTGAAGAAGGTGAAGATGGTGGTGACCAATAAATCCATTAATCTCACTTTCAGTGCAATATTGTTAATGTAATAATTGAACAATCAAGCATTGAAATAATAAAAATTAAAATTTAAAAAAGCTACCTTTTCTTAATTCCTTAAAATAATAACTCATGTCTTCTTTTCACATTTTCAGATTGTTGACATTGTTGAACTAGAAAAATAAATTATATAGGTAATTAACTAGTTATTTTCATTAAAAAGAAGTTGTTTCTTTAAAAATTCACAAGCTACAATGCCAAATACATCCTTCTTCTTTCCAGATATTGCCTTGAAAGATTCTACAAGTTCCATTCTCTTTTCTGCTAGTTTCGTCTTGTCATTATGAAATAATTTTTCTTGTTCACTCATATTCTCAATGAATACATCAACTATTTCCATATCTATACCAAAGTCTCGGAAAAGTGGGGCGTAATCTGACTGATAGGTATCGAAAATGGTTTGTGGTGTTAGATTTTCTTTCGAGCAATTTGATGAGCTTGGTGATGAATTGGAAAGAGACTCTATGGAAAAGATATCCTCTCCAAAATCAAATAATGACTCTATTCCCGATGCACTATTTCTCTGCTGTAAATAGATCAAACTCTCCAGAGCTTTAATGAGGGGAGCACAGCTTGCCTGAATGGCCTTAAAGTTTTTAGAGAGTATTTTCAAGGCACGCAGGTCATCATTGAAATTTTCAGTTGAATCTAGCGAACTGAAATAGTGCACTCTTAGTGTAGAGGCCATTACAATTGGTTTGGTAGCAACAATTGGTAAAAATGAAAATAATTCATCTCTAGTCAATTCTATTACTTGACTGCAAACATTCAAGATTTGTGGAATGTCTCGAATACTTTCTTCTGCATTTTTCAAAATGTCCAAGTGAGCTTGTTTGAACATTAAAGAGTAGAGGAGTTTGAGTGTGGGCGCCTTGTTGAAATTTGTCAAGACAACCTTAGCTAGACACTCCAAAGCAGGGAGCAACGACAATAAGCTATCAATTGCTTCCTTATTCAACACTCTACAATCAGGAATCATTTCACGTAGTTTTGAAAGATTCAAATTATTATTTCCAAGAGTTTCAAATCCATCCAAAATGTAGGTTTTTGGATTTTCTTCCTCTCCAAAATAAGCTTCCAATCCACGAAGCTGAGTATCTACCAAGAATGAAGTAAAACACTTTGGTTGCGTAATAACCCATTCTGAAATGGTGTCATCATCTTGCTGTTTTTCATTTGATGACAATGAAAATGATGGCATTGGATTGTTATTACTTTGCAAGACATCTGCTGGATTCTTATACGGAGCTATAGCACTCTTCACAGATGATAGAATATTCTTGGCCTTCCTATTTTCACCCTCTCCAATCAAATACAATCCCATAAAAGTCATGGCAACCATCATACTTTGAGAATCGAGATCATCAAAATATTTACCCATGATTTGTCTTGCATTTGAGTAAATTAAATTGGCTGTTTCTCTTTGACCGAGTTGTTGCAAACACATGGCCTGTAATGTAAATAATAAACACTGATCCTTTTCAAACTCTGATATGCTACTATACAAGTGACTCATCATTGAGGATGATAATGTATTATTTACAGAATAATCATTTGCAGTTATTGAATTATACTCCAAAACTCTTTCCAAAACTCTCCTATCAGCCATTGGAAATCCATTTGAAAGATATTGATAATAAATATCCAAAGTTTGATTTGTCACCAATCTGTAATTCATTTGCATTTGTTGATTAAACATATTTGCAATATTTACAAAAGCTGCTGATTGCTGCTGCTGTTGATAATCATTCATCATCATTGAATAATTCATAGAATTGTTTTCATTTCTTTGAGAGGAAAATATCAACGAAGAACCAGCAGTCGATTGATAAGGAACCGATCTATACCTATTTTGATTATTATTATTTACATTAAAATTATTATTACTATTATTCATCACCATCATCATATTATTACTACTACTATCAAATCCAGATGATACTAAATTATTATTATTATTATGATGATTACTATTATTTACAAGAGTTGTATCATTGTCATGATGGAGATGATAATTTAACGAAGGGTTTTCATTCTTTTTTCGGATTACAACCGATTGTTCATCTCTGGTTTTTTCATAACAACAAACGTAGCCTCTTTTTGTGCAGTAGGAACAGGACGGAAGAAGTTTATCACATTTTCTGTGGAGTTTTCTGCAGGATTGGCAAGTGGTTGAAGAGCAGGAGGGAAGAGGTTCGGATGGTGGTGAAGATTGAAATGATTGCATTTTTTTTTGAAATTTTTTGATTTTTCAAAGTTTTTTAAAATAGAACAAATTGACTAAAAAGGAAATTTATAAAAATCCAATTATTTTTTTATTAATTTTTTACAATATTGATTATATTATAATCTATTGTGAATAAATTGTGATTAAAGATATTGTTCCAATGGTTGTAAACTTTTCAATTCTAGCATATTTTTAGTATGAGCACAAATGTACATTTTCGGTCTGTTAATACTTTCAGAAAATTTTGCATTAACAATGTAGAGAGTGGAATCATCGAATTAGGTAGGGAGGATTAGTCTCAGATTCGGCCACCAATTCGAAACTGTATTTTGTGCATTTAGAGTTGAGTTCATTGAGTAATGTTTGAATATCATAACATCCAGATCCATAATTTTGAGTAACAATTATTGGAACTCGAATTCTATTGAGCCTTCCTTATTGGGAAGTTTCGAATTTTCATTTTCGGATGAAGATTTGAAACGCCAATATCTTTCCACCAAATCTCTACCAACTCCCCACAATATCCAAAATAAAATGTTGCTTAATCCAATGACAATTCATCTTTTTGCCAAACATGTCGGATAATTCCTGAGACGAAACCAAAACTAATTCGTTATTATGAGACAGCTCACTTGAAACAACAATACTTGAAACCTGTTCACCAATAGAAACTTCAGATTGGGCCAATTCAATACTTTCAATATTGGAAACCGCTTCTTTGAATTGGACTACGTGAGTGCACAGTATTGCAAGCCCACAAAGAAAGCCACCAAATACCTGGCGATGTGTTCTAGCATTTTGTTTTGATAAATTTAAAATCACGTTTTTGGATTCTTAATGAGAAAGGTAGTCTCGATTCGAATAGTTTTTAATTTACGTTTTACATAAGTCAAAAATAAAATCTCGTTTTGTAAACATCCAATTGTAAAAACTAAATATAATAATGGAATAACAAAATTCCACAACAAACACTCTATTCGTACATAGTTTAAAGAACATATTGAAATCTTGTTCGTAAATAGCGTAATTTCATTGTGAATGTAAGGGGATGTAGCTCACATGGTAGAGCGCTTATTTAGCATGGAAGAGGTACGGGGATCGATACCCCGCATCTCCACTCAATCTTTTACTTTGCACAACCATTGGTTACAAGTTTTAATCACGATACTCCCATTCCTTCTTCATTCCAAGAAGCACTTTTAAAACTTTGTATCGTACATTTCACCTGCCAATCACTATTTAAAAAAATGCCACCAAAACTACCAGAAGTTGATGAAGGAGTTTTTGATGAAGTTGATTCTGCACTCTTTGAAGCTCAACGAATCAAAGGCCAATTATTAAAAAAAGAAGCCCAATCCATCGCAAATCGTTCAGTTTATTTCGGAAACAAAATTAAAGATTCCATTGAAAAATACAAAGAAGCTGCTGATTTTTTCATGACAGGAAATGACAATCAACAAGCTATTGATTGTTTCGAGCAGGCTTTGATTTTAATGGAAAAGAAACCAAAGGAATTTAGATCACGTGAAAAGGGTGAAGTTTATTTGGAAATTTCTGAATGTTTGAGAGAAATTGGAGTGAGAACAGTGAAAGAAATGGAAAGATTGGAAGAAATTACACAAAATGCCTGTATTTTATTGGCAGAAGATGGAAAATTCTATAAATCTGCAGGAATTGAAAAGGATTTGGCTAAATTTTTGGAAGAGGAAGGTCCTTCAGTTGATAATGTTGGTGAATTGGAGGAAAATTACTTTTACGCAAAGGCAATTGAACATTATAAGAATGCAGGTGAAATGTTTCAGACAGAAAACAGTAAAACCAGCATGATGGAATGTTTCTTGAAATGTGCAGAGATTTATGGATTGATTGCTGATTATTCAAATGCAATGAAATATTTTGAAAAGGTTGCTTCTGTTTTGGCATCTGAGAAATTAACTGCTTTCAATGCACGTGAACCATTATTGAGATCTTTCCTTTGTAAAATCCTAGAAAATTTAGCAAAAGCTGAAAATGATGACTTGACAGGTGCTCTATGTCAAGGTTATGAAGATTTGAGAGATTGTTATGATAGATACTGTGAAATTTGCATTCATTTGGATGGTTCTTTGGAAGGAAATATGATTTTAAAGTTAATTGAATCTGTCAAGAAGAAAAATCCAAAAGAAATGGCCTCTGCTTTGAAAAAGTTTGACAAGATGAAAACTCTCGACAGTTGGAATACTACTCTCCTTCTCAAAATTAAGGAGGCAATTTCTGTATTGGATTTGACCTAATTCGTCACAAATTTTCACACAAATAAAACTCAAAGTATTATTAAATAACGAAATGGTTCCTTATTACCATCTCATCCTGTGTATATCGGATCGAGATAATGGATGCCGTTGGTATAAAAAAATGGAAAATTACATTACCTTAGATCCTGCTAATTAGGTTGTTTTGTTCGTTTGTATATGATGAAGAGAACAGGATTGAATTATCGCCACGTTTTTCTAGGAGAATTTTTTAAACTCAATTAGTTGTGAAACCTTATTATATTTATTTGAATGATTATAAATCTGATCAGCAAGAGAAAATGGACAAAATTAAAACTGTCTGTTACTACGTTTAATGAACAGATGAAAAAGTTAGGTCTTTCTAAAGATGATTCTTTCGTGTACATGTATCCTAAGGTTGAGGATTATAACATTGATGAAAAAGCAAATTCATGTCCGATTGCTTGTTCCTTTGCCCCAACATTCCCTAGCAACAAATACGATGATAGAGAGGAATACATTAAGAAAGGAAGAGTATTGACATTTATAGAGTCCAAAAACAAGGATGATATTCGTTTGTCATCTTTGATGATAGAATTTCTAGCCAGTAACCTTAGAATGAAAATCAACCAATTTGCCAATGTTTGCCTGGACCAACAATACGAAAAAACAACAAACGATTTCGCAACCAAGATTTACAAAATATTTACAATGAAAATTACAATGAAAAAGAAATGAGCCCATTTGTGAATGATGAATGCAAAGATTAAGGGACATTTGCAAGTTTTAAAACAAAGAGGAAGTCTTAGAATAATGTTTCATCCCAATTTTACTTACAATGAAAGTTTGGAGGAGAGAATCAAAAAGGGAAAGTTCAATTTCGGCTCAAAAATAGTTAAGGTTAAAAAAGCTCTTTCACCATTTTCTGTTCTTACTGAGGATAATGATTGCATTATTGAAATCAGTGCAGGAATAGAGGAGCAATTCAATAATTGGAAAGTGTTTATGGAAAGATGGAGAAAACTGTTTGTAAATAAATAACCATTTATGTTGAAATATTGAGAGGAGTTGGCTAGGTTCTTTAGGAGTTTCAAACTCCCCACCTCTACAATAAGCAGTAATTTTCCAGGACATACAGTAATAAGTGGAGGAGGATAATTATGAGATGAACAATTATCTCACAAGAAACAAAAACCTCGAATCACCCTGTGTGCTGGAAAATTAAGGATAATGAAGTGTTTGTTAGTAAAAAAGAAAGAAATTAGTAAGGCGATGATCATCATCATGATGATGCTCGCTTTATTAAATTTGATGGTTGTTTCCATGGCTAATGATGAAGAACATGCTGATTGGACTCAATTACCAGTTCAAACTGCAGAATTTGTCCAGAGTATTAATTCAATGCCCGCAGCAGCTTGGCAAGCAGTTGAATATCCAAGATTTAAGGATAAAAGTATTGCAGAGTTGGCACATGTAAGTATCAAAGTGTGATCGGATAATGTTGCAACTGATGGAAAAGTTACTTGGAGCTTGTTCTTGAGATTTAACAAAGTGAATTGAATGGTATATGAATAGTTTTCGGTAAGTTGTAATTAGTTTTGAATGAGACAAATTAATCTTGTTCGATAGGCAAGTAGTTCATTAGCTGACAGGTAAGCAATCTATAATTATTATAATTAATGAAAAATTTCAAAGATTCTGCATTGTAAGTGGAAGGAGAATAAATGTTGATTTATCTCCACAATTCATGCTATCATGCAGTGGACAAAATAATGGTTGTAGAGGTAGGTTTCGAATACTAACAAAGTTTTCATAAAAAGCTCAATGATATAACAGGTGGTTTCTTAGTAGCAACTTGGAGATTCCTTGCTGCAGTTGGAACTGCAAGTGAGCAATGTGTTCCTTATGTTTCCTTTGGAGGAGCAGTCCCTGCTTGCAATATAAAATCTTGTGCAGTCAGTGGAGAAAAGTCACCATTTTACAAAGTCAAATCTGCTAGAAAACTTAAAGGAATGGTTGACATGATGGCAGATTTGAAAGCCAATGGGCCTTTGCAAGCAACTATGATTGTTTATAAGGACTTTTTCAGTTATAAATCTGGCGTTTATCATCACGTTTCTGGAAGAATGGTTGGTGCACATGCCATCAAGATTGTTGGGTATGTTTTTTTATATTGTTGCAAAATTGTGAAATAACTCTATAATAGATGGGGAGTTGATTCTGCTTCAAAACTTCCTTATTGGATTTGTGCTAATTCATGGGGAGAAGGTTTGTTTTCTATTTTATTGTCGTTTATCAAGTATTAATCAAAATGTTTGAAACAAGATTGGGGACTTGATGGTTACTTTTGGATTGCAAGAGGAAGAGGTGAATGTGGATTGGGTAAGACTGTTTGGTCTGGAAAACCAGCTTTGTAATTGATGTAATTAGCTCCAAATGACATCATGGTATATTGATGTGAATAAAAATTTTATTTACATTTATTTTCTTGGTTCCACTTTAATGGATAAATTATACAATTCCTTATCATCATTGTTAAGGTTGTGGAAGATATCTTCCTTCAAAATATATTCCAAGAATGGAATTGGTTTGAATGGATAGTGAAGAGATGTCTTTAAATCTTGAACAGTTCTGATAGTCTTATAATAGGTACGTCTCTTCTTAAAGTTGACCAATTTCTTATCTGGATTAGAAACGTGGTCAATAAAATCTTGGTTACCATCTTTAGTGAAGGTGACATCGGTCAAGAAGGCACCAGTGAAAGGAATACAAGGAGATCTTTCAATGCTCAAGCTTTCCAATCTCTTTCTCATGAGTGAATAGTTTTGTTGGAACAAGTTTCCACAATCTTCAATAAGTTGTACATCGTCCTTACTGATACCTTCCTTTGCAGCCCTCAATCTAGAGATTGGAGCAGAGTTAAGACCAGATGAAATAGCCATCACAGATGTAAAGTTATTCATCAAGTACAATTCACGCATGATATCCAAGAATCTCTTGTAGACCTTCTTACGATTTTCTGGATTGGTTTCCATGAGAATTCTGTTACGAACCCAATAGGAAATACTATTAGTACGATCAGTGATTGCACAAATTGTTGGAGCGAGTTCATACTTGTAATCCTTATCAGCCCAAGCATTGTCGAAGAACTCTCTTGCTTCAATCTTTCTGAATAACTTGGCATCAATGAGTGTCATTTGTCTTGCAATTTCTACTGGTGGCCAAGCCAACAAGTCGAATGATCTATCGAATGGATTCTTATAATTCTTTCTTTGTGACTTTTTAATTCTCCATTCCTTAATGTCAACTACTGGTTTTTCTAACTCTTCGAATAAAATACCTTTTGGAAGTTGTGGTAAACAATCTTGAACACCCTTTTGTTTGATATGTTCTTGTTTAAAGTTGAGCAAGTTCTTGATGGCATAACGACGAATCTTCTTCTTGGTGTTAGTCTTCAAGTCACGATCATTGACAATTAAGAATCTTACAAGTTCAGCAATGACAAGGTTATCAAATTCGTGGAAACTGTCACGAATCCAATCACACAAGAATTGTTCAACACGAATTCTGATAATGTTTTGATTAGGGTTAGGAGTTTGGTAGAGTGTAGATAAAATGGTCAACAATTCGAGAGGTGTTGTGAAAGAACCATAGGTAATTTGGAAAATGTGTTTGAATTTACCATGTTCTTCAGAATCACCTTCAGAAATGTTAATTTCCAACATTCTTTCAACAAGCTTGTTGAATGTGGCAGCACGAATAGTACCATCTTCATCGAGAATGACATCTCCATCTTCATCAGCTTGACCTGTTGCATTTGTTTGCTTTTCTTTCAAGATCTTTTCCATAGGTCTCAAGAGCAATTCAAGGGATGCACGAACAAGGTCGTGGATTTGGTTCTCAAGTTTTGGATTAAAGCTCCAGTGAAGAATAACAGAACCAAGCAACCAACGCCATTTTTGTTCGACATGCTTCTTTTGAACTGGAGGAACTCTTTCTCTCTTTGGAATGGAGTCATCGTACAATTCAGAAACAACCAATTGATCAGTCATATCTCTCACAAGAGGCAATACACATTGTCTAAAGATCAAGTGGCAATGTGCAGAATCAGACCTTAAAGTAAGTTGAAGAATAAAGTTTAACAACAAGTGTGAAATACGTCTAAAGAATAAGGCAACTGTGTGTGGTTGAGTCCTGACGCTCTTTGCTTCGAACAAGTCAGCAATTTGCTGTTGACGTTGCAAGACAATATCGGTAATTTGGATATTCTCCAACATTTGAATGTTTTCATCTTGGGTTTTCAATTCTGGTAAAATTTCATCGAATAAACTTCTATTAGAAAGGAGTGTTGATATCAAATAACTTGTAATACAAGCAATTTCAGTACGAAGAATACTGTCGTCAGTCATCTTTCCTGAAAAGTCCAAATTGTTAAAGGCAACAGTGGTATGTTCCAAGAAGGTAATCAAATTGAGCATTACGTAGAATGGACGAGACTTCCACCAACGTAACAACTTGTCCTTTGATAAACCTCTCAAAATCCACATGATACATGAAGAGAGAACTACATAAATCTCGTCATTCTTGAAACGAGTAAGATTTTCATCATTTTCGAGGAATCTATCAACAAATTCAATGTACAATCCAGTAACAATAGCTCTTCTAGAGTCTTCTTGGTATCTGCTATCATAGTCTAATTTACAGAAGTGATCCAATAAAATCTTTGAAATTTTGATAAGCAACTTGTCATTACCACTCTTTACAACATCGTAGAATAATTCAATCAAAATTGAAGAGAAGGTAACTTGCTTTGAGTTGACTTCTTGGCTCATCAAGTATTCAGCATTTTCCTCTGTGGTTGTAGCTGTGGATTCGACAGAATCTCCTTCTCCCTTAGAAAAGAGACGTAACAAGTGCAAATTGAATGGAATGTAATAATCGTAATCAGTCAAGATGGCAATAAATTCTGCTTTAAGTCTCAATTTACGTTCATCAATACCATCCAAACTTTGGAAGTAACGATCAATCAAGTGTTCAATGTAGAGTTGTTTGTCTGGAATGAATGGAATGAGATCACGTAAGAAGAGAGCCAAATTTCTGTTACCACCAATACCAATATTTTGACGACCAATACCACTGGCAAGTAATAACTTGTAGATACGAACAACCATGTTATCAGTGAGCTGTCTCAATCTGTTTAAAATGTGTCTATCAGAAATTGGATAGTCCAACTCGTGTTCATCATGAGCAGAAATACGTCTTCTTCTTTGTGAAGCACTGTCTTCCTTCTTTGCCTTTTCATTGAAGAAAATAGTCATTGATTTGATAATAACATCAAAAATGAACCAGGAGAAACGAATTGGATCGTGTTCTGAAAGTTGATTTCTTCTCTGGTCAATTTGTTGCTTGACATTGTCCATATTTTCCTTCTTTTGACGAGATTTCTTTACCATTTGACTCAAATCATTGAGATAGTCTGAACCCTTGGCAGGAGCCATCTTTTCAGTTTCTGGAACTTCCAAATATTCAGCCATCAATCTCAACAAGATACTAAACAATGGATATTTAGCTCCTTTTGGTTCAGTAAGAATATATTTGGTGTAACTGGAGAAGAAAACATTGAGCCTAGAGTGTGATTCATTCTCTGGATTGGTCTCACTGAGGAAGTGATAACAACCACGCAAGCAAACCAAAATTTGTTCAAATGTTGCAATTTCAACCTTTTCAATAATGTAAGAAACAGCACTTGCTTGAAGCATGGCAGAAACTCTTGCCATTAAACCAAACAGCATATTCAAAACAACTGGTAAATGTGGCATGAATACCTTGAAATCAATCTTGTTGAATTGAGGGAAGACATAGTCACATAAGAAGGTTAAGACTTGTGGTTTTTGATAATCTGGAACATTTTGTAAATCATACATTGTGGAGAAGAAGAGGGTAATAATTTCATCAGATGGATCAATGGTTGTAACCAAATGGGATCTAACTTTCAATTTACCAATCTTGAGATTCTTCAATTTTTCTTCAGAGTCCTTCAAATAATTGGCTGGAAGTTCTTTGTAAATAGTAATTTCATCAGGGAAGGTATGTTTACGGAATTGAGGGAACATTGAGTAGCCTTCGCTATCAAACTTCTTGCTATCGTTCAATTCCATGAAAGCATACCCAAGAACAGCTCTGTGAGAAGTTCCAAAATCTTCCTTTCTAATGTCATTAGCACCACTCACATAGTTCAACTTTTTAGACTTCTTATTATCTACATCCAAGTGATAGAAAACAACCAAAACGTGTTGATCCCTCCTTGGTTCACAAGGAATATCAATCTTGAACTCATCGTAAAAGTGTGGCTGCTTCTCTTCATCATACGAAACACATGAGAAATCATATTTAGATGAATTTCTACTGAACCTAGTCATGATTCTTGGCTCTGCATTAACTTGACCAGTTGTTTCATTCACAACTTCAGAATCAGACTCACGATACAATACCTCACAGAAAATATTCTTTCCACCAAATGTCTTTTCGAATTGGGCAACAATTGGATTAAAGAAGAAGTGATTGAGAACCTCCATGTTTGGATATTTGGAGAGTTGAATTGGAAGTTCTTGAACTCTAATCAAGTCAGTTTCAAGGCTATTTTCATCATCGTGGGCAGTCTTTTCATGATCAATCATACCCTTAAGAGGACTACTAGGCATTGAATCCGATCTTCCCAAATCATTCATTAAACGTTCCTTAAGAAGTGAGTTGGATGGAGAGAGTGGAGATGGTGAAGAGCTTGAAAGTGATGATGAAACTCCATTTGAAACTAATAAATTACCACTTTCATCAGTAAGTTGATTTTCATAACTTTGTGGACTAGTCACTAAAGATGCACTATTACCTGATGATCCAATAATTGGATGAAGATTGTGCTCGATAGAACGATGTCTATTATGTTTAGGTTGTTTGTTGGCATTCGAGTGATTTTTCAAAATTTCTGCTCTCAATAAAAATCCACCATCAATTTGTGTAATATTCTTCAATTTCTTTTCCTTTTGAATAGTCCTAATCATGGTCATGGCATCGAAAGGAGTCTTGAAATCAAATCCTTCAATAGAATACATTGGTTTGAGCTCATACTTTGTAGAGGTCAATTGATAAACATTACCTCTCTTGCTGAATAATGGAGTATATCCAAAGAGAATGGCTTGTCTAAAGTGAGCAACTTGTTGTTTGAGTTCATTGTATTGTTTTTCAACATCATTAATTTCTGATTGTTTGGTGTCCCTCTTGTAGAGTTTAAGAGCATCCTTCATACTTCCAGTTGGTAAACGATATACTTGAATAACCAAATATATTTGATCATTTGGATAAGTAATAGTGAATAATGCCTTTTGTTCTTCGTGTTGAACTTGAGGTTGACCATTTTCACCTGAACGAGGAGACATGAGTGGTTGTTGAACTGGTTTAACTGGAAGTGCTGATGCCATAGTCTTTAAATAATTTTGAACCCAAGGAGAAAGAGTTTCAATTTGTTCCTTCAAAAGGAAATGGAAGTGGAAATCTTCACTAATTTTAGAACCCCTCTCCAAATCATAAAGAGCCATTGAGAAGTAGTGAATTTCAGAAACAGGTCTTTCGAATTTTGGTGGTGTATGACATGAAATAACTAGTTGTGTTCTCTTCTTGATAGGATATGCCAAGCTAGCTTGATTTTGTGGTTGACGGAAACACATTGATGTTTCTATAGGTCTATATTTAAAGTTTGGTTTGAGACAACTCATAAGACGAGTGGTTGATTCTGGAAGTATTTCAGTATCAGAAATGTTCAATTTACCATCTTCAGAAACAACTGGAGGTTTCTCTTCACCAGTTGGAGAAGCAAGGCTCATATTGGATGGAATTTTCTTACTAATGAGAGGAGGTTTATCAAAAGTGGAATCTCCAGAAAGGAAATCAAATTGTTTTACACGTCTCTTGGCACTACAATGTTTGGAAAATTCAACCAAACTCAACTTTTTAAGATATTGTTCTTCAGTATCTTCTTCTTGTACTTGGTTAGGATCACTGCCTCCAGGAGCGCCTGAAGTAGTACTAACAGGTGTTTGTGATTCATTTCTATTTACATCAGACGATTGATCATTGTGAGATTCCAAATCTGATGTGTTGACTTCAAGAGAATCATAACCATCCAAAAGCATTTTTGGATTTTGAGTTGAAGTACTCATAATTTTAGAATTATCAGAAGAAGAAGCTTGTGCTTGATGTTTAAATTTCAAAGCGAAAATGCTTCCTTTTCTCTTTCCATCGAGACCTTCTTGTTCCTTCAAATTTTTAAGTGATCCCTTGAGTGGAGAGAGTGATGAACCAACTTCTGATGTTTCATCATGTGATGAATCGTTTGACAAGTCATTGAGAGATGCACTAGCACTACCATTTCCATTTTGAATTACATGAACTTGATCTTTTCCTAGTTGACTGTTTGAAGCCATAGAATCAAGATGATATAAAGCTTTAAAGAAAGAATCAACAATACTCTTTCCATTACCGCTAGATTGTATATTTGGATTTGTCAATGTGAGTGTAAGTAAATTGGCAGAGGATGAATTGTTCAAGGATGCTGAATTGTGAGAGATATGAGAGGTTGGATGGTTTTCAAGTGGTTTGAATTGTACAGATTTGAAAGAGTATGGATCTTCTCTCTCAAGAACAGTAAATGGCTCATAAAATTGACGATGATACTCTTGCAAGTGTGGATACTTGGATTGTTGTAATTCTGGATGACTACTGGCAACTCTAACAGAAGGTGGAAGTGGATAATGAACAGGTTTTGCCTCTGGGTGTACATTTAATCGTTCTTCCAATCTCATCCACAAAGGAAGTTGTGAATCATCAACATTTAACAACAAGTCATTACGATCATAGGTTGTAAATGTTTGTTGTTGTTGTTGTTGAACATTATATGTTGGAGTCATAACAACATCTTGATATGATTGATCTTGTTCCTCTGTTATTTGTTCATTGTTATTATTATTTGTATCATCATCATCAACATCAACATGATATTCATTTGTTGTTGTATTATTATTATTATTATCATCATCATTGTTATTATTATTATTATTAATTGTCTCATCACTATTCTCAATAATATTATTAAAAACAACACCTGTTACAAATGGGTTTGTTGTTGTATCAATGTGCTCTGGAGTCGTAGTAGCCGTACGTGATTCAAATACAATATTATCATCACCATTGTCATCATCTTCACTCGTGCTGCTATTGATTCTGTCGTGGTGTGATGGCGCATTCATCAGAACAACAACAGAACCTCTTGGTTGTAAAATGGCGCCATTTTCTTCTTCTGTAGTTGTTGTTGTTGTAGTGGAAGTATTGTTGGCAACAAGTTGATTATTTGCTGTTTGTTGTTCTTCTACTGCTTGTTGAGATAAAGTTGATTGAGTCAATGTTATTGTCTCATGAAGTTGAGTTGTTGTTATTGTTATTGTTGTATTACTACTATCTGTTGTAATAGTTTTGGATGATGAAGAAGATTCTTCTACTTTCTCATCAGCATTTGTTGGAGCATCATTTGGTTCAATGGAATTTGTTGGTTGTTGCTCCTCCGTTATTGTTGTTGTGCTGCTACTCATCAAAAGATTGTTTACTCCTTCTGAACAGTCGGCACTTGGCGATGACATTTTTTTGATGTTTGATGTTGATGGCTGGGAATTTATGCTAAACTTTGCAGCAGATAGAAAAATTTCTTGATTTAAGGGCTTTACCACCCAACTATTTGGGACAGTTCTAGAAATTCAGATCAATTATTGTTATTCGAATGTATTCGAATATCTGATAGAAACTTTAATTTCAAACAAATGATGAGATATCAATTTTTTCTTATGGTTTGTTAACAACCTTTCGAATAGCACTGTTCGAATTTTTTCGTGTTTGAAACAAGACGAGAGAAATCCTTCTTTGATCAAATTAACGAGGAAACTAAAGGCCGAAATTGAAAAAGTTGTCTTTATCACTCCTAATTTAAAAAACGCAATAGATTGACTTTTTAGGAGAAACTCAAAAAACCTATTGTAAAATGTAAATACCATTTATTACAATTATTTTACAAAATATCAATTGTGGAATAGTAAGAAGATGAATTTACTGCCCTGATTTGTTATCCAGTTGATTTCAAAGGCGTGAATTATGATGAAAAATGGGCGGGAAAAATAAAATAGGTGTTTGTGCAGACTGATTGGATCTAGGAATTTTGACCTAATTACAGTACATTGTACTCTCTGTTTCATCAACAATGAAATTTGATTATATTTTTGAATAAGGTCAAATTACATTAATTGCCAGATTATTCAATCTATCATAAAAATCTATCTTAAAAGCTGATGCTTTTCAAATTAAAGTAGGACTTTCGTATGAATATTTGGTTGTTTAATTGAAAAGTTTGAAAATTGTTAACAAAGAATCATTTTTGCTAGTAATGACATTGTTATGTGTTTAATAATAAAGGAAATGGAATTGAACTTTTCAATGAAGGGAAACTTTATTCTAAACTACAATTACAACAAGTATTGTAAAAGTTCCAAGTTTCATAAAAGAACTGTTTACTTGAAAATCTCAAACATCATTTCAATAATAACCCATCTCAGTCTCAATAATACAATGACTCATACCTCCTTCGAAGCCATTTCCTTCAAATATTTATTCGAATCTAAAAGATTCTAATAGAGCACTCCACAAATTATCACAAGAAACTAATTGAATTTGTACTAAATCAACCAAACATCAGAACTCGGACCTCTTAAATTTCCAAGTTCTCTGCAGATTGTAACGGCTTATGGCTGACGAGTTGACCCGTCAATACGAAAATGCCATACGTCGCCCCATCAACGTCAAATTATTTATTAAAACAAAATAAACAACACATACATCAACAACAATGGACGAATCAATTAAATGTGTAGTAGTAGGTGACGGTGCTGTCGGTAAGACATGTCTTCTCATCTCTTTCGCTTCAAATGTACGTTATTCGAAACTATTCGAAACTAATCAACAACAACAATAGACTTTCCCAGAGGACTACGTTCCAACAGTTTTTGACAATTACAATGCTAACGTTAAATATAAGGAAATTAACGTTTCTCTTGGTTTGTGGGATACAGCTGGTCAAGAAGGTTAGTTTTTTACTTTCTAATAATTTTATTCTAATTATGCCTTTTATTGAAAATATATAGATTACGATCGTTTGAGACCATTGTCCTATCCTGATACTAACGTTTTCTTGGCTTGGTAAGTATTCGAAAGAAGCATAATTCAATGATGTTTACCTTTTTACAACAACAACAATATTATCATCCATTGTATCATCTTTATATATATACATTTAATGTGATCGAATCACTGACCATAACAACAATAATAATCACAAATTTACATGCGCGTTGTTTTTCGAATATTCAAATTTTGTGATTTTAAAAATATTCTCTCTCGAATATTATACAATACACGACGATAATGATGATGACAATGATGTGATAATAATAATAACATATACAATATAATATATATCACCTTGTTGATATGATTGATAACAAAAACAACAGTTACTCCATCGTCAATCCAAGTTCATTGGAAAATATCAAGGCCAAATGGGTCCCAGAAGTTCGTCATCACTGTCCAGATACACCAATTGTCTTGGTTGGTACCAAGAAGGATCTTCGTGAAGATCCAGAATTTATTAAAATTCTCGAAGAAAAGGATCAAAAACCAATCACACAAAAGGAAGGTGAAATGATGAAACAAGAAGTTGGTGCTGCTGATTTTGGTGAATGTTCTGCTAGAACTCAAGATGGTTTGCGTGAGATTTTCAATAAGTGTATTGCTGTTTATTTGGAACCACCACAAGAAGAAAAGAAGAGCGGAAAGAAATCAAAGGAAGGTGGAAAGTGTATGGTTTTGTAAATTATTCAAATATATTGCCAATATTTCAATTGTATATTTACTATTCTCAATCTTTTTATCTCATCTTTAAATCACCATATTATTTAACGATATTATCTCAACTGGGTATCATCATTTCCAGATCATTTCACCATCATTGTTGTTTATCAATTATTGTGTGACTTTGTGAAATGTCAAAAAATTTCAGAAGTTATTTAGTAAAAATAATAAATTGTAATTTTATTATATTCGCTTCTTTGGTAACGACCTTAGAAGTTATTAAGTAAAAATACAAGTCTAAAGCACATCGAAGCTGAACCGCCAAAATTAATCCAAACAAAAAAAACTTCAAAAAAAAAAATGTCCAATAAAACAGCCGAACAATATCGTCAAGAGGGCAATCAACATGCCAAACACAACCGATTACAAGATGCTCTCCACAGCTACTCGAAGGCAATTCTGCATAATCCCAACGATTACATCACCTATTCAAATAGAGCTAAAATTTATCTCGATTTGGGACAATACGAGAATGCATTGAATGATAGTGAGTGTAGTATTGCTCGGGATGGGACCTTCTGGAAGGGCTATCATCGAAAGGCAACCAGTTTGATGATGCTCAAGAGATTGGACGAAGCCATGGAAGTTTGCTCGAATGCATTAGTTAATTTGCCATCAGGAGAAGGATTGGAAGCAATGAATAAATTAAAAGAACAAATTGAAAAAAGAAGGATGTCATCGGAAGAGAAGAACAATAAGGAAAGCAAGTTGGATCAGGTTAGGTTATCGAGGATTGAATTGAAGGAAAGAATTTTAGGAGTGAAATTGAATGCCTTCTTCAAGTCAATTGTGGAGAATGATTGCACAGCTTTGAAGAAACTATTGGATGCAGGACAAGATGTTAATGAGAAGATGAAGGTAAATTTACAATTTACCAGTAGTGCAGATGGATTACTCGCTGCACTGGCAACAGAGAGTAAGGAAGCTTTTGAATTGTTACTCAATTCAGGATGCACATATGATAAGAAATCAGATTTACCATTCAAATATAACATTTTCCACATTGTCTGTACCACTGGAAATGCAGATTTCTTGTCAGTATTATTGGATAAATTGGAAATAGATTGTGAATCATCCTCCACTAAGGAAAAGACCGTCCAATTTATTACAACCACTTTCTTTTCACTGGAAGCTCCATGTTATTCACCACTTTTGGTTGCCATTTTCACAGACTCTGTCGAATGTATCAAACTTATTTATGATTCTCACTTGGTAAAGAGTGGAATTATTGATAGGGAGAAATTATCAAAACTCCAAGTTAGTGGACAAACCTTGTTGCATTTGATTGCTGACAGAGGATCTTGCAAGACATTACGTTTTATTATTGAAAATGGAATAGTTAAATATCTGGATGTTAATGGTCAGGACAATGTTGGTGATACTCCTCTCCATTCAGCAGCATTGGGAAATAGATTAGCATCAATAGACATGGGAAGTCACAAAATTAGTAATCCAATTTTGTGTGACCACTCATCAGATTCGTGTGTCCATTCACAAGTTATTGATGTACTTGCTTCAGAGCTTGGAGCCGATCTTTTCATTCAAAACAAAGAGAAGAGAACACCATTAGCTCAGTCCATCTTTTATGGGCATCATCAGTGTACACAAACACTTATAGAAGTTGGTTCACTCTCAAAGAGTCAACATTCCCACGAAGAATGCTACACTCTAACTGGACTGGCCTGCCTGAGAGGACACTCAAAGTGTTTACAAATTCTATTGGATAATAATGTTAAAGCTGCCAATGACTCTTTACACAATGCTATTGTTGACGGTTTTTACAATTGTTGTAAAATTTTATTGGATAGAAATGCTATCAGTGACATCAATTTTGCTTGGTCCTTTGATAATAAGGATCCTAAAAACACACCATTGACACTTGCATGTCTTGTAGGAAATTTGGACATTGTCAAGCTATTGCTGAGCTATAAAAAGCAATCTATCAATGTGAATGTAGCTCCACCAAAAGTCACCCTTCCATTACATATTGCATGTTTGTCAAATCGTCATGCAGTGGTATCCCATTTATTGAGTATTGGAGCAGATCCTCTATTGATTGACTGTGAAGGAAATAGTGTCCTCACAGCAGCAGCTTATAAAGCAGACGGTAAATTATTTGATATTATCTTCCCATATTTGGGAGCTTTGGCTAAAAAGAGTAATGAACATAAGGTAAAGGTACTACAATTAATGATGCACAAGACCAGAAAAGAGAACATGACTTGTATTGAGATTGCAGCCCACGCCTCAAATTTGGATGCCTTTGATGCATTGTTGAGACATTTCGAAAGTTATGGCATAATGATTAAAGATGTTGAGAAATTGAGAAAAAAAATTGAAGAGCATTCAAAGAAGAAACAACAATCTACACAATTACCAAACTCTCAAAAAGAAGATCCTTCACTTTCTGTTGAAAGCCCAGTACCTTCCAAAAATATCAAAAATACAATTTGGGAAGACCTTTCTGAAAGCGCTTTCCAACAAAAAATGAAAGAATTATTAGAAAAGGTAACTTTATACATTGGTAGTGAGGTTCCTCAAGATTTGGTAGATATTTTGGATGAATTCATGATTGATAACAATGCTCTCACTAGACTCTGTAAGAATAATTTGGAAATGGGGTGGTATGATTTGCTATTCAAACCGAATTTGAAAGAGCAACCTCAACTCATCATTATTTCAATGGTTTCAAATATTTTCATATTCATGAACGAGAGCAAAAAATCCAAAATCAAAAACTCCAAGCAAAGCCAAAACTACTTTGCTAAATTATTGTTTTCGAAGGAGAGAATGAATAATTTAAAGATATTGGCAGCTGCTTTCTATTGCTTTAGACATTTATACATTGGTACAGTAGTGGATACTGCTGCGAAATTGCCAGGTGGAAGTCTTGGTGCCCTTAGAAATAATGGCCTAATTCTACTTCTTAATGGCAATGAAAAAGAGCAAGTTGCTGGTGCCACCATATTGCAAGATATTACTGTTAAATTGACTGGCAGAATTGATTTAATATATCATCATCATTCCAGAATCAAGAGCATTGATGGATTTAAAATTATTGTCTCACTGCTCAATAAGCACTTGGACTCGGGACTCAAATTAATTATTGCCAATGGAGCTGAAGTAATGTTGAGTGCTCTTGGAGCAGCTGCTTGGGACTTCCCAAAGGACATACTAGAGAGTGGAGCCATTGAAGTGGCAGAAAAGTACATTGACAATTTGGAATACATTGATACAGCCACTGCTGAAAATGCACTCTCAATCTTTTTCGGAATTTTACAAAATGTAAATCCCAGCACAAAAAGGAATATTGAAAGAAAGTACAAATTATCTGGAAAGCTCTTGAATTTATTGAAAGATTTATCACGTGGAGCAAATTTCTCCAATTATTTAATTCGTTCATTGGCCTTATTGCTTAATTTCAAGACAATGCCACAATCTGAGAAGGAGAATACCATTTTACTGACCGTTCGATCCATGCAGCACTTCATGCCACCAGGAACTAAGACTTTCAACGAAGACCAAGTAGCTCTCGGTAGACATGCCTCTGTTGTTCTCGGCACTGCTTGCAGTAATGATAGCCGGAGCACTACATTCTTATTGGATAATACTGATAAGGGTCTCGCATATTACATTTCCCTCTTCCTTAAGGCACCAATAAGATTACAAAGTAACTTGGTTTCTGTTATCATTGTATCAATGTCTCACACTGATTTCCCTAATCTACTTGACAAGTATGATTCTAATTCAGAATATGTTCTATTTATGAATTGGGTCCAAAAAAATGCCCTATCAAACGATCAACAGAAACAGTATATCTGTATGATGGTTCTTCAAATAATTGGAGCATTACACGAGGGTAGAATTCCAAATGTTGATTTTGAAAGTGAAACTGAAGAGAAAGGAAAAGGTTTCCAAGGACCTCATCAACCATCATGTGCATTCTGTGCTAATCAACCTTGTAAATCAAAGTGTGGAGAGTGTAAACAAACTCCTTATTGTAGTAGGGAATGCCAACTAGCAGATTGGAATTTCCACAAATTTGTTTGTAAAAAACCTTCATCAAATTAACTATTAATTCAGAAAATGTTGAATAATTATAACTTAAACTAGTAAATGTTTTATCAATTAATGAGATGGGATTGTTTGTAAGAACATATTGTAATAGTACAGCTGGAAGTTATTTTTTGGTAATTAGGGATTGTAAATTGCCATTGAGTAGGGTGTTTTTTCTGTTTGGCTGATATTGAGTAGTTAACTACTAGTACTTTGTACAAATTTATATCCTCTATTGAAGTTCATTATGATATTAATTGTTCCAAGCTTGATTTGGAAATAGGTTTGATAATGACCCTATCAATAATTGATGAATAATTATCCTCATTTGCCATTACATTTCCCGTCAAGAGGAAAATCTTAAAATCATTTCCATATCTATTTCTCAACTCTTTTGCTGCATCAATTCCATTCATACTTGGCATGTTCTATTAAATATAACTGAATAAGAAAATGAAATAGAGTTTCAAACATACCATATCTGTGATTACAATTTTGTGTCTTGTTGGATCAAATTGTTGAATTAACTCCTCACCATTACATACTGAATCTGCCTTATAACCTAAACTGGACAACATTTTAACAATGACCTTTCTGTTCACTGCATTATCCTCAGCAACAATAACATTCCCTGTAATGCCCTCATCCATACATGCAGAAGATCCAGCTTTTAATTGCTCTTGAGGAACTGCTAATTGGAGTTCTAAAATGGGATCTTGGTTAATTTCTTCTTGAGATTCAGGTGAAGCAAGATCAAATGGTAACTCTACAATAAACTCACTTCCCTTTCCAAGAGTTGATTTAACATTGATTTCTCCATTCATTAAATTCACTAAATGAGCTACTGTTGTTAGACCTAATCCTGAGCTAGGCACTTTGGATTCATTAACATTTCCCAATTGAACAAATGGTTCAAAAATTGATGGAATCATGCTTTCTGGTATTCCTTTTCCGTGATCGATAATTTTGAATTGGACCATGGCACTATTATTTTCTTCATTCTTTTGAATGACTTTTGCTTCAATTTCTACAATAGAATTCGCCTTGGACGCTTTAATTCCATTTGTTATTAAATTACTCAAAATTTGCAATAACTGTGACTGGTTTGATTCAATTATCAAATTCTTTACACTTTCATATGTAAATTTCAAAGTAACACTGAATTGCTTTGCATATCCACTCACCATTTTATCCAACACATTCAAGGCCTTTCCCAGATCAAATACATGTTTGCTCCCATTTTTTCCCTTTTCGTGTTCAATCTTAACAAGTCGTAAAATGTCTTCAATCAACAATAAAGAAATACTATTTGATAATATGATAGTATCCACCAGTTCATGTTGCTTTCTATTCATTTCTGTTTCTTTTAATAATTGTAGGCACCCCATACTCGATTGAATAGGACACCTTTTTGGAATTTACAGATGTCAATAAATTAACATTCCAATAGAATTCCAAATAACTTACCTAAATTCATGAGAAATATGACTCATAAATGTATTCCTCACACTAAGAGCTTCCTCCAATTTGTTTCTAGTATCTTCCAATGTTTTGACTTTCATAGTTAGATAACCAGTAGCTGTTACCAAATAAAAAGTTGTCACCCACAAACAAAAACCCAATCCACAACCTTCTGCCAAAATACAGACACATTCTTCATTAAATCCATTTTCCAAATAGTGCAAATATCCCTGCCAACAAGCAGATCCACAATACAGTGAACACAAGTAGAAAGTTGGCAGTAATCCCAAAAAGGTTGATTGCAAATAAACCTTATTCCCTCCAAAATGATAGGTCAACATGGTTGGCACAAATAAAATCTTATTCTTATCAAAGAGAAAGAATCGAGTTGTCAACAAGACCAACAATACTGCCAAACGAAGTCGATCTCCATTCTCGACCTTGATAACCTCATCCTTCACAAACAACGACCTAACTCCATTCTTACTTAGAAGAATTTGCCCCACAATCACCACAATATTAATCACATTCTTTTCCCAACTCATTGTTACAAATCCATAAATTAAAGACAACACAAACGACATTAAAATTATAATTGCCAACCCAATCCTAGATGAAGTTGCCGAAAACATTAATTCCTCAACAATATTCGTGCTGTGCAATCTGATATACTCAGATAAACTTCCTTCATCTCCTCTCGATAGTAATGAGGGTTTAATAGCTCCTTTAATAGAAATTGAAGATGGGGACGAATTATTATTACCTTCACCATCTTTTGTATCCAAATTATTATTATTGCTACTATTAGCACAACTACTATTCGGAGGAGAAAAGAAAATAGTTTTCCCAGGCATCCCTGATAATATTTTGAATTCTTCTACTTGTTTAATATTAACAGTAAGTGACGCTTCAACATTGATCGTTTATTTCAAACTCTCTCGCTTCTTCTTCTTCAATCTGTTGATGATGCTGAAGAGTATGTTTGTTAGCAGTGAATACGATCTCTGTTTTTTTTTCAAGTGTATTGAAGAGATATCTGGGTTTGTTTGCATATTCTCAAAATGAATTTTCTTATTTTAAGCTTATTCGTTTACTTATTTGGAGAGAATATTGTTTTCCCGCCAATTGTGCTAGGAATCTATTGAACCTAAAGTGAAAGATTCAGAAACAATGAAACCACAAATTAACAATGTTTAAATCATGATGAATTAACACTTTATTCAAATCTCAAAAATCATTCGTTCATCAAAATTAAGGTTTTTCTTTTCCTCAGTAGTAAAAACTATTCGAAACTAATGATAAATAGCAGCTTGAGTAACTTCAGAGGCAGCATATGAAGACTTGGAATAACCTGGATCATTAACAGTGAATGAAGAACCATCGAAACCAGTGGCCAAAACCCAATGTCCACCATAACGGACATTGAGGATGACAATCTTTCCAGCACAGAGTTGTGAAGCAATTGAGCTAGTTCCCTTAATTTTACCTTCATAAGTAAGACCAAACTTGGAAACACTTCCCCAGACAAAGAGATTACCACTGAAACCACCGTTTGACTTTAACCAAGATGCAAATTGACCTGGGTTCATGCTAGTCTTTCCACGACCGTTCAAAGCCATACACATGGAGGTCATCAAACAACCAGATTTACAGATGGTATCAGTACTAATCAATTGAGAGCTCCATGATTGACCACATTGCTTGAACAATGGGAAACTTTAGAGTTTCGAATAATTTCCAAAAAGCATTCCATGACAATTATTTAAAAATTTAGAAATATCATGCAAGAGGATAATGTGTAAAGAATCATGCAAATTTTAAAACTTACGAATGAGCGCATGTAGCAAGAGCATCTGATTCTTCTTGTGGTTGTTCTTGAGCAGGTTCTGGTTGAGCAACTTGTTCAACTGGAGCAGGTGGAGCTTGAACTTGAGGTTGTTCAGGTTGTTGTGGTTGTTGACCACGTCTTCCCTTTCTTCCTCCTCTTCTCTTTCCTCTTCTTCTCAAAGCTTCAACAAGAGCAAAAACGTCAGCTTCTTCTTGAGTTTCTTGTGGTTCAGCAGCAGCAACTGGTTGAGCAACTTGTTCAACAGGTTGTTGTTGTTGTCTACGTCCACCACGTCTACCACCTCTTCTTCCACGACGTTTCATGGTGAAAGCATCAGCGAGAGCATCGGCCATAGCATCGAATGGATCTTGGGAGGCAGTGACATAGGTAGCCATCAAAATGGCCATCAAGACTGCAATGATAAGTACAGAGGTTGTCTTCATTTTGTTTTTTTTGTGATGAGTAAAATAACGATGCATAGTTGATTCGCTTAGATTCGGCTAGAACGTGTTCTTGACGAGTAACATGATTATAATGGTGCTTGTAATACAAGTCATTATTTGGTAAGGTGGAATAGTACGGTGTATTGTTTTTGTTAAGTGAGAACTTTGTGATTACTATTAAATTGTAAATTGATTACAATGTAAGTTAAAAGTAAATTGAAACAGTTTATTTATTTGCAAATATCCAATCCAATCATGCCATAATTAGTGTAGAGAGAGTTCTTATACTTTCTTTGCACTCTCTTGACAGCATCTTGGGAATCTTGATCATTTGGAGCAATTTTGAGTGCCTTGTTATAATATTGAAGAGCTTCCTTATATAATCCAAGTTGTTCCATGACAACACCCTTATTATAAATTCCATCACAGGATTTTGGAGATACTTGTGAAGCCTTGTTGAACATATCCATGGCTGTCTCAAATTCCTTCATATAGAGATAACAAAGTCCAATAGTATTATAATAACTCTCAGCAGAGTAATGTTCCAATTCTTCTGCATCATCCTGTACAAGTTCGTGATACATGGAATAGTAGTGAATGGCTTCTCTGAAGAGAGATTTTACCTTTTCAAAATTAGTTTCAAATTCACAACTGCTCTTGATAATTCCTAATATGTAGAATGACTCTGCCAGAACCATGTATAATCGAAGCTTATCAGATGACGAATTGACCAATTGTACTGATCTTTCTATAATGATCTTTAGTTTTGTTTTACAAGATCCTGTCATTCCTCCTCGAATATGAAGCTGTGTTAATGTTAGATAATTTAAATTAAATATGATATACTTACTTTGCTTAGAGCCAAAATAGCTCTAAAGTTTTGCTTGTTCAATGTACAAGCCATGTCTAAATTGCATTTAGCTCTCTCTAACAAGCCAATTTTTGATTGGCATGTGCCTATTCTTTCATAGTTGCAATCATATGAAGGTTCACGCTTCAATGAAAGGGTATAATATTCAATAGCCTTGTTATAGTCGTGTAATTTCTCATAATACAACCCAATTACATAGTAGGTGAAGGCTTGATTGTTGTTGGATTTTTTAAGGAGGTCATCAATCAATTCTGCTTTTTGTGATGGATCAATGTTTGGTGACATTATTTGGCACAGAATGATTGCACTTCTCAACTCTTCTGCATTGCTTTGATTCTCTTTGATAGATATCGAGAGTGCTTTTTCAAAATATTCTCTAGCTAACTCATACTGTCTATCACAGAACAAGGTATGAGCATAATCTGCAATAGTGAACGAATTTGTATGTACAATTGTATTTTCTCCTTCATTATTATTTACATGATCTTCATTTTCTAATTCAAAAGCTTCTTCGAAATGATGAAGGGCATCTTTGAACAGTAAGCCTTCTCTCAATGCCAAGGCAAGGTAGATGTGGACTTTAGCCATATTTGATTTGGAAGAATAGTAACGTGGTAAGAAATCTCTACACAGTTTTTCCAATTCTGCAATCTTTCTCTTCTCTCTCAAACTTTGGCAATCTTTCAAGAATCCACTAACAACTTGTTCATCTGCCAACTGCACATTAGCAATGGCTTTTCCACCAGATCTTGCTCTCATATCCTCTGTTTCTTCTATTGATGACGATGATCGGGGAGATAATTGTCGAGCTAGATATGAATTAGTAGAACTTCCCTCAGTAAAACTTGCTGAATATTGCTTTTGTTCTAAAGGTGTTGATGATAAGAGTGGAGAAGCAATACGTTGTAGAAAACCAAATACACCTCCCCCACTAGAATGTCTATTATTATTTGAAGGTGGTGAGGCTAAATTGGAAGTAGAACGGCTTTGATCTGTTTTTTTGTTGGTTGACTGTTGGTTGATATCAGAATTGCTCATTGTCTTTCTTCCATCAACAAATAATGAGGGAGACACACACGAATCGTTTTCTTTTCGTGTTCCATTCATGGTCGTTGAAAGGACACTTTTGTTATTGGGTGAAGGTGATGATTGACTTGAAAGAGATTCGTCCTCCCTCGACACAATCATTATTGGTGAATTTAAACCATTAAATGATGGTGGTGATACACTAGAGGAAAGTCCAGTTTGATTATTTGGTGAAAGGGAAAGTGCAGAGGTGAGATTGGTAGTAGTTTCGGTAATATTCTCATCAGATGGAAACTGTACACTCACTTCAATATTGTTGCCATTACTTTCAGTACTGGTTGTTTGTGTGTTGTTATTAGTGTTTGTATTATTATTGGATGATGACTGCACAACTCTTCTCACAACAACTCTCTTGATGACTCTGGGAGATGTTATTGGTGTTGTTGATGCTGAATTATCAGCAGCTGTTGTTGATGATGTTTCACTCATGCTTTTAAAGTTGTTGATGATGATTAATTGCAATGTGTATGGAGAGCGATGCTTTTTTTGTGGTGTTTGATGTACAATCATGAACGATTGATGTGCTCTTCCTTCCATTTGTTCATGCTCGCTTCATATCAACACAGGTTCAGCAATTAACTTTTATACATTACCGACATGTGATATTCGGATACAAAATTGATTTCGTTTTTGGAAAGTTGAAGACAATATTATTTAAGGTTGCAAAAAGGTCATTTTCTTTACCACACTATCAATACATTCCTTTACGTCCCTTGAATATTTTGTTTAATACTAAGGCGAAGGCTTTGAAATGCAATTCTTCGCTTTACCTAGGCGTTGTATGTTTGTTGTATTTTTTGAAAAATTTAAGGAAAAAAACGATGGAAGACCTTTTAGCCTACCTCGATAAGAAGTCATCATCAACAAAGGCTAATAATGCTGAAAATAAAGAGGATGGAAAAAGTGGTACAGTTATTGATTCAATGTTAGATTTGGATTGGGAGGAAGATTTTTCTACGGGTTTACTCTCCGATGATGAGGTTAATCAATATTTGAGGGAAATTAATAAATCATCAAAGAAGAATGCGAATGGGAAATCATTGAAGAATTGGACTGATTCGGAATTGATGGTTTATCTTGCTTTTAATCAAATTCCTGAGAATGTTGTATTGAAATTATTTGAGAAACATATTGGAGGTGATTATTTTGTGAATAGTATTGTTACTCATGAACAACTTGCAATAGATTGTTCTATTGATGAGGAAGTAGCCCTAGAAATTATTGGATTATTGGAAAAAGTTGCAACTCAATAAGAGTGGAACTTGTCCATGAGGAAAGAACTGATAATTGATATCCAATAGGGAAGATTTAACAACTTCTATCCGATAGAATCTTCTCCAAATCATCCAACAATTCACTATAAGAAGTGACAAATCCTGGAAGAACCTCCATCAGTGCTGTATCTGATGCATTCTCAACACTCAATCTAGTGTAGTAATAAATTGAAATCTTGGCTGGATCATTCTCATTCTTAATGACACCGAATCCACCTCCCATAGAATTTCCTCCTAATAGTGAACTCTTTAAAAAGTATGTGTAAACTTGATCCTTCTTGTGAACACAATTAATCTTGACACTACAAATGGCAAAAATGAAAATGTGATCGAGTAATCTGCCCTCCTTTCTTCGATGTTGAAGATAAATATTCAAACCATTGGCTGCAATGGTGCAAATTCTATCACTCTCAGTAAATTGGAGATTTCCTGCCAATCCAAGGGCATCTCCTAAATTTTGCAATAAATTGTCTGCTCTTTCCTTTGATTTCAACTGACCTAAGTGATACAGATCAGAGATGAAACACAGAGCATTCAAACTATTTTCAATCATTTCCTTAGCCTTATACTTTTGAAGAGTTCCATCGTAGAGATCTTGTGTTGAGTTGGATAGGTATGATTCCAACACTTCCAGGGTACTATCTGTGAATACTTCGAGCATTTCATTTTCGTCTTGCTTTTCGTGGGTTGGTGTTTTAGATTCCTCCTCTTTCTTTTCAATCAGTGTAATGATTGATTCAACAAGAGTACCTTGATCCTTGCTCAAACCATACTTTTTCTTTGTGTTGTGTGTGGCTAGGTATCGAGTATTAAAGATACGTTCTCTAATGTTGGTTGCACTAGTATGTTTGGTTTTCTTGGATATCAATTCAAATACCTCACTCTTCCAATTTTCTGCATTCTTGATGAAGGTTTGAAGGGTGTAGAGAAGTTTGGAGAAGGAGCTCGTCTTCAGTTCATAGTATGTGTGCAAATAGATGGAGCCATCCTCACTCAAACCACACGACAAGTAATCAATTTCACTGTATATATCCATAAATCCAAAGAATGATGATTCCAATAATTTTTCCATTACCTTGACTCTATCTTCAGTAATGACATCATAATTCAAATCGAGACCTTCAATTTTAGCATAAATGTAAATTCTATCATCATTACCACATCCAATGTTGACAATGAGATCGTCTGAGACTTGAATTTGTTGCACTCTTTCGAAAAAGTGTTCACTGAGTCCATTAATTCCAGTCACAGATTCAAGAAATAGGATAGATCTCAGTGCTCTTAGTTTGCAAAAGCTGGTAGGAATTTTAGAGAATAAATCCACTTGTCTCAAGTTGATGGCAAGTATCATTTCATAAGATTGAATCATTGAGACGGTTTGTAAAAACTTTTCATGGAAGAATATATCATTTGACAAATCCCTTACTACTCTTTGTTTGGTTGTCTCATCAATAGAGGAAACATCGGTAATGATATTCATTCTGGTGAGTGTCAAATCTCCCTTTGTTTTGAATTTGGTAAAATTCTCATAGAGTTCACAATCAAGAATGTGAGTTGGGTAGTGTCTTCTAGTGTCTGAGTCGATTGCAACCTCTTTCCATGATTCGAGATGCTTGAGGAATAATTCTTTTGTGCAATTCTTATTTCTTCTGTGGATATCAAATATTTGCTTATAGATGAGAGATTTGTATACTCCGTGATGTTGAAACCCCTCCAATAGGAAATTTAAAAAGCCATACTCAATTTCCAAAAATGTTGGAAACTGATCCTCTGGATATTCTATCATGTGGTTCCAAAAATTGGTATTTTCCTCATCCACAGAAAAAATTGACCCCAATAAGTCTCTTTTTTCATAGTTAATTTCCTTAACAACTGGTTCTTCAACCTGAGAAAAGAACTTGTTGGAGAGAATCAGAATATCATAAAATCCATACATAATCGTGGAATTATTGTAAATGTTAACAATTGGTTTGATATTCTCTGAGAGTAGAAGTGCCTTGAGAAGAATGGTCTTCAATTGGGAAGTGCTCAAGAATTCCATAGCACCTGAAAGTATTGAAAACATACTTTGGACTAAATCGATATTACTTTTGGAAATACAATTAGAAAAGTCAAACTTTTTCAAGAATTCAATAAGGTCTTCAAATATTGTTGAAAGGGACTTTTCGAAAGATTCCCACTTGACATCCTTCTTGATTCGATCACTAAAACTTGAATATAGGGAAGATGCTGTCTGTGCACACAATAAAAAGTCTGATAGGGAAGAGTAAGTATCCAAGTCGTTTTCTTTCAAAACTTCCACAGCACCAGTCAGGTTGAGTAGAGATTTTTCAATTAATTGTAATTCTTCTGAAAGAAGAGTAGAAAACTTGATCTTTCTCTTGTAATAATCAGCCAAGTATTGATAGCATCTGATTTTTACGACAGGATATGTTCCATAATACTCAAAGAGTTGGTCACATAAATGGATCATGTCATTTTGCATGTTCAATGATGAGAACAGTGAGAGAATAAACAATCTAATGGAGCAGTGGTCATGCTTGACAGTATTCTCTATCAAAAGGTTCCTGTAAATTTTAAGTGAAACTTTAGGAGCTGATTTGGAATAGGTATTGGCATGATCCTTGATGAGAGAAATGTAAACTTGATATGCGGAGGTATCCTTCTTCTTGTTATCTTCACCTCCATATTTAAGAATTTGTTCATAATTTGGATTCTCTTCAATTGCATAATTGTCCTTTCTCAGGCAAAGTGCAGATTTGAATAAAGATATGGCAGAGTCAAGAATTTCTCTACTCTCTTTTTCTGGACATAGACTTGCTTTCAAATTGATGAGAATTTTATAGGCTCCAGGAAAGTATAGCTCTCTAGTTGAGTCCAATCCACTCCACAATGCCTCCAATTCAATCAATAGCTTTTTGCTGAAAAAAGGAGGAAGACTTTCAGAGGCATAAGCAGATACCAAACTCTCGGCCACTTCAAATATTCCATTATTCATCCAATCTCTCATATTAATATATTGGAAGAGAGAGTAGGCCTTTTGGAGGTACTCTCTGTGTTTGACACAATTTCCTCTCTCCTTGTACCAGCCAGCAAGAGAGCTGTAATGTTGAATTTTTGAGAGAGTATTCTTATTGTTAACCAGCAGCCAATTGCGCATTAATTTGCCAGGAGAAAGTATATGTATGATGAATGGGTTCAAATACCCCTTAGTGAAGTATTCGTTCTTGATATCAACCAAATCTTCCAATTCCTTCTTGAAGGTTGTAATCAAATAATCCTTTTGGGAGTAATACTCGGCAGATATTTCAAAGGTTGATGCCTTCTTTAGTTTGTGTAAAATAATTTGAGATTTGAGGAAGATATATACATTCTCTGAGAGTGTTTCCTTACTCTCCTCGACTTGATTTGCTAAATTCAACAAGTATTCTATAGCTCTATAATATGATACAAAAGGAGGCGATAATATGACAATATATTCCATTTCTGCTTTGAATCTTAGATACAGCTCGAAATGTTCCTCCTTGAATGTATCTGTATCAATAAATAATTTACAATATTCGTAAATCTCTGAAGATTCCTTGAAATCTGATGTGAGGAATTTGTTTTTAAATACTTTCAAGAAGAGCTCGAATTTCTCTGAAAGTGTAAAATTACTATCATCACAATAATGGTCCTTATCTAAAATGTCAATCGTGTAATTTGCCAATAGCACACTAGTAGTATGACCAATTTCTGAATTGGTAAAAAAGTAATACCTAGAGAGTTCGGGATATGATAAAAACCTGGCCAATAATTTCCACAACTCTTCACTCGAATTATTCACGACTTGTTTAGTCCAACATCTACAAATGTGACCGAACAGTATAGTCGAATTGGATTTGTTTAAAATCTGAATATGAGGAAAAATTGCACAAATAAACTTTCCCAATATGATCAGTGATTGTGAATCGGCAGAAATATTATTATAAATCTCCTGCCAATAAATGTCATTCTGACAATTTACATCCTGTAAACTATATTCTACTACCTGCACTATTTCATTAAAGTTGTTGAAAATTTCCTCCGAACAAGCATTGCATAGTGAACATAATGAAAATAAATAAATAAATGTCTCCAATGAGGAGGTTGGTTTTCCAAGCAGGGAAGAATTGACAGAACTTTTCATCATGAGTGGAGGAGGATTTACAAATAGGCTAGTGTTGGTATTATTGGATTCCGTATCGATTTTCTTATTGTTCTTATTATTGTTATTATGAATAAAGTATTTTCCCTCCTCCGATAATCCAAAATACATTTCCTCACATATTGTTGATGAATCTTCTGATGATGATTTAATTAACTTGGCCATTTCCGTAAAGCTTTCAACTACCAGCATTGAATGATGATCATTCTCCAATAGCAAACCACTAAACCAAATCAAACTCAAACTCGAATTAATTGTTGGTGATTTAATAATTTCTTGCTGCTGATGATCCTCATCATGTTCCGAAGCGTACTGTGAAGAATTTGCATAATGTTCCAAAGTTGATGATCTATTATTATTCATACCAGATGGAAACACAACTTTAAGCCATGTAATTAGTGGCGAATTGTTCTCACCTTGTTCGCTTTGATTTTCTGGCATTTTTTTAAATGAGAGTTTTGATTGGAACTTGGAAACCACTAAATGTTTAAATATTTTACAATACTCTTTACAAAAATAGAAGTTTAAGTTTCAAAGCAATAGTTTAATTGATCTATAACATTGAGGAATTTCCTTTTAATATCTTGAATATTCATTACATATTGCACAATGAAATCAACAAGTACTTTCTTGCATTTCGACTTTTGAATCTTCAAACTTTTCAAGATATTGACCATCCCTAATATTGGCGAACGTCTTTTTGATTTTAGATTTCACATTTCTATTTCTCCTTAATAAGTAAAATACCAATATTAAAATAATGCCAACCACAATAAATGTAACAGGAAAGAAAATAGATAATCCTATAATCAATGGAATATTTGAAGATTCTGATTGAGTTGGATGAACCGATTGAGTAGGTTCAATTTTGGTTTCTTGATATCCAATAACAAAAATTCCAGTTCTAGAAATTCTCATAGATAAAGTGCCATCATCATTGCTATGCAAAGTACAATGATCATCCACAAAATCTCCTGTCGATAATTGATATTTGCAATGAGTGGTCTGTAATGTTAACTTTCTAGAAACTGCACTTGAATTATAAGGGAATGTTATTTGTGATAATAAATTAGAGTTCACTCCAAGATCAATATTTTGCAAAGTGTTAGCATTTTGAAGAGTAAATTCTATAACTTGAGAGAATTTGAAATCACTACTTAATAATTCATTAGTGTATGTTTTCACACCAACAATACATGATGGAATTTGAAGTGGATTCATAGTAATTTCAGTTTGATCATAGAGAACATCTTGAAGTGCCGAGTAATTCTTTACATATTTTGAATATGATTTGTAAACTTTACCAGAAATCTTAAACGGAGAACCATCTTCTAATAAGGATCTTAATTTAAAATCTGAAAGTAGTTTGTAAATTTTGATCACCTTGGTAGTATATTTCTGAACTATGCTGTTTGTTTGCTCTTCCATCGTTGAAATTGATGATAAACAAACTTGGAAATCATTATCTGAAAGTTGAATACTATTACTTGCTACTTTTTCCAATGTACCTGAAAAATAATCCAAAATAACAGTTTTAGTGTTTGTATCTAAATGGGAAATTGATGTGCTAACAGATGAAATAGTTGAAGCAATGGAGCTTAATTGATTAGTAGTTATATTATTACTTCTCAATAGATCTAATTGTTTTGTAAAATAGTTTGAAATTATTCGAATCACCCTTTCCTTGACCTGTATATTTTGATCTGATATTATTGTTGACAGAGTTGCGAGAATTGGTGGCGAGAGTGATGTTTCGCTTTCTAATGTAGTTAATACTTCATTTGAAAATTCTGATTTTTGAAGCACTTGAATTGAAATAGTTTGTGATTGGGTAAATGAATTGAATGAATCATAAATAAACACTGCTAATTCAATATTTCCAAAAGGTAATGAAGTTGTCAAAGATCTTTGAGATGATTGTTCTGAAAGAGTTTTCCATGTTAAATCTCCAACATATCGATACACAATCGATAAGTCACAGGTTCATTTTCATACCAGTTATTTGCTGTCAAGTTAAATTGAGTTTCTAAAACATAACCAGTTTTTGGAGAAACTGCAAACTCTCCCAATTTTGGAGATTCATTCACTTTAACGTTAATAAAGGTTGTACTTTTTTCTTGGTTTGTTGTTGTAATTTCTAAAGTTATATAAAATGAAATTCCACTTGTTAGTAAATGTTTAGGAATGACAATATAACTCTTTGTTATTTCAATGTCATTCATTGGAATTACCCATTTGTAGGAGAACATTTCATTTGGTAATGGTTCAATAACACTTGTTAAAATTAAATCTTCATTAGGATTAATCTTTTGAAGATTTGGATTATTTGGAGAAATTATTTGAACTTTGAATGTAATATTACTGACTGGAGGTGCCATATATCTGAATTCAATAGAGAACAGAGAGCTCTTTCCTTGATCCTTACCGATTACAGAAACATAGACAGCCTTTTCAACAACAAGACTTTCCTTCTTGAGAGTGATCCCTCTAGCAATTTCACCATTAGAAAGAGACTTCCAAGTGTAATTTCTTTCTGATGTATAATTGTTTTGATTAACAAAAACATCAACTTTTCCTTCCAATTCCTTAATGTGAAGATAGACATCCTTAGAAGAGTCATTGAATGAGAAACTATAAATCAAAGACTCCATATTTCCGTCAGGTGCAGTTCTACCAAGTGTTGGAATGTTTTCCAAAACTGTGGCACCAATATTACTAGCCAATGACATGCGATAGACAGAGTTTTCAATAGCAAGAATTGCAATAAAACAAACTCCACGTCTAAAGGCAAGGTCAGTTTGCTTGATAACAATGCTATTACCATTCGTATTTTGGTCAGACCAAACAAAATTGGTAAAACTAGCCTTTTCTCCATTTGTGGAGATGTACATTGCAGTTTTACCAGAAATGAGGGTTGCAGAAGCAGTGATAATCCTCAATGCGCTGGTAATGTTAGTTCTGAAATGAGTAATAGTACCCTTTGCAGAATTGACGAGAGCAGTATCTCCATTTGGGAACAAGTTCAAATAATCAGTGGCAATTGAGAGAGTAAATGGAATAGCTTTAGTGGTACTATCAGTAGTTGAAACAATACCAAAAACAGAAATGTAAATTTCTCCTGGGTTGGCATCTTCAATGGTCAAAACATTCTTACCATTATTAATAGATCTCCCTTCATAATCATATCTGTTTGGTGTCTTGACGGAATAACTGTAGAAGATATCAGCTTCATCACCAGCCTTCAACATGTTAAGGTTAATATTGACCTTTCCAGCATTCTTGATATTGAGAGAAAAGTAAGCATACTCTCTTTCAATAACAGAACTTGAGGTTGATGTTCCTTCAGAGAGAGGCATTATGGCTCTGACTTGAGAAGCGCATATGGAAAAGTATGCATCAGAAGTGAAAGCATGGACACCAATGTAAAAGGTCTTACCAGAAGCCTTAGAATCTTGAGCTGGTATGTAAACAGTGTGTTTAGCAAACCATTGGTTACTATTAACAGATGGATATTGAAGAATGGTTGAAACTTGGACACCAACGTCGCCACTAAATGGGTGGGCAGTGATGGAGATGGCCTTTTCTGGATACTTATCAGCAACAAAGGAGAAATATCTGTATGATCCCTTTGGAACCCAATTCAAATAAACTTCTTCACCATCACTGAGGGCCATGATTGGTTGAGAAGTGGTGACTTCAATTGAGAATTCACCAGAATCAGCAGCAACAGTAAAGTAAATGTTTGGACGTGGAGATGGAGCAACAAACTTTAAGACACCATCGGCACCAGTGATTGCAACAGCCTTAGAATGGTACTTTGTGGAACTAGGTCTAGAGAATTGAGCTCCATAAACATTAATTGAGGATCCAGAAACAAGCTTCGCAGTAGCAACAATGGTCTTGGCTTGATCGTTATTGGCATACTTGAAAGTGTAAGACTTTGTGGTAGCAGTGAATGCCTTTTGCACTGGTTGACTGGTGAAAAGAACAACTTGATTTTGGTTTTCACCAAATGCCCAAATCTTATAGTTGGTATTATTCATCAAACCAACAACACCAAAATAGTAATCACCAACAGTGGCATCCGCTACAGTGTATGTACCCTCACCTGAAATGACATAATCAAATTCACTGCTAGTTGGTATAGCTCCTTTACGAACGTATAACTTGGTTTCTCCCTCTTCATTACTGGGGTGTTTAATTTCAACAAATATATTTTGAACAGCTTCAAGACTTCTGAACATGAAGGTATCCATTTCATTCGCATTGACAGTATTGGTGAGAAGATACCTTCTGGTAAACGCACAGATTGGTCATTGACTTTGATAACTACACTATAGACAGTATCAGAGACGGCAACAATAGTAATTTTCAATTGAGTCAGTCCTGGGACAGCCTTAATCTTCAAAGTCTCAAATCCGTAATTCTCAGAAGCCCATGAATCACCATTAGAACCAGTAACATATAGATCTGGATCGCCATAGATACCATCAACATTGATTGTAATCAAATTGGCTTCGCTTGGAATGTTGAATAAAAAGGTATTCTTCTTTCCAGTTGGGGATTGAGCAAAGATAATTTCATTCTTGTTAATATTGATAATTTCTAATTAATGTCATTCGGAATTGAACAATCAAAACTTACCATTAGACTTCCAAGCAACAAAAGTAAATTCAGCACTCCTTTCTTGAGCAATGATTCCAACATAGAAAACACCCTGTGCATTCTCAGTGGAATTGTAGTATATAATTCGAACATCACCAAAGCCATTTGGACCAAGGCAATTGGCACAAGCAGTTTTTGGATAGTCAACACTGCTAATCCACATATCACAATCACCCGAGAGTGAATTCAAACTAAGGGTAACAAAATCTCCTTCTTTCCAACCCCACGATGAAACATCAACGAGAAAATATTGAATTTCTCCCCTTATCAGGGTCTTTGAAACGTTCTTACCAGAAACATCATACTTAATGACGGTATTCTGAGCAAAAACAAGAGAGCAGCAAAATAAGCATATGGCAATAGTAGCTAATAGCAGTTCTTTCATTTTTTAAGGCTAATTTTTTGGTACTGGTGAGTCTTTTGACACAATTTTCATTCCATTGAATCTACATTGAGGGGCGGTAGATTACGGTAGGATAGAATATAGAAATGATGTAGGTTTTGTCTATTTAAGACAATTGTATCAATCACACGGCATGTGTCTCGGCCAAGTATTTAACTTGAGGAAAACTAAGGAAGTCTGGAAAATTCAATACTCTTAAAAATAGTTTCTTAACAAAACCTTAGAGTCGCGGCTGCGTAACTATGCAATCAAATTGATTTCTTGGTCTTTTAAATCCTAGTTGATACATGAGCCATGTGCAAATCAAAGGATTAAATTTTCTTCAAAGTAACGGCCAACTATCTTCTGTTCATCCTCTTCTTTCCATTTCTTAATTTTTTAGAATATTAAATGATTATCAATATAACTCGAAAAGTTTCTTAAATGTATGTTTGTGCGTATCCACAATAAATGTAATGGAATAACTGTAAAGATATCAACTTCATCACCAGCCTTCAACATGTTAAGGTTAATATTGACCTTTCCAGCATTCTTGAGAGAAAAGTTAGGCATCAGAGGTGTTAGCATCGACATCAATGTAAAAGGTCTTACCAGAAGAGTCAGTAACATATAGATCTGGATATATATCTTCAAAGTAGAATCTTTTCATCCTCGTCTTCTATCTAATGAAATTAAAATTAATTATCTCATTGTGGTGATTTAATAAGTGAGATTATTATAATCATGTTCCGATGTCATATTGCTTAATGATGATTTTGATCTATTATATTAATAATCGTACCAGATGGAAACCAATTTTATTCAGTTAATAGTGTAATAACTACTACAATAATTGCAATGCAACTCAAAGAGTTTCTTGAATGTTTGTTTGTGTTTCCTAATTGCAAAAATAAATAACTTGCTCAGCTGCGTAGGTTCATAAACCTCCTCAATTCGACACACAGGTCAATATTTAGATAAACCGAGGAGATATAATTGTATTTTCTATAATACCAATTTAGAAATAAGCTTTTCTAAAACCGTATTTGTGACAGCCAAATGGTCCATCTCCTAAACTTCAGGCATTCAGAACGAAAAAAAAATCACAACTAACAACCAACAACATGATTCAACAACCAAACCAACAACAATTCTCTGAAGAAAATATTATGCAGCGCACTGATATGTGTTCTTCTTCTTCGTTAGATTGTTATGATGATGACAGAATTAATTCGGTAGGAAAACGAGAGTATGTCAATAATGATAACGATACAATTACTACTACTAGTTATCAAGATAACAAAAAGCGAAAGATTAGTGAAGCACATGTTCTTTCTCCTGAAGCTGAAAAACGTCTGTTGAATGATTGGAATGAGTTTTGTGCAACTTCTTCAGACCAAGTGAATGTCTTGTTTGGAATGTTGATTTCTAGATTTACAGATTTTCAGAGTTTACCTGAACATGTATTATTCCAATCGATGGTTAGTCAATTGGCAAACTCCAAGATAAATCCCAACTCTTGATGGTGTATTCTACTAGAACATATTTGCCTTTTTTAAACTCTTCCTGACCTTGTCTGCAATGTCAGATTTCTGGGATTTCTTTTTAATTCTTTGATCATTCCTATTGAGTATGGATGGCTCTTCTTCTTCCTTCTTTTTTAGTTTACTGTCCATGTGATAGAGTAGAATAGTGTATCGAAGTGGGAGTAATGTATTTACATCACATCCCAATAGAATTGGAACCTTCTTTCGCATCAGAACAGTCATCAGATAGGACCATAATAAACCAATTAGATCAATTATATCATCCAAATTGTTCATGTTCATTGTCTTGATGAAATTTGTCCTGAAATGATAAATAGAACTCGAGAGTGAATAATTGGTAAAGAAGAATGAAATTGATTGTCCATGAATGATAAACGAAAGTGAATCTTCAAAGTGACCATGCTTGTTTCTTCTCTGCATTATTTGTGGAATAAGAATGCAATTCTTCCACTCTTCTTCAGTTTGTTCTGATAGATCATTTGAGATTATTCCACATAAATTTACACTTTCACATTTCAAAGCGAGTAATTGACTTGAATTTCCAGCTTTACAATAACCATTCAATATTGAATCATATCCAAATGATTTCAACAAATTTCTAATAAAATTTACAATTGGAGTAGGACTCATAAACAAGGTAAAACTCTTCCTACTCGTAAAATTGTAATATTCCTTGGTAAATTTACAAGCAACTTCAAACATTTGCCTAAAAACTGACAATGACAGATTCTCCAGAATTAAATCCTCAATAAACTCATTCGATTCCATCACCAACTTTCTAAAAAACATTAAATTAGGCAACTGATATGGATTCCCAACAATATAATGATAAAAAGGTACTCTGTAATGTTCCGAAGGCTTGTCCCAATCCTTCACCATCATCCTCACTCGATTTGTCAAATTAAAAAGCAATTTTTCCACTTTAAATTCATCACATTCGCTTCCTTCCAATTTTTGTTTAATATTATTTAAATCCATTTCATAATAAATTAGAAAATTATTTATATTTGATGATGAAGAATCCAATTGCCTTGCAGAGGAAGAAGTTTTCATAAATTCGCCATGACAAGAAAATAATACCTTCTCAATAGGAGTTATATTAACATCCTCACCATCAATCATTGCATCCGAATGGTGGAACATTTTGTGTACACAATTTGAAATCAAAGTTTGCTTATTTTTTTTTAAATATTTTTAAATCAAATTAAATATTATTAAACACACATAATATTATAAGGCGAAAGGAGTTTAATGCCAATTTGACATAATTACCCATCTCCAAAAGTTTCCAAATAATTTTCTAATAATTTTCCCAAAAAAATGTCTCAAAATCAATGGTTTCATCACGAACCTCTCATTCGTGAAATTCTTCTCTTCCTTCCTCCGCAATTTGTATTCATCAAGGGAAGATATGTTACCACACTATGGAAAAATCTTATTGAGAGTAAATCATTTTCCGTGTTGTATTTTAATTCGATTGTTGTTGCAGTGGATGAACATGTTTCGAATATTGATAATGATGGAGAGAAAGTGATGAAAAGTGTCTATCAAGAATTGGGTAAACCATTTGATTTGACTCTAGATGGCACAAATGTTAATGATTTTCACTTTAGAATATTGAAAGCTATTGGAATGCATAAAATCAAGATGAAGAATAATCCTCTCGAATTGTTATTTAATGTGTTGAATGAGAGACAGTTAAATTTACTGAAAGACTTGCTCTCCAAATTGAAATTGACGAATTTATTGAGGAGTGATCTGGTCCTTAATTTGCAAAGTTCCTCGAAAGAAATGATTCTTTTCAGAGATGATGGAGTGCCATTATTATTTGATGGAACGAATTTCAATTTTAAAACCTGTGTTATTTGGTTTTTAAATTTGTCCATTTTGAAAATTGAGTTTGGAATTCAAAAGGTTGAAGTTATGAAATATCTGAAAGGATATTTGGGAGATTCCATTAAAATTAATGATACAGAGTTTCAGATACTGGAAGATTTTATGGTGCTGCTGCATCCACAAACGAGACTCAAAGCAGCCATGAAATCAATCTCCAAACCATCCAGATTTATGAGAGATGTTTCAGAGGAAGAAGCTAAAGTATATTATGATAAGATCGATAACTTTATTCCAACCATAGATTGGTGAATATTTGATTGCCAATTTCACCAATATTTTCTTGCTTCATTTCTGACAACTTTCACCAATGATCCATCATTCCCATCAATGCTCACATTAATTGTAGTACTATCCGTAATTCCACCTCCTGCATTGTAATATAATGCGAATATTTCTCCATCTCCTGCAATACCACAATTCATTTCAAAGTTATCATTCCACTCTACATTTGAAACCATTTCATCGAATGTTTTCAATGATAACCAATAGTCAATAGGATTAAGCGTATTTGGAGTTATTTCAAACTGAACTGCTCTTTCTCCACAATTAATTGCTTCCTTAATCTTTTCTCCAGACGTATTATCTAAGAAACTTCCGAATAATTCCTCATTTTCAATTGAATTAACAACATGCTTGGTTAATTCTTGAGAGAGGGAATAATCTCTGATTCCATCGTTCAATAATCCAAGAATTAGGTATGGAAATGGACATGTGAATGACTTATTTCTGATAAGAGCAATTTGTATAGACGGAATTATTCGAATCTTGTCCTGAAACAAGTTAGGGACATAGTTTCCAATTGATAAAAATTCATACATCAAACAACATGCGAACAATTTCTGTAATTTGATTTGAATAAGAGATTCTTCCATTTTATACCTATCAATAATTTCTCTTCTCAAATCAAATCCAAACTTGTAAAACGAAACTGATTCCTGCAAATCAAAATCAACGACATCTGGATACTCTACAAATCTTGAATCATCAAAAGGTGATTCCCATCTTACCAACAAATCAATATTTCCATAACAAGAAGCATCCAATTTTTCAACTTTCAATTCTTCCATTTGTTGATTACTCTTATCTCTCGTTCCATAGCAAATTTTCTTTGGAATTTGAGAAATTAAGAAGGAAAAAACTTGCAACCAACAAACATTGGATTTGTTATCATCATTATGAACAGTTGATTTAAGCCATCGCGGATCGAATTTTAACAAATTATGGCATAAATCTTTCCAATAATTTTGGAGACTTTGAATGGCTCGGAGCCAAGTTTTGTTTACTCTTGAAAATGATGCATTCATTAATTTCTAGGAAGGGAATAATGATGGTAATGGCATCTTGGTAAATAATTGACATTTTTTTTGATTATCAATTTATTTAATAATCAATTTCTTTTTATTTTAATAAAATACTTTTGTTTTCACACAAATATTTGTGCAAGATAAAATGCTCTCGATCATGAATTTAATATTGTAAAGGTTACTGTTTGGAATATATGAATTTCATCGCATGATTGGCCTAATATAGTTTAATGGATAGTTCACTTTTATTTGATTGGAAATTCAAAAAACCCTTTATTTCCGTACTAATCCAAATTAATAATTACTAATGCAATATATTTTCAATAAAATCAATCGACACTACCAAAAATATTATAATATCCACAAAAGGAATAATTGTTTCCATCCTAAATTATTCGATTCGATTAACAGATGAAACTACAATAGATGCGAGAGACATTGTTATCATTTCCAGTCATTCAATTGTCCAATTTTGTATATTTTCATTTCAGACATTGTAAATTTAATACTAATCAGCCCTAAAGTACCTATTTTGAACATTTCATGAGCCATCACTTTACAATTTCATACTCGAGATCACTATTCGAATTTTCCATAAATGGTGTAAATAATTGTCAATTTGTCCTTATTGAGTCATGAATGGTTGTATTTCTTTCCATTTGAGCGCGAAAACCTCAACATACAGCTCGAAACACTTAAAAAAACAAACAACACGAAAAGCGGTTTGCTAGAGAGTTTGAGATTTTTTGTGCACACACTTGGAAAATGATTCATAAGTTTAGCATTGTTGAGTTTTATCAACCAAACAAGTCGGCCATTAAGGAGGAACACTTGCCGAGTAAGAGAGGAAGAAAGACAAGAGTACCAAAGAGAGGTGAGATGAGAGTTGTATCGACAGATAAATTGATTCAGCAGGTGCCTTCATCGAATGGTCAAGGATCACCACTGACAAGTAATTCGAAAGGTGCAATGAGTCAAATGGTGAATGCTCCTTATTCTGGTGGTGACTGTAATCTTTCGAATAGAATTCCACAAAATGAACAAGTTTCTAATGTAAATAGAGGTAAAGATATAGAACGACCAATCTCACTGAATTTTCCATTCAATTACACAATGCACGCAAAACAGAAAGATATTTCAATGCCTCTCATTCCAACAATTCCTAAAATTGAAAAGACAAGCAAGACGAAAACTCACCATCCTCAAAGAGCTGAAACTTCATCACTTCAAAGGAAGATTATCAGAACTTCAATTTCAATTCAAGAATTATTGAATTAGTTTATTTTTGTGGATTAGTAAAGCGAGTGTTTTAAATGTAAATTGTACAAATGTATTCTATTGTTTTTCATCTTTCAATCTTTTATTTGGTTGGCTTACAGAGCTTCTTATGTACACTCCAATGTTTCTTTTGACAATCTGCAGAACAATAATAGACAGCTTTACAGTTGGCACATTTCTTGGAGGCTGCCTTCTTACAGACAGCACAAATTGTTTGTGTTGATTGTGATTGAGCTGATTTTTCCAATTCATTCAAGCTCTCCTCAGAGATGCCTGATTTCAAAAGCATGGCTCTCACAGCAGTGGATACAGTTTCCAATCTCAGATGAGTTTCATGATATTCCTTTTCGAGAGTGCCCTTTTCCTTTATCCACAATGAGTTTGGATTCCAACCCCTCTCTGGTAACATTGGATAGGAGTAGGCCCAGCCATAGGTTGTGTCCATCTTTTTCATGGCTTCAACATTTAAAATATTTGTTGATTGTTTCTTGAGATTTTCAAAGAGAAGGTATGGCAAACTGTTCTTGATATCATCAACTGGTCCACTTTGAAGATATCCCTTCTCATTGAATGATTCCAAAGCTCCCATAAGATAACACATTGTTGGATAGTCCTTAGTTTGTGTTAATAATTTTGTTAAATATTCCACAAAGTCCTTCACGAAAGGTTTGAACGCATTGACTGCCTTTTCCTTATCAAATTTGACCAGAGAAAATCTGTAAATTGCCTTGGCTAAACTTCTTTGGAAGTCAGTCATGGCATATCTCAAATAGGTTTCATCTCCGAATACATTGTAGGCTCCTCTGGAAAGAACCTTCTCTTGATGAACACCTCTGCCAAATTTGAGAGGATCTAGACAATCGTCATTATATTTGGCATACAAGGTTTTTGGAACTTTTTTAAGGGCTGGTTCAGCAATATTGGCCTCTCCCTTCAATTGAGAAATGTTTAGAACTTTCAAGCAATGAACCAGTGACTTGAAGAATTTGGCCTCCAACAGCAAGTTTTTAGCACGTTGAGCCACTTGATAAACATTTTCCACATACAAATCTTCATCCAATGTGTCCTCCTGAACAATAAATTTACAAATATTGGAAATTGACAAGAGAGCCTCCCTCTTTTCAACACAAGTCATTTCATGAATGAGTTGTGTAAGGTTTTCAATTAACATTTTTACACTGACAAGATTTTCAGAACCAATCTTTTGTTGTTCTTCCTCAGTTTCCTTCAGTTTCATTAAGATTAATCCACATCTATCCCTAGTCAATAAATCTATCATTCTACTAGTGTAGAATGGAATGTATCGCACAGGACTCTTCAAAAACATTAACAACATGTTAATGCATTCCAAATCCACAAACTTTTGCAAATCATCAATTGAAGACATCATTTCAGTCAATGATGAAATTGGAGTGAGAATAACATCTTCATTTCCAATGTGTTTATGATAATTGAGGAAGAATTCCTTGCAAACTTGAATATCATCCGATTCCAAAGCACAGAACAAACAAGTTCTTGCATCCAATTCCAACTTCTTTTTCTTTGGAGTTCTCGGAATCATTGATGGATCAACTCCCATCATGGTAAAGTATTGATATTCATCCAATTCTCCCTAATTTATGATGATAATTACAACATTATCCACAATAATTCTTGATTTAATAAATTTCTAACTAAAACTTACACATCCTGTTTTGTGCTTTTTTATTATTCGGAATCAAAATCAACAACAATTGTATAAAATCATCAAAATTTAACATCATGTTTTACCTACCTGCATATAATGCATATCATAACGAAGATCGTGACTCATTTCGTATTCTCTTATTTTTTTTTATTAATTTTTAAATAAAACGAAAAAAAAGAGCGCGAAATCTAATTATTAAATTACTAATAGTTTACAAAAAAAAATGGGCAACAATAATTCATCGGGAACATCCTCTTCATCAACACCACAAACAATGGCCAATTTATTCGATTCTCATGTTGGTTATAATTGGGGTCTAAGAGGAGATCCCTATTTCTGGGAAATTCTGCAAGAGCACTTTTCTCACATTAAACAACCACTCAATTCGGAACAATTTCTTGAACAAGTTTCTAAAATTTCAATGGAAAGATGTGATGGAAAAGATATTCTCAAATCGAATGATAATTTATTGGTAAAGGATATTCCAAGAGGTGGAATGTCGGGTGGATTTATTTCATATGAATTTTGGCAACAGGAAGCAATTCCCGAATTATTAAAAAGATTGGAAAAATATAATAATAATAATAATTAAAGAGTTAATATGTAAATATATGTAAATGGATTTTGGAAAATATTTTGGATTAATTGTTTTGGAAAAATTACACTTTTGTAAACAGAAGAAGAATGGATGATTTTGTTTTATATCAGACAATATCCTATTGTTTCTGATAATTTCAACCTGTGATTCGAAAGATATTCATATTTTTCCAGCTGCCTCACTAATTATTATTGATTGTAAATGAAACGAAGAAGAATATCCTTAAATTACAGGAAATTTCTTCAGCACCTTTTCAAGAGCCTATTATTATCAAAATCAATCAGCAAAGAGAAAGAGCAAACAAAAATAACGAAATGGTTCCGAGGATTAGTAGTCAATTGATTTCTAGATCCAACAACTGTTGTAGGAAGAAGCTAGCATTGAGGAGGAACACAATGCTGATCAGAAAGAAAGAAACTGAAAAGAAGCCTGAACATTTTTCATTCACTCCGATGCTGTATCAAGACCTTTGCAAAGTCATGATTGAATATTCGCCTACAAAACAGCAACAGCAGAGGAAATACTATTGATGAAGGTTATTACTCTCCAAGATTAAGAATACACTGTACAACACATAATATTGGTCGCTTGATTACAAGACTTGATGAATACTAATGATGAAAAATTATGATTTTTAGAATGAACATGCACGAATGACCACCTTCGCTGATAATTTGATCAACAGAAAGTCTGTTATATTCCTATTGATAATTAAATCATGTTGGTAATAATATTCACTTCTTCAGAAACCGCACAAAATTGTTATGCTGGCAGTTTAAAAAAAACTGTAAATATTTCTTGCCTTAAGAAAAATTAAACAACGTCCCGTCTCATCTATTAAATATCAAAGTTTAAATAATAAAAAAGGAATACGGATTTTAGTGCACTGACAACAATAATATTATGGAGAACTATCCGACATCTACCTCCATTAAAATAACATGATGACGAATCAAAGGTTGATTTCAAGAGTCATCGGTCAAGGTACCTCACAACATCTTCATCTCTCTTCTGTTGTGGCGGTCGGTAAAGTACAATAATAGGCTGGCTAGCGTAGTGTTCTCCTTCTATTTATTGTAAACATTTATTATTGAATGAGTGAAGAAATTCATAATCGGATGATTTGCCGAAACAAATTGAAATGAGAGAATAGATTAGAATGTTAGACAACAGAAAAAAAACAAACCACGTCTATTCGTCCACTTTCTATTTCTTCGTCATGTCGTCTTCGTATGACCATACAAACATCAGTAGCACTTCCTTCACAGAGAGGTTTTGGAAACATGCAGTAGAGGACCAACCAACTTGGATCGTTTATGGTGTGTATCCATTTCTGGCACAGTGGTTGACTTATTGGATTTTTAATGCTCCATTCATTGCATACCAATTTTTAAAGGTCAGAGAAAACACTTGCAGTACCTTATCGAAAAGATACATTTCTTGGATGGATAAATTCCTGATCAATCCGTCACATTCTCCTCTTGATCCAACATTCTACTGGAAGATTTTAATATTCTGTTCAAAAATTCATTTCTTCATGTCACTTCCAATGACTATTCTCAATTCATCAGTCATGGCCACAATCCACGAAAGTTCGTATGAGAGCTTGATGGCAGATTTTGGATGGTATTGGATTCCAAAGATTATTATTTATTGGAGTATTTTCATGGCCATGGATGAAGTTTTATTCTTTGGTTCTCATTACCTTCTTCACAAGGTACCATTCCTCTACAAACATGTTCACTCTCTTCATCATGAATTGAGATATACAGTCAGCGTTGGATGTGTGTATGCTCATCCAGTTGAATACTTGTTTGGTAATGTAATTCCTGTTCTATCTGGACCAAGCTTATTGAGAGTACACTTGTTTTGGTATTGTTTGTGGATTGTTTTCAAGATGATGGAGACATCTTATGTGCATTCAGGTTTCGATTTCAAATTGAATCCTTTCAAGTGGTTGACTAATGAACATGCCTATCACCATTCTCACTATCAAGATAATTACGGAACTTGGTATGGTGTGATGGACAGAATATTTAGAACAAGCATTCATTTTGAGGAACATTCTGAAAAGAAGAAACAAGCAAAGAAAGACCAATAAGTTAAGGGACTTTTAATAATATGTAATTAATTAAATGATTAATTTATTAACCGAATTGGAAAGTATATCATCTTTTCAGGATACAGATGTTTCACTTCATGTTAGGCCATTATCAACATTTACAATTCTAAAAGTGATCAACTCCCTTGAGATTTAGACGAATGTTAAATTGATGATTATTAATATTTAGATCAAACGAGATTTGAATTATTTGGATTACATATTAATTTATTTTATAATTTAGCATTTTGGATTCATGAATGCAAACAAGGTAACAATGGAATCAATAATTTGATGCATTTCCTTGGCAGAGAGTGGACACTGATTAACAATAATTGAAAAAACAATTGGATCTCTATAATTGGCATTTCTAATATATCCACTCAAAGAACTAACTCCATCCAAGCTTCCAGTTTTAGCACTCACAATACCTGGGAAATCAACAAATCTATTCCTGAGAGTTCCACTCCTTCCTCCGAGAGGTAATAAGGAGACAAATGTTTCACCACTGACTCCACCTGCTCCCTTGTAATAGATTGCACTCAATGCATCGACTAGAGAACGAGGAGAAATGAGATTGTGACGAGAAAGTCCAGATCCATCATTTTGGAAGAATGTGAATGGTGACAAGTTGAATTGACTTGTCAAAATATCCTTAACAACTTGAATTCCTCTTGTGGTGATGGATGGAAAAACGTCCAAACTACTATTTGCCTTAATGAAAGTTCCCAATTGTCTCAAGAATAATTCTGCATACATGTTATCACTCTCTTGAAGTGTAGTATTCATAACTGTGAGAATATTATCAGAGTAGACGCATTCCTCTTTGAATTCAAACATGGAGGAACGTTCCTCCTCACTCAAATAATCAATTTTAACAGATTTTGGACCATTTGAAGAGGCGCTAGCACTTGAAACTGCTTGTAAGAAAAATCCATAAGTATCCAAAACAGTCAATGTTTGCTTGGATTCCTTCTTTGCACACAATTGACCTCTAACAATAATCTTATTATCTAAAGGTTTATAATAAGAGGTGACACTTTCCTTACTGATAATATTAGCATTTGAACAATCCAAAGTTCTACTCAAACTAGTATCAAATTCAAAGAAATCCTTTGCAAATGATTGAAATGGTTCATCCAAAACAATACTCAATCCTTGACCAGCAACCTCTCCACCTTTAACAGTAAATGTTAAAGTATTATGTTCCAAAGATAAGGCACTTGGTACTGAACTAAATGAATATTGTAAATTTCCCCATTCCCATGAATCTGGAAATTCCTCATCATCTCCACCATTTGTAAATGGAATTGGATTGAAAAAACTAGCATCCACAACAATTTCATGAGGATTCATTGAAGTGACCTTTTCCAAAACATTCATTAATGATTTTTGCAATTGCTCAAATGTTAATGTTGGATCTCCCTTTGGTCTCACAACAACTCTTCTATTCTTATAATCATAGAAGAAATCAGTGGAGAAACGAAATTTACTTCCCAAATGATTCAATGCAGCAATAGTTGTCAATAATTTGTTATTAGAAGCAGGTTGAAGAAATGGATCTGGATTATAAGAAAACAACTCAATGGTTTGATTAACCATTACTTGAATACCAAAAGTTGCTGGAAAATTAGAAAGCATATCCTTGACCTGATTCGAAACCTCTGATTGACAAATATTAAAATTTGGTGGATCCTTCACATCATGATTTTTAATTCTACTACTACTAAATTGCACCGATGATGATGATGTAATTATTGATGATGATGATTTGGCAAGTATTAAATTGGAGGTTGATGTGATGAAGAAAACGAGAGAAATTATGAGAAGGAAATAATTTAATAATAACATGAAGAAGGATGAATTAATTTTCCTTCTTGATGATCGTGATGATAGTGATGATGGTGATGATGGCGTGGAAATAAGTCGACCAAAAGCTGTGCAAACTCTTGAAGACATTTTTTTTAAACAACTCCTAACAAACTCCACAAATATTGAAAGTTCGAGAGAAGTTTAGTTGAATATGTTGGTAAGGTAATTGATGGAAAAAAAGTTTGGCTTAACATTCGAACAAAGTCCATAAGAATTGAATTCCAATATTTATTGGAATTGAGCATTTTCAATAACAAGTTAATTTGCAAATCCTGAACCTCCAGTGTGACCACTATCACCACCTCCACCTCCTCCACCACTATATCCATAACCAGTATGAGAATGGTTATGATGATGATGATTATTTCCTGTCCAGTGGGAAGTTCCACTGCCAACACCTCCTCCTCCACCTGATTTACCCTTAATTAATATGAATGCAAATATTAGTGTAAGAATGATGGCTCCAGCCACAGATCCAATAACTATTCCTACCACTCCACCAACTGTTAATGGACACAAATTAAAATTGTCTGAATTTGGATTAAAGTAAACTGTTGGAACGTATAGACTGGTGAGATTTTGAACTGAAAATAAGACTGAATATTGATTTCCATTAGTGATGAGTTGACCACTTGAAGTTGGTGCACTGGTGAATCCAATATTCGAATCGAATATAAAAGTAGAGGTCAAATTTCTAATCATTGCACTATCCTTGTAATAGAACGAAACAGTATTCTTTGAAGCTGATGCAGAACTGGCAAATAGATTTTGTCTTCCTATTACAGTATACGACAGTTGGAACGAAACCATTGTTGTTCCTGATTCTGGAGTTGCTGGACTCAAATACATGATAATATAACCAGTACTATCAAAATAAGTTGAAATACTATAACCAGATGTGAGTGTAACAACTGCAATATTGTTGACGTTATCAATATTAGAAGCGAAAGCTCTTCCAATAGTTGAATAGGAACCAGTAAATTCGTATTCGAAAGTTTCGACCACGTCCAAAGTACAAGCACCATTTGTAATGTGAACTTCTGAAGAAAGTGAAGTAATTGCATAAGATTTTGCAGTGGATGATGCTGTCAAAAATGAAAGTATGATGACAAGAAACAACGAAACAATCAATGTGTGGACAGGTTTTGACATTTTTTGTTTGTTGACTTTTTTGACATTTGTGAACACAAGGAGGAACTTGCCAGGTACATACTAGACAATTTTATAAAAAGGGAATATTTTTCATATTGAATGTAAGCCGTCATAGCTCAGTTGGATAGAGCACAGGACTTCTAATCCTGGGGTCGTGGGTTCGAGCCCCATTGTCGGTATCTGATTTTTTGTTCTTAGCCTCGATCATTGGATATTCAGCATTTGCAAGAGCAAATCAACATCTCAATTTAGCTTTCAATCTTTTTTTCTTAGCAAACTTTATTCGAAATCAATTCCTCCACATCAATCATCTGATCTTCGTTTGGAAATTAGAGGAATGTTTGGATTGAAAACTAATTCACCCTTAACAATTGAATATTTCTTTGAGGAATGATTAATATTCATTGGGTCATAACTCCAGTACGAACTAATAACCATCTTTTCTCCAGAGAAATCATACGAAAGGAAAGCTTTTGAAAATTCTTCAATAGTCTTATCCACTGTATAGACAAATTTGTAAATGGTTGTTCTGGGAGTTGCCATGTATTTTTCCTTTGACGAGTAAATGTGACAATTACTTGCATTTGACAGTTTGGTTCTTGCTTTCCAATCACTTGTGTTCATTGCGAGGAAATTCAGAAATTCAAAGTCTGCATCCAGGATTGTACTGTTATTGAGTTCTTCCTCCTTGTAGACAAGTAATTCTTTGAAGGATTGACGAGTTTCGTGTTTCACTTTCAATTCGTCTAGAATAAACTTTGGTAATGAACTCAAACTTTCTTTCGTCCAATTTAGAATGAATTTTGAATCTACCTTCTGAAAGAAATAGAATAAAGCTTTGAAATGATAATTAAATGTGAGAATTAGCATTTCCAACACATCATCTTCCTCATTTCCAATACCATTATTCGATTCTTCTAGAATTACATCACCTTCTCTATTTCTACTCAATTCTGATTGTTTTGAAAACCAAGAATAAACCTCCACATTCTTACATATCGGAAATAATGAAGGATTTTCATCCACTATTGAATTAAACTGAGCTAGAAATGAATTCCTACCTGTCAAGTCATTAATCAAAATTTGTTCCTTTGACTTGGCAATAATTTCACCCAGAAAACAATTACAAACTTGAAAGAGTGAGGAATAATCTTTAAATTTGATGGCTTTCTTTCTTTTACAATCGTAGAAATAGTCAAGAAACAACAATTTCTGTTGATTGCAATGGAGAGATTCTAATAGTTCATCAGTTGAAAGAAACTGTTCGAATCTTTCTCTCAAATCTTGAACTTTTTGATTAATCTATAAGAGGAATCACTTTGCAGGGAAAGCCTTTTGGGAAAATCCCCACTCACAATAATTGTTTCCAAAGGAATGGCAATTAAATCATAACCAGAAGATGACATTTTTTTTTCTTATAGTTGCCAATCATTGATGGTTGACAGGTCAAAATATTAAGAAAGAGATGTTTTTAAGCAATTGGAGATTATTCATAATATATTTGAAGATTTTTAATCTCGAAATTTGTTATTGTTTTAACAAACAAACTGCTTCCTTCTTCTAATGTTTTCAAATAAAAAAGTTTCAAATAAGGTTTCTCTTCAATATTCCAAATTTATTCAAAATAAAATTCAATGGCTCGCCACGTTACCGTCTCGGGAGGAATCGAACCTCCGTCAATGGATTCAAAGTCCACTATGCTACCATTACACCACGAGACGAGCACATTAGTTTGAGAACCTTAATGGATATTGAGGAATCAGACTGATGTTTTTCGTTGACGCACCCATTTATGAGGGATTTGTACGCCTTCATGGAAATTTGTAATATTCTTCATTTCACAGTTCCTTCCTCAATAGAATACCTTCTTTTTTTCCATTACTTTATAGTTCAATGTTCGCACGTCTGGCCATCACACATCATTCCTTTAGTTCTCAGTTACCTTCTGACTTTTGGCAGCAATCAAGCTAGAAAAAATAAACCGAATCTACCCCTCTTAGATTTTTTCTCGAGAGTACGTACATAGAAACAAATCCATCATTAAAGTTTTGTCTATAGATTTTGTATATAAAGAATGGATACTAATATTAAATGTGTAGTTGTTGGTATGTAAAAGTTTAGTCTAGTTTCTAATTATTCCGTTTTGTTTCGAATTTTTTAATTCTACCATCTGATTATGATAACAAATTTTCTTCTTCTTTCCATCATTATTACTTGATGCTTTCTCTTACTTGATCCTTTTCGAATATTGTTTCGTACACTTTCTGGTTAAATTTCTACACTTTCTAACCACAACAACAACAATTTCAACCCTATCCATGACTTTCGCGATAATCTTTCACATTCATAACGAATATTCTTTCACCTCTAAAACACAATCATGATTAATGTAAACTAAACATCAAACCACCATCAACCACTTTCCACTTTAAACAACTAAACCTTATGACTAACCATCAAAACAACAACAACAACCATTCTAATAACAAATAATTATTTTCCACTATAGGTGATGGTGCTGTCGGTAAAACTTCCATGTTAATTAGTTACAGTACTGATTCCTTCCCAACTGGTAAGTTTCTAACAAACAATTTCTTGTTTATGCATAGTCCTACACTTCATCTTGTTATGATACTATCAATTTCTGATATCCTTTTAATTACCATGCTTTTAAAATATGACGACTTTCTAATAACACCACTTTAGAATATGTTCCAACTGTTTTTGATAACTATTGTGCCAATGTCATGTATGAAAATCATACAGTGTCATTAGGTTTGTGGGATACAGCTGGTCAAGAAGAGTATGTATTATATTTCTATTCATTATATTAACAACCTTCAACATTTTACAGTTATGAGTAAGTTTTAGAATAATAATATTCGAATAGTTTCATACTTGATTCTAATAATAATTTGTTTGACACCTCTTCTTCACTATTAACACACTACACCATCTCTCTACTATATTAATATTAAATGTTGTGAATTAACTCTATCCATTTGATTTAATAATTTTAATGATGATGAACAATTGAAAATAGTCGTTTGAGACCATTGTCTTATCCAGATACAGAAATTTTCATTGCTTGTTTCTCAGTTGTTCAACCATCATCATTCACTAACATTAAGGATCGTTGGATTCCAGAATTGCGTAAGCACTGTCCAGCTGTTCCAATTATTTTGTGTGGTTTGAAGGTTGACATGAGAGAACACGATGCCACTTTAAAGAAATTGAAAGAACAAGGTCTTACACCAATAACTAAGGAAATGGGTGAACAAATGTCAAAGGAAGTCAACTGTATTTCTTACTGTGAATGTTCGGCCAAGACACAAGTTGGTTTGAAGGAATGTTTCAATTTGGCCATCACTGTTGTTTTGCATCCTGAAAGATTCAAGCAAGATAACAAATCAGCAAAGAAGACTGGTGGCAAATGCATGATTTTGTAAACTTTTTGAATTTCTCATTTCCCTTTTCACTGTTCTTCTCTCTACCTTCTCTCTGTATATCTTAATAAAAACAAACTGTCAATGTCCTTTAAATTATTAATCAAGTTGTTGTTCAGACACCACTTTAAACTCAAAAAACTGGTCTCTGTCAACAGCTCTTGGAATAGGGGAGATGGATTGTTTGTTACTTCTCATTAACGAGTTCAAGCAATTAATGAGCATGGATTTGATGAAAGAGTTGCAAGTTTGAGTGGATATTATATTATTTGGAGCTGTGGTATTTATTTTGAATATTAGATCAATATTGTCACCAGACTCAAATAATGAATTCACAAAAAAGCAAATATTCCACTTGATTTTATATCAACACATGAATATCCAACTGATATCTTCCCCGTTAAGAGAGATTTTATGTGAAATGCCAATAGAAAAACCAGAACGGAAGCTGGGAATTATCCACTTTATTACACTGAATGGAATGCTGGATTAGAAAATGGAGGAGGATCAAATTTTTATCAAGATACAGCCTTTCCAGCACCATACATTCATGGCTTGGTTGACATTTTCAGTTTTTGGTGTGTTTCTGATATTTTCGAAGAGGGAGGTCAACAATCTAAAGTCTTCTCAGGAACCTATGGATTAATCACCAATGTTGGTGTTCGTAAAGCATCTTGGAGAGCTTTCGAATTGTTGTGTGAGATCAGCTTGTTAATGTTTCAACAATCTCTACACCAATCAATAATACTGCAGATGTTTATACAACTTTCAATTCACAAACAAAGGAAATTATGATTTTTGTTACAAATTGGCAAATTCCAACTCTGCTGAAGTAATGATTGTAATTGTTGGAGGTACATTGAGTGTTATTGACACATTTAATGCAAATGCCTATCACAAGTTGTTGAAAATGAACAGTCCAACTTATCCTATTCCTTCCCTGCTGAACTGAATGAAAGTAGTAAGGTACTTTCAAAACCTAGGTTCTCATTCACAGGTAACAAATTTATCATTGAGACAGGATCTCCCTCACTCTCCGTCATTCGTTGCCTAACCCTAAACTAAACTGTAGATGGTGCAAATAAATGAAATTTGAATGTTACAAAATTTTGAATACTGACCTAAAATTTCTACCATTCCGTTTCTGATAAAGAACCTCTTTGGAATAAACTGCTTTGAATGTAAAACGGAAGTTTGCCTATTTCCTTTTATGTAATTATTAAAATAGGCAAAATTCACAACAACCAACTATTCTACAAACCATCACCAGATCCAGACTCCTTACACTTAAAACTCTTCCGCTCTAACCTCAATGCCTTCGAGTCATGAAAATATTATGGCATGATTCGTGTATTGTGTATTGTTGCCAACATAAATTGTAGTAGAAGATGTAGAGTAAGTAATAAATCAAGATAAAGTAAACACCATCTATATTTCAAATCTAGATGACTCGAATCCCCAATTCGTTCCTCAATAAAATATTCGAATATATTCTACTTGTCATGTTGTCTATTAAAGATTAGACTGTATTGAAATGGTATGATGTTACCCATCACTCTACTACATTAATTATCAAAATGTCACCATGTCTGTTTTTTTGTCAAGTTGTGCGACAAATTCATAAAATTTATTCGGCAATGAAGCTAATTACAAACACACAAACTTTCAAAGAAGGCCAACAACAGAGCACTAGAACGCTCATTTCGATATTCAATATCCTCCTCTCTTTCGATACAGATTGGCGTGTGATGAAAGGCTTTGTATTGGTATTTCATGTGTGCCATCCTCACCCATTATAAAAAACATTCTCTTAAAAAAAACAAACAAGATGCCTGCTGGTGGCCAAGTTATTTTCACCAACTCTACTGTTGGTACTTCAGGCTTTGGCGTGAATGTATCCTTGTTGGTATGTTGTTGTTGTAGTATTATCCCTCGGTGATTTGACATTCTAACTTGTTTTGATTAATGCGCTCACGTAATTTTTGGTCCATGCTGATTGTTGACCTTTATGTTTCTTCATCATCTTTGACTATATAGAAAGGAAACACAATTACTCAAACAATTGTAAGTTTTGATTATTAAAACATAAACTAAAGCCTTGTCAGGTTGGTGCTATCATTTCTGCAATGGTTGTTGCGAGTGTTGTTGTTACTATTGTCATGGTTACAGTCTCTGCTGGAGTCTCTGCTCCTGACGCAAAAGACGTAAGTAATTCATAGTATTTCGAATTTGTTGTGTTTATCATCATTATATTCATGCATGTCTAAATGTCAACTTTCTGAATACCCACAACTAATAGGATTATATTCAAGTCTACAAACGTTACCCAATCACAATATATCCACTTCTTAACGATGCTGATCCAAAATCATTGAATTTAACTCTCGTTAACGTTACTCAACCTACTTCTGGTACAGTTTCTTTGAAGGATGGTAAGACACTAGTTTATACTTCAAAAGGCTCTTTTGCTGGAAATGAAACCTTCCAATATTATGTAACTAATGGTTATATGATTTCTTCAGCAAATGTTCATGTAGAAGTTTTGAATCGTCCACCTGAATTGGTTGATATTACACTCACTGTTAGTAAGAATAGCAAAAAGAACAGTATTGACATTTTTGCTTATGTTACTGATAACGGTGCTTTCATTACTGATCCAGATAATGACGAATTGACTGTTGTTGGTATTACAGCTTCTCAAGTTCCAGAAGCTGTTGTTACTTTTGACACTAAATATGTATACTACACTCCAAAATATGGTTTCAATGCTCAAGATCAATTCAACTATACCGTTTCTGATGGTAATGCTATTGTTAGTGCTCTCATTACTATTAATGTTGAAAATGATCCACCTGTTGCTGATCCAGATACTTACACTGTTCCAAAGAATGCCAAGACTATCCTCAGAGTTATGGAAAATGATTATGATATTAATGGTGATAATATTACTATTGTTGCATCAACATCTGGTACTGGTAGTGCTGGTACTGTTATCACTTCCTCAGATGCTACCTATCTCAGTTACATTCCACCTGCAAAGGTTGAAGCTTTGACTGATGCCTTTGAATATACAATTACTGATGGTCCAACTACTTCAAGCAGTTATGTTTTCTTGAAAGTTGTCAATACTCCACCAAATAATGCTGATAGAATTCTCAATGTTCCAAAGAATTCAAAGGATAACCAATTGGATTTGACATACACTGATGCTGATATGTTAGATACTGTTACCGTTTCCTTGTTGACCAAGCCAACTCGTGGTACCTTCCAATTCTTGGAACAATCCACAATTACTCAAGTCAATTATCCAACCCAAGATTTTTACAATGTTAAAAAGAATAGTTATACCATGGTTTACACTCCTGAAGATGGTGTAATTTATAGTGAATCTTTCAAGCTTAGAATTACTGATGATATTGATACAGTAACAAGTACTGTTACTATTAATGTTATTCCTGTCGCTCCAGTTGCTGTTAATGATACTGTTTTGTGCGATAAGAATGTTCCAATCACTGTTGATGTTGTTGCTAATGATTATAGTGCTTCCAATGATTATCTCTTGCTCGATTTTGATGAATTGTCCACTGAAAATGGTGGTAAGATCAAGAAGATTGATGATAAGAATGTGACTTATACTCCTCCAGCTGATTTCACTGGTACCGATGTTGCTCCATACAAGGTTAAAAATTCTAACAAGGATGGATCAACTACAGGCATTTTCACTGTAACTGGTTATTTGATTGTTGGTGTTAAAAATATCGCTCCTGTTGCTGTTGACGATATTGTTAAAGTTTCTAAGGGTTTAGTTGGTAAATTTGAATTGATCAGTAATGATTATGATCCAAATAGTGATGCTATTCAATATGATCTTGCAACTGTTTCTACTCAAGGTATTACTGTTGACATTTCACCAAATAACAGATTTGTTACCTATGCTGCTCTCAACCAAACATATGTTGACACCTTTACTTATTCTATTGTTGATGATGAAGGTGCTCTCTCTAATTATGCTACTGTCACTGTTAATGTTGTCAATGATGCTCCTATTGCTAACAATGATGCTGTGTCTGTATCTTGGAATAGAAGTGTTGTTATTGAAGTTTTGAATAATGACCAAGATATCAATCCAGGTGATTATGATACTTTGGTTATCAAGACATTGACTCAACCAACTGCTGGTCAAGTTTCCAGTTTTGAAGGTGGTAAAAAGGTTCTCTTTAAACCAAACAATGGTTTCACTGGTACCACTACATTTACTTACACTACTACTGATGGCTTAGATGAATCAAATCAAGGAACAGTCACTGTGCAAGTTACTAATGCTGCTCCAGCTCCTGTTGATGATACTGCTTCTGTTCACTGGAATGATGCTTCAGTTACTATTAATGTATTGTCAAATGATGTTGATGCTGATTCTGACCCACTTCATATTGCTAGCTTCACTCAACCATCAAAGGGTGTTGTTACTCGTACTCAACTTGCTGATGGTACTGATGCTCTTGTTTTCACATCCAAGTCATCTGAAAAGTATTCTGGTGAAACAACTTTCACATACACTGTTTCTGACTATGGAAAGGAAACTGTTGCCAATGTTGTTGTCACTCTTAGAAATGATGCTCCTCTTCCAGTTGCTGACTCTTATACTTTCCACTGGAAGTCAAGTGATAACCAATTGAATGTTTTGGCAAACGATAAGGATCCAAACAATGATGCTCTCTTTGTTGATACTGTTAGCAAAGCTGCTGATTTCAAGGGATCAGTTTCTATTGATGCTCAAAGAAAGGCTATTGTCTTTTCTCCTGTTGCTGCATCTGTTGGTACGCAAGAAATTACCTATATTGCTACCGATGATGTTACCAAGAGTGCTTCTTCATCTGTTACACTTATTGTTACCAATAATAATGTTCCTCAAGATCAAGTCATTAATAAGAATATTCACTGGTCTACTCAAAAAACTGGTGGTACCACTATTGATATGTTCTCTACTCCTCAACCGCTCGATGCTGATGGAGATTCTCTCTCAATTCTTTCAACTTCAACTCCTTCTAAGGGTTCAGTTGCTATCAATAACGGTGATGCTTCTACAATTCCAAATGTCAAATACACTCAACAAAACAATTATTTGGGCGCTGATACATTCAATGTAACCATTACTGATGGTGCTAGTACTTCTCAAGTTCAAGTCAATCTTAATGTCTATGATCAAGCACCAACTGCTAATGCTGTTACTGAAAACAAGCACTTTGACGTAGTTGTTTCTGGTTATACTCGTGATGCTGTCGTAATGTGTGGTGCTAATGACGCTGACAATGAAGACACTGTAACTGTCAAGACAGTTTCTGTTAATGTTGGTGGCTCTGCAACTTTCTCTGGTAATATGGTTACTTTTGTTGGTCAACAAGGTTATACTGGTGCAAGTATTGTTACTATTACTTTCACTGATGGTTTGTTGACTAAATCAGTTGACTGGACTATTAACATTTTGAATAACGATCCTGTTGTTACAGTCTTCCCAACCAATATTCATTGGACTCAAAAATCTACCTTGATTGATGTTTTATCTGCAGTAACTGATGCTGATAATGATGCTATTACATTCAGTTTGACTACTGGTGCTACTACTTATGGTACTCCAAGTATTTCTTCCGATAAGGTTAATTGGACTCTTCCAGATAGCCCAGTTTTGGGTGATTCCTCTTTCACTGCTAAATTCACTGATGGTTGGGTTAGTAAGACAGGTACATTTGTTGTCTCTGTTAAGAATACTGCTCCAACAGCAACAGTTAAGAATATTGAAGCTCACTGGTCCGTATGGTCAACTGGTATTACTATTGATGTTTTGTCTGGATGCACAGATGCTGATTCTGATTCTATCAGTCTTCAATCTGTTTCCTCAGCTACCTCTGGTTCAACCTTAAAATCTAACGGCAAAGCTATCTATACTCCAACTAAAGGATTTGTTGGTTCTGATTCATTCACCTACACTATTACTGATGGTATTTCGCAAGGTACATCTACTGTTTATGTAACTATTAAGGATAATGCTCCTGTTGCAAGTAATGATACCATCTCTGTTCACTGGAAATCTACTAATATCGACATTAATGTTTTGGCTAATGATGTTGATGCTGATTCTGATACCCTCTCAGTTGATACTTTCACTCAACCTGCCAAAGGTACCATTGAAAAGAATAATAATCTTATTAGATATACCCTTGGTTCTTCTCCTACTACTGGTGTTAATCAATTCACTTATAAGGCTACTGATGGTGCTTTGAACTCAAATACTGCCACTGTTTTTGTTACAGTTACAAATAACAATGTACCAAACATTGATGCTCAAGTTCAAACTGTTCACTGGAGAACTGCTGCTAGTGGTGTTACTTATAATGTTTACAATACTCCAACCGATGGTGATGGTGACAGTCTCACTCTCTCTGTTACAGGTACTGGTTGTTCTACAGTTGCATCTGGAGCTGTTAAAGTTGTCAATTTTGCTTCTTCAAGCTTTACTGGAACTGCTGTTTGTACTGCTACATTGACCGATGGTTTGGATAGCTCTACAAAGACCTTAACTACAACCTCATACAACAACCCACCAACTGCTGCTGATATTTCAGTTACATACTATGGTGCTAATGTTCAAACAGGTATTACTATTGAGGCTGTTAGTTTGGCAACTGATTCTGATACTGATGATTCTGCATATTTGGTTGTCAGTAATGTTGGTGCATCAACAAGATTTGGTTCTGGTGCTGTTACCATTGATAGTTCCAATAAGAAGATCAAGTACTTCCCATCTCCTGCTTTGGTTACTCAAACTGGTATTGATACTTTTACTTATCAAATTTATGACGGTTTGATTAAGTCAGCTGTTGCTACTGTAACTGTAGATATTAGAAGTGTTGTTCCATCTGCTGAAGAAAAATACTTTGATGTTCACTGGAGAAAGAGTTTGGTAGGACAAGATTTCTATGCTTTTGATAATATCACTTCATACGGTACTCTTGAATTGAACAAGATTTTGAACGTTGCTCCAAACAAGGGAGGTACTGTAAATGTTTTGGATGACTTGAAGAATTTCAATTACAAACCTGCTGTTGGTTTTACTGGTGAAGAAAAATTCGTATTTTCATATAATAATGGTGCAGGTACCAGTTCTCTCACTTTCTATATGAACGTCTATGATAACGCTCCAACTGCTCAAGCTGCTTCTACTCCAGTTCACTGGAGAAATACTGCTACTGTCAATCTTGGTCCATTAATTGCTGATGCGGATAGTGCCGATAGTGGTTATTTGACAACCTATCCTGGTAGTGTTCCAGTTGGTTCTCTCTCAATTGCTTCAAATGTTGCCACCTACACACCAACCTCAACAATTGGTACAGTTCAAGCAACATATATTGTATCTGATGGATTGAAGAATGCTACTGCTTCTTTCACTGTTCAAGTTACTAATACTCCTCCTGTTGTTTCTGCTAAATCATATGAAATTACTTGGAGAAATTATAGAAGCTTTGATTTGAATGTCCTTGCCTTGGCAACAGCTGATGCTGATCCAAACTCTGATCCAATCTCCTTAAAGTCTGTTGTTAATGAACTTGCATCAGGAACTGTTCAAAGAAAGGATACCACTTCTGTAACTATTTCTGCACCAGGTTCTACCTTTACTGGTACAACCTCTTTCCGTTATGTAGTTACTGATGGTGCCTCAAATGGTGATGTTAGTAATACTGTTACACTCAAAGTTACTAATACTGCTCCAGTTGCTAACAGTGATTATCTCTCTGTTCACTGGAATACTGCTTCTATTGTTATTGATGCCTTGGCCAATGATGTTGATGCTGAAAGTGATCCACTCACTATTAGTTCAGTTTATGGTTCTTTGGCAACACAAGCTCCAATCATTAGTGGCAATAAGATTGTTTACTATCCAAATACTGCTCCTCTTGGTAATGATACTTTGACATATGTTATCTCTGATGGTGTTACCACAACCACTGGTAAGATTTTCATTCTTGTAACCAATAGTAAACCAACAACCACTAGTTATACTTCAAGCGTTGTTTGGAAGGTTGCCAAGTCTGGTGTTACTTTCAATGTTATTGGTGGTTCAAGTGATAGTAATGGTGATTCTCTCACTATTTCAAGCTTTAGTACCATTCCTGCTGTTCAAGGTACTATTGTTAAGAGTGGTGGTAATATCATTTACACTCCAACTAGTGGATTTGTAGGAAAGGTTGATACTGTTACTTTCATTGTATCTGATGGCAAGGAAACAGTTTCTGGAACCATTTCAGTCACTGTTATCAACACTGTTCCATCCGTTGATACTCAAGCTTTCAATTATCATTGGAGAGCTGTTTATGACACTACAGCAACAATTAATTTGAATTCCAGATTCACTGACGCTGAAAATGATGCTGTTAATGTTACTTCCATCACAAAGAATGGTAATCAAGGTACCGTTGTTCTTGGGTCATCCAATACAGTTACCTACAAGTTAACTTCTCCATGGAAGGGAACTGATACATTCACAGTAGCTTTCACTGACGGTTGGACTGCCTCTAGTGCTACATTCCCAATTGTAATTAGTAATAGTATTCCTGTTGCTTATAATATTCCTCTTACTGTCCACTTTAGTAACTATACTATTACAATTCCAATTATTGATAGAACTGATGCTCTTAAACCAACCGATAGTGACTCGGCTGATACTACCAAATTGACTGTTAATGCTTTCACAACTCCATCTGTTGGCACACTCACTCTTTCAGGTGATAAGAAGACCTTTACTTTTGTCAACCCAACTGGCAACTTGGTTCAACAAACTTTCACTTATTCTGTTTCAGATGGTCTTGATAGCTCAGCAACTCAAACTGTAACTATTAATCTCCAAAATTATGCTCCAACATCAAGCGATCAAACATTTAGTAATCATTGGAGAAATGTCCAATCTGGTTTCAATATTAATTTGCTAGCTGATGCCAGGGATGCTGATGGTGATAGTCTCTCTGTGTCATACTATTCTCAACCAGCTGTTGGTACTCTCACTGCTGTCAGTAGTGGTGTTGTAAAGTTTGTTCCTCCTGCTAATCAAGTTCTTTCTACCTCATTCCAATTCAAGATTACAGATGGCGCTCAAACTGTCACCCAAACTGTCTCTATTGCACTCACTAACACTGCTCCAGTTGCTGTTGCTGATACTTACTCAACACACTGGAGAAATAAGACTCTTGTTCTCAATTTACTTGCTAATGATGTCGATACCAATGGTGATGATATTTACATTAGCAGTATTGATAGTGTTTCATCTACTAGATCTGCCTCTCTCACATTAAGTGCTGATAAGAAGAGTGTTACCTACAAGGATAATTCTGCTCTTGGAGCTGGTGTTGATACTTTCAAGTATGCTATTAGTGATTCAGTTACTACTTCAAGCTTTGTTACTGTAACTATTACTTATACAAATGATGCTCCATCTGCTCAATCAACTTCAGCTACTGTTTTGTGGAGAAATGTTGCCTCATTCACTAATATTCTTTCAAAGTGTTCTGATCCAAACAGTGATCCTCTCACATTTTCTGGTGTTACTCAAGGTTCATTGGGAAGTGTTGTTGTTACTGATTCTTCTTTGGGTAGTTTTACATATCAACCATCTACCTCTATCACCTACACCAACACACCAAGTGATGGATCTGCTTACACTGTCTCTGATTCCTTCTCTTATTCTTGTACTGATGGTCCACTCAGTACTTCAGGACAAGTTTCTGTTACAATTACCAATACTCCACCACAAGGTACTTCCAAGACTGCCAATGTTACTAGAAATTACTCAAATCCAACAACAATCTTGAACAATCTCTTGGTTGGTGCTAGTGATGCTGATGGTGATTCTGTCACTGTTGCCTCAGTTGCTCTCTTGCCAAATCAAAATTCTGGTACATCTGTAGTTTTGAACACTGACGGATCAGTCAAGTTTACTTATGCAAATTCTTTCATTGGTACCCAACAATTCTACGTTTACCTCACAGACGGTCAACTCACAACATCTTACATTTATACAATCAACATTGTTGGTTCAGCTCTCAACTGTATCGACTATTACATTTCTGCCACTAAGAATGATGCTGCTAATCAATTCGAAGATTCTTTGAGATTGGCTCTCGTAAAGGTTTCTGGCTCAGAACCAGCCTCTATCAATCTTGTCTCTACTGCAAATCTTAAGGTTGGTACAATTGCAAAGGTTTCAAGCAAGTGGACTTATACTGCAGATAGTACTCGTTCCTGCATCAATGATAACTGTTATGCTACTTATTCTTATTCTAATACTGCTGGTCAAACAGTTTCTTGTAAGATTATCGTAAATCAACCAAATACTGCTCCAGTTGCTCCAAGTTATAACCATATTTACTCTGTAAGCAGAGCTACCAACGTTGCACAAACTATTGACTATTTGGCTGTTTCTAATGCTTATGATGCTGACACTGCTGACAAGTTAAAGCTTACTTCAATTACAAACACAGGTACCTGTACTTCTACTCTGGTTTCTTCAATCTCTGTTGTCTCCAATAAGATTAGCTTCCTCAGACAAACAACCTTTGTTGGTTCATCTTGTTGGTTCATTGTTGGTGTTAGCGATAGTGATGTTGATGCTCCAGTTACTGTTTCTGCAAATATTACTATTACTCCTCTTGCTTCTCCTCCAATCGCTGTCAATGACGTAGTTTCTACCAAGTATAATGCCCAAGTTGACATTTCTGTTAGTACCTTGTTGTCGAACGATTATGATTCTCTTGGTGGTACTTTCAAGTTTGCTAGTATCTCATGTCCAACTGGATATTGTGCCAGTGGTACTCCAACTATTTTGAATCCAAACGATCCTGCTAATAGTCAAGTTATTAGAGTGAAACCAGTTGCCAACAGTTGTGATTCTATCCAATTCGAATATACTATTGTTTCTGATCAAGATGGTACTTCATCAAGTGCTACTGTAACAGTTCAATACACCAGTTGTACTTGTTCTCTTGATATGGACATTATCTTTGTCCTCGATGGTAGTGGTTCTATTTCTGATGAAAATTGGATCAAGATGAAGAGCTTTATGGGTAACGTTACTAGGGGATTCGGTTCCAACATCTCACCAACTGGAACAAACATTGGTATCATTCAGTTTGCCTCAAGCATTACTACTCACCTCCAAGTTAACAGTGGTACTAGTGTTGATGTTGTCTTGTCCAAGATTAGCTCTGCTTCCCAATTAAAGTCAGGAACTGGTTCAATTGCTGGTATTAATGCTGCTATTGACCAAATGGTAAGCTATGGTAGAAAGAGTATCGTAAACAAGATGATTATTCACGTAACTGACGGTGAATCCACAGAACCTTGTAGTTGTAGTGGATGTACTAGCTCCTTCTCTGCCAACCCTCTCAGATATGGTTCTGTTCCAAATTATTGTAAATCAAACAGATTCCCTGGAATGAACTGCTCAAACTGCCTTTGGAATGATTCTCGTAGTAGATGTAATCCATGTTCTGAAGCTACTTTGAGATCAGCAGATCTTAATTCCTGGTCTCCTGGTGTTTCCACAAATGCTGAAGTTAGCAAGTATGCTGGTACTGGTATTTGGAATTGGAGACAATTAGCTATTGGTATTGGTGTTGGTTTGACAAGTGCTTTGGGTAAAGTTCAAATTCAAAGAATGAACTATGATACCAACAATCCACTCTATGTCGATTGGAATAATCTTGCCAATGTCTACCAATTGGTTGTAGATAACTCATGTAACACAGTCACATCTTCCCAAACCAAGACTTTGGTTCCACTTGCAAACAGTGGTATGACTGTCACTTATAAGGGAAAGACTACATCTGTTATCAAGAATATTTTGTCTACCAATTGGGTCAGATCTCAATTCAATTACACAGTTGCTGTTGCATCAAGTGCTCCAAGTGGTGTCAAGAAGTTCTCTTTGGCTATGGCCTCTGGTTATAATCAAGATGCCTTCTATAATTACAATCCATACTTCCCTGTCTATCTAGGTGTAGAACCAATTACCAACAAGGACAGTTTCTCCTTTGAAAGTGCTCCAGGAGTCTACACAATTGCTAAGGGTTCAAGCTTTACCTACTCATTGACTGTTGAAGGTGATGTAACAGAAGATTCCATTTCCTTTGGTGTTTTCGGAGATTCACAATATGCTACTGGTACCATTAAGGGTCCAGCCAGTGTTATTGCTCCATACAATCCACAACCACCAGCCTATGTTGAAAATAGTGCAGCTCGTAAGACTGCTTGTAGTGCCACTCTTGGTCGTTGTTATATTTACACCAAGTTTGTTTCAGGCTACACCAAGAGTGTAATGTCTGATATTTGCAAGTATTGGAGATCGGATGCCAAACTCGTAATGATTCAAAGTGCTGCTGAAAAGACTTTCATTCAAACAATATTACCAGCTGCTGAATCAATTACCTTCCCTCTCGGAATGACATATACTTCTGGTGCTGGTACTTGGGATGATGGTACTTCAACTGCTGCTTTCACTGATTATCTTGCTACTTCAAGCTCTGGTCCTGTTGTTTATGCTAACTATGTTTACACTGCTCCAACTAACAAGTGGTGGACTACAGCTGCTGCTACAACTACCACTCTAGGTGTTGTTTGTTGGGCTCCATTTGCTTAAAGGATTTCATGATGAGGATCAACTAATATAATGATGAAATAAATCCTTAATAATTTTATTTAAGCTTTTCGCATTTTTTTAAATTCTATCAAAAATATCATCTAGCTATGAAATCCATCATAAAATTGGCGAAAATCCTAATTCCGATGTTTATCAATTACAAATCAAATAATACATAAATTGTATTGCTTTCGATAAAGTTGCGCTATTGAATCATTCTAATACTGACAAGCCTTCTTCAATATTCCCTGTTATTAAAGATCTGTTGAACTGATTACAAAGTTTCCATTATAAAAAAATGCTTCGACGAGTGGGGTTAGAGTTGACTGAAATTAAAAAACTATTACATGATGGGTTTTCTGTACAAGCTACTGATGGAAATATTGCGGAATGGACAGTTTCTTTTAAAATTTATGAAGTTAGTTTGATCAAAATTATTCTAATTTAATTGTTATTCGAAACCTAGGAAGAACCCTTTGATTTTAAATTTGAATTTCCATTAAATTATCCTTTCAGAATGCCAAGTGATCCACTATTTAGATTCCTAGTAGGGAATTCATGGGAGCCACGGATAACAACTTTTCAAATATTTCCCAAAATGTATAATGCATTACTAGCTGTTTATCATATTAAACATGGAAATGTTGAAGAATTGTGCAGAATCAATGATCTGGAATCTCTACTTTATGTTTTCATTCCCGAAAGAAAGAATAGACATATGGGAAGGACATTGTTATACATTGCATGTGAACATGAACAATTTCAAGTTGTGAAATACTTGTTGAAAAGTTTTCCAGAAATTGATTACCAAAATGGAGTAAGTATTGAATGGAATTAAAGTATTTGAGTGATATGATTTTTAGGGAGTAAGTAATTGTTGGAATTTTAAAGTTTCGAATAAGTGATGATGAATTAGGGAGTAAGTTTTATTTTCTATTAGAAATAACAATATTTTCAGTGTGTAAGTGAATAGAATATTGAATATTTGTTTGAATTTATTAACTATTTAAAGTGTGTAAGTATTCTCAATTAATTTCAATTTATTTATTAACTCTTACTAGAATGTAAGTTATCAAGATTAGTTTTGTTTACACAATGAATAAGATGGTAAGTTATAATTAAAATATTCGAGAATCACTCAACAATTCAGTGTGTATGTACATTTAGAAATTAATTGTTAAATGATTTTAAATAGCCAGTAAGTTTTCAATTTTTTATTAGAAACTATAGTGTAATAGCCAGTAAGTTTCTTTTTAATGGAATATACTAAATTATTTCAATAACTAAAAGGGAGAGAAACCAATTCAAGTAGCTGAAAGAAAAAGATTTCCCAAAATTACAAGATTGTTAATTGCTCATCACTTTAAGGTTTGTATTTTCTCTGAACTTTCGAATAATAATGTGTTAGAAAACGAATGGAGATATCAAAGCAATACTTGGTTCCGGAGTTGATGTAGCATCATTATTAGAATTATTGACTGAAGAAGAGATGGAGCCATTTGCAAACTACATTACAATGTACACTTTACCAAAACTATTCCTCAAGAATAATCTCCAATTTAGTTTGGAATCTAAAGCTGATCTTGTTTTACAAACTGAATTCACTAGCTTTATATCTAAAAGAGAATATTTCACCTACATGATGGCTCAAATTATTTCTTGTAAATTGAAGAAAATGGAAAATATCATTCCAAATAGTTCAACAAATAGTGAAGGAGAATTGATTGGATTATTCGATGATGCATTGGATTCTTTCTCTGCTCCATCTGGCTCAACACTTTCAGAACTTCTTCAAATATTATTCTCACTTGTTAAGGTTTCGGATATTTTCAAACACTTACATGCAAAGAATGTCATTCATTTTGATATCAAAACTAGCAACTTGTTGGTCAAAAAGATTAGAATTAATGATTCAGAGATTATTCACCAAGTCGAACTATCAGATTTTGATGTTTCTCCAAATATTGAGAAAACTGATATAGTTTCTTACATCAAATCCGAAATACCATTCTACTATTTTGCACCAGAATTGAGAAATAGACAAGAAAACACAGAGTTAATTGATAGATCTTTGGATATTTACAGCTTTGGAGTCATAATGCAAAAACTCCTAACAGAATTCAAACCTAACACAGCTGCTATTTTAGATAGTTTATTTACAGGTTCCAAGTTTTCCAGATACAACAAACAAGCTAGTAAGATTCGTTATTTGGGATTGAAATGTGTTGATATGGATCCAAATAATAGACCAAACTTTGATGAAATTCATGATGAATTGATTGAAATTACAACTCAAGTTTATTTGTTGTATATGGTAGGATCAGTGTATAATGCAAAAAAATTAATATTTTAAAAATTAAGAGGCAGCCTTCTCTCTTACTGACCTATCATGTGAATGAGAATATTTGGTAAATTTTTATAAGATAGGTCGTTTATAAATAGATTGCTTTGGAACCAAGTTTCACTATTTAGGTTCTCTTTTTAAATATTAATTGAGGAGTTGGAGATGGATAGGTTGCAGCATGATTGACAATATCGAATTTTTTAGTACCAGGAGCTAGTGATATTTGATAATCTCTTATTAATGTTACAATGACTGTCCAAATTTCCATCTCAGCCAATCGGAAACCCTTAATGAAATAGTCAATATTAAATTATTTTCAAATTGTAATAAAACATACCAAACATTTTCTTGGACCATATCCGAAACCATCTCTCATCAGTGGATGATCAAAAAGTGGCCACTCTCTTGCAACTCTATTGAGATATCGTCCAGGATTGAATTCTTCTGGAGATTCCACAAATTTCGGATCCATTGAAATACCAACAGGGCTGAAACAGAGCCATGCCTTAGCTGGGATTTCATAATTATCAATCACTACAGGTTCGTCCATTCTTCTGAGAATTGCAAAGGCAGTTGGAGTCAAACGATGAACTTCTCTAATGGTACTCTTCAAATAAGGCATGTGTGAAATGTCATCCTTTTGGAATGGCCGATCTCCAAGAACTCTTTGAATTTCCTCATATAAAATTGCTTGACAATGTTCATTTTGAGCCAAATGAATCAATGTCCAACTTAGAGTTGAAGCCACAGTCTCAAATCCAGCCATCATTAATCCAGGAATATTTGAAACAATTTGACTCATTGTCAACTCATTATTTTCCCTCAAAATGTCAATATATGACTTTTTGCTCTTACTCTGAATTGCATTTTCAATAATTTCAGCAGTTCTTTCCAACATGTAATCTACACTCTTGACCCAATCTTTCCACAATCTAGTATTCAAGGTCATGTTATATTCCTGTATTGGACTCATCATCATGGCACTCGCACACTCAATTGATCTAATAGTAGCTCTCAACAATGGCTCATCATTTGTCAAAGCGCCCATCCTCTTCCCCAACAATGAATAAGAAACCATTTCAAAGCTCAATCTCTGTAAAAATTCATGCAATGATTTTCCCTTTTGCATTTCCATTACAATCAACCTGGAAGCATCTTGACAAACTTCATTCAAATGTTCAGAATAATACGTAGAAGATTCTGGAACAAACAAACCCTTCTGCATTGGCTTCCTCACACGAATCCACTCCTCACCACTTCCATAATCCATCTTCATAAATCCAGAATCCAATTTCTTACGATTCTCAAAGTAGGCATGTAACATCCACAGTGTGTCCGTAGCTCCAAATGGACACGATCCACATGCTCTATGCACTTGTAAATACATATCCGGATCAAAGATTACAACACTCTTCTTTCCCAATGCCGATAATTCAACAATTGGTCCAAAATCTTGATATAACGATCGGAATACATGAACCATTTTGGTAACACCACCTTTTCTCCAAATGTAGGGAGCTGATCCGATCAATGGAAATTGAAAGGGTCCTTTGATTTTGCTTAGAGACATTTTTTTTTAAAAGATTTTTTTTATTTAAAATTGATTGGATTTTGTAAAGTTCATTACTTTCCAAATTAGGAAGTGACCAGAATTTTAATAAATTTTGATCAATATTTTAAATAATGTTTATTTAATAATTTAAGAATTCGGCTCCTGCTTTGGTAACTTCCTCTGAAGCAAATTTGAAATTCTTTGAAAGAGCTTTCGATGCAGAATCGAATACATTCTTAGTGAGCTGATTCTCCAATGTGTGATGATAATCATCAATGAGTGGTCTTTGAATGAAATTCAAATTGACTGCAAATGATTGTTTGGTTGTAATGTTCTTAATCTTTTCTTTTGTTTCCTTTTTAAGTAAATCAATTTGAGCTGGATCAAGTAAGGAAAAGAGAGTTTTTTGGAAAGGCTTGCAGAATTTGGAGAATGATTGTTTGTTATCTTTGATTTTGGAGAGTAACATTCCTTTCCACTTTAAATCTTTTCTTAATTTGGTAATTACAAAGTATAATGATTCTGCAATGACTTGACAGTGAGGATTATTCTTATATTCTGAAATGTTTGATTCGAAATCTTTCAAGATAATATTGGTATATCTTCCAATTTCTTCCTTATAAATAATTTCCATAAACATGCAATAATTAAGCGAAAGAATAATGGAACTGACATAGCTCACTATCTTTCCAGTTTCATCAACAAATGTCAAATTCTTCAACCATTCTGTCGGTTGTCTCAACAATTTCAACTTCTTTTCCAATGGAAGAGAAATCATCACTGAATAAAACAATCTTCCAAAATTAGAATTGACTATAAATTGATTGGAATTCAAATTATCCTGAGCATCAATAATCAAGAAATTTTGAGAATTTCCACTCATTGATGGAACAAAGAATAGATTATCTGAAACTGTCAATGGTAATTCCTTGTAAAATGCTGTTCCCAAAGTAGTCTTTGACAGCGCGCCACTTTTTTGTGGATTATATTTGACATTGTGTGAAACAAAGATTCTACTTTGAGCTTTTTTCAAGCAATTCTTCTGAATATAATCATTCACTCTCTTGGCTAAATGTCCATCATTTGGCGAGTTGAGTAGAAACATTTCCTTTAGCTCACTTTCAGGAATTTCCTTTTCCATAACTGGAGAAAAGAGACGACTTTTAAATTTGGCCTCATCAACACTTCCCACAAATAATAAAGACCCATTCGTTGCATGTGTATGATCATCTCTCCAATTAGGTCCTCTCAATAATTGTAGAATATCAGATGCTCCCAAATGTTGATCATCTCCCTGGTTGAGCATTGGAAGAATTATCATCTTACCCTCAAAGCCGCCATTCACCCAGGAAATTGGATGTCTGTTTGTGGTTCCTCTAATAAATGAAGCACTTCCATATCTTTCAATATCCCAAATATTGATTGATAATCCTAAACCTTCGAATATTTTGACGTAACATAAGAATTCAGGTCTTTGAATGTGTCTATCGGTGAAGAATAAAACATCGAATGGATTCAGAGATGGATTGGCGATTGGGGTAAAGTTGGGAGTTAATCTAATGATGCTTTCTGCATTTTCAATTTTCTTTCCTCTCAAGAATAAACTTGCCTTAAATGGAACAATTTCAAAGAATTGAGCTAGATCATTAATTTCAACTTGGAAACTTCTTGAAAATGTCATTCCTGGTGGAATCATTGGTATGTCTTCTTCTACTCCATTAACTCCATTCAAATTAGGTTCATTATGCACAATAAATCTTGGATCAAAGACTAAACTAAACTTTAAATGAGTCTTGTCATTGCATCCATAATTAATTTGTGAAATGTTTCTAAAATTTAAAGTTATGATTCCTCTTTCGGTTCTTCCTAATTGAGGAGGTGCAATGATTGATTCTAATTGAACTGGATATTGAATAGTATAATCATTCTTTAGGAAAGTTTCGAATGGAGATGTGAGTAAAGTTGCCAAAGATTGAATTGGCATAATTGACTTGTAATGACCCAACAATGATGGCTGGGGCTCTGGAGTATCTGAAATAGTTCCAAAAAATTGAAATGGAATTATAAAAGTCTCACCAGGATGCAGAGCTTGTTGTAAAATATAAAAAGCTCCAGACGAAACGAAACTTTGTTGTCCCAAACTTGTTGGAAAGGAAATGACACTTCCAATAGGCAATATCATACCACCTTGATTGGTCACCTTCACATTTGAAATAAAAACAGCTTCTCCAGGTTCAAAAACTCCATCATCTTCAACAGCAGTCAACTGGAACGAATTTACCACTAAATCAAACACTGAGCTACCTTGATCCAACACTTGATTAGTGACTGGATCAAAGACAGTGAATTGAATAGTTCCTTCATTACCATCTTGTCCATCCTGACCTTCAACTCCACTATGAAAATTTAATCAACTTAAATTTTCTAGTCAACTTACCATCTTCCCAAATTTCCTGAACTTCCTGATTGACCACCTCTTCCATGAGTTCCACTGTGGCCACAATGTAACGATTGACCACTTGCACCAGGACCTGGAGAACCACCTGATCCTGGACTTCCTCCAGAACCACCAGATCCAGAACTTCCATTGTAACCACCACTTCCTTCATGTCCTCCTTTGCCTTTCTTTCCAGATCGATATTCTGTATGAATGAATTTCAGAAGAGATGGGTTATGAGTTTCGATAATGATTGATCCACCATTTCCGCCATTTCCTCCACTTGGAAAATTGACAATTAAGGGTTGGTTGACTGAATGAGAATTTGAAACTTACTTGGCACCATTTCCACCACTATTTTTGGAAGGTTAATTGTATGAATAGATTGATGAAACTTACTCTCCTCCATCTCCACCACTATTTTTAATTTCGAATAAATATGGAATTACTAAAATTAGAAAGACTTACTTTCCACCACTTTAAATTTTCTAATTTCCAAACTAAAAAACCAAAACTTACTTTCCACCACTAAGCCACATTTAATTAGTGATCAAATATTTCCAAAATATTACTTACTCTCCTCCACTATTTCAAAAGTATATAAGTATATAAATTTATAAAACTAAATGAAACTAAACTTACTCTCCTCCATGTCCTCCAGAACATCCTCTAGGACCGTTATGTCCTCTGCCTCCATGGCCACCGGTTCCACCATGACCACCATTGCCTCCATCACCTCCACGTCCACCATTGCCTCCACTAAAAGTCACTTGTCACTTCAAATATGTCAGTTCAATACTTACTGCCCTCCATCACCTCCATTCGCAAGGAATACTAGAGCTCTGACAGATCCATCATCCAAGCATAAAGTTTCATTAGCAGAACCTTTCACAACAATTGACTTGTGGTCTAATCCTTCAATTGTCACTTTAATGTTTTTGGCATGTTGACCGCTAGTTCCATTTGTACCACTATTTTAATGTTAAATTGCATGATGATATGATAGATATACTTACTGACTACCATTTGTGCCTTTTCCTCCACTTTTAAGTTCAAAATACATTCGAAACTTGTGAAATATTGACGAAACAACTTACTTTCCTCCGTTCATGCCATTTGCTCCTCTTTGACCATTTCCACCACTTCTCCCTGAACTTCCACTCTATTTGTCGTCATCGTTTAGTATCAATTTATTCGAATCTCATCAAAACTTACACTTCCTGAGCTACCATCCGTTCCACTAGCATGCCAAACGTCAATATAAACAATTAAAAGTACAAACCTTCTACCAGAGTGTCCATCAACTCCAGGTTTTCCACTCTCGTCCACAACAAGTGAACTTTTTAACATTTTTTTTCTTTCTGGTTGATTTTTACAGGTCTGTATCTTGTTTTAATAAATGTCAGTTGAACATATGAACTGGAATGTCAAATCAAATTTCTTTTCCATTACCGCATTGTTCCAATCAGTTCGTTATCAAAATCCAAATATTATTATTATCGAAATCTCAGTGAACTTGTAACATGGAAAGACTTTGAAAAGGAATTTTTGTAATGGAAACATGATACAATTTAATGATTGTATTTGAATCATGTTATCTCGTCTAGATCAGTTGAGTTGGAGAGATGTCAAGGCATTCCAATAAATTTTCCAACAAAGATTACAGATCCAGATGGAACATGAGAAATGAAATAAATAAATGGTCTATCAGCAGTGAAATATAACTCTTCAATGTCATTATCTTCCTCAGCAATAATTGCAGTTGCAGCAGCTGCCTTTGTTCCAAATTCATCCACTTTAATAATTGCCTTGTGAATGACTTTTGAAATTTTGACAGTTTCCACTGTTGTCATTTCACTAAAATCTGCATTGGAAAATACATTTTTAACACTGAAAGGATCTTGGGATAGTGTCTCAGTCAGATCAATTGAATATTCAATATCGAATTTTGGAATGTACATATAAGAGAGTTCTTCTGAGCTAACTGAAAATAATTGTTTCAAACTCTTCCCAGAATCCAATTTCTTACAGAACCAACTATTGAATTCTCTTTCATTTTGTTCATTAACCTCTGTTTCTCTTGTTGTAATAATGGTCATTCTATAATTTGCATCAGAATAAGGCAATGCCACCCAGTGATAATCCTTCTCATTTCCATAAGCAACTCTCTCATTATATTTACTCATGGTTGGTATCTTCTTATTTGGAAACACGTGAGATGTGAATTCATAATCGAAAGTATCATTTGGATCGAATGGCAACTTCCAATTTCCAAGAAAATGAACAGCATTCACCAAAACTAACAAAGTTTCTGAATTGAAAGCTGAAGGAGAAACCAATCCCTTAATCATCTTTTGTGTCTTTTCTTCAACCCATTTGTTAATTGTATCAGCACTCGATTCAGCATTATCAAAATTACACGATTGCACACAAGATTTGAAAATGTTACTTGTTAATTGTTCAAACTCGCTCTGTAATTCAATTCTCTCAGCAACAAACAATCCATTAGCAATCTTTAACACTTGAGAACTTCCAATCGATTCAATAATTCCATTCGCATAAGGAACCAACTCTTGATTTCGCCATTCTCCCAAACTTTTCTCATTATCAATTGATAATAATTTAAATAATTGTTCAAGAGTTTCACCTCTTGCTCCATTCAAAGTCATTAGAAAACTAATAAAAATTGAAATTGGAGAAAGTACCACATTTTCTTCTTGTTTCTTCGATTGATGATCATTATCATGATGATGATGATTCATGGAAGCGGTTAAACTTGCAAATAATTTGGAGGTGAATTTTAATTGTGATCGTGAGAGAGAACACTGATCGGAAACAGTGGCTGGAGATTGAGATGATTTGCCTTGTCCCATTTTTATAATTGATGTGATGATTGGGTGAGAAAGGATATTAATATCTTAGGCAACAAATCTGGAACAATGTTCCAACGAACTTCCCAAATATTCCACAACCCGATCTTTTAAAGTTTTGTAACACACAGCTCAACATCTGTGCAATGAGCGTTTATTAATGACAATAATTCATTGAAAGTAGATGATTTACCAATCTCCTTCTGAGTAGAATACTAGGAAAAATACCCCACCAATGCCGTATGCATTAATTTCATATTCAAAACCTCCAATATGACATTCGTAATATCTATGATATCTGAAAGCTTGTAATCTTCCAACCTTTTCACATAATTTCTCTAATTTCTTCATCATTGGCTTATGTTCTTCTGGATAATTAAGTACTTTACGGTCACTCATTGGTTTTTCTTTGTCCATTCCTTTCATCAATGCAATTGTTTCAGTATTCAAAAGTTGTGGAACTTGATGATGGGGATGACAATAAACTATTCGTATGGTGTGTAGTCGATGGGCTTGTTGTTGTCGGAATTTTCCAATCAAAAGTGGAGAAGATTGTAAATCGTTGAAAATCAAAACAACACACGATGACATTTTTTAAAGATTAAAAACAATAGAATGTGCAATTTCAATATTCACCTTTTTTCTTTTGAGTAATATTTGAGAGAATTGGTTATTCGCTCAAAAATCATGAAATTTAAACAATGCTCATTTGACCAACTGTACTATTTATGGCTACAACTCTTAGTATTATCTCACAGTAAATTATCAACAAACTTGAACCTAAAACAAGTTGTGACTTCTAATAGTATCAATTAATATGATGAGAAGTTAAAAATTGTCAATGGAGGTTTTCCACAAGATTCATATTTAATTGTGATGAATCAACGGAAGATATCTTCCACGAAGGACACACTGTTCAGCTCCACAGAATAATGATAATTGATGATGATTACGGATGGTTTTGCATATTCCATTATCCTAATAATTGTTTTGTTGGTAATTATTGTCCTTACCATTAATAACAATATATATTAATCATAAAGAATAATTAGTTGTTGTAGATTGCTAATAATGATGTTAAAATCTTCAAACATTTCTAACTTCACCAACAACTACTAAAAAGAATAGAAACTCTCTGGGATGCTAGTAGACCATTATTAGAGGCTATCCTGGGATGGTTGTTGGTTACATGTTGTTATTGGTGATGTAAATGAGAAGATTAATATTTTGATGTTGTTATGTTGATAGCAAAAAGCTCGGACCAACTTCAATAGAGTAGAATAGATAGCTACCAACATCTGAAGAGGTTATGAGTCATCAGTCGGTAAATAGTTTTTGTGATTCTTATCATTGACTTGCAAAATCCTCATCTTTTGATTAAATTCCCTAAAAATCACATGAGTAGATTCCATTTCATCCCTACTAGTAGTGTATAAAGTTATTTAAAATCTAGTCAAGAACCTATTATGATAATCATCACAGAATAAAATTGTTGGTAATGAATTGATGATAAATTTTTGTTTTTGATTATTTTTTCAAGCATCATATTTCGTTCATCATCTTTCACACAATCAACTCGTCAAATTTTTTAAAGTCAAAGGGCAGAAGGTGAAACTTCATGTATTGATAGAAATTGTTGATAATCTTGATGAATATTGAATAAGAAGGGAAAATATTTAATGTAGATGTACACAAGAGTGATTAGAAGCATTGGGTTGTGGTAGGATAATTTTTATTCATCAGCATCATGAGTAAATAATAATAATATTATTGAAGTGAAGGTAAATAACTCTCCTCGATTGAACAGGATAGTGGCAAAACTGATATGCTTGATTCATTCTTAATAAATTATTAAATATGTATGCAGCGATAGATCAGTTGGTTAGATAGTAAGTCTAACACGCTTAAGGTCGCGGGTTCCAGCCCCGCTCGCTGTAACCTTTTCCTTAATATTTAAATTATTAGCCATTCTGTATTTCTTCTAATCAAAATTTCCTATTGATAGGCGGTGGGTAATAAACAGCCAATGGATCAATCACAGCAATCACAGCATTTCAAAAATATATTTGGTCTTAAAACTAACTTGCCATTTTCAGAAACAATCAAACATTTCCATAACTATTATTTCAAAATCATTTTGAGAATTATAAACTTCTTGGTGATGTTAAAGGATGGAACTAATGGTGTGTATTTGTATTTATTGCTCCATAAATGCAAGCTGTTTTACTGAATGCAGATTTCGTATGGTTTCGAACAGTCAAAGTACATCATGCATTACTACAACAAGAAAAAAAAACATTGAAAGAGATGCATGGGTTATCCATCATACAAAATTCGCCAGTAGATTCTATCATTTCAACTACAAGAAACGAAAGTGACTTATTAGAAACTTTCAAACTATTCGATTCTACAAACAATACTCTCAAAACAATACCATACGCATCAGCTAGCTTGGGAATTAATGGAATATTCATTGGTGGTTTCATCATTTATTTAGTTTTCTTCTTATTATTTGTATTGATTGTAAAATTTCAAAATTATACTTCTTGTCAATCGGATAATGAAGATCAAAGTGAAGGACCACCAAGTCACATGAAGAATTCTGCTAGAAATCATGACCAATCTCAGCCAACTACACCTTCGAATATGTTTCCATCAGTTTCGCCATCTACTCCTAAAGGAAATTCGAAACCTCATCAAAAGCAAAAAATGAATAGAAATCAGAAAATCATGCTCTTGATGGTTTGCTTTCTTGTTTTCATTCAATTAATTGCACTTTGCACAAGAATAGTCGCAGATTCGTTAGCTATAGTTCTAAGAACAGAATTTTATTCCATTTATGGAAAGATAATTGAAGGATTTAATGTTGATGATGCAATCATAGATAATTTCTATAGAAAATTGACAATATTTCATATCTTTGTTTCTGCAGATTTTGGATTTACAAAAGGAAATTTTATTACCGTTTTGGTAATTTTGAATTTTATCCAACAAGTTTTGTGAGTTTTTCAAAATAATTTTGTCTAATTTTAATTTATTAATTATTTGTGTTGTTTTCTAATCTATTTAATTTGATGGAATTGAAAATAGTATTACTACATGTAAGAAAGTTGGTGCATTGAAGGAGAAACCTTTCAAAATAATGACCTATCTGTTGAATGCCTTAACAATTATTTATATTTTCATGTCATTTATTATCAAAGCTGCAATTTCAGTATTTTACTTGCTATTTAAATTGGATTTGACAAGTGACAAGGTTCTGCTACCTGTTTATATGATTTGTTTGGTGGTTGACTTGGCCATGATCGTAACTCAAACGATATTTTTCAATGTGAATGGATTTAGAGTGATGAAAGTCATTGGTGAAAGACAAAAGAGCAAATCTTCCAAAAATGGAAAAGATAACAAATCTCACTATGTCAAAATTATGGTTTTACAATCTGCTTTGACATTTTGTGCATTATTTCAAATATTAGCCATTATCTTTGAGCCACTGACAAGACAGACTGGAATTATGGTTTGGGGACCACTCAGAGATTTTGTTAATTCGTTTGGAATTTTGAGTTTCGCAATAGTTGTCCTATTCCTGTATAATCCTGTTCTTGTTGAGAAGGTCAGTAAATCATCAAATAATAAGGTTAAAAATGGAAAGACAATGGGTAGTATGTCCTACAATGAGAGTACTAGGTCAACTCATTCAGATAGTGAGACAACTCACAATCATTCACATCAATCATCACAGAAACAGCCAACAACTTCTAATTTCTTAACAGTTGACTATCATTACAAGGATTCAATGTCTGTTGGATCATCTTCTTCATTCACACACAATGATGAAGGTTCTTCAACAATTTCTGTTGTGGAAATTGGATCATCTCAAGAAGATCAATTCTCCATAGAGTTGCAATCTAAACCTGTCATTATAAATGTTGAGCAAACCAATTTATAATAATAAAATATATTGGTACAAATAATTTATTTTCAATCTTGTTATTCATCACTGTCTTCACCAGAACTATTTTCTACATCAGAACCACTTTCGTTGGATAAATTAAGTCTAAAATTCAGCCAAGGATCATTTACCTTGACTGGTTCACTAATAATGTCATCCATAACCTCATCCTCATTTTCATTTTCATTCTCATTTTCATCATTTGCTTGCTTTGGCTTTTTTGAAAAGTATTTAATATGTTCCTCATCTTTGTATCTCGAAATATCCATGGATTCCTCTGGTTTATCGATGTACTCTGCAGAAATATCCGCCCTCCAATTAGACTCAAATGTTACCTTAATTTTATCTCCAATGATTACTTCTTGTTTCTTGCCTGTTTTCTTACATTTTCTTCTGACACTTTCTAATAGAGCACATGTCTTTGAATCTAATGTTGTGTTGAATACATATACATATCCTCTTCTTCTTCTATAAACCCTATTACCAGTACTAACAATATACTTGTATTTACACTTTCTTTCGTTTCTAACAAATGTATAGGCATCCTCTAAAAAGTTTTTGTCAATTGGTGAAAAACAACCAACATATTGTCTAGTTGGTTCAATCTGAATAAATTCAAGAACTGGTGAAAGATCACTTTTCATTTCAATAGGGCGAAGAATCTTGTCAATATCGTTTAAGGAATACTCAAAGAATGGTTTCTTTTTCAAATTTTTGGTAATAAAGTCAACACGATCATTCAATCTATCATAATCTCCTGTTGCTGCTTGATAATTGATTGAGAATGTAATTTGAGCATAGTCATGTTTAGAGGATGGTTTAGTAAGTTCCTCTTCAGTTTCAGTGAGTGAGAACTTGCCTCCTATTTCATTAAATGCTTGCTTCTTCTCATTCTTCTTAAAGGACTCTAAAAACATTAAAATTCTTGCTAATCCTGTAAACTGTTTGATGTTTTGTTTTTGATTGTATGGTTGTAATCCGTGTAAGAATGGATTAACAATCTTTTTAGGATCATATCCACAAATTCCTATTCTGAAACCTCTGAGTGCATACTTTATCAATCTAGTTTCATATGTTGTTGATTGTCTATCTGGATCTACAATGTTACATCTAGTTTTGATGGCCTCTCTTGCACGAGGAATACATAATACTTGTGTTCCATCAAATCTTGATTTCATTATTGAATTTTGACAAAATATTAAAAAAGAACTTACCCAATACAACAACAAGGAATATCAAATCCGCATAAAATTTCTTTCAATGTTAGAAATTGTTGTAATTGAATACTTACCTGATGGACTCTTGTATATTCTCAAAATTATTTGGACTGGTTTAATGTCATTAAATCTAAAAGTAATTGCATGTTGAGTTCTTAAAAGTAAAATATCAGAATGATTCTCACTATCTTCTGGTTTTTTAGAATCAATAAGATTTTTCTTAAAGGTATTATACAGATATTCAATTTTCTTTACAGCTTCGGTTTCTGATAACCCATAGAGGAATAAATCAATATCACTCTTTTTCCATGGATGTTCTTGATAATAATCATGGATATGCAGGTATTCACTTTTCTCGTTATTTTCAATTGTTGGGTAATTAATAGTACATTCAGCATTGAGCTCCTCATCAGTAAAATATTCAGCATCGCTATTGGAGTCCACTGTTTTGACTGTTGAAACATCATCGTCAGTACTAGCATCATCATTTTCCCAATACTTTTCTGTCATCTTGTGTCTGAAATACAAATCAGATTGTGAGTTGATTTTCCCTTGTTCCTCGGTTGGAAGTGGAACTTGTAATGCACATGCTAAAACACTACCTCCAGCCACAAACATATTTGACCAATCCATTCCTTTAAATATACCTCCAGTAAAGATGGTGAAGTGTTTTAAAAATTGTTCTCTGGAAGAGATGATTGTTGGTACAGATGGAACAGTCAACTTGGAATTTTGACATAATGAAGATACTTCCAAAGGGTCTTCAAAATCAAACAATAGTTTCACTTTTTCTGGAGGATCTTGTCTTTCAGCAGTGAATGATTTTGTGGAATGGTCGTTATCTCCAAAAACATTAATTAATTGAATGTATGGATCGTTCAATATTGGATTTTCTCTATCTACAGCAAATAAATTTCTTAAAAAGTCCTCTTCTTTTTTAATTTGGAGGTTTCTCTCTCCAATATCTTCAATAGGATATCTACAAATATCGAAATATTCTAATAAACCCTTCAATTTAAAGAATTTGGCCTCTTTGAAAACTTGCTTTTTCTTTTCAATTTCTTGTGGAATATTTTGCAGAGTTCCATTAATCAAATATTCATAAATAATAGTGAAAATAGTTGGATCTCTGTCTAGGAAGATTTTAAATTCTCCACGTGTGTGAATAGCTTTCTTTGAAAACTCATAAAACAAGCTATCAACATGTTGGACTAGTTTTGCAGTAGAAAGTGTGAAGTTGACACCTCTGACATCTATTGTTACATCTTTAGTGGAAGGGAGTGATTTTTCCTTATGATTTAATTCTTCAAAATCTTCTTGTACTTTCTTTGTTTGTTCGGCAACATAATTCTCAACTCTTGTCTTTTCCTCCAAAGTGAGCATTGCAAACTTGGAGTACCAACCATCATCATCAACGTTTACATCAATAACTGGTTCTATTTCTGGTTGTTCAATAGGTTTCTTATTTGAAATAATTTTGATTTTCTCCAATTCTTCAGAATATTTGGTAATAAGATCTTTAACTTTTGATGTTAGTTTGTCTGTACCAAAGAAATCTGATTCTTCCAATAAATTTGTCAATTGTTCAAGTGAAGATTCATTAACATCCTCCCAAATACCAATATGAGTAGTTGAACCAGTTCTCAAGTGTTCCAAAATTATTGGAAAGTAGTCTGGATCTCTATCAATCAAAATGTAACCATTCTCATCCTTATCAATACCAAATTGTGATCCTAGCATAATTTTGAACATGTTCTCTCTCTTTGTGAGTGTTTGAAGCGTAGTGATGAATATTTTACCTCTCAAATTCAACTTGATGATATTTTCCACCTGTTGAGAAGTTTCAATTTCTCGAAAGAGTTTTTTAGCTGATGGCTTTTCATCTTGTTCATCAATTTTTTCTAACAATTCTAATTGCTTTCTCTTCTCTTCATTTCTCTTTCGATCTTGTTTTAATTGTATTAAATTATCAATTCTAAATCTTTCCAAAGATTCACGATCTTGCCAAACTAATCTATGTTTTTGATCTTTTTCCGAAATTGTTGTTGAAATGTTATTGTTGTTGTTGTTGTTTTCAAGAGTGTCAGCTTTGTGTTGATCTTCCTCTCCGTTGGCAGCGGTGGTGAGGTTTCTCTTCTTTGATGGTGGCAACATTTTTTTTTAAAATTTATTAATTATTATTAATTTTGTAATCATGCTGATTTTTTGTCAACATCTTGTTACTAATCGCCCCTTCCAATCACTAGTGGAAGTTGAAGAGTTCAAAAAGTTTGATGATTTCACACTTGGCAAATTTGTAGTGGATTTTGTAATGATCGATGATTTTCACTGAAGATTACACAAGTACATTCATTTTGTAAAATATATAAAGTTTCGATCCGTTAAATATTAATGAATGTGATGAAGCAAGCTTCCATGTCATCTTTCCAATTCTTTCAAAATAATAATAATTAACATTATTCAAAAAAAAATGGTAAAAAAGAGAAAAGAGCTATCAAAGAATACCGCTAGTCAATGCACAACCTCACAATTCACAAACAATCCAAAGGAGCAACGTTTTAACGATTCCGAAAGTATTCTTTTTGCAGAAGATTTCCAACAGAAAACAGAACAAATACCACAAGAAGAAATTGACAAGTTGTTGCATTTTATTGATAAAGGAGTTGTAGTGAAAGTATTGGGAAAAGGAGGACAAGGTGCAATTTATAAATTTACAAGAAATGACAAGAGCACTGTGTGGAAGATAAATTTAATTCGATCAGAACTTGGTTCAATAGAAGCCAATCATGCACTCAGACTAAACCATGATAATGTTATTAGAACAATTGAATATAGAACATTGAGAAATATTCCTTGTCTAGAAATGGAATATGCTGAACATGGTTCCTTGATAGATTTAAAAAGGAGTCATGTTGTTGGAAATGTACTAGCTGTACAAATTTTATTTCAGGTTATGAATGCACTGATTTTCATTTGTGATATCCATAAAATGGTTCATGGAGATATCAAGTTGGGAAATATTTTAGTGAAAGAATTAGATAACGAATTCATTCATGTAAAAGTAGCAGATTTTGGATACTCATTCAAGACACAAGATGATTCAATTGTTAACCAAAAACCAGTAACTGGTAAAACTGATGGTTTTTTAGCGCCTGAAATTTCAAATGAAGCAAGATACGAGCTCATTCATACGCGTTATTCATTGGCCTCTGATGTGTATGCACTTGGGGTCAGTATTAGAAATTTGGTTGGTCTGCACAAATCAACTAATGCTGATGAATATGAAATACTGAAGTATTTGAGTGAATGGATGATGGCTTATGATATTAATTTAAGAAATAATTTTGCAAACGAAATCAGGGAGGATATTAAATATTTACAAAAGAAGGAAATTAATTTAGTGAGAGCAGTTTACTATTTAAGGAAGGAAGCAAGCAAAAAGGAAATTATTGGTATGGTTTCTGAACATGGAAATCTTCTCAAGTATTTGCAATACTCTTACAGAAATGATGTGAACGTAGTATTTTCTGCCATTCAAAATAATGCTAGCTCATTCAGATACATTTCAAATCAGTTGAAAAATAATCAACTTGTTTGTTACTTGTCTATTCTTAAGAATCCAAAAGTAATTGATTTTATTGGTTCCGATAATGGCTTAGTATACGATCGAAAGTTATTGAGAAGAGTTTTAATTAGAGATGCAAAATTAGTTAAACATTTCAATAATAATAAGCAAATTATTGAAATAGCTTTGGAAATATATCATGATACACTCAAGTTTGCCTCTCCAACTCTGAGATCAGACAAAGAATTGGTTTCTAAAGCAATGGAGTTTAGTCCACTTGCTCTTCAGTTTGCTTCTGAAGAATTACGAAATGACAAGGACATTGTTCTGAAAGCCACGTCTCTAAACCCCTATGCATTTGAATTTGCATCTGATAGATTGAAGAAAGACAAAGATATTCTCATGGTCATGTGTTGTATGAAGGATTTTCTTACTCCTGGTACAATTAAGAACACTATTCCACAACAGAATTTGAATAGCAAGTGGTTCGTGAAAGATATCCTTTCAAAACGACAGGTAGAACGTACCACTGTGGGATTGGATATTTCTTTGTGGGAAAACCCTCCACCTTTTATTTTTGAATCAGATATTTTGAATCATTTAATAATCAAACGTGATTGGTTAGAAACTCAACCAGATATTATCAGAAACAATGAAGCTATAATACTGCAGTCTCTCTCATTTAGTAAGAAGAATTTTGAATATGCTGATTATTTGAAAAAAGATATGAATTTTATTGAGCGAGCTTTGATGAAAAACCCAAAAGTTTACAAGTTTTTAGATAATAATTTATCCAGGAATGTACGCTTGTGTGCTATTGCAATTCGTTTAATGCCAGCTCTGTGTACTCTATTACCACTTGATTTGATTTGGTATCAAATTTTGAAATTCTTAGAGAGCTTGTAAAAATTCCGAGAAATGATATTCGATTTTCGTTTAGATCTGGAGAATCAAGAGAAATTTCAAGGAAAATATTTGGTATTTTTATGGAAAGTGAATTATTAACAACAATGAACAAAACATTGGAAGTTACTTGCTCAGATTCCGATAAGTTGGATCAAATTATTGACCTGGTTATGAATGATGTCGAAAGGGTAGATGTCATTAAATATATAACACCAGAAGTATGGAAAAATTCCAAATTGGTAGATGCTATGATAGAGATGAAAAATTTTGAATTCTTGCAAATGAGTGATATTTACAACAACCACATTGAGGTGATGGATAAAGTTAGTGCTTTCGAACCTAAACTTGCCCTTAGCTATGCATCAAAAGAGTTACAGAATGATGCAGATTTTGTGTTAAGAATAGTTCAACAAAATGGTTTAGCTCTTGAACATGCCTCCTATGAATTGAGAAATAATAAGGAAATAGTACTGGTATCTGTGTGTAACAATGGACATGCTTTGGAATTCGCCTCACCAACCCTTCAGTCCGACAGGGATGTAGTTTTGGAAGCCATAGATAATGATGGAACATCCCTTAGATTTGCTTCTGAGGCTCTTAGGACTGACAAATTTCTCATACATGAAGCCATTACGAAATCTGGTCTGTCAGCATTAAGAGGAGTCATCATTGACGATTCTGATAATGATATCATTCAAAAGGCGCTAGAGATTGGTTTCCCTTCCAAAGATATTAGAGTGCCTTTTGATGATTTCATTCATTCAGTCAAGATGAAAAATACTAACCTCTTCTGGAAATACATTCCAAATAAGTGGATGAAAAACAAGGAGTTTGTCTTATCAGTTTTAAGAATGGAACCTTTATTATTGGAGTATTTTACTGAATTTAAAAATAACAAACAAGTTGTTACAGAAGCCATAGTTCTTACAGGACTAGCTCTCAAGTTCGCTGGTGATAAGCTCAAGAAAGATAGTGACATTGTTATGGAAGCCATTTTGGAAAATCCACTGGCTATCAATTATGCACATGAATCTATTTTAGATGATAGTTCTATATCTGGTAATTTGAAAATTATGGAATATTTAGAAAGTGGTAAAACTAATCCTCCAGCTGTTATTCAAAAAAAATCAGCTGCTTTATTTGATACTGAAAAAATTAACCTTGAACCTGGATTGGAATTCTTAAAAATAACGCTTCTAGAAGAGGATAATGAGATGTCAGAAAATGAGAAAATGGGTAATGAAGTGATTGAAAACTTATTCTGTTGAGCACATTATATCGTCTACGACGCTGGAAAGTTCACAACAAACAGTAAATTGGTACCGTTAAAGTTGTATTAAAGTTTTGATTTTAAATAAAAATCAAATTTGGTCACTTTACAATTCTGAACTGTGAATAACATTAAGATTACACAAGTTGATTCATTGGATTAACATTTTGTAAAATATATGAAGTTTCACTGTTATTTACTGTTGGATTAATGACAGTTAAAAAATCATTAGATCAGTTTCAATTTTGCTTCTTTTTCAAATATCCTTTAAATGATTGGTGACTGTTAATGAAACGCCAATCAGACTGTCATGTTTCTTGTCCTTTGACTATGGCCGTCAAAGAGATTATAATTTCTCTTGATACAATCAACTTGCACTTATTTAATCTGACTCCTAAATATCAGATACCATTTAGAACCAATGACATGACCACCAATAATTTCTCATCGTGAGTTGCTTTAAAAGTTGAGTAAGCTTACAAGAAACAGTTTCTTCCATCTTTAAAAAAATCCACACAACTGAAAACCATGTTTCTTTTAAGAAGACTTTGGGTTTGGTTAGGATTCAGAGTTGATTTATTTGGGTTATTTAAGAGATTACTTAGTGAAGATTCATATCATTGATTATATTCTTATCATCTAT